CAGCATGACTACAGCGTGACGCTCACGTTCACGGAGTTCTGCGATCGGTACGGTGTGCTGCCTGCGTTCGACACGTTGCATCTGCTCGGCGCGCCGTCTGCCGAGGCCAAGATGCGTGTGAGCGATGCGTGTGCACATATGAACTGGTCTGACGCATACGTGGCGATCGGCATGCACAAGGTGTTCTTGTCGCACGCCGTGTTCCGTGAGCTGGAGGATGAGCTGCGCGCACGCAATCCAGACGAGATGCAGTACCAGCTGCGCAAGGCGCAGGCAGACGAGCAGGATGCCCAGAACCACGTGACGGATCCGTACTCGCCACGCGCGCTGGTGCCGGACGAGTCCGCGTCGGCGTGGCCTGCGCCGGAGCACGCAGCGCACGGCATCGCGCCACGCACGAGCGACGACGACTTGGCGGCCGCTACGAACGCCGCGCCATACAGCGCCCCCCTGCAGGGCACGCCGGCGTTCTCGTACTTGGGCGAGTACGACGCAGACGAAGCCAAAGGGCTTCTCGACGGCACGCTTGCCGCGGCCGAGGGAGAGGACCTGCTGCTGGACGACGCCAAAGACACAGGTCCAGGCGAGGCGGTGCCACCAGCGGGCGAGACGGTGATGGAGCGGCTGCCCATCTCGGCAGCGCGGCGGTACTGGGTGGTCCTGACGTGGCTCCTCACGTTCTGGGTGCCGTCGTTCGTGCTCAAACGGTTCCAGCGGCTCAAGCGCTCGGACGTGCGCATGGCATGGCGCGAGAAGCTCGCGATCAACATGCTCATCTGGTTCATATGCGCGGTGTCGATCTTTGTGATCGTGTTCCTCGGCAACATCATGTGTCAGAAGCAGCATCTGTACAGCACAAACGAGCTGTCGGGGCACAAAGGCAAGGATGCATTCACAGCGATCCGCGGCGAAGTGTTCAGGCTGAACGGCATCATCGACGCGCACCTCAGCTCGATCCCCGTTGTGTCGCGCAAGGTCATGATGCAGTACGCCGGGGCAGATGCGACGCCGATCTTTCCCGTGCAGGTCAATGCGCTGTGCAACGGCCCGAACGGCCCCATATCCCCCTGGGTCACGATGGACAGCTCGAACAGCACGGACCCGAATGCCAAGTACCACGACTTTCGCGCATTCCGCACGACGGACGTGCGTCCTGACTGGTACTATGAGCAGATGTGGTACATGCGCAGCTTGTACCGCGTCGGCTTCATCGGCTACACACCTAAGGAGCTCGACAACATGCTGTCGGATGGACGCACCATCGGCATCTACGACAAGTACATCTACGACCTCACGCCGTACATCGCGCAGGGCAACCAGGGTGGCTACCGCATGCCCGAGGGCGTGGCACCGCCCAGCGATCTGGATCGCACGATCCTCGCGCCGGACGTCATCGAGCTCATGGCACAGAACCCAGGCAAGGACATCAAGGACCAGTTCGATCGCCTGTCGCTCAATGCCGCGACGCTCGAAAACCAGCGCGTCTGCCTGAGAAACCTGTTCTTCATCGGCATGGTCGATGAGCGCAACTCGCCCCGGTGCACATTCTCCAAGAACTTGCTCCTGGCTCTCTCCATCGTTATGGTCGCCACCGTCGGCTTCAAGTTCCTCGCAGCGCTGCAGTTCACCCGCTCAACGCCGCCCGAGGAGCATGAGAAGTTTGTCGTGTGCCAGGTGCCCTGCTACACCGAGGGCACCGACTCCATCCGCAAGACCGTCGACTCGGTCGCGCGCCTCCGCTACGACGACCGACGAAAGCTCATTGTCGTCATCTGCGACGGCAACATCATGGGCGCCGGCAACGACGCTCCCACACCGCAGCTGGTGCTCGACCTGCTGGGCGCCGATCCGCACGCGCATGCAGAGCCACGCAGCTTCCTCTCTCTCGGCGAGGGCACCAAGCAGCACAACATGGCCCGCGTATACAGCGGCCTCTACGAGCATGCAGGCCATCTCGTGCCGTATCTGGTGATAGCCAAATGCGGCACGCCAGACGAGGTCGCCCGGCCCGGCAACCGAGGCAAGCGCGACTCACAGCTCGTGTTGATGCGCTTCTTCAACAAGGTGCACTTTGGCTCGCCGATGAGCCCGCTCGAGCTCGAGATGTACCACCACATCAAAAACATCATCGGCGTGAACCCTAGTTTCTACGAATACCTCCTGCAGGTCGACGCCGATACAGAGCTGGAGTCGAGCTCGCTCGCGCGCCTTATCGCTGCGTTCGTGCGAGACAAAAAGGTCATTGGGCTGTGTGGCGAGACGGCCCTCTCGAACGAGCACCAGAGCATCACCACCATGCTCCAGGTGTACGAGTACTACATCTCGCACTACCTTGTCAAGGCATTCGAGAGCTTGTTTGGCTCAATCACTTGCTTGCCCGGCTGCTTCTCCATGTTTCGATTCCGCGCTCCCGACACACAGCATCCGCTGTTCGTCGCCAACGCCGTCGTCGACGACTATGCTGAAAACCGCGTCGACACCCTGCATCTGAAAAACTTGCTGTATCTAGGCGAAGACCGATACCTCACGACGCTCGTCCTCAAACACTTCCCCGACTACAAGACCCAGTTCGTGCAGCATGCCAAATCCATGACGCTCGCGCCCGACAGCTGGAAAGTGCTCCTCTCACAGCGCCGGCGCTGGATCAACTCTACCGTGCACAACCTCTTTGAGCTGCTCAAAACGCCTCAGCTGTGCGGCTTCTGTCTCTTTTCCATGCGCTTCATTGTCCTGATTGACCTGCTCTCAACGATCATCGCCCCCGTCACCATTGGCTATCTTGTGTATCTGCTGGTCGTCGTCATCGTCGATGACAGCACAATTCCCATGACCTCGATCATCCTCCTCGCTGGCATCTATGGCTTGCAGGCGATCATCTTCCTCCTTCACCGGCGCTTCGACATGATCGGATGGATGATTGTGTACATATTAGGCCTGCCCCTTTGGTCGCTCATTCTCCCGCTCTATTCATTCTGGCACATGGACGACTTTTCCTGGGGCAATACACGCGTCGTCACTGGCGAGCATGGCGAGCGGCTCCTCGTGCACCAAGAGGGCGCATTTGATCCGAGCGAGATTCCTCACATGACATGGGAGCAGTACGAAAATGAGCTTTGGGACCAGCATCACCATTCCCAGTTCGCCACAGGCAATGACTCTCGTGCGCCTCCCGGCGCCCTGCGCCAACGCACCGCGAGCTTCATGTCCAACGATGCCTCATCCACCATGCATGCGAAGGCTTGGTCCGCCCCGGGGCATGCGTCTCTTCTCCAACCGGACGACGTGAGTCTTGCGGAAGGCAAAAACCCACCAAACGACACGACTGGTCTCGGCAACATGGGTGCCCCTGATCCTCATGGCTGGCCGGACACAGTGCCAATGCAGCCGACATACATCCAGCCCGTGTCCCAAGAACGCGGCGCTGTCGGCGCCGATGCCGACCCTGACGCCGACCCCCTCTACGCCATGGACACGCGAGTGCCCCCACCACGGCTACCGCCGAACGAGATCATTCGACTCGATATTCGTCGCATCATTGCAACCAACGATCTCGCGACCATCACAAAACGTCAGGTGCGTGCGCAGTTACAAGATCTCTACGGGTGCCCAATCGAGGAGAAAAAGTCGTACATCAATGCCCAGATTGAAGCGACTCTCCGCACTATGTAAGACATCGCGCGCCGAATCGATACCATGGCTTATGTACATATATAGATTTCTATATTTATGCTGAATGAATCTTTTTCGTTGGGGCTCCGTCGAGCCCCACCACCAACCATCCTCCTCCTCTCCAGCTCCTGCCCTCGAACTCTCGTGATATTTAGCGCGTAATTTCTCGGTAGATCAATTCCTTGAGTTGGGCACGAGAAAGCGGCTCCTTCGAAAAGTCGGCGTCAAAAAAGCTCGGGTCCAGTGGCTCCGCCCCCGGCTCGTCACTTGGATCATGGTACGGCTCCAAGTACGGATGAGATAGTGCCTCTTCCACAGTAAGACGCTTTTGAGGCGAGAACGTCAAGAGCTTGTCAAGCAAGTCAAGTGCGAGTGGCTCTGCGCGCGGAAACAGCTCCGCAAAGTTCGCTCGCTCACAATACGGAAATGAACGGATATACTCTCTCGAGCGAGCCGATGTAATAGAGTAGAAGTCTTCCAAGGACGGTGTTCCTAGCACACCGAGAATGAGTGAGAGCTGGTGGTGGTAGTCGCGTCCTGGGAACAACGGTCGTCCCGTGAGCATTTCTGCAAAGATGCATCCCACAGACCACTGATCAATGGCCTTGGTGTATTCCTTAAACGAAAGCATAATCTCAGGTGCTCGGTACCATCGCGTAGCCACATACTCTGTCAGGAACGCCTTGCTCTCCGGCTCGGGCTGCTCAGCACTGCGCGCCAGACCGAAATCACAAATTTTCAGATCGCAATTCGCATTCAACAGCAAATTCGATGGCTTCAAGTCACGGTGTAGCACCCCAGCTGAGTGCAGTGCCTTGAGCCCACGAAGAATCTGGTACACGAAATACTGGAAATGGTCATTCGACAAGTCCTGCGTCCGAATAACTCGGTGCATATCTGTTTCCATCAGCTCTTGCACAAGGTACACTTCGGTAAAGGTCTCCAGCGACCCGGGGGGTAGAATATCGAGGATCGAAATTATGTTCTCGTGATGGAAATGGCGTAGCAGGCGGATCTCACGTAACGTACGAAGACAGAACATTTGGTGATCAAACGGCGAGATCCGCTTCACTGCCACCCGTGTAGATGTGGGTACATGAATGGCAGAGCTGATCCTGTTAGTCGTGGACGCGCCATGGGCCGCGATCCGCGATCCGCGGCAGCTGCAACGTACTATACAACACCATACGCGCCCTCTCCGATCGTCTTCACAAGTTTGTATGAGCCACCTAGCAAGGGAATGTCTGCCGGATCTTTGTTCATGTTCCGCATCGGGGCCTGCGGCTGGAAGCTAGGTAGTGTGTTGTGTGGCACATTGGTATCCGAAGAGTTCATCGTAGTGATCGTGTCAGGTCTGTGGCGGACGTCCTCGGACATAATTTGGACGCTATCACGTGGTTCAGATGCGCCTGGGCGCGCTTTTTTTTTTTTCCGCCCAACTTCCCTGACGAAGCTTTTTCAATTTTGACTTGTAAAATAAGCATGGGCCCGTCCACGCCTGCAGATAGGCAACGCTATCTTATGCGAGACGACGGAATATTCCCGTCAGCGATGAAAGATAGTACGAACCGGACTTGTAGAAAAGATCTGGCCTCACGCAGTAGTAATGGCAACTTCAATCCATCTCACGCCCATGATCACGTTGGTAATGTATGCGCGTGTGTCGGAACAGCACTCATAGAGTATGCACATTCACGACCTATGCTATTGGCATGTTCCGTATTGTGTATCGTGTAGAACAATATAGTACCATCGTATTGTCAGATAGCAAATGCATCGAGTGTGCTGCTCCCGAACGCTTTCCCCTGTCGCAGGTATCTACAACGCGCTTCTATACCATTGAGATACGGATCCACACTGCGCCAACTCGGTCTTGGCACGCCACTGTAACCTGCGACCAGATCGACGACGATCTGTAGCTGGGCACGTGGAAATGTGGGCCTTTTTCGGCCATTGACTAATTGTGTCATGCAACCCCGCTGGGTGGCTGAGCCAAATCAACAACACATTTGACACAATGGAGGGCTGACTGCTATGCGTGTCTCATTTTTGGCGGTTCCCATCTGAATCCTCTGGTGATATCGCTGTCATCATGTCGAACCTGCCAGATCTGCCGTCAGGTTTTGGACGTGATTCGGCCTACCCGCCCATGCCTTCACGCATACCAGAAGCAGCACACAATGCTGCCAGAAATCGAATATCTATGGCCCCTCGCCCTGCCTTTATGTCTGCACCATCCTCAGATGCCGAGGGAGGCGCGGCGAACCTGCCGCATTCCATGTCGCACGATGATCTCGATCAAGCAGAGGCCATTTTCACCGTTGGGGATGCAAGTCCTGTGACAGGTCCGGCGCATAAGCACGTTTCGCCAGAGCGCCGTCCACTCCGCCGCCCGAAAAGTCATCAGCCACTGAGCACACAACCTGCATATCGACCAACACAGGACCCTGCAGCCATACGGCAGTCATTCGGTGCCACACCTATGGGACGGACACACTCAGACCGACCTCTGTTCGCGTCTGAACAAGCACACGCACAAGCACATGCCGAAGCGGAAGCTAAAGCGCGTGCAGTGCAAGAACGAGCCAAGGCCGAAGCCGAGGCAAGAGCCGAAGCAGAGGAACGAGCCGCACATGCAGCGCGAGCATCTACTTCCCAAAGAGACACAGCTGAAGCTCGCGCCTCCGAACTACAGCATGCTCGAATGCAAATGGCGACGAAGGCCACCGCATCACAAGCTCAGCACTCGCTTGTCACTAAATCCGCTGATACGAGTGCTTCCCAATCAACACCCATGTTACCTGCGATTCGCGTGTCTTTGCCCGATGTTCAGTCACTTGAACAACAGCGACTGCGAGTCAACGAGTCGGACAACGACCTCGATAAGCTTCGTTGGGCTGTCCAGGTGCTCAAGTACGTTGAGCGCATGCGGATTAGTGGCACGGAGCTTGAGGACCCTGTGACGACATGGATTGAAGAGGCTATTACGCAAATCGTGCAGTGTGCATCACACCCGCAGCCCAAGGCAGAGGCATTGTATGCGCGAGGTGATTTGTTGGCAAGTGGTGCATTTCCAGCGTATGTCGCGAAGGATCTTCGTTCTGCCTTTAGTGACTTTGAGCGTTCCGCACGCATGGGCTGGGCACCTAGCTGGTTTCGCATTGGCCGCGACTATGAGACGCTTGGTGACATTGCACGCGCCCGCACGGCTTACGGTCGTGGCTTACAGCGAAGTGACGTCGGATGCATGTATAGGATGGGCATGGCTAAAGTCATGGGTCAACTTGAGGTGCCACAAGACTTACATGAGGGCATCTCATTACTGCAAGCATCAGCAGATGCATCCACTGTTGATACTCCCCATCCTGCGTATGTCTATGGACTCATCTTGGCCGGGGAACTTTCGACCATACCGATACCCATCGAGGCGTTTGCTACGCCAGACAATCCATCCCCAACACGCGCGTCACTTATGCCGCTCGGCCGCGAGTACCTGCAACGAGCAGCATATCTCAACTTGCCAGCAGCGCAGTCCAAGTGTGGCTGGTGCTATGAACATGCCCAACTCAGTTTCCCATTCGACCCGTTGATGAGTGTGCAGTACTATAGTGCGGCTAGTCAGGGTGGCGAGCCGGAGGCCGATATGGCTCTCAGCAAATGGTTCCTGTGCGGTGCTGAAGGCTGTTTCGATAAAAATGAGTCACTTGCATGGACCTTTGCTGAACGTGCGGCCAAACATCATCTGCCAACGGCTGAATTCGCAATGGGCTACTACCTCGAGGTCGGGATTGGCGTGCCAATCGACTTGGAGGCAGCTCGTATTTGGTACGGGAAAGCGTCAGCGCAGGGCAACTCAGACGCTGCTGAGCGCCTTGCTGCTTTGCAGGCGTCGCAGTCGGAGGCACTGTCTCGTGCGCAGCATCAAGCGCATCTACATGAACGCTTGTATTCGGCACACCAACGAGCACGCAAAGTCTCAGGTGGAAGTCAGCATAACGGTGGCGCCGAGCCGACTGGTTCTGGCCCTTCTGGCAGTAGCGGAAGCAGTGGCACTGAACTTGCACGGCGACGGACAATGCTTATGGATGAGGATAGTGCCCAGCGACGACGCACGACGCCCGTGCCGGCGCACTCACGAACCTCAGGCGCTACTTCGCATGGCATGCTGCCGACACCAACAGCCACATCGCGTCCAAGCAAAGGCCCACAAACTTTCAGCGAAATGGGATACCACCCGAAACATGATAAAGAATGCACTATATGCTAGAGATGTGCTATTCGGACTCGTATTGATATTTGTGTAGAGGCACCCTCATTTTATGTCGTTCTTTATTGTTCAAGCAAAAACTCATCATCACCGTCGACCTCGGATAACGAAAAATCAGGGCTTGGAATCGAGCCAGTTCCATGTCGTCGATGCTACAATGCTACAAGACAATGAAATAGAAAAAAAAAAAGAGGACAAAAATGTTCATCCCCACGGCCATACAGCACAAACACCGTCTATCATGTAGAATCTAGCCCGCATCTATTGCCATCTCAAAAATATGGCTTTTACTTGCCCTGAGGAGCCTCCTTGTAGGCGAGACAGTGCTCCTCGTTCATGGCAGCAACGATGGTGACCATGAGGTCCTTGCCATCTTCAAAGTCGTTGGTAATTTGGTCACCAAGCTCGCCCTCAGGCATCTTCACATCATCCTTCGACGTGCCGTCGTTCGACATCAGGTTGAGGTAGCCGTCGTCGATGTTGATCAGCTGGTACTCACGACGAGTCACGTTCGGCACGTCCATGTTGTGCGTCGATGGCGAAATGTCTTCGTACTTGCGGCCAGTGAAGATGTCAATGGCAACCAGGTGAACCTTTGCGTGTCCGTGCTTGCCGGTCTTCGAGGTCGACATGTCGACGATCTTGCAAGGACGGCCCTTGATCACAACGTGACCGTTCTTGCGGAGAGCCGAGCACTGCTGAGGGTAGGTAACCGAAGCTCCAGCGTGAGCGGTCTCGAAGTTGACGTTCTCAGCCTCGTTGTCAGACTAGCATGCTAGTTAGTCTATCATACACACGTTCACTTTCTGTTCACACGTACCATGGCTAGTCGTTGTGGTGCAGAAACGAAAAGCTGGCGGCAGAACTCTTGACGGGCGCCCCGAAGAAGACACTCGGCCGTAGGTCCCACTCAAACTTGGCCTTTCGTGTGTTCTACGTGCAAGAAATGGGAATCTATTTATGATATTTGCAAATATTATCCAAACCTACTTTTTTTTTCACTCTCTTTTTTAACAACTTCACGCTTTGAACCTAGGCTTCTTCATTCTTTTTTCACCAGTGAGTGGACCTAGAGTGCCTTCCTCCAGTCCACTAACAACGTGCAGCAAAATTATAGTCATCCATACCGCGTCTGCCGGACTGTGTTCTGTGGAGGTCTGTCAGTATTGTCGCATGCTGCGGTAAAAGCATTTCCCGTATGTTCGGCCGAGGTTCTGGCACATGGGTGCAGGGTGGCGAAACAGAAAAAAAATCCCCAAAATGAATGAATTTACGCACGTACAACACACCGCTGCTTGTCCCTCCGAAACGTGACCTCCCTCTCCTTCCGTGTCCCGTGACTTGCCACACGCCGTTGCGCGCTACGCGTCGTTACAACACCGCGAAGCGCTCCACTGCTAGAAATTGGTAGTCCTCATGACGTCGCCGAACGGAGCAGGTCATGCGCCTCCGAGCGAAGCATCGCACGTGTATGTAGAACAACCGGCTGCTTATACGGATGCGACGCAAACGACACACGATACGTCTGATGCCGCGGGAGCACGGGCTACAACCGACGCCAGTCACAATGCTGGACAGTCTGGCATTGAGAAAGACGTCGGCACAATTCTCGCAGGCCTAAATCAGGAACAGCTAGAAAGTATTGTCGCTGCTGCGCGTGCCACAGACAGCAGTGACCAGCATGGCTATGGGACGAACCAGTATGACACAGCCAATGCACTAGCACATCTTCCTCCAGGCTTAGGGCAAGCAGCCTCGACCTTGACGTCATTTGCGTCTTCGTTCAAGCGTACGAATCCACCAGTCATTCCGACCGACGAGGAGATCACGGCTGGAACGGCTCTTTCCGACCCTCCGACTCACCTGGGCGATGCACCTCCGCCGCCAGGGATGGAACATGACATGCATCATCAGCGCCACGTTCACAGTCAGGCGCACAAGAATGCCACATCTGCTGCACATGAATCAGCAGCGACTGCGGCCGCCCTAGCAGCAATGGGCACTCTGGCAGGTCGTCAGCTGCCGCCTCAATCCCAAGCTCATGCACTAGGCCAAAGGGACGGGACTCTTGGTGCAGATGCCACTGGCATGGACGCAAAGTTTGTCAATGATCACACCTTGAACAGCGCGCGATACAAACGCAAAGGTCCTGAGCTTGACCGACAGCGCAAAGACAATCACAAGGAGGTAGAGCGTCGGCGTCGCTCAGCCATCAACGACGGCATTGTTCAGCTCTCGCAGATTGTGCCAGGGTGTGACGTCAAAAACACGAACAAAGGATCGATCATCATTGCTGCCGTGAGATATATCCAGGATCTCAAGAACAATGAGGCGAGTAATATTGAGAAATGGACTTTGGAAAAGCTGTTGATGGACCAGGCCATGAACGACCTTAGTATGTCGCTGGACGAGAGTCGGCGCGAGGTCGAACGGTTGCGTGCCCAGCTCGGAATGGCAGAAGCCAACAGCTCAGCGGGAGCCAGTGAAAAACATGCAGGAGCACCAGGTGCGGCCGGTGGCACGCATCACTATCCTGCTCAGCGCTTCCCTGGACAGCCACCGTTCCAAACCGATTCCAACGATGGCACACATGCCGGCCCAGATTTGGGCGTCTCATTGGACCAGAGTCATGTTGCGCATGGCGCACCTGGCACAGGTCTTGATCATACGAGCATGCTTGGATCGCACGGCCTTGATACTGATGCGAACAAGAGGCCCCGTCTTGTGTGAGTTGGTCGTTGGTGATTCATCATTCCTTGCGCTCTCCTTGCCCGTTGATTTCGGTCTTGGCCTCCCCGCCCCTATCTCTCCCTCTCGTGTAACTTATTTTGTTAGTGTGTATGGATGATTTTGGTTCGAGTGCGCTTGTTCTTCCACACCATGTCACATTCTAATCGATTCCCATCTTTGTGATCCCATCGAGACGGTTCACCTTCATAAGAGTGACTCTTCTGTTTTTCAAGCATTCGCCAATATCTGCATGTGCAAAATGTTGGCGTGATTCTCGTGGATTTTCCAATAAGTCACACTTTTCCCTCTTCTCTCGTTTTCTATTTTCTACACAGCTACGCTGTTTCACTTATGTACGAAGAAATGCACCTCGTGTTCGCTCCTGCATGTCTGTAATGCAAAGGACGACCGCAGCTGCTTGCGGTGATGTATCTAATGAAGCTTGCGCCACTGCTTGGAGGCGTAACAACATGGGTGTATGGGAGCGAACAAGATGCAATCCGCCATCGTGCTCAACGGCGATATCCAGTAGGACCAAAGCCAGGGCCATGGAGGCAGTCCAGATGTCCGCATGATTTGAGGAATTAGAACTCCATACGTCCACCACGCCCAGTACTTCTGGTAATGTGCGCGTTGGGAAAAAGGCGGCGTTTCGTCCGCACCAACACAACACACAGAGTGTGTAAAGTACTGCACTCGTGGAATTGGGTGTAAGAGTCGTATCGCTGCCTGCATACATCCGCGAAGCCGTCTGGCGGGCATGATCCAAGCGGCGAATCAACGGGAAGATGAATGAGGAGGATGCGACGGCCGTAAATGGCACCGTGGGGCGCACACTCCATGCGGGTGCGAACGGAACGTCCTTCATCGATGCAGACCGGACTCGCGCCATATCAGATGCGTAGGACGCTGCAATCCGCGCCTCACCAGTCTGCTGCATTCTTGACATGGCTGCCCCCATGAGGCGGCCAGTCATTTCTGTGGTGTCTGGAAGGGGAGCTGTTGCCGCAGAACCAGAGCTGCTGCCATCACGACTCAATTCCATGGCGGCAGCAGCGACAGCTCGCAGCATCGACAGCCGCTGCGCCAGCGAATAGTGGGGGGAGAAGAACTGTTCGTACAGAGCATCGACCACCGGCATAGGCGCGGCAACGCACAAAGCGCTGAGCGCACGTGTGCGTTTTAAATCAAAGTCTCGTAGTTCATACGTATCTTGCATCGACGCTAGTGCGGTGGCCAAGTCCACCGCATGTTCTGCAATTTCGTAGCCCCAGCCAGTTTTGCGCCTGATTAGCGACTCGGCGTGTTTGAGTACACATTTGTTCGCTTCATAGTCATGCTCGCGTGCCAGAGGCGCTAGCTCGTAGATATAAACGGGGACACGCGGCTTTTTTCGAAGTGCATCGCCCAGCATAGTCGAAGAGTCTTGCGGATCATAGGGATCTTCTTCTTCGACCGCATCACCTGTGCGAACGCCACTGTCAACGCGGGCGCTCTTGTCCGCACCTACATCGGACGCATCCGAGTCGGACGATTCTTCATCATAGATGTACAATCCGTTCAAAGACGATGCATTTCGCTCCGTACGTGGGGACGCACGCGCACCTTCTTGTGGATGCACTTCCTCGATTAGCACACGCGCAGGCACTCGGCGCGGCAAGCGGAGCGTCGGCGGCGAGGACCGTCGTCTAGGACGAGGCGCTTCTTCTGCCGCAATGCGTTGGGCAAACGCGTTTGTACCTTTAGTGCTCAAGGACTGCATTTGCTCCAGCAAGCGCGTCGATTCATCGCGCCACGGAAATGGACGAGTGTCAGGCCAAAAGGGCCCCTCGCGCTCGTAGGCTGCTCGCAAGACACGGCAAACACCTCGTCCATCGCCCCTGCCATCCCACACTTCAGCGGGGAACTTTAGTGGGGCTGCATTCGTGGCTTGGCTCAAGATCTCCGCAACAAGCATGCCAAGACGCCGGATTCGCGCATCTGTATGCTCGAGATATGCAGAAACACCCTGAAGAAACTCCATGGATTGGGCATGAGTGGTAAGTGCAGTTTTATTTTCGTACGTAATGCGTATTGCCATGAGGACCATCAATGTGATACTTTGTGCATGGGTATAAGAGGCATGCGCAACATGCTGGGGATGACTCCAAACGTGGATGAGCTCTTGCAAGCTAGTGCGAGCATCTGCATCACAGGCCCACGCTGCCAATGCAATCGAGAAAAGCGGTGTCCATTCAGTGTGAGCATGCGCTTTATCGACGTGAACGAGAGGCAGGCGTGGCGCTTCAGCAGTCCCCAAGACAGTCTGCAAGACCAGATACGCTGTATAGGCCCAGCGCCACGCCTCTGTGGTAAGAAAGGCACGTCCTTCAGTGCCAGGAGCCCTTTCCTGCTGGGCCACAGGCCACGCATATGACGTCGAGTTCAAGCGCGCATTCAGTGCATACGCCAGAGAGAGTGCAAGGACTTCTTGCGTCGACGGGTCGCACGCATCATACATGGCATGCCATGCCTTTTTCGCATGTGATGCTATTGTCGTTGTTGACTCCAGCGAGGACTGAATGTGGGGCAACATTTGGTCCCACCACGTAGGAGGTACGCGCTGCAAGAGTGCGCCGGTGCGTGCGAAGCGCGTGAGAAGACGCGCAATGCGAGAGGGATCGATCTCAATCACGTCATGGATGCCTGCTGACATGTCACCAAGCCATGTGCCATACATGTCCAAAAGTGACCTTCGATCACGATGCGGTCCAAACATGTTCGCTACGCGCGTCGGTAACGCAGAGACATTCGCCACTGCGTCATCCCACAATATGTCGCGACGAGCGGCGTGTGGCTCACTATGTACTGCTTCGAGCATGTGGCGCAGTAAAGTCGATGGATCGAGACGTGTCAGCACATAGTACAGGGCATCAAGTGTGGCGGGATGGCAGTCAACTCGACCTCTCAGCAAGGCCGAGCAAGTTTGCAACGTGTACACCCATACTGTGGAAGCATTGCTTGGTATAAACCAACCATCTAGCACCGTTTCATACAGATTGTGTTCATGCAAGCCAGGCGCCCATGTTACAAGCGTGACTGTCAACAGGGTATGTTGGCACGTGCTCCACCATGTTGAGATCCAGTGCGGATCGGTTGGTGCATCCTTTGCAAGCTGGTTGTATTGCGCGGGGAGAGCATGAACTCGTGCAAGTGGCAGAAGCACAGCTTCTATGACTTGCTGCCATTGAGTCGCAGATGCTAGTCGTGTAGGCCATGCATCGGCCATCAAGAGCAGAGGGACCGGGTGTATGTGCGGAAAGTTACGCGAGCGTGTGCCCAGTTGGAGGTCTGGACACGGAATTTTGGCGAAATTTGACGTCACAGATGTTCGCCACCAAATTATCATCAGATTCCAATTAGAATCATCCAGTCTCGGCGGGGAACGACACCATCGGACTCTACCCAACTAGACGCTGTGATCTGATCTGAATTCGGCATGCCGCAAGAAACGCTCCAGCCAACGCCAGGGGGTGGCCTTTGTATTGCATGGCAACTCCGCGGAAAGCCTGTGCTACTGATTGGCGGTGGTGAAGTAGCGGCAAGTCGTATCGTGCATCTGAAGAGTGCTGATGCGCATATCACAGTGCTAGCGCCACGCGATGGACTGCATCCAGATGTAGAAACATGGATCAAGACAGGGGTCATCCAGCGATATATTCCCGCTTTGTACAAAGATACATCACAGCTTGTGCAAGACGATGGAAGCGACTATACCATGGTGCTCACAGCGATTGATGATGCTCAGCTTAGTCATGGCGTCTGTCAATGGTGCCGGGAACGCCGCATCCCCGTAAATGTGGCAGACGTGCCACCAGAGTGCGATTTTTACTTTGGCTCCATGATCCGTCGTGGTCCATTGCAGGTCATGGTCTCTACGGGCGGCCGTGGCCCTCGTTTAGCGCGTAAGATGCGCCAGTGCATTGAGGCTGCGCTCCCTGAACGGGCAGGCGATGCTATTATGCAAGTTGGCATGCTACGTTCAAAGCTCCGCCACGTCTCCCCAGATCCTCAGGACAGCGCAGCTCGCATGTCTTGGATGACAAAGGTTTGTGAGGCCAAGACTCTCGACGAGCTTGCTATGCTTGATGAAGCAACGGCAGAGCGATGGGTCCACGAAGATTGGCCCACTCGTCGCATTCCTTCGTCATCACTGACATCACTATCATGGCCATCATCGATGGCATCCATTCTGGCCTCCTATCTGTCTCGAGTCATAATTGTGCCATGTTCGCGAGACGTGCTGAGTTTTACTCTCGGCGCAACAAGCACCGGTCTTGCAGTCCTCGCCTGGTCTATCCGCAAGTAATGGGACGAAAAAATTTCCGCACATATATATTTAATCATGTACAAATATATCCGAGTATTAGTTGGCCGCGTGCTCATGCTGGGTGCGTGTTGTGTAACGGTGAAAGATAGGTTGTGCCTTTGTGCGTGCATCATCAACAAGTCCGCGAGTTCGTGCTTACTGTGCGTTTAGGCGACAATCACCGAACTTGTTCCGCGTACTGAGGCTGGAATTCTTGCGGCGCATACTCTTGTTGTACAGGCACGCCTTCATACGGGGAGGGCCCCTGCAGATCAACATGCACAGGTGGCTGTTCATGTGATTCTGCGATTGGCGCGTTAGCAGAAGGCGGTATGCCGATGGAAGTGAGGCCCTGCTGCTGAACGCCTTGCTGCAAATATGCTAGGGGGCCTGCTGCCGCGTTAGAGTTGACGACTTGCGGAGGCGGCATTGTCGACGACGACGATAGAGAAGCGGCGCTAGGGGCATTTTGGTACATGGTAGAAGGTAGCGAAGGCGCTGCTCCGGTCACTGTGCTAGAAGACTCGACAGATGGCACTGTTGTCGGCGGTGGCATGGCAGGAGGCGCCGTGGTCGACATTGTGAGAGGCGCTCCAGAAGGAACCGACGTTGGCACATTAGTCGCATACGATGGAGGCGGCGAGGACGATGTCATATTAGGATCAGCCCCATACGGAGCAGGCGCAGGATGAATGGGTGCCGAAGAAGTAGTGGTAGATGGCGCTGAAAGCGACGCTGCTGGCATTGTCGCCATGGGCACAGACGATTCGGACTGCGTCGGTGGAGCGTATGGCAGGATTGACGACGTTCTCGTTGCGTCATCGTAAGACGGGTTCTCAAAAGAGGGAGGCGCCCGGGAGCTCGGCGAGACAGCATTTATCCTTGACGATGGCAAGGACATGGCTGGGCTTGACGGGCGGTCATACGCCACGGGCGGACGTGTGTGTTGCCGTCCCAACGGCGAGAGACTGCGGTATGCATGCGGCTCAGACGAGTACATGCTTGCAGCGCGGCCATTTGCAGGCATGTATGTATCAGGCATAGGGATAAGACTGGACTGAGCACTCGCTGCCTGCAACGCCTTTGTGCTGCCCACACCTTCCAAGTATTGACGATTGTCGCGGCCTTCAGGGGCTCTGTTCGCATCCAAATGCAGCGGCTGCGATGCCGATGGTGGCTGGGGCATTGGCGGGAACGCGGGAATCGCATCACTAGCGTAGTTTAGGCCGGAGTCAGCAAGGAGTTGTTGGTAAGCGCCCTGTGGAGGTCTTGACGCTTCCATGCCCCCGTACGAGTGGTTGAACATGGCTGACTGATGAAACTCCGGTCCCTCCTCATAGAAACCTGGTGATGACGCCGACGATGGCATCGTTTGTGACGGCGACGCGTAGCGGCGACTTGGTTCTTCCATTGAATGCACGGGATCTACTGCTTCATGCACTGTCGGGAGGCCGGTTCCGCCAACCACGCCACCCTGCATCATTTGAGCGGGCTCGTTGTTGTTCGTAACATTCTGTATCGGCATGGGCTCGGAAGGAGCGACCCAGCCCTGGCTTCCCTGCTCCACATCACTGACAGGTGCAAAGTGAGGCGGGCCGGTCGCTTCCATCATACCTGAGCTGCCCATGGGACCGGTGGCTACCACACCATCAGCGCCACCGACCATGGCGCCTGGACCACCCATTGACGCATTCGGTCCGGCGCTTGGTCCTGGTGCAGGGCCGGGGCTTGGGCTGTAGCGCGCGGGTGCCACGCCAACAGCACTTTGGCCAATCGACTGGTTCGTAGAGTCACCCATACGCGAATTGATCATGAAAGATGTCGGTGAAGACTGGTTCCGGTCAACATTCATTTGTGATTCACGAGGCTCGAACGTGATCGACTCGAGTTGTCGCACGGCCTCCTGCAGCAGGCGGTTCGTCCGGGCTTCATTGCGGTACGGGGCACGGCCTTCATTCGGCACCGTCGGAATCAGTGGTACTTCTTCCACAAGCAGACGGCACGACTCAGCAATCACGATAGACTTCTCGGCGAGCTCCATAAGCCCACCACTTTTTAGACTGAGTGCCTCGACTATTGTTCGGCGCTTGTAATCACCCAAGGCTGCTTCTTCATATGCCATTTCATTGTTTAAAACTTCCATATCGCTGCGCAGCTCACGTAGACTGCTCGTAACCTTCGCAAGGTCCTTGTTCTCAGGTCCCATCTTTGCCAACCTTCGCTCCATAGCTTCAATCTTTCCGACCAATGCACGTCGCCTGCCTTTGAATTCGGCATATTTTTCCTCTCGGGAGCGGATAGACTTGAGATGCAGGCGCATCGTCGAGACGTAGTAATTGTAGCGAAGCTCCGCGCGACTGAGATACTCAAACAAGAGAGCAACCTTGGGCAAAATATCTTCCAAGTCATCACCTTCGTTACTGCCCCAAGCTCTCAGCGCATCGGAGCTAAGCTGGATCTCGGTGGCAGTCTTGGCATTTGCCGCCACAAACGCTTTCTCTCTATGAATCATCTCCTGCAGCTGCTTCAGGTCGCTATTTCCCAGAGAGGGAATCTTGGAGTTGTGCGCCACTGCCGACTGAGCTTTCTTGAACAGTGACATGGCTAGCTGATACGTCAGCGGACAGGTGTGCGCTGTTGATGGGTGACGTGTTTGTGTGTGGCCCAAAACAATCCACCTTTCTCCGGCAGGTTTCGCCAAGTTTCCGCCTCGCACCTCCCTCTTAGGACGGGGCCCATGCCCTAGGAAGTATGCGTGCGCTGCCCCGACGACATTTTTGAAAATTTTCTCCCCTACCCTCCAACCGCGCGCTAGCTCGGAATGCACGATGTATGATGTCATATTTGCCACGTGACACCTGTCTAGACCTGCTGCGTCGGCTCGGCTATTCCAAGGGACTACTCTTCTGTTGCCCACACTTGTCATTTTGTGGTAGAGAAATCGTGTGCGACATAGAAGTAGATGAGTGGACATGGCGGCGAGGAGCACGCACAAGCGGAAACGCAGTGCTAAACGCGCTGATAATGAGCGTGGGAAGCCAGGCGGTCTAGGTGGTGGCCGTCTCACACTCTCTTTGTACGAATGGTCGCCTTCAGCGCGTGAAGAGCTAAAGCGTGCATTGTATACCCATCCTTTCAACCATACCGTCGACGTGCTAGTCCCGCACGCTTCATTCCCAACGCAAAATTTCATCTCATCCTTGCAACGCATTCTGCAGAATGCAGGTTCTGGTCCATGCATAGCACATGTGCCCCTAGCGCTATTCCTTGAGCCAACGTTCGTGGCTCAATACATTCGGACTGGCTCCCTATATGCGCTGAGTGCCACCTGGCTCGATACCCAAGACTCTGTTTGTCTCGACGGTCAGGGCATGCTCGTTCTCTCCGTGACGAAAGATACGTACCAGCAACTAGGTCTAGTCGGTCGTCCAAGTCGTTTTGCTCGTGGTGCCTCTGGGCGAAAGGCTGATCGACATAGTGGCGCTATCTCTCGCTATATTATTGAGCTTCCGCTCTTAGATCCCTCGTTTATTCCAGGGAAACGAGGCTACGAACGAGCGAAGCAGTGTTTGTTGGCTTGGGATCAAGCACGCTCCAAGTCAAGCGCAGTCCCGATGCTCATCAATGGCGTTCCAGCATCATGGTCAATGCTGCTCGTTTGGACTCCTCCGGAACTAACGACAACCGAGACGCCGTTTCTACATGGTCATCGCATTTGGGCTCCTATCGAGTATGCCCCGCTACAACAGGCGCACGTCATGCAGGCGCTTGCTCCAACGTTGCAAATGAACTCTTGCACTGACGTTTGGATTCCGCCCGCACCGATGCTGGCAACGTCGTTTGAATCTGTGCCTGGGGACCGATGGACTTCAATCTGCGAATATCTCGAGTGGACCGGTCTTGCTTCTATGCGTGCGCCTCGGCTCCAGACATACGATCGATGCGATCCGCGGATCGCCATGTATGCACCCATCTCTGGCAGTTGTCCGGGCTCGTTTCTGCATGTTCATATACGTGGTATGCTTCCGCCGTCTCTTTTAAGTTGCGTACTCGATTGTATGTGGGATGAGCTTGATGTGTCGCCGCGGTCAGCTTGGGCCTCGATTACCGTGAACGGATTTTCTGACTCCCCTATTGCCTGGACGTCTAAGTACCCTGGACTGGGACTAGCTTTGGGCAGTGCTTCGTCGAGATCTGATGCGTTTCGCGACGGCTACAACGCTGCGCAGCGTGCGCGCAAGGTGCGAAGGAAGAGCCATACCCGGCGGGGCGAGTCTGAACACGGACTCTTTCGAACTGGTGAGAATGGTTGGACGATGCTCCTTTCCTCGGACCGTTCGCAGCACAAGGGCCATGTTGCGCTCATCGATTCTGTGGAGCTTGATACCCACATGTAGTAAGTAGGCGTGTGTTGTAGCCATGTATGCATCTATGAAGAGCGTGCGAAGATTTCTCCATGATTAGATATGGGCATCATCGGCGTATCAGGCCGACGTTCATTCATACATGATCAATGTTGAGCTTATCAGACTATAAGCATGCGTATCGCAAGGTATGGCCTAGGCTATCGATTCTTCTAGGAGCGGGGAGGGGAATACTTATTAGATTGCCTCGTTGGGTACGGCTATTTTTTCATCAGTCGGACCTCGGCCAAACGCGTTCCAATCGGCCATCCTGCTTGGTAAACCCGGTCATCCGTGCATACTTCATAACATGATGTTCTATCTAAACGGTTTATCCTGCGTAGGGCCTGATCAACGTATGTGCGGCTACACACAGGCTCTTATGTTGCAATCTAAGCATAGAGCCAGCAAACGTAACTACAAGGGCATCACAACAAATTTCCAAGAACAGGCATCAATGAGTGGTTGTTTATAAGACATGCGATAAACTTTCAGCTCTTATCATGTTGACATGCTTGACCATGGGTATCAGTACGACCTGAATAGGCAAATACAAACTGAGAGCTGATCTATGCGAAAGTGGAGAACAAGAATACATGAGGGCTGCGTGATCGCCGTCGGTTCTGCGGGGAAGTTGTGCCACCTAACGTGATGCAAAGACCATGAGGGATTTAGCCGCTTGGTGGGAGCGTCATGGAAGGATTCAACACCGTTAGATTTCCGACGTGCAGTAATGTCGCTTGTACAGCTTCCCAAATGTTTGACACGCACAGTTGTTTCCGCACTGTTATTTGCGCATTCTTGCACTACCTATAGACCACGTTTACGAAAGGCAAAGAAATCGCCTGCACGCTGGTCACCTCGTTGACGAGCAGCGTGTTCAGTGAGTTAGAGTATGAGAATTCTCTCCGCCAGGGAGATGTGCCGCAATAAAGCGAGCATAAGCTAACTAACGTTGATACTGCGAAAAGTATTGAGAGCTGACGTCCGCACATCGAGCTCTCGCCTGTCAGTGAGCCGCATCCAATTCTTCTACCTTTGACTGATCCCTATGATGGAACCGTGTGCATGCACGAGAAGTTGTGTGGAGGGTTCACGCTTGGGTAGAGACAGGGATGAAGGTGCGCGCGAGGTAGTGTCGTGCAGTAAGCACACGCAGGTGGCACGACTAGGCAGGCGTCATGAGGCGTTTGTTGGGTGTATACAATATGTGAGGGGGTGAATCGTTAAAAATAGCAGCATCTGTACTAAAACACATGAAGGTTGCCTACTGGGTTTCCATACCAAAGTTCCGACATCATGTGGACACTTCAATGTGGAGGCTCCAGCGTGGCTGTGAGCAGGGGACGCTAGCGTAAGCACATGCACCCCTTGCACCTGGTCAGGTCAGGTTGACTTTGCATCTGGAAGTTGCGGCCAATGGAGCCGTAGCTAGCTGCGTTGCGTTTGGGCCAGGACGACGCGTGTCACAGTTTCTCCTTGCCCCTCGCTGACGACCGCCCATAGATTGGTTGATCTCGGTGCCGCTAAACGCCCCTGCAACACCTGCTAGGGCCCACCCGTGAGAACGAGCCTTGTCTCTGTAGGGAGTTTGAGTGTCTGTGACTCCCGTTGCGCGTCGCTGTTCTTGGTGAACGCGATTCTTGCGTGGAGCACCTGCACCCAGCCACGCACGTTGGAAGTGTCTCTTCCTTCTCTGTGAGAGCAACGCACGCCTCTCGACCCCTCCTTGGCTCGCGCGTACGCCCGCTTGTGGTGGATTTCCTGCTACAATAGCGCCCTTGTTCTCATCCTCTTTCTCCCTTGCTCGCCTTCTCGTCACCTGGTTTCGACAACGCGTTACTTTTCCACTTGCTTGCGATTGTGCCAGCCCCTCTTCCCCACGCGTGCTGTCTAGTGTGCAACAGCGGACCCATCTGTACTCATGTTCTACTTCGCTGGCATGCCACCTGTGTCTACCTCGGCCCCAACAACATCAGGTGTAGCGGCAGGTGCACCCGATGGCCCTGGCCCTCGTGATGATATTGCTTGTCATTTCGTGGCGCCGGGCACCATGCCTCCGCCCCCCGCGACGATGCAAGGCAACTTGGAGGCTGATGTAACTCCATTCATGACACCAATGCGCCATAGCCTCAGTGAGACTACGGTGGACAGTGCCTCTATATCACCAACACTACTCCGGCAAATACAGGCAGGCAGCATGCCCAACGTGTCGTCTCCCCTTGCGGTACACTCGGTGCTTGCGCCTCCATCAAGTGATGGAAAGCGTCGGCGCATGTCTGCGTCGCAATTTGGGTCACCACCCAATGCTAATATGGCAACGATGGATCCTAGCACAAGCTCGCCATTCAGCAATGCCATGATGTCTCATGCGGCATCGCCGGCAGCGGCGGCAGCAGCAGCTCATCAAAACAATCTGTTCTTCCAGCACGCTATGCTTCCTTTCGGCATGCCTGACTCACCGTCTTCGTCGCCTAGCGTAGACACGTCGATGCAAGCGCTCTCCATGACACCTAACAACAACTTGTCGCCTCTCACTCATCGTACGCTCCGCGCTGCTTCGTCGAGTGCAGCTTCGCCGACAGGCGCATTTCGTGGCGGTCCTATGACGGCGACGGCTTCTGTTCAGGAAAGTCCGCTCATGCGTCGTGCGAACAGTTACGGCAGTGTCGGTTCGCCGTGGGGCAGTCATGACAACATGTACATGTTCGGCATGGCGCCGGGCATATCGCCTGTGGCAGGGCCAGCGCCCATGGGCCCGCCTATATCTGCACCTGTTCAAATGCAGCGGAACTACAGCTCGCCACAGCCCCGTGCTATGCGTGAACGTGGGACCCGACAATCGTCTACCGATGTATGGCCGGATGACGTCGAAGTTGCATTCTGGGAAGCGCTGCGTTTGATTCCAAAGCTGGGTCGACGCAAGGTACTCGTGCATGGCAAGCCGTGTGGACGTAATGAGCTTATTGCTGACTATATTGAACGCAAAACGGGCAAGACTCGCTCTCGGAAGCAAGTGTCGAGTCATATCCAGGTACTGAAAAATGTCAAGCGAAATGACCTCGAGTTCCAGCAACTCATTTCTGAGCCTACGCATGAAGAAGACTATTACACACCCGCTGGTGGCATGATGTATGCACACGCGCTTTCCGAGTACAGTGTGGGTCTGTTGGGCTTTTCGCTCACAACGACAGACCCGACTGTCTCGCCCATGGCAGCGTCATCCGCGGCAATGTCGCCATCTGTGTCGAGTCCTCTGCCTCCTACTCACTCTCCAGCGCAGTCACCGGCTTCAGGCATGATTTCCAAAGCGCTCGATAATTTGCACGTGTCAAATTCGCCTCGTCTTGATGACAATGGCCGCACCCTCTCGCCTCGCTATCCATCGGCACCGGCACCACCATCAGCCTCGATGTCAGCGTCGTTGGCACGGCGCAAAAAGGTTCCGCTGGTCGATTTCGATCCTATGCCTGTGCTTGTCCCCACGGCCTTTTCGATGTGGACATCTTCGACAACTACGGACGAGCGTCATTTGTACACGAACCTTGACACACTCAGCATGTCACGCACGTTGCAGTCCGGTGGCGAATTGCCTGTCTTGTCCAGCACGGATCCTATCGTCACGTCGTTCCGCTTTCCTCAGCTCGTCGACATGTTCAAGCGTGTTGCCTGTCCGTTTGTGCATGTGCATGTGCCGATGTCACTGCCGCGCGCCGATGCCTCGGCTGCCCAGTACAACCGCCTCGGTGTGGCCTTGTCGATTGCTAGCACTCGCAATACACGGCTTTGCTCCGTGCTATCTATCTACTCACATGGCAAATGCGTCTTGTCGATGGTAGATCACCTCGAGCCGCCACGTCCTCTCGCACCTGCGCGATCTGATTCAGTCCGTTCGGTACTCCATGAAGATCCTTCAGAGCCATCGAACCAGCGCTCGCCTGCGCCTAGCAATGATGCGCGCTTCGCATGGGCATATCAAGTGCCGTTTGCCTCTGACTTCTGGGCAGACTTTCTCAGTCGGAATCATCCTATGCATATCTATGGCCCTGGTGGTGTGGAGCCCATGACATCCTACTGCAAGGAGCCCAGCGAGCGCGCATCCGTCGGTATGGCTGTCTCAGGTCTCGCATTTATCCAGGAACTCGTTGTTCCTCAAAGTGACGGCGTGTCGACGATCACTCCACGGTCCATCGTATCGGTCGACAGTCCTGGCTCTCAGGTCGGTGATATCATCGGCGTGGTTGCTTGGGACTTTGAGTGCGTCGAAGCACTCGGTTGTGAGCCAGGTGTCCCCATCGTATCCGTGATCAGTCATACATCTTCTGCACTGAACCATCCCACCACACCGCATCGACCATCGTCAGCGGCTTTGTCGTCAGAGAGTAGGGCTGCCACCACGACAGAATCTGCGTTGTCCTCGAGTCCAACGAGCCATCGCTCTAGTGAGAAAGGGCTTTTGGGGCTTGAAATTCATGCCTCCTCACGACCGTGCCCACAATCAGGCCCGCAACAGCAGTCTTTGAAGCAGTCGCAGGATCCGTCATCGTCATCGTCGACATCCACGTTACCTGACAATGCCGTTTCCTCCAGTAACACGGATCATCAGCATCGGGAGACGCCTTCGTCCACGCCGCAAAAAGAGAAGACGGATGAAGATAGCGCCCAGATGCAATCAAAGCCTGATAGCTCCTTGTTGCGAGCTAATACGCCGCCACCACCGCCCACACTGATTCGCACACAAGCATCCCCCTTTACTAGTAGCAGTCCAGTGAAAGTGCACGATGAGTCGGAGCCAAACAAGAAAGTGTCACCAACTCCAAAGCCGCCTATGCTTTCGTCTTCGGGGGCCATCTCGTCTCTGCAGCGTGATGAACATCGTTCCTGGGCACCCTCCGAAGCAGAGAAACTTGCAGCTGCTCCGCCTCCGGCACAGTCGCCATTTTCGAATGACTCCTCCCTCTTTACTTCGTCTTCGTACACATCTGGACTCAATTTGTCGAATGTATTTCGACAAAAGCACGTCACACCACATGGTATGACGACGACACTCTCTCCTGCTGCATCTCATGCTGATTTATTCAGCCCGGTTGGGCCGTCGCCGCCTCCTTCTTCATCGTCATCATCTTTGCTAGCACCAAATGTTTCTATACCAGGCTCAGTATCCTCGCTTCCTATGCCTGTACGGTCGAACTCCATGAGCATGCTCGAGGAGCATGATGACGATGTATTTCAGCCTTTCTCGACACAGGTCTCCTCACCATCGCTCTTGTCTGATTCCATTCCATCCTATTTGGACCCAACGGACGTGGGTGGACGTTTTGGGCTTTCAACGCATGTCCAGTGGAATGCGCAGCAGGACTTGATGGACGCCTTTCTCAACAGCTCTATGATGGAATCATCTTCAGGCATCTCGCCATGCTAATATTGCGTTCTCATGTTTCGTGCATTCTAACCACGATCATTCTATCTTAATGCCTTCAGACCAATGGTCCCATTTCAGTGTCAGCCGATCTCTTCCTTTTCATCCTTTTCTTTTCAGTCTTCTGCATGTTCCTATCCACACTTACACTCTACTGCTACTCTGCTTGGATGGAGGTCCAACGCTTTATGACATCCAACACTCTTTATTGTTCTATACATATTCACGTCCCTATCTCTTTCCTTTATGGATGTGCATACATTTTTCTGTAGACATTAGTCACGATTGAATTTGAATTACATCGGACCTACAATGGGAGTGGAGGGACAGTTTCAAGTCGTCAGCGCTAGCGCTGTTAGATGGAGCAGTTCATTGCCACATCACATTTTGTTACCGTGGCGCAAGCTCTCGAGTTTTTGCAGTCAATTTCCATGTTGGAGAACGCAAATCCGGTGATCTACGATGTGCATGCTCCTGCACCCCGGCAGGATAAGCGCAGCGAACATCCAAATGACTGGTGGATGAATGAGGCGCTCACTCCCAGGTCGACACTCTTTTCCAACATCGACGAGGTTGGGGATGACGAGATACAACTGGAGCCAATCGATGCTCGTGAAGTGTTTGATCTTGTTCGCTCCATCACGGATCCTGAGCATCCTCTTACCCTTGAGCAGTTGGCTGTTGTGAATGAGAAGCATATCACTGTGGACCATGGAGACGTTGAGGCACGAAAGCCACCGATGGTGCGCCTCGAGTTCACGCCCACTATTCCACACTGCAGTATGGCTACTCTGATTGGACTTTCACTGCGTGTTCGTCTTCTTCGCGCGCTACCCACGCACTACAAAGTCCACGTTGCAATCCGTGGAGGAACGCATCAATCTGCCGAGACCATCAACAAGCAACTAGGCGACAAGGAGCGCGTAGCTGCGGCTGTGGAAAACAAGTATTTGATGAGTGTTATACAAGGGTGTTTATCTACGGCATCCCAGCGTGGTGCCACAGTCCCTGCATTGGCGACCGTTTAACCGGGAAAGACGTTCTTTTCATTTTCTTGCAGTCTCTTGGGAGAACCATGCTAGAATGAACTAAAATGTGGGGCTGCCCATGGCTTATCACGCTTTCGTGTTGCACAAAAGATCGTTCCCGTTTGTGATGGATCGTCGTGGCAATCAAAAAGCGGCGCGTTTGTTGCTGCTGACTCATAAGTCTGAGCGCCGCAATTTCCGCATAGGTGACGCCACCGACAAAAAACACGACCGTTGTTCGAATCTTGTCATCAGGGATCGTTGGCGCCTCCTTTATAGGGAGGAAATCGAATGTAGCACCGGGCCAACGCAGCACAGCGTCGTCGACGCCATGCCATCCAGCGATGCGCGCGGCTTTTGGGTATATGTGCGGGCGCTTCTGGCGTTCACGAAGTGTCTGCTCATGCTGGCAAATGGTCTGCACGAGCCGCACGGAGAGTGGTGCATATCCGCTGAATACGTAACCAATATCGGAGGGATCACGTTCATTTACGTCGTCGTCAATGAGCCGCAGCGGTCGAAGAACATGTGTCCACTTGCTAGTCCGTGCTGTTGTCGGACTAGGGGATGAGGTTGCCGCCGACGAATACAGAATGCGCATGCGTTCCAAAGCCATCATTTGAGGTAGACACTCGAATCCATATGCATGTACCATCGTAGTGCGGAAGGCATCAAGCCAGGAAGCTTTGACGCCGCCATGTATGTATGACGCAAGGCATGCAACGCGCAAGACATCTAGCATCGGCACGCCGAGATCTATCAGCTCATCGATTGCTTGGAGCTGAGGGGCGAGCGAAGCACCTGCCACGAGGTGTTGCTGAATTTCCAACAGCAGATGGAAGCGTTCTGAGCTGGTTGTTTTGAGCAAGTGCTCCGTAATACAAGTATGTAGGCGAAGGCTTGCGTGTCCACTTTGCAACGTGCCAAGCCGGTTGACAAAAGCACGAAGCTCTCCCACTGTCTGGGCTTGGTGTCTACCCTCATAGTCTTTGCTGAGCTCCTTGGCAGCTGCATGCAGCTTTTCGCCAACAATGGCGAAGTTGTCGTCGCGAATGGACTCAAAGAGCGGATCTTCATTTCCATCCAGGCGCACTCTGCGGGATGCACCGCTGCCTGCGGACTGTGCAGCGCCGACCCACGAAGAGTCAACGTTAAGGAACCCGCTCGAGATGCCCATAACATCGTCAATGAGACCTTCATACGTGAGTTGCGTTAGCAGCGGGGTGGCCAAGTCAACTGTGCGGTCCAGGACGACGAGAGCATCAATGTCTGTAGCAGGTTTGTGAAGCCGCGTTGGATTCACCTGAGTGCCCATGGAGGGGTCGGTGCCATTGCTGCGGACGCGGGCATTACCATCTTCGTCATCTGTAGCAAGGAATTCGCGTCTTTGTCGAAGAAGTAAGTCACACAGGCGGTTCGCGAGATCGCCCTTGCCGACTATGCGTGGAAAAACACCCCACATCCGCTGGAGTGTCATAAGTGCGTGGGCAGCATGGAAGAGAGGGGTATGATCGCCATCGAGAAAGAGACGGCGCCATGCAAGGGGGTCTTCAAGACTTAGAACATCAGGGTTGATCACAGAAAATTCCAAACCCAAATCAAACATGTTGATGGCTTGTAAACATCCATGCTTGCGGAAGAACTGGACACATGCCTCGGTGCGCCGCGGCACAAACGCCACAGAGTATTCGAATTCGAGCGTGGCGTCATTCCCAGACGCATCTCGATCAGCAATATAGTGAGCAAGTATTGTTTTCATCCACCGTGGTTCTGGTCGGCACAGATATAGTACCTGCTTTGTTGGTGCGTGAATGCGCACGGATCGCGTTGGGGATAGTCCCACAGACACTTCCTCCATCCAAAACATTTTCTCGACACCGCGTTGCCGCAGCGCGGCCAGATCGACCATGAGGCTTAAGGGACCAGCGAGTGTCGGGTCGATCAGCAATGTTTTAGCATCCGGAATGAAATTCAACACATCGGCAAAATGGTCCTGTGCGAGCTGTGAGAGTGGCGCCACATCCACGAGGCCATGTCGTGTGCGCCGTGGTCTGTGTGCATCGCCAGCGTCCGCCATGTTCTCTCAGCGTCCCAGCGGACCAGCTAGATGCACGAAACCTGTCGTTTGCGTGGCGCCAATGGAATCGCACGCTTCGCTCTTTCTTGCTGTGTGTTTGGCGGGCGGCGACGCGTCAGTGGAGGCGGGCGCAGTTCCCTGGCGCCTGGCCTGTTCTCCTAGTTCCCCATCGGCCCCGCGCCTCCCACCCAGATGTGCTGACCTAATCATTTGCACACCGCGCCGCAGGGCCTTGATCGCTGTCGTATGCTCTCTGTGGTGCGGCTTGTCCGAGGGTGCCGAGGCAGTTGTCGAGAAAGCGTGCGAGCCATGTCCAATAGTGCTGCGCCTGTGGGCAGTGTGTGGAAGGCACCTGAAGCCGAGGAAAAGGCGCCTGAACTGCATGTGTACAACAGCTTGACGCGATCGAAGGAGCGTTTCGTTCCGAAGCGCGGTCGTCTTGTGACGTGGTACAACTGTGGCCCGACTGTGTATGATGCTAGTCACATGGGGCATGCGCGCAACTATGTGACACAGGATGTGATCCGACGCATCATGCGCGACTACCTTGGCTATGACGTCAACTTTGTCATGAACGTCACGGATATCGATGACAAAATCATCATGCGCGCACGACAAGAGTTCTTGCTCCAGCAGTTTCGCTCACAGCACCCGCATCTCACGCATGCATTGCTCGATGCTGTTCAAGCTGCCTGGAATCACTATTTCCGCGAAACGCTCATGCCCCTTGCGCCCCCAGCGCCCCCGCATGAAGTGTCATCCGATCCTGCGGAAGCGGAGCGCAGCCGTGGGGGCGAAGGCGGTTGGGAGCAAGTGACACTTCTCGCCAGAGATGAATCATGGCGCGCGCAAGCGGCGGAACGTATGCCCAAGTTCAATTTGTGGTTCAAGACCTTGCAAGCGTCTCGTGATGCCCAGGTTGCCGCTGCCGTTGCTCTCGGCGCGAGTGACTCGTCAACGAGCCAGGCAAAGGCCCTAATCGATGCGTCAGCTGACGTTCTAAGCATGTACCTTGACAACACACTCGCCCACACTGTGAGTGATCCTGCTGTATTCCGCAAACTGGCCGCATACTGGGAGGCGGCCTTCTTCCACGACATGAAGCGCCTGCATGTCGAGCCGCCAACGATCCTCACGCGTGTGAGTGAGTACGTGCCAGAGATTGTGCAGTTTATTGAGCGCATTCTGCAGAATGGGTTCGCTTATGTGGATGATGCATCAGCAGAAAGCAAAAATGTCTGGTTCGCGACGTCGCAGTTTGACGGGAGCGCATGTGTAGCCGGCGCTCTCGCCGAGAACCAGCCAGAGGCACGTGAACACCATTTTTATGCCAAACTGGCTCCCTGGAGCAAAGGAAATCGTGAGCTTTTGGAGGAAGGCGAGGGTGCTCTTGCTGCGAAAGGCAAACGCAATGCAGCAGACTTTGCGCTGTGGAAGAGAGCGAAGCCTGGCGAGCCGGCATGGCCTTCACCATGGGGTCCAGGGCGACCCGGCTGGCATATCGAATGCAGCGTGATGGCCTCGAAGGTTCTTGGCTCCCAGATCGACATCCACTCAGGCGGGATTGATCTCATGTTCCCCCACCACGACAATGAGCTCGCACAAAGTGAGGCATTCCACGGCTGCCCCCAGTGGATCAACTACTTTTTGCACACCGGCCATCTTCATATTGAGGGTCTGAAAATGAGTAAGAGCCTCAAGAACTTCATCAGCATCGACGAAGCCCTTGCGCGGTACACAGCGCGTCAGTTGCGTCTGGCTTTCCTCATGCATCCATGGCACGCCAAGATGGATTTCCGCGAGTCAGGCATGGCGCAGGTGCGTGCAGCCGAAACGTCGCTGAACAACTTCTTCCATGGTGTCATAGCGCTCGAGCGCGAATACCGTGCGAAAGGCCCCGCCTATAGCGATGGTCAGCACCACTATGGTCCTGACGCTCAAGCTGTGGCTTCCGCTCTCGAGGATGCGCAACTCCAATTCCGAGCCGCCATGTGCGACAACTTCGATACCCCACGTGGGATCGATATCCTACTGGACCTCGTGTCGCGTGCAAATGTGTATGAACGCGGCACGACGCGTGAAAACCTGCACGTCGGTGTGCTTGTAAATGTTGCTCAGTACGTCGCACATATTGTGCGCATGCTGGGTCTGGGTGAGGGTCCTGCACGCGATGGCGACCTGAGCTGGGGTCATGCTCCACGAGCTTCTTCGGCGACGGACACAGCGTCATCGACGTCTTTGTCCTTGGACGACAGTGCATTGGATCGGGATGAAGTCGCCGCGCCGTTCGTGCGTGTACTCTCCTCGTTCCGCGATCGAGTCCGTCAACTTGCACGCACAAATGCATCCTCATCTGAGTTTTTGAAACTCGCAGATACGATTCGTGACATGGAGCTCGTCGACTTGGGTGTGGCACTTGAGGACCAGGAGGATGGCCAGGCGCTCTTCAAATTCGTGCCGGCCGAGCAGCTGCAAGCGCAGCGTGCTGAAAAGGAGCGTGCACAGGTCGAAAAGGCTGCGCGAAAAGCCGCTGCTGCTGAGGCGGCGCGCATCAAGCGCCGTGAACAGCTGGAGCGTGGTCGTATTCCGCCGCAAGATATGTTCCGTGCTCCACACACGGACGAATACCGTGGCTGGGATGAACAAGGCATCCCCACGCAGGACCAGCAGGGTGAAGCACTCTCGAAGAAGCGGCGCAAGAACTTGGAAAAAGAATATGAGCGACAAATTAAGCTGCATGCCGAGTACATCGCTGCGAGAGAGGCGCATGAGATCGACTAGGCACCCTCTGCTGCAGGGGTTCGATCTTTCTCTGGACCAGACATCGGTGAAGCCTGTTTTTTCGAGACGCCTCGGGCCGTGTTTCTTACCGCACATAGAAGTCTTCGTTCGCGTCTTATGTGACGCATCATTTCTACGACTCTATACATTCGCATGTATGTGCTCTCATACGAACTCCTCGAGCCACAGGTCTAGGGCGATGAGGCGCAGTTTTGCGCGCACACATGGCAGGCGCCATCCAGTTGTGGCACTGTCATGCCCTTCGGTCAAAAACGGGACTGTGTGTATGTGTTTCTACGATGATCCTAAATCACTTGAAAGGGTGCAGGCGCAAGAATTGAACGGCTCGTTCGACTAGGGTGGGGGAGGGTAGGGTTACGGTGCGAAAGTTTCGACGGGACTCCTAGGATGAAAAATGATACGAAAAGAACCATCTAGCAGATCAAAGATTCATCCAATTCATCCAGACGATGTGAGAATAGGGATATGCAAAAAAGCCTCCTACAAAAAAGCATGTAACTAGCTTCCCCAGCTTGTAAAGCACAGGTCATTTGTCATCAAGACTCGTTTCTCTTGGCATCAGTACTCTCGACACCAAAGTGTGGCGCGCGGGTCGCATAGATTCAATCACCTCTCACATGCGCATAATGGAGTGGCGCCGCACAATGTGCACGTGGCAATCACTTCATTCCTTAACGAACAGATTTCTCTTACGCACCGCCCAGTGCCAGGACCGAGAGCTGACTATTCATTGACGGAAGCCGCCGTGAATATGGCGTCGAGGCACACTGCGCCGTCGGCACCGGGAGACGTGCCTTCGGGAGTACCTGCTTCTCCTCTCGAGCATCCGGCGCCTCGAAAGGGGGGTCCAGCTCCGATACCAATTCCATCGTCAACGCCACAGGACACTATAGCAGAACCCATTAGGAGTGTTTCGACGGACCTGTTGCCGGCGCCCATTGTGTCGCCAGCTGATCCACTTGCTTCGTTTCCGAAGCAAGCCGATGTTATCCCGTCGGCTAATATGGCATACATGCGAGAATCGTCCTCTTTCAAGCCAACGGCTCAACAAACACCGCCATTCGCCCATAGAGCCACGTCGACACAAGCGGCACAGCCGACCAACGCAATACCGCCCCCAAGAACATCGCAGCCAGCGCAGCCTTTCTACTCGCCACAGGCGCTACCACAATCGCCGAATCAACTGCCACAACTACCGTCGAAATCTCAATCAGCCGCTCCTTCACAGCTTCCGACGCAAGCACCTACAACATCATCTGTCACAACCCCTTCCTCAACGTCGTCATCGTCAAACCAACCAGGGGCCTCTTCATGGCCAGCAAGCTCGGGCGCTGGTAAGCGGCCAAGTACGAATCCAGCTGTATTGCCGATCCCGAATGCCAACTCGTGGCAAACACCCTCATCACCAGTCAGCGCATCGAGCGCGAACGGGTTTCCAAAATTGCCTACGACAGCTACCCAGTCATCTGTCGGGAATCCAAGCATCAATATGTCGCCTCCCCATATACCCAACTACATTGATCTTTCATCTTTATCGCCTTTCCAATACGCGCCCTCGACGTCACCACGCTTAGGAACCTCTGGTATCAAAAACCACAATTATTACTCACCAAGAGATGCACTGCGTCCTATGCTATCACCTAATGATGCCGCCATGCGATCTGTGGCAGAGAATAGTCACTCTACGGCCATGTCGCCAGCAACCTGTGCAAGCCAAGTGCAGGAGCTGCATTCACGACTGCATAGTGCTGGAATGCCAAATACGCCAATGAGTGAATCGCTCTCGGCATCTGTGATGAACCGCGCCAACACGTCGGCGAATGTATCTGAGTTTCTCTCGAATCCGGCGATCGAAAGCAGCGATGATGAAGCTGATGACGATGTTGATGATGATGGCAACATGGAAGCGGACGGCGCCGAAGAGACTCAGCTTGAATCGCCAGACCTGCCAGATGTATCACATGTGAATCGTGCTGCGCCCACGTTGGATCCGCCACGTAGCGTGCCGTTTCGCCTGCCCATTACGGCCGGTGCTCTCTTCCGCGAAACACTCGTCGTCGCGATGCAGGACAAGCTTCGTGTTCTTGTTGTGCGTCGCGGCGCATTTTTCTGCAAAGAGGTGCCTGACACAAGCACTGAGGTCATTGTGTCACAGTCCGCTGAGCACTACGCCCTGTTGGGCAGCCCGTCCAACATGTCGCCGACATCTCGCGATCTGCGAGCAACAACGCTTGCATTCTGCCCGCCTGTACAGCTGGGAAATGAGCTGGCCGTTGACGGCCGTGTCGTTTGGTATGGTACACCAGCCGGCCACATTGGCGAACTTGACACGCAGACCGGCAGAATCACCGCAGTCCGTTTGAACGTACACAAATCACCAATCTGTCACATCGCACGCATAGGCAAGGCGATGGTGTGTGTGGATGAAAGCGGCAAGATCTCGACATGGCTTCCGCGCTCGTCTCCGCTGCACCTGTTGTCCACTATGCCCGAGACTATACGCATCACGATCCCGAAGCACTCGTATCTGTCTGTGGAGGGCAACTTGCTCTGGCTTTGCAGCACGGTTGTGACGTCATCGAAAACTGCTCCGAAAACTTCTTCGCACAAGGAGCTACACGTCCGATGCTACAGCCCCATTTCCGACACGCGCTCGTTTAATGTTATGTCGAGGCCTGGGCATTGGCCTATGTATGGGCCAAATCGTTTAGGTGCTGTCACCTGCTCAGCCATGTTGCCAACGATGCCGGGGCTCGTCTACTTCGGCCATGATTCTGGTCACGTCAGCATTTGGAACGAGCAGGGGCAGCGAGTGGATCAGATGCTTGTGTCGACAGAACCTGTTGTGTCAATGGTCGGTGTGCTGAACTGCATATGGTCAGGTTTATCCAGTGGTCGCATCATTGTGCACATCCACAATACAGGTCAGGCTCGGATGGTCAAACTCTGGCATGGTCATCGTGATGCGGTGTTTTCCCTCCTTTTCAATCCGTACGGCTTGCAGACCGATGCGCCTGAGTTGATGGTATGCAGTCTGAGTGGAGACAACTATGCGACGTTCTGGGATGCGACACTCTCAAGGGAATGGATCGACGCCGATGTATGTACGAAAGCTGATCAATTTGCGTCATACACCAACATCAGGATCCTCACAACCACCTTCAACCTCGGTGCTGCCTCGCCTGATGATCTGTTTGGCATGGTCGACAACATGGACCTATTTCAGCGCATTCTCCGCTCGTCTTACGCGTCAACGATGTTGCCTGATGGCTCAACTACTCAGATGCCACCAGATGTAATCGTGTTTGCGCTGCAAGAACTCATTGACTTGGAAGACAAGCGCCTTACTGCCAAGCATCTGCTCTTGGGCAGCAACAAGTCGCGCCGCAGCGGTAGCAGTAGCGGAAACAACACGGGCGCGAGTGGCAGTAACAAAGATGTGGGCATCGATGAGCGTGAGCGGTTACCGAGCCGTTACCGAGCCTGGCTCGACAAGCTTGTTGGTTATGTGCGCCTTGTGATGCCGCCCGAGTCGCCATTTAGTGTGTTGTTGACGGAGAATTTGCTGGGCTTGTTTACGTGCATCATTGTACGCGCAGACTTGTTGCCGAGGATCCGTCTTGCGTGTAGCTATACGGTCAAGACGGGCCTAGGTGGACGCTATGGGAATAAGGGCGCATTAATCTCGCGGTTCGTCATCGACGACTCGAGTCTTTGCTTCATTAACTGCCATTTGGCTGCTGGACAGCGTAACGTGCGTCAGCGCAACATGGACTTGGCTGGAATCCTACAGTCACCATGCCCAGCGCCACCCGCGCAGTATGACCCGGCTTTTGTCTCGGGGGGCGATGGTTCGATGGTGATGGACCATGAGATCTGTCTGCTCGCCGGTGACCTGAACTACCGTCTAGACTTGAGTCGCGATGCTGCTCTCTCGCTCATTGAACAAAAACGATTCAATGATTTGATTGCTGCAGATCAGCTTCTTCTTGAGATTCGCATGAATCCCATGTCTCGCCTGCGTGACTTCCACGAGGCCCCGATTTGCTTTGCGCCTACGTACAAGTTCAATCGATTGACGAATGACTACGACTCGTCTGAAAAAGCTCGCGTCCCTGCCTACTGCGACCGGATTTTGTTTCGTTCAAACCCACCGAACATCGTCCAGTGCACATCGTACAAGCGCTGGGATGCGACAGTGTCTGACCACAGACCTGTCTCAGCCACATTTTCTGCACGGCTCAAGTCGATTGACCCCGCTGTTCGTGAGCAGGTGACTGACAAGTCAAAAACCGAGTTCCTTCAGTACCGACAACAGCTCTTGCATTCTACATACCGATACTTTCAATGTATATAAGCCCATGTCAACGCACTGTCTCTTTCTTACGTACTTTTTTTTTTCTCATGCTCGAAAGATCCTTTCTAGGATAACCCAGCGCTCAGCTGCTGACTGCGTGTGCAGTCCGTCGTGCCATGCGTCAACAATGCGCTCGGCAATGCGGCTTGCTTTCTGGGCGGGCACCGAATGCTCTTTTACTTGCTCACAGAAAAGCACAGTGCACCGCTCATCTCGTGCAAAAGCGTGCAATGGCAGCTGATCGTGCCCGGGAAGCAAGGACCACAATGCCAAGAGCACAAGATCACTCGCCGCGTTCGCCACGTAATCATCAACCGCTGCCACGACCACACGCTCTTCTTGCCGCCGCACTCGCATGTGCGATGTGAGGAATGACTCTATGGCATCATGTGCCACAACGAGAGGTTGAGGCACAACGCCGTCTGCGTGAAGCTTAGCCGATAGCCACGCGTCCAATTCACATCGGACGCTTTTGACTGCATGCTCAAGCCATGTGAGTCCTTCTGACATCACTAGCACTTGCAGGTAGCTCGCGACAAGAGTAGTCTCGCCTGTGTAAAGGCTGTGATCCATGGCTAGCTTAAGATTCGCTCGTACTTTCCGCAACGTATTGAGCTCTTCCTCATCAAGAGGCCGGTCCACAGGCATATGGTTGACGTATCGTGAGAATGCACCAACGAGGAACACACACACCCGCTGATGTCTTTCACCAAACTTATAGCGTATCCGAGTGGTGTGTGTGGGTGTGCCCGCAAGTCTTCTGCACCGCTTGATCCAAGCAGTAGATCGAATTGTGCATCACGGATCGCCATAATCTTGTCGATATCGTTTTTCTCAATCGCAGCGAACACGTCGTGCATCCCGAATGACCGAATACGTTTTGGTTGCTGTTGTCGAGTTTCCAGATTTGTTTTAGCCGGTACTTGATTCACTGATGTTTCTGCTTCCTGCCCCGTTTCTGCGCTTGTTGTATCTCTGGTCTTATCAACATTGGTCTCGTCGTGGTATCCACCACAGCGCACGCTATCTACAAGCCGTGCGAGTGCCCAAAATCCACGACGTACATCTTCCATGTCACCTGAGGATGATGGAGTATTGTAGAATGCTTCCATATAGCGGAGAGCGGCTCGCACACATTCGGGATACTCGGGGTTGGTCTCATCGTGAAAGAGCAGGGCTAAGTGGTCGTTGTTGTCACCCACCTTAGGAAACCAATCGTGTTCGACTGGTATCCAGATGCGCTCACTCACTTCTCCTAAAACACGCCTGTTCCACCGTGAGCGCATTTGCTGCACCACATTCCGAAGGTATGCCGAGGTCGTGCGGCTCGTGCGCGGCTCACTCATTTGTGCCGGTGTGGGGAAGACAAACCGCACCCCAAAACGATGTTACCTCCACTCAGTGGCTGCAAGAGAAGCAGTAGCTTGGGCACGACATCTCGCAGTCACATATCTATGATAATCGGCCTGTGGGAGGAGACCTGCTCCGCCGCCGATCGCGTGCGGCGTTGCTACTACCGTCTGGAACTCCAGGAGAACGCTGCTGTCTCTGAATATCGACTAGCAAATCACGCAGGCGCTGGTATCCGACGTGCATTTTCCCGCTAAAATGATCGGCAAGTCGGCGGTCTGAGTCCAAAATACTTAGGTATGCACCGCAGATATCGCATACTCGCAGCTTTTGATGGCCACTAGCACCACTGTTCTCTTGCAGCGTCTGGAGCTCCTTCTCTTTGTCTGCGCGCTCTGCCTTCAGTGCCTCTACTTTTTCGAGTTCCTTGAGCGACTCTTCTACGCGACCCTGCTCACCAAGCGACTCCATTTCATTGGTTGCTGCCGTGATAGCCTCTTGCACTTCGTTGATATCCCGCATCATTGCATTAAAGCGTTCCATTTCCTCAGGTGTCTGCTCGAGCCTCCGTTTATTAGAGCCGATCTTGCGGTCAATATCGCCCACAAACATGTGTATATTTCGCTGGAAGTCTGCGACAATCTGAGGAAATGTTTCACCACGCTCTACTGCTGCATCGTACATTTCTTTATAGCGTGGTAAGTGTGATTTGGGACAAGGCCCCAAGTCCATTTTCTTCGCGCCGCGTTAGCAAACCTTAGCATATTCGTCGATAAAAAACGTACCGTATTACTGAACAGATCATGTGGACAGGTTCCACACAAAAAGTTTCGACACACTTTAGGATCCGTGAAATGCACGTCTTTTTCTGCCGTGCCCATCACTGCGGAACCGTTAGCCACTCACTCGCACTTCGTCATCAAAACGTACTCTCAGGACCCATAAGGCGCTCAAGTGCTACACGCTGAACTTCAGCCTTTCGTCCCATTTTCGCGGCACGGGTGGTCGTATCTGTCTTTGTCAACTATACCCTAGGAAGCTTTTTTCTTTCCTTGATCTCAAAATGGATCCACACGCCGTGACAAAACAGCCGACACACGAGTCTGTTCGCCACACCTGCGTGTGTGTCCAAGTCTCATCAGCCCTTTCATCTCCACTGCTCAAACTTTTTCTCTATGTCGCCTCACCACATCAGCCTCGCGTTTTTACTTTTACGCGCAATGATTGGTCGTATACCCCTGCCCGTCATCATGTCGCGTAAGATTACGTGTGATTGGTCAAACTCAATGGGAGTCTCCAAACGCATTGCACTCATTTCTCGACCGCGTTCTTGTTCATGGCGCACACCGCTGCTACGTCTCTCGAGTCTACTCCAGCATGTCCGAGTATTCTTTTGTGATTCCGTTTCCCGGTGGCTCGCAAGCAGATGCTGAGAGAGGTCACGGTTTCCATGCCATTCTTCGACTTGCGCCTGCTCTAGGAAATACTGGTTTCCCAACAGATCGAACATGCCGCGGGCGTCGTCTCGCCGTTTTCACGCATGGTCTTTTGTCGCATAAGAATGGGATTTTTTTCAAGCCACTCGCTTCTTTGTTAGACATGGACTCGCTTCGTTGGGATATGTCGGGGGAGGGCAGCACGCCTGGGACGTGGCATGCTGGCCATTACGACGACGCTGCAGACGAGCTATTTCATGTGGTAAATTACATGCATCAACGCTTCGGATATGTTGTTGATCTCATGATTGGCCATTCTAAAGGATGCGCGGTTCAAGCAACATACATCTCCCGGTACTGCACACCATGGCCCATGCGTCAGCATCGGCCTCCATCGCGTATGATCTTTGTAAATGGTCGTGTATTCATGTCGCGCATACGGCGTTTGGATGCAAAATTCCAGCCCGATTTTGATAAACAGGGTTACAGCTCTTTGTCTCTCACAGTTCGTGGGCAAAAGGTTGAATTCAAATTGTACCCAGAGGACCACGAATCTCAGTGCTCTTTTCCTGCCCACGTCCACTACGCCAATCTTCCAAATCACATTCAATGTTATATTGCACACGGAACTCTAGACAATGTGGTCCCTGTCATCGATGCTGGCGAGATGGCCAACATTTTCACGGCACAACCAGGTCGTCCCGCTGGCTCTGTTCATGTCAATCTGATCGAACAGGGAGACCACAATCTCAAAGGTGACGCACTGCAGGTCTTTTTGGACGGCGTGCGCTTATGGCTTGAGCAAACGTCATCAACGCCTGCGCTTCTTGGTAACCGTATGCTTATATCAAATCCAACGAATGGCGAGCGGGGTGTCTTCATCGTGGTTGAGGGTCTCGATCGCTCGGGTAAGTCCACACAGGTTGATAGACTGGTCCAGACGCTCGGTCCGCGTGCAAGGCTTGTCAAGTTTCCGGAGCGCACTACCCCCATCGGATCCATGATTCACTCGTACCTTAAGAACCAAACTGACGCGTGTGACCAAACTGTACATCTGCTATTCTCGGCAAACCGCTGGGAATTGCTCTCATCCATCGTTCAGAGTCTTAGAGATGGTCAGCATGTCATTTGTGACCGATACATTTTCTCTGGCATGGCCTATACACATGCAAAAGGGCTCGATCTGGCCTGGTGTACAGCACCAGACGTCGGTCTGCCTGTGCCAGACTTGACACTATTCCTGGATCTCGATGAGTCCACGGCTACGAAGCGCGCGGCTTATGGCGAAGAAAGGTATGAAAGGCGCGCTTTCCAGCGTCTTGTGCGTCATGCATTCGAAAATGTCGAACAACTCATGCTCCGAAGCGGCGCGCGTTGGGAGCGACTCGATGCGAGTGGCACTCTGGATGATGTGTGGCAGGCAGTGCATGCCCAGGTGCAAGAGGTCGTATCGGCCCCACGATCAGCCTCGTTGTTTTCCTGGATTTCCGCTCTGCTGCTTTAGCGTTAGGCACGCCACTTCATACGTCTGAAAAAGCGACATTGTAAGGTCTGTTCATGGCGACATCATACATTGGTGAGTTGAGGCTTTAATGCCCGAACTGTGCTTTAAGCTGCAGGATTCCCGCTCGTTGTTCCGGTGGTAGTGCCTGGATTTGCTCCGGCGTAAGCTGAAGAACTTGATGCAAGAGCTGGCGCTGTTGCTCGTCTAACTGAGGCGCGTGTAACATGGGTGCCGGCGCCGCAACAGGGGCAGGCGCAGCGGTCGGTATCGGTGAGGGCCCCGGCGCTGGCATGAGCGGTGGTTGTGGCGATCGTGCAGCAATGGGATCAGGGTGCATGGGATGCAACGGAGGTGCCCCTAGAGCAGGGCCCATAACAGAGCCTGGAGGAACTGCTGGGAAACCACTTGCGGGACCTGTCTCGTTCACGACACGTTGCACCACAGCAGGGTCAACCACATTCATCATGAGCATAGCGTGAAATATAGCATAGGCAAGTTGGGGATGGGAAATCAAAAGGTGCCGCGCTTGCTCTGGTGCATGTGTTGTGAGTGATTTCATTTGTGTTAGAATATCCATGAGTTGATTTGGTGGTAGAGACGCAATGGTCTGTGTGATTACGTCTGTGGCAGAAACGCCAGGCGCAATGGGAACACCCTCCGGCAAAAGTGGCATCGCATTGTTATGAGCCCCTCGTCCGCGCATATCCCCACGGCGATCACTGTTGTCAATCATAGGGTCTGCGTCTGCATAATCAAGACGAAGCGGTCGTCCGCCGACTTCAACGTCGTTCAAGTTTCGCACTGCTGATGCTGCTGTCTCGGCATCTTTTGTGTTAGACTAGCGGCACAAGTGGTTGAATCACGTACCTTCAAACTCGCAAAATCCATAACCCTTAAACTTGCCTTGTTCGCGGTCACTGACGAGTCGAAAATCAACCACACGCCCTACTTCTGAAAACACTTTCACGAGCTGCTGCTCTGATATGTCATACGGGATGTTTCCGACTAAAATTCATAAGATAGATGTACTTAATTATTACTTACCGAAAACAACATGTGATCCTGCGCGCTTGGACATAGCAAGCTGGCGCGTATGCTGTGGATGGTGTTGGATATGGCCGACCTTATCGAACAACTATTGTTGTCGCCGTTTGGAGCGGCATTTCGTCCCTGATTGCCAAGCGCTCGTGTCTACATCACGTGCGTGCCCGATGCACGGCATGGGATGTGAGGTCGAGGCACTCTGGTACACACTTGCATCCGCTATCGCCATCAAATAGTGCTAGTGAGTCTACCGAAAGTGACAAGTAAGCGTGATACTTGGGAGACAAATTCGTCGCGTGTGTTGACTCGATTCAAGGATGAGCGCGACAAGTGATGAATCTCTACCGGTGGTACGCGCATAAACTGGCTCTTACCTCTTACAATCTAGTTGTTGAATTCTATTCAGACGCGCATGGTCTCGTCGCAGCGTGAGCTTAGCACTGTGCAGGCACAGATGAAGGGACGATCGCGAGAGGCCAGAGTGCAAGAATTGACCATGGAACAATTGCAAAAATTAGGTCCAGAGACTCGGCTCTACAAAGCTATCGGGAAAATGTATGACATTTCGCCTCTATGGTGTGGAATTTTTTTCGTACTAATATGCAGGTTTATGGAACAAAGTTACCAGGATATTATGAATGAGGCTCAAAAAAGACGCGATGATGCATTGGAAGAAAACAAAATGCTTGAAAAGAAGGTCACTGTGCGTATACAAACTTCACTTATGCCAGTTTTATGAAAAAGAGGCGAACGAGGCGCAGACACATCTTCAAGACCTTGTCAAGTCGCTGGAGAATGCCAATACCGTGTGAACGGGTCTATCGGCGTCGCTTAGGGCAGTGATTTTTCCCCCCTATCCCGATGTAATTTATCATAGCCCCGGCTTGTCATATCGAAGTTCGTGTCCTGTGGACAGGCGCCAAAGGACCAAACCTGCACCATTAATGTCATTCTATGAAACACATACACAAATTTGGACGTTCAGCCTAGATAGGACGGCACGATATGATCGGCTAAATCATGCAAGACGTTTTGCTCTGCATCTTCATATTCGCGGGTGGATGAGCCATTTGCGCTGATAGGCGAATAGTCTTGATTGTTGGTGAACATAGTATCGCGATTGGGCGGTGTTCGGGCGCGAGGGGCATCAGAATGAGTGGAGAGTCCATGCACCACGCCGGATGTCGAGGCTAGACTCAGCGCTGGAGGTGCTAGGCCAGAAAGCGAGTTCGAGAGCGGAATCATGTCAGAAAACGAGCCATTGTCTTGGAGTAGGAGCGAGCGTGGCAAGGACGCAGGAGCCGTCGACTCCAGCTGCGTCATCAACACGGATTCAGGCGCTTTTAAGCCGTGTTTTATGGAGTTACGAAGTGCGTCGGTCTGGATACGTTTCCACGCTTGTCTCCTTTCTTGCTGAAGCTGATCAGCAAGCAAGAGGTTGTGCTGGTGCTCGTTAGACACAAGGTCGAAGAAGGCTGGGTTGATTTCCATGAATAACTTGAGTGCATTGTATACCAGCGTATGAATTGTAGGGTTCCAATGGTTCTTAGAATTTTCATACAGACTGTTGAATACAATAGGCAGAATCACTTGAACATTGTCGCCCATCAAATTCACAACATACTCGTTATTCCAGAAGTATAATGCTCTTTCGGCGACCTGGAAATGCTGGCTTTCAATACAGCGGGCAAGCTGTTGGAATAAAGGCACTTGGATCTTCACGAAGTCGCCAGGCTCAATGACATCCAAAACTTCCTCTACCTCGTTCAGGAACATGACTTCCTTTTGCGAATTAGTCTTGGGCCAGAATCGAAGCAGGCCCATAACGACCTCTTCTGTGAGCGTGCTATCCTTCTCAATAAATTGCACGACACAGTACGCAAGTTGAGGGTGATACATAGCGAGACACTTGACTTTGTGAAGTGGCAACAGCACACGAGACAAGAACACTTTGTGTTCCTCCTTCAATGGTAATGCAAACCCATTTATGATCGAACCAAGGATCTCTAGGAGCTCTGCAATACCATTGTGTCTCTCGGTCTCGTAGATGAATTGGAAAAACACATTGTTGATCGAGCGCCGGATAAAAGCACGCAAATTTAATAACTTGCCATAGATCCGGTGAAGCGTCGTCTTGAGAAAGTCTCGCTCACGCGGGTCCTCACTGTCAAAAAGATCCAAGAGCTGTACCACAAACGAATGATCAATGTATTTTTTCGCAATACTCGTGTTCAGTTCAGTGCTCTCCACAAAGCGGAGAAAAAGTTCGTACACAAGCTGGAGATGGGGCCACGACAATTCGAGGACAGGTTCGTCTTCTTCCGGATCAAAGGCATCGCCCAAGGAACTTGATGGGGGAGGAATCGTCCGAAACAAATTGGATGCAAACATATTGACCATCTCAGGATAGACAGCTTCCGTGATCACACCTCGCTGAGTCGTAATGTATTCAAGCATGTCCTGCAAAGCCTGTGCCTTGACCTGCTTTCCCATAAGATCTGCACTCGCATCCGTGAAGTCAAACACCACACTGCTCTGCTGCAGTTTCTTTACAAAGAGTTGTGATCGTTCCGAGGGGACAACCTCGGAAAATGACGGCAAATGTTCTAGCTGCACATACTGACTCGGCTGGATTCGACTGCTCCGCTGCTTGCGCGGTGGTGACCGAGGGGCGGGAATTGTATCTCTCGGCGCCACAGTTGGGGCAACAGGCTGCCGTGTATGTGCCAAAACCATTGACGGTGTTGTACTTGCTGACCCACCCATGTAGCTCATCTTCTGTGCAGATGATGGAAGTGCCGCTGCTGGCACAGCTGCCGGCGAAGTAGATGCACCTGAAAGATCTTGGATCGAAGGCTTAGGCGTAACAGACGGTACAGGTGTGGCGACATGTGTGGGTGCACGTGGTGGTGGTACGGGCGGTGGCTGATGAAGTTGGTGCTGGAGCTGCTGCTGTGGTTGAACTTGAGAAGCGTGAGATTGGGCCTGAGGCTGTGCTTGGGGTAGCGGCAACGCCGGCGGCGGCGTTGCCGCTAGTTGTGACTGTGGCTGCACCGTCAACGACGACTGCGGTTTCAGCTGATGAGCGCTTGTTTGTTGAGCTCTTAATGGAGCTGAAGCTGGCGCATGGGTCGACGCAGGCGCCGCTGGTATGTACGGCATAGGTGTTGATGAAACCGAGAAGGACGATGTAGGTGGTGTAGACATCGCAGATGTTTTGGAGGAAGTCCTGGGAATAGTACCACCTTGCGAAGATACTGCAACATTGAGTTAGCTGCCTCAGAGCAAGTGACATACAGTTAGGCGTGCTTTGACCCTGGGAATGGGAAGTAAAAAAGCTGCGCGAAGAATGGTCTTTTGATGGCGGTGCAGGCGCTGAATACGCTGCACCGCTGCTAATTTTATTGTGAGTGTTATTGGCGGGCACGCTGACTGAAATATTAGCGTTGTTGTTGTTGTTGTTGTTGTTGTTGCCGCTGCCGCTGCTAGTTTGGTTGCTGCCATTGTTTCGTTGTTGGGTATCCGATTGACGAGTTCGTGAAAGCGTCTATGAGCGTGAGCGCGTATGCCAAAGCAACGTACCATAGCCTTTTTGAGGCCTTTCATTCTGACTCAGAATGAAAGCTTTGCGCTAGTATATACTTAAGTGATGAAATGTACAGTGAGACTCGACAACTCCCAGGCACTCCAGGAGAATCAGCTATGCCGGGCTGGATGTGACGAAGGCACGGCGTGGGTTGAAGTAGCTGATGTAATAAGGCCCGACGTCGGCAATGTAGGCTGCTTGCTGGATCAGTTGTGTAATGCACACCTCCATGCGTCGCGTCATGCATTCAAGAGGCTTGTCAGAGGGACGGAGTTATGCCTGGCCTAGTAGGTAGATGGATGAAACAGTGCGAGAAATGCGTTCGAGGAGGCACAGGGCTAAGAGAAGGGGGCATTTGGACGCATGAAGTTTTGTTGACGAAATCGGTCGTCTTGGCGTTTGGTCAATTGGGCACATTGACTGTACACGGCTACCGACTTTTCAAAAGGCCTAACCTACTGTTGTCACAACTCTCTCACTGGCTGTTGCTGCACGGAAAGGCATCAACATGGCGCTTTCTATCTTTGTTCCTATTGCGTACATTGTGACGCTGTTTGTGTCGCTTTCACTATTTTCCAAGGTGTACCGGAGACGGGCGCTCCGGGTGATGCAAAGATACCAGGCTGTGTCATCGCAAGAGGCTGAAATCCAGCCTGATCGTGCAATCTTCAAAGCATTGAGTGAAATTCAAGGCAATTATCCTAATGAGCCAGCGGACTCCGATGAGTGGATCGTACCGCGGCAGACTCTCCAAGCAGCTCTTCTCGCACGGGCTGTGGCTGTTCTCCGAAGCATGAGCTCGTTGCGTCTCGATAAACAAGCGCTTCAATCCTTGCTAGACCGTGGCTCGCTCGGAGATGATGCAGCGACCATGCTCGAAGCAAAAGAGGGAGAAGTACGGGCAGAAGCGTTTGATGTCGTACGGGAGGCGAACCGCTTTCACCCGGCTTGGGGCAAGCTCATATTTGAGACTGCCAACCATATTTCGACAAACCTTACATATCGAGATGTACTACTCAACATCCATAAGCAGCGTGAAGAAGAGGTCGCAAAAATGCGCCAGATGGGCCTTGAAGCCCCGAAGCTGAAATTTGCAGTCAAACCTGTCGTAGTGCCTGCATAAACCAGATGTTGTATGTTCATACCCAGCAGCGATTGATTTGGTTCTGTAACTTCTTCCCGTTAGATTGTTCATTCACCTACTTATGAAAATGCTTCTTTTGTGACGATGCGAAAATCATTCCGAATCCTGCTATAGTGTGCGTGTGCTGTAGAATTACATAGCGAACTGAGGCTCGATCAAGCCTGCTGGTCCTTGCAGCTTGGCGGAGCCGATGCAGACTTTTGCTGACGAAAATCGGCAATGAGAGCAGCTTGCTTTTTCTGCTGTCGGTCTTGCCATGCCATGAGCTGGCTTGTTTCATGCACTGGATACCCGAAAATACGCGGTACGACACGCTCAAACACCACATCGGTTGGAGCGCGCATCTCTGAGGACGCATCATTGGCCATGACACTTGTATCTGTTTCTTCGCCGGCAGACGTTGCATTACCCGTTCTTCGCTCCAGTGCCACTGCTCGTTGGTGCAGTACATCTGCCGACACTCCTCCATACTGTTTCTGCGCGAATGGTATGGGTGGCGGCACGACAGTGACTTTGGTCGGAATCATGTGGGGGTATACCATGAGCAACATATGTGGGAAAGACGAGCCGAAAAAGGCACCATCAATTGCGCCATGCCGCGAACTCTTCGGACGATACAAGTCTTCGCATCGTGGACAGTACAGGCGCACGGGGCTTTGGAACGGAAAGTCCGATGGACCCAAAGGAAGTAGCGGCTGCTGGTAGCATAGGACACGAGGGCAGCGTCCAAAATCTGCACGTTTGAACTTCTCAAGCTGCGCGTGTAAGGCCTTGCACATGTACTTCACACGTTGTCGGAACGTACCATCTTCGCTAGCCCACGAGTTGTGACGATAAAACGAGCATGAATCAATCCATAAAGAACTCTAGCTTGCGTCTCAATTTGTTCGCGATGTAAATCACTTATGTGTTCATCTATACTATTAGAGCGAAGCATTTGTGCGTGCCACGTACCAAGAGCATCAGTGATGAGATCGAGCGCATAAGTGTAGTGCTGCACTTCAGTATTCAATCCTGTCAAGTTGAATCGGTCCAAAATATAGTCTTCATCAATTTCACAGAAGTATTCATTCCCCTTAGTCGACAAGAACCATGCAATCCATGTGCTTGCAGCGTAGTCGGAAGAACCAGACGACAGCTCTTCCACTGATTGATGCATGTTAGCAATTTGCCCTAAGCTTTCTACTCGTTTTTTCTCTTTCTCCCTCATACACACTCTGCCCCAGTCTTTCCTTCACACCTGCTGGGTGGACGCATGCATACATACTTCTGTGGATCGTTTCTCCGTTACTTCGGTGAGGTTGCAGCGCAAATCTTACGATGCCTCGTCGTCGCAGGGCCGTTGGTGGTGAAATTCTAATGACGCATGGATGACAAAACACACGAAAGGCCTAGCAGGTCGTGTTAGTACGATGGCCCATCATCAACCGCACACGGCTGGGAACAATCGGGGGTCCCGATCTTCGCCACCAGGCATCTCAGGCTTTTCGGGACACGCACCCGACATTTACTTTCCCTGTTACACAAGGCACATTAGCAACATGCTTGCTGCGTCGTTGAGAGCACACTGTGCACGACCAAATGTTTTTCGCTCGGCTACAGTGCCGCGCATTGTGGTAAGCTCGCCAGTGCGTATGCCAGCTATCCGCCTGCCGTTGCGTATGTATGCATCAGATTCAGGTGCACAGGAAATGGCTGTGCGTGATGCGCTAAACTCGGCTATGGAAGAGGAGATGCACCGTGATCCGAAGGTCTTTTTGATGGGCGAGGAAGTTGCTCGCTATAATGGTGCATACAAAGTGACGAAGGGATTGCTTGATAAGTTTGGTGAGGACCGTGTGATCGACACACCTATTACAGAACAGGGATTCGCGGGTCTTGCCGTGGGTGCGGCGTTCGCTGGTCTGCGCCCGATCTGTGAATTTATGACATTCAACTTCGCCATGCAGGCAATTGATCAGATCATCAACTCGGCCGGTAAGACGCATTACATGTCTGCTGGCTTGGTAGCGGCTCCTGTGGTGTTCCGTGGTCCGAACGGTGCAGCTGCTGGCGTTGCTGCACAGCACTCGCAGGACTACACAGCTTGGTATGGCCAGGTGCCCGGGCTCAAGGTTGTGAGTCCCTACAGCTCCGAGGATGCGCGCGGTCTGTTGAAAGCTGCGATCCGCGATCCGAATCCGGTCGTTGTATTGGAAAATGAGATTCTGTATGGTCATTCTTTCCCTGTGTCGCAAGAGGCTCTCTCAGAAGACTTTGTCATTCCAATCGGCAAGGCAAAAATTGAGCGCTCCGGTAAGGATGTCACAATTGTGTCACACAGCATTGGTGTGGACCACGGCTTGCGGGCTGCCGACATGCTGGCCAAGGAGGGCATTGAGGCCGAAGTGATCAATCTCCGTTCAATTCGTCCACTTGACATTGAATCGGTGATTGAGAGTGTGAAAAAGACGAACCGTCTTGTGACCGTCGAAGGTGGCTTCCCTGCGTTCGGTCTTGGAAGCGAAATCTGTGCACAGATCATGGAGTCAGAGGCCTTTGATTACTTGGATGCGCCCGTTGAGCGTGTCACAGGTGCTGATATCCCTACTCCATATGCCGAGAACCTCGAGACACTCTCGTTCCCCACGCCTGAAATTGTCGCTCGCGTCGCCCGGCGTGCTTTGTACCGCGTGTAAACGAACATGTTCCGACATGAAGAACGTAGGCAACGATAGGATCAAGTCCCCTCTGATTGCACAAGTGCGCGCGGCCGCCTGTCTATGTGTTAGATAGGAGTACGGGTTCTCGCAAATAAACTACTTCCCCTACATGACTGATGATTAGTTTGCCGAGGAGCTGATGAAGAACCACTTGTCAATGCTTGGGTCGATCGGGGCCGGAGGCTGCGGCGAGGCGGCGGGGATCGACGTGACAACAGCATCCTTAGGAGCCACAAGCGACTTGCTGCCTTGCACAGTCGAGTTTTCAAGCTTGATTTCGCCAGCGTTAGCCTGACCCGTGATGAGACGGCGCCAGGCTTCGTGGCATTCGTGCACGACCTCGGTGGCGTAGCTGCGGTTCTTGGCCTCGCCCGAGAAAGCAAACTGGTTCTCCGGCTTGCCATCAGGAATCTTGTAGATGCGGAACCACTCGTTTGTAGCACGAATGAGCCCAGGCAAGTGCTTCTCAACATCTTCGATGTCGTTGAGCTTCGAGGCGATTGGGTCGTTGACATCGATTACAATCACCTTCCAGTCCGTTTCACCCTCGTCAAGCAGAGCCATCACGCCCAGAATCTTGACTTGCTTGATCTGGCCAGTATAGCCAACCTGCTCGCCAATTTCGACCACATCCAGAGGGTCATTGTCGCCGTTCGCTTTGGTGTCAGGGTGCGAGAACGACGGGTCCTCCCAGGTCTGAGGGAAAGCACCGTAGTTCCAGATGTAGCCCTTGTGAGGGAACGAGTTACGAACGTAACGCAACTTGCCCTTCTTTGTGTCCTGCTTGAACGGGTTGAACGAGTCCTCCTTGCTGATCTCGACCTTAGCGTTTGTCCAGCGAGGGATTTCCACAATGAAGTTCAAGATTCCGTTCGCCTCGTCAGCGTACAAGGGAACATCGTGGAATGGCGACAGGGGCTGGCCAGTCGACTTCGACTCAAGGTACACACGGTAGTCCAGCGTGTTGGGAGCACCAATCACACGGGTCTGGATGTCTTGTGCAGTCGTCATGATTGTTCGGGACTGAGTCAGAATGGAGGCTGCTTGTCCGAGTCGACGGAGTGCAGAAAAAGATGCCATGTATCGGTACGTTGGGACCGCTCTTCCAGCTGACTGGCGCGCTTAGGGCCCGAGCGCGGTGTGGCACGTGGTTTTTTGCCAGCATAGCAGGAATCGCGCCGATCGCATGATCAATCAGGGCGGGGTGGTAAAATCATGCGCGTTTGGGCAGATGAATGACGAATTGCTTACATGATAAGGGCGCGGCCGAGACGTTTCACGAAGCCGGTGCCGCACGTAAATTCATGAGTTCTCATAGGCTAGGAGGTGCCGGTATAGCGTAGTGGAGTACGTGGCAGTTTAGAGCGGGTGAGCTGCCCCGCTTGCCGTTGTAGCTTGTATCCACCATGCCGTTGATGGGGGACTTTGATGCCGTGCGCAAAGACATTGCTTCGATTTTGAAGCGCAAAGGATACGACGATGGATCCATTGGACCGGTTCTTGTGCGTCTTGCTTGGCATGCCAGTGGCACGTACAGCAAGGAAGACGAGACGGGTGGCTCGAACGGAGCTGGTATGCGTTACGAAGAAGAGGGTGGTGACCCCGCGAATGCCGGTCTTGAAAATGCTCGCGCGTTCCTTGAGCCGATCAAGGAAAAACATCCTTGGATCACTTATGCGGACCTATGGACCCTTGCTGGTGTTGTGGCTTTGAAGGAAATGGGTGGTCCAGACGTTGAATGGAAGCCTGGCCGTACGGACTTTGTCAACACAAAATACCTGCCACCGCGTGGCCGTCTGCCTGATGGTGCACAGGGCCAAGATCATCTGCGGAACATTTTCTACCGAATGGGTTTCAATGACCAGGAGATCGTCGCTTTGTCTGGTGCACACAACCTGGGTCGCTGCCACAGAAATCGCTCCGGCTTCGATGGTCCATGGGTCGTGAATCCTACGCGTTTCGCCAACACGTACTTTAAAATGCTCCTAAATCTAAAGTGGGAGCCGCGCAAGTGGGATGGCCCATTCCAATATGCTGCCTACGCCCCAGGAATGGACGAGGATGATGAGCCGCTTATGATGCTTCCGACAGACTACTCGCTGATCCAGGACGACAAATTCCGTCCATGGGTCGAGAAATATGCAGCTGACAAGGATCTGTTCTTTGCTGACTTTGCCAAGGTGTTCGCTAAGCTTATTGAGCTTGGTGTTTACCGTGACGAAGACGGTATCGCTCGCTGCGACAAGCGTGATGCTAAGGGCTCTTACATTGCTGCTCCCAAGAAGAGCAACTCTACCGGTGCAAAGCCCAACCTGTAGTTTATTGTTTGCAGTTGTCCCAGATAAAATAAATGAATTACTATCTTGTTAGATACTTGTGCAGCGGAGACACAAGTTTCGAAGGAAGACCTCTTAGAGTGTCGCTTCTCATGCAGCGGTGGCGCCGTGATACCTGTTTGTTGAGGATCAACAATGCCAATGGGCTAACGTTGGATATAGCCTTGGAGCAGAAATCTGTCACACTGTTATTCCTTGGAGTGATGTTAGCCGAGCGGGGGAAGAGACTAGCCGTGGCATTAGGCCATAAGCTCTCGCTACTCATTTGCACACGTAGTATGTGGAGGGAAGTGCATGCAACTATGCGTGTGGAGCGCGTCTGGCGCCAAGCACGGTGTGTGTATGGGTAGATGTTGGAATGAAGGAAATAAACAACAGGACTGCGCGTGGCCTGACTAGGCGAAGCGAGTGTTGTTTTGGAGGAGTTTCTTAGACATCAACACCTACTAGCTATCTGGCTATACCTTTTCGAGCACAAATAAAACAGTCTGTCTTTCTTCAGGTCCGTTTGAACTTCTTTTTTCCACTCGTGTGGCGTCATCAAACATGAACGGTCTTGGAATTGACTTCGGTGCTTCGGAGGAGTCAGCCGTGCCCATAGGACTTCGAGGCTCACTAGTTCCGCCTCAACGGAATTTGCCCCCGAAATCATCTCGCCGTCGGGCATTTGTACGCCATAAACCAAGCCGCGACAGACTCGGTGGAAAATCTGGCACTCAGTCTACGATGTCATCGTCTATGTCAACAACGACTCATTTGCCCAGCATGCCTCTAAGAGAGAATCGTTCCATCGCTAACAAAAGTATCAACTCACCAACAATGTACGTGATGAAGCACCCTCTTCCTGCAAAACCTACCGTTCCATGGTCGTATCTCGATGATGTGCAGCCAGTTAGTGCTACCAGGCGTGAAGACACTCCTAGCGACACTTCGACGCCCGCAGTTTCCCAACCTAGCACAGAAGATTCTGCAACAGCGCATCCAAGTACTCATGCACTTCCACTTATACCACCGGCTCCATTGGCATCGATGTCACCGGCGACACTAGCCGTGCCTACGACATCTACACAGCCCGTCATTCATCACCTTCCTAATAAGCCGGCTGTGCCCATATATCCTGTTGAGCGTGATGAGCGTGTCGGGATCGAAGTATTCATGGATAATGATCTTGTGGTTGAAGGCGGCTCACTGCATGGATGCCTTCGCTTAAACGTACCGAATCACACGGATCCATCCAGTGCTATGTTGATGGCACAACCACGTGTGCGACTTATTGGATACGAGTGCCTACCTGGCGAAGACATACGCCACATCTTTTACCGCCATATGACCCTTATAGATGGCGATCGCAGCTTGGATGGTCCCACAGAGCCTTATATGCTGCACGGCTCAAGTGCTCTCTCACAGTCCGAGGGTGGCGAAGAAAGCATCCTCCCATGTTTTGCATCGCTGCCTGATACGGAGGGCTACTACCTTGGTCAGGGTGGTGTTCATGTGATTCCATTCTCCATGTCCCTTCCCATGGGGAAGGGAGCGAAAGGCGGCTACCACAGTGACGGTTGTGAGGTTGGGTACATTCTGATCGCGTCTGTGCGCGTGAAAGCATTCGGCGAACAGCACAGTGGTGTTGCTCTCTGCTTCCAAAAGATGGAAGTTCATCCTTACCTGAATCCCACTGCAGAACTGGCAAGTGCACCACGTCCAATCATTTCACATGCATCTACACCAGAAGCGGAGGTGCGGAACATACGTTTGGCTGCAGCTTTGCACCGGGAGACCTGGGTTGCCGGCCAACGTGTGTATTTTGAGGTCAGTATCCTGAATGGCGGCACAGACTTGCTTAATGTTCTCCGCATCGCTTTGGTGCGCACGGAGACTCTGTACAAGGCACATGATCATATACCCGGCTCGAAAGACATTTTGTCGCATTCAAGCACTATCCTCTTGGACGAGACGTTGGCAGCGAATCAGTTGGGTCATTGGTGGAGCGGTGCACCGCCTGGAAGACCTGTACATTTTCCGCATTCATTGCAGCTTCCATCAGACCTCGTCACGGTCGATCCAGGACGTCATGTGAGTGTGCAGTACGCACTCCGTGTAGGTGTAGGAGCTGATACGTCTACATTGGTTGAGGTTGACCTACCTGTGCGCATTATCCAGTATGTGTCAATTGATCCACCACCACCTCGGCGGACATGGATGGGCGGCACCGGCTTACTAGGTCTTGCTCTTGGAAATAATTCGGATCCTCACAATATGGTTGAAAGACTGCAATCGCTCGATTTAATGCGCAGTCCAATGCCTGTCTCTGCATCTGATCGTCTTTCACCACATTCAAGTGGGACTAGTTCTACACGAGGCAGTCGCACGGCGCAACACAAGCGCTCTCTTGACTTCATCAACAGTGCAATCCGCAGTGCAACAGCACGCCATACATCGCCCTATGCTGCAAATGAGGCATCGCCTGCGGGTCTTGGAATTGAGCTTCTATCACAACAAGACTCGTCTGACTCGCGTGCTTTAACGCCCATGCAGAATAGTTGTGAACGCATTTCATTTGGTCCATCGTTGCCTGTGGTTGAAGTCAATTCGGCAATATCAGCGCCAGAGGCAGATATCTCTCTCCCACTTGGTGATGAGACCGTCGATGATGTCGAGCTGTTTTTTGGTTCAGATGAGAAAAAAACTTCTGCCGATGACAGCAATTCAGCACAACGGCCGTGCCTAGGCGCCTCGGACGCACACACTCGCTCCGATATGGAACTGGAGCCAAGCTCCTCATTGTCACAGCTTGATGTGGCAACATACACGACACCGTCCACACCCAAGCGTGAGCGCATCATTACTGGTCCTGCCAGTGTCCCACGCACTCTGCATCCCAAGTCCTCGTTCACGTTTGCGACTAACACGTCACCGCTAAAAGTGCGCCGCTCTAATACTGTTTTGCGAGAATGACGTTCTTGAGTTATCTATGTGCTGTAGAGTAAATTTGCGTGTATAGGATGTTTGGTTGTTGAATAATCGATGATGTTTCTTTTTAGGAATGTGATTCTCTCAAACACTGGCATTAGAAACATAATGCGCTCTATTATTTGTGATGAAAATGCGTTGGAAGGTGTTTCGACGGACCAGCATGTCGATTTCAAGGTGGATCGAGAAACGCAAACATAGTGTGAGCATGTGTGATAGTACGACTATATGAGATGCATGCCGTCATGTAATAGATTTCCCTGCTTTTGTTCCCCACGCAACGTGACATGTTTGATAACCATGTATTCCTCTATCGACACGAATCTATCAGGGTTCAATCAGAGGGGCTGTGTCTTGTTCAACTGTTGCGCATGAATCTAAGTGGCCACTTTCACAACAAATCTAGCCTATTGCATCGTAGGAAAACATTAAAGTTAAAGCGGATTGTGCACTTCATTTGTTTTCGCAAACCAAATCGTGCCGCTTTTGTCGCACCTATAAGATTAGTAAAGTAAGAGTCGTCGTTCAGCCCCGGCCATACGAATTCTTTCTCTCGCCTAATTGACCTTCGTTGCCTCGATTGCCGTTTCAGCTCATCACGATCTTTCTCGACTTGTAGTCCCTGCGCGGGTGTAACCGCAGCGATGAATATCCCGTCGCAAAACTTCTCAGTGGGGTCTGTCAGGCATCTCTCATTTTCGTCTGACGAATGGTCACAGGCACCGGTTCATGCTGATGCTCCTAGACCACAACTACCCATCGCCAAGTCGAGTGACCTCAATGCATTGCATTTAGACTCATCTGCAAATGAACAACAAAAATTTTTGGACTTTCATTCTATGTCATCGCGAAGTGCTGCAGGGCTTCACCTCTCCGCGCTAGCGCCTCCAGGTCCTACTGATCATTTGCCGATCGGACTTGGTTTGAGTCCTTCATCGACCAGTGCGAATAGCGAGCAGAATTGCCGATCTTCTCCCATCCAGCCAACTACAGTTCCTACACCCTCTTTGGAAACATCGGTCAATCCGTTTTCGGCGGTCGACTTGGCTCACGCTTCAGCACATCCGCCCGTTACTCCGGGGGGGCACAACATGCCTTTGTCCATGGCTTCGTCTACGACTATATCGAAGGATCCGCAAGAGCACGTAGGATACGTCTCACCGAAACATATGCAACGCTCTAAGCAACTGCTTCCTGATATTGGCGCGTCCATCGACGAACTAGCATCCGCAGCGGCTGATGCGCGCGTTCATTTTCACGGTGGTCGCTTTGATACATGCAACGAGAAAATCGACTCTATCAAGCAGCTGATCAAGCGCATCGCTGAGATGGGCATGATTGGCTTGACGCTGTCGACAGAGACGCAGCACATGAGGCGCCATAGCACATCAGCGCTGCCATACGGCTCCCTGATGTCGCCTGATGAAGAAAAGCAAATTGGCTCTGCGGCGACGTTTTCTGCGCTTGCAGATGATGTCGAGTCCAGGAAGCGTCGCCTCAATGGTGAGCTGCACCAAGAGCATCCTTTCAAGTCTCAACGCGGCGCTCAGTCGAATGCACCGTCAACGCGCTCCCGCTCGCGTTCAGACTTGTCCGACTTCTCGAAGGCGATCTCAAGCACGGAGCCACATTTTAACGCTGGTGCTGTATTTTCACCAAAGCTACATTCAAACGTTTTTGATTTCAATGTCCCTCAACCGGCTAGTCTTTCTCAGCGTCAACAACCTGTGCATCCCCAGACCGCGTTCTCAGACCACACGAATGCACCCCACGATGTTCAAGGTGTGCCGTCGACGACGTCAAACCCATCGAGTATTCTCCACTCACAATTAATGCCTTCAAGTCCTCAGAACAATGTAACGAATGCCAGTAGCACATCCGTGCACGGCACTAGGCCGTTAAATTTTGCTGCCACGGCAAGTACAGCGACATCGTCTGGAAATGAGAACTCGATGCATCATGTTACATCTACCCCACAAGCTATGGACATGACGCTCAAGAGCGGATCTCACAATGCATGGACTCCATCAGATTCAATCGGCGAGCTCAAACCATCATTGCACTTGGAATCGTTACCTATGCCGAACATGGCGGATTCTTCACTGGAACCAACAACGCCTGGGTTAAAGGAGGCCCCTCTGCAACACGATGACGCAAATGAAGCGCTCAACGACCGTTCTAACCTGGGTGGGCCTGAGCTTTCAGCCGAACTTCGTTCCGTGTACGAGGAAACGTTCCACGAATTTTTAACGTCGCTCTGCTCAAATCTAGAAGCGAAGGACGAACGTGGCGAACTGATTCACCAGACACTTATGCCTAAGAAGATGGCTCGTTTGGATGAGTCGCCTGATTTCCGGCCTTTCAAGTTTCGTATTCAGGCATTCACCAACGCATTCCAGTCGGAGCTTCAGCGCCGTGGCTTGTCTGAAGATGACTTGTCTATGCGCAAAATTAAACTCTTCCTTTGGACACATCCATTTATTTCGCGTTTCAATGAGGATGGCAAAAAAGCGAAGTCGAAAGGCAATCACATTTGGATTATTGAAGCCCGACGCTTACCTGCTGGGCGTTGGGAGTTTTTCACGTTCTCGCCGAAGATTGCGGCTGCGCCAAGTAATGTGGCATACGTGAATGAGCCGTGGACATGGAATCTACGCATCTGGGATCCGCAGATGTCCAGTGGAAGCGTCAATGTAGCGTTTTCAGCGAATGCGATGCCATCTTGGCTGCACTGGGAAGACGAAGACAAAGTCATGACTGGCGTCCCACATCATTCCTCGCAAGGTGGATATGTGAATGTGTCAGCGGTTTGCATGCATCTAGGCGAGCTCCATCATCTGGAACATTCCTTTTACTTACATGTGGCTGATCGATCTGACCCAAGCCGGCTTGAACCACCGACGTCACAAACAGGGGGGGTTCCTGATGAACAAACAGCGCCAGCTTCTTTGACGGACCTATTTTCCCCACCAGTTTCAACAACGCCGCAGGGCGCGGCAGTACAGCCACCGAAAAATGATGCATTGTTGCCACAAGGAGTATCAGTGCCAATGTCGATCCCGATGCCATCGGCAGCACAGGGTCACGGGCAAGGGCAAGCGCAGCAAGGTGCGGGACCAACGCCAGGCCAAGGATCAACGACGGCCCCGGGATCAGCGTCTATGCCGCCAGGACTAGGGTCTGGGCTCGGCCACATCCAAATGCCAGCGCCGACACACGATCAAGCTAATACACATGTTTCAACGCCAGTCCACACACATCCTCCACCACTGACGACCGAGGGCACAAGAGAGACGACCGTGCCAATGACTGGACATGTTCAGGCATTGTCACAGCCACAGGCACATGCGCAACTCCAGATGCAGTCCCCGACCCAGGCAGTGACGCAACCTGCAGCGCAGTCGCCGTCGCAACTGCCGTCATCGATGTCGTCCCGACATGGCGCTTCTGTGCAAGACTCACAAAAGTACGACATGTTTGACCCGTCACGACCGTCACACGAATTGCTTCCGTCAATGCCATTTCCATTCACTCCACCGATCTTTATGGATAAGCATGTGGGCCCGACCGGGGCCTCCGGTATGGACCCCAACGCGTTGCAATCGAGTCATCCACCAGACTCGTCTCACAATGAAACACTCTTTACTGCTTCTTCGAATCCTACATCTGCTGTATTCATGGATAAGACACCAGTTGCAAATGCTCCGGTACACACACCAGTCTTGCATAGCACATCGCCTGTGTCGACTCTCTCCTCAACAGTACACACACCTGCACTGGGAGGCAGCTTTTCGCCTCAAGGACCAGAGCATGACACACGTCCGATGATGCAGATGTGGAATCATATCGATCAACGACAACGTGAACAAGCATCGTCTTTCATGTTACTTATGCCTCAGCGACCCCAATCATTCACACTAAACGAACATCCAGGTCAGGGCACACCTATTAGCAACATGCCGAATGATATGAATGCCACACTACCATCAGTAAATCAACATCACCTTGCCTCTTGATCGGCTGGTACATTCACTTTCCCTTCAAACTGACGCCATCCTCCATTTGTCATCTATGTTCTTTTCCTTTGTATCATTTCATTCCATTTCATCTTTGCTCACAAGTTTTTTTTTTTTTTTTTTTCTGATTATACGCTGGGATCTTATGACGACACTATCTTCATGGTCCTTCATTCGTGCATTGTGCAAAGTCTTCGAAAGAGGAACATGTAAAGGTTTATTTAAACTATTTCTTTTTGGGTTCCGTAGGGTTTTGACATGTATAAAGGATATTTATGTTTCACCGACAGGTAGAGATACACATTGTGATAGCGCCTCTTTACTCGTGCTTTTTGCCTCTCGGCAGGGAATGACGTGCCCACCACTTACAAACCTCGTCAATCACAAGGACGGGAGCAGAAAATGCCAACACACCCACCCATTCGCTCCAGCCCAGTGGCACAATGGAAAATATATGTTGCAATGATGGCACATACAGAATTAGCATGTGAAAAGCCATGGACAAGACAATCGCACCAACGAGCCATGGATTCTTGAATGGTGGGTGCAGTAACAGGCTGTCGACATCGGAGAGTGCGTTCAAGGCATTCAGCATTTCAATCGTGACAAGAATACTGAGACTCACAGTCGATGCATGCTGAGACTCCTTGCCGGTAAACATACCGCAATCAATCTCGCTGAAATTGCGCGTGCATTGGTGGAAGTGCGTCAATTGGTAGATGGTGATATGAGGACCGCCACTGTACGAGACAAACCACCATGCATAACCCAGCACCGTTGCTACACCGACGTACAAGCCAATGGCAAAGTAGCGTACTAGCATCCATTGGGAAACAAGAGAGTCGCTTCGTTTGCGCGGCGGCATACGCATGACTGCGCCATCCGGAGGGTTGAAGCCGAGAGCTGTCGCTGGAAGGCCGTCTGTAACAAGATTCACCCACAAAAGCTGCACAGGAATAAGTGCCTCAGGCATGCCCAGCATAACAGTGAGAAAAATACTCACGACCTCGCCGATATTTGACGAGATCAGGTACCGGATGAAAGACGACGTGTTGTTGAAGATGCTGCGTCCCTGCTCAATAGCAGAGACAATCGTCGCAAAGTTGTCATCAGCCAGCACCATATCAGCTGCAAGCTTCGCGACATCGGTGCCTGTGCCCATAGCGACGCCGATGTCGGCACGCTTCAGCGCTGGAGCATCGTTTACGCCATCGCCTGTCATGGCCACGACCTCATTGTTTTTCTGGAGCAGGTCGACTAGCTGGCTCTTGTGCGACGGCTCAGTGCGTGAAAGAATAACGACATTGCTTGCGACGCTCGCCTTTTTCTCAGGGGACATTGTATCAAACTCACGACCAGTGAACGATCGGCCCTGCACATCTTCGTCAGGACCAAACAGGCCAATTTGGCGGCCAATAGCCTCGGCTGTCCGCTGGTTGTCGCCGGTGATCATCACGACCCGCACACCCGCCTCCATGCACGAGCGAATCGCTTGTACTACCTCAGGTCGCGGTGGATCGCGCATACCCACGAGTCCAACCAGCGACAGATTCTGTTCATACTGGCCATACATCGACGCATCCAATGGCAGTAGTGGATCTGGCAGCGCCATACCATCGCGCACAGCTATCGCGAGCACACGCAAGCCTGCATTCGCATAGGTATTAATCTTTTCGTGCAGCGCAGCACGCATGTCGTCCGTCAGGGGCCGTTGCTCACTGTCATTCAAGAACACATGTGATGAGCGCAACAACACCGATTCGGCCGCTCCCTTCACAAGCAGACGGGCATCATGCTCTGTTCGGCGCACAAAGGTCGACATCATTTTACGGTCGCGAGTAAAGTCCATCGTTGAAAGGCGCGGAAGCGAACTCGTGTACATCTCGCACACCGCCCCTGCACGGAGGGCCGGTAAGAGATCTGGCAAGTGCGCTTGCTGAATCGCATCGTGGAAGCCGATTTTTTCTACAAGTACCTGGAGTGCCGCCTCTGTTGCCTGGCCTAGAGCCTTGTGCCGTCCATGCGCATCGACAATGACCTTGGCATCGTTGCACACGGCACACGTCTGTGCAAGTGCATGAATCGCACTACCAGGCTGATTCAGGCTCGTCATCGTCCGGCCATTGCGCAAAATGGCACCGTCCGGCGCAAAACTCGTACCGGTGACCTCATAGTCGGCTGCTTCACCCACCAGATACATATTCGCAACACTCATTTCATTCGTAGTGAGCGTACCGGTTTTATCCGAACATATCACGCTTGTCGAGCCAAGCGTCTCAACACTGGGCAGGTGCCTTACAATGGCATTTTTGCGCGCCATTTTTTGCGTGCCTAGAGCCAGACAAGCCGTGATGACAGCGGCTAGACCCTCGGGAATCGCAGCCACAGCAAGCGCCACAGCAATCTTGAAGTAGTACATCGCACCACGCATCCAGCCGTGGTGTGCAGGATCGCTAAAGTGCCGGATATTCACCACCCACACTAGTACACAAATGATCATAATGGCCTTCGCCAATAAGTCACCAAACTCGTCAAGTCGCTCCTGGAGCGGCGTCTTCATGTCCTCGTGTTGCTCGATTTCAGCATGGATATCACCAATCGCCGTGTGCTCACCTGTGAGACACACAAGTGCCACACATGAGCCGCTCACAACAGAAGTACCGCAAAACAACATATTTGTCATATCTTGTTTAACAGCCTTTTCGTCACTCACAACCGCAGCGGTCTTGTACACGCCCTCTGACTCGCCGGTCAGGATGGCTTGATCCACTTGCAATGTAGAAGAACGCAGCTGAATCACGCGACTGTCTGCTGGCACACGATCACCTGCCGCTAAGATCACTATGTCGCCAGGGACCACGTCGCGAGCCACCACGCGACATGTTTTGCCATCGCGCAGGACAATGGTTTCTTCCGGAGAGTACGCCCGCAAAGCCTGGATCGACTGATCTGCATTACGCTCTTGCAAAACACCAACTGTCGCATTCGCAATAAGAATAAGAAATATGACACTGGGCTCCACAAGCGCGTTCATAAGACTGCCCTCATTCTCGACGAGCGCTAGCACGAGCGATACTAGCGCAGACACCAGCAGGATAATCACGAGCTGATCCTGGAATTGCTCCAGCACAAGGCGCCACAGTGGCGTAGGATCTTCTTCTTTCAGTTCTGTGGGCCGTCAGCGATCGCCGTTCCAGGCTATTCCTTGAAGCCAATACATACCATTGGGGCCGTACTTTGCGAGTTCCGCCTTGGCCCTCTCAGCCGACAGACCTTGACTTGGCGAGACCCCAAAGTGCCGAAGTGCCTCTTCGGCAGACAAATTCCACCCGCGTTCCATGTCACAGAGCGAAAGCTTCAGACGTCGTGAGGAGGGGGAGGCTGTGTGTGTATGGGTGTGTGCCGCCTTGTGCCTGCACCACTGCTGCGCCACGCTTCTTGGATGCACCTTGCATACTGAGCGCGGGGATACACGTGGAAGACTGGGTCACGTGCATATTGTCATCCTGTCATCTGAACGACGCCATCGCCAGCATCGACATTACCCCCTGCGTGAGTCAAATAGACAAGTACCTGGCTTTCGCGGTCGAACTAACAGCACTGGTTTCTAGTCACTACCACTAGTCGCGCACGACTGTTAGATAGACGTGTAATGTCTTTTTTAGGTGCTTTTCGGCCTAGTGCTTCGGCATTTAGTGGCCTACTATGGTACGTGTCCGTGACATTACTGACGTGTACAGGAAAAACCCTTGGCGCATGTCCGCTACACGAAAAGCACGTGTGCGTCAACGCTTGCGTGATGTTGATACAGTCATTGATACGATTCGGACTAGTGGTGTCCAGTGCCGCGCACTGGAGTGTGCCAAGCAACTTCCTACTGAGAGTGAAATGCATCCTCGCGATAAATATATGGTGTTCTCACCTCACGGTGCCAACTTCCGCAAGAGTGTTCACAAGGTGCCGAAGTTCACGCGCAAGACACTGCGTGTGAATCCCCGTGGATTCTAAGTGCCTTAGACAAAGTGCGATATGGACAAGCAAAAGAATGCTACAAGCACAGCCATTGCGTGCCGCTTTGCTCTGGCTGCATATACCACTGCCATTCACATACACGCGAAAGCCCTGGGGCCCGTTCCACACCTGCATCGGGCTGCGCCGACTTGCTATGGTGTTGAATTTTAATTTTGGTATTTAAAAGAACACACGAAACTGATCTGCAATGTTACGACCCATAGCGGCTGTCATTTCATCACATGTAGGCAAACTTTCTGACTACCATCAGAATGCTATGTAGTACGTATTTAGAGCTGGTTCGAGGACTTGAGGTCGTCGAAAGCAATCTGGCAGCGCTTGGACATCGTCTTTTCACCCTCACGCACCCAGACACGTGGGTCGTACTGCTTCTTGTTCGGCTTGTCAGCACCCTCGGGGTTGCCAACTTGCGACATAAGGTAGTCCTTCTTGTTCAGGATAAAGTCACGGATACCCTCAAGGTAGGCGTACTGCGTGTCGGTGTCAACGTTCATCTTCACAACACCATTGACGACGGCCGTCGCAATCTCTTGCTTCTCAGATCCGGAGCCACCGTGGAACACAAGGAACACTGGGTTCTGCTTGTCTGACTTGAGCTGGTCGCGCACATAGTCCTGGTGCATCTTGAGAAGCTCAGGATGGAGCTTGACATTGCCTGGCTTGTACACACCGTGCACGTTGCCGAAGGCAGCAGCAATGCTAAAGTTTGGCGTGATCTCACTGAACGCCTTGTAAATGTCCCAAATGTCCTCCGGCTGCGTGTAAAGGGCCGAGTTGTGGACGTGCTCGTTGTTCACGCCATCTTCTTCACCACCAGTGATACCAATCTCCATCTCAAGCCAGCAGCCAATCTTGGCCATGCGCTTCAGGTACTCGACACAGGTCTTAATGTTCTCCTCCTTTGGCTCCTCCGACAAGTCCAGCATGTGCGAACTGAACAGGGGCTCTCCATTCTTCTGGTACCATTCCTCATCAGCAGCAAGCATACCATCGAACCATGGCAGCAGTTTCTTGGCGCAATGGTCCGAGTGCAGAATCACTGGCACGCCGTAGCTCTTAGCAACCGAGCGCACGTAGTGGGCAGCGGCAACTGCACCAGTGACCGAAGCCTGCTGCTGGTCATTTGGCAGACCCTTGCCCGCAAAGTAGGCGGCACCGCCCTGCGAGAGCTGCAGAATCACAGGCGCCTTGGCGTCACGAGCTGCCTCCAAGGCGGCGTTGGCGACCGATGAAGTCGTAACGTTGAAGGCCGGGATGGCAAAGTGGTGCTCACGGGCGTAGTCGAACACCTTGTACACATCCTTGCCTGAAACAACACCAGCTGGAACAATATCAAGAATACCCATGTTGAACAATGAACGTGGTCGGACGGAACCAAGTTGAGCCTAATTCCCCCTTGACATTCGGTCCACGGTCCACCGAACGTGCGCCTGCGTGCACATGACGGCTCACATTCCGAGCCACGTGCTCTGCCAGCACACGAACAGCCTTCACTCGTGCACAGATCAACTGCTATTGGTGGGTTGCCTATTCCTTATTGGTCAAAACTATGTCATCAATGAGGGTTACTCAGGCGATCGGCTAAAATCCCTTAGCATATTGGCCTTGTCTATGTCATGGTTAGTCGAACAATGGGCTGTCTTCTTTGCCAAACACATTCCCCGGCTTCGTAGGAGCGCAGGAATAGGGTTGTCTTACGTACTCATAGAACTGGTGCATATTCTGCACAATTTTTTCCAAAGCGACAAGCCATTCCGTCAAAGGCGTACGCACCACGTCCTCTGATGGACCGAGCTTGGCGTAAAAGTCTTTGCGGTACGGGCACGCCTTCATTGCAAGCTTCATGCGTTAGTTTGCCAGTATGGAAAGAAATGGATCGTCCATGATTCTGCACATACAGAAAAGACAGGTCTCACAAGAATGCTGTGGTACTTCCGAAGTGTGTTCTCATACGCTTTCGTGAAGCTTGTGCTGAGCTCTTCGCTTGGATTTTCAAGTGACAGCCGCAAGGCTCGCGCAGTGAACTCCAAGCCACTGGAGTAATGAAAGTGGTAAGTGCGACAAAAATAAGCAAACATACCGAAGAAGCCATAATAGGCCTTCTGTCGCTGTACGCTTTTTGTCTCCAGGAAGTCCCTCGTTCTTCACAAGCAGCTGAAGCGTGCCTGACAAGTCAGGACCTGTGCTCAACAATCTATCGCGAATTTTCTGAGCACGTGTCAGAACGAGCTGTTCATGTGTGTCACAATGTAACACACCTTAATGTTTCCGTTCATATCATTTTGAACAACAGCGAATGCACTGCTGCCAAGCAAGTCAAATAGCTTCACGACGCCCTCCGTCGCATCAATGAATTCGGATGTCGAGATGCCCTCTGCCGTGACAGGAACATCTTGATAACGCTTTAGTATAAGTATGAGCTCTGACATGATCGTTTAACTGATCATACTTAAATCACGTACCATGCGGAGCGTGTCAAAATACGTCGTCATGATCGTGTGCTTCGTTGGTCAGGTGTTGGCGACAATCACACTCAGGAGGTATGGGGCGCACTCTATCGATAAGCAATTCACGGTCGTTGGGCCGTGCTAACATGTGATCACGTGATTTTCACACATTGACATATTGCTCACTTCCCTCAGACTTGACCCTTTCGCACTAACTTCTTCATATTTTCGACGATCGCTTGTGTGTGCACCATGGCTCATTATAGATGAGTAAATGTGCTTTTTGTAGGGATTAGGTGCGTACATTTGACCGATGTGTGTTTTTGTTAGTATGCATGTCCATGTATACGCCTGCTGTGCCACAAAGATGAAACCTTCATTCACAGACCTGATCTGATCCCATTCGGGAACCGAGGATACCTTATATTGCCTAATTTGTTCTGAGTCAGCTTTAGTGTGGCGGTACTGCACAATATACTATGCAATGACACATGGTTCAAAATCATGCAGATGAACTAACCGGGACAGATTGTTGAAGGCCCAGAAGACGTCTTTGTTCTTTGTCATGCAGCTATTCAAGAAGAGTGGAAGACGTGTTCTTGCTACCAATATGGAGGAGATTGTAATAGACGTAAAAAATTGACATATTTATTTGTGTGCTTGCGACGGCCTGTGTCTCTACATGGCCTATATATTTGATGACTCTTTTGGTAATGCGCATTAGACGCTCCCCCTGACTCTTCATAGCTGTCACCTCCACGTACCGGTGGGATGACCGTCAACGACACTGACATAGTACCGCGATGTGGGGCGCGAGAGCATACCTATCTCATGCCGAACGATTCCTAGACATGTGTAAATGATATTTAAGGTGTACGAGCCCAGGCGGCATCGTCACTTCTAAAATTGGTCGCCATGCAATCAGCTCCACTTTGTCCATTGATACATGAGATGCGTGATGAGGTTTTAGTTCGGCTGCTCCGCCACAGGATGTGCCATAACGAGCATACAAGCCTTTCTGTAGCAAATTTTTTTACATCCAGAGGCACAGTTCGACGAAGCAAATATTGACGGGAAGAACATGCATAAAGTAACGGTATAAATTACCCACTTTGATTTGAATCCGTCAAGCATCGGCGGTATCCTAGCGATTCACGACCATCCGAGGGACTGTCCAGTCATCACGACGCCCTTTTTGAAAAGAGGAAACTTTGGTGACTAGAGATTTTTTTTTGCAAATAAGGATAACGATCCTACAGAGCACGATAATGTCCGATATTGGCAACGATTTTCTTTTATTGATTCAAGTGAGCATGACATGAATTGGGCGAGTTAAGAAAGACTATTGACATGTACAAGTTTCTGCACTTTTGTACCATGAAGTGGACCGTTTTGATCTTATATTCGCACTATTTTACTGCGTACTTTTGAATTTTGATGTCGTGAAAGATGATGGCGAATCGTCTTTGAAATGCCTTGAAAATGGAATCATGACTCCAGATCTTTGTTGAGATGTTTGCGGAAGGCACAGGCTCGCATGCAGATGAATCCCACACTTATAGCAAGACTCAAAACGGCTGATCATAGGGGCTTTACTCGCGAGAAAGCCCATGCCTTTATCAAGAGCTGTCAGCCATCTACGCGAATCGTCAAACAGCATTGAATCTACCCTACGATAACTGGTTCTAACTTGATGGCTCTGGATCGAAAGTACGGCCACCATCGTATGCACACATATACCGAAATTAAGCTACTCTTCTTCACCCTCGAAGGCGTCAGATTGGACCCGCGTGTAGCCCCAGCGCCTGTGTCGCGTGTAAGCTCTTGTAACACATGCGCCTGAAACTAGCACTAAAAGTAGGCACATCTTCCATGTCCAATTCCAGCGCAGGAGCCAGCCAGGCTCAAATGGTTCCAAGACTGTGTCAATTGTGAGAACACCACCGGGCACCACGTGTCCGTCAGCGAGTGTTTCGTGAAGAACTGCATGTCCAAGATCGAGAACGTTGGCGGCATGCTCTTTTCCAACCGTGCTGCGAGCCCCTTTAATACCGACCATGTATCCAAGTTGGTTCTTCGACGATGCACTGGTGCGGCGGAAGGCAAGACGGCCAAATGCACTTGATCCACCCAAGCGCTTATCAAGCATAGTTGAATGCACCATTTCGTCGAAGAGGGGCAGCGGCAAGTGTTCATCTGTGCGTTTGCGAGAATGACATTCGTCCATAACCAAGATGTGCAGAGCAACAAGAGCTCGAAGTGACTCTGGATTCGCTTCATATAAACTGATGTTCAGTTTCGCAAACGCCCTGTCTTCGGGAAGAAGCACGATCAACTTTTGCTGCTTGCATTTCCGATCCGCTTGGATTGTGAGAGACGAGTTCCACACCCAGTCAAAGCCGGCCGCATGGATCAGCGAGAGCATCTTCTGTGTTGGTGCACCACGCGCTAGCTTTGACAGCGTCATTGGGACTGACGGTGGTAGCTGAACGTCGCTTACCGCATGAACGACACCTGTATCAGTGATGAGATCAGTCTGCGTCGTTTGCATGAGAGTGGCACCGGTTGTTGGCGTGCGGACTGCTATACCTGCTTCGTCGCGTCGTAGCCACACAAAGGATCCATCGCCAGTGACCACACGCGTCCAATTCGCTTCTAGTGACGACAAGTACAGGGCGCCTGGTAACGCGAAGGAAGCAATGACATGCGACAGATCTGCATTCGATGTGTGCAGCAAGTACTTGGCCGCCAAACCCATATTCTCAAATGCCTCATTTATTGGCGCTAAGTATGTCATAAGCGGTGCTTTGCGTATGCTGGAATCCAAATGCGCCTTACTCAGTGCTTGGACGTAGGTCGATAGAGATGCACGCGCCGCAGTATGTACAGGGTCGGTTGGGACGCGCGCAATATCGCTGAGTAGGTACATGGTCGCTGTGTGTGCATGGACGGGACCATGAGTCACGCGGGCGTGCCCGAATGTGAGCGTTTTGTTGTCACTCAAAATCACTGGTATGCGCTGAGGTGCACCGAGTAAGCCGGTTGGATATAATTGCGTCGTGAGAAGCGTTTCGTTGGTAAGTGTGCGCTGATGGTCTGGGAGGATATGGTACAATAACATGTCTCGAAGGCGCTGCATGGACGAAGAATGTTTGCTAATCGGCTGGGCCACATGTTGATGTACCCAGTTACGCAGTGCAGAGTTTGGAGGTACAAGAAACGTGAATGGACCCCTCGGTGTTGCCGGACGCCTTGCTTCATGCGGATCTTGGGTTATATAGTCGCCAAGTCCTGCGTGCTTCATGAGCGCGACAAACTCTGTAGCATTAAGAGCGAGTAAATACTTTTCGGCCGTCATACCTAAATCACCAAACGGCATATGCATACCGTCCACGATGTGAACGACACCATTCTCGGTCAGGATATCCTGTTGCACGATCGACATGCCATCAAGAGACAGGGAGCGGGGAGAGCCAGGAGTCGGTCCAGCTTGCGTCCTCACATGCACATCACCACCAAGGATGGTCGTGAGGTTGGTCTGAGGAGCAGCAAGCAGCTCCGACGCATATGCGACACGGCCATCACCTAGACCCGTGCTCGATGCGTGCCATCCAAACACACGCAAGCGATCTTGGAGTGCCTCAGGGCTAGAGCCCAGAAGGTACTTTTTCTCGAGCGGATCTAGCTGATGCCATGCTGCATCAGTGGGCAAAAATACGGTCAGGTGTGCCGTCGTTGCAAGCGTGCGCAGAGTGTCGTTAGGGATGTGGCGGAATAAGGTGGAGACACTCTGCTCGCGTAAAAACACATCGAGTGACGGCGGCAACGAAATCACTCGATCAATCAAGTACACGATGCCATGGCGCGAGCGACGATCCACATGGACTATGCGTGCACCATGCATTCCGCGATGATCCATGCCGACATGCGTGATAGAGCCATTTTCAGCACGGACAACACGAAGCATTTGCCCATATCCACCCAGCAAGCCACCGCGATCCTCGGCGCCAGGATGCGGAGGATCTTGTGGTTTCTGCGGCACAGTGCCTGGCCGAGTGGGTTCGAACAGGCGCTTGCGTGATGGGAAATGCAACGTCTCTAAAAATAGGTTGGCATCGTTCCCGTCCAACAGAGTATAATTGAGTACGTGGTAAAGCAGCTGTTGCCGAAGTTCTGCCTGAATATTGTCCGGCAGGTGCTGCTCTTGTTCAGACACCACAGACTTGTTCCCCAAGTCGCCATGACGCCAGAATGATTCAAACGCTGCATTTGTGGGAGCAAAGATCGTCATTCCCGAAGAAACATCACTTTTCTCTTGCATGCGATTTAGCGATGGAATCAGACGCGCCCGTTGTAGATAATGAATGAAGGTTGACAGTTCTGGGTAAGTGCTTATGATGTCAACAAGATTCACATCCTGCGTTGATGACTCGGAAACATTTGCCAAAGCACCTACCACAAGTGCACTGAGCCATGCACCCCACTGCCAACCACGCATCGTCCCGGTGATCGTGATGCCGTTACGCCAAGAGACCTCCCTTCTTTGACCTTACGTTGCAGGACGTTGATCTACGCCGCCACCTGGACGACTGCCTGACGCTGGCTTAACTTTATGTGCCCTCCACCATCGTATTTTATGTCAGTCGTGCTTGTCATGCGCGAAAAGACAGGCAGGGCGTCAATATTTCTCCTACAAATTTCGCTGCTGACAAATTCATGTAACGAGACCAAGCTAGGGAGTCAGCTAGTCGACAAGCAGCAAAAGCTCTTGTCTCGGAGGCCCTAAATCAATCAAAGTTGTAAGAGCAATACCAAAAAAAAAAAGGAAAATCACTCTAGTCAAACTGCGGCCTGCGAGATTGAAGGGTAAGCAAAGAATCACATTGTTTTCATCGACACATACGTGTTTGCACGTCTATTTCTTCTTTGGTACAGACTCGCTCAGTCGACATGGCCGTGTCATCGACCTCGACATCGGCGGAATGTCTTCTTCGTGTGTGTGCAGATATTGCAGCACAGCTTGTCCATGCACATGAAGAATCCAAATCTGTCTCATTGAATGCAATCCGCAGCGCTTCGTGCAAAAAACATGGATACGGAGGCGTTCCGAGACTCACAGATATCATTGCTGCGATCCCCGACACGCACAAAAAGATCCTTGTGCCAGCATTGCGTGCAAAGCCAATTCGCAGCGCGAGCGGCATTGCTGTTGTCGCGGTCATGTGTAAGCCGCATCGCTGTCCACATATTGCGCTGACAGGCAACATTTGTGTGTATTGCCCCGGAGGACCGGATTCAGACTTTGAATACAGCACACAGTCCTATACAGGATATGAACCAACATCTATGCGTGCAATTCGCGCACGGTACGACCCATACGAACAGAGCCGCGGTCGTGTACAACAACTTCGCGAATTGGGACACAGCGTCGACAAAGTCGAATACATCATTATGGGCGGCACTTTCATGAGCTTGTCGGAGCAGTATCGGAATGAATTCATCGCTCAGCTGCACAATGCACTAAGTGGATACACGGGACTGGACGTCGATGAAGCAGTACGATACTCGGAGCGGTCTCAAACCAAATGCATTGGCATCACGATCGAGACGCGTCCGGACTATTGTTTGCGCCCGCACTTGTCTCAGATGCTGCGCTACGGGTGCACGCGTCTTGAGATTGGCGTGCAAAGTGTGTATGAGGATGTGGCTCGTGATACAAATCGCGGACATACAGTCAAGGCAGTTTGTGAGACGTTTCATCTCGCGAAGGATGCCGGCTACAAAGTTGTGGCTCATATGATGCCAGATCTTCCCAACGTCGGTGTTGAGCGTGATATGGAGCAGTTCAAAGAGTACTTTGAGAACCCTGCATTCCGCTCGGACGGCCTCAAATTGTATCCCACGTTGGTCATTCGCGGCACGGGTCTGTACGAACTATGGCGAACAGGTCGCTATAAGAACTACACGCCATCTTTTCTCGTCGATATCATCGCTCGCATCCTTGCATTGGTGCCTCCCTGGACACGCGTGTACCGCGTGCAGCGTGATATTCCTATGCCACTTGTCTCGAGTGGTGTTGAGAATGGCAACCTGCGGGAGATGGCTCTCGAGCGAATGCGCGACTTTGGCGTCACATGCCGCGACGTTCGATACCGAGAAGTCGGTATCCATGAAATTCATACGAAAGTGCGTCCAGAGGAAATTGAATTCCTTCGTCGTGACTATACTGCAAATGGCGGCTGGGAGACGTTCCTTTCGTACGAGGATCCTGACCGAGATATTCTCGTCGCTTTACTCCGTCTTCGAAAGTGTTCCAGCACAGGAACGTATCGGACAGAGTTGCTCAAAGACGGACAGACGTCGATTGTGCGTGAATTGCACACGTACGGCAGTGCTGTCCCGCTTCACAGCCGCGATCCGACCAAATTCCAGCATCAAGGCTTCGGTACCTTGTTGATGGAGCAAGCCGAAGCCATTGCTCGTGACGAGCATGGCAGCGTAAAGATGGCTGTCATTTCAGGCGTTGGAACGCGTGATTATTATCGCCGACTTGGCTATGAGCTCGAAGGCCCTTGTACGTATAACGCATGCCTGAACTAACGCCTCCCAGATATGACAAAGCGACTCGTGTAGCAACTTCACAAGGATATATAATCAGTGTCTTTGTATCGTTTTTCCCGGCTCGTTCATCTCTCTGTGCAATACATAGGAGCTACCGTGCTTATGTGTTCCCTCAACTAGGCTCACTTTATTCGCACCGTTAGGACGAGAGTCTTCTCCGCGGTTCGTACCTATACCATCCCCGCATCGAAACGGTGGGGCAGCTCAGGTAATGTCACGTGACTTGATGTGCGCTCGTGAGCGTGTTGGAGGAGTAGGGTAGTGGCGCACGATGCGTTATGTGGGAGGAGGTACGACTGGCCACTTGTGATGCATGAGGTGTGTTTCGGCGCTGTAGACATGCTAATGAAAGGCAGTGTATGGGTGGATTTTACGCCACAGAACATGGAGACACGTATCTGTCCAAGTGACATCATTTCATCTTGTGCTAGCAGGTGAAGACGCGACGGAGAAAGTGTGTATTGTGCCTCGCTGACATTAGGTCGAGCTGCCCCTCATTACTTATGCCGTGCGTCGACCCATGGCGCGCCCTGCACACACCTCTGAACCACTCTACCCTATATCGATATATCTTGCGACAAATGAGCACTTAGTACTCGGATGCATGAATGAGACAGATGCTCTTGAGACCATGACCAGACTCAGAGACGCATCGAGTATCGGTACGTATTTGGCCATTGAAGTCGGTCTTTTGTATTTTTCATACTGATGCAAGATTCTGTCGAAAAACTATATGCATTCCATGGCAATAAATCTGTCGGCGATGGTTGGCAGCTCTACAACGCCGCAAAAGAGTTTAAGCGGCAAGGACTTGGCACACACACACGGACGTGGCGATTCTCGTCTGTCAATGCTGACTATGCGGTACGTGATAGATGTGCATTTACCCTCTAGCTTTCACCGACGTACCCGGCCATGTTAGTTGTCCCTTCCAACATAAGCGATCAGACACTTGCTCTCGCGGCGAAACACCGCAGCAAGGGTCGTATTCCGGTGTTAACGTATTACCATCGGGCGAATGCAGCAACCATCACGCGCTCAAGCCAGCCTATGGTGGGAATCGCACAGAATAGGTCATTTCAGGACGAGAGGCTTGTTGAGGCCATTTTTTCTTCGCACATGAGTCCGGATGCTGTGACTACCAGCACAGAGCGCGTTTACGGATCGACACTGACGAACTTGATCATTGATGCAAGGCCTACAACAAATGCCATGGCGAATTATGCCAAAGGTGCAGGTTCTGAAAACATGGAGTATTACAAAAACAGCAAGAAGGTGTACTTGGGCATTGACAATATTCATGTCATGCGCGATTCCCTTGCCAAGGTCCAAGCGGCTTTCCGTACGATAGATGAACAGCTACTGTTGGATTCGCAGCAAGAGCAATCACAAATCGCCGATATTTCCTTGGCTCTTCAGCGTTCACATTGGCTCAAGCACCTCGAGGCCATTCTGCAGGGGACTCTGCTCATCGTACGGAATGTGAACGTGCATTCGTCGCACGTTCTTGTTCATTGTTCTGACGGCTGGGATCGCACAGCTCAGCTCACGTCCCTGGCGCAAATTTGTCTGGACCCATATTACCGTACATTCGAAGGTTTCGCCGTGCTAATTGAGAAAGACTGGCTGAGTTTCGGGCACCAGTTCCAGGAGCGCCATGGACTCGTCCACGGAAGCCCGTCAAAGTTTGATATGACGCCTCCTGTGCATGAGTCGACGCATGATCTTGATGCCTCCGACCATGATCAGCAGCTGGCAGACAATCCACGGGGAGTACCGTCATTCTGGGATTTCACCAAAACTATCACGGCACACTTTCAAGCCAACGGTGCATCGCAATGTGCGCCGATTTTCTTCCAATTTCTCGACTGCGTGTGGCAGCTGCAGTACCAGAATCCGGATCGATTCGAGTTCAATGGAGGTTATCTTGCCGAACTGGTACTCCAAATTTTCTCTGGTACCACCGGCACATTTTTATTCAACTCGGAACGTGAGAGACAATCGCCGTTACTGCCAAACAAGGAACGAAGTCCATCCCAGAGTACCCCCAGTGTTTGGGATGAACTTCTCCCTAGAAGAGGCATGTGGCGCAATTCAATGTACAACTCGTGCTTGGATAGCACGCATGGTCATGGTGATCAAGGCGTTCTGTTCCCACGCCCCAAAGATGTTCGATTCTCTGCAGACCTGTTCCGCCACTCAGACACGTGTTTAAACGCACTTGTCGATGCTAAGCGTTTAGAATACCAACGATTCCATGAGAGGCTGGCTGAAGCCGGGCAATTCGTACCCGCCAAATCACCTGCGACTTCGGATACACATGCCGAGCAGCGAAGCCCTGAGGAAGCTTTCCAAATGGCTGCGCGGAGTGTCCGATCCCTCTTTTCTGACGGTTGGAACCGTATGCAAGAGGCTCTACGAAAATCAACAGAGAATGCTGGAATGCCTGAGCCAGCCCCAAAAGACTCCGAGTCCGACATGGCAATACGCGGAGGCTATGCACCTGCTCTCCATGAGCATCATCACAATCCATGGGTCTCCAAAAGACCTGACGATTGGCAGTCATTTGACGCCCTCTCTATGGACGACGTCAATTGCAATGCAAGAGCTTCGACGACACCCATTAGTCTTGCGCAGCCTTCGACGTCTTGGCCTTCTATGATGTCCTCTTCTCCACCTACATCACGCGAGATATCCGCATCAACCTCAGCCCAACACTTACATCACGAACTTCCTTCCACAGCTGCGTCAGCGCTGACAGCCTCCACAGATCCTTTAGGCGTGACCAATCTGTAACAGTGAAACGAATGTAGGAATCCAGCTGGAAAATTTGGAAATGAAAAAAATAAAATAAAAATAAAAAGCAAAGCACAAAAGCAACCAACATGGCCACGTGGTATGAGCTGCACAAGAAATCGAGTGGCTTTTCTCAACACACTCACATACGTCATCGGAACATGGACGCTGCTAGTGGCACGTCGTCGGGGATATTTAATATCCTCGGCAAGGGATTAAAGCTAAACAGCAAGGAAGATATTTCACCGTATCTAGCAGAACTGGAAAAGATTGAGCCACTTCATGAAATCCACCTTGGTGGCAACACATTGGGTGTAGGCGCATGCCAGGCTCTAGCTAATGTACTGAAAACGAAAAAGACACTCAGGGTTGCTGACATGGCCGATATATTCACTGGAAGACTTATCACCGAGATTCCAGATGCGCTGCGTGCGCTCTGCGATGCTCTAGTTGATCATGAGCAGCTGGAAGAAGTCAACCTGTCGGACAATGCGTTTGGTGGTCGGTCAGCGGAACCTATGGTGAACTTACTCACCAACAACCGGCACATTAGCGTGCTTAAACTGAGCAACAACGGACTTGGAGTTTCTGGTGGCACTATTGTTGCTGACGCGCTATACGAATCAGCAAAACACCTCAAGGACGGCGAGAAGAGTCAGCTACGTGTAGTCGTATGTGGGCGCAATCGTTTGGAAAATGGCTCCGCAATCGCTTGGGCGCGTGCATTTGCGCAACACCGTGGAATCACGGAGGTCAGTCTGTACCAGAATGGAATTCGCATGGAAGGTGTGCGAGCGCTGTGTGAAGGTCTGTCCGACTGCAAAGATCTCGAGGTGCTAAATCTACAAGACAACACCGCTACGTTGCGAGGATCGAGATCCGTTGCGAAGGCGCTACCGAACTGGCCTCATCTGCGGACGCTGAACCTGTCTGACTGCTTGCTGAAGTCGAAAGGCGGCTCACTGCTCTTCGAGTCACTGAGTATGGGGCGAAACAAGAAGCTTACGACACTGCATCTGCAGTACTGTGACCTGAATCGCGATGCGCTGCATAAACTGGGACATGCAATTGAGCACCATCTAAGTGAGCTGAAGACGCTCGAAATCAATGGCAACTTTGCCGATGTGGACGATGACTGCATTTCCAAGATCGCTGCTTCTCTGGAGAAGTGGGGCCACAGCGAGGCACTGGACGAGCTGGATGAAATGGATCCTGAAGGCGAGGAAGACGAGGAAGACGAGGAGGACGAGGAGGACGAGGAGGACGATGAAGAAGATGTTGGCGAGAAGGAGAAGAAGGACCCTGAGGCTGACGATTTGGCTGATGAACTTGCAAAGACACACATCCAGTCTTGAAATAGTGTCTTAGTATGCATAGCGCTCGTGAGCGCCACGATTTATAATGCGAGAGCTTTGCATGGTGTCAGCATAGATAGATAGCGTACGTACATGAGAGGGCGGAGCACCCATACTAGAAAATACTTCCAAGGCATCGGATTGACGCCAGTGTTTCTGTGGTCAACATCAAAGACAGCTCTTGCTGCCACATCTTGAGCGCGTAATTGATTTGCAGAACGTAAATCAGATGCGCGAACTTCAACGCCACTGCTTTCACGGAAAGACGTCGATACGGTCGAAGGCGCCAGCACACTAAATTGGACCAGCGCTCTGCCAGGCATTTGAGCTTGCGTCTCGCACTCGAGTGCCACGCTTTCGATGAGCATTTGCTGTGCACTTTTCGTCGCGCAGTAGACGGAGCGCGTTGGCGCGGGAACAAGGGAGGCGAGCGACCCAATTGTCGATACAAATGGTGCGTTGGATGTGACTTGCATGCACGGTATCAAGGCTGCCAAGACGAGGGCGGTGCCGTGAAGATTGCAGTCGGACATGGCCTGTACGCTAGTCTTCACATGCCTGAGACTTTCAAGCGAGGTAAATTCAGTCTGACCAAATACAGGGTCAGAATAAGCGGCACGTAAGAATGACGAGTTCCACAACCGACCAAACACTAGGTAGAGCGTGTCGATACCTCCCAACTGGTGCATCAAGTCCTCTTGCAACGCATGCACATCTTCCTCGACCGTGCAATCAGCGGCAATAGTCCTTATACATTGTGCACGTGCCTGCGCTTCAGGATCGGTTTGCTCGCTCACAATAGCCAGCTTTACCTGTTCCAAAGCACTTTTCCGTCGCGCTACCAAGACGATCCTCGATGAGCCACGCGCTATGCATTGACGTGCAATAGCTGCGCCGATTCCGTCAGCTGTTGACGCGCCGAGAATGACAATGCGCTCTTTCGATGGCTCTATGATGCGCGATCGACACGCCAAGTTCGAATTCTCCCACAGCCATTTGACTGCTAAGGCCGTGGCGCCGCAACTCACCCATGTCCAAATCTGTCCAGCGCGGTTTGGTGGGACTATGCCCCAGCCCACGGCTACCGAACATACGATACTAGCGACCCAAGCCCACATGCCACGTCAAGAGAACCAATGCCGAAGTCGTGCGAACTTCCCACGAACCGACGCTGTTCCACGCAGAATGTTGGGTCGTCGTACCTCAAACGCCCCATCCCCCACACACCAAAATGGGGCGCGTGAACTTACAGGGCTGATGCGTGGCCCATGCATATCACGTGATGTATAGAATGCCAAGACATTCTATACATGCCACTCTCCCTGTTCTACCGGAGGCTACGGCCACAGCCGTACTAGACGTGCCTAGAAAACGTGACACGCGCGCCGTCATACGCAACGCGCATGTCTGGCACGAGTGGGTGCGCATGTTTAATAGACAGAGACGACGATAATGGAGTGAGCTGGAGGCGCTCGTGCAGCTCATTCTCTTGCTCGTCCCAGATGCGTGTCCACCACCGGGAAGGCGCATCTGTCGCGCTCCAGCCCTGCTGATGAAGCCATGCGGCGAGTCCGTCAAGAAGCGTGACGATCTGTGACTCTGTGGAATGGTGTTCTAGGCGGTGTGTGATGTCGGTGAGTACCGTCAAGGAAGGTGGACTGAGCTGCCGATGTGCATGGCGCATGCACAGATCCAATGTGCATGTAATCGCCTGAGGAATGGAGAAATGGCTTGTATGACGGTTCATCTTTAGGCCATCCAGAATGAAGAGATCACTACCCACGACTTTTTCCATGGTTGTCTCAGGTATATGGTGCTGGCTGTTAGATCTTCTGCGACAGAGATGCGTGCACCCGCTTGTACGTACACAGTCACTGATGTAGCTCATGGAGTCGATGCGGAATCCAAGGCATGCAAATGGCACACGGCCACCATGCGTGTATCCATGTTCCACATACAAAGGCTGAACTGGCACTTGCTGCGGCCCGGCTAGAAATGGTGTATGAGGGTCAATGATGTGCCAGCGCAATGCACCGACATCGCCGCCGCCTGTGGCGCGCGATGTATCCACAAGGTACGGAAACGTCTGCTGCACTGTATCCATACATTCGCGCGTGAGGTACACATCAACATGCGTCTGGATACAAGCATTCATCGTCCAGCTGCGCAAATCATCAAGTCCCAACATAGCGTCGGCATGTGCATGCGTCAAAAGCAACGCGTCAATGTTTCGTAGTCCATACACAGGGAAGTAACGTAGGGCCGACTCGTAAAAAGACTTACCGCAATCAATCAGGATCGTCGAACTGGTACCAGGACATCCTTGCTTACTTCCACGGACAATAGCTGATGTGCAAAAGCGGCGATTCTTGCTCCCTGGTTTCATGGCATCTGTACACGTCACACAATCTGAGTTCTTGTCAGTGATGCAATGGATGGCTGGCACCTGTGAACTCGTGCCTGTTCCCAGAAAGATGACTTCTTCGAGCCATGTTGCCTTGACGTCCTGTGACCACGGCATGTCTTTTCAGGCAGAGCGTGTCGCTAAATGATCCCACAAGAAGGGGAAGCCCTGGCAGATGCAGGGGAGCGGAGCGGAGCTGAGCCGAGCCGAGCAGGGCGGCAGCAACTCCACTTCCTAAATTCTGTTGCGTGTCAGAAAGAAAGTATTTTTACATGGTGAGATACGCTACGTACGACGATTCGTGCAACCAAAAGCGCGGCCAACGTTGATTCATTCCAACGACATTTACGCTCATATCGGCATGGCACTGTATCCCAGTGCAGATCAATTAGACAAGTCTGCCACGGCATTGTCTCGGAACACTGACTTGACACCCAAGCATACAATCCAAGCACACGCAGGCGCTGTGCATGTCGCACGATACAATCCTGGCGGTCGGTATCTGCTGACAGGTGGTGGCGATCAGCAAATTCACTTATGGAATGCAAAGACAGGCGTTTCGGATGAGGTCGATTCGAAAGGTCGCTCGCCATGCATCCAGCGCTACAGCGCGCATTCCTACGAAGTGCTGTGTCTGGACATAGCGCCAGATAGCATGAGGTTCGCCAGTGCCGGGCCAGATCGAGCAGTAATGCTATGGGATGTTGCAACGGGTCAAGTATTCCGCCGCTTTCACTCACACACAGGTCGAATCCATGACGTGAGATTCGCCGGTGCACATGACGATGGTAGCCTCTTGTACACGGGAGGTAGTGACAAGACTTTGCGTGCATTTGATTTGCGCGCATCGAATGCATGGCGACCGATCTGGGAAGCAAGTGATGCGCAGGATGCTATTCTCGCACTAGCTCCCACACCTAACTGCGTCCACACGGCATCCGTAGACGGCGCGTTACGCACCTATGACGTACGCATGGGTCAGTTACGCACAGATACGCTCGATGAGCCCATCACATCCCTGACGCCAACGAAGGACGGGGCCGCCGTGCTTGTGACACAGCTCTCATCTACGCACCGACTCATGGACTTGGCCGATGGAACGCAATTGCAGTGTTTCCAGGGCCACACGCAGAACGCATTCCGCTGTCACTCAGACCTTTCGCGCGACGAAGCAGTCGTATTTAGTGGAGATGAAACAGGGCACTTGTACGCTTGGGATACTCTGAAAGGCCGGGTCAAATGGGCGCATAAGCCGGACATGCGTGGCAGTCTGAGACACCGCCGCGCACCGCACGTGCCTGTGACGATCCTGTGGACCGAAACATGTCCAGACGAGCAGGATCCCCAGGTTGTCACGGCATCTTCCTGTGGCACAGTGCATGTTTGGTCGCGCTAGTATCCCAGGATCTCCCGTCGTTTCGCCTTCCCTTGCTTTCGGAGCTCGCGGCGCCAAGTAGGGAACGGTGCCCATTCTGGCGCATTACTTGCAGCTGGCAGCAGACTCAACAAAGCATCCGTGTACGCAGCTTCGGCGTCCGCGCCCATCGTAAAGTCCCCCCAGACGTCGGGGCTTTCGAAGCGACGTGGTCCAGGCTGCGCTTGATCCAATGCTACACTACTCGATGTATCCATGCTCCGAATGTTCCAACGCTCTGGATCATTGATACGAAGTTCTGCACGCGCGCGTGGCAATGGATGCATCTTGTTCAGCCAAATATGCGCCGCCACGCGAGCTTGCAGCTGCACCATGGGAAATGGAACAATGCGATTCGGCAAGCCCAAGAAACAAACGCTCGGCTCTGTTCGATAAAAAAGCATCCAGTCATCTAGTTGATGCAGTACACTTACTGCCGAAACCGACGGAATCGCGCGTGTATGCTCATCACGAACGACAAGAGGCGATTCAGCAAAGGGCGGATCGCTCGCGTGGAAGAACGGCACTTGGTACAAGAAGCCTGTTGCCCAGACGATCATGTCAATGTTGGTAAGACGACGTCCATCATGGAATACAATCACGCCTTGCTCGTCGATATACTGGATAGGTCCAACGACTTGGATCCTCCGGCACCACGACGGACTTGACTCGTCACGAGGATCGAAGTCCACCGGTGGAGGTTTCGTTGGATCTTGGTATGAGTGAAACACCGAAACATCTTGCAGCTGCCTCTCCCAAGAAGCTGCGGTGGGCCATGTGCGGACGGCACCACCACACAATTCACGTGCAATATCTGCACCAGATGAGTTGTTCCCCACGATCAAGATGCGTCGTGCCTGCAGCGTATCTGGGTACCTGTACCAGGCGCTGTGAATCTGTCGCCCACGAAAATTTGATATGCCTGGGATGGCAGGGATATACGGCGCATTACACCGTCCATGTGCCGCCACGATGTAGTCGAATGTGTGCGTCTGTTCTTGTTGAGAATCGAGAGCACGTGTCGTGACAAGCCACGTATTGTCGACGCGCTTAGCGCGCATGACTTCTGTCCGAAATTGAATCATCGATAGAATGCATTGTGTACGTGCAAAATGCCACAAATACTCAAGGACGTGTGCTGATGTGTGTATGCGTACAAGGATGTAAGCATGTTACATTGATACTAGCGCCGGTTGACCAAACACACATACCTCGTGTAGGAAACATGGGGGTGTCACGGAAAAACGGAACGCCACGAAAGGCCATCACTGGCTATCACATGTGTGAGGAGAGGGGAGTTCGAAAACCCATTGTTCACATACGCACCGACGGAATGTTCGTACGAAGATCTTCATACATCGCACGCGGGCATTGTAATTCGTGTGGGTTCGATGATGCATAGCCTGCATCTCCTGGTCGTGGAAATGCAGGAACACGCAGTATGCACGGCCCAGGATCAGGTTCGTATGTCCATAAGCCACCGATCGTCGATTGACGCTCAAACACAACAATGTCAACGGGCGCATTGCCAGCCACAGCACGAAGCTGTTGGGCAGCAGCTAGACCCGCTGGCCCTGCACCAATGACAGCGAAGCGGCGGCACGCTTTTGACATCATAGACGGCGTCTGCCAAAACACGGATCGCCAGGCTCGAGCCCTCCACAAACTACCTTGGGACCCGGCCTCTTCCCAGTAGCACAACCCCTACCTAGCTATCTACGCACATACGCCCGCCTGCATCACCTTCCTTTGCCACTCTCGAGTCTTTGTGCGTAATGTGGAGGTCACGCGCGGTCTAAGTTGCCGCAACATTTTATACACTCCATGCTGCCTAATTTGCCAACCAGACGTTCCAATGCCTGGAACATCCGATCCTCAGCACGATTGAAGACACACACAAGATTATAACGGACACACACCAATAGCGATAATACTTAGACCCAAGTCCGCCAAATACATAAAGTCCGAAAAACATGACGCCTCACTACTAACGAATGTAAATATATACGCACGAAATGTGTGCATGATCAAGTCCAAGACACATGTAGAGGGAGTCAGTATACACCTAGTCACAGCGACAAAGGAAAAAGTCCACCAGCCGCTGACCGAAGGTCCGGCGTTCCATCAAAGGCGCAGTCGTCTGATAACCGGTGCCACTCGTATCAGCCATGCCATTATGCAACGCAGCTGGCGACGCAGCTGGATGGTTCATGCGACCAGGCGCATCATGCATTGTCGTCCCACCCGCATCAGCAGACATGGAATTCGCTAGTGCGAATGGCCGCGATTCGTAGCGACGTGCTGTTTGTCGTGGGCGCTCGTCCAAATGTGGTGAGCCGGCGCCAGATGCGACTCGCGCACCAGATGCAGATGGTGACATGGCAAGCTGCTGCTGCGAGCGGGTGAACTTAGCATTCGAATGTGGCACGTCGCGTATAGGTGCATAGCCCTGCTCAGTGCGAATTTCAGTCGTGCTGAGTCGCGTGCCCATTTCTCCCGTGCGATACCGCTGACGTCCACTACCATGAGGTGTCGGTTGAGCGCCCGGAGTGGCCGCGCCCGAGACTGCGACGGTACCCGCAGCGTTAGCAACGGGCGTGCCAGAACCGACAGCACCAGCAGTAGCAAGCAAGTCTTGGGGATTTCCACGCTCTGCATGTGCAGAGCGTGAAGGGTCTGACTCTGTGCCCTTGCCATTATTCATCATGAGCCAGTCATACACACCGTCATCAACCTCGCCCATGTCGCGAAGGACCTTGGAGAAAAGTTCGCGAAGAAAGTCATAGTCAGGCGTCTCCTCGAACCCGAGCTTGCGTACGTAATTCAGGTAAATGCCGAATTCTTCGGGAAGACCATCACAGAGATCCTTAATGGACGTGCTCTGTTTCTTCTCGCCGATTTTTTCGTACTTTTGTTTGTTTGTTGCAGCCTTAAGGCCCTGCCATGGCAAACTTCCACGCAAAAAGTACAAAAACACATGCCCCAACGCCTCAAGATCGTCTCTTCGAGACTGCTCGCGCCCTAGGTGTGTGTTAATGCTCATGTACCGTGCAGTGCCACTTAGACTCTTGCGCTCGCGGTAAGGGATATGTTGTTTTGTCCGGGGATCACGGTATTGTTTGGCCATCCCAAAGTCGACGACATGCACTATGTTGGCCGACTTGCCAGGCCCACGCCCCACAAGGAAATTATCTGGTTTGATATCACGATAGATCAAGTTACGTTCATGAATAGATTGTACACGAGAAACCTGCGTACAAGTGTCAGCAAGATGCGTTGGTTACTGCAGCAACACAAGCAGCTCGTCGTGCCGTTGCCGTCGTCCTCGTACGTACCATTTGCTTGGCGACCATCACAACCGTTTTAACGGAAAAGCGCCGTCCACAGAGATCGAACAAATCTTCAAGAGATGGACCGAGCAAATCGATAACCAACACATTGTGCAAGCCCTCCTGGCCGAAATAATACACCTGCGGCACGCCTTGAACGCCGCTCAAAACTTTGTACGTGCGGTACTCATCACGAAGCTGAGGTGCGTCACTTTTACGTGGCTCAAACTTAATAGCAATGCGATGGTGCGTAAGAAGATCGGTGCCTTCGAAAATCACACCAAATGAGCCCTCACCGATTTTTTTCCCTACCCGGTAGTGACCGCCCACCACATTCGAGGTATTCGAGTGTGATGCCATAGTGGCACTAAGTCAAGCCTTGTGTGACTCTGAGAAGATGCAGAAAGCACGGATGCCAATCGACAGTGCCTTTCTTTTTCTCCTTCCGGGACAATCGCAACGATGCTATGAAGGCGCGATTCGCTAGTTGTTTGACGAAAGTGGCTCGGCGTGCGTTATAGTTTGGGTATGAATGAGCCCCGTGCCGACCAAACCTCGCAGCTTTTATTTTCACTTTTCTCCAACACTGCTTTTCTATCCGGCCGACAAGCGCCCTCTATATCTTGCATTTATGGTGATAGGGGCGGCCGCGGCGCAGGTTCGATTTTGGCCGCGCGCCAAGTTTTGCCAATTGTGCCTCTAGATTGATGGCATGGTCGTTGCGCCGCGCAGTGTGGACGTGCATTTCATGCACTCTACTCACAACGGTATCTATCTCATGGGCAAAATCATTATTCGCTTCACGCGTGTCATCCATGTAATAAATCCTTTTATTTTCTGTACTCTATGTAGCATGCATACACATTGTTGCACTCATGTCAAACATGCATCTCGCACTTTTTTTCTGGCCATGTGTGCTCAAGCGCTCAGATCGCGCTGGCTCTCGAGTTTTTTGACCTGCTGTAAGTCTCTCTATCACACATACAATAAATAGCGACGTATCAAGGAAACTAACAAGTAAGAACTAAACTCAAATTATTGCGTGTACATACCGTTCCACACAGTTGCTAAGACACGCTTCTTCACCCCGACCAAAGTGGGACCCGATAGATGACTTCACACACTGGTCCCAGCAGCGCTCTGTGAATGCGTGCACCGTCGACTGGACACGTGCCTTCGCCTGTTCGGCATCTAAGAATGTGCTCAATTCCTTTTGGTCTTCATCCGTCAGATTCTGGCTCATTGTTGCAAAGGGCAGGATGGAGGAGGGGTACTCAGTGATTGGAGGTGGCGACAGAATGTCTGAGAGGCCCCGAGTTGGCCGCCGTGCCACGCGAGTCTGGTCTTTCGCTGACTCTTGCCTGGCGGACGTGGGGCAAGGACACTTACCCACGTGACTTCTCCACAGCTGCTTCTATTCAACCACATGGAGAGGCAACGAGGTAAGAAGCACGGACGTCAGTTGAGCAGAAACCTTTCCTCGTTCTACAGCAGTAGACTATGTGCTCGTATCTGTACTACGGATCTTCGTAGGGCCGGAAGATGCACGACGCTTAGAATTTTCCGAATTCTCGCTTCCGTTTTCGCTGGCGCGTCGTTTCTGTTTAGTAGGCAAGCCTGAGCTTGATGGAGATGGATCTGACCGGCGGATGAGAGAGAGCATTTCTTTCATGATGCTGTGAAGTGACGACGAGCTCTTGAAGCGCTCTGAAGATTGAAGCGCCTGCAAGATAGCCTCTAGCTCGTCCGGTGGCCAGCAAGCTTGCACGGAGGTGGCTTGTCCATCTGAGATCCGCACAGTCATGCGCACACCTTGCAGTGCGAAACGCAGCACATCTTTTAGGCGTTGGGCATTGAGTGAGGTAGCACCGTCATCATTTTCAGCGGAGGAGGCAGCAGCCATGACAGTTTCTCCTACAACATGACGCACCTGAGCGATGAAGGAAAGCACGTCCTGTACGGGTGCCTGTCTTGTATCAGGGTGTTGCTGCTGCTGCAAGACAGCTTGAAGCATAGTGTAGGCTTGGACCTGTCGGAATGCACGCGCCGCTTTACTCATGTGGCAACCATCCAATAACGCATGCCGGAGTCCCCAGCCCAATTCTGGATATCGTCGGATGGCCTCAATTATGAATGCAGGACGCACTGGTGATGACTTGCGCTCCAAAAAGTCCTGCAGTGTATGCTTGAAAACAGTCACGGGACCATCGATCTGGAGGTGACGCACAAGCACCTTTGTATACAAGTGGCTTACAGCAGCAGCGAGATCTGCCATAGTCGCATCGTGTGACGTGCGTGCAAGTTCATGTGTTGCGCTGAGCTCGCGAACGAGTTCATCTACATCAATCTCACCACGTGGAAGCTCCTTCGATTTGCAAAGACGCTGACGCAGGATTTGACTCGCTCGAGTCGCCACTTGTTGACTCACATCACCTGAGCCCCGTGCGAGAGCCAGAAGGGGGGCAATTAAGCGAAGAACAAGTGCGTTGCCACTTTGTTCTTTGGCATACATATCGAGAAGGTCGAGAATCTTGTTGTGGAATAGAGCAGTATCGCGCTGGAGTGCTTCGCGTTCTTTGCGCTTCGATGACGTGTGCTGTTGGAAGATCTCAGCCAGCTTATCGTCCAGCTTGGCCATTTGATCGTCATCGAGTACTGCAACATCATCTTCCTCATTGTTACTCGCATTGTTGTCGTCATCATTATCGTCCGCAAGGCCACTCGCACGGAATGCTTCCTCTACGCGCGAGCGGAGCACTGGATCCACATCGTCATCAGCCTCATCTTCCTCCTCGAGTTCCTCTTCATCATCCTCTTCTTCCTCTTCGTCTTCTTCGTCTTCCTCGTCGACCTCTTCGTCTTCCTCCATTGCCTCCTCATGTTCGTGCCCGACATCATCATCCTTCTCTGGTTCGTTCATACCTAACTGATCAATCAAGTGATCCAAGCTCTCCTTCGTCATGGAACGACTGAATTTTGCAAAGACCTGGCCGACCATGGATCTTAGGAACGCTGATGAAAACTCTAGCAGCCCGACAAGTGTGTCCGTAAGCAGTTCCATACCGCCCACTTCATGCTGTGGTGCATCCTGCGTTTTCGGTAGATGCTTTTGCTTTTGCTTCTTCGGCTTGTCAAGAAACAAAAGCTGTGCAGTGTCGACAAGCGGATCGATCATATCAGGCGCGTCACCTGTGTCTTCAAAGGTGACAAGAATCACCGACGCCAAGAGAACCTCAAATGCATGCAGTTTCTCGAGCTGTCTCTCATTTTTCTCCTTCAGTACAACTCGTTGCACCTGCTTCAGAACTTCCCGGCCGCGACGAATTCGTTCCTGGGCAACGGCATTTGCCAAACACGAGAAGTGCTCGGAGTCTTCCTCCATCCCATCCAGCATGTCCATGACAACCAAAGGCCATGGCTTACCATGCTCGTCAGGCTCATGCAGTTCCGCCAAACATGCCTGGAGACGCGAGCGGCATACATCGCGCAGCGCGTTAGAAAATGCCCCAGCATCTGGCACCTGTAACACAGCACTCCACGGACGAGCCGGATTCTTTTTTACAGCATAGTATCCATGACCAGCAAAGAAAAGAAGCACATCTCGGACCCAAGCGCCAGACGATTTTATCAAACGACTGCGCACAAGAGCAAGCATTTGATCGCATGCACTTTGCCGCTGCATTGCAATGCTTTTTGCATCGTCAGACGACATACCAGATGCGTACAAAATACTTCGCAGGTAGGCCAGATAGCGCTGAAGCCCGGCCTCGTCGAGAGACGAGAGAATCGACTCGATCGTTTTGGTGTGTGTGACACGGTCAAAGTTCTGACGCCCGTGCTCACCGGTAAGCTGCGTCACGAGAGCAATCCCTGCTGTAGGACAGCGCCTCACAGCATCGCCCACGAGAAGTACGGTTTTCTGTGCCATGCTGTGCAGCAGTCGATCAGGCACAGAAAGCTGATTCACCCACGTACGCATAAGATTGGGGGTGAACAAGAACGGCAAGACATCAGCTGACGCCCGCGGCAATGTGCGGTGAAGGACTTGAAACCCCCATGATTTGCGCTCCGGTGATGCTTGTGTTGCAAACAACGATTCGTCCACGACAACACGGAAAAAGTCCGGAAACGGAGCTGCTCCCTTCAACAAAGCTTGGTGTTCACTACTCATATCGTCAGGGTCATGGTCGCCTTGAAGATTTTCATCATGCGGTTTGCCCAGGTACAGATCCAGTAGCATATCCCAGACGAACGGCAGATGCGCCGTCCATGTTCCAGCTTTCGGCGCAGGTGTATCTGAATTCCAATGCATTGGAATTGCTTCACGCAATATTGATGCGAGTGCTGGCAAGTTAGCAGGTGCCAAAGGATTCGCCTGCTTGAAGGGTGGTATCATGCGGTGACTCGCCATCGAAAGCGATGGTATCATCTGCATCAGAGTAAGTAAAAGAGCTAGTGTTTCTGGTGAGAACGATGGCAGAGACTGTAGCTGATCAAACACCCATGAAAGAGCGTCATCCGCCCACGGTGGACGTGTGGAATTTGTTGGTCCAAGAGGTCGAATAAGCTCAACGAGAACCCAGCCACAAGATTCACTGAGCCACGACTTATAGGATGCGACAGCAATGATAATAAGGAACGTCCGCTTGAAAGTGAGAAGAGAGGATCGCCTCGAGTAAAGCAAGCGCGAACGTGCTAGTGTATAGACGCCAAACAGGCGAGCGAAATGCAAGTCACGTACTTCCTGCCCGCTAAGGTTTCCACGAACGACGCTATGTTTCCATAGAAGAGCAAGTATATCGTGCGCCGACACAGTGGAGAGATGACTGAGGAGCTCACTTAAAGCCACAGCAAAACCGATACGAGCATTCTCGCGTGGACTTGCCAGCCCACGGACGAGACGGCGTATAGCGTAGCTTACTTCAGATGTATTTAGCTCATCAATCCGCTGCTCCGAAGCCTCTACTTCTTCTTCCGACATGTTCACGTCCTCTGCTGACGACGCGTGCGCGGTATTGGCGACAACGTCATCCATGCATGCATCTTCAGACGACGGCTGAGAGGATATCAATGTTTGGACAAGTTCCTGTGATGCATTCAACCTAGCATCACGTTCTGTGGACGTAATGTCCCAGAACAAAGCTAGTGTGTTAGACATTCAAAGGTCTCACCACCAGTCAACGACTAGCGAAGCTAATATACACGCTGTTCAAAGAACAAAAAAAAATGTGCACACGCGGTGCAGGATAAGAATAAAAAGATTTGCCCAAAAAGCTAGCAACCAGAACACAAATTTGTTAGCTATTGGGCAAAAAAAAAAAATACCGTATCGTCCATCTATCTGTCGCTCCCTGACGGTCAGGCCCCCTTCGTGTGGAGGCAGATTGCGCTGTTGATGCTTTGTAAAACTTGGGCTACGAAGCTGCTAGTGCGTGCTGCCTATCATGCCATAAGGCGCGCGCCGCCCACCGATAGAAATGACATAATCCAATCCCATGCTATTTTTTGGCATGTGGGCAAATGCCCGATTGGCCGGCGCGTGTGTAGAATGTGTACAAGTGTTGTTTGCTTGTCGCACAACCCACATAGGAATTTATCCCATTCGGAACATACGTACATTGTAGACATTCAAGCGAGCCGGAGAATAGGGGCAGAATAGGTTTTCCAAATCGAGGTTCCGTCTTTGTCACGTCTCGCGCTTGGCTAGACATTGCTGCTCGTCTATTCGCACACGTTGCCTTGTGCGTGTGTCATTGTTTGAGGATTGGGCTGATATCTCTCTCCTCAAGCCCCGCTGCCCCGTTGCCTTCTTGGTCGGCTTCGTCGTATCTTAGGCACGAACTACAGCTCCAGTCTAGTCTGCGGGGTGTACACGAACTAAGTCCAACAGGAAAATGGCTTCGCTGCTGTCCTCGGCCCAAGCGACTACGTCGCTGACGCCGGGCTGGGCCGTGGGTGCAGATGTGCCAGGAGTCACCCTGCGATCGTCATCGCCAAACACGTCTCGTGATGGTTCAGTTGTTAACGACTTGGACCAATCCTTTGGCTCTTCTATGTCGATCTCCTCCCTAGACAGTCCTCGCCGAGGGTCTCGTCGTACACAAGTGCCGATACATCTGACCACAGTGGATACACAAAGCACACTGGATCCGTTTAGTTCGACCGTTTGTAATGACACACGACTTTCGATTCCATCGACATCCATGCTCATGCCGACACCACACACATACCTGGCCATGCCAGAAAGCTCGCCGCATGCAATGGACATTTCATCGCCAGCTGCCATGGTCGAAAGTTCAGATACACAATCGTTTTCGATCCCGTATCCTTCGATGATGCAGCACTCGCAGTCACTTCAGCGACAGCAGCAGCAGCAAGGTATACCAACTTTGGCACCTATCCTATCGGCTGCGCCCTCGTCATCACTACGACGTGCCGACCGATCCATGCGGAAATCCATGCCTGTTTTAGGCCAGTTCGGCAGTATGTTGACCTACTCATCTAGTCCTGAAAGCCCTGAGCAGAAGCAACGGCCTAAGAAGCGCTTGGCATCCACAAGGCAGCTGCAAGATGCGTCCTTCGAGACCGATGGGCCCGATCGCTGTGTCTTCTTCAGCGAAGAGACCATAACACAATCGCAGCCCATGAACAGAGCTCGCACTCACACACGCACGCAAAGTGTATGTATATCATGCTACACAGCACCTTGTTTCCCTTCATTATCTAACATTCTTCGCAGGAATCAATGTGGTGGACGACAACCGCCACCGACATCCAAGTGCCAGAGACCAGGCCAGTGTCGCCTACACGCACAGTCTCGGCCATTGGTGATCACTCTTGCACAGCCGATAGCAGTGGAAGTGATTCGTTTCTCGTCCCGACACAACTAAACCAGCCAGAAGCAAAATCAACATCGCCTATGGCGAGCTACTTCTTCGATCCGCAGTCACCGCATGTGAGCACCATAATAAGTGCGGTGCCATCATCGCCTATGTCATCACCGAGTCTCGGTGCCGTTGATCAGGTGCCGTGGAACCATCGAGCAAGTGCTCCTTTGGTACCCCCTTCCTCCTCGAGGCAAGACTTTGAAGCAGATCTGCATGGACTTGACGATTCTTGTGATGAAACAGCGCTTATTCAACAGGGCGGAGGCTCTCCTGTTCGATCGTCAGTACGCCGAAGCACATTGGCTGTACCACGACGGATCAAAACAATGACCGAGACACTTGGAGCCAAGGAAAACGTGCCACCAGGGCCGTTGTCTTCGAGCAGCACGTCCCTATCAACACACTCGATACCTGGCTTCGGCTCACATGAAATGGACCATAAAATTCTTCCATGCTTCCCAGTCAAGTGTGACGGACTGATGCGCGTGACGCCCCAAACTGTGAGCGAGCTAATGCAGGGGCATTATGATGACCGCATATCCGGCTTCCAGATCGTCGACTGTCGCTTTGCGTACGAACATGAAGGCGGTCATATTGCAGGTGCCGTGAATTTGAATACGATTGAACAGATTCATCGGCATTTCCTTACGCCTGGGCAAGGCCTGCATGCAGGACGTATCCTGCCGACCCGCACACAGAGTGGCCAACCCGATGAGCATGGCGACATGCGCAAGTTTGTGCTAATCTTTCACTGTGAGTTTAGTTACAAGCGCAGTCCGTCTATGGCACTCGCTCTACGTCAAGCTGATCGTTCACTTTTTAATGACTATCCGAGATGCTATTTTCCTGACGTCTACATTTTGCAAGGCGGTTACGCTGATTTCTTTCAGTACCGACCAGATTTGTGTGAGCCGCGTGCTTACATTGGAATGGATGATCCCCGGTACTTGCAGGCGCGGTCATCAGAACTTTCTGGCTTCCGCCGACAGTTCTCACGGAACCGTAGCTTTGCATATGGTGATGCACCAACGTTTGGTCGCACTACGTCCGCATCTGCGACGGCAATGGCCCAGATGCGCCGCGCACCAACTCTGGTTCCCACGAACTTTGTGCCTTTGATGCCAGCTTCAACCAACGCGCACAAGCAAGATGCACCCGCAGGACGTGCGAAGCGCTCGGGCTCTGCGACCTCTGCTTCTCAGCCTGCAGCGTTCACCGTGACAAAATCCGCAACTACCGCCACCGCTGCGTCGTCGTTGGCACCACCGATGCACGAATCCGTTGCCCGTGACACAAGTTACTCATCTGGCGACTCGTCGTTTGAAGCAAGTGCCTCAGATTCGCCATGTGCTGTAGCTGGATGGAGCCGGCCTGTCCTGGGCGAAGTCCCACAATCACGATCCTCCCTTGCGAACCGACTGTTGAAGCGTGCCGATACTATAAACACGATCTCCACGCTCCCGATGTAGATTGACTTGGCATTACGAACAAAGTTGATAGCAATAGTAACTTATGCAGTAGAGAATTGAGAATAATAATGCACATTTTTTTTCACAATCTATCGTTCATAGCGTGCTACAATACATACACATACAGGATGAAGGAAATGGATGGGAATGTAGTGGATTGATCCATTCATGTCGTCGTGATGATCATCATAGCGCTCTGCTTCGCAGACGCGACAATCGGGAGCGAGGCTGATTCAGTGTGCATGAACTTGCCGTCGATGTGGATCCGTCACCGCCCGAGGTTGGCGACACTGTTGTTGTTGCTTTGCCTGCGATAGCCGCTCGTGGCCGCCTCACTAGTGCGTGAGTATTACGTTTTCTCTTTCGGTCTGCGGAGTGATGAGACGCGGCACTCGTCTCACTCAAGTCACCTAGCCAATCCCAAGCCCGATCAAGATCCGTCAATGCCATCATCTTCTCTGGTGGGCTGAAAAATGGATCAAGCTCTGCATCATCATGCAAATGCGACGGCAACTTCACGTTGGATGACGTGTCGATACACAGCCACCCTTCGTTCTTGGGTATGATGTCCTGCTCATGAGGCGCAGGAGATGTTTCTGACGATTCGAATACGTCGTCTAGAAGAGGTGGCTCCGGTAAACTGTCCAAACGGCCGGAATCGCCGGCATGAAAGTCATGTTCCTGATACTGGACATCTGTGAAGTTCATATTCACACTCTGGTTTGTAGTGGGACACGCTGCGCTCGAATCTTCCCAGCCGCTGTTGCTAACACGATATACAGTCGGTGACGCTGGTGATCCCGGCACCGAGTTGGGCGAGTCGCGCGACAAGTCTGACGGAAGTGATGGCGCTGCAAGTGCTGGCAAGCCATTGTTCTTTTCTTCGTCTTGGCACGACGACATTTCCGCGAGCTCTGCAGCTGTCATGGTATGGACAGGCGTTAGTGGTGTTTCGCCATTCGCGTCAGGAAGAGGGGTACTAGTCGTACAAGCAGCGAATTCATAAGGTAGCGAGAGTGTTAAGGAACCAGCATGCGTCCCTGAATCGGACGTGCGAGGATGCGGTACAGGAAGTGCATGTGCAAATACCGTGTCTTTGGTTTCTTCAGACATAGGTGGCGTACAACTCCGGATTTCGTCAGGTGAGTCTTTAAGACCACACGACGCCGGTGTTGTGGCGTGTCCGTCGGTCAATGCATCATCGTCTTCGCTACCCTTAGGGGAGTCAACACGAGTGAGCATGTCAAGTTCAGCATCCTGAAGCATTGTTTGATGAAAATCGTTGTCGTCGTCATCGTCGTCTTCGTAGTCGTCACAACCACCACTACAAGCATCGCGAAAAGCGCCTGCGTCGATTCTGCTGCCGTCACCAAGATTCCCGATGTCAAGAGCTTCATTGCGTCCGTAAGAGCCTTGCTCGGCTGCCGCACAAAAAATTTCCGCATGCCCACCTCGATACTTGGCATCATCAATAGATATAGCCCAAGCGCGTTCGGCAAAGTCAACATGCAGTGCATCCCGCGCCAGCTCATCGACGACATGGTCTTCTTCCTCGTCGTCCTCTTCGTCGTCTGACACAGGCGCCATCCCCATGCGACAGACGCCGTCGGCTGTGCGCACAGGTTTGGGGCTCATGATACCCGCCATGTCATTCGTGCAAGATTCATGCCGAGGTCGATGCGGCTCAGAAAAACATTCACCACGACGCGTGAACGTCACCGGTATGGACGATGCTTCAGAGGAAGGAGGTATCGTTGGCTTTGAGCTGGGGGTCACTTCGCCGGCCATTCGCTCAGGAACATTCGGTTTCGATGCCAAAGCACATGATGATGGGGTTGTCGACGTGGATGCCGACGGAGACTGTGTGCGTGGCTGTGCACTGCGCGAGGGAACACGCAGAGTAATGCGTGTTGAAACACGACTTGAGTCATCCTCTGTTTTAGTTGAAGGCTTGGTCCGAGAGCGCGAAGACTTGGATGATTTTGACAAAGACGGTGAAGCTGTTGTGAGTGGCGACGTGCGATTCAGATCAGCCGTCAGCGCCTCTGGTGGCTTATACATAGAGCTTGGACGCCGCTGTCTCTTACCGGGACCTGTTTCTTTCGATGAGGAAGTGCCGGCTGTGTTTAACATGCTTGTTGATGCAGCTGGTGTTACTATCGCTGAGTCCCTGACACCCGCGGTATTGGCATCGGTTGTCTGGGTGATTGTGCCCTCAGCTACACGCGTAGAGGACCGCTCAAGCTTTTCAGCAGGCTTATGAGCGGAGAGGGGCGTTGGCGACGGTGAACGTAACCAGCATGGAAGCTTTCTCGAGCGTGTGGCGCGACGCGGCAATTCCGTCTCCCCGGCCACATTCGCCTCTTTATTCATGAATGTGCGACAGATTGAAACGACAGGTGCAGTGTCGAGGCAATGCCGTCAGTTCTATCGCACCTCCAAAGTATATCGCCGCAGTCTATTGTGTGCGGTGGGACTTGAGGTAAGGACAAAAGAAATGATATCTGCCCACACAGGCACACAAATCACCACTCCTGCAGCGACCAGAATATGGTTAGAATGAAGCCTGGTTGGAAGACGGATTGGGACTCCTTTTGAGCGAACACCGAATAACCCACAAACGACCTGTTCACGTTGAAATTCGTTCGCTGGTGGCGCAAGAGAAAAGTGTAGCTGCCGCCGGCTCCACGACATTCAACTCTTTCCCCAACACCCTTCTCCCTCCCCTTTTTTTAGTCCACATGGCCGCCCACTCGCGTGCCCGCTCGGCCCCCCTTAAAACTTCTTTCCTGCACGCCGATCTTCCTTCATATCGTGTGCGTCCCAGCTCTCGCCCGATTTCCGCAACAATTTTCTTGGCCTGATCGATATGACCCCTGCGATAGTAAACTGGTGCATGATTCGGCCGACAAGCACTGCCGCACGGCCGAGCTGGTAAGTAAGTGATGATGTGTGCGTGCATGCCCGAATGGCAGGCGCGAACGCAGCACAATGTCTAAGCTCCGTTTTGTGTTGCGCTCGAACCAAGACGAGCTGTCCAAGCGCCAAATCTGCGCGGCTGCGTGGGCTCCCTAGCACACGATTGCCTGTGCGTCTTTCGTTGAAAAAAGAGAAACAACAAAATAATTAGTGGTAAGGGAGCAACCAGTACACAGACGTACTCTCGAATGAGCACGCCGGAACCTGCGTCCGTTCTTGAAAGTAGACCAACTGATGCATGGACCGCTGCTGCGTCTGCTGGCACCCTCGCACCTTCGGCATCGCCATCCTCGTCGGTGTGGTGTTCGTCATCGAGTAACGCTATGCCCGTCCCTGGTCCCAATGAGGACATCGCTTTGACATCGTCACAACCGCCGCCAACATTGGCGTTTCAGCCGGCCGATTCACCGTTTCATGAAAAGTCTCCCATTCCTCCATTACCACGAGGCAGGCACGGTCCTACGAACTCTCTATCTACCATACCTTCGTTTGACACACGCCCCGCTGTAGCTTCAGCACTTGACGGTGGCTTGCATGCACATCCACCCCGCGGTCGTACACGAGCAGGTACCATGCCATCTAGGTTTGGCGCCCCAGGTGCGCCACTTCCCAAATTCGACGAGCCTCTGTGGAGCGGTGCCCTTGGCGCGAGTCATGTAAGTGTGCCTCGCCATGCGACCGATTTCGAGAAGGTATCAACCACGTATAACAGCGGTTTGCCGTCATTGCCCGACGGATTCCGCCTGTTGTCCGAAAAGAGCGACGCTGATGCCCTTGGTGAGACGCAGGAATCGTCTCTCGCCAAGACCCTAGACTACTTGGGACTTGGCGATGAGCCTCGACCAGTGCCACGAGAACGTGCTCGCACCGATGCAAGTGTCAAACCGGCGTTGGGTATGATGGAGTCATCTCATCACCTTGTAATCGACCGATTTTTACAGCCCGAGTTGCTCCAGCAGCAGCAACAACAACAAAACCGTATATCATCGGCGACGTCTCCAGCGCCGCCAATGATGCCGACTCAGATCCATCCTCAAAGCCAGGCTCCGACGAAAGGATCTTCGCAGCCGTTCATGTCTCGTGCGCCCGGTTTTGGTCGTTTGCGTTCAGGAACAGTTGCCGCTATGAGTGGACCTGACGGACGACAGCGCACGGAACTCGAGCTTCAGCGCGCATATGGGATGATGACACCAGACGCACTTTCAGCACGCGTTCGAAGCAACTCTGCTCATTTGCACTCCAGTCAGCCGCGCGATTCTAGAGAGGAACGCAACCTGTACATTACACGCTTGAGTACACAAGCCTCTACACGTCTTCTCTTACGTCTCTTTGAGCCGTACGGCATGATTGAAGACATTCTATTATTCCCGCAGCACGGAGCTGCTTCTGTCCAGTTCGAAGAAGCCATTCAAGCTGAGCAAGCGGCCGAGGCCGGCACTTCTTTCATTGGTGCTTACCTCATGGAGCTGTTTAGTGACCAATCGGTCATGCCACATTTTGCCGCTGGAATGAGCTCAATTCTGCCGCCTAGCATGGATGTGGAACCAGTCGCTTCGCGCGTCATCCAAGTGTCGGCCTTGCCACCTGGCACGACACAGTCTGAGCTGACGCAGCTATTCCTGATGGCTGGCCCCATCGAGCATGTGGCAGCTCAGCCACACGCCGTGCAAATAACGTTCGAACGTATCGAAGATGCTCGCACAGCACTTCAGTTGGATGCGAGCTTGCCATTTGGTGGTGCATGGCCACTGCGCGTACTCTCTGTATCTGAAGAAGACATCTGGCCTCGTAGGCAGCCGCGAGCGACCCGCGTCGGTGGTTCGGCAAGCATCGTGCCCAGCAGCGATAAGGGCGGTGTGCCCCTCCCGTCTGAGCTCGCACCATCACTGGCGCCTGATCAACAACGGGAATGGCTCAAGGTCCTGCGCTTCCAGTCTGGTCTCGATCCAGAGCTTGAGCAGGTCGCTTCGCCCGTCGAGCACACTTATGCAACAAGCATTCCACTGCCGGCCGACGGTGGTCGAGCCAGCCGGCGTATGGATCATGCCAAGTACCGAGAGTTGCGCAAGACGCTCGAAGCGCACCGGCTGACGCAACCAGAAGTTGACCAAGTCGCTCTAGAGCAACTTGATGTCATTGTCGAGCTTGCGCGCAACTACATTGGTAATACAGTGGTGCAGCGTTTTTTCGAACAATGTTCCGAGTCTGCCAAGACACGCATGCTTGAGAAGCTAGCGCCGCATCTAGCCTCTATTGGCACTCATAAAAATGGCACATGGGCTGCACAAAAAATCATCGACTGTGTTCGTACCGAGGAACAGCAAGACCTCATTGTCCAACACATGCAGCCGTATGTGCCACCGCTACTATTAGACCAGTTCGGTAACTATGTTGTCCAATGTGTGTTGCCATTTGGATTTCCAAAGGCCGACTTCATCATGGATGCCATGGTCGACCGGTGCTGGGAAATTGCACAGGGCAGGTTCGGTGCCCGCAGCATGCGGACTTGCTTGGAGCATCCCGACATGCCTCGGCACCATGTAAAACGAGTAGCTCTCGCTATCATTTTACACTGTGTACCGCTTTCCACCTCGTCAAATGGAGCTCTCTTACTCACATGGCTCTTTGAGTCGTCCGGCCTTGCTGGCGTCAGTACATTGGTCGCCCCGCGTTTTGTCCCCTTCATGTCTCAAATGTGCACACACAAACTAGCATCTGGTGTGATATTGCGGATTCTATCGCAAACGGCTGACTTAGAGTCAGCTCGCCTCCTCCTTCAGACCCTCTTCGATGTGCCCCGCATGCAAGTGCTGGAAGAAGTGCTCTTGGACCCAGTTCATGGAGTTCTCCTTGTGAGCCGTGCACTGTTAAGTCCAGCACTTGAACGTGATGCGCAAGTTAAATACTCACAAGCAACCGCTGAGCTCCTCCAACGCAACGATCTCGTATATGTGCCTGCTTACCGCCGCCTAGCCGAACAGGTCGGTGTCTTGCACGATGTGCCGACGCGTGTCCCTACACTCAAATGGGATGGAAATGCGCCACTACACCCGCCGCCAACAAGCTTGACGTCCCTTCCACCTGGAGCTTTGCCTGCGACCACAACCGGCCTTTCATTATCAGCTACTCTTCCACGACCCGCCTCTACACCAGTATTCCAGAACGAACTAGGGTGAGACTTGGATCAATTGTTCTTAGTTACCTGACATGTCTTTTGTTATAATTTCCCATACACTCTCACGGATGGAAGTCTCATCCTGCCTATCGCCTGTGGCTTTATTAATGTAATCGTTTCTGTGATCGCGACGAGCGCAGATAACATAGTGATATCATGTCTATTTTATGGTGGCTTGTTAAGCCCTTCCCTTTCTTACTTGCTCACTTTTTACAACATCATCAAATCTACTACATGCCAAAAATGGAGTGCTTGGTAGATGCGAGGCCTCAAGATGTTGTGCATTGATATCCGCTCCATTCAAAGCTTTACTTGCATTGTGCGCGTCACGACTGGAAGACATCGTAACACGCACAGAATAGGTCGCGACATCCTTCAAGCTAGCCGGGAAATCCACATGTAAGACGCATCCATGTGGTTCAACAAGCTGGCGCACATCATCTTGATCAATTGTTGCCGCAGGAAGAAGTCCCTTGAGCTCAATGACCGCTGGAGATGTGCTCTGCATGCCATTCTGCTCGTTCTCATCAGAAGAATCGGGTGTGCCCTCTCGCTGAACGAGTGCGTAAGAAACTTCCATAGGATATCCATGCCATACAAAACCTTGAAGCGCCTGCATCGCAGCATGTGCACTAGCAGCAGAGTCCATGTCGATGAAACCGCGTCGGCGTGCTTGTGTGTCAAGCATTGCAAGAATCACACAGTGCACGACACGGCCGAATCTGCTGAACAAAGACTCCAGCTCATCCTCCTTCACGTCCAGTGGGAGGTTCAGCACGTATAAATTACGATGTCCCAAATGGGTCGTGTTTTCACTTTCCAGATTTGTCTTGGCAGCGGCAGCCCAGCTTATTGGCCTTTGCAACTGGGATGGAGCTTCTTCTGGCCGTCTTGACAGCACTGCTTCTCGAATACGACTGACGGCTCGTGTTAGTATTCTGGAGAATTAACCATGTCCCGTAGACAACATACACTGCTTTGCCTGCGACATAGTGCCCCGTACGTTGACATGCTCGCTGAACTTCATCCATGTTCGATAAAATCACACTGGCTGTGCTTTTACCGTCTTCCTCTGTTATTGATACACTTAGGACTTGCATAGGGTGCAAGAGCCGTGAAACATCAACAGTGGTTGCTGGTATTAGCACGCGCGTCTATTCAATATCCACGTACCATTCAGAGGAAGTGACTCGATTACGACTTTAGGACTCGTATTCTGTGGCATGGTGGATGGGGCACCCACCTGAGCTAAACACCCGACTGATTGCACATTGCTTGTGAGACTGTATGCGCGTGTACGCGTGTGTCAGATATTCATCAGTAGTGGGCTCGTGCACGGATGAAAGAGGTAGCACGATCGGCCGAGTTCGGCGGCAGCCGACAGCAATCACCTAATCGACCCTTTCGTATACAGCGGCCTGACATTATCGCCAAAGTATTCGTCGCGAACGGCAAACGTGCTGAGCGACTCATTCGAGCCAGTACTTGGGCATTGAAAAAGTGCTCGAGACTGGTGGCGTGCGCTCGTATTGAGCTAATATATCATGGAAGAGGGCGACTTTATTTTGTATGACGATAAGGACGGAGAAGAGCACCCGCCAGATGTAATTCGGAACAAGTCAGCGTTTCTTGAACATCGAGCGACCCGACCTGATGCTTCACCCCTTTTTGATGAGACTCCTTATACCAGTATCCTTAATTCGAACCATTCTCAGAGCTCGTCAGAAAATGTGTCACGCGTGTCGCCTGCCACACTCAGAAGTGTCTCACCCAATACAACGCCTCCCGAGCAGCCGTCCCAACCGTCTAGCGGTACACTTGGCGAACCGTTGGATTTGCTATCGTTGCATTCTGCAGATTCTGATAAAAAAGCTACACTCAGCTCTGCACCTCTATTCCCGCATCTCCCCCGCGATCCTCCAACACCACCTAACGAGTCCGCCAACCAGCCACAGCCATCGCAGCCATTACCGCCATTCTTCAACGATGCTCATGCGGCTGCAGCTGCTTCGCTATTTTGGAATCCGGGAAACACAGATGCGAATGAAAATCTCCGTAGATGGCGATCCTATTGGAGCATGCACGGAGGCAATGCACCTGTGCCGTCGATGGCCGCAGGTCACGATGTGCTTCGTGCACAGAAACAAGCAGATGATATGAACCAGACACAACCACACATCGATCAGCAGCTACAGCGGCAGCAACAGCAGCAGTTTGGTTTGGAGTCTTATCCACAACCGTATCCGCAGCCATCTGTGCATTCGCTCGCTCAGCGTCCAAACGACAAATTGACAATATCACCTCGCGAGCTTCATATTGATTACAATGAAGCTACCACACCTCCTGCCAAAGTCAAAGACCCTCCTGTGATCGGAGATGCATTCTCCTTGTTTCCCTCGCAGTCCACCAGTGGGCATCTGCCATCACAGACCATGTTGTCCAGCGGCATGGAAACAGGGTCCAGTACCGAGGAAGAAGACGATGAGGATGAAAAGCCATACACAGCAATGAATGGCATTCATCTCGGTACGACCATGCCGAATGAACAGCTTCTTCAGCAATGGAGCCGACCTATGTACGGAGGAGTCACGTCAGATCTGTCGATCACTGGCACAGGGCATACTCGTGACACGGACACAAGATGGCCAAGTTTCGGTCCTTCGTTCTCTTCGGTCTCAGCGTCGAGTGAATCCGAAGATGAATTGACGGATCGAATGCATCGTGCATCTCGTCATGCGGGACCTCACTCACATACCCCTATGCGTCCTTTTCATCACACGGGATCAGGCACGCTAAGTGCTTATGGTTATATCTCTGGCAGTCAAGACAGTGCTATGAGTACCAGTGCAAGTACGGACAATGAGTCACGCCGCAGCTCGACCATGTCCATGAGTGTCTCCGAAAGCGAGTTCGGAGGACGTGGTGAGTCTGAACGGCGGAGCCCATCAATACTTCATGACGCACAATCTGCCGACCCTATGCCACAGCTTTTATCGACAAGAACGCCACCGCCCGAAAATGAGACCTCGGCGTGGCGTCGTACATCGAATCGACATCGCAGACCGGACGAGCCCGACAGACATGCGACATCGACACCGACCGCACGAGTGCCGTACGATTCATCTAGTCCGCATCGTTGGCGCAACGGCGAAGTCAGCACTGAACGTCATGGTACGAATGCTGACGTCCAAAAGAAAGCGGTTATTGCAACGAGTCTCCAGGCCGATGCTGACGAGGATGCTGGCGGAAATGCTGATAATGACATGGATGCTAACGGCGATGGTGATGCTGAGTCTGACTATGAACAAACACATCACATTTCTCAGCCCTTGACACGCACTGGATCGCGGCGGGGAAGACAGCGCACTATAATTGGCGGTCCGAAAACATCTACTGGGGCAGCATTGCACCATCATGGATCTGCAGGACATCAAACCGACACATCACCCCGTGCGGTGCATGGTGTAGCACGCAACAATACCTCGTCACCTTCTCCTGGCTCAATCATCCGCTGTGATTACGTATCGCCGCTAACAAACCAGGTGTGTGGTACAGTGTTCCATCGCATGTACGACTTAGCACGGCATCGCATAACGCTCCATTTGCGTGAAGAGGCACAACTTTTCAAAGACGGCGTACTGAATCTGGATCAGTGTGTCGTCCTTGGAAAAGAGGTCGATGTCAAAAAAGCGCTTGCTGAGCTTGAATGGACTTGTCGTTGCTGCGGCGCGACTTTTTCACGAAAAGACGCCCTACTTCGACATGAGCGACTTCGCCATCACAGATAAAATACCTTGTATGTATTAGTAGATTTCTTCCTCAGTCTTTCTCCCTCGGTAGATACCATCCATTCGTTAGGTTTATTGATATACACTGTTGGTTGAAGTGAACAATCTGGCTTGCCCAGAGACAACGGGAGGTCAATTCTAACGTGTGTTGGCGTATCCAGAAAATCGTGTGGAGAGGTTGAAAAAGTGGCTAACATCGCCGGACTAACATGCGTCTGGTTCGTTTGATCTAACGGGCGAGAGACACATCCATTTTGCTTCGCATGAACGACGCGCTCTTAGACGAAGTTAGCGATCCATCTGACTGGACAGGCGCATGGTCAGAGCTTCGACCACTTGATACCAGTCTCCGATGCGGTCTTTGCTACGTACGTGACGTGCTGGTGGCTGACCGCAGGACATTTTTCGCGCCCCCGTGGCGCTTCGAGAATGTGCACATCTGTTTTGCTCTTCTTGCATCAGAGAGCACATCAACCAACCTGGTGGAACCGGGACTTTTTGCCCAAACTGTCGCCAGAAAAAAGCCTTTGATGCAGAACTAGTTGCGCAGCCGGCACTTGAAGCCGCCGCAAATCATTGGCGTCATGCGCGGTACGTGGGCAGAAATTTTTTCTTTTGCCTTACCGAGAGCTGGTTTCTTACAAGATTAGACCATTTTTGATGAAGCAGTGGCGCACTATAGAGGCGCTTGAGTCGAATCTTCTACATAAGAACAATAAGCAGCTGGCAGCGCCAAGTGAAGACGGGGAGGCGCTGAAAGAAAAATTAGATGAACGTACGAAAAGACGACTTCGGCCACGGAAACGTGCAGCAGTCGACGATTTGGATGGTGAGCATGTTGATTACCGTGCTCTGGATGCATCGACGTTGGTCCAGTGTCCAATTTGCCAGCACGAATTTGACGCGGCCACTCTCAATGAACATCTGGATCGTGGATGCGGTCTTGATGACCCACATCCAGCATCGTCATCGGCGTTGTCGTCGACAGCATCGTCAAAAATGGATTCCTGGCTACGGAGGCCCTCCATGACGCACCAACCAAGTCCTAAACGACTCACTCGTCCTCAGTACCAGCTCAAGTCGGAAAAAGATCTACGCAAAATGCTCGAGGTATGCTTATGATTCCTCTCCTGACTCACCCACAGGCCCTGGAACTTCCGGCGAGTGGAACAAAGGATCGTTTAATTGATCGGCACCGACATTGGGTCAATTTATATAACGCGAATCTTGACGCCGCGCCTGCTTTGCGCGCCTCTATACCATCGCTACGAAAACAGCTTCGACAATGGGAACGTGCGCAAGATGAGTCTCTCTGCTCCAAAACGATCACCACCGAAAAACAGGCGCAATCATGGCTTAAAGCGAATCAGGATACATACGCGTCTCTAGCCGCTCAAGCACGAGCCACACTGCATGCTTCTGAAACGAAGTATTCTGCTGATCCCTCAACTGGGGGTCAAGATAGTAATATTCCTGGGCACTCATAGTTGCTCTCATGAAAATGTAAATTAAACCTTCATGAGAATGGCCCAAGTGTATTGTTCCCCTTCGCGCTTCACTCGCGTCCTGCAGATTTTAACCACGCCCAAAAACTCGCAGTTCTCGTTTGTAAGTAAATTAAAACTTAGTCTTACATGAGATGAATCCTACCTGATTTGACAACGACAAGACCTTATTTTCTCCACATCTCCTTTCGGTGCCACAAGTCTTTGAGTACCCTGCAAGGTTTGTTGAAAGCCTGGCGAGGTGAGAGCGTGGCTCTTTTCGCTCGCGGGCATGGATGACGAGCAATGTTTATCAAAAGAAACGAAAGTACAGACTTCCTCGCAATGTGAAATGCCGAAAAATACCGTGGGTGAACTGATGAGTGTTGAAGACCCAAAGAATTGGCCCCTGTCAAAGAAGGTGTACATCAATACCGTATTGATGATGATTGTGTTTTTGCAAACATACGCGTCAGGCGTATATTCTCCAGGTATTTCCGCCATGTTACACGATATAAATATGAGCAAAGAACTCGCCCATCTAGGCACAGGTATTTATATGTTTGGTATTTCGGTTGGATCATTACTATGGGGTCCCATGAGCCAAACCGTAGGGCGTCGACCCGTTTTTATCGTATCTCTCTTGGGTACCATACTTTTCAGCGTTGGTGCTAGTTTATCCATGCATGCAGCAGGAATTATCATATGTCGTTTTTTCGCTGGAGCAATGGGCGCTACGGCTTTTTCAAATGTCGCAGGAAGCATCGTTGATATGACGACGGAACGCGAGCGGAATCCATACAATACCATGTTTCGCTTCTTCACATTCATGGGACCTGCAGTCGCAGCTACTGTTGGCGCTGTTGTTGTTCATGATTCTAACTGGCATTGGAACTTGCGCAGTTTACCTGTTGCGGCATTCGCTTGCCTGGTACTATACACATGGACAGTGCCTGAGACGTATCTACCGATTCTCATTGAACAGCAGATCGAGACCGAGATGGAGAACGTGGAAGAGCAGCTACATCATCATTCATGGTTCCATCGGAAAGTAAACCACATTTACCATCATTTGCCCGGTCTGAAACTCGTGAAATTACTTTTATGGCGCGTGATTGTGTCACTTCCTGTACCATGGATTCTCCTGATTGAAGAACCACTAATTATGGTCATTACGTTTTACACGTCTCTTCTGTATGGCTTGCTGTATGGATTCCTTCTCATTTTTCCTCAGGTTTGGGGCACAGTCCGTGGCTTCTCTCCCGTTCAGGTGGGCTACACGTATTTTGCCGTGATGGCAGGATTCTGCTTGTCCACTGCGTTTGTATCGCTTTGGATCCAAAACACAGAGTACAGGCGTGCATACGATATGAACAAACACTCACCGGAGCTACGGATCCGCTCCGGTCTGTTTTCCACCTTCCTCGTACCGATAGGGCTGTTTCTCTTCGGTTGGACAGCACCATTCCCGCATGTGCATTGGATTGTCCCGTGCATTGGCGCCATGTGCTTTTCAATGGGCATGTTATGCGTTTTCAGCTCATGGATGGCATACATGACCGATACGTACAGCAATAACACAGCCGCTGTGATCGCAATGAATTCATTCGTACGCTGTGGACTTGCGGGGGCTTTCCCCTTATTCACTGAACAGATGGTCACTGGCATGACATTGCAAGGTGCGATGACTTTGTTCGGTGGCATATCGATCCCGCTCTCTGGCGCTGGCCTCGTCATTGCTTTCTATGGAAACCGGATCCGGGAAAAGAGCCGACATGCTGTGTATGGATAGTCATATCTCCTTTCAAAACTTGCCTGTAATATAGAGTCAGAGACGACCCGATATATTTGTGAAAAATACATACCACGAAGAAGGTTTAGAATCATCTCCCGCGCCGTGATCACACATGTGCGTCCGAATGTACGAAGATCGAGTGTCGAAAATAAGGAGTCAGCCATGCCAAAAGGAAGCATTGGTGGAACCCAGCCTTGCGCGAGCTCCAGCGCCCAGCATCCTGACTCTGGCATCATGTATTGCTTCACCTCACCTCGTTTCAAATGATGCATCGATCCGGCTGGGTACCGCTCAGCACTCAAATCACCGGCACGGAATGCAAGCTGCTCACCATAAAGAATGTGGAAGTAGTCATCTGCAGTATGACGGCCAGTGTGACCTTCCGTACCGATAGGTGTGCCAAAGAAAATCAAGTATTCAGTGATAGACGCGTGGATGATGTACATGGAACCCATGGCGCCACCTGCATTGTTGAATACCCATTCATTGGGATCTCGGAATGAGTTTCTGTTCAGCATCGGTGCAATCTTGGGATCCTTCTGGAGTTCACCCACGATCTCCTCAAAGATCATGTCAGCCGCATCGCCATGCTTCGCTACTGCATTTTTGGCAATTGCTTCTAATTTTGGCTGATCAAAAATAAAAAACTGACGCAAATTTGCTTCGACATAGGTAATAATTGTTCCAATAAGTGCAATGATCGTGGCGAGGATGGCCACGCCGATGAATGTGCGCCTCGGCTTGCTTGTCGACGTGCGCGGCTTGACCATGCTGAGTACGAAGATGCGAAAGACGTTAGGAGGGAAGGGCCGAGTGTGGAGGCATTAATGCCTGGCCCAGCGTGTGGTTGGACCTTCAATTTGCGAGGGATGTACGCTTTGTGCGAAAATACGCTCCATTTTTTTGTGCCGTTACTGAAAGTCCTCATTTACATAGAATGCTACAAACGTACGAGACAAGTGGTACTCGTTTTGCATAAATCACGCACTCTGTAGACGTGTCAATTAACTGCTGCCCACAACTGTGACGCAAAATCGACGCGTGCAGAGCCTGATCGCTGTAATGCCATATGATCAACGTCGAAAGACGCAGCTACATTTCTTCTGGCAGAGCGAACAAGGAGTGACGTAATTTGCGCATCAGGCTCATCATTCTCTTGACAGGGAATGAATCCCATACCACGAAACAGCTGCAATGCGAGACTGGGAAATTCAAATTAGCTCTTCGAAGTAACGGTCACTTACGCGTTACGGTCCATGCCCACTTCCTCCTCGACGTCCCAGTTTTCCACGACCTCACTTTCACGACGCAGCTCGTCGATCTCTGACTCTAGCATAGACAAGGTTGATTCTTGATCATTTATGTTTTTGGCTAAATCGAACTTTTCATCTTCGAGTGCTTTCATGATAGATGTGTGATCCTCGAGTGAGCGCCATTCTGTCGACGCGCGTGTAGAGCTTTCACGTAGTCTGGCCACTGACAACTCGAGCTCTATGCTATGTCAGCTAATCCGAAATCGCCTTTCATATACATACGCTGGATCATGCCAGAAAACTCGGCCTGTTCTGCTTCACGCCGACGCTGAACTTCTTCCAACATGCCCTTAAAGTCTCTGATGCGGGATAGTTCTTCATCAGGGACCAGCACTGAATTCAACTCGCTTATCATTTCACTGCCGAGTTAGTACCGCATTTTCCTAGCATTATGAAGTTCCAAAAGTATACGCACGGCAAACTGGATTCTGGGATATGTGCATCGGAAGATCGAGCTGACATGGTGTACACTATCAGGATAACGACACTGCGTGATTGTGCATATTGTATGGCCACGTGGCCAACAAAATTCAAAAACAAAAACTTGTGACAAGAGTGGGATTCGAACCCACGCCCGAAGACAACGGAAGCTGGAAGCTTTTGAATTAAGGAAACCTTAACGTTGCGCCTTAGACCACTCGGCCATCTTGCCTGAACTGTTAATGGACGATATGAATTTAATGTATATCAAAACGATAAAAATCGTAAGCATGATGCCTACCTTACTCTGAGTTTGTCTAAGGTTCCTAATTGAGTTTGAAGAAATGCATCCAAAACAATCCATGTTATTCCTACGATGGTTCTAGTCCTAGGATATGCTTGGGTTTAGCGAAGAGTAGCACGTACCTTGAATTCATCTCTGATGATCCATTTAGCCCCTAGCTTTTTACTTTCACGCATTGCACATTCTTGGAGACGTGCTTCAATGGCAGCTTTGCTTACACCTTTGACAGTGGGAGCGAAATGCTCGCGGAGGTCCTCGACAAGAGCGGGTTTCGAGCGTGTTGACCCTTGAATCATGGACAGCAGCTCGGGCAGGCGGGTATCAGGAAACATAAATTTGGTCGTGCGTGGCTGACCAGTGGATACAGTGTGGACAGTGCTAGAATCTGAAGCGTCAGGAGGAACAGAGGCATTAGGAATCGACGATGCCGCCGAAGGCACGGTGCTCAGCTTGCTTTCATCTGTCACACATATGTTTGTTGACACAAATGAAAATGGGTCCAAGCCCACATAGGCATCATTCATTAAATGGATTTGGTAGGGCGCAAAACTATCGTGACTTGGCACAGACACAGTAGTTTCCCAATGGGGACCCGTCGAATAGGGCACCAGCTTAGAGTCAAATCGTCGACCCAAGAGTTTGAGTTTCTTTTTGGGCTTAAGGCTGTGCGCAGTTGATGGACCACGAATCAACGCATTCCGTGATGAAGCAACATAACCAGATATACTGGATTCTTCTTCTGCTGGTACAATTTCGTCCTCTTCTAGATCATCTTCGAGCCAGTCTTGCATTTCGGAATCGGCCTCAGAATTGCCGATACTCTCCGCATCTTCTTCCCGATCATCCAAAGCATCGTCTACATTTTCACCTTCTTCCATATCTTCCCACTCGAGATCACTGTCAAACGAGTAGTCGATAGATAGTGGATCTTGTCCGAAAGGCCTTCGTGGGCGAATAAATGTAGACGATCGAGTGTGTGTTCCGATCCAGCCGGGACGTCTGTCAAGATGAAACTGCAGTAGCTTAATGGAAACAAGCTCGCGATTGTTGAGCTTTTCTAACTCACGTTTAGCGCGCTCCTCGGCATTTCCGCCGAGGACGTCCGACTCAGTGACCGTTTTGACAATGTCCCGCACACAGACGGGCGGATGAATTCCCTGCCTCGTTGGTTTGTGTAAAGCACGTTCAGACCGGAAGGCCAGTTGGAATTCAGCGAGCAGCGCTTTTGTCGACTTATGTCGTGTGTCGAGCTGATCAAGAAGTTCATCATTCACTGGATGGTAGAATCGATTCGTTTCTGCCATGTCTTTGTACTCACAAGGAGGAAATGTTAGCTCAAAATCTGTCTTCTTCTCGAGATTTTCGTTATCTTTTTTAAGAGACTTGATCGTAGGCTGTTGAAAAAAGGAATTGAAGAGCCGGACTTGCGCTAGCTTGTCCTTTTCTTCCTTCTCCTCCTTAGCCTGACGTTCTGCACGGCGCGATTCGCGTAATTTCGTTCGTTCAGACTTTTCCTTCGGAGCTGATGGTGCCGTGCGTTTCGTGGGTGAGTCTTCTGGAGTAGGAGCATCTTGAAACGGAATAGGTGATGATGATGGTACATTCGATGATGTCTCAGATTCAGCAGATGGGTGTACATTTTTTGGTGGTCGCGTTGGCTTTTTGGATGTCAAAAGGGACTGCCGCTTTTCCGATGGGAGTGCTTGAAACATGGAATTGGCCTCTTCTCGCGCTCGAATACGCTCTTCGCGACGTGACATGAGTTTGTCAAGATTTTCTTTGGGCAGCAAACTTGCGTCCGTGACTTCCCAGCGCCATATGTGCAGTGACTATTGTGTAAGATGATCAACCGTTTATACGTACAGGAGGAACAACATCTTCGTCTTGACTTGACTCTATGCCGTAGTTGACTCGTTTTGCAATCGCTCTAAGACTTGTCTGAATTGCTGAAACAGGAAGTGTATCAAAGCTCTCGCCAGCGCCATTCACGAACTCGCTTCCTTCTGGCAGTAATGTTGCATGAATTTTTCGGGCCAGTTCTACTTCCGGCTTGTCACTTATGGTCAATCTTCAGTAGCTCCGCGATGTAATACGGTACCTTTCTTGTGCTAACGAGGCAATTACACTTAGATGTTCAGGAGGCATTTCGGTAAATACATCCGATCGGTGCTCTGCAAAGAATGACTGAAACGCAAGAACAGCTACATGTAAGCATTGAAGGCCTTTCGTACCTCTCAAAACAGGCATCGTTCGATCCCAACCGACGGCCTTTTGGCGCAGACTCAAGCGTGTATTCTTCAGCGTGACAAGTGCAGCAGGTGCGACTCGTGCCTGTTTTTTGGTTTTCAACGACGGTATCTCTTCCGCTTTGCGCTTGGCAGGTTCCTGCGCCGATTGCGTGCCGTGATGGGCAAGTTCTTTACCGTCCATGGCCGGGGACCGCCAAGCAGCGATGAATTGGAATTTGACTTTGTGACAGCGCTTCAGGACAAACGCGTGACGCGTCGCGTCCATTTCGTTGATAAAATCCTGCCCTAGTAGGGAAAAAGGTATTCAACACAACACGTGTCAGCTTATGTTTCTCCATAGATTTGTGTTCGTGCGTTCCGCTGAAAGGACACAAGGATTGTGACACTACGGCATGTCCACAGCAGAGAGTCAGCCGTGGGTTGAGCGCTAGTGCGTTGAAGTACGATAAGAAACTGACAATAGCCGTCCTAAATCAATTGATGAAGTGGCTTCACAACAGCATGCCGTGAATGTACTTCGAAAAGCACTCACGTCGGCAAACGTACGTAATTTTGACTCCTTGGTTCGCATCGCTCACTGTTGCCAAGCTGCCTCACATGCTGTTCTATGGTCCACCGGGAACGGGAAAAACCTCTACAATTCTAGCCTTGGCTCGACAACTATATGGGTATGTCTGAACGGAGCGTGGCGCGACTTTGCTGACTGGGGGCTTTAGGCCAGAATTGATGCGCTCGCGAGTGCTTGAACTGAATGCATCAGACGAGCGCGGTATTTCCGTTGTGCGAGACAAGATTAAGTCTTTTGCACGAGCTGCTGTGTCTGCGCCTAATCCAGACTACCCATCACCGCCATACAAAATCGTCATACTTGATGAGGCTGACAGTATGACACAGGACGCCCAAGGCGCCCTTCGTCGAATTATGGAACAGTACAGCCGTATCACTCGATTCTGTCTGGTATGCAATTATGTGACCCGCATTATCGAGCCTGTAGCGTCGCGCTGCAGCAAGTTTCGTTTCAGGCCCTTGGATGTCGCCAGCACAGAGGCACGTCTGCTGCACATAGCCCAGATGGAAGGCTTGCGGCTAAATCCTGATCTGGTGCCTGTACTGATACGCTCATCAGAAGGGGACATGCGTCGGAGCATTACATATCTACAATCCATTGCTCGTCTGGCATCTGCACGCGGTGGTGACGTGCGAGATATGTCTCCTACAACAGTTAGTGAGCTTGCTGGTGCGGTGCCGACATATGTGATTCAGTCACTTGTGCGCGCAATTGGTATCGATTCTGATGATATAAATGATGAATTGCCTCCGCGTGCCACTGGTAGCACCGACTTTGACGTGATTGAGCGTGCTGTTCGACATGTTGTTCGAGAAGGCTACTCCAGCTTACAGGTCGTTCTTCAAGTACGTTCCGTGCCTATTTTGGTATCATTTTACTCACATCTTAGCTACATGACTATATTATCTCGCATCCGCTCCTCTCTGCCAAGCGAAAAACGAAATGCGCTCTTCACTTGGGTGCAACAGACAAGTCTCTCATGGACGGCGGCGAGGAAAGTCTTCAATTGCTGGCATTGTGCCTGGCCCTCCACGAGGATGTTATAGGACCACCCTAATAGGAACAATAGCTCGACGGATGACGGCAGTAGGGGCTGCCAAAAGACGTCGATGAGGCCATTTCTTCTGTTGCTCCCAGACCTACAGATAGCAGTGGCTGCTGGCTCCTGGCGACCGCTACTTGCTCTAAACGACCACGATGCCGTATGTGAGGACACAAAATATCCACTAACTGATTTCTCTAGGCTGTACGAACTATTTTGCGTTGCGATCGCTTCTGCTGAATCGGTACGCAGACACCTTGGTCACAAGAGCTTTTGCGCTAACAGGCTTATAGGCGCCCTTGCGTGATTTGGTGCACACAACGTCGCGACTTGTATTGGATCACGGTGGTGTTGTGCGAAACGTGCAGTATTGGGGAAAACGCACTTTGCCGCAGCGCGCGAGGCGGCATCAACAGCTGCATTCATCTGGAGAGTACGTGTGCGAATGAAATCACAAAAAGAGACCTAACACATGAAAAGTTACTGGCTTATGCAATTTGATACCAATGCGCCTACTCTAAAGGTTTTGAATGACCGTCTGCGTCAAGATCCGCGTGTAATCAAATGGAATACGCTCAAGCTTGGTGAGAAGCTGCGTGAACTTGTGCCACCGGGTGCCTCTGGTGGTACTACGCCATCCCAATCGACTATGGGTGGAAGGACAGTCGACTATCTCGGCTAGCTGAAAAAAAATGACATCCACAATTTTCTTATTCCCTTACGCGCTGGAAGAAACATTGGACCAAAAAAAGAGCGACCTTTCCTCATTATGCTTTTAGAGGCTCGATCTATGTGGCTGCAGATGGCAATGATAACACTATATGATCTGTGATGTACATCGTATCCATAGCACCAATGACATCTGCTATCTGAGAACTCTGGAGTCCCTTGATTCTCTCACACTCGATGGAGGTGTAGTTGGCGAGAGCGCGACCCACCTCGAATGATGTAGGCGCTTCAGAAGCGTCGTCTTCGTTCTGGCCTTGCCGGACTTTGAGTCGCACAGCTTGAAGTCGTTCCCAGTTGCCTTCAACTCCCACCACACCAGCAGGCAGGAGACGACCACCCGACTCTTTCCGTGAAATTCGCTCGTACGCGCCGCGATCGATGATCAACGCACCACATGGGTGCATCGCGTGGAGAATCTGCCATTTCTGCGCCGGTAGCCGTTGACGCTGAGGAAGAAATAGTGTACACGGAGGGTCGACAAGTTGCATATCAGATCTACTGCTCGCCTGTGCCACAATGTCCTGCTCCACAATGCGGACGATGTTTTCAGGATGTGCGCCATTCAGAATGACCGTGGCTACGCCGGCGGCCATGGCTAGTTCAGCAGCCACTAGTTTGGTTTGCATACCGCCAGTGCCAAACGAGGAACCCATCGTCTTGACGCACGTGGCTTTCCTAGCTTCGTCCATGTTGCGCACGACATGAAGTCTGTGTGCATCGGGACGCGTGCGTGGATTGTCGGTGTAAAGACCATCTACATCCGTGCACAGAAAAAGGTAATCAGCATCGATAATGCCAGCCGTGATTGCTGACAACGAGTCATTATCACCAAATCGCATTTCGAATACAGACACGGTGTCATTTTCATTGACAATTGGTACGGCATAAAAGTTGTCCATAAGAAGAGTATCAAGTGTCGTGCGCGCATTCACGTACCGCGGGCTATCTGCCAAATCTGAACGTGTCAATAGAACTTGAGCTATGTTGATGCCCAGCATGCCAAACAAATTGTCCCACAGTGTCATCAGCCGCAGCTGTCCAAGCGCTGCTAGAGCCTGGCGCTCTCCAAGATTCTTTGGCTTCGTCTTAATGTTCATGCGAATGCGACCCAAGCCAATTGCTCCTGAGCAGACCAACACCACACGGTGTCCGTTCTGTCGAAGCTGCGACACGGCCTCAACGATGGACGACATGATGCGGATTTTGGGCTCCAAGGTCGATTCAGAGAGAATCGATGATGAACCGAGCTTGATCACGACCGTTTTGCGCCTCATCCCATCTTTCAGCATCGCCCAGCACACACACACACACACACCCGCTGTCGCTCTTGGCACACGCAGTAAGAAGGTTGTGGTGCGTGGCAGCAGCGGCTTTTGTTTGAACGCACGGCGCACGACTCACGTGACTCACATTCATGCACTTCCCCATTTTTTTTGTCCCTCTCATCCAAACGCTTGTGTGCCAAAAAAATTTCTTGTTCTCGACGACGTGCTCGATAGTTCAGAGTGTGGAACGAGACTTGTGTACGGGCCGGTCATCTACTCACTTGCGTCAGATTAAGACGCTTGCGCTCTTTCAGACGTGAAAAGGGAAGAAGAGGACGCCGTCTACCATCATGAATGACGTGAGCGACAAAGTAGGCTCGCTAGGACCTGGGGCTAAGCCGTCGTCTGTGCCGGTGCCTCTGCATCGTGTACGATTTGTTGACTGGAGCCCGTCAGCGATTACGGCATTGGCTTTGTCGCCCATACCGTATCAGGGAAGCACAAGTGCAGCACGCTCTGTGCTCGCCGTGGGGCGCGACAATGGGAATATTGATCTTTGCATGTGGTGTGAAGACACGTCCTCCGGTCATGCATCTGTTGCAAAGGGATGGACACCTGTGATGACGCTGCTGGGCGACGAGCACTATAAGATCGAGTCACTTGCATTCACTGTGTCTCGAGATGCGAAATACGGTGTGGTTGGGGACGCATACTTGCGTCTTTTCAGCACATCCGGAGGCAGTATAGTGTCGGAACACTTTTTGCCCGCATCCATTGCGTATATGGGTGAGCGATCTATCTTTGCACAGGTCCCTGATCCGCCAAAGGTACCTACGCGCACTCTATCGTCGCATGGCGGTGCAGTTTGGAGTATGGCTGCAAGTCCTACAGGCAAATACTTGGCGATTGGGTGTGAAGATGGAGTCGTACGTCTTATTGACGTGGGGGGAGATGCGTTCGAGCACGTCGGTACTGGGATGCGTGTGGCTCCGCGCATGACACGTGTTGCGAGCCGAATTTTGAGTTTGGCTTGGGGACCGCCGCGTCGTAACGTGCCATCTAAGCCAAAGAAACATGTATCGCGTCAAGGCGCGATACATACTGACGACAGTGACGATGACGAGGATGATGACGACGAAGATGAGGATGTGGAGGATGAATGGATTGATACGTTTCTTCTCGGTGGTCTAGGGAATTCCACAGCAGCTGTGTGGGATGTAATGACGGGCCAACTTCGCTCGCGCCTCACGCTGCTGAAGAATCGACAAGAGCATACCATTGTGTGGAGTGTGGCAGTTTTGCGGGATGGCACACTTGTGTCAGGCGACTCGACAGGTCGTGTGACATTCTTTGACGCACGAACACGCATCCCGATTCCTGGCGCTACGTTCCAGTGCCATACAGCAGGAGCCGATGTCCTAACATTGTGTGTAAGCGCTGATTCCTGCGCCGTATACAGTGCTGGCGTTGATCAGAAAGTCGTCGAGTATATGCATGTGGGCCATGCCTGGACCCATACCGGCACACGCCGACTCCATGCGCATGATATTCGTGCTTTGGCAATAGACCCACCCTTGAACTTCCTGTCTGGCCCAGCCTCTGTATCAACGTCCCAATCCACCCCTACTTCAATGTCAAATGTACCCATTCTTATCAGTGGTGGTCTGGACTTTCACCTTGTGCTGACGCCTGCTTCTCATGCCTCGTGGCGCTCAAAGCAACAACCTAACAACCCGGTGTCGTCCAGTCTTTCCACGTCTTTTGCCGATACGACGCAGCGTCGCGTCGCATTCGTGCCTACGAATGGGCGGGATAGTGTCGTTGGTGTAGCGCCTCTAAAGCGTTGGATCATGCTTCGTCGTGAGCGCAGCATAGCGATTTGGGCCCTCGGTGATCACGAATCTGATCCTTGGCACAAGGTATGGGAACTAGAGCTGAGCACGCGCTCAAATCTTGGTGCTGCAGCCATTAGTGCGGATGGTCAGTTCCTGGCCGTATCAGATCTATACGAGACAAAGCTGTACTCGATGCAAGCCACGCCGCGGCGAATTGCATCTCTTGGGCCTGCCATTCACGGACGCGATGTGTCTGCGCCGGGTGCGTCTGCCTTGGTCTTCACCCCGGATTCCTCGCGTCTCGTGCTTTGCACGGTGCATGGCTCGTATGTTCATGTTGTTCAACTTCCAGCGTCGGCGACCGACGAGCCAGTGCTGCTCAAGTCGTTCGCTCAACACCGGACGAAGCGGTTCGCCGCTGCCTCTGCCGCAGGCTCTAACACACCCACCAGTGCATCGGCGAGTGACGGACGTGTTCTGAGCAAGGGCCATGTTCGGCCCGACCTGTACACGACGACGCCGCTGTCTGAGCCAGCGAACCACAAGTCATCCGCTGCGACCGCAACAGAGCTGGGATCAGGGCGCGAAGTATTACGTGATTCATACGCTCCCATTCTGTTGGCCGTCGTATCGCCTGACGGACAATGGCTCTTGACGGCTGATGCTGCTCGGCGTATGCATGTGTTTCATCTTGATACCTTATCGTACCAACGGGCACTGGCATCACCAGTGTGCGTGCCCAGTAGTGCATGTTTCCATCCGACACATCCCAGCCTGTTGGCCATCGCACTTCCGACAAATCAGGTCCTGTTCTATGATCTCGAGGCAGACGATGCGCCTGCATGGGAGGCTAGTTTGCGGCATGAAGTCGATGCACAACTGGGGCGGATCCGTGAGCCTGTGGTAGGGTGCATGTGGCTGTCTGGTAATGAGGGGGCGTGCTCGCTTGTGTTGTATGGCCCGACGTGGCTCTGCACGGCCCGTCCACTCACGACTCGAACGTCTGTGCGGAAGAAACGGCGTAATGGGCAAGACGATCCCACGATGGGCTCTGGTGAATCGGCCTGGTCCGTTCGCACGACATTTAAATATCAGCCACTGCTGTATGTTGGCGCAATGTCAACGAATGAACCGGAGCTGCTTGTCGTCGAAAGGCCATACTTTGCCCTTGCACAGTCGCTACCACCGGCATTCTATCGTGGAGCGAAGTACGGTATGTAGACTATGTACGGTAATTAGCGAGTGCATGGTAAGCACGGATGTACGCGCCCTTGCCTCTCTCTCTCTCTCTACCTCCTAACGCTTGGATGCTGCCAGGTCCGCATGAATCGAGGACTTGATGACACCAAGCATATGAGGCGCGTGGTGTCCGCTGAGCAATGCCTGCACATACTCAGGTCGAACACCACTCGTCAAGTACTTTTGACTTGTGCCCTGGGCCTGCAAAGGTCGCGCGAGCAATTGTGCGAGCCGCTGTTTTAAGCTCGCGAGCTTCGTAGCAGAGGGTGAGCGTTTCTGTTTTTTCCGTCGCGATGCATCGACATCCGCATCCTTATCACTTGCATCGCTTTCGTAATCGAGATCTGCATCTCGCGCAAGCGTACGGAGCCAAGCATCGTCATGCGATGCTTTCGTCTGTGCATGTGATAGGGAATCAATCTCACGCGCCAGAGCAAGCCGCTCACGAATCGGACCAAGGAACGAGTACTCAATCGGCAGCGACGCCACACGGTCGTCGCGTCCTAGCGTGCGCCACAGGTCGCGCCATAAACGCAGCTCATTCGGCTCAATAAGTGCTACAGACACACCTGTGTGTCCTGCACGCGCTGTGCGACCGGCGCGATGCACGTACGTATCGGCGGAGCGAGGGATCTGGAAATGCACGACGTGATCGACGCCCGGGATGTCAATGCCACGCGCTGCAACATCTGTCGCTAGCAGAACTGCATGCGACGCGCGGCGAAACCGATCGAGGTTCTTCAGTCGTTGCTGCTGCTGGAGCTGACCATGCAATGGATACGCGGGGATGCCCAGCAGAAGAAGCAAAGGCACAAGTCGGCGCACGCCATCAATTGCATTCAAAAAACACGAGTGTGCGCCCTTGGTATCGGAGCAACAGATAGTACAGGTATGTATCCTTGTCCTGTCCGACACACTCGATCTTGGCTTCATAGAGTGTATCGGCAACGTGGCGCTGTGGAGTAAGTTCAATCACCACAGGCTCTGGATCACGGAAATCAATGCGTGCGAGCAGGTCGTCTAACGTATTGTTGTTCGACGACGCGGCTGTACGCTGCTTCTTGCGCCATGGAGCACGCTTCAAGTTCGCCTGCAATGTCTTGGTCATCGTGGCCGAGTACACAAAAGTCTGCATGGCCGAATTCGCATCTGCCACAGCCCCTTTGGTACGGCGGACCATGCTTAGAATCGAGTCCATCTCGGCAAAGTGCCCCGTCTCGATCATGCGGTCCGCCTCGTCAATCACAAGAAACCTTGTTCGCCGCACACGCAACGCAAGGGCATCATCCTGCTTGAGCAGGTCCCAAAGACGGCCAGGTGTCGCCACAATGACATGTGCACCTCCGTGCTGTTGTAGCATACGCTCCTGCTTCTGGACCGACATACCACCACACACGGTTGCAACGTTTGCAAAGCGGCCAGCTGCATCTACGACGGCGCGAATATGCGTGCACACTTGCAGGGCCAGCTCTCGTGTGGGAGTGAGGATAAGTGCTTCCAAGTCACGCTGGGTGTCCTCCGTGTGCGCTGAATGCTCTAGCACATAGTGCAAGATCGGCAGTGCGTAAGCGAGAGTTTTGCCTGACCCTGTTTGGGCAATGCCTACGACGTCACGGGGCATCGACGACTCAAGTCCCAAAGACGGCCGGAGCGTGGCTGCTTGGACGTCTGTAGGCTTGTGGAATCCGAGGCTCTTGAGTGCCATTTTTAATTGCGGATGCAATGCGTACGATGCCCACCCTGGAGCCGCAGCATCAGCGGCCTCTTGGCCATCATCACCAGCATCATCCTCGTGTAGCATGCCCTGCTCACGGGCTGTTTGCAGCAGTGTTCCGATATCACGGTCGGCATCGTGCACATCCAAGGCTGCAGATGCCTTCCGTTTCCTATCTTTGGTACTGGGCAGCTCGTGCGACTGCGTCGTAGGAATGCTCGGTGTTTTGGCTCGAGACTTGGCCTCTGTGGCCGCTTCATTCGCCCCCCGGTCTTGCTGAGACGATGTGCGCTCGTTTGCTTCTTGATGCTCATTCTTGTGGTTCCCCTGCTTTTGTATTTCTCTCCGCTTCGCCTTTGCTTTGGGCGCCGGATCCGCCTTGACGATCTTGACACGATGGTTCTTCCCACTTTCATCTGCCTCATGCACAACATCAAACCCCTCCGCTGCCTGCAGCCCAAGGAAGTCATCGCCAAAGACATCGAGTCCCTCAAATCCATCATCTGTCGTTTCGTTGACCTGCTCAGAAGCAGATGAGATCGGTAATGCGACCCATGGTACATCACTTTGCCGCACCGTAGGACCGTGCGTTCGGGTGCGCCTCTTGGTATGCCGAGCACCCATCGTTGAATGTAGGCAATTGGCACGAAGGAGACGAATCAAAAAACAGGTTTCTCGCAAAAAAAAAGAAACGCACAGGCAGGACGATGCACGAATCAATGGAGCGAGCGTCATGTGCCTCCACAGGAACCACGCGCATAACGCGCGTGGCAAACACAAACACGAACTGAGACGTGCCGCGGCACTCACTGAGCGTGCGAAGTGTCTCTACGACGCCCAGTGAAGGTGGTCTGCTTTAGCCAAGCGGGGTTGGTCGTCTCTGTCCACCTAATCCCTCGTTGCAAGGCCATGGCGCTTGAAACAGAGACGCATATACCAAGTACGCAGGCACGCGCACGACCAAACACAGCATCGCACGAGAAAAAACGCCGTCGTCGGACGCGTCCGCATGAAGTTGACATACTCATGTCTGCATATGTGCGCAACGCCTTTCCGAACGAACGCACTCGTGAGGAACTCGCTGAGCTGGTCGGCATGTCAACCCGTGCTGTGTCTGTCTGGTTTCAGAACCGCCGTCAGGCCGAGAAAAAGCGCTCGATGAGGTACCACGCCACGCAGACAGCCGTGCCAACCATGCCGGCGATACCTACCGTGTCGACAGCACCCGTGCAGAACGCATTCCCTCATAGTGTGGCGCCGCTTGGAATGTCTGCTGTGACGATGGAGCCATCTGCGCCTGTGTTCTTGCCTCGTGAGCCGTTCGGTCGCTCGCACAGCACACCTGCTGTCTCGCTGATGACGACATCGGGCGGTCGCGCAGCTTTGGGTGAACGTCCTGTGCTTGCAAAACAAAATACATATCTCTCTTGCACGTTGGAATGCACAAATGATGGGCACGGCATCATTGCTGGTGGTGCCTACAACGATGATCGTGCTATATGGCAGCGAATGGAAAGCTCGAGTGCGCTTGGGAGCTGCACCAGCGACGTCGACGCGGATATAAATCTGCATATGGATGCGGCGTCTGCTCGCGTGGGTGCTGGCGCGGACCAGGAGGATGACGAGGAACGCACGCTTCGACGTCTTGCACACCGGCGCCTACAGCGCGTGCGGGAACGAAAGCGTGCCGTGAGTCACGATGAAGTCAAGCGTCCCGTGTCAGATGCTCGACTTGTAATGCAGGAACATCGTGAGCGACGCTGGTCACAAAGTCTACAGCGCAAGCCGTCTATGCGTCTGGAATGGGCTGCCGACCGAGATCTGCTGCTGGCTGACAAGGAAAATGTCAAGCCGTCCATGCAGCACGTTGAGCATGCACCAGCCGGCTCAATGCAAGCACTTGCTCCCCAGCAGCCTACACGGTCTCGATCATCCCCTCATACCCAAGCCCTAGCTCATACCCCAGCTCATCCTTTGACTCGTGTCTCCCCACAACATGCCGCTCCTCCTCCTCCTCCTCCTCCTCCTCCTCACGTACCCTTGTCTGTGTCGTTCGTGCCGCCTAGCCAAGGCAGAAACGTCCATGCCACCACTGCACCTACCAATCGTGGTACTGGTATGTCTGTAAATGCATCGCTGGGTCACCGCCCATTGACGCGACGAGCCATTTCTGCCTCTACATCCTCTACAACTACATCCCCAATATCGACGAAGCCTACGACAACCTGGACTCGAACATCAAGTACGCGGAGCAGTGACATGATGCCTGCGACGGCCAAAGATGATGTGCCTCATGACGATAGTGGGTTCTTCAAGGATGGCGATCGATCCGATTCCTTCTCGCCGCCGACTCGCGCACAACCACAGCATGTTCTCAACACTCACGATAAGGACACATGGACAGAACATGACCACCAAGCTGCTGAGCTGCTACTGGGCTTAGGAAGCGCCTCTCGCATCCATCCATAGCATGGACAGATGCACTTCCTCTCACATACCCAGCCCATTCCCCAGCCTCTATTCACTTCCTCTTGCATGCCCTTGCACCCGAACCATCCTTTCATACCCCTGCCCTCTGTCTTCTGCCATTCCCACACGTTAGCGGTACAGCTGGTTCTGCTCGATGTACTGAATCACACTGTTCGGCAAAAGGTATTTGATGGAATATCCGCGTCGCACGAACAAGCGCACCTTTGTGCTGCTAATATCATTGTAGATTGTCTGCTTCACGACAATAAGATTCCGTCGGTAGTGCCACAGCAAGTCGTGCGAGAGCAAAAAGGACCACACGTCAGCGCCTGTCCGTTCGACGATAAGACAGCCGTAGCGACCAAGTATTTGGTGCAAGTCTTCTTCGGCCCACACGCCAGGCTCACCCATACTCTGGATCAAGTCGCCTCCTGCGAGCAGCATGATCTTGATTCGTCGGTATGATCCATCGCTAAGCTTGATCCCGCGCTCACCATTTTCGCCATTGATCTCTTGATCAAAATGGTCCAGCACCACAGCCGTCCGCTGATACTCTCCTTGAAGTGACTCCCACGCATCCACCATGAGCCAATTTGACGAGCGCTCAACAGCCAATTCACACATCCGCACACGGTGGATGGCTTTGACGAGTCCCTCCTTCTTGTACTGATCCGACACAGGTGAGTAGTAGCCAGCCAGCAACTCGTAATTACCAGACTCAATCACCTGATCCTTTGCCATTTCGAACATGCGCAGGTGCAAGTAGGTCGGTGGTGAGAAGCTCCCGCATGCCACAATGATCAAGGGTGTCTTGCTTTCGTCCTGCATGTGCGTGGGAAACCGGTGTCGAGGGAACGTGTATGTATCCATAGACTCACCTTGCCGTGGCACGGCTTGAAAATATGGCGAGTGCACTTTCTTCGTCTGTCGAATAGTATTCTCTCGTTCGCACTCAGCGTATCCATCCAGCTCTTCATCCAGTTCTGCATCTAGGGCCCATGGCTGCACGTCTGCATCTTGCCGATCCTGTCCATGTCCTCTTTGATCGTCAGTACCTCTTGTCACAACGTACGATTTGAAAGCTGCTTGATCGTGTGAGCCTTGCCCCAACTCTTTCGTTACAGGCCCGGCTCCTGTGACTGCCGCACCTGTAAAGGGCGGGCTGTCCAAGCGGTAGGACTCCGCGTTGAGGGCCTTATACCGAAGTGTGGACACGCTGTCTTGAGCTTGCCCACTCTTTCCATGTGATGCTGCCATATTTGAGATGTTCTTGAAGAGCGAGAAAGCGTTGGTAGTGCGCGCGCGAGCGTGCGGATAGCAGTCCGTCAGGAAGCCAAGGCTCGTATGGGAAGTGCAGGCGCCGGTGATAACAGATCTGGGTGATTCTCCACTTAAGAGGACTGGGGATGACCGCAGCGAATGAATGTACCTCTCGGGCAAAAAAACCCCATAGGTAGGGAGATCTTTTTTTATTGCTGGAATGAAAATATTTTGGATCTGTCAAGTCGTATATCCTTTTCATGCACCTGAGTTCATAGGCGCTGCACATGTGCACGGATAAGATGTAGAAAACATTCGCACGCTCATAATCAGTCTGTCACAAGGTTGCTTGTACGTCTATTCATATGAAGAAAGTGTTCATCCCGAGGCCTTGACCCTTCACATTTCTTATTGCCAGCGTTACTATCCGTTAAAAGCTTCAAATACTAGATTAGTGGCTCTCGCTAGGGCATCCTCGTGTAAGCGCTAATTACTGGTTTTCTTGGAACATAAGTTCGTCCAGCGAGAGTGCACGATTGACGATGCGTACATCACCGATGCTCCCGAAAAATATTTGGTCTAGTTTGCCGCCGTACTCAAAGCCGCCAAGCATCCAAGGCTTATTGAGAGTCGTTAGACCGGGCACCCACTGTGTTGGATTCCGTGCGACTTCACTTCCATCCACATACATTTTTGTTAGCGTGCCATTATTGATTACAGCCACATGCCACCAACGATCGAAGGGCGTCTCATGACCCCAGTTCGTCGTACCACCATCTTGATGTAGCGGATAGACACGCCACTGGAGCTCACGATCATTCGAAAGACTCAGCGTCACAATAGGCTCGTCAGAATCAGTATCATTCGAATGCTTGTTGGCCTCACCCGCTGAACCGCGGCGACTGAAGATCCCACTCCATGCATTCTGCTCCGAGTTCCATGAACTCGGAACGAGGTAAAATGCCTCAAATGTGTACCCATTCTCGAACGTCTCCGAATTCAGTGGCGCCTGCTTAAGCGTCTGCAGGTACATTCCCTTTAATGGCTTCTTTTGACCAGTGAATTTCAGCGAACCATATCCTGGTTGCGACGGATGATGCTGATCTGACCAGAGGATTGTGTGTTGTGAAGATGCATTCGCTGACTTGGTGACAAGGTCATTTCCATGTCCTGATAAGTCCTTAATGATGTCAAACTCTGCCAAAGCTGATCCAGGGCTACTGCCACTGCTGTTGCTACTATGGGCACTTCCGTCGAAGCGCCAGTACGCCAGTGTACCTGGAATAACCGCATCATTGCCGTTCTTGTTTTCACGCTTCGATTTGCCGAGATGCTCGAACCTTTCAGCAAAGTTTATGTGCATAGTAAACTTATCATCAGCAGAGGTAAGCTCTTCTTCTTGCTTGGCGAGCTTGTTCGCCTCACCGCGCTGCACAAGGTTTTGAATCCATGGTGAGAATGTCGCGACATCAATCTTGTTTTCCTTCATATTGAAGCGGTACGCACGAATCATACCTGCACCACCATAATACCGATTTTGGTAGTTAGTGATGTGTGATTCAACATCACGTCCTGCTGCATTTTTCCGAGTCGTCCGACCTGGCGGCCAAAAATGACCATTGAGCGTCAAGAAAATCTGGTCGTTGTCTCTCACGAGCTCATTCCACACTCGTTCGCCATACTCACTAAACTCTGTTTTGCCGCTATCGGCCGTAACAAGTTCGTGCGTCGTGAGGATCGTTGGCAGGTCTGCATGCTTCCGCAACACGTCAGAGGCCCACTTGAACGTGCCAGACGACATGCGCCAGTCAAGCGCAAGAACGAGCCACTCGCGACCCCCCGCGTGGAATACGTGGTAGTTGTTGTAGCCGTCAGACGAAGATCCGCGCCAAGAACGGATTTTCGAAAACCGTTTTGGGTTGAAAACATCCAAGTAGGGTGTTGGGCCACGCTGGTCATCTGTGCTGGAGTCAATGTCATGATTGCCTGCCAGCACACTGTACTCTACGCCTGATTCGTCCATGTAGTCAAATAGCTTTGTGACAGCAGCATACTCTTTGGCCAAGCCATTCTGCGCCACATCCCCTAGGTGTGACACAAACACAATGTTTTTGTCGGCTTCGCTCCGGTTCGGCGAGACAATGTACTCGAACGACGCTTCCATAGGCACTGGATGAATTCGGTTCTCATCAAAAAGATATTGTGTGTCTGGCATCACTATTACCGTGAACTCGAGACTCATGGCATCTGGCTGCCATTGTCCCTTTGGCTTCGATTTCACAGTCGTCACGTCATACGCGTCATCAGTCCATTGACCACCAACGACCAGTGAGGCGGCTGTCAGCACACCTGCAAGAAGCCTAGAAATACATAGCATTGCTCGTGTAACGTCGTGTTGAATGGCAAGTTCGTGCTTATGCACCAATGTGTCGGTCAATGCAAACTGTCTTGAAAGTCATCTGCTCTAGGGCCATCCATGCACATGCTGAAGGGCTGCTTGATTGGGCGCTTCGGAGCGTGTATTGTGCACGTGCCCACCTTAATTAAGAGGCCGCACAGGGCGAGCGCGTATGTGGAGCGAGATATCGTGGCGCGAGAACAAAATGGTCATTTGTATGGTGTAATGTGTGATGTTGTGTTCTAAAGAATCATTCCACGCGTAAACAACAACCACTTCAAAGCGATAGGAAGAACACCAAGGATTGGCTTGATTGAATTTAAGCTGCAGGAGTGGAACGAGGTTGTGAAGCAATGGAAGAAGGCATGCCGGAGCGAGTCGCAGTATTTTTTTTCTTTGTCCAGCGTACGGTGGTGAACTGCTGGTTCTTTTTTGCCTAGGTAAGTGTAAGCAGGCCCAAGGTCAATTTTCTGCATACGTACCGCGCCAATTTCAGCAAGTTGGACCGCCTCATGATTGGCATCGCTAGGGATGTGCCAGAAACGACAGTTACAACTACATGTGAGCCTCATTCCATCACTTTCGCTGACCACATACTCAATCAATTCATACTGCCGCACGATATAATCTAGCAGTTCCCACAAATCCCTGTCTGGCACAGAACCACCGGGAAGGCTGTATGATGGATCATGCGTGAAGCGCCAGTTGTTTTGGCGCCATTCCCAGATGCTTGGTAAATTGGTCAGCTTTGTGTCACCCAATATCCACGTACTCATAGGCAATACCACGCACGATCCATCCGTGGTGCGTCGCTATGACAATTTTGTCGAATCCCTCTTCCTCCCATGGAATGTACTCCAGTGCAGCAATCACGCTACGCAGAGCCGCGCGACGCTTCGTTGTTTCATGCGGAAATTCTGGTCGTTCCAAACGTCTTGAAAAGTTTGGTTCAACACGCGCTAGATCTATCGGTTGATTCATCGCTCGACACAGGGACTCACAGGGACTGTAAATAAATCCAAGGCCGCCCTGCAAGTTCGTATTTTCGGTCGTTGCAAAGTACGAAGCAAGCGACTTGGAATCGGCTGCACGATCCGCGCTTTCTGGCAACGATATAGATGCAGTGCCGTTCACTGCAGCAGTCTTTCGCGTCTGCTCTGATGCCTCAATCTGCTGCCTTGTCAAGGCTGTTCCAGCACAAAATAGTAGCACCTGACGAGGATTCGTGCGGCGCACGAAGCGGTATGGATGCCATGGTCGAGGATCCGGTGTAAAAAGCGTGGCAATCGTGTCAAGTGACGTGCTAGATGCATGAGAGTCTCGTGCGCCGATGCTGTCACTACCGCTAATCGCATCCCATTGCGAGCCAGCATCGCGTCCTGCTGGCTGGTTTGACAACATTTCGAATGTACGGTTGGTCGAGTATGACTTATTGTTCCATGGTTTTTTAGAATAACTTGAGTCCGAAATACTTGGTGGTGGCTTGTAGTCAGTCGTGAAGAGATGTTGCCGTACCACGGATGGTAGTCCATCAGACTTCCCATGCCGTGCTTCCTCAGCCATCACTGAAAATCCACTCAGTGTCGGCGCACACGTCGACAAATTCGTGGCTGATGTACGCAGGGAGGCAGTGTCGGCTGTCGGTCTACTCGAGACCACTCTCGTGTTTTCTTTGACTCCTTTGTCGAGTGACGCATGCGCATCATGCAAAGTACTGGATGTCAAGTGATCACTTGACGGCTCAGATGGATCATCGGCTGGTTGTGACACACTAGTTGGATCTGACTGACGAGCTGATGTATCCTGTTCGGCCTTAGCACTTGTAGTCGTATCACTGATTTTGTTTTTCGAAAAAGGAGTTTGTTCTGTAGATGTGGATGTTTCGGAGGACTTGAAGCCCTCGTCTGCATATACGTCCTCATTTTGACTTACGCGCTGTTTGTGAGCGCGGTCCGTGCTGCCCGCGTTTTCATTTTGGATCTTTGCGCTAGCCTGATCTGGCTGAGAGGCTGTGGGGTCGCCAAGCTCGTATCTGTCTTGGTGTTGCTCGGCCTGTTCGGTGCTAAGACGCGACTCATCCTGCTCATGAGCTTGTTCTGCCATTTTTTTAGCCCGTGATTTGGCCCTGGCCTTTGCTCGTTTTGCTTGTGATTTTGTCATATTTTTCTCGAAATTCTTCTTTGCCGAGTCGATAGGCTTCATTTGCTCACCCCCGGTATGGGCTGGTGTTTCGCTGGCGCCTTGATCCAAAGTCGCGTTCGTGACTGGGCCATTCTTGGGTTTTGAAGCAATCCTCTTTACCTCATGAGAGGGTGATTCCGATGCCTTAGACAGTGCATCACGCTTGTCTTCAGACGCTGGCGATCCTGCAGGTGCAGAGGACATGTCTTGTGACTTGGCTTGCTGAGCGTGGTCGTGCGGTTCGTTGAGACCCATCGCTTGTATCAGTGAGTCTAGTTTTTCTTCATTTTTTGGAATCAAAGCGGCAGTATCAGTGCTAGCTGAAGGGGTCGTTTTTATTGCTTCTTTCTCACGCACTTCTTGTGCAAGCTTCTGAGACGGCGTCAACTCATCCTCATCGCCCAGGACAAACGCTGACGATGGAACATATGGCACGCCATTATGTTGGCAAATTTCACGTTCGAAGTTGTAGTATGAATATGATGGTTCCGGAAGACGCGGCACTTGAAAAACACGTTTTGTCGCGTTGTGTGGGAACAGTTGATCAGGTGCAAACGTCACGCCACCAGGCACATCCAATCGCACTTGCAAGCGATTGTGTTCATGTGGTTGAGCCTTTACGCGCCTCGCAGAGTCGAGAAAATGCGGATCCGCAGACATACTAAAACACTTTCTAAGTGCAAACTAGCAACACTTCAACAATCAAGGGGTGTGCGTCTGCGTCAATAGTGATTTCTTCCGACAAGTGTTGATGTTGTCTGGCGGTGCGACGTGCGTTGTTGATGACTAATGCGTACGTGAATATATACGGCGCTTCCTTCTCGTCCTCCATGTCCATGAGGTCCGTACAGCGGCATGGATGTTTGATGGCTGCGTGGCGGCCGGTGTGGCGCGCAGCATTGCCGATGCCACGCATTCTCGCAGATGAATCGCAAGGATTTCTTACTCAACGGATGTATTCGAATGAGAGTCGCGGTGACACAACGGTGCCTACGAGTTTGGATGCACAACTTCGTGAATGGCAAATTGCCAAGCCACTGCGGAGTGCGTTGCAGGGAACACCATTTCATTTCTCGCAACTCACAGATGTACAGAATCGAGTGCTGTCTTTACTACCAGCTATAGCTGAAGGGGCAAATGTGTTGCCAGATGGCAAAAGCCGTGACGTTCTTTGCAAAGCGCGCACCGGCACAGGAAAGACGGTGGCGTTTCTCGTGCCGGCAATCCAGGCACGCATCCATGCTGTGCAGCAGCTGGAGCAAGGACACGCGTCGCCTTCATTTCGTGCGTTCTTAGAACAGAATGGCCTGCTTTCGCTACTAGAAAAGCGTGATCGAGCGTCTGTGCACGAACTGAAGCGTTTGTTTCGACGACGCTCGGCTGGGGTCTTGGTTGTGTCGCCCACGCGGGAACTAGCCATGCAAATTGCGAATGAAGCAAAAAAACTCGTAAGCCAAGCCAAGCATTTGTATGTACACACACTCGTTGGCGGTGTGAGTGTGATTCCCCAGCGCAAGCAGTGGGAACGCTACGAGCCAGACATTGTTGTGGGGACACCAGGGCGTCTCTTGGACCTGATGAACAACCGCAGTGTGCGGGATGCTTTTTCTCGGACGCAGACACTTGTTCTCGATGAAGCAGACATGCTGCTTGAGCTCGGCTTCCGCGAAGACATTCAGACGATCATCTCCGGCTTGCCACCCGTGGAAGAGCGCACTACTTTCCTCTTCAGTGCAACAATGGACCGCAGCATTATGGGCATCGCTGAAGCATCGCTCCATGAGCAATACCGACTCATTGACTGCATTCCTCCCGGAGAAGACCAAGTGCACAAGCGCATCCCTCAATATGTGACGACGATCCAAGATCCATCGGAGCTTGTCCCGTATGTCATGCAGCTCCTTGCACAAGACCAGCGAATCCATGGAAACCGGTCGAAGGTTATGATCTTCACGTCGACCACGAAGCTCACTGACATGATGTACCACATGATCCATATGCTAGCGCCCACGCTGCCGGGCTCGTCCGACACGCGTGTGTTCCGGCTGCACAGCCTGCTATCACAAGCGCGACGGTCCAAAATCAGCCAGGAGTTCCGGCACTCCGATGCGAAGCCGAGTGTTCTGCTGACGAGTGACGTCAGTGCGCGTGGCGTCGACTATCCATCCGTGACGCGTGTCATCCAGCTAGGCGTGCCTCCCTCGAAGGAAATGTATGTGCACCGCGTAGGGCGGACGGGGCGCCGTGGACGTGATGGACGTGCCGACTTGGTCGTGACAGACTTTGAGTCCGCCTTTGTCGCCTTCCAGCTGAATGAGATGCCCCTCCAACCACTTGCGCTGACTGACGAACCCGAGCCGGAGTTGGATCAAGATGCTTTGCGCACGTCTATAGCGCATGCTCAGGAGCGCCTGCGTCAGAACAAGGAGGGCGTACGTGACGTGTTTTCTGGCTTATTTGGCTACTACATATCGAATCAACAAGCGCTGCGCGTGCCGCCAGCTCACATTTTGCACTCCGTGCAGCGGTGGATCCAAGGCGTCCTGGCGCTGCCGACAGCGCCCGAGCCTAATCGATCGATTATGCACATGGTTCATGCCTCGTCGACGAAGTTTGGCAGTGGGCCTCGGCCAGCGGAGCGGCCAGCCGGTCGGTCGCTCTGGCGGTCCAAGTCGGCCTACTCGCGCCCACCCAAACATATCCGGCAGCAATACGCACGTGACTAACATGCTTCGCATGTCATCCTGACTGTTGCGACTCACATCTCGTCCATGCCATTGACTGGCAAGTCCCATACAAGGCGGCTCAAATGCTCGACTTTGCGGCTCGACGGACCTAGCAGCCCCATGTATGCAAGCTCATTCACTGCGAGGGAGAAGCGCATCTGCGGCGACGTCACAACTGAATCACTCGCATCCGTGCAAGGCGGCGCCTCCTGCCCGTCGCGCTGACGTCTCTGTTGCTCTCTTCGTCGTTCGTCGCCTTCGAGGGACTGTGCAAACGCGTCGTACCAGTCGGCCAAGTTGATAAACTTGCTTGTATCTTTGTACAGTGCATATAGACGACACACATCGGGTATACTGGCACAGTTCAAGTCGCGGTGAACGCGCCGCAACTCGTCAACTTCCGATATGTGGTCATCGAGCTCCAGCCATGGAGCTTGCTCACTCTGTTCGCGCTGCCCAGACGCTGTACATGCTGCAGCTGTCATGGATGCAAGCATATCCGTTGGTGCATCAAGTGCAAGCAATACGGTAGCGCGCGCCGCGCCGTCCAACGCACACGACACAGGCTCTGCAAAGTCATATGTCCAAATCGCAAGCCCCAAGTCCGATGGCGCCTCTGTCGCCTTTTGCCACGTGGACGTCACCCATTCCGCTAGCACCGCTCTGCCAGCGTCCGACGCGTCCGACGCGTCCGTCTCTGCAGCCATCGTCATGGCGATGGCGCCGAGCTCTGAGCGCACACGTTTCAAAGGCCGTTGTTGCTGATGGGCCAATTCTAGGTCCGAGCAAATCATACGCACGACAGCTGCAGCGCCGACATCGAGTGACGCAGCAATATCATTCAGGCGCTGGCGCAGGCCATCGACGAGCTGCGTGACTTGAGCCTGATTCAGTGTGGAACAGAGATGATTCAGCAGAGCTTGAACCTGCTGGGAAGTGGGTGTCGTGGCTGTCAGTGCATTCACAGCCGTGCGACTGGCATCCCAGTCGGTATAGGGAGGCAGCCATTCCAATGCAAGAGCAGTGCATGCGCTCAGGCCAAGTTTCGTGCCGTATACACCGGTCATGTGCAGCAAGCGGAGCATTTCACGTACTGTGGCAAGTGCCACAGCACGATGCGTCATGCACACGACCATATCACTCTGCAAGCCTGAGAGCGCACTGACAAGTGCTCGATCGTCATGGGCCAGCATGCGCATGCGCGAAGACATGCGCTGTGTGTGCATGTAGGATGAAAAGAGTGTCACGCGCATGTGCGCAAGCATTTCTGCTGTCCAGTGCTGATGCAGTGCATCAATGTCAGGAAATTCGTGTACAAAAGCTGAGAGCGGCCGAGCTCGGAAATGTTCCACGTAGCTCAGGCGGATGCACTGTGCTGCGGCATCCCAACTTGGCGATGTGTGCCAGAAACGGCGACGCACAAGCTCAAACAAGCTGCGGCCGAGCCAAAGCCCGCTGACCGGCTCAGCAAAAAATACGCACAACACATCCTCCCAAAACGTGGACTTGTCGGGGAAAGACACCGTCGATACGTCGAGGCACGATCGCACCCGCTCTGTCAGCAGATATGTATGCCATGCCTCTGTGGCGATGTCGGCCTCCGAGCCAGCGGACACGTGGGCTGTTGTGGATGCAGCCGAGCTTGGGCCAGACTGATTCACGTCACTCAATTTTTTCACGCGCGGAAGTGCTGGCAATGGTGCCGTGTACGACAGCAGGATATGCAATGATGGGGCTGGACATGTGAGCTCTGACCATGTGAGAATTGCTGCAAGTGCGTCGTTCATCACAGCCACAGGAAATGTCTGGACTTCGTGCACGAGAAGCACAATCTGTGGCAGCGCGCGATCAGCCGCGCTAAAAAGAGCTGGGATCAGCGCAAGGTCATTTGGCTCGTACCCTTGCGACATGCGCAGTAGCTCTGGCGTACTGGGTATGTATTGTATGATCTGAGCCACAAACGCAGCGAGTGCATGTGCTAGGTTTGCACAATGGGCAGGCATCAGATGCACCGTTATTCGCTCAGATTGTGCTAGCTCGTCTGAAAGCCATGCAGGAAGCGCCTCATACGTGGCAGAACCACTTAGATCCAGGATCGTTGCCGGCACAAGCAACGACCTACCCACGCTCAAGCGCTCGCGAAGACGTGCGACACTAGGCTCATATAATTTGTGCACAAGCGCACGCATCCGCTTCAGTGCACACTCCCAGGTCGTTTCGAATGCTTTGGAGCGTTGCTGAGCCGGAATATGATCTCGCTCATACATGGGTAGGCGCGGGAACGAACCATCATCATGTGCTTCTTCTACACAAGGAATCACAGTGATGGGCTTGTTGTGTCAGCCGATGAGCGCCTAAGCGTGTGCCCATGGGAGCTCAAGCGCTCTGCTGCTGCTCTCCCCATACATACCTCTGCTTCTAGCAGGCCAGAAGATCCATCACTCGCCATAGCCAAGGGCCCGTACGTGTGTCCATGCGCACGTGCATACGTTTGTGTCGTAAGCGGAGAAGTCAGTTCGACGTGCAGGGCGCCCGACGAGGCCCTAGGAATGGGCGAGCAGGATGGATCGATTATCGGCCGAAGTGTCATGTTGGGCGTTACGTAGATGTGGGAGAGGGGATGGGGGGCAAGGCGGCTGCTGTTGGTTGGCCATTGGGCGAGGAGTGGCGCGTGGCGAGGCGAGACAGACAACGCAGGGCACTTAGCGTACTCACACGTCAGGAAACGTTACGACACGTCATATAGCTGGACGACGCGATTGATGGCAGGGGCGAGGCGGAAACAGAGCGCAGCGCGCATTCAGAAGGTGCATGTACAGCGTGAGAGCCAAGTCACACGCGAGAATGTTTTCTTGTTTGTACCGAACTTGATCGGTGTGTATTGTTTAGGCTGATCTGGCCATGAGGGATTCGTAAGAATGAGACAATGTGCTAATGCGTTGAAGGGTACACTCGCGTGATTTTGGCCGCTATCTCCTTGTACTATATGCGCGGAAATCCTCGTGTATGCACGGTGCTCTATTGTGTGTCATGTATTTTGGATGCCTTTGATGGCAAGCTCGCGCGCATGCTGCAACAAAGCACCCGATTCGGCGCTGTTTTGGACATGGTGACGGATCGGTAAGTGTCACGTTAAAGATGTCAAATGTCCTTTCTGGACCGAATGGCTGACGCACTGCCAGTTGCACGACAGCATGCCTCTTGTGCTACTTGACGGCAGCGTACCCGAATTTTGCTTTAATCTTCCAGGGTCTAGTGACCCTCGACTTTAGCAGTCACTACATTCACATGTACAGCTCGCTTGTGTCTGGCTCGACCTCACACAAAAAAGTCGATTCCAAGACGTCGCGTATCTTGGCTCTGTACTACACCAACACGGTACGTGAACAGGGTGGGATGCGTCGTTGCATCACGTCATGCCAATCTCGTTTCTCTCGCGCATTTAATCCTTCTCTCCTCTCTTACCCCTCTTACCCCTCTTACCCCTCTTACCCCTCTCTCCCCTACCCCTCTCACCTCCTCACCCTTTTCGGTATGCGGCATTTCTAACACACTTCTACAGCGCGTGTTATTTGTTCTCTGCGCAGCAAACGAGCTATTCTTTCTGTGCCTGTATCTCATGGCCTTCTATACACGTCCGCTAGGGCTCAACATCGCATCCCTTCTCCCAAGTGCACTCTTTGACTGGGTTACGGCCGATAAGATGAGCTGGCAATTCAAACTCGTGTACGAGACTATTCCTAGCTTGACCTGGCCACAGATCGTCGGTGCTATCAGCTTTCCGATGTGTGCTGTGAAACAGGTCATTAACGGTGTCCAGTTCTGGAAGGCAGCAAAGGTGCTTGCCGACATGGATGTGCAGGACCGAAGTCGTCGCCGTATGTAGACTCGTAAAACAATGTACGAATGTAGGTATGTGCGTTGCACACCCACACTACACACACAGAATCATACTTACACCTTTTCTTACTCTCGATCCGTCAGGCAAGCCATCTCTCCAAATAGAATTCTGTGGATTTACTGAAAGTCAACAAAGTCATATGAAACATCTAGATCATGATTCAGCATCTCCGTCTCAACATGTCGCGTAATGCTTTCGATTAGCATCCACGTAATTCCGTGTGACATGAAACTGCGCAAGGCGCTAATGCCTAAACCGCGGTAAAGACGGAGGAATCGACTTATCGGCAACTCCAACACACTCCGGGTCTTCACCATGGGTTGCGGATCGCTGTCCTTCTGCATCAGCAAACGCTGAAGCACAGTCATGGCACTCCTCCGCGGTGCCCCTGCAAGCACATCGCGCTGGACCTGCGTTTTGATGAGATCCAATGGGTATATGGTGAGCCAGGACAAGATACCGCTTGCCGAGCCAATGAGGAAAGACACGACCGGCGCAGGAATTCCCCATCGCTGTCGATATGGTTCCAGGCGATCACTCATCATCCGCAAAGTATCGTACAGTCCGAAATAGATCGATGAGCCGGTCATATCTCGGAATAAGTGAAGACGCAGCCCGATATAAAAGCCTCGCACACCGCCATATGTTGTGTATATATCTTGTGCCGCTTTGATACCAGAACGTGCAACAAACGGAGGCGCCTTCAACCCATTCTGTGCGTGGCGTTGCGTCCAAATCAAGTACTCTAGCTGGCGCTCGACCTTGGTAAGTTCAAAGGGCGCCGATAGGAAACAGATGAATGACCCGCTAGTGATACCACCCATGGCACCAAAGAACAGAGCATCAGTGACTGTGTCTTGCTTGGGCCGCCAATATTTATCAAGGAGCTCTTTTGTGCATGAATATGCACTAAATGAGAGTGTTCGAACGAACGTGATCGTAATTAGAGGGAGTGTTACTCCTGAGCAAGCGCGTGAGTTTATGGTCTTCCTAGGCAGAAAAAAGAAAGCAAATTCGAATATACGTACCTCGAAAGAGACCTTGAATACCTTCAGAGCGCAAGACATCCTTCGTACACGCCCAAGCACTCGGATAGTTCTTCACCTGAAGACGACTTTTAATGCTGTCAAGCTGGATAGCAAGAGTAAGTATGCTAATTTAAATCCAAGGGCATACGCACAGGAAAAGATGCTATCGTAGACACTAAAGATGCAGGTCCGGCAGACACCATCGTTGGATGCTCTAAGACAGAGGTTATGCGTGTGAGCTAGTGTTTCATATCGTCATAATCCCACGTACCATTAGCGAACTTAATGAATGCATTGTATCTCATGCGAAACAGCGACTCGGGTGCATCTTTGCTCATTGCGTTGACACACGCAGACTCTTTAGCTTCACGAGTCTTTCAGAGAGTATAGCCTAATCTAACACACACTCACTCACTGCGCGTGGTATGCAACTCGAACGCAAAATAGCACAATTTCTACAGGGTGGATAGAGGGTGGGGATTTGAATATATCAGTGTTCCCGGTGCTGGGACATGGCTGACTCAGCAGAAACACCTCATTGGCACTCTTGTTTATGGGGAGAGGACGCAGGGGCGTACTGATAACCGACGCTTATCCGCTTTATCAATTGTTGTCATGTGCGATTGTGCCAGTGCGAGAAATAAATTTACGTGCTGCCAGGGACCACATAGGAGGACAAAAATTTTTAGTGTTGGTGTTTTCGTATGCATGCCATACATTAGATGGCTATAATGGCGACCCTTCCTCCATCGTGATGACCTAAATGATTTTTTGTCGGCATTGCATGCAAATCCAATAGATCTGAACTATTCGTGCGCAAACGATGAGGATATGAAGCTGTGGTCATGGTTGGCGTAGGCGATGGGAATGTTGATGGCCACTCCGACCTGGGCGTCGGTAAGTCGTTTTCGGAAGACTCGCATCTCGAACCCGGATCCTGTTTGGAATCAGATGGCATCGATAAGGAAACAAAATGGCGCTGTAGATCAGACCAGCTCATGCCAAAACGAACACACAGTTCATCATCGCAGTGGAATCCATCTAGCAACGCCGGCAGATCACAAAGTATGCCTGCGGACGACGTTGCGCTCTGCATGTGGCGCAAAGACCCTGAATTAGATGGATGGATCTTCTTTTCCTCCATGCGAACGTTTGCATTTACTTCGTGCGCAATGCTGCCGACATCGACGGCCGTTGCTACGGGCCGGTGTGCACCAGCAGAACGACTGAGTGACCGAATCAACCGATGGTGATGTAGGTCCTTTGGTCGAATAGACTCAGTGGCAACTGTAGGAGCAAATGTACCGCTAGCTTCTGCCGATAGTAGAGTCTCGCCTGCCGAACCACCGCCGCCAGTAGGAGGAGGAGGAGGAGGAGCAGCAGCAGGGGTTGGAAGATCAGGCATAGAAGAAGTAAGCCCATGTAACGAGCTGGGGCCTTGATTTTCGTATGGAACAGCAGAGAGACTCTGATTGGAGTGCAGATGATGTGATACTTCTTCACTTGGTCGCCCCGGCAGTTCGGAAAAGGCCAGCGGAGACGGTGGCGGCAAGTAGAGAGGGTAGTGATGTACGCGACGTATGAATCCCTTGATGACGCCATACGTGATAAAGCGACGCACATCAATTACATGCACATGGCTACCGAGCAGTTCAGTCCATTCATGCAAGGTTCGTCCATGTCGCAACATTGAATACATGCGCCATAACGTGGGGCCAGGCAGTGGCTCGTACCCCGGGCATGCAACGTAAGAGGCGCATTCCAATTCAGTGTCGTGGTCATCAAGCACACGGGCAATCTGCGGTCGCACCACATATACATTGGAAAATTGGAATATGTCAATTACAATCGCGAATGAGTAATATAGCAAGTGCTGGATGCACTGTTGCACAAGAGGCAAATCTGTGTCGGAAAGCTGGGAAATACGTTTTACATGATTCGTGCCATCCATGTAAGGAAGCAATTTGACCAGCGACAAGTCCCAGCCATTGTTCATGTATTTACCCATGTCGAGAAGCAGCACCGGAACATCCCATTCATGAACAGCGGGGGGGTTCGGAAAGGTTGGGAACAGCTTCAAATTGATAGCTTCTCTGACTGTGCGCCCTAGTCCATGCGGCCGACCACGAGGGATCAGGGGCGAACAATCATGCCTTCTGGTCTGCAGCCAAGGCTCCTGAATGTTTTGCTGGCGCGAGCGCTCGTCTGTTGTTGCATCTGTTTCATGTGATAAAGATCCTTCACCCAGTAACCAGATGCTATCTCGCTGCTCCGGGCGAGTCTGAGCTAGGGGGCCGGAAGCTCGACGAATGAGCTCGTCCAATTCCGCCGGATCAACCAGCGTGAGATTCGGCTGCGCACACCTATGATCTGATGTCGATGCATGCTCCGGCCGATCCCGAGATATCGACTCATCTCGTTTGGTTCTCGAATCCTCTGGCAGCGCTATGAACGCCTCATAATACGCATTCAAATCTTCGGAAAGCTGCTCGAGGATGCCATATAAGCGCGGGAGGTTCTCGAGTCGAGACACAAACGAATCCTGTTCCTCGAGCATACGAAGTGAGCGTGCACATTTGTGCACGATTGGCTCATATGCCTGGATCTCTGTCCGTGCATCGAAAACGAAGCACAGATTAAAGATAAAGTGATTCCGCTCATACTTTTGTGCATGTTCGATCAAAACAGGCAGGCCAAGCACTTTATAGCTGCGGCGATGACCGTCTTCATCCGCACAGGAACCCACATTGCAGATGATCATACGACCACAAAGTGGTGTTTTGGGAATAACGTAGTCTGACAATGCGCTGAATTCAATCTGGTCACGGCGGTGACTGCCTGACTTTTTTGGCAGCCAAGTGTGTAATTCTGCCCGATCTTCTGCTTCTTCGCCATGCTCATGGTCGATAAATAAATCCTCGGGTATCTGGAATAGTACACGTGGACCCTGTAGCGGATGAAAGATCGCAAGGAAGGTGCCTTCTAGATGCGGAAGAAATCCCTGCCGCAAAGGCAGCGAAATCATCGCGCACGTTCCTCGATGCTCGCTAGCCAGAGTCCCAACCGGACAAGATCGTGCCTAGTAACAAAACAGCGGCTGTGAGCTTGTGTGGGCGTGGAACGAACGAACACACGTCCACGAGACCTCCACATCCTGCGCCAGCCCAGTCTCGTCTCACGTTCTCGACGAGCCGTTTGTGCCACGTGAAGATAGTGCGCCACACTTTGTGGAACAAAGTCTGTACCCTCGCCCTCTCGAATGGGGCAGGAGAGCGTGCCCGCAGCACTGTCGGTGAAACAGCTGCCTCGTTAAGCTGTCTTTTCAGGACGGATTCCACTCTTCGATTCAAGGGAGCTCCTACGCACTAGTTCCACACCCACACTATTATGCTGCCATCGAGATGGTTGATAGTATTGATCGTTGCCGCATGCGCTCATGTTGCCAACGCATACACACTGAGTAATGAGTCCTTAGCGCGCGTGCTGAAGCCCAGTGCGGCGCAATGGATTCAAGTACGATCGCCGACATCATTGTTGTCGCAAATTTTGATACCACGTGTTCCTGGCACACAGGGGCATGCGGAAGTGCGTGAGCGACTTACAAAGCCATTCTTTGACGCGAAAGATGCCCACGGCCGGCCAAAGTGGCATGTCGAACTGATTCCCTTCGAGGCGCCGACGCCCTTAGGCCCGCGCAAGTTCACGAACATTGTTGTGACGCGTGATCCAGGAGCTGCACGGAAACTCGTTCTCGCTGCACACTATGATTCCAAGTACTACCCAGAAGACTCACCATCCCATGGGTTCGTCGGGGCCACAGATAGTGCTTTTCCGTGTACCTTGCTGGTTGACACGGCAATGGCCCTTGATGCGCAACTAGACGCGTATACAGCCAACCGCACGCACGCGCGCACTTCAGCGCTGCCACTCAAGGATGACGTGTCGCTGCAAATCATGTTCCTCGACGGTGAGGAAGCGTTCTACTCATGGACTCCGGAGGATTCGTTGTATGGAGCTAGGCAGCTGGCTTCTCTTTGGGCCAATACATGGGAGCAGCCTGCGTGGGACAGCCTAAGGCTTGAGCAGCGGCATGCGGTCGGCCGGTTCGCTCCCATTCGCCGAGTCAATACTATCCAACATATGGTTCTCCTTGATTTGTTGGGTGCGCCCAACACAACGGTTCCGCATTACTTCGCCAGCACGCGTCACGTACACAAGCACTTCCGCGAAATTGAAGAGCGGCTACTCGCCACACAGCAATTATGGCCGCGCGAATCTGTCTATCAGCGCATCTTTTCTAGCGAGCGTGGGCTTGCTGGTATCGAGGACGATCACTTGCCGTTTCTTCGACAGGGCGTGCCCGTTGTTCACTTGATTCCCTGGCCGTTCCCACATGTTTGGCACACACGGCAAGACGATGCCTCGGCACTTGATCAGCCTACGATGGACGCATGGTCGCGTATTCTACGTGTGTTTACGGCGGAGTACCTGGGCCTGACATGATGCGCCGGAGAATAGCATGTCGGATCTGCATGATTCGACCTGCTGCATGTCCACCGGCTTTTAGGATGAGCACCTGATCTAGCTCATACAGCGTGCGTGTGCTCACAAGCGGCGTGAGCCAGTGTGCTAGCACAATCCGCGGAAGTGTTGGTCGTTCAAGCGCATCAACGGCTTCAAGCATCGTTTTCGCACAATTCTCTTGCAGCCCCTCAGGCTGCGTGACCTTCGCGTTAGCTTGGTCGGCCTCACGAGCGATGCTACCATCGTTATCAAAGGCACTGGCTTCCACTCCATCAACATTGAATATGTCTTGATGATGTACGGCATCCGGCATTTTGCGCCACAGCAATACTGTATCGACAAAGGCACAGAGACGCTGAATGCCTCCAGGTGGTGCTGTTTGCGCAATAAACGAGGCATGGATATGATCATTTTCGTCCACATGCCACAAGCTGAGGCGTTCACCCTGTGCCAAGAGGGCATCAGCCATACTGGATACGTGGGTGCTAGGGTCCGTACGCTCGTTTTCACCTGGCGCCCCATACCAAGCGGGATTCGATCGCACTCGGATTGCCAAGTATGACGTGCTAAGCCACATAACGATATCGCGACGTGTCATGACACGCTGCGCCATTACCTCATGTGCAAGTGCTTCCAGGACGGATGGACTGCGCTCCGATAGACTCGACTCGACGGCGAGCGGCGTCTGAAGTAGGCGCTCCAGTGAAGGACGCATCTGCTGCTGGCATAACACGTGAAATTCGCCGCTCGTAGAATTCGGTCGAACGGCGTGCCGCTGCATCGACCAAAGCTGTTCAAGCGAGTATTCTTGAACATGCCGTGACGCATGTGTCGTGTATTGCGTGCCAAGGACAATGACGAGAGACGTTTGGATCGGCACGTCTTCGGCTGCCTCAAACGAGCACAAAACAGCGCGAATCCATCGCATGTCGGCAAGACGCTCGACTGTGCTCCGATCCCGTTCTGAAAGGTTTGTATGCCAGAAAGCAAGGCCTTGGCGCACGAGATGTGCTAGGCCCTGATGCTGGATCGATTGTGCAGCACTCTCGACGTCGGGATGCGCTGTAAACCCTTTCATCGCGAATCGTGCCGTGAGCTCTTGTGCCGCTGTGATGCACTGCGCACGTGTAGGAGCAAACAGAAGACCCACCTCACCCTCATGCGTCTCGAGACAATCAAAGGCTGGCTTAGCGTACGCACGCACAAGCGTCTCGGAGTATGGTATATCGACCGTATCAAATGACATAGACACTGGGTAGGGTGTATCCGACGGAGCAAATGCAGACATGGCATGTGTGGGTATATGGAGCCAGGCTGCGAAGCTTGCTGCTGTGCTGAGGCATTGTGCAGTGGCAATACATCTTGATGGTTGTGCTCGGCGAATCTGCATGATCGCTAACTCGTATGCAGGCGTGAGTTTGTGAATGTGAAGGCATATCACGAGTGACAGTGTCGGAAACTGGGCATGAGCAGCGGTCGCTCCGCTTAGCGCATTCGCTGCATCTGCTGGTGTCATGATGACAATGGACCGCGGCATGCAATGCTCGAGAGTCGATGACGCATGTACACTGTGTATGTCGCCCAAAAATGGAGCGAGCTTCGTAAGTGTATCGATTCGACTTCCGATGCGTTTTGCATCTGGCTCAATGATAAGAATCATACCCGACGATGCAGCGCTGTTCTTGCTGCTGCTGGCGGCCCCGCCAGCTTCTGAATCCTGTTTGAATGCGCGCGCAATAGCAAACAGCGCGGCCGTCCATTTACCCGAGCCATATGGTGCACATAGTAACACGTTTGCTCGCGAGTGCGACAACGTGTGGAAAACCTGCGTTTGGATCGCATTCAAGGTGTGAACATGGCCCAGTCCATCAGCTAATGGCATGTCCTGTAGAGAGGCAAGTGGCAACAAAGGGAGGGGAAGAAGGGTCGTGCTGGGCGTGGGTGAAGGACATTCAAGATGATCAACATTCATGAACACCGATCCCTCAGCGTGAAGCCAGTGCAGTGAGGACCACACAAATTCACAGGCTGCTTCCGACGTCGGACGCACATCTGCAGGTGACAGGGGTACGTACACTTGCATTTGGTACTGGCCATGTTCGCGCTCGAAAGGATGGCTGACGTTGTCAGTGCTACCTTTGTCGAAGGAGCCCTGCGTGGGCCGCAGAGTCAGTCGGTCCATGTACACGACACGCTGTGTCGCGTCCTGGACCCACCAGACAATTGGCAAAGAGGCACCATGTATACGCTCATCCCACACAAATGTGCGCCACACACTGATATCGAGGCAGACATGAGCACTAGGTGTCGGTCGAGCCGCAATGCGTACATGCAGCGATGGAAAGCGCTCCGCAGCGTTGTGCGCAACACTAGCGATACGCTCATTTGTGTGCAAGAGCTGAGCCAAGGATGGCACAGGCAAGGTACGGATCTGACTCACTTCTAAATCATCGGCCCATGTCGAGATACGATGCTTCATGTCATCAGAAAACGTTGGATATTGTCGGAGTGGATGCTCGAATGGCCAGATCCGTTTGTCAACCGCCTTCGCGAGTTGGAGGAAAGCCGTCGCTGACGCCGCGAACCCACGATCGAGTGCAAGTTCAAAGAGGGCCAGTAAAACGCGGCCCGCATTTTGTGCGACATATCGCGCATCACTTACAAGTGCAAAATCGTCGATATAGAGATATGATACATGGGCTTGAAATAGAATATTCACTTTGCCTGGCGCTGTTGCTGTGCCACCAGCCACTTCACACGGCACACTTTCCAGCAGAGACTTGAGCTCGTCTTCTTCACTCTCACGCAGCGGTATTTGCTCAAAGTCTGCTGCACGCGACATGAGGTCAAGAGCATCCGCTTCGCCCAGGTGATTCCGCAGGCGTCATGGAAGACGCCTATTGTTTTGTGGCTCAAATAATAACGCGAAGCAATGCGACCCATGTTCGTTGGGCGCAAAGTACCCGCGGACGTGTCAAACACGATCATTTGGTGTTGCACAAGCACGCGTGCCGCATAGGAGATCCAGTGCCGGCGACGCTGGACGAGTGTTGGATCGGCCTCAAGGTCGTGAGCGTCGAGGCCATAGACAAGAGGCGCTTTCCTAAGCCTAGTGAAAAGGTATGTAAAGCCGAGCCACGACACACCATCGTCCAGACTAGACACACTGCCCAAAGCGATCTCAGCATTGAGTGCATCGACTAAGCCGCGAAGAAACGTCGATTCAATCGGATGCGCAGATGTGATCGCCTCGATATAGTGTGGCAGCTTCTCACTCGACGTGCAAATGTAGCTGACACCCACATCCTCGTATTGAGGGCGGCCAGCTCGACCAAAGATTTGCAGTACGTCCAAAATTCCAAGATCGACCATTTTTCCCTGCTCAGCATCGTACACGTCCGTGCCTTTAATGATAACCGCATAGGCCGGCAAGTTCACACCCCATGCCAGAGTCGCCGTACAACACAGTACACGCGTGGCGCCGGCAGCGAAGAGGCGCTCACTCAAATCACGATCAGAGCGCAGCATACCTGCGTGGTGAATCCCTATGCCATGCTCGAATAGTTCGCGAAGCTCGCGATTCCGACTCGATGTGACATCGCGCTCAAAGCGTGTAGCGTCGCGTCCCTCAACTAGAATAGAGTGCAGGTCGTCGTCCTTACCTAGCTCTAACAGTGTCTGAGCTGTCTTGACAGTGTCTTTTCGCGTGTGAACAAAGACCATCACAGGGTGTCCCTCGCGTACGAGCTCCATAACTTTTTCATACGCTACACGGTCAAGATGAGTGCGAGACTGAGCTGACCCGTGCTTTCCACGCACACCAATGAAATGCTGCTCCAGCGGTACGGGACGAAAAGCTGCACCAAAATAAAACAGACCCCGGTACCGATTCACGCTCAAAAAGTCGGCCACATCCACAAAGTTCGGCAGTGTCGCAGACAAGCCGACGATCCTGATCATGGACTGCGTGGACTCTACCAGTCGCTGCGTTCGAGCAACGATTGTCTCAATAACGGAACCACGCTCTTCATGAAGCAAATGTACTTCATCGATAATGAGCAGGCGCACAGACAGAGCCAAATCGCCGTCGCCAGTAGGTTTACGCGTGACCACGTCCCATTTTTCCGGCGTCGTAACTATCATCTGCGTTTCGGAAATTTCTTTCCGAGTTAGCTGCATGTCACCTGTGAGCTCGCGCACTTGAAGGCCAAGATATGCGAGCCGTTTCTGGAACTTGCTCACAATCTCGGACACAAGTGCCTTCATTGGTGCCACATATACGATTTTAAACGCGCTTTTGTCCACATGGATCGAGTCTCGCTCGCTATAATGCATATAGCGCGAGATGCACTGTAAGATTGACAGCATCGCGACGTCCGTCTTTCCTGCACCAGTAGGCGCACACACAAGGAGGTTTTCATGTGTTTTGTACGCCATTGGGTAGACAGCACTCTGGAGCCGATTCAGCGTCTTGTAATGACGGAATGCACCACGGCACAAAGGATCCATTTCTTCCGTTGTAACAAGCCGCTCCGTGCTGCGGAATGGCATCGGCTGACTGCGTGGAACTGACACCTCTTCATAATACTGGTTGTGAATGCGCTGGGTGCCCATGGGAAGAGCGAAGCGTGTGCCAAAAGCACTCAATACACTCCCATGCTCACCACTGTTGAATACATTTGGATATGTCTCTTGCGAACCGGAAGATGGTGCGAGAGAAAGAGGTTCCTTCGCGCTTCCTACGCCATGTGCACGCAGCGCTTGCGCCCGACGCAACTGCGCTGCAGTAGCGTGTGGATTCGCCACGAGCATTGCTACAAGCTCGACCAATTCGAACCCTAGCATGTCTACGAGTACGGCCGACGCTGTGTCGGCATCAAACGTCACGTTCTTTCCACCGCTACTGCCGCGCGGATCAAGGATATCAATGACCATTTGCACAGTCTGATTTTTCTGCTCCACGCCTGTCATGGCAGAGTCCAGGTGTTGAAGAAGCACATTGGCAGCGCCGGATGTTCCGGTGTCATCTGACTCCAGCTCGCGATCAGACACAAGCTGTGATAGTTGCGCCCAAATGGAAGGAAGGACAGAGTGTGCTGGTCGACTCGGCGGCGCATGCTTTGTGAGCTCTGTGAGCTCTGGCGGCAAGAATGGCGCTGGGACAGCATCGCCACGTACGAGCGCCTTCAAGTGATCACGCACATGATCGTCCATGAACCGTATGACGCGTCACGCCTAAGAGTGTCAATCTATATTCACTTGAGGCGAATAAGAAATTCTCATCCAATTCCATGGACTAAACAGCGGGTGCGTAAGTCCGTCGTCAAATCAGGTTCAACGACGCGCGTGGCGCTTGAGAAACTAGGCAGCAACATTGTGACGTAATGTAATTTCCTTGATTCGCATAGAAAAGTCTTGCTCTGCTCTTATCGAGGGTTTAATTCGAGCCACCAAAGAGTACGTTGAGTAACCAAAGAGCAAAGATGAGTTCCTACTTTTCTACATCAATCTGTCAATCCACTGAGGGCATTGCCTAGTGATTGAGTTAGGACATCTGAGCCTTTGTCACCATATAAGTGAGACGTTCTTACACTGCAGCGGTATGTACCCATGCACAAGCGACGCGGGATAGGAAACTTGTGGCCTTCGACAGCATGGCGACGATGAGTACTTTTTTTCATGCATGCGACACACCGAAAGGTGGTGGGCAATTTGTTTTTCTATGCGTTATTGTCCTGAGCTTCTGTGTGCCTGTTGATGCCATAAGTCCTCTTTGTCGAGTCATGTCCCCGAGAATCCTATACTAACAATCACATCAGATGAGCTCAGCTGTGCATGAGGCACCGTTGCGTCCACCCATTGATGCATCAGTGATGCATCTTATTGGGCACCCACTTCCCGTACTAACGAACCTTGCGTGTACAGACAGGGGTAGTGTCGATTTGTTCATGGCGAGTCTGTCTCGCCCAATCCTCGTGAGCTCGTTGTCGCTTCCCACCCTTCAGACAGATAGAGGATCTCAGATCGACTTGCATGCTGCTCTTTCTTGCGATGGCGCCCGACAGCTCGAGTCGCTCGGATGTCAATATGGTGCACTAAAGCAGACGAAACCAGAACTAGCCCTCTATGGACTATGCACGCACAATGTAGATGACCTTGCACGAGTGCGCGATGCAATGCAGCTGCCGTTCGAGCTGCTTAGTGATCCAGACGCTGACTTGGCATCAAAATTGGAGTTGCCAATGTCGCAACATAATGACTGGGCGCTCATGCCCTGCACGTTGCTGATGGAGGAAGGAAGAATCCTCCACGTTGACTATCCTATTGACGATGTGAGAGAAACGGGAGTCCGTGCATTGGAGCTTTTGCGCAAGACGATGGATCCTTTTGTATAGTTAGCGGAAGTGGACGAATGACATCCTCTTCCTTCTCTCTCTCTCTCTCTCTCTCTCTCTCTCTCTCTATCTCTCTTCGTTTCACGCTCTTTTACATCTCATTTTGTGTCTTAATGTATACCCGGGCTCCCCGAATATTTTGGTCACTGATAAGGGATATTTATACGGTTCCCTCGGCGTATGGGAGATCTGGAACTACTGCTTTCGCAGGAAAGATAAAGGATGCAGTGGTTTTTGCTGATGTAGAAAAAAAAAAAGTCACTCAGCTCTACAAGTACTAAGGGCAGTGTCGATTTAATTTTGGCGTTGACGAGGAGACCTGAGTTTGGCTTCATGAATCTTCCGCATCTCTTCACGGCCTTTGGATCCGATAAAGTCATTACCGAGTACCTTGCGACGAGAAGCAAGTAAACGACTATACAGCATAATAAGACCTGGGCCATACAAGGGGATGACCGCAAGGAAAAACAAGTCGCGCAAGCTCCATGCTGACATGTCGACCCAGGGCCATGGGGCATTATGAGGTAGGGACGCGAAAATCAGCTGCAGCTCGCTGAACACACCCAGTGGGTACAAAATGACGAAAAAGGAGTAACGCGCCCAAAGAGCCATAAAAGAAGGAGAATTGAGCAGCTGATTCACATAGAACGGATAACGACCAACTTCGCTGAGCGACCAGGCTAGGATGAGTGTCGCATAATACGGAGAATGTGCGGCTGATTCATACTTTTCCGAAACAAGCCACACAACGATTAGCCTCGATAATACTTGAATGGCTGTGATAAACGGATTTGACTTGACGAGACCAAGAGCGGCATGAATAAACTCAAACACAGCAAGAGATTGCGTCACGACAACAAGGGGCGCAATGTGGTCGTGTAGCGTTGAGGCCCGAGATAGAAGCTCCGCAACAATCGGACTCATGCTAGTATAGTCTGGGGATTGAGCAGAAACCATGGCTGGCAAATACGTCTTGATTGAGTTGGCCAACCAGGGACTCATGATCTTACGTGCTGAGGCTCCTCGGCACAGGTAAAGCACGCTTCCCAGAAAAACGCGCAACCATAAAGCAAAAGACAGCAGGTTATAGAATAAGAGATAGAATTTCACAGCGTTTCTGGAAGACAACGCTGGTTTCTTGACGGTAGCTGGCATGATGTATCAAGTTAACTACAATTCAGTGGGGTGAGTTTGAAATGGGGAAGGTAGACTCGTTTGACGTGAATCTATTCCTCCACACGTGGGTATGGATTCAACTGGCCGATCTCACGACCCTTAGCATGTCTGTGCGTATGAATTCAGCCATACCAGCGGGCGTGCTGCTTGGTGCTCTCAGTGCACAAGTATGGCTCGCACCTCTCACAAAAGTAGAAGAAAGTTTTTCGCTGCAGGCTGTACATGATATTTTGACATATGGTGTGTACCCCTCCGGTAGGGACCACGTACGTATTGCTTGAAGATGATCGTGATTGCTGATGAACGGAATAGTATGATCATTTGACCTTTCCCGGTGCTGTTCCTCGATCTTTCGTAGGGCCGCTTATCTTGAGCATTTTTTCAGCACCATTTTCTTGGATCTGTGGTTTGTTGGGAGGAACATCCGCTCATGTCCAAGTGTGTGTGAGAATGGTGCTGGCTGTCGCTACATGGACCTCTTTTGTATTCCTAGCACATTGCTTATTTCCAAAGACGTCTAGACTTCGAGGATTCTTCTATATTGTATGCTCTGTGCAGTTTCATTTGCTGTTCTGGTCAAGTCGTACGACGCCGAACGGACTCGTGTTCCCATTTGTGACAGCGTCGCTTGGTGCAATTATTCACGGCCGCCATGCGTATGTGGGACTGGTGGCACTGGCTTCTTTGGCAATCATCCTACGCCTCGAACTTGTTTGCCTGGCCATTCCAAGTTATCTCTGGGTATGGCTCCATCAAAGGCGTCGTTTTTTTGTCTTGTTTCTCCTCGGAATGGTGTCGTGCCTATGTAGCGTGGCCGTCAGTATGATGTTGGATTCTTACTTTTGGAAGCAACGCATGCTGTGGCCAGAAGGCTACGCACTTTTCTTCAATGTCATTCAAGGACACAGTGCGGACTGGGGCACGTCTCCCCCATGGGCGTACTTGGTCCAGGACTTGCCTCGGGTTTTAGGAGGAGCATTACCACTAGCCCTTGTCGGATGCGCACGCCGGCGTGCATCAACCCGAACCTCGCTTTTGGTTCATATTGTCGTGCATGTTGGTTTGATGAGTGCTCTGGCGCACAAGGAATGGCGCTTTGTCATGTATGTCGTGCCCTTGTGCAATGCACTTGCAGCACTAGGTCTTGAGGCATTGTGGAAGAAGCGAATTGGCATCTTCCTATCAATAGCTCTTCTATGCATGAGTGCTGCATTCTGTGCCTTGGCCACATGGATTAGCATGTCGAATTATCCTGGTGGCGAGGCATTGGTTCGTTTTCATCGCCACATCGGTAATTGGAGCCAGAGCCAAAGCCAAGGGCAAGTGGTCCACATTGAGCCGCTCGCTGCGATGACAGGTGTAAGCCTTTTTCAAAGCACGCACTTGGCGAGACCACATGGATCATTTGTGCCAAGTGCTTTGCCAGCGTGGATTTATGATAAGAATGAGCATGTGTCAGATGATTGCGCTTGGACATATACGTTGTCGGAGCATGCCTGCGACGGGCTCATCTATGTACAAGAGGGCGAGCCAGTGTATGCATACAATGGCCTGAAAATGCAAGGGCCCCGGGCTTATGCTATGCAGCTCTCGCATATACTTATGGGCAAAGTGGCGGTACAAAACATCAAGTCGGTCCTGCCTTTCGATCTTATGTACACTCCGCAACTTTGGATATGCAAGCGAGTTGTACCTTGCGATGCTGGTTAGTCAAAGAGCAAACGCAGGTTCTCTAGCGTATCAGAGTCGGCGCTGTAAGGTTTAATTGACAATGCGTGATCGACAAGTTGTTTTTTGTGTCGCTGAATCTCGAGTATACGATCCTCAATCGTGTCATTCACAAGGAGTCGGTGTACTGTCACTGCACGAGATTGGCCCAGGCGATGGACTCGATCTATCGCTTGGTCCTCCCTAACAGGTGTAAGCCTTGTTTTTTTGGTTTCGTGTTTCTTACAACATACATGCTTCGATTCCACCAGCAATCCATGAGCCACACGTGATTCGCCGCTGTCACTGGAAGTGTTAGTGCAGGCACAAAGAAACGTACAATTCAGGCCCACTCCACCTGCGCGAAGAGACATTAGTAGAAAGAAAGGCCCGGGCTCATTGGCAAATGTTCGTAAAACATGCTCACGTTCCTTTTGCGGCGTGCGGCCGTCAAGGCGGACGAATGCGTATTGGCGTTGTACAAGGTGTGCTTGAATGAGGTTCAAAAACCCCGTAAACTGCGAGAAAATCACACCCTTGCAAGTTGGATCACTTTTTGTAAGTTCAGCCAGCTGTTGCATCAGCGCGTTGAGTTTGGTACTTCCGCGTGCAGGACCTGCAGGTGCTGAAGCTGCTGTGGATGACGTTTCGATGGTTGGGCGCACACTTTCAACAAGATCTTCCACCTGAACAGGACCTTGGCGGCACACTGGACAGTGGGGCTCTTCACCTCGATCTTCACATGCCTGCAAGTACTGAACAAGACAGTCGCGACAGCCATGATGCATACAACGAGGCAAGAAGCACTTGGACGCCTTGAGCTCCATGCAAAATGGGCACTCTTCCTCCTCGTCCGTGTCGTTGTCGCCAATGCGTTCATGGTGGCTGTTTTCGAAAACCTCGTTGTCGCCCGCATTCGTCTGCAAACTTGCCTCGTCTCGCACCTCCGCTGCTGCCAGTAGTGAGCCAAGCACATCGCGAGCATATGTGCTGCCTGCATTTCCCTCAGCCTCATATCGCTTGACAAGTTCGCGGAGTCGTTCTTCATATGTTTGCTCTTCGGGCGCTTGATTGTGCTTTTGTAGCACAAGGTACGGATGACATACAGCCTGGCGGAGTCGCATGAGCACAGCAAAAATCAAGCTGACATTTTTCCCAACAAGCCCCTGTGCAGCTAGCTCACGATACTGTGTTCGAGCTCGATCATACACGCTGAGATAAATGTCTCGCTCTGTTGCAGAGAATGTCAAATGCTGCGTATCCCACGTCTTGGGCGGTATGTCCACGATAGGGCGCCCATCGGGACCAGGTGTATGTTTCTCTCTGCGCAGAAGCAGGCTCGAAAGGATCGCCTGCACAATATCGAGGGCTTTCGCATTTTGACTTGCGAAAGGCTTCGCTAGAAAGCTGTTAAAAAACCGAATATCGCCCCATGGTTCGACACGCAAGAACCGCAGCAGGCTGTACAAGTCGGTTAGTCGATTCTGTATGGGCGTTCCAGTTAACGCCCAGCGACGATCCGCTTCTAGTCGACATGCTGCGCGTGCTGCAAGAGTACTGCGGTTCTTGATCGTGTGGGCCTCATCGAGGATCACGCGATGCCAGGTACCCGAGAACAGCGTGGATGTGCCGCGCTTATCCAGGTGCTTGTACTCGGCCGTCAACGTGCCGTAAGATGTGACAACAACATCCACCTCACCCTTTGCTAATTGCTGCGCAAGTTGTTCGCGAGCATCGCCATAGTACAATGCGATGGAAAGTGTACCTGGCTGACTCGCACGGTCTAACTCCGTGCGCCACTGGCTTAGTAGGCTCATAGGCGCGACGACGAGTGTCGCGGCGGTACGCTGCAGTCGAGGGGCCTTGCCGAAATGTAGTGATGCTTGCCGCAAATGAGTGCTGCGAGACCGAGAAGAGCTCATCGATGTTGGCGGCCGATCGAGATCCATCGATCGATTAGCATGAATAAGACTTGCAAGCATGATCGTTTTCCCTAGACCCATTTCATCTGCAAGAATACCGCCTCGAGCAGCTCGACTGGCAGGTTGGAATACCAGGCTCAGCTCGCCAATGTACGGGTTCATGTAAAAGGGACCATGGCCACAATCCACGTCATCTGCGAGCGGAAACTCATATTCTTCCCACAATGGATGAAGTTCGGTATTTTGCCTAGAGGAATAATAAGTATCTTCCATGGATTGCATCCAGCCAAGAGCTTGTTTTTGATACGACCGTAGTTCAAGTGCGAAAGTGGCGGGTGGATCGACGACGGGCAAGTCCGTGTGGCTCTTTTCCGAGCGGGTATACATGTCTTGGATGCATTCAGATGTGATTTCTGTGCCGTCATCGTCAGCATCATGCGTCGTATGCCAAGAGGGAATGCTCGCTGTGTGCAGAGATGTATTACCCCGCTTAGGCACCAAATGACAAGCGCGAAATAAGCGTTGCCACGCAACTTTTCGGTGTCTCAAAAGGCGCTCCTGTGTACTTTCCTTCGCATCAGATGTCTTGGACCATTCAAGGGCATCATCGAGATGACAATGTCCAGACACACTCGTCGTGAACGCAGTATAGCAGATGTATGCCTTGACTTGCAAAAGAATATCACTGCCTACCTCGAGCTTGGCTGGCGTGTCGACAATACATCCATCAAATTCAACCAGTTGGTCATCAAGCAAACGCGACATCCAGCTAGCTACATCCACAGGAATACGACCCACTTCAAAGCCCCGTGTCGTGCTGAAGCGCACAATATAATCGGTTTTCTCGCGCGACCGATGCTGTGTCTTGCTGGACGATGTCGAGTGGTTTTTGCTTTTGCGCTGAATCAGCACACGCTCACCTGCACGCACATGACCATATCCCTTTGTCATTGAATACCCACATAACACGAATGTGCCCATGTAGCGGCGTTTCCATGCATGGACGTCGGCTTCGCGTTCGGACCTCACGCGCTTTTGAGGCACGATATTTTCAGATTCTGGCACAGGCTCAGAAAAGAACAAAGGTGCATCTAGATCATCCGTCGCTGTGTCTGGCGACATTGACTTGTTTCGCAGGCGAATCCGACGCGATGACGAGACGTGGAAGCAAAGGCCAATTGGATCTTGACTATGATGCGCCACACTCGCTTGTCACGCGTCGAAATTGGCGGCGCGTGAAAATTTCGCTGCATACATATATATGAATTGATCTGTTAGTTTCGTCGAAGAATGGTCTCCACATTCATTGAGACTGGGCCTTAATGGAGACGTGTGCAAGTGGCAGCACGTTGCTATTACCGTGTTTGACTCGTGACTATTCTACATCATCAGCATCCATGCCGCCATCTCCCCAGCCATAGTCGACGCTACTAGTTTCGCTGACCCAATCATCGTCATGAGTTTCCTCATTATCACTGTCGCCTTCTTCAGAAGCGATATCTTCTTCGGTATCAAGACCAGCCCGACCCTGCCGCTGAACAACAGTAGATATTCTGGATTGGGACCCTGACGCATGAGGCGTAAATAGATCTTGGACCATCCGATGACTCCGCTCCCGAAGCTTAGAAGTTACTCGCTGTCCGTGTAAAACAGCTTGCGTGAGTGTATGGCTTTCAATATCCGTAAGACGATCACCGAACTGAACTACTTCGTCGGATGACTCTAATCCCGCATCTGCACGTTTCTCTGATTCTTCATGACGGGCAAATAGAAAATTCAAATCCGCATCATCTGGCTCCTGAGTCGGTGACTTTGCGGATCCAAAACGACGGTACGGCAAAATCTTGATGCTCTTATCAGCGTCGTCGTCAACGCAGAGAGCCATTTCTTGGCAATGTGGATGAGATAAGTTTGTCTCGGGCTCAGTCTCACGAGACTGAGTCGCATCAAGTGTTGGTGAAGTTGGTGCACTGGACATATCTTCGTCAAGAACGGCTTCTTGAGACTGGGGCAGGGTCGCCTGAGGCAAAAAGATTGGTCGAAATTCTCGTTGCTTGTCTGCTTTCACGGGTGAAGGGCCGAGGATGTCCTCATCCTGCACCGACGCAAGCTCTCTTATATGATCCTGCTCATGAGATGCGGAGAATATGCGCGAGAAAGAACGCTTGTCAAATACCTGGACTGTCCTCGGGCTCTGTATGAGTGCATTTGCCGTGCGGTTTTGAGAGGGAGCTCGGAAGGATTTGTCATTCGGCGGCGTAAGAGCATCTTCGCCACGAAGACGTTTTCGTGCTTTCGTGCGTGGTGTAAAATAAAGCGATATGGGTTCCAAGTTCGATGCTTCTTTCACAGGGGTGCTTATAGCACTCATTTCTAGCGGGGCTGGCTGTTCGTTCTCCTCAGGTTCACTCACGTCAGACTCATATGGGGCATTTGTCTCCGTGCTGCGTAATGGAAAGGTTTGCATTTGTTCATAATGTTTTGTGGCTTTTTGCGGTGAGCGGAATGGATTGCCTGGACTCAAGTGGGGCTTAAGTTCATACTTTTGCTTCTTCCTTGGTGTAGATGGTGCGGGACATTGTGGCGAAATCATGACATGCTCGCTGTCACGATCATGCTTATGTTGATTTCGATGATCCATTCTATTTCCTTTCTCTGCTAAATTCAGAGGTTTTGTCGAGGTATTTGGGGCAGACAAGTCGGACAAAGCGCGCCATGCGTCGTAAGCAGAGACCATCTCTGGGTCGCGTTGCAAATCAACTTTTGACGGTTCACGCCCATACTTTCATTAGCAAATATTTACTTACTTTCGACCTGAAATTGCGTTGCCATTGCTTGAGCTGACGACGCAAAAGTGACTCCATCGTAGACTAGCGACTGTCTTCCCAACTATCCACAAGGCACACACGTCTGGGGCAACGTCGCAGGAGAAATATTAACACATCGATTTTTTGTGGAGAACGCCACGTGGCATGTGTTACCGCCGGAGATAGACGTGATAAATGGGCAATTCACTATCGAAGTGTATGGGATAAGTTCAGGAGCGAGCGTTGAAGGTTAGGCTGTACGGGCGGAGCTGGAGGTATATCTACCACATTTTGAGAGCTCTTCTGCATGATTCGCTCCAATTGTGACAGAGCACGGTCATAACCAACACGTTCAGCTTGCCGACGAAATGCTTCAGTTTGCATGCCTTGCTGTACGAGACGCTTAGACATGACGGTTTGGGACATGGACAGATCTTGGGTTCTTTGCCTTACACCAGTTCCAGGTGGCCCAAACACCTTGAGGCACCGGATGTGGGTGTCTTTGCCATTTAAGTGGTTTCCTAAGATACAAACTTGCAACACAAATACTTCAATGGCACGGATAACCGTGGTGGCGCCTTGTCTGCCCATAGCCATGTCCTCACAAATTGCATCTGATGTTTCTGATAGCACAAAGTGGTACCAGCCTTGAGGTTCAATAAATTCTCTAATTCAATGGTTTGAGTGTCAGGCCAGCGCAAGATTGTAAAGATTCATACTTGCACGTACCTGTAACGGACATCAACAAGATCGTATGGATGTGTGCCAGCTTTCACAAGGATCTTTGTCGGCGTATACGAATCATCTCGACAACAGTCTAGGTAGATCGACAGGTGCTGTTTGACCATGTTACAAATCAAGACAGACAACGTACGGTCACAGGCGTGCGCCTAGGGAAATGTATCGTCACAAGATGTGGTTGGATTCCATCGCTCCTGAAATCAGTTAGGAAACGAAAGTGACAACAACGCACTGCCACAGGGTATCAAGATCGTCCGACGTAAGTTGCGCGATCCCGTGTCGTGCTTTCGCAGAGCTTAGCATCCAGGACACACCCTCGATACTTCCTGCATCTGTTTTAGTAGACAGATCTGTATTCAGCTCGTACACACGCAGAATATTACATTTCTCTGCCGTCACATACCATGAACATCCAACACATCCGCGAGACGCGTCATGGATGTGGAGGGAAGTAGTTGCCAAGCAGTTTGGGATGCTTGAAACACGCCTCTAGTTTAGTTCCTGTGCCCATAAATGTCAGACGGCCATCCATGCACAAAGTGCTATAATAGTTAGCTCTATTTCTCCCCCTTCCTCTCCACTTGGCACTAGCGTATTGCCGAAGCTGCTGTTGACTCCTTTCTGAAAACTAAAGCAGGGTTGGCTCATCATTGTAGCTCGCACGAGTTCGTGGGCATGGAGTGCACACACCCGATTCAGGTCGCAGGACTATGTGCTCTATGTGGGAAAGAGATTGATGAGTACGTGCTACTTTGGTTTCATCACTAATACATATGCGCAGAAGCACCTTCGGACAGCCCACGTTTGCAACTTTGCATTCGTCTGCAGATGTTAAAGTTTCACGCGAAGAGGCCATTCGCATGGATTCAGAAGACACGCGGCATCTCATCGAGCAGCGAAAACTTGCTCTGATCGTCGATTTGGACCAGACCATTATACATGTGACGGTTGATCCGACAGTGAAAGAATGGGCACATGACCCAAAAAATCCCAACTGGTGCATGCTCAAAGATGTTGTTGCGTTCCAGCTCGGTTCTGATGGCAAGACGGTGTCGCATCAGCCGGAGCGTATGGATCAACACGATGTAAAGAGCTTCGCTACTGATGGCGACGAAAATGGTTGCTGGTACTACGTCAAGTTACGTCCTGGGCTTCAGGCCTTCCTTCAATCTGTCTCACCCATGTATGAGATGCACGTATACACCATGGGAACAAGGTCTTATGCGGACTGCATTTGTCGTATCGTGGACCCTGACGGTCACCTGTTTGGAGCACGCATCTTATCGCGCGATGAAAATGGCAATGAAGTGCAAAAGAGTCTCTCCCGTCTGTTTCCCATAAGCACAGATATGGTTGTGGTCATTGATGACCGTGCAGATGTGTGGTCATGGAGCCCAAATCTCATCAAAGTCGAGCCTTACGAGTTTTTTGTGGGTATTGGCGACATCAACGCAGCACATCTAGGTCCTACAAAGCCACTGGTTTCTTCTGGCATGTCAGATACATCCAACACATCAGCACAGGGAGAGACTCTCTTGACAGATGAGCAGCAGCAGCGTGTCATTGCTGAACAATGTGATAGCCGACCGCTTCAACGTGCTGCACAAGAGAAGCATGAAAACAAAGTACAAGCAATCAAAGATAAGACACAGACGCAGGGTCAAGAGAAAGATCAAAGCCGGGCCCAGAGCGATGGAGACAGCCAAAATAAGGAGATGGGCCATAGCCAGGATCAAGATCAAGACGACCTGGAAAGCGAGGTGATCCAGCAAGACCTTGTGCTTACGGATGACGATACAGAGCTAGAGCTCATTCAAACAGTACGTCTAAGACCTGCATTGCTCACGCCCCTTGCAGTTGTTACTTGAGATTCACCAACAATGGTACGATGAGTACTCTGACGGCAAACTTCATCATGCTAAAAAACGGCCAAATGTGACCCAGGTCATCTCTCGCATGAAGAAGCAGGTTCTTCGAGGATGTGAATTGACATTTTCGGGCCTCATTCCTCTGCATGAAACGCCCGAAAGTGCGATGGTCTGGACCATGGCTGAAGACTTTGGCGCACGTTGCCATCGCACGCTGAACGATAACATCACGCACCTCGTGGCGACCAGTCCACGCACCAGCAAAGCGCAGCAGGCATTCCGCAAGCAGAAGATTCAAGTTGTGTGGCCATCATGGCTGAATGATTCAATTTGCCGCTGGGTGCGCCAAGGTGAAGTCCCCTACTTGATTCCACAGGATACCCAAATTTCGCTTGCTTCGCTGGGTGCACAAGAAGTTGACAGCGTATCTGCGGACGAAGGAAATGATCCCAATGCAGCAGCTGTTGCAATGGATGCGAGTTTAGCTAATATGGATTGGGGTGAAGCCGAAGATGAAGTTGACGCTTTTTTAGATGACGATGAAGAGGAGGACGAGAACGAGGATCAGGACAAAGAGAATCGTGAAAATGGCATTCATGCCAGCTGGAACCATCATGAGAATCGACAGGGAGGCAACGAAAGTGATGCAGATGACTATAATGCCGGAACTGCAGAAGCTGACGCGCCATCTGAAACCAATTCGCTCATGCTGGAATCTGATCAGGATAGTTTGCTACTTTCACCACTAAGCAAGCGTCGTCGCATTGCAGCCTTGCGAGGAGGCAAGTCGAAATTGCGCGAAAAAGTCCATGTCGATGACGAGCCGGAGGAGCCCACTTCCTCCGACACGGAGCCGGTCAGCACAAAACGCCGCAAATTGCAAGATAGCAAAACCATACCTCCATCGCATGTTGAGCAGCTTAAGCTGCGGGAACAAACAGCCTCGCCCGCACCTAGCGAAGAAATCCTGGACGACCTGGCACTAGAAATGGAAAAAGAGTTGGGTGAAGACATTTTCTAGACTATCTATTACGTGTGAAAGTTGCCATCACCAACATGTCCATCATGATGAAACCGAACGAGACGTGCGACGCTTGCCACTCGCTCCAGTTCCGCTTTTCGGTGCACGTGACGGTAAAGAGGACACTGGCACCGTCGTCGCAGATGTTGCCGTTGACATGAGCTGATCAAACACGGCCGTTAGGTGGCTAATGTCCATGTCACGAGCTTGTGCAACATGGTCCAGCGCATCCAGTCGTGTTGGCACTTCATGGCCGTCAGGAACAACATCTGAACCGATAGCAAAAGACGCGTCGGTTGGGTGAGCATGGTCGGCTGCCGAGCTCGGAGCGGTTCCCAAGGCAATCGAGGAACCGCCCGTCAGGTGGGGTGCCACAGCCTCTGAAGTGACTTCTGCGGAAGTACTTGAGCGTGGTGGAAAAAGCGCATCGACAAACGGATCCAATAATGTCGACATGGGTGGCAACAAGTGGGGCGGCGTCGCAAACAGCTCCAAGACCGCACTCGCTGGTGCGTCAGATGCGAGTTGCTGCTTGTATTGTGCATCAGACACCAAAACTGACTCTGTTTTCTTCTTTTCCGAATCAGCGACGCCAAACAGCTCGTCAAACAGCGTCGAACGAGCATCACTTAATGCTACACTGTGCAAGGACATGGCAGCGTGTGAACGTGATTGAGTTGCGACTGCGGCAACTGCGGCGCCTATACCGACCAAAGCGCCATGCTGACGCGCACCATACAAGGCCAAGTCATCCAATGAGCTTGATCTAGACGCATTCACCGGCGCATCGTGCAAAAGGAATGGAACCATATACGTCCGGACGATGCGTCGATCGCGTGGGCATACGAGGTCAATCGCAGTGCCAGCATGAGTCGAACGCAACGCCAACACACGGTCGCCATGCTTTACCTGTGCGTAAAATGAGCCTGAAGCTGAGTACACGACTGACTGGGATATCAGGTCCCATATCACGAAACGCGATGGCGAGCCTGTAACGGCGAGAAAACGGCCCTTGCGCCCAACGAAGTCACACGTGCGCACGTCCTTGATCTCGGGCGTCGCAAGTCGCGCTTGCATCACAAGAGTTTGTGGATCCCATATAGTCACAAATAGGCCCTGAGCCACAGCAAACAGAGAGCCATCCGGGGCCCATGATACATGGTGAGGCACGCTTTCCCGATAACCAAACGACGAGCGGCATACCCAGAAATGCTCAGAGCGTGCGCCTTTGAGACTCCGTAACGCCAAACGCCAAGTCTTCACCTGGCCATCACCACCCGCTGTCACTAGTAAGAAAGCCTGAAGTGGGTCGTTGTCCGACAAGCACGGCGAGAAACCAATACTGGACACACTCTTCTCGTGCGGATGATCAATGCGTGTATTTAGCACATACGTCTTGGAGCGTGGCTCCCATTGCCACAACTTTAAAGAGAATTCTGACGTAAAAGAGCCACCGTCCCGACCATCAACCGTGGCCATCCATTCGGCGTGTAACGCGTCTCGGCCAGGATCAGAGAAAGCAACAGCATACACAGATGGCGGACTAAGTAGTGCCTCTTCAGGCCGCGACACGCGATTAGATGGAACAATTTCCATATCCCGAATATGTGTGCGTGTGGCGACGTCAACGAATTGCACCGTGGACGGGTGTCCAGCGAGCAAAACTAGATGCCCCGCAGCTCGATCAAGCGCCAAAGGCTGAGGGAGCTTGGCGCGTTCATGCAATGGAAGCAAGGCTCGAGTAGCATCACATTTGATCGTCGAGAATACGCGTGTTGGCTTCAGGCTCAGACTTGCAATAAATACCACACTACCATCAGCCAAATGCGCCACGTATTCCTGTTCCGAATTTTCATAGCCAGAGGCAACGGCTAGGGACATGATCGAGGCGCCTAAACGAGGAACAAACTCACGGCCATCACTGCCTGCAGCTGTACCACTGAGAAGCTTCCACAGCACAAGAACGCCTTCCTCACCACCTGAAAGCAATTGAGCGCCGTCTGGCGTGTATTGCAGTGCCGCTACAGCATGTGCATGCCAGTGCAATGTAGTAGTGGGTGATATGGGCTCTAACGAACCACTTGAAACCATGGAGGGGACGAGTTTGGCTGATGTTGTGGCGGGTGGCTCTAGACAATGCCATAGCTTGATTTTACCATTCATTTCTCCCGTGGCAAACTGAACCAAGTCCTTTGATGGATGGAATGCAAGTGATGTGAACCGGCTCTCTGTCGAGTACTTGGTGAATCCCGCTCCTGTATCATTCAAGTCTAGCACATGCAATTTCGCGGAACTCGTAGCTACAAGCCAACGGCCATCCGGCGACAATGCCAAGTGTGAAACAGGTCGCATCTTTCCAAGACGCACAATCTTTGCTGCTTTATGCGCGCGAGACAAACCACGCCCGAGTTGAACGGAGTATATTGTGCTAGATGCCTCCTTCGTTTTACTGTCAGAAGATGGGCCTGCGGCTTGCTGACCATGCTTCGAGACCGCGACAAATAAACGATTCCTCCAATGGGAGCTTGCACTCATGCTGACGATGGGATGGCCCACATGGACATTGTCATGCAATTGTGATTCTAAATAATCCCATACCTTGACAGTTCCATCCAACGAGCACGTAATGAGTTGTAATGGGTTAAACAAACTCAGCATCATGCCAGTGATCGGCGCTGTGTGTCTCAGCTCCTCCGACATTGTTGCATCAGATAGTGTTGCGACGACTCGATTTGTTATTCGTGAAACAATCAACACGCTTGAATCCTGGACGAGAAACAAGTAACTGCCGTCTCTAGTGAGTACAGGAGGGATGTGGGAAACCGCATCTTCTTGCAGAGATATCCAAGGAATATCCATACTTTCATTTCCTTCATTTGCCTTGGACTTAGATGCACGAACGGACACCACAGATCCCCGTTCCTTCTGCGCTGGCACCGTCATCGTCGTCGTCTCGCCCAAGACACAAAGCAAGTTGCAATTTTGGTTATGGCGTGGAAGAAAAAACTGGCGACCAAAATACCTCGGCCGATGCATGACCTCCACACGCATTCGCATCCTGATGCGCTTGTTCAGGTGCACTTGTTGCGTCTCCGCATAGTGTGCTCAGGAGCGAAGCGAATCAATTTAAAGTAGCTACAGACGCTCATATATAGCAGCTATTGAATTCTGGATGAAGAGATGTAAAGTATTGATGTTGTTTGAAAACATCAATTACCCATGAATGATTAGAAAGCATTCATTTCACCATCAAATCCACCCATGCTGAAGTCTCCTAGTGAGCGTGGAAGCCACCGCCCATGTCCAGACCAAAGTCCCCAAAACCCAAAGCACCCGGCTCTTCATCGCAAGGAATTTCACTTCCCTGTTCGAATCCAGAGCCTATGCCTTCAAGCCCTGCATCGGCCGGCTCATAAGGCTGACCTCCAAATATCCCACCTTCGACCCCATCGTCGCATGGCTGCTCATTCTCATGCCCAAAAATGAGATCTGGTGTCTCATATCCTTGCCCAACAAGATCGCCGCCTTCGCAAGGAGCAGGTTCAAATCCTTGACCTTGGCCTCCCAACCCTGTGTCGTATACTTCCTGACAGTCTTCACAGTCTTCGACACTTGGACCCTGACCCTGATCGTTACCAGGGCCCGAGCCGCCCCACTGAAACGGCAGTGCTGGACTGCTTGGACCTTGCTCGTCACAGTCGGTGTCTTCCGTTATTGGAGGCGCATAGCCTTGATCACAGCCCTCGCATTCCTGACCGCCTGGTTGCTCAGACCCAGTTTCAGGCTGGTCGCAATCTGGTCCTGAGCCATTCGGGCTGCCATTCCCATTCGTCAAAGGCCAGATCAAAGGGCTCCCACCCTGACTATTGCCTGATGAGTTGGGACCGTTTGAACCACCTGAGCCTTTGGGAGTTGATCCCAACGGCTGGGTAGATACGCTCGGTGCAGAACCCGTTGACGATGGTGACTCTGTGCTAGAGATTAGTTTGGAGGATTTGGACGGAGTCTTTATTGACGCAGTCGATTTTGAAGTAGAATGTGTGCTTGATGGTGTTACTGTCGTGTCTGAATACTTGGACCTGGAGGTTGGACTATTCCGATTGGAGCTAACAAGGAGAACTGAACTTGACGTTGATCCGCTGTTTACAGAGGATGTGTTCGACGAGATCGAAGAGTTTTTGTTCTTGGTTGGACTTGAAGACTCTGTACTCCTAGTTGAAGTCTTGCTGGCATTTGATGACATGGTGCTTCGATTTGGAGAACTTCCTTTGCCTCCATTACCCTCATTACCTCCGTTTCCTCCGCGGCCACCTCTGCCAGGGGACCTGTTGCTTCCGCGTCCACCGTTGCCTCCTGGGCCACCAGAGCCGCCGGAGCCACCAGGTCCTCCATTGCCTCCATTGCCCCCATTGCCTCCTGGGCCACCAGAGCCGCCGGAGCCACCAGATCCTCCATTGCCTCCGTTGCCCCCATCGCCTCCTGGGCCACCAGAGCCGCCGGAGCCACCAGGTCCTCCATTGCCTCCATTGCCCCCGTTGCCTCCCGGGCCACCAGATTCACCGGAGCCACCAGGTCCTCCATTGCCTCCATTGCCCCCATTGCCTCCTGGGCCACCAGAGCCGCCGGAGCCACCAGATCCTCCATTGCCTCCGTTGCCCCCATCGCCTCCTGGGCCACCAGAGCCGCCGGAGCCACCAGGTCCTCCATTGCCTCCATTGCCCCCATTACCTCCGTTTCCTCCGCGGCCACCTCTGCCAGGGGACCTGTTGCTTCCGCGTCCACCGTTTCCGCCGGATCCACCGTTGCCTCCTGGGCCACCAGAGCCGCCGGAGCCGCCAGATCCTCCATTGCCTCCGTTGCCTCCCGGACTGCCTGGGCCAGAGTCACCGGAACCGCCAGGACCTCCGTTACCCCCTTTACCTCCATTACCTCCCGGGCCGCCTGGGCCAGAGTCACTGGAGCTTCCAGAACCACCAGGTCCTCCATTGCCTCCATTGCCTCCATTGCCTCCGTTGCCTCCCGGACCGCCTGGGCCAGAGTCACCGGAACCGCCAGGACCTCCGTTACCCCCGTTACCTCCATTACCTCCCGGGCCGCCTGGGCCAGAGTCCCTGGAGTTTCCAGAACCATCAGGTCCTCCATTGCGTCCATTACATCCGTTTCCTCCGCGGCATCGTATGCCAGGGGACCTGTTGCTTCGGCGTCCACAGTTTCCGCCAGATCCTCCATTGCCCCCGTTTCGTCCATTACGTCCGTGGCCGCGTTTGATGGGCGATCTGTTGCTGCCGATTCCTCCTTTTCCGCCGGAGCCGCCAGATCCCCCATTGCCTCCGTTGCCCCCATTGCATCCTGGGCCACCAGAGCCGCCGGAGCCACCAGGTCCTCCATTGCCTCCATTGCCTCCATTGCCTCCGTTGCCTCATGGGCCGCCTTGGCCAGAGTCGCCGGAACCGCCAGGACCTCCGTTACCCCCATTGCCTCCATTACCTCCGTCTTCGCCTTTGCGGGGTGATCTGTTGCTGCCGCGTCCGCCGGAGCCACCAGAACCCCCATCTCCTCCATTACCACCGGAGCCTCCGGAACTATGATCATGATTATCATTCTTGTCGTCGTCATCATCATCGTCATTAGTACAGTCTTCGTTCACTTTCTTGAGTGATTGATCGTCAAAATGAGCCGCCATATTTCGCAGAAACACAGCGTGTCTCGAAGAGCCCGGCTGACTTTGTTGGTAATTGCGAACCATAAGGTCTCGTGGCTTTGCAAAAGAGGGATCGACTGGTGCTGCCGAAATCAAAACAGCCAAGTTGGCTATCGCAATTGCAGTAGCAACATTGGAAGCAGAGATAAACTTCATATTTCAAAGAAAAGGGAAATTGAGTTTGAACAATGGCTTGCTCTTATGCTCTTACGCCGAGAGAATAAGAGTGGCACTCGATGTTAAAGTGAGTGTCTTCTACGGTATGATGCGAAGTTAAATAGTATTTCTTAAGGTCGGACATCGACACGATCTTGATCCACTCAAACATCACCTACTATCGAGCATGCTCCGAATTGAGTATTAGAAGATAGACCCTTGCGCTAATGTAAAGTTGATGCGACGACGATCGATAGTAGTTGGCTGGCTTTAATTGACGCATCACACAAGTGTTTGTATTCCAGAGTGATATGATCACGTACGTGAGCCAATTATATTTTGTGACGGTGTCGTAACAAATGGATCGGAATGAGGGGTTTCTGAGTCATAGCACAGTTGCCTATTTCGAAAGGTAGTGGGTAGTACTACAAGCGCAAAGAAGGGCAGCGGCCCTTTCTGCGGTAATGTCACGCTGGGGCTCTGCCATCATCTCAAAACTAAGGTCAGTGCGTCGCATACCAAACTTACCCAACAAGAAATTTCCGCACAGTTGCACTTCGTAGAAGTGGCGGATAAAAGTGAATATGTAGCAAAGCACTCTCAGATTCTTGGTCGCTTGCCGAAAGGACAGGCCGCTGATGTAGCCCCATCGAGTAAGGAAATGACGTCTGAAACAGGTTATCGTATCTGCAAGTAATCTCACCCAGAATGGTAGCGAAAGTATGTATTTCAGAATGCGACAAGTCTTGAATGGAGGGAATGAAGCGCCGGTGAGGCAGGAGCAGGATTTCAAAAGGCCAGGTGGCCCAGAATGGGACTAGAGCCACGAAATCCTCATTCACCGAAACAACACGCGGCCTTCCACTTGTTGTAAGTTCCATATGAGCGTAAGCGAGAAGCAGGTTCGGACGTCCAAGGGCATCGCGCGGACCGGGAGCGTCACTATGATTTGGATTCGCGGCGAACTCGTTCATGTTCTGCATTTCAGTTGCAGGCTCGCATGGAACATAATCCAGAGCCCACACCTGGCCATGAGGATGCGGATTGCTGCATCCCATTGCTTGACCCTTATTTTCAAAAAACTGTATGTACTTGACAAACGGATTCTCAGCGGTAATGCGCTCGTACATGTCGCGCCATGTATGAATCACCGGCACAATGTGTGTTTGTGGACTGTATGGCGATGAGAACATACGAGCGAGCGTGAGGTTGTGGTTTGGGTGAAAGCACACGACGTAACACTTCCCGCGCGCAGGTTGCATGCGGAAGAGCGAGGTACGTGCAATATCCTGTGGCTCCTCGTGAGACTCTGGCTGTGCATCTTTTAACGCAGCATAATCGTTTTCAAAAACAAACGTGGAGCTGTAGAAGTCGTTTTTTGCACCTGATGCACGCGTATCACCGGGACACAGATAACATCGATGATCATATGCACGGTAATTCACCTGTGCTTACAGATTCCTGTGCCCCCTGCCATGGCCTTTGCGCTCTGTGGGGTGAGCACAGCACGAATGACTTGAGCAACGGGTTCCAACGACGGTGCGGATGCTCAGCTGACTGAAATGGAACCATGTCGGTGGAGATCGTCTTTTGGTTGAGACTTGTACATAAGCTTGTTGTCTGACTTGCACCAGTGGAAAAAGGAACGGTGCATCCAAAAAGCGCGTGTTGGTGCCTGGGATAATCAAGACATAAATTGGTTGGGCGAGACGGAATTTTTTTTGGATTTAAGGCGGATGTTAGTAAGTGAAAGACGGCGGCGTTCCAAGTTCAAGCATGATTTGTGCATGGGAAAATAGGCCTACTTCACTACATGCAGATGTAGGGATCAATGGTTACACGAATTTAAATCCTCAGGCTCGTTCTTGCTCCAATGCGTTGGTTCGTTTTCCGCATGGCATTTCTTCATGTGTCATTTGTACGCAGAACAATCACATTGAAGCAAGCTTTATGAACTTCTTTTACGAATCTAGTGGACTAGCGACATCATAGATAATTTTTTATTTTCTCTTCAAGCCTATAAGCTTGGGCATGCACGTGGCCGTTCAGCCACCATGGACCATGCGAATATGCATCATGATATGCCGGCAAGCATGGACGGGCACGAGGCGAATCCACACAATGGACACATGATGAACACACAACATTCACATCACATGCCAGGTATGAACAAAGGAACAGAAGCATGCTCGATGAACATGATTTGGAATACCGATATAAAAGGTATGTGTATTGTGCATCGAGCATGGCATGTCAAGACGGAGAGGCAATTTGTTGCGTCATTGCTGTGTGTTGTGGGACTGGCGCTCTTGTATGAATGGATAAAATTGACTTTGCGACGTGTGGGTGCCGCTGCGGAACACACAGAAGTAGCTCATGGTGGTCTACGAACACACAGAGAAAGCGGACCGCGCGTCTCGGCACCACGACGTGTAATGCCGTTGTCACAAGACGATGCACTAGAACCTGACGTGAACAAGCGACCCGCGGTGCTAACATACATTCCTCGGGCCTTCCACACACCTGCGCGCCTACGAACACTAAGCACGTGTCTCTATGGTGTTCAAGTGGCGATGTCGTGTTTCCTGATGTTGATCATGATGACGTACAATGCATGGCTCATCGGTGCCATCGTCATAGGTGCCATGATAGGCTCAATGCACGTTCGTTATGGGCACACAAATGACATGTACGCGAGTGTGTGCCACTAGAAAGGTGGGATATATTTGCGAAACGCGACACCTGCGTTAGAAAAGATTCGTGCGCTGCGATCGTCCATGCTGTATTCGAGCTGGTACACCACTTCCATCACACCTGTTTGTACAATCTTCACTGCACAGCGAAGGCACGGACAAGTATTGCAGTACAATACAGTACCTTGAGCGCCGCCGCGATCTCTGCCTAATTCCAGCAGTGCGTTTTCCTCAGCATGTAGACACAAGCATTCGTCTAAGCTGCTACCACAGGGTGCACTTTCATTGCAGCGCGCGCAACCACCTTCGTTGCAGTTGAGCAAGCCTCGGGGTGTGCCATTGTAGCCTGTTGACAGAACTCGATGTTGTCGCACAAGCACTGCACCGACACGACGCTTCATGCAGTTCGAGCGCATGGCCGCAAGAGTACACAGACGCACGAAGTAGGTGTCCCATGTGGGGCGTAAGCGATGCAACGATGGAAGTGACAAGGAATCTAGGTGCTCGTAAAAGTCGTCAAGTCGTGAAAAGGTATTCGCGATCCGCAGCTGACATCGTTGCAAGAGTCCTGTAAGTGCAAGCTGAGCAGATGGCAAAGATGTTGACACAGTCTTTCCGCTCTGGTGCATCAGAGACATGTTGGACAGATCTGTCGGCAGATCTGGATTTTGAGTTGTCTGTGGGGATGTGCCATACAGGATGGCGTCGTCATACGATACGAATGACGCTAGAGATATAGGCGGCTGCTCACCGCGTTCTGCCCTCGCACATGCGCGATGCCAGCGCTGCATAAGTGGTGCTTCGACGCCGAGCAGCATGAAGAATGGCCGTTTCTCAAACATCTCGACAAGCGCACAAGTATCAATGTCGAGCGTAACAAATCTTGAGCGCCAATTTGCCGTGACAAAATGTAGCATGTCGTCGGGTGTAGCGAAGTCTAGGCGTCCATCCTCTCCGCTAATTGATATGCGCTCAAATCCATGTCGCGCCTGTAAATACTCTGCAATGGCCGTCTTACCGGCGCAGGCCAGTCCCACAATGCCGATTAGCATGCTAGACGTAGATGCGGGCGACGATGTGGGGAGCAATTCTTGCAGTTTATCTGCACACAGACTCTAATTGAGTGGTTGAATAGAGATCATTGTACTAGCCAGAAGTAGTCCATCGTGACAAGTGGAGGAGTTATGGTGGAGGGGGAAGTACGAGGAGTCTTGATGAAATGTGTATGTGATTATGCACAAAACTATCGAGACCCGAGCAAGCCGGCAGACTCGCAGGCAGACTAGCACCTTTGTGGGATACATGGGTAGCATCCGTGCATGAGGCAAGCATGAAGTGCTCTTGTTTATGATGGGAATCTAGGTGCGTCGGAACCGTCTCCACCACGGCATGATCAAAGTGCGTGCAGTGACAGGTGACAGTGCGAGTGATAAAGCAATGCGTACGGGCAAAAGCAGTTTGACAAGGACGTATGATGCAGTCAAACTTGTGAACCATGCAGCAGCCATAGGAGTACCTTCCTTACCACGTAGAAGGGTATCGAAACGACGGCAGACACGCGTCGCCATCCGGCGTCCACGAGCGATCCATTCGTACAGACGAGCATTTTCCGACGGCATCATGGCATTCAAGAGGGTATTAACCCACTCAAGCATCGCATCGCCGGCTCCCAATACGGCGAGCAAGGCAGCCAGTACAAAGATCGGTACAATAGCCGTGATTTCATGCAGAATGACAAACGAGATAAGAAGTGGTGCGGGATCCGCGCCCGTGCGAACAGCTAAGGAGTGAAGTTGCTCCTTTGCGCGCGTAAAAGCAGAGACGTTTCTGCGAGCAGATGTATGAAATGATGCGCGTGGATGGCTCGTGCCACATTGCTGGAGTGGCGATGCCCGTTCTCCACTGGATGCCGGTGCGGATGCTGCAACACTCGCTGGTTCAATCCACTCGACTCGAGTGTCACTTGGGCCACCGATCCAGAAAGGTCGCAGCGCAACTGGCAAGACAAGATTTGACGAGGAATATGTCTCGATAAGTGCGACTAGCAGGCGCGGGATGGCGGCGGCTGTGGCATTTAAAGTGTGTGCATAGGTATTCCTGCCTGTTTCTGCGTCACGATATTTGATCGCGAGGCGCCTGGCCTGGTATTCAGTACAATTGGAGGCTGAGCAAATTTCACCCCATGCACCGCGACCTGGCATCCACGCTTCGATATCATACTTGCGATACGCACTTGCACCCAGCTCCTCTGACGACATGTCTACCACGCGGTACAACAGTCCCAGTCCATTGACGATATCTTCCTGGACATGGCGAAGTGACTCGAGCATGGCATCACTTTGTTCAGCGTCGGACACAACAAACATCTCTACTTTCGAGAACTGATGGATCCGGTACAGGCCGCGCGTATCTGCACCACGTGCGCCAGCTTCGGCACGGAATGCATGACCCAGCGCCGTCAAGCGGATAGGCAAATGCATCGATGCCACATCACCGCCCAGATTCGGCTGGGTGTGCCGATGGCTGAATGTCTGCTTCGCCACAAGTGCTGCGAGGGGAATTTCTGCCGTGCCTGCAAGACATAGCGTAGCCATGGCGTCATCACACGCAGAGGTGTCATGCGTTGTGATACTGCGTTTTGTGTCAACAAAGTAGGTCTGAGCTGCAACTTCATCACGAGGCCGGAAACCACAACGTTCTGCAACATCCGTTTTTATCACGTCAGGCACAGACACGGGGATGAATCCGTGCCTGGTAGCTACATGCAGCGCATATTGACAGAGCGCATGCTCAAGCATCGAGATTGTTCCGAGAAGGTATGGCCACGATGGACCTGTTGTTGTGATGCCCGCAGCCATATCAACACCGCCATGGGACATGGACTGTGCAAGACCCAAATGATCGCGCCTGGGATCCACTTGGAGCTTGGATGTGAACGACGCATCGAATGCATGGGTTGTGCATGGAAGTAGGGTAGTGGGTAGGGAAGTGCTTCGACAGGCTGGGCTGCGTGCGTCGCACACGGCGACGACTCTTGACTCCGACTCAGGGCCTATCGGCACATCTGGATGCATGCGGTTCGGCCATGCGCTGCGTATTTGCAAAGAGCGTGCATGAGCTTCATCCATCTGCTTCTCTAGATAGCGGAGAGCAGTACGAAGTTCTCTGGCCCGTTCACGTAGCTGGCTTACACGCTCAGCATTCGTATTCACTTTTTTTGCAAGCGATGGTATCATAGCTCCGACATGACGCTGCTCCTCCTCGATTTTTATACGATCATATCGCATCTGCTTCAAAGACGCTTGCAAAGACGGAAGAGCCGCTGCCTCATCCTCTCGAAAAGACATGTCGCGTAAGAGCGTCACCCGCCGAGCCTCTTCAACATCTTCAGCACGCCACGACACACTTGGCTCTGGCAGCGGCCGGAATCCAGTGGGAGGTGCACTCTTGGATGCATACATGCGCAGATGACGCGCCCATGATAGTTGGCGGCGTCCTGCGCGGTACGACATAAGCGAAGCTTAGGGTATGAAGCGGCCTTATAGCACGTGATGAGATCGTGGTGGTGATGGTGGTGGTACCGTGTTTCTTCCACAAGTGCATGTGCCAGTGGAGGCCAACGATTGTGCACACGGCAATGAAAGAGGATACGTCTTTGACACACGAGCAAGTACCGCCACAGCGTCACCCATCGAATTGTGCCGAGACGATGTGCGATCGCGTAAATCCGTTTGGCTCAAGAATTGATGGAACGAGCCAGAACGAAAATAATGAACCCTTTTTTGTTCGTTACTGAATGCTTGCTATACTACAAACACAGCCCTAGGAAAGGCGTGGACGTTTGGATGAGCTGTGGAGATCTTCTTGATCAACAGGCGACGTTGACGAAATGCCTGACACATGCGCCGATGAAGATGAGCTTACACGCCCACGTGGTCGCTTCGACGACAAGGTTGAAGAGGTGGGTGATGATGATAGTCTGACCGCCGGCCGCGATGAAGGTCGTTGTCGACCAAGAGAATCAGGTGCACGTGAACGCTTTGATGTAAGATTAGCAGCAAGCGGTAGTGCGTCACTATTATCGTCGTCGGTGTTGTCGTCTGCATCATGCACGACAGAAAAAGTACGCTGATCCCGACGATGGGTATCGGATTGGCCGTGGGCCTTGCTATCCAGGCGACCTTCGACGACCGTCCCATCCACATTCACATCGGTCTTTTTTTCACCATTGTCAACACGCCTTTCGCTGCGATCGTCATCATCGTCGTCATCAGAGTATTCTGTAGCAGCCATCGACACACGCCGCTTTCGTGTCTTGGGCTCAACATGCACCACAGGCTCAGCAGGACACACAGGAAGCGGAGAGAATGTCAGATTTTCATGCTTGAGCTTTTCGTTCACATCATGAATGGAGTCCAATAGAAAACTGCGTCAGCATCCACTCACGAACATACTCAATTTCCTCTTGCAGTTTCTGCTGCTTGGCGATGACCTTTGCAGCAGAAGCCTGAAGCTCCGTTTGTTGCTGCTGTGAGTTTGTTGTAGATCAACGTACCTCTATGGCTGAATCATACTTGCGCCGCGCTCGTGTAAAGTGCGCCTTATAATTGTGTGTCCGCGCGGCTGTCGCTGCAAACTTGGCAGACGACATGACAGTAACACAAAAAAGCGTGTGTGATTGAAAGCAGAATCAAATGAGAGATATGGTAAAATGAGGCAAGGCAACACCTAGATTGAACTGTAGAACAAGCAAGTCAACGACAATCAGGGGGCGGAAGCAATGGGGAGAAATAAGCCTGTGTAGCTGCCACATTGGTATCGTTTCGATGTTCCTCCACATGGAGGGCGATCTATCCCTACGCGGCGCTGGGGTCAGCCTTTTCACAATATGACTAAACTACAACCGCATCTTTGTACCGTGCAAATGGATACGCTGCAGTTTGCCACCGGCGTAATTGGAGAACATCTGACACGCACAGCAAGCTCCTCGCTAGCGCATCCAGAGCGGCATGGAAGCGGTAGATGCACAGGAACAGATGAAGAATGTGCCTGCCGCGTCTCCTCTTCATGATATCCGCCCAGCGTACTTCTACGCGGTAGATGCACCGAGTGTAGATGACTTAACATCGACCCCTGGATCCTCACGCTCTATGTCTGCATCTTCGGATAAAAAGACTTCATCGATTTCTTCACCACCAGGAATCCCTGTTTTTCATCCGACAATGGCCCAGTTCAAAGACTTTTACGAATTCTGCCAAGCGATTGATTCGTGGGGAATGCAAACGGGGATAGTCAAAATCGTGCCGCCGCGCGAATGGGTCGAGGCACTTCCCAGTCTCCGGCCTGAGAAGGGCACACCGCGCTCCGATTATGCGCAATTGAATGCCGTGCGCATTCGGCACGCCATTACCCAGCACTTTCTCGCAGCTGGACCTGGTCGTTGGAAGCAGACGAATGTGACGCGTGCAAAGCCTTACGATGCGAAGCAATGGGCCGACATTTGCATGCATCCCGCACATCGTGCACCACCTATGTCACGCATTCAGCGGCAAGTGGCTGCGCAGCGTGCAGCTGAAGCAGCGCATGAACAGAGCCGATCGTACTCGGCGACACCATCGGCTCATACTGGCGCGTCCAATGCATTAACCTTGGACTTCGATACCCCCGGCAAACTTACACGCAGTGGCGGCTTAGGTCGTGATACGTCTGCGCATAGCGTACGGCCTGCATCGAGTAACAAAGTGACCACCCAAGACGAATGGGATACGTTCGATTACGAACATGGTTGGCTGCAAGAAGCCCTTACAGACAGTGAGCGGCAAACTGGCCATCGCTTGTCCGATCAAGAATGGGATGTTCCCACATGCCGTGCTATAGAGGCTGAGTATTGGCGCACGCTCAATCTCGGAACTCCTCCCATGTATGGTGCAGATCAACAAGGCTCTTTGTTTGACAAGCGCACCGTACACTGGAATGTCGGCTCGCTGGACAGTCTGTTATCAAGAACATTGAAATGTGCACTACCAGGCGTCACGACCCCATACCTGTATTTTGGTATGTGGCGTGCGTCGTTTGCTTGGCATGTCGAAGATATGGATCTGTACTCAATAAACTATATCCACTTTGGCGCTCCTAAGCAATGGTATGCTATTCGACAGTCAGATCGCCAGCGTTTCGAGTCGATCATGGCAGCGACGTTTCCGGCAGATGCGCGAAAATGTTCCCACTTCCTCCGCCACAAATCGTTCCTTGTATCACCATCCTTCCTTGCAAGTCACGGAATCAAGCCTCTACGTCTTGTACAGCATGCACACGAATTCGTGATCACATACCCATACGGCTATCATTCCGGATATAACCTTGGCTACAACTGTGCAGAAAGTGTAAACTTTGCTCTTCCATCCTGGGTTGAGCTTGGTCGGCGAGCAGACTATTGCCGCTGTGAGCTTGCTCAAGAAAGCGTTCATATTGATGTGAATGCGTTGTGGCCGACTGACGCGTCTAGCAATGCGAAGACAGACTCTTTTACCCCTGATTCTATGTCCGCCAGTGAGCCAATGGCCGTGGAGCGACCGGCGGACAAAAAGAGCCACACACGTGCTCTGCATGCATGCGTTTTTTGTCCCCGCGATGCACCACAAGATCCTCTTGTTGCACTGCCTTCGTATGCATCAGACATACTTCGGCGGCAAGCAAGTTCAAGAAAATCGTTACTAGCATGCACAGCACCGTATCAAGCGCATAAGCTGTGTGCATGCTTTTTGCCAGAGACTTGGGTGGCCACAGAGCCAGTATCGCACGTCGAAGGAGCCGATGCCATTGACAAAAGCCGGTGGTCGCTTAAGTGCCAAGTATGTACTGCGCCATCTGATCGAATGTATGGCGCAAAGATTCAATGCACGAAAGGTCGATGTCCCCGCGCCGTGCATGTAAGTTGTGCACTGGACGAAAGCAGTGGCTGGTTTTTGGATATATGTTCGCGTGATGTAGCCGACAAGCTCGAAGGTACTTCACTTGCGCAAGGTGACCAGCCGCAGTCACATGATGATGATGAGCGAGTCGTGCTTCTTTGTCGTGCGCACAACCCTTTAAAACGAGCACAAGAGCTGGAGCGACGGGAAGAAGAACTACGAGCCAAGATATTGGCCCTGCCGCGACCCACGCCTGTTCGGGTCAAAATCAACCGCGCGATTTGGGTGACTGAGCTCCTTGATGTGGACGAAACGAAACAGGTGGTTATAGTGCGAGATCCGGCGAATGACGCTCGGATGCAAGTACCATGGACGCGTCTTGTTTCGGATGAACATATGCCATTGGACTCGCTACATGACGATAATAATGAAACTAGGGATTACATGGACGAGCGAGTGCCTAAAAAACGGCGAATGCAATATGTGCGCGGTACAGACCAAGTTGCAGAGAGTTAACACATAGAAAGAAGGTAGGTGCAAGAGAAAGGACAGAAGAAAACAGAGAGAAACGACAGAAAGCCATCTTCACGAAGAAAAGGGATCCTCGTGTTGCTTGATAGTATAGACCTCAGCCTTTGTGCGTCTTGAAAAGCACGAGACCTGCGAGAGCAATGCCATAGCCAACGAACTGGAGTCCCGTCACGGTGCTGCCTAGGATCCACATCGAACCAAGAATAAGTAGGATGTCCTTCAAGACACCGGCCAACGTGAGAGTCAGTGAGGATGCAGCACCAATGAGGAAGACGGATGCCACATTTAGACCGAAAGCGACACCAGCGTTGGACACTAGTACGAAAGGACCAAGCTGGGCGAGCATGCGGAATGGCTTTAGTCCCTCGGCAAATGGCAAAATAACCATGTTGAATGCTGCACATACGGGTGCAAAATAGTACAAACTGACCAATGGGTCCATCTTCAGGCCTTGCAGAAGCACTTGCACCATGACAAGACGCGTGCTTTCGAACGCAATGGCCAAGACCTGGAAAATAAACCCTGTCATGTTAAAGTCAAGCTCACCATAAGATGCCATCGCGACACCGAAAGAGATCATTGTTACAATGGCAGTAAGCGTCGTCGATAGTTGCTTGAGCCCAAATGAGAACGAAATAATGAGTACGGCCACAGGCGTAAACGCCTTGAGCATTTGGATGAATGGCACGCTGAGGTGCAAATACGCCATGTTGCTGAGAATCAGACTAGCAGAAAACAATGCTCCAATCGGTAGGATATTGCGATACCAACGATCCATTGTCATTTCCACGCTCGAAAGGCCATTCAATAAAGTCGTATACCGGGCAAGGAGGCGTGTTCCCACCGCAGCAAATGACATGTGGAATGTCGTCAGGAATACTGGAAAGGGGTAATTCAGATTCACCAGCAGGTACTTGTTGTACACGATAACACCGCTGCTGAATGCGATCCAAATGGCAATAATGATGGAGGGATGGACCAAACGCTTGTTCGGCCGCTGCTGCTGGACCGCAGGTTGAGGAAGACCAGCCTCCCCTTTCGAGGTAATGTCCTGCGACTTTTCAGTTGCTGGAACTTGCAAATTCGATGGACCCGCCTGTGACATGATGTCCACGATAGACGACTAAGATCAAATTGGGCTGCTTAGCGCGCCGTAAAGGTTGGAAAGTCACGCACATTGATCACAAACTGGGTATAGGACCCACATCGAGCCCCGGCCCTGGCTTATGATAGATTATGTAATTCGAGTGTCACGTTTGCGTACCTACCTTATTTAGCAGCCAATAGCAAATTAGTCACGAAATATGTTCTGGGTGCCTCGTGCTGTTGCTGTGGATGATGGGAGTTTGGATGAAGGTGGCGGCCGTTTCGCAAGCTTCACGGCGACATGACCGAGAGCACGACGTAGTTGCTGCTCAATATCTTCGAGCGTCGCACTGTACAGATCGGCTGTCCCAAAAAATATGTAGGCGTATGTAGAATGTACTTGAACACCCTTGCGCGTGGTGAGTGTCTGCAGTGCAGCCATCAAGCGCTTCCTGCATCGGTCACGGACCACGGCGTGTTTGTGAACGCGTTTCTTGCCGATGAGAACTGCTGTATGAAGTCTAGGTATTCCATTTTTTCTGTCTTGCATGGCACTCTGGTATCGCCGCATATGCCGGGATTCGTGTGTGTCGGGGGATGGTGGAAATGGCAGCCATGAAGGGCCTAATAGCGGAGGCATACGCGATGCGCGTGACTGGTCAATGCGTGAATGAAGCGGGTATATGTGCAAGGAAAAAAAGTTGGAACGATAATGCATGGTTGGGGAGCGATGCATCATGACGACCGCGCTTGGCGGTTGTAACGCCGCTGGCGGAAGCGAGATGAGTCGGACGAGCGGTCGACGAACCGGCATGGATAGAGGTGAGCAACAGATCATGAAACAGCAATCAAATGTAGTGACTTGGAACGCATTCAGATGTAGTAGCAACCCCTGGAGCTATTCGCGATAGAAGACCAGTTCGCTTGGGTCTGAGGTCGAAATTACAGCGTTGGATTCTCTTTCTTGGGGTGTCTTGTGAAAGTGGATATAATCTTGCTTTATTTAAGTGCCTATGACTCGATTATTTCAAGTGCATTTTTTTTTGTGCTACGTTTGAGCAGGAGCGAAACTGGACGTAATTCGGCCATTTTTCTTTCCACGCCTGCCGTGTGCCATGTCTGATATGCCGCCGGCGGCAGCGTCTCTTGCGACATCGCAGCATCCTAGAGAAGGAGAGCGCGACAAGTTGAGAGGAGCGAGAAAAGAAAAAGGGACAATGCAGGAAGACCATGTAGAGCAAGGACAAGAAAAGAAAGGAGGGGATGTTAAGGGCCAAGGAAGTCGCGCTGGTCGTAGTCAGGGGCAAGTTCGAGAGCAAGGGCGGGGTCGTGCGCGCGGTCAGTGGCATGGGCCAGGAAGGGGCGGTGCTCAGACACCAGGAAATTCTCGTGGTCGCCGCCGCGGACGGGGTCATACGAATGCAAACGTTCAGATTGACAAACCCGACGACAAAGGCACTATGAAGGAAGATCCCAGCGATGTATTGTCTGCTCCGAAATCCGACAGTCCAGCTAAGAAACAGACTGCGACGCCGAAAACTGCCCCCAAAATGCGAAGATTCGGCGCAAAGCTCACAAATTCATCGGAAACGCCACCAGCAGCGATGTCTGGCACATCCCGGCCGGTGTCTGTGCCTGAATATGCCGACCTACGTTCGCGGATACTGGCAGAGCTTGCCAATGACGAGTACGACTGTACTATTTGCTACAATGTCATCAAGCGAAGGCAGCCAATATGGTCGTGCACTAGGTGCTACGCTGTGCTGCATCTAACTTGTGTACGAACGTGGGCCGAGCGAAGTGTGTCACAAATCCAAGAACAGAATGCGATGCACCAGGATGCAGCCGTGCGAGAGACACCTGGTCATTGGCGCTGTCCTGGGTGCCAAGACGTCAAGTATGAGGTCCCTCGTACGTACAAGTGCTGGTGTGGCCGCATAACGAACCCCACACCCCCGCCTGATGCAGCACCTCATTCCTGCGGCAGTCGTTGTAAGCGTGGATGTGTACGGCACGGGTGCCTTGCAGTCAAGTGCCACCCAGGGCCCTGTCCGCCCTGTGCTGCAACGGTCCAAGTCGCTTGTTTCTGTGGCAAGGAGCCACATATGCAAGTGCGCTGTTCACAATTGCCACGAGCGGCTACGGAAGGAACAGAAGCAGACACCATATCTGATCGCACATTCAATTCAAATCAGTCCCACACAAGTACCGCTGGCATTCTTTCCTGTGGACAGCTGTGTGGGAAGAGCCTGGCCTGTGGCCATCATACATGCCCACAGCCTTGCCACCCCGGTGCATGCCCGTCATGCGCCATTACACTTCATGAAGTACCATGCTTTTGTGGCCGCCACACACGTACGATGCGGTGTGGTGAGCGATTGCCTGAGGCGGCAGGACTGAACTCAGGCTGGTCGTGTCAAGAACCATGTCATGCTCCATTTGCATGCGGATATCACTCATGTTCTCGACCTTGCCACGTGCGATCAGGGATTGCGCCGTGTCCTTATGCGCCAGAGCGGGTGAAAACGTGCCCATGTGGAAGAATGCCCCTCACTAGTCGTTCTGACTGCCGCGATCCGATCCCGACGTGTGAAGCGACGTGTGGTAAGATCCATCCATCCTGCGGCCATGCCTGTGAAGCCACGTGTCATTCGGGACCATGTCCTCCTTGCTCGATGCAGGTTCTCCAGGTGTGCCGCTGTGGTGCATCGAAACGCCAGGTACCTTGCGGCACCAATACCGACACTGTGTACTTGTGCCAGACCATATGTAAGGTCACACGGCATTGTGGTAAACACCAATGTCAACGTCAGTGCTGTCCGCTTGCATACCAAGCGGGTGTGAGTAAAAAAATGCTTCCTACGGATCTTTCGCAATTAGATCCAGTGGGTTTCCATGCGTGTGATGCACGATGTACCAAAACACTTTCTTGTGGTCGCCATACTTGTGATGCACCGTGCCATCGCGGAGCGTGTGCGCCATGCCTTCGTTCGACATTCACCGAGGTGTCGTGCACGTGTGGCCGTACTGTGCTGGAGCCACCGGTACCTTGCGGGACACAGGTCGAGTGCTCGCACCCGTGCTCTTTGCCACCACCGCCTTGTGGCCATCCCAAGATTCCTCATACGTGTCACCCCGCCGATACCCCATGTCCTCCGTGTGTGCATTTAACGAGCAAAGTCTGTGTGTGTGGACGAACGACTATGAGTGCTGTCCCATGCAGTCGACGCAATGTGAGGTGCGGCGAGCCTTGCCGCGCATTGCTTGCATGTGGTCAACACATATGTCCAGGCGCATGTCATGCCGAAGGCGAGTGTCCGCCGTGCAATCAGGTGTGTGGACGGCCGCGTCCTGTATGTGGGCATCCGTGCGAGCGTCCATGCCATGCGCCAGAGCCATGCAGTGCGGACGAGCCATGCAAAGCCGTCCTAGCTCGTCGGTGTGCATGTGGTCATCGCGAAAAACTCGATGTGTGCGGTGCAGCACCGGGCATTGAACGCCCACCTGTGCCGCCACTCGAGTGTGTCCCTGCATGCAAGGTAGCTCAGCGCAATGCGCGATTTGCTCGTGCACTTGGCCTCGATACTCAGCGCGAGGAGGTATCCTATTCTGCCACACTTCTTCAATACGTCGCGCAGAATCCACGCGGCTCCCAAGCTGTGCAGGAGGTGCTGAACGAATTTGTGCAGTCGCCACGAGTGTCTGCGCAGCTTCGCGCATTGCTGACGTCGTTTGCGGTCCGCCGTGGTTGTGAGCCCATCAAGGTGGACGCACCATTGCTCGCGTTCACTGAGGAACTTGCGCATGCTTATCACTTGGAAGTTGGTCTATGCACGCCTCAAGGCTTGATCCACACGGGTCCAGTGCCGTCTAACGGGCGTGACGTGGATGTTCGTCTGCGTCGACTGCGTGACACACGCATTCCCACTGTCCTGTTAACTGAGTTTGCAGCCAGTCATCCTGCACGCACATCACTAGAGGCAAGGCGCTTACGATCGGCGGCGACAGCAGCAAGAGGAAGCGCTACAGCAATGGGTTCGCCAACGTCTGGAGCGTCTGTGCCACGTGGAAATGCGTTGTGGATCACTGCCCCACGGTCCGTCACGGGTGAAGCGGCGCTCGAAAACATGGATCAAACTGCATTGGCCACAGCCTTAGGCGATGCGTCTCTGGGTGGCCGTCGCTCTTGGAAGATGGTGTGCTGTAACGAAGGCACTCTTCTCACACACATTCAGCTGGAGCCACAAAGCCTTGCAGCCATTGCGAGCCGTCCGAAGCCACCCGGATCAGATGCTCTGTCACCCATTGAGCGTCGGCTTCTGTGGGTCTCTGAGGATGTCCAGCGGGCATTGGCCTCGGCAGGTGCGCCCACCGATGAAGAGGTGCTGTTGTGCTCATGTACGGAGGGGGGTCAAGTCACACATGTCTTTCGTGATGGACGTTGGTCGAGACAAGACGTGGTGATGAACAAGACGGCCTCTCGCACATAGCCACTTTTGCATGCCTGCACTGGCATCTTGTACCATGAATATGCCCTCCCACATTTGCATAGTAACAATTTTATACGCATGTAGAATGAAGTGAATAACAAGGCTACAGTACATGGTGCAGAAAAGGGATTATGGCCCACACACGCAAACTCACATCACCGTATCGAATCTTACCCACCGATGTTGTTGGACCGCAACCGTTATTTATTTAGACACTTGTGAGTAGGGACTTGGTCAAGTTGTAAATGCGCTCCTTAGAAGCAAAAAGAATCGCAGCCGTCAGAATAGATTGCAAGAGCTTGGATGAAATACCACGGTAAAGACCACCGAAGCCTTCGTCTTGGACGACTTCTGCCATGGCGGACCACACGTTGACCTTCTTCTTACCCACAGACGACTCGATCGACATGGCCTGCTGACGCGACTTGATGACGATTTGTGGGTACGTAATGCTCGTAGCAATGAGCTTGCTAAGTGCGCCAAGCCAGAAAAAGTCCATGTCGCCCAGCAGTGGTTTTGAAGTTGGTGTGATGGCTCGCGCCGTGAGGCGGATATTAATGAGCCAATTCTTCAGCTGCTCAAACGCCGTGTACTGCAGCACAGGATTTGTCACAAGGACGAGAGCTGGACCGATGCCCTTCCAGAGAGCACGGACGCCATCCTTCTCGACAATGTGTCTGAGAGTAAGGTATGAAAGTCTTGCGTTTCACGGCCTTTTTCGTGCGATCGGTCTCATTGTCGCTTTGCGTGACACGAACAGTCTGACGAGTGTTGATGACCCAGATTGGGTTGCTGATCAGAGCTGTGGCCACACCCGCGACCAAACCAGCAAGAATGCTCTGTACTGTCGTGAGTGCACCAAGTTTGGCCTTGGCAGAGCGTGTGAAGCGTTTCGACGTAAGGATAAAGTCCCGTGCAGCTTCAAAAAAGAAGTAGTATACAAAGTTTGTCACACCAATGCCAATGAGAGACGATCCTAGACCATCGTACAGACCGCGTACGCCCTCCTTGGCAATGACCGTCGTGATGGCTTTGAAGAGAGACTCACCAGGGTGTTTTGAACGGTCCACAGCAGCACGAGTTGAAATGCCCATCAACGGGTATGTGGCAGTCATGGCCACGAGACCACCGGCGCCGCCGGCACATGCATGAACGAATGACTCGCTGACCATGGTTATGGTAAGAGAAGAACTAGAGGAAATACGAAGAACAATTCAGCGCTAGATAGAATGTGGTGGTAGTTACAAGCGTTACGAAAGCGCGAGGGTGCCACAACCTTAGCTAGCCAGCTTTTCTGGAGCAGCCAGCCATTCAATCGCGCGTGACAATGCGTGTGTCAATTAAAGGGGGTTGGCAGGGGGTGGAAATGCCGGCGCTGGAGCCACATCAAGTGCGCGGCCCCAGCCACCAACCTCGTTCTCCCAAACACTGGGCGACATCCTCGTGTGATTTTTACCTAAGCAGCCCAGCAGGCTGGTTACCCGGTGCCATGTGTGGCGCATGGCACGTAGACTTGAGCGGCAACGCACATTCACTGTTGGGGTGGCAATACCGTATTTCCACGATTCTGTGGAGGCGAAGGCGTCGCACGCGTCAAGCGAGTGGACGAAGCTAAGCAGAATAAGCAGGTAAGCAAGCAGGCGGTGGACGTTGGTGCTGGAGATGGGTCGGTCGTTGGATCCACCGAAGTCTAAGTGAATTTTTTCTTCCATCTACATACGACCATGGCAGGTCTGTCGCCAGATTACGACTATCTGTTCAAGCTCTTGCTGATTGGTGACTCAGGCGTTGGTAAATCGTGTTTGCTGTTGCGATTTGCCGATGATACGTACACCGAGTCGTATATTTCTACGATTGGTGTAGACTTCAAGATTCGCACGATTGAACTGGAAGGTAAAACGGTGAAACTGCAGATTTGGGACACAGCTGGACAGGAGCGGTTCCGTACAATTACTTCTTCGTATTACCGGGGAGCGCATGGAATTATCGTTGTGTACGACGTGACGGACGAGTCGACATTTGCAAATGTGAAGCAGTGGCTACAGGAGATCGAGCGCTACGCATGCGAGGGCGTAAACAAGCTGCTCGTAGGCAACAAAGCGGATCTTACGAACAGCAAGGCTGTGGATTTTGAGTCGGCCAAGCAACTTGCTGATGAACTTGGCATTGCCTTCCTAGATACGAGTGCCAAAGATGCGACCAACGTGGAGCAGGCGTTCTTGACGATGGCCAAACAGATCAAGGATCGTATGGGCGTGTCGGCTATGCAGAATGGTAGTGCTGGAGGCGCAGGCAAGTCTACACTCAAAGTTGGCCAAGGCCAGAATGTTCAGGCTTCAAGCAACAGTGGCGGATGCTGCTAGTGGGATAGTGTGTAACTATATGAGCATATTATTTATAGAATCGCGTGATGCGCTATGATGGATAGCAAGAGAGAGAGAGAGAGAGAGAGAGAGAGAGAGAGAGAGACATTGATGGTTTACTGCGGTGAACGCGGCTGGGATGGCGACATCCGCGAGACGGTCGGCATTGGCGGCATAGGTGGCATGGAGGGCATACGGGGCATAGTAGGCATAGTAGGCATAGCATGGGGAGCTGTAGACGCCGTTAAAGAAGAGGAGGACGATGGCGCAGGTGCAGTGTCAGCCACCGGTGTGGTGGTGGTTGGCACCGCCGCTGACGCTGACACATGTGATGAGGGTGTTTGTTGAGATGCTGGCGCTCGTACCACAGACTCTTTGAGCATGGGCCGAAGCGCAGGCCGGACCGAGTCCACACGACGCCACGTCTCGACCCAGAGAGCCCGGCGGAGGGATCCAGGCGGGCCATCGACCAGGTGACCGGCCGTATGCATAACAAGAATCATATTCTTTAGTTGCTCGTCAATGGCCTCAGTCTGTGGTTGCTGCTTCGGGGCCATTTGGAGAATTTTGATCGTCGATTGCACCACACCCATCCACAATCGAAGCACACGAGCAGCGGCAGGTTTCTCCACATCATTCGGCACGCCTTCCATCAAGACGCCGACGTCTCGTACCCACGCGCGGTTCACGAGCAGACACACGAGTGTGCGTGTCTCGGCAAGTGTGATGCCAGGGTTTGATTCTGGGCCCAGTGAGTCGGCACGCGCAGTCTCGGGTGCCACGAGCGTCTCTAGTAGGGGCAATAGGATATTCCCAAACATGGCATCGAGGTGTGGTGCCACCTGTGCGGGCTCCACATCAGTAAGCATGTCAGGAGCCAAGACCACATGTTGCAGATGTAGCACGGCTGCCTTCCGTGTGGCGCGGTGTACACTTACGCACGGCTGTGCCAATGCAGCTATAAGCGGGAGCCAAAACTCAGGCCAAGCCGTCGACACGGCGGCTTCGTTAGACGCTGCTGCTGCTTTCATCAATGCGGGGATTCTTGTTCGCACGCTCGCCAGGCCTTCGAGGGCCGGTGTGCTCAGTGCGTGGACGGAGGTGATCCAATCGCTGATCTCACGCTTTTCTGTGAGTGTACGGCGAGGCGTATGATCTTCGCCGTGCCACGAGGCACGATCTGCACTCGACAGTGTCTCGCGGATCATCTCGACCAGGACCGCATACGTCACGACACTGGCATGTGGCAGCATGTGTATCGCGAGCGACAGAGCGGCGCGAGCAGCGCGTGCGCGCTTGACGCGCGCGTATGAGGCCATCAGGTGCAGGAGCGAGCGCCACTCGTCTTCCGTGACCAGTGGCAGGCATGGTTCGTCAGGATGGGTGCGTGGACGATGATCGTCTTGGTCCATGCACACAAGCTCGTCCAGTCCATGGAGAAACGCCCCAGCTACATACACATGCAGCGAACTCGGCACACCTCGAAGTGCTTGTAACACAGCGAGCAGCGGACTGTGTGCATCGGTGCCCCACTTGACGTGCGCAGCGACGAGACGCATGGCACCAACAACAGCGCGCTCCAACTCGATCGGCGGCACACGCGGCGCCTGATGCAGGCGCGAGAGATGTGCATCCATCGCGCGCGCACCGTGCTTGGCAAGGAGCGAGGCGCGTGCACCGGCCACGCTCGCCAGCTGCTCAAGCCAAAAGACAGGGAGCGGACTGAACTCGGGGCCTTTCCGCGCATTTTCAAGGCGAGTGTGTACAGCAACGAGATAGGCATCAAGTGATGCATCAGGAAGTGTGAGGACTTGCTCATGCATCTGGTCTAGCTTGCATGAAGCTAGGCAGTCGAGCGTACACAGCGTGCTTTCCATGTCCGCTGCACTTACGTCCATCGGCTCGACAGCCATGCCATGTGGCGAGAGAAAGTAGCTTGAGAGCGTCGAGAGCAGGCCTGTGCTGGTTGAGGGAGCAGCTGGCGGCGCAGCACTCTTGCCCTTAAGTGGGATCGGCACACGCACATCGCGCGACTCGTACATCGAAGCCACACTGTGTGGCAGGAGTCCATTAAGGAGCAGGCTTTCGATGCATGTGAGCAGACTGGTCCAGCTGCGGTCCAGCGATGCGCCGTGACTGTGAGCGATCGTAAACAAAACGACGGCAGCCAACTGCTGCTTGAACTGGCTGCCGAATGCAATGCTGAGCGGCGACACCATCACTTGTGCGCCTTCGTGCTCGACAGATGCATTCGCGGCTGCGTCGTGAGCGAGATCCACATTCATCAGCCCTGTCGCAGACGCTAGATGCTGTACCATGTAGTCAAAGACTTCTGACACGTCGTACGCCCGCGCAAGCACCGCACACTGCCTGCAGCCAGCAATGACCCGTTGAAGGAGATGCTCGTCTTGCAGCGTTGAGAATGCGTGCACGATGCTTGCGACAAATGGACGCCAACTGTGACGGAACATGTCGGCATCGAGATCGACACCGTGTGTCGCACAGAGCTCATTCCCCGCCCGAGCGCGACGAAGAAGCTCCTTCCACGAGTAGTCGAAGCCCAGCTGCCCGGCATGCTCCTCCGGCATGACGATCTCTCGGCGGCGAATGCCGTCGTAAATCGAGGCAAGATACTCCTGGTCAAAGTCTGCGCCATCATTCACACCCCGCAGATTGCGCTGGTAGTCGGCCGTCGACATGCGACGCGTCACTTGCGGATTGTGCAAATCCGTGTTGAGCATAATGATGCTATACGCTAGCACGTACACGGCATCCTCGCTGCGGATGCCTGGCGGCTTCGTCGAGAAGTACTTGCGCGCAAACGTCTCTGTGACGCGCGCAATCTGTTGGGCCTCGCCAGGAAGGCGGAACGCCTCACACAACGCACGCATGGCCTCGGCCACATCACACTCACGGAAGTCGAAGAGGTCGATGAATTCCGCGAGCACATCCACGTTCTCAGCTCGTGATATGTAGTCGCCCAGCAAACGCTTATCGACGAGCGGCGAGTCTTTGAGAAAGTAAGCAATGCTGCGTGCTCGTTCCCGACCAGAGTGAGCGAGGAGGTTCTGCTCCGCGAGAAACGCAATGCCGTCCTTCGGCTTGTGATTGAAGGCAGCCGCGCCCGCCGCCAAGAGTGATTTCCGCTCACGGCGCGCCCGCAGTGTACTCTGCAGCGAGCTGCCTTCGGTGTCTGGCAGCACATTTTCATGCCGAGCGGCCATGCGCTCAATGAGACTCAGCAACAGATCCAGCGCAACGAGCTGCAGTCCCGAGAACGACGTGCGCGGCGAGGGACCAGCAGCCGGCTGCGCAAAGATCGCCCGGCACAGGAACTGCGTCACTTCATCGTACACGTTGGAGCAAGTCATATCGCAATCGTAGTTGCGCCACAACATCACAAAGGTATCGGGCTCGCCATCGTCGACGGCAAGGTGACTGCACAGCGCCTCGACAAAGAGTTCCCGCATCTCACCCACGGCACACGAACGGAACGCCGTGAGTTGCGGCGGTGGCTCTGGCTTGCTGGCATCGTCGGACCAAGGCGCAGCGGACCAAGGTACGGTCGGCCGCAGCTGCTGAAGAAAGAACTCGATCAACAGCTCCTGCTGCATCTTGAGATGCGTGCGCAGTTCGTCAAAGAGAATCGTCAGCACCCGCAGGCTGTTGGCAACGAGCACAGCATGCTCGCTATTCGCGAGCTGGAACAAATAGCGGCACGCCGAGTCTTCCAGCAGCGCACGCAGTGACGGAAAGCGGGCAATGTCCGCACTGTGCGTGTCCAGCAGTGCACCAAGTAGCGAAAGTCCCAGCAGACGCATCGTCATCGTGTGACGTACACTTGCCGGATCAAGTAGTGAAATAAGGACTCGCAAAATCTCTTTGAGAGCTGGCATGCCGAACGGCGCTTCAGAGACCACCTGGCGTGCAGGTGCCTCATCAATCACTTCGTGACTACCAGGCTGGGGTGGAGAACGCATCACGTCGACGGAGCTCTTCGCATCAGCCAGTTGGGGTGTCGATGAATCTTCGGGCGTGGCAGAAGCATTCGTAGCGTCAGTCACAGGCGCCAGATCTTTCGGTGTCGACGTGTCTGCCAGTACTGCCTCGTTCTCCTGGAACGCATCCTTCCTCGTGTGTACTGCTTCATTGCCATCCTCTTGCGCACTGGGCTCCCTACGCTCTGCTGACGCCGCATCCGTGTCAGAACCACCACCAGCCGCTGGGATCGAGCGGCTCTTGGGATCTGGCATACACATGCGGATCCGGCGATCATCCTCGGCATCTGCACCGACGCGATCGGCCGTCAAAGTCGCAAGTTCCGGCTCTTGCACACGCCCGCTTACATTCAAGGCTTCATCTGCCTCCAGTGGCATATTCCGCAGCCGCGAAAATATCTCGCGGATCATACCAAGCATTTGGCGCTCGGCCGTCCGGCGAAGCGCCGTGCTGAGCCGCGTTTGACAGCACATGCTCAAGCACGTTTCCATGAGCTCGCAAACACCCTCATCGCCTAGCATATCGATCAGTGGCACGCCCGCGCGTGTCCTCGGCGCGGCATGCTCGTGCGAGGATTCTCCAAACACATTCTTGTCAAGGCTGTCATAGGCAACTCGACCGCACACGAGCGCATACATGAGGTCGAGAATCGCAAGAAGCACCACCTCATCCTTGTTGGCATCCGACGGCTCAAAGCGGCAATGACTCACGGCATGAGCCACATCCTGCACGGCCTGTTCCAAGCCGATGCTGGATGAACGAAAGAACCCACGTTCTAAAAATGCCGTCACAGCCTCCAAGGCTGTCTGTGTGACAGTACCAGTTGTCCGAGCACTAAGAATAACTCCCACAAAGTGCGAGAGCAGTGTCGGTAGTGGAATCTCCGATATATCTGAGACTGGTTAGTGGATGCGTTCGTCATTCTGTCATGGCTGGGTACAAATGCCATTGACACAAGCGCCAGCGCCAGCACCCATTCCGACTTTTCCCCACGGTCCATGTGCTTACGATACGTACCTGATACCATTCTCAGTTGCGCACGAAGCACAGTGAATCCACCCAGCAAGCCCACACTCGCTGGCTCTGTTCGTGTGTTGTCATCTGCGTCATCGTCCTCTTTCTCTTTTGAATACAACTCAGATTGAGCAAGTAGGTGTGCAGCTCTTGTGAGACTCAGTGCCGATGGACTGGTCGTTGCCGAGCTGAGGATAGCATTCGACGCATTTGATGACTGAGCCCAACGTGGACTTGTGCGCATCGCCGACGTCAGTGCATTAATGTGGCGCAGCACAATCCGTTTTTGCGACAGTCCAACGCCTGCATCTTCACGAACGCCCTGCATCTATGGCGTCTCGTGCTCTGCTTACACTGCGCCGGTCGTCGTCGACAACAACAATATATGTATGTGTGTGTGTGTGTGCGTCTTTCCCAACCGAGCCGATTTTTCCATTTGGGCCTCATTTGATCGGGCGGGGCGCACACGTCATTCCTACTCCAGCTGCTTCCAACGCCGCAAGCTGCGCTTATTGTCGTTTCTCTCTGTGTTGCGGTTGGGGACGTAAGCACGACTCATCTTGAGGTGGAGCAAGAGCTAGCCTGACTGACTCTTTGCCTAGTCCTCAAGTCCGTGCTAATTTCGGCTGAACGCGCGGCGGCCGAGTCATAGTGCCTCCTCCTATACACACCTACATACCTGCATGTTTCCGTACTCGGGCGATGGTTGTTCAGACTCACTCGGCCGTAGTATTTGGTATGTGTCAGTCAAATGCGCTCGCAACAGGTGAAATGGCGCGTGGAAGCGTGCTGGCAGCCGGCACGGCCACGCAATATGTCGAAACTCCTGTCCGACCCCACTCCTCTAGGGTTCGTATTATGCTCCACACTGCCACCGGGGCAACTGAGCTGGATCCTGAACGAGTAGCAAATCAACAGCGCTTTTCGCGCGATCTTGAGTTTCTCTCGGCGCTAAGCAATCCATACTATTTACATCAGTTATCGCAGCAAGGCTACTTTGAAGACGAAGCGTTTCTGCATTACCTCGAGTATCTTGACTACTTTCGTGCGCCGCGTTACGTCAAGTACCTCACATACCCGCAGTCGCTGTACTTTCTTGACCTTCTGAAGCATGAGGCATTTCGCTCCGCTGTCGCAGACTCTGCTTGGCCCCACGATACTGCAGCGCGTCAAATGGCCCATTGGGCTACGTGGCGCGATCCCGTCAATGTTTCATTCGGCAGTCCCCCGCGCGAATGAGAAGCAGCGCCGGAGTGACGAGGCCATCCTTGCTCCACTAATTCAGCTAGTCGACCCTGCGAGCGGTCAGCTACGTGGTCCTTTCAAACCAAACGACATTCTGTCCAAGATCGACCGCAAGGAATATGTTCTTGTTCAAGTCACGGAAGGCGCTTTCGCGAAGGGTGACTCAAAAGCGAATGTCAAACAGGAATGGTCACTACACGAACTTCCCATTTGCCGTCTTCTTAGCAAGCGCCTAGAATATGCGCGTCAACGCGACAAGAAAAAGACGCCCACTCAGTCTCAGCCAAAAGTCCTGCAGCTTTCGTGGAGCGTCACGGGCAACGATCTTACTCACAAAATTGCCAAAACACGTCGCGATCTTGAGCGTGGTCACAAGGTCCGCGTTGTTATTCTCTCCAAAAAAGGCACACGGCGCGCCCTACCTGGTAGTCAGGAAGATGAGCGGCGCACTGACATGGTGCAGCAGCTACTCACAGATCTTTGCGCACCTACGCCTGATTCAAAGCAACCCATCGCACGCGTGAACTCCGATCCTGCATGGAAAAATGCCCGGTCCCTTGTAGAATTCATGCTTGATGGCATCAGCTCTAGCTCATCGTCTTAGCCGATGAATGCTGGCAGAGCCATGTCAGTCTCGTTTCTTTCAGCATTCGTTCCTTGCTACGAGCCGATGCTCTATCCTTTTCTCCCTCCACGACTTGCCAAAATGTACGAGGACAGTACCCTCTTCTCCACTTGGCAAGAGCCTCCTTGTCTATCGCGTCCGTCGTCTTGAAGCGACTTGTACTTCCACATGGTTCAGGCCGTCAAAGAGCTCTATGAACATTATGCCTTTCTTCTCCTGCAGAATCTGCCTCGTGCTTCCTATGTATCGATAGACCAGCATGCGTATCGTACAGATACACTTTTTGAGGGCTTTAAGCTTGTGCCACCTGGCATACACTGTTTGACGTGGCAGTCAGCTGGATACGCAGATGACCGACAAGATGCGCTTGCCACAGAAGGCATCCGCTCGGCTCTTTTTCTCTACACTAAAGAAAAAGATGTTTTGTCACGCACATATGACCCCGCGTCTGACGCCTGGCTTACTCCCCCCGGCACAGATGCCAGCACGCCATTGCTAGTATCTAGGGACCATCTCCAATCCATGGACAAGTCGCTAGCACCCTACCCTGTCGACGACTATGCACTATGGCAAAGCATGACGCGGTATTTGCAAAAGAGTCGCGCGACGCTTGCGCGCATTTTCCATGTTGACGCACACACGGGCGATGCCATGTGCGATTCCTTCACGTCGATGTCTGACCGCGAAGCACGTGTGAATGTCCATGATCTCCGGCACACATATCGCTCTCAGATGCAGGGTAAAGCCTCTTCGCCGATGAGCAGCGTACCCAGTCTCGCATTCACGCCTTTTTCCCTCGCGCACAGTTGGCCTCCTGACGCACACGGCGCGGAAAGAACGCGATGGAGTATGGACAAGTCGTGGCTGCTGGAGGACGTCATGTCTCGTGCATGCGCAGCTGAACATCACGGCTCATCCCTTGCTCACGAGCCACTCTTGCGTGAGTTTGAGCTATCTTTTCTTCTGTTCCGTTGCACCAACAATGCAGCTGCCCTCGATCACTGGGCTGCTATCATTTCGCTTTTTTGTCGTGCTGCCTCCTACCTTGGTGCACCCGCTCCTCATGCATTGCATCCATGCGAATGGGATGCGGATCGACCGGCGTCGGCGCCTATGGTGACATCCTCCTCACATCTCGAGGCTCACCTTGGATGGCTCGAAGCGCTCGTTGCTCAATGGCAAGCTTTGCCACCACATATTTGGACAGACGACTTGGCCTCGTATGAAGCACCAATTCTTGACGATCTTGCCTGCCTACGTGCCAATATAGGACGGAGTCTGAGTGCTTGGGCTGCTATGACGTCAAGCACGACTACAGATCACGAGCGTTTGGTAAATGCGTGGCGGGACCTAAGTTCCATTTCACACGCACGCTTTGCATGGTCGTTAGACCAACTGCTTGATGAGGAGGTCGAAGCTGACGATTTCGAAGAAGGTGCTGATGCCCCCGTCATTGTACATATCTAGCTGTTGTAAACTAAAACCAAATTCTGCATGTCAGTCTTCCTGCCTCTCAATTCGGCAACCACGCATGTGAAATACAAGACGCGAGAAATCAGCATTGCAGAATGTAAAGTCCACACGGATCGCTCGGACAGTGCTGATAGTAATGTGATATAGGTGATCATCCGCAAAACATGTGCCTTGTATGTGTGTGCGTGTATGTGTGTTCTCGACACGTACCTATGGACGAGGTGCGAAACTAACCAAAGGCTAGATAGACATCAGTTGGGAGGCATATGCCACTGCAAGAGGACAGAAACACGTGGAGGCCAGCCACGCGCGTGAGCCTTGACCAGCGGGCCCAGCAAGCCTGTGCCAGCTTCTCCAAGCGCCGTGCATGGAGCCGCGGTTGTGTTCGTGGTGAACGTCACATCGGCCGAACACCAAAACTGCATTTGACACGTGACCGTCCAGACTCAGTTTCCGGTGCGCGCGCCAGAGACGAGAAGGAGGCAAACAGCCGCCGAAGCTTGCTCACCACCACAAAGAGACAAGACCATGGGACGCGGTATGTGCATGAATGAAAGAGACATCGCAGACGTACTGACAGCATGTAGTCATTCGTTCTCAACGTAAGAGCGGTGGTATCTTCACTGCTCACACGCGCCTGAACAAGGCGCCGGCCAAGTTTCGCCCATTCGACTTTGCCGAGCGCAACGGATACATCCGTGGTCTGGTGAAGGAGATTATCCACGACGCTGGCCGGTACGTTGATGCCACAAAGCAGGATTTTGTTGAGCGCCTTGTCGTTTTCGTACTAACATTTTTTCAGTGGTGCACCACTCGCGCGCATTACGTTCCGTGACCCTTACCACTACAAGCACAAGACTGAGACGTTCATTGCTGCCGAGGGTATGCACACGGGTCAGTTTGTGTACTGCGGTAAGAAGGCCTTGCTGAGCGTCGGTAACGTCCTGCCTCTCAGCTCGCTGCCTGAGGGTACGATTGTCTGCAACGTCGAGGAGAAGGTTGGTGACCGTGGTGCGCTTGCCCGCACATCTGGTAACTACGCGACCGTCGTTGGTCACGATGCCGATGGTACCACGTCGCGTATCCGCCTGCCGTCTGGTGTGAAGAAGACGGTGCCAAGCTCTGCTCGTGCCACTGTCGGTATTGTTGCTGGTGGTGGTCGTATTGACAAGCCATTGCTCAAGGCCGGCCGTGCCTACCACAAGTACCGTGTCAAGCGTAACTGCTGGCCTCGTACTCGTGGTGTTGCCATGAACCCCGTCGACCACCCACACGGTGGTGGTAACCACCAGCACATTGGTCACTCGTCGACGGTCAAGCGTGGCGCCGTCCCAGGTCAGAAGGTCGGTCTCATTGCTGCCCGTCGCACGGGTCTTCACCGTGGTACGGTCAAGGTGCGCGATGCTTAATGAGTGTTGTGATGCCTATGTTCTATCTTCTTTTTCTCTCCTGCTTGAGTGGCACCAAAATACAGGATCCTATAGACGCCTGCTCATCCTAGTGATGCGCCCCGTCGTGATGTACTATGTCGGTTCCTTTTTTAGCTGTGCCCACTTGGGACAAAAATGGATGCGTTTCCGCGTGTATGCTTCTGTGCTATGCTTGCTTGGATGGCAAAGTGTGTCGGGTATGGTCATTGATGTGTTTGGGTTAGGGCATGTCAGTTTCGAATGTGTAGTTTTATCGCTGGATTCGCACAAACCTTTCCTACCGAGATGAATTTGAGGCGTGTTCTATTCTATATCAACACAGAAGGCTATCTTGCTCGTGTCGAAATCGTTTCGTTTTGCCTTTCTGGCTGGTTTATTCGTATCTTTCGTCAACACAAAGAGGGTTAGCGTAACGTGTTTGGCGACCATTCCGTGATTAAAGAGCCTCCGTGGATTCATGCTCCGACCGCGCCTTAGTGTTCAACTTTTGTCCAGCAAGTTCTTTGTTCTCCATAAAATTTTTCAAATATACTAAGTCGTAGAGTTGGTCTATGGGTAAAACGGGTATTAGCTAGATGCCTCACCCCTTTCCTTTCTTCTACGATGGCTCTTGTTACTCTCTGCTAGTTCTCTTTTATCCCATACATACATACATACATACATCTTTCTAGCCAAAGACCTCTAACCTATGTGGGTTTTCTTCGACCTCCATTCATTTGATTATACTTCTTCCATCCGGTGATCTCCACCTGACCGACCGCCGCCAATGCGGACGGTCGTTGTCGGGCGATGGCTGTGTGGGTTATGGCTAGTATGGACAGGACTTGTGTGCGCCCAAGCTTCTCCTGAGGTCGGAAGAATGACGGCCAGCGAGCTCGACGTTTCGTTCGCGCATTTCTTGCCGCCAATATTCCGAGTTGTACTGATGACGGCACTGTGCATCTTGGGCTTTGCGATGGATCTCCAGGTCCTGCAGTATTGGGATATGAATATATTTCTTGGCACAGGACCCACACTGTTGCCAAGTGTAAGTGTGGGTCGCACTTCATCGCGTGCCATGGCAGCTAACAGCGGCGCGATGGCCTTGTACTTGCTTGCGCTGTGCCATGTGGCATGGGCGACATTCTGCTGGCTCATGTACCGCTTTCATGTCGACGCTTCGACAGGTGCTCGGACGATGTATTCGCAAGCGTGGGAAGTGGCTACCCTTGCAGGTCTTTTGGCATTATGGATGATCCCTGGGCCATTTCGACATATGTTGCGGACATGGAATCGGACACTGGTCCGTTTGCTGACGCCGTCGCTTCATGTGTCGGTTTCATTTACTGATGTGGTCGCAGCTGACATCCTCACATCATTCGCCAAGGTGCTGGGCGACGTATGGATATCATTGGTTGTGCTCACTTGCTTTCTGCTCGGTCGGCGAGCTGACGATTCAGTTCTATTGCGAGCAGAAATGAGCATCGCGGTCCCAATGTTAATCAGTGTGCCATATTTGATTCGCTTGCGTCAGTGTTTGTGCGAATATGTGGTGTCGAGTCAGAGACCGCGACGTCCACTGTATAATGCACTCAAGTACCTTTCATCGCTACCTGTGATCTGGCTAAGGGTGACTCCGACGCTCCTTCACGCAAGCCCCGCCCTCTCACGCATGTTCAACTGGATTTGGTATGTATGTGTACTTGTAAATACGCTCTTTTCGTTCTGGTGGGACGTTACGAATGACTGGGGCCTGGATCTGTTGCAGATCCATTCTTTCCGCGCGATGGTGGCTGAGCCACGTGCGCACTTGCCAGTTTTGCATCGTCGCTCCAGTGTCATCGACACGGATCTTACGAGTTCTGCGCCTCCCAGCATCGATTTTCGTAGTCCTGTGTCTGGCGACCCCACTGGCGACACCGGAACTGGCGGCAATGCGTTTGTACGCAGACACACCCGCCGCGCGAGTTTGCTCCGCCGACCCGAGAAGCCATTGCCACTGCCAACCACTGTGTACTGGGTGTTTTTGGTGGTCAATCTATTCTTGCGCTTCACATGGTCGCTCAAGCTCAGTTCACACTGGCAGTTCCTTGTGGAGTGGCAGCGTGGCTTGTTGCTTCTTGAAGCGTTGGAAATTGTCCGTCGGTCTGTGTGGGTCCTGCTGCGTGTGGAGTGGGAACTTGTGCGTCAAAGTCCTTCGGAACTCTGAGGCCTGTAGGAACTGGCAGGCTAGACATCCAAGCCACGTTCGGAAACACTGCTGCCATGGCCATAGATCAAGCAGGCTCAGACACGTACCGACGCAATGGAGCGTCGCCATCGCGACTGTCATTGCCACAAGCGCCTCTTCTATCTACTTCATGCGTTTCTTCGCTTGATTCACATGTGCACGCAGACGCTTACTCTTTTCACGCAGGGAAGCATTCTTCTTGCTTCGAACACCCCAGCTTTTCGACACCATCTGGAAGTTCTTACCCTTCGCCTTTTGTCGATTCGTCGAGCTGCTAGCGACCTCCTTCTTCTTCTTGCCTTTGTTACTGCCGAACTTTTCACGTCCCTCACGGCCGGCATTGATACTGGCCATACGCTCTTCATAATCAGCTTTGGCCTTTTTGCGTGGACCAAGAATATCTGATTCATCCAGTACGTCATGCGTATTGGGATTGCGCTTTTTCGACAGCTGTAGGGCAGCCAACTCACGTCGTGCACGTGCCCCTGCCGCGCCACCTGCTTTGACGGCCTCTTCAGCAGCTTGAACGCGCAGCTCATTCAGCTTAGCAAAGTCCGCAGGTGTCAGGATCTTGGTCGTTGCCAGCTCGGAAAATGTGTCCGTGCCGGCCTCAGGAGGCGCCTGTGCGGCTTCCTGGACCTCGTCAGTGCCGTGGGCGTGACTCTCCGTGTCCATAGCCTCGTCGTCCTCACTGTCAGAGCCTTGCTCCTGCCGCTTCTTCCGAGCTTGTCGGCGAATCTTCCTTGCCTCTCGGACACGCTCACTCATGGGACGGGGATCGGGCTCTTTCTCTCCCACAGTCTTCTCATTGTCACTCGCATCATCGACATCACTCTTATCCAGCTCGAAGTGCTCTTGCTCATCATCGGAGCTCACGGCAATCCAACCACCCGAGCTGTCACTATCCGATGCACTCTCAAGTTCCCAGCCATCCCATTTGGCGTCATCGTCATCATCGTCGTCGTCCTCGTTCCCATTGTTGCTGTCGTCACGCGCTGCTTGGCTGCGCTCCTTCAAGTGCTGCTCTAGCAGTTCGATACCCTGAATGCCGTGCACTTCCCGCCGGTCTACGCCGAAGCGCTCTGCCTGCTTGCCTTGGGCTAGGGACAACGCGCCAGACTTGCCACGCTCTGTGCGGTGCAACATAGCCGGATTCACCTCACGATACAGCAGCAGCAGACTTCGAGAAGCAGCACTGACACCCTTGTCTTTCGAGCGACGGTATGCGACCAAGTCTTCGAGCAGATCTTCCTCCATACACCATGGTTGCCGGCGACAAATTTCTCGGATGGCATTGATTCCGGCGGCAACAACTTCCGCACCAACACCAGGATGCACAAATGCGTACGCAATTTTGCGAATCGCAGGCGTCAGCACATCTGTTGGTGTCTGCTCATGTACTGATTGCGCGAGAGACACGAGAATGAGTGTAATGTGCAACTGATGCGGCATGAGATACTTTGCCAAGTAGCTGTAGAAGCTCAGCACCGTCAACCGATGTACACTCATGACGCGACTGAGCAGCTGCATCAGACGCACTTTGACTTCGAGAGAGTGCCGTTTGTCTCCACGGCTTAGATTCTCGAAAAGGCCCTCGGCAAATGACTGGGGATCATGCAGCAGATGGATCGCTGCCATATTCCCTGTCTCTTGGTCCGCCTCATCAAGCGCCTTGTCACTTTGTTCTTTTCGTCGACGCCGAGCCTGCGCCTGAGCAAGTTTGAGACGCCTCTCACTTGCGCGTGTCTTTTTGCCTACCTTGCTTTGATGCTCGAGCCTCCCGACGTCCGCGCCGCTGCTCTCCTGCTCCTCGTCAGAGTCATACCCAGCATTCTCAGCCGCATGCAGGTCGCCCAAGAAGAATCGCACAGCAGATGCTTGTACCTTGGGATGAGGGTGCGTACAAGCCATAGCCAGCAGTGCCACCGTTCTGGCATCTGTCCAAATGTGCCGACGCCACATCTCCGAGGCCACACGGACTGCCCACAGTGCTTCTGTGCGGCCCTTGAGTTCTGCATCAGCGCGGTGCAGTACAACGTTGGATCCTTCGGGGTTCATGCCACGCTCTACCATACCAAACAGAAGACCCTGGACCATGCGGTTGAGACGTGGGTCCTTGGACTTTTGGTTCGCATGCTTTAGATCCTGTACAATGGTATGCAACAGCGTCGACCGCATCTCTGATGAAGTCGTCGTGCTGAGAAGAGGAATGAGTGTCTTGAGAAAATCCTCGCTTGTAATAACGTTTCGATTCCGTAACAGAGTCAGCGCTCGGAAGCAGGTCTTCCGCGTGTCCGGGCTGAGACTTGCATGATGTTCAAGCAGTAGCTCACTTAAGTGTTCCGGAAGCGCTGCTGTCACGTCTGGATAACTTGGTGCAAGCTGTGCGACAAAAGACAGTAGTTGCTCGAATTTGTCTTGCTGATCTTTGCTCAAGCGAATTGTCTGCACACTAGCGCCTTCTGAGCCACTGCCTTCGATATGCTGCCCGATTCCCGACGCAAATATGCGACGCAGACTTTCATAGTGGTTCCATTGTGCGAGGAACTCTTCCGTGTAGGCCGATGGGTCGCGTTTCAGCAAATTCTGCAGTGCTGGCAAGTTGTGTGTGTCAAGCAGTCCACGTGCTTTGGACCGATATAAAAGGCCATGATCACGCACAACAGCCGTAGGACGTTCTTTGTTGATTTTCGATGAAGAGGATGAGGACCTGACCATGATAGGTGAGAATACCTCGGCCACGTCAATGCGCGTACCGTTCGTCGATCAACGTAACGCCTCGAGAGCCAAGTATAAAAGGGGCGATGAGAAAGAGAACGACTGGATGGATGTGGAGGCGACTCGTACGCGCACAATTTTTTTTTTCTTCATCTCTCCTGCAAGAGAAAAGCAAGTCGATATGGCCCCTCGATTTTCTTGGCACATCGTCATTTGTTGACGCAACGACCATGGAAGGCGACGATGGTCTTTTGCTCAACTTGGACGCTGCTCCTCCGCCTTCCACGCAAAAGAATAAGAACAAGTCTCGTAATGGAAGCTCGAAAAAACGCGCACGCGTGCAGGAGTCCTCGGCAGAAGATGCAGCTACAACCAAGCGCACACGCGGCTTGTCAGGTGCAGGAACAAGCGCAGGGGCACGTAGGCAGCCTTCTCCCACAATCAGCATACCAAAAGAAAGCACTTTGAGTGAGGAGGATCGAGCTGCTATCATCAAGGCGCGTGCTATGTCGCTGGGGTCGAGCTCAAAGACGACATCATCACATGATACGGCACCAAGGTCGAAGGGGGGAAGCCATGGTTACGTATCGTCACTCTTTGCCAGGGATGAAGCAGGTGCTTCTGAACCAGCAGGTTTGCCAGAAACGCCACGGTCTGCGCCCTCGAATGCGCCGTCGTCCAACGCATCCTCGTTCGAAGCATTGGGCCTGGACGAGATCCTCGCAACACACCTTCGTGAAAGAATGGGTATTGACGGTAAACCTACCGACATCCAACGGCTGGCGATTCCTCCGCTTATTGCCGAGCCGCCATCGCCGACGTCGCAGCGTGATGTGCTCATCCAAGCACAGACAGGTAGCGGAAAAACACTCACGTACCTACTTCCTATCGTGCAGTCGCTTCTTCCTTTCTCGGAAGAGAGCTATATTGATCGGAGTATTGGCACACTAGCGATCATTCTTGCGCCGACGAGGGAATTGGCTAGGCAAATATACCAGGTGCTGGAGCGTCTCTTGACGATGTCGCTCACGTCGCAGCACGAAGCAGCGGATGGGACGCTCTTACGTCGTCGTGCGCGCTGGATCGTGCCGAATCTACTCACAGGCGGCAGCACCAAGAACCATGAAAAGCAGCGCATCCGCAAGGGATCTCCTATCATTGTGTCGACGCCTGGCCGGCTGTTGGATCACCTGCAGAACACATCGAGTTTGGACGTGGGCAAGTGTCGCTGGCTTGTACTGGATGAAGCAGACAGGTTGCTGGAGATGGGCTTTGAAGAGCAGCTGTCGGGGATTGTCAAAGCCCTCGATGGCCGTCGTCGTCTCAGTGTGTCGACGGCGCGAGAAGCCTTGCTGAACAATGGTGTGATAGAGCCCCATGCCCCGGACTCGCAGGTGACAGATTCGCTCGGCGTAGCATGGTGGGCGTGGCGCCGACGGGTAGTCTTATGCTCTGCTACACTCGACGAGCGTGTGCAGGTGTTCTCTGGCACGACCCTTCACCAACCATTGCTTATTCGTGCAGGCATGCATCAAGCGGTGGAACCAGCACCAGGCACAAGGCATAAAGACGCATCTGGTCCTACATCCGACTCTGCTCAGAGTGTAGGGAATAGGACGGCAGAGGATCACGAGCCGGCCTCTCTCGATGCCCCGGTCGACTTTAATGGCCCAACGTTCTCAGCTCCTGCGCAGCTTGCGCAGCATGCGGTGATTGTGCCACCGAAGCTCCGACTCGTCACGCTGCTAGCGCTTCTTCGACAAAGCTTACCACGCGCCTCTGAAGCGGCTCATCCTGCACGTGTCATGGTCTTTCTCACTTGTACAGATACTGTCGATTTCCACTGGCACGCTATTGGTGGCGCGCGTATGGGCCAGCTGCCGACGAAAGACAGTGACACATCACGGCCACTCCCTTCTAGTCAGGACATGCCACTTGCCCAAAAAAGCGATCTTTTGCCCGGCGTGCCGATCTATCGATTGCATGGCTCTATGACGCAGAAAGAACGAATTGCCTCTTTACGAGCCTTTCACACACTTGAGGACGGAACGGACGCTGCTCCTGCCAAGCGGGGAGGCGTACTGCTTTGCACGTCCGTCGCTTCGCGTGGCCTGGATCTTCCGCACGTCAGCTGTGTCATTCAAATGGATGTCCCCACCGAAGGCGGGGTAGAAGAGTATGTTCATCGTGTCGGCCGTACAGCCCGTGTAGGACGAGAAGGTACGAGCTGGCTCATGCTGATGCCGCATGAGAGGCCTTGGCTCGATGTGCTTACCCAGCGCATGGTCGTCGGAGAACCGCCGCGGCGTGCATCTGTGCCAGTGGTCGGCTACGACACCGTGCTGTATGAAGGATTCGGCGGCGCCGCACGTGAGTACGAATCGCGCGCCACAGACGTGCAGATGGCTTTGGAGCGTTGGGTCCTCGCAGACCCAAGCCACGCAAGCTTGGCACGTACAGCATTTCTTGCACATATTCGTGCGTATGCGACGCACCCAGCGAGTGAGAAGGCCATTTTCCATGTGAATCAACTGCATCTAGGACATGTGGCCAAGGCCTTTGCGCTTCGCGAGGCGCCTCAGACCGTGCAACGGACGGCAAAGAAGGAGCACGAGCGGCAGACGCAGCCGAAAGCGCCAGAAAAAGACACCGAAATACGTCGTCAACGTATGCTAGCCAATCTTCCGACAGAATCTATGTAGACTACAACTCTTTCAGGACAGGCAATCAGGCAGGCAGTGCGCGAAGAAGACAGAGAAGGAGGTGAAGAAGAAGAAAAAGGCAAAGGAGGGCATAGCAACAGAACAGGCCAAGGCCGCATTAGTTTATGGGATGTAGGGTGCACACGAGTAGCTGACTTGATATTTGTTGTGATAGTGCCTGGGCGTTCGTAGGCTCACGAAGCCTGATCTGTCGTCTTGCTGCGCTTCGCACCGATTTCCGGTGGTTCGTCGGTGTTCTTACGCTTCTCGTTCGATCCTGTTGCTGGCGCGGCATCAGCATGGCCGCTGCCGCGGCCACCATGACCCCCACGGCCACCGCGGCCACCGCGGCCCCCACGACCACCGCCACGGCCGCCACGGCGTGGTGCATGTCGCTCGGCCTCACGTCGGTCAAGAAGGAACGATGCACGGAAATTGGCGCGCTCAACGTAAAAGTCGCGAGCTTTGTCTTCACCAACCCGCTCCCAAGAAACGGTCGAACCACCAACGGTGATGCCCTTGTCTTGGATTTCACGCAGTTTCTCGTCCGATACAGGCTCGCGGAACCCAACTACGCCCTCGACGGCCTCAGCAGGGAACTCGACGAACAAAGTGGGGTGCAATGTAGACAGCGTATCCTTGAGATCTTTCCAGTTGCCATCCTTGCTAGCATTCGTGAAGCGAAGCACACTCTGCGCAGGAAAACTGACCTTGTCTGCTTCGATGGTGCCATCGGGCTTCGTGCACAGCATCTGACCATTGTATTCAAACTCAAGGGGCTCAGAGCGTGAGCTCTTCGAAGCATCCGGTCCATGTATAGGCACGTCGCTCCCGCTCCATCTCACGGAATGCGTTGAATTTGCGCCCGCCCTTCGATGAAGACGACTTGCTGCTGCTGTTGTTGTTGGGATCAATGCCCTTTTCCTTCATTTTCATTTCAACATAGGCTGGCTTGCTCATGGTCACAAGTTTCGCGCCTTTGTACTCGATGCCATGCCCCCCATCTTCCTGCGGCTCCGTTGCCTTGGCCTTCTCTAAGAAGGCACGCATTTCAGCAGCATCGGCAAATTCCACAAAAACACTGTTCTTAAACTTGCGGGGCTTCTCGTTTTCTCGCCGCATACGCACGCCATTGATTTTTCCAAACTGTGCAAAGAAAGACTCCAGCTCTTCTTGCAGTCCATCAAATTCATCTGGAAAACCTTTTGCGTAAATGCTTCGCGCATGCGCGTCTGGCACAGGCTTCATCTCCGCTTTGCGACGCACACGTTTACCATCTGAGTCGACCTCAAGCAACGAGGTTGATCCACGAAGCGCTTCAGCTATGTCCTGTGAGCTCAGCACTTCGCGCATCGGCTTCATCCGCTTGAATGAAGCGATCGTGTCAATAGGCACCCATCCCTCTGGGTCCTTGCGCGTAAGCGTAAAGAGGAACTTGTCGAACGGCAGATTCGCATCAGCAAAGTAAAATTCTACCTGCTTCAGCACCGCACTCTTTGCTTCATCAATGCTCATGGGTGCGCGCGTGGCAGACGCCCCTGCTCCCTCGTCTTGAGTCATCGTTCGTTGACAAAGTTATGCACACACCTCCAGGCCGAGGGAAAATTTCTCATTATCTCACTGCAAAGAAAAAAAATTGATCCCAAACAGAACGCGTACAATCACGTGATGCTCTCGCTTTCTCTCTCTCTCTGTCGCCCTCATTCTTTGATGGAATGCCAACACCTTCCATGTGCAGCGAAACGAAATCGTGACATTGGCCTCTATCTATGAGAAGATACGCAGATGCGACAAAGCGACGATGAAATCGTCGCTCTAGACTTCACGGGAAAAGAAAAGCGCCAAAAAATAAAGATGAGGTAAAAAAAAAAAATAGCAGTTTACAACGTGGCTGGCATTAGTTCAGAACGCCACGGAACAAGCGGGCCTCGCTCGTCTCAAAGTACCGCATGCCAAAGTTAATGAGCGTAACCGCAAGAATTACAAAGCAGATAAATGTAGGACCATAGAGGTCCGAGTACACATTAGAAGAGCAGCGCTCGCGAATCTTGAGTGCGCGCCACATGTACAGCACACCCGAGTAGGCAATGGTGAAAAGAGCGATAAGCGTGAACAAGGCACTCGTAATAAGACCGATAGTGTCACCTGCACGCTGGAAGTTCAGCAGACCTGTGGCGATAGAAGCAATCATCACACTGAACTCGAGCCACTTGAGGAACGTCCGCTCGTTTGCAAAGTATACCTTCGGCTCCACACGGATCGGCACCGACACCCTCTTGCCAGGCTCAGCATGGAAGTCCGTTACATACTCGACACCAGCAGGAGGTCCTGAGCCAGATCCACGCGGCTCCTCCTCATCCCGGCCTTGCAGCGCACGAATCACACGCTCTTCGCCCTCATCATCACCACCTTGATGAGCGCCCGACTCACGCTCCGCGGACGAGTGATGTTGCCACAGGCGGCTGATATTGTTACCGAACTTCTGCAAGTAATTCTTGTCAAATACGGACGAAGGCGACAAGATATCTGCGCGGCTCAGAGGCACATGCAAATCGGAGCGCGAAGCAGTCGTTGTGTCCTTGGTCGGCGCCTTCGATGCAGCCTTCTGGGCACCCTCGGACTCCTTCCGGTGCTCGATCAGGTATTTCTCACGTTGCTCGCGAATTTCCTTGATGCGTGGATCAAAGGCTGACAGACCAACATTATCAGCCTCCTGTTGTTCGTCCGCAATGCGCGACTCGCGGTGCTCGTTGTCATCGCCTTCAAACTCATCCTCACTGATCGGCTCGTACTGCGGGTTGCGCCCACCACTGCTGTGGGTGTGGTCTGATTGCGACGAGCTGTGGTGGGGGCGATCCAGTGCCAAGTTCATCGACACGGGCTTGCGAATGTCAATGTCCATCTGCGGCAGCCAGAACGGCACGAGGTCCACTCGGTTCGACAGGAGCGTCGCGCAACCGTGGATGAACTTGGAGAACTTCGGTACAGCCTCTACGAGATGGCTCTGCACAAGTTCACGCACCCACTTGGGCGGCTCTTGGCCCATCTGTGTCTGCAACTTGACTTCCAGCACGCCGTAGGGGAAACGCTCAACGTCGCCTTCAGGAAGCTGTTCAAACGGATAGTCGATGCCAATATCCATGCGGCGCCAGTTGTTGCCAGAGCGCTGCTTGCCATCCCAGTTGTCCTCACGTACGAGCGTTAGCTCTGTGTCGAGCGAAATGCGCACACGCGCATCACCAGGAAGCTGGAATGCCGTGCGATTGTAGAACGAGCGCATCACTGGCTGGAGTTTGCGCGAGAGCACACTATATTGCACCTCCGACGCCAGCTGGATCATCGAGTCAATTTCCTTGTCCGACTTCTTGCCTTTCTTGCGCATCTCTTCAAACGTGTCGTTCATGCGGTGCTCGCCACGCATGTACGCATTGACAAGCTCCTCTTTGATGGGAAAGCGTGCCTTGACACTCTTCTCGCCCGTCCAGTCCTCGCGATGCGTCTTGCGCTCGACGAAAATCATCTTGTTGTCCATGCCGCCGTACCAACGCAAGCGGATAGCCTCGGCACCTTCTGTCTTTTCGAGACGTCCCAAGTAGAGTTCGAGGTCCTCATTGTCGTAGTAGATCGACGTAATGGCGCTATCTTCCGGCTGGTATTCCTTCTCTGTATTGAACACGAGTACAGGCAGATGTTTCAGGATGAACAACTTCAATGGTACGATGTTGTCTGGATGCACCCAGTACTTGGTCGTCTGACGCACGAACGCACTCTGCGAGCCACCAGCACTGGCATCGCCTTTCACAGGATTGCCTCGTGTGTGAACGACATCGAACATCCGCGACAGTTTGACAATAAGAGCATCATAGTTCTCCTTATAGAAGGGACGCGTGCTCAGATAGTGCTGGACAAACTCTTTGCGCAGAAGACGGCCGGTTTGCTTGTCATGCTTCTTGACAATCTTGAGGAATCCCGTGTAGTTCAGCTTGGTGAAAAGCGCAAGGTCATGGACATCAGCGATCACATTCGCCAAGTTTTCTTCCAGATCCTGGAAGCGCTCCTCAAAATGGTCAGTTTCGTCACTGTCAGAGTCAAACTCATCATCAGAGCCGGCATTGTGTCGGGCCTGGTACATCACGTCACGGTGCGTTTCATGTGCGTGCTCACCAGACCCAGATCCAGATCTTGGCTGCATTGTCGTCGTCGACGCGTCCGTGCTTGAAGAAGCCCCTTGGTTGTGATGGCGAGCTTGGGCATGTTCCTGGTCTGACTGCTGCTGTTGGCCCTGACCTTGGTCCCCAGCTCCCTTGTGGGCGTGCTCCGAGCGGGCCGCCAGGAGCTGATTGACTTCCGTATTTACTTGTTCAATCCGACCCGTAAGCTCAGAGACCTTGCTTTTCTGGAACGAATACACCTTGTCAAGCTCCATGCGTAGCTCTTCGACAAATTCATCCTCATCCTTGTCGGTCCAGATCCCCTCATTCTCAGCCATACGCCTCTTAATATCCTTTTTTAGGTCGGAGTACTGCAAGTACTGAGACGACCATTCCGGATACAAGGACGTTTTAATCGTCCTACCGAACTTCATGCTGGCGGCGGTGTATGCAGTTGATGGGTTACCGAGAGCCTTATTAGTTATGGCCCCCCCTTCTGTCACTCGTGTCTGTATATTCCCTCTTTCTCAATTCTCTCCTACATGTCCCTCATGCAAGCTCGAAACGCTGTCTCATCGTATGCGGGACTACCTCCACGTGGACAGTCATTTCTTAATGGCCCTGTCTTCGCACGTGTTTTATCTTGCATGGAATGACCGTCGCCAAGTAATAAGTGGAGGTTGCTTGTTGTCGATGGCACGACTGCGACTGTCTAGGTGCGTCGTCAAGCACACATTCGTTTGGCTAGCGGACGCACACGTACTTCTACTACTACACATGTATACGTATGAACAAAATGTCAGTGCCACGAAAGTGTCGAAAGCAATCTCGTTCGGATCAACACCACGCTGGCGCATCGTGTCCCTAGCTCTTTCCTACCCGACCGAGGTCCATTGCGCGCGTCGTACACATCAGTTTTTGCTTCCACCCACGCGTGTGTCTGGACAATTTTTCTATAGCGATGATGCATACAGGCAAGTGTAATTCACGACATGAGTATATTCGATCACCACAACCCCTTTCTTCCCTGCTACGTCTCCGCGGACTCGTCAAAAGCCACGTGATGTCCTCAAGGAGTGCCGAGAAAAGCATCCGCCGGGGTAGGACGCCGGCCAGCCCAGACTCCCCGAGCTTTCGTTATCGCACACCCGGCCTCTCTGTCGAGCAACGATTCGTTGCATCATGGCTCTCCGCAGCATCACTGTGCGTTCGCTCCGTGCGATGCCTGGACTCGTAGGTGCCGAGCAGCCACATCGATTTGTGCTGCGCTCCCTATCAACATGGACAAATACGCCTTGTCTTCGTACGCACCTAGGTGTTGGCGCACCACGTCTTCATGGCGTTCAATCCCTTATCACACGTGCTGCAAACAGCCCATGGAAAGAATCGGCTCTATCGATGTGCTCACTCAACCAGACGTTCCGCACGTATTCTGCGCCGACATCGGCACGGGCCAATAATGCAGCAGGATCAGGATCAGCGTCGGAAGCTGCTGAACCACAGACTGCACCATTGGACTTGCCACCAACGACGAGCAATGCCGTCGCATACCACTTGCTTCTATCAGCTGCACTGGTGTTTCTCATTATCATTGTGGGTGGCATCACGCGCCTGACCGAGTCAGGCTTGTCCATCACCGAGTGGAACCCTGGTCTCAAGGGGATGCGTCTTCCTCAGTCGGAAGCCGAGTGGAACGAAGAGTGGGACAAGTACAAGCAATCACCTGAATTCAAGATGCTTAATGCAAACATGACAATGCAGGAGTTCAAGACGATCTTCCTGTGGGAATGGTCGCATCGCATTCTCGGCCGCTTTATCGGAGTCTTTTTCGTGGTGCCAGCTGCCTTGTTCTGTCTGCGACGCGGCATGACGACACCAGACACGCGGAAGAAATTACTGGCTATTGCAGCAGGTATTGGATTCCAGGGCTTCCTTGGCTGGTACATGGTGGCAAGTGGCCTGAAGAATCCGTACGAGAACGAGCCATCGTCCTCGTTCCCACGCCCTGACTGGACACCTCGTGTGGATCACTTCCGCCTGGCTGCGCATCTCGGCACTGCATTTGCCGTGTACATGGGCATGGTTTACACGGCAGTGTCGATTCTGCGTGACAATGCATTGGTCAAAAACCTGAAGAAGACGCCCGAACAGGCGACCGATCTACTCACATCATTCGTGCACTCGCTTCAGAATCCTAAGGCACGGACATTCCGCCGTGTAGGCCTTGGTATGCTCGTCTTAGCATGCACGACAGCGATATATGGCGCTTTTGTCGCCGGTTTGGATGCTGGCTTGCTGTATAGTGAGTTCCCATTCATGGGTGGTTACCGTCTTTTGCCCCCTAAGGATGAACTGCTTGATCCTCGCTACGCGTTCCGCATGAATGCAAATACTGAGCCCGATTCGTCTCGCTTCGTACTGGGCAATATGACCCAAAACCCTGTCACCGTGCAGGCAATGCACCGTTACCTGGGCATGACGACTTTCGCTGCTATGTTTGTCTTTCTCGCATATGCGAAGCGGCTCAAAGCTCATCTGCCACGTGCAGCTCCGCGCTTTGCTACCGGTGCCGCTCACATGTCCGCTCTGCAAGCGCTATTAGGCATTTTCACGCTGGTGTACATGGTACCTGTGCCCCTTGCTTCTTTACATCAAGCTGGCTCCGTCGTCCTGCTAACAATGCTCACGTGTGTGATGGCTGTGACGAAGAAGCCGAGTAAGGCAATTCAATTGCTGGCCCAGACGAGACGTGCGTCTCAAAAGATGGGTTCACATCCATGATATCCGCCATATTTGATATATGAAGCATTCCATGCTTCTCTATAAACCCGTCTATAAACTTTGCGCGTATATGCTACAACGTATCAGCCCTTTTTCCCCGCACCTTCGTACATGCTAAATGTGACGTTGTCCGAATGTTCGTAGTGTCTCGACTCCATGTCCATATAGAGTGAAAGCTGAGCGAACATCAGGCTAGATCTGTGCACACGAGTGTGGAGGTGCAGTGAGACTCCTCGATTGTTTTGCCTCAGCCACCTGTCCCCAGTATCGCCTAGATGTTTGCTCTCCCAGGCAAAGAACGCGAGGCATTTTTCGACTTGCTGGACGAATACTTTTCACAGCGTCCGCATTTGTTGCAGAACTATCAGCGTCCGTCGGAAGAGCCTGTTTCATCAGCCCCTGTAGGCTTGAAGAAGCCAGCACCACCGCCACCACCTCGTCAGCATCAGCGTCAAGTCAACTCGTCTCTTGGGTCAACGCACACCACAAATACAAATGGGATAGAATCTGATTTGCAAGAAATGCATGTGTCCCCTATGCACAAAGACATTCGCAAACCAGAGGGGCTCACGACGACCAAGGTACGTATCTTTTGTTCATTCACGCACGTCGACTCATGCTACGTGGTTACAGTCGATAGGAAAACTGGATACATCCTCTAAGAGTGCAGCGTTTAGTTCAGCGCTACAAAACACGATCAATCATTTCCAAAAGCCCAAGCAGGAGGAACCCAGAGATTATTATACATCCTCAGTCACCACAACGACGACCACGTCTCCATACCCCCCCGTACAGCAACCGCCAGCATCGGTAACAGCATCTGCCGCGCAGACCACTTCAACGCTCGGGGAGGCCGTGGCCCTATACACGTGCGTACTACACGTATAACTATCGGAACTGACGTACATTTATTTATTTATTTTTTTTTTTTTGCACGACAGATTTCAAGGTGGCCAGCCTGGTGATTTGTCTTTTGTTCAAGGTGAACGTATATCGTTGTTGGAAAAGGTATCAGACGACTGGTTTCGCGCACGCAATGCGGAAGGTCATATAGGCATTGTGCCTACCAACTATATTGAACGTATGTAGCAAGCTTTGCCTGAGTCACAATTTCATTCTGCTCAAGGACAGCAGTGGGCGTGGATGACACAGCGCACGACTCTTGCAGGAAACTACAATACCTAGGTACATCGATGTGCCATGCGCTGAGATCGTGGCTGATCGCCGCCAACTTTTGACACGTGGCGTGCACGCGCACGTGGTGGACCGCGGTCGCCACCCACGTGTTCATCGACGGGAGACATTCTCGCGCGTTGTCCGCGTGGCTAGCTCGTGTTTGGCCACGAGGACTCCCCACAAGAGCGCGCCTAAACGATGAGCGAGAACGCCCTAGGATTCGTGTCATCGTCGGTGCCTGGTCGAGGATCGGACCAACCTTCTGGGATTGTGTCACTCGATCCACTGCATTCGTCGCAGCGTCCGTCGCCGTATCCTATGCATTCGTCGAGTGGGAAAGGCGAAGGTGGCAGCAGTAGTGACCTGACGTTCCAGAGCAATCCACCGCCAGCCGCGTACGCGCCCGCATCAGATGAGAAAAAAGGCATGAATGACGCGAATTCACACAGCTCATCCATGGACCCGAATCTGACAGGTGCCCGTCGCTCTGAAGGTACTCAGCCTGGATACCCCACTATGCGACAAGAGCAGCCCCCCTATCGATTGGATCTTCTGCCAACTGATCCGAACCTAGAGTCGAATGCGCCTGCATTGCATGGCGATGCGACTGAGCAGGACAATGTTGCTCGTGCATTTCCTTTTCTCTCCAACACAATGGCTGGTCAAGATAATGATGGCCGCGCAACTATATTTCCACCGAACTTTTCGAGCGTGGGCTCGACGGCCACCCAAGACGCAGCTGGCGCTGGTGCATTGGGTTACAAGAAAGCCACTGATGCATCGGAAGGTGCAGATGCTAGCTCTGCTTTTCATTCGAAGTCAGGGCGTGAAACATCGTACGACACGCTTTCACCCCCGGAGAAGAAAGAGACTCCTTACAGTCGCAGTCCGAGTCTGCGTGTAACGCACAAAATCGCAGAACGAAAGCGGCGGAAAGAAATGAAGGACCTGTTTGACGAGCTGAAAGAATTTGTGCCCGTGGACCGCGGTCCCAAGACATCGAAGGGCGATATCCTCACAAAGGCCGTGCTGCAATTCCAGACTCTACATCGCGAGCGCGAGCAGCTGATTGAAGCGCTGGAAGCTGCGCACCATGAACTGAACCAGTTGCGTCAGATGACAGGCAATGCTGACCATGCAAGTACGGGTCTCTCTCATCATGTGTACCCGCACGCATCAGCTGCGGCCGCACCTTACTTATCACGGCCTCCCGCGCTTGCCCCTCCTTCACGCCTTCCTGGCAGTTTCTTGCATGGTGCACAGGATCAGCACCTATCGCGTGCGCGTGGCGAGAACAAAGGCGACGCACCATCGCATGCCGCGGGTGTTAGCATGGCACCGAGTCCAGCCCGAACTGGCGAAGCATTCTTGTCAGACTTGCGACTTGATCGCCTTCGGCAGCCAGAAGAAGCCGTTCATGCGAATTTCAAGCAACTGGACCATAGTCCAGGCGTCTTGGATCAGTCGCTTGGCGCAACGACGCGTTCTTTCCAGCCTGAATCGTATCAGACAGGTCTCGTGTCGTCGGATCTTGCCGAACACCAAGACAATTCGATGAATACCGATGCGTCTACCGCGCATGCAGGCCGGCCTGTAGCGCGCGACCAGCCATTCTCTACTGCTCCTCGATATGTGCCTCGAACCGACGGCGACCTCATACCAGATAGCACGCCTGGTGATGCAACGCATATGTAGTGCTCGACGTCTGGAATTGTGGATTTATGTGTGTACGCCAATTGGCTCGTAGTCGATTCATTCGTACTTCAAGTGGACGCGTCTCGCGTCCTCGTGCGTCACGTCACGTTCGCGTCACGCGCCGCTCCCTTTGAAACACTTCGCTGAACGTGATCATCCTTGTGTCTGTGCTCGTCTTGCCCTGGAGATGGCACCGACAGACGTGCCACAACGAGACGAGACAGGTAGTCGTGTATTCCCCTTGTTTGCTTTTTCGTGCAGTGGCGAGCGTGGTCCCCATGACGCTTGTACACCGAAACGTTCACGCACGCCGCCGCCGAAGGGCCGCGCTTCCAAGTCGCGAACACGACCGTCATCGACTACCCTATTCGCCGCATGGGGACAAGAGTCTCCGATCTCTGCGACAGGTCCTGAGAAAGCAAACGCGAAAGAGCCTATTCAGCGCATCGTGCGAGGCTCGCGCGCCTCAGGTGGTGTGCACCCCTTTTTTGCAAAGCGTGAAACCAAATCCTCGACGAATCCAAGCTCGTCTACACGAGCGTGTGAAAATGGCTGTTTGCCAAGAAAAATTGCGCCAGCACCTTGGCCAACGCATGATATGGTGCATGTCGTACCCGAAGGATGGCTTGACTACAAGCATAGATTGACGTGGCCTCAACGAACGCGCCAATTAAGCTTGGACATGCCTCACGCGTGTTCTCTCGCGTCTGGGTCTACATATATAGACTGGACATGCCTTCGTTCAAGTCCAGCAGCCGGGGTGCCTTCACCTGTCAAAGCGTGTCGTGGTACATTGAACGTGAACTGTGAAGCGTCTATTATGGAAGCGGGATCAGTCGTGCCAGAGGGGTCGCCAGCACCACGCACGCCTCTTGCCTACATTGGTCCGGATCTAGCAGCGCAAGCACATGTGCACATGCCGCCTGCCGTTACGCATCTGCTTGAACAACTCATGCCAGTGACACCTAAAATATTGTCCTCGCGGCCAAAACAAAGTACGCATGCCTCGGTATGGATGGACCATTGGCGCCCCCGATGTGCCGCACACGTTTTGGGAAACGAAGAGTCGGCATTATTTCTCCGCGATTGGCTGCACGATCTGCGTGTGTCGTACAGTGGTGCACGACAACGGCCTATCCAGACGCGCACAGTGTCGCGCAAGCGTGGACGACCCCGCTCTTTGATGAGCGGCGTATCTGATATGGTCGACGATCCAGCGTCTGATGCAGCAGACGACGCGATTGTTGATGCTGGGTATGGCAATGAGGATGACGAGTACAAAGAATTTCATCCGGAGGAGATTGCGTGGTTCAATCAGTTCCGCACCGATGCCCCAGATCCCGGCCCAGTTGCCACATCCTTGGAGCTCAGTAAATTGACGAACTGCATTGTGCTGACGGGTCCAACGGGTGTTGGCAAATCTGCTGCAGTGTATGCATGTGCCACCGAGCTCGGCTTCGAGGTGTTCGAGTTGTATGCAGGCATGGGACGCCGAAGCGGAAAGGATTTGGCTAGTGCGGTTGGGCAGCTAACACGGAATCACATGGTGCTGGGAGATGCAAGAGTCCGACTGCATGATATGCCACACCAGTCTTTGATCTTGCTGGACGAAGTTGACGTTCTCTTTGACGATGACGCAGGGTTTTGGCCCGCCGTTGTTGAGCTGATCGGCGAATCACGTCGGCCTGTGGTGCTGACATGCAACGACCTGGATGCTGTTCCACTCGCCGAATTGCCCGTTCAGCGTGTTCTTACATGGGAACCAGCGCCAGCACCGGTTGCAGCCACATATCTGCAACTGATCGCCTTGGCAGAGGGATATATCGTTTCGAATGCGGCAATGCATACTCTGTATACTAGTACGCGACTATTGGCAGATCGATTGGACCCACCCAGTGGGCCCGTCTCTCCTATGTCGAATCTATTCCCAAGTTCATACATGATGCCCCATGGTCATGCGTATGATCTACGGGCGGCCCTCGCCCAGCTGCCTTGGATCTGTCTGCACACACGAGCAGAAGATCTGCTGCGCGAAATGAGAAGCCCAAAAGCTGGCGGTATGAACGAATCTCGGAACGAGCACGAGAGCACAAGCGCTGCGTGCGAGAGTGGCTGTACGGATACAGCGTCGTTGACACACTCGTCGTCCTCCATCAATCGCGCACGAGCCGAGCTTGCTGCGCTGCGTACCATGTATGAAGCTGCCGAAACTCAATCGTATGCAGATCTGGTCTGTCATGCGCGTGAGTACACGGATGAATATGTGCCTCTTCCTGCTCGAAACCGCGCGAGCGTCTCGCGCATTCCAAGCGTCCCGTGCACGTCCATGCATGTGCCAAGCGATGGATCGCGCCTCGAGCGATCCATTCAGCGTGCGTTGGGAGTCGATGAGACGGCTCACAATTCACTTACGCAGCGCATGGACCAGGATCGACTTGAACACTGCCAGCAATTGCACACACTTCTGCAGCTCTTGCACGTGCCCGTTCAGGAGCAGCTACCTCGTACCAGTATACCCTTGGACTATGCGCCATATGTGCGCGTCATCCACACTATGGACATGGCTCACCAACAGGCATGGGCCGCTTATTTGTACAATAACCAAGCAACGTTGATGCGCGTGACACGCAACTCGATGCGACTTGCGCCAGATGTGCGTGCGTATCAAGCCTGGCTGCCATTTGGACCGGCTGAACGAGAAGCCGCACAGCGCACCTCGTTCGTATAGCGCACGGAATTTCGCATTTACCTGCATGATGATAGAGCAAACATGTTTATTAGTGATACTGTAGTAACATGATGAGGAAAAAAAAAAAAAAAGGTGGTCGTTCAGTATCGCGTCAGTGTTGCTCAACTCAGGAAAGCGCATTGACTGGCCAATCACGACCGTCGTATTCGGAGTCTAAGCAACAGGCGCACCGGGAGACGAGTGTGCGAGATTTCTTTCATCAAGAACAACGGCCATAGGGTGGTGTTGCTTCTGTGGCTGCGATGACCCGTGGGAAAACTCGGTGACAGGCTCTGCTGTTGGGGGATCCTGCGAAATTACTCGAGTCACGCGCGACTCGGATGGTAAAGAGGCACGCAAATACGCTGGTGCAAGGTCCGGTACACGGTTGGACCATGAAAGACTGCCGCGGCGTTCCTGTTCGAGCACACTCGTAAGATGATTCGTTGTGTCGGGCGTTGCGTCATGCGATGGAACATGTGGAAGCCACAGCATGTCGTCATAGGGCAAAAGTGAAATGGCATGAAGCCCAAATTCTTTGTCTTGGAAAGATAGAGCCGGCAAAGTTGGTGGGACCTGTGCTGAATGACGAACTTGGACCTGCAGCTGACCCGGTTGTTCACTGTTCGAAGCAAGGCGTAACATCGTCGCCGGTGGATACGATGTCGACCGCACAGGAAGTAAGATTTGTCCTGCATGATGGTTGATAGCATGTATGGGAGACCGAGCACGATGTAACGGCGCTTTCGTCTCATGATCAGAAATCGTTTGTTGCACGGGAGGCAACTCCTGCTCTTGCCCAACAACAGGATTGGCTCTGCGCAGCATGATCACCTGGCCGTCCTGCTCTTTGTTGGCCGTCGCAGACAACCGGGGGACGTGCGCGACTTTAGGGTCATGTTCCCGAGCACCGGCAGGTGACGCAGGCACCTGCGCCAGTGTGTAAATGGGGATAGCAGGATAAGGAAGCTGCGCGGAAGCTAGCGAAGCGGGCATTGACTGGCGAGACAAGAACGATCCTAAATCTTGTTGTGATTTGGAAGCCATTGGAGCAGCAGTCTTGGACGAGGTAGTCACCACTGGCTTAGAAACATCGAGTGCCGGCGCCGCCGTCACAGCGTTACTAGGAACAGCAGGCACTGACGAGGTCGCAATAGCAGGCGCCGCTGTAGCTGGAGCTGCGCTTGTGCGCACAGCCGTGCCAGGAATAGTGCCATTGTCTGGCGCAGCCACAGACTCACTTGGCACAGCCGAGGACACTGCTCCAGATGACGCGGTTACAGGCATTGCGGCATCCACTGTCGCAGTCATAGACTCACTTGGCACCGACGTGGAAGGCATCGGCGGGGCAAGGCCGCCTTGTGTCAAGCTTGAATGCGTCGTCGCCATGCGCACTTCCTGTGGGACAGAAGAGGCTTGCGTCGTCACAGCCGGAACTGTCACGGGAGCTAGCTCATTCACAGGCACAAGTTGTTGCGCCTTCAGCTGTGATGCGGATGGAATACGCACGCCCGACGTGTGCGCATGAAGCAGCGTAGGCTTGGCATCGGAAGTCTGCATCGCCTCCTCTGTGTTGTGCGTGTGTCCATTTGATTTGTGGAGATCCTCACCTGTGACTGATGTATGAAGCAAATGATCCATCGGACCCTCGTGAAAATGACCAGGTGTGTCTGTTGCGATAGGTGTCGATGAGTCCTGCTGGTGTGCACTGCGGTGTTTCTTCTTGGACAGTAGTGCCTCCTCATCATTCTCCTTGATGTGCCGTCCATGCAGCAGCTCGTGCATTGCGTGCTTGTTGTGTGTCTCAGATGCGGCATGCGGCGCTGGCACACCCACGGGCGTCGCAGAGCTGCTGTACTCGATCGGACGACCACGCCAGTATACACCCACGCCAGGCTCTGCTTCTGGCTCAGACTGCGTCGCCATCTTGTATGCGTCTGAAGACACACCTGGAGGAACCACGTTGTACTCGTCCGAGGACGCATGCGTCGTCCACATAGGATGTGTGAGCCCATCCGACCTGCCGACAGAAGTAGTCATGCCAGCCGTGGTTGGCGCCACAGGCACGACATGCGGGTCGGCTCCAGCGTACTCCCAAACAGGCTCCAACGATTGATTGTGTCCACGCACGCCATGCCGCATTTCTTTCGCGACGGGAATGTCTTGTACCTCTTGTGAGCTTGATGACGGCATGCCCGATTCCAATGGCTGCATCTCTGGCACATCCGGCAAGTCACGATTCAGCCTCAATTGCGATATGCGCCTCGCAAGTCTTGCATGCGGATCTGAGACTGAAGTGAGGGCCTGCTCATATGTTGGAATGCGCTCATGGATTGGGTGCACCGGTGCCGTGGGATCCATTGCGCTTGGCACCGCGGCCGTTGGCATTACCGTAGGCTGCACAGACAACTGATTGGTGCTTATGTGGGGACCCACATCGTAGCCAGCAAGTTGCTCGGCAACCTGGTTCGTGGCAGGTGGTGTACCATGGTGAATGGTCTGATAAGCATGATGACCAGCAGAGCCATTTGTGGCAGGAGCGACGTCTTGCTCGACAAAGTAACCCATGGTTGGATGATGCACAGTGCCACGAGCCACATTCTGATCAGCCAAGGAACTCATCCCAGGATACACAACCGGACCAGCGCTTGGACGGGCACTGTGCTCGATTGTTGGTCGCAAAAGTGGGTCAAGCTCCTGACCCACCTCCGTCTTCACATTCTTCTCTTTCGAAGACGAACCGAGGCCCTTGATCAAACCGGCAATCTTGTTCCCTGTCACAGAGTCTCGGTGCTTGAATCCAAGGAACGGTGCCGAGTACAACGGCATAAACAATTGCGAGACAGCTGCCGTGTCATTTGTCTTCGTTGCCCTAGCAGTGGCGAAGAGCGTCGACATCGTCGATGACTTGGGTACTTTCTTTTTCTTTGTCTTGGGCTTGGGACGCGGTGAAGCCAGGCTCATTACACCGAGCTGCGCTTGTGTATTCCGATCGTGCTCGAGCATCATACGCTGAGACGCTAGAAGCGCATTCTGCGTTGTCGTCCTTGACTCGTATGTCGGCGACGTTGTTCGAGTGAGGGAAGCTGGAGCGCCAGTCACTGGCAAAGGCGCTCGTGGCACTGGGACCATGCCCGACGCGCCAGTCAATGTAGGCGCTACTGGCACCGGGATCGGGCTTATGTCCACCGGCCGACTTGCGACAGTTCGTGACTTTCGTGTGCCTTTGGATGTCTTGACCGGCGCTTTCGAGGACGTAACCGTAAGAGTCACTGAGTTTACAGGTAGTGTCGCAGAGAGCTTCTTGAGAGGAGGGACATCTCCCTTGGTTGCAGCTGTTTTCGATGACATTCCATACGTCGTCGGCGGAACGGCTGCCATCGCTGCAGCTCTTGCGTTTTGAGACGGCTCATGCACGCCGGGACCGAGCCGAAGCGGTGCACTACCAGGCATAACCACATCGCTTCTCACCCCCGAGCTCGCTTGGACTGTCGTTGGCGCCCCCGTCTTTGCTGCTGTCTTTGATGTCCGTTTTTTGGTTGGCTTGGTGGACTTCAGGTATGGTACCTCATACCCTAGTTCAGCCAAGCGCGCGCGCGCGTCAGAGCCGACTTTCCCATTCGATCGTGCCAGACTCTTGAGCTGAGCTAGGCCATGCGGATCGACAGCACCGGACGCCTGCATGTACGACAACGCAGGCGCAAGGTTCTCAGGACCGCGACGAACGATGCCATCGCCCGCACCCTTGGCTACAAGGACACGGTATCCATTACGGTAGTCTGGATATTGGAACGCCTGGTAGTTCGCCATCGGATTGGCCTGGATGGACGACGAATGCGATGACGGCTCGGAAGGACGGGCTATCGTGCATTCCGGCACATGGTAAATGTAGTCTAGGGCGACACGGTTAGTACACAAGATTTACGACGGGAATGCGCAACGCAAAACGTACCATATTCATTCAAATTGACCGAGTAGTCATGATGTGGACCCAAGTCTGGAAGCTGCAAGTCGTTCATTGTGTAGCCAGCACGCAAGCGCACGACCACTTCGTCGCCATGTTCCAGTGCTGAACACTTGTGATCATCATGTAGAAGCAATCCAAGTTCAACCTGGTCATCTTCAGGTCGCTGACTCCCTGCCTGCACTTGAATCAATTCCAGCAAACGGAGACGCCATCCCTGGACGGTCATTTGCTTCAGCTGTTCGCTGTGTGTCAAGGACTGTGTGGCCGGCAGACTCTTTTGGCCAGAGAGAATCCTTAGCACACTCAAACGCAACAAAGAGATGTCCGACTCTGGCGGCGGGATGGGGAAGGGCATGCAGAATTCAGGCAGAGGTGGCTCGGACCGGAGAATCAACACTGGCTGGGTCGGAGCTTCATTCTCCATACCTCTGGGGAGAGTCATGATCACCTATTCCTTAGGTCTTTTTGACCAACTTGAAGGTATCAGAGGCAAAATCAAGAAGAAACCCCCCAGCTAATTGTGAGAATGAATGTCTAGAGGCTAACGACGGCTTTTTCTCCGTCACAGCAAGTACGGCTCAACTGCTCAGCTCTCAAGGCCCAGCACAACCGCGATGGAAGTCAGGCAAGGAAAACCCCATATGCATTCACAATAACTGCACCTGCCTAAAACAAAATCTAAAATCCCGCACATCCACCATTTGTTGGCCCGAGTGTTTTGGACGGTTGTCTCCACCTCCAAATCCGGTGTCCCGCCACACCGAATTCGGCGCCACAGACGCCAAACGTTGTCTAATTCCGTCGTTGTCATGGCGTCCGATTCTGACAATTTTAATCCTTGCAAGCCTATCGCGTGCGATATTCAGGCGTGCATTCAACGCAATCAGTTCCAGCAAGATCGCTGCGACCACCTAGTGAAGCGCCTATATCAATGTTGTGCTTCTTACTACAAGAAATATGGACGTGAGAGCGAGTGCGTGAGCTGCCCGAAACCTGATGCCCTGGATAGAAAGCTGCGTGACATGGGTGAGCTTTGACTCACAAAAATACCCATGATTAGAAACTCAATATCCCTTCAGTCATCCAGCTACTAGACAGATGATAATAGAAAGAGGTCGGCTTGCTATAACCAAGGTCTGTGCCCGACATCAAGATTATAGACGTCCTTGCCAGATCCTTCGCACTTCAACCGCAAAGAGCTTCCGGGCAGTTGAGAGTGCATCTTTGTTTCTTTGCTCAGGCTAGCATTCGTGTGCGCTGACCCGCATCTGTGCAGATCATGAACATGTACGTGAGTCGCGATGTGATACTTCTACTTTTCCACACGCTTGTAGGCTATGAGTCAAGTGGACCAATTTCTTTCGTTTTTGTACTGTGTCTAATTAGGTGATCCCAAGGTGTGCGCTGTTTATTGTAGCGTTCATTAGAAGTACAAAAGACCAAGAAAACTGAGCGCGGTGTGGATAAGTGTGAACTAAATCTTATCGGCTTGACATAATGTGCCATGTTCTGTCTCTCAGAATGACTTGACCGGTTTGCTCGTTCTAGACTTGGGTTTCGTATATAAGAATTGACGAGCGCTGTTCAATCCACTCTTAAGCAGGTGCTTTTGGTATCATATGCCGATAACGACATAGCACGGAATTGCGAGCAACATGCGCCCAATAAGAGTGTAAATACCCAATAGAAAGTTCTGGTACGAACATGGCAGCTTCGAGAATACAACAAAAGCTCAAACATCCGAACAGGGCGTCAAAACTCTGCACAACGTTCAAACAAGGTCACCAGGACGGACGATGAAGACGCCACGTGGACAAGTGACAAACACGTATGCGTTGCGACCCTTATGCATACGTGTCTGGGCAGGAAACACTTGCTTCATACTCCATCAGAAAAAGAATGCAGTTTTTTGAAAAAATGATTCGATCCACAGCAAGCATCGTTTCCAATCTGAGGGGGTTGGACGTGCGTTGGGACGATTTAGCTTGATCACCTCCGCATCACGAAATCCTTTGAGCAATTAAAGCCTGGCTCCACATCAAAATATCCCAATGCTGTTGAGGACGATGGACGCCGAAGCGACCAACATGATTATGTCTTAGCATGCCTGGTCGACTTACAGATGTCTTGGGATCTGTGTCTCATAGATAGCGACAAGGATGTGGGAGACCTTGGTGAGGGAGGACGAGATGAAGGATTCAGCCATTCTGTTGGTGAAGATCCCAAAGTTCGTATCCACTTGCGGGCAGGTGACGCAAGCTCATCGTCTGAATCACTAGGCACTGTACTGCACGAAGAGAGCGAGTCAGGTGGCGACACAGAGACATTGGGTCCTTGATGAAATGAAGTAGTCTGTTTCTTTAGAAAGCCGTCGAGCGTGGATTGCCGTTTCAATAACGGATCAGAATCTAATGTAGATCTACGCTTTTTGTTCAAAAGCATGCTCTTTGAAGCCTCTGGATGAGTATCTTTAATACCACGCCATACCTCGTCAACCATGGCAAATCTGTCGGGTTTCAACTCTAGACGCGCTGTACACGCGCGGGAAATGGGGACAGGCGGCGAGTGCTCAGGGGTGCAGGCAGGATATGTATGGTTTTTTTCATCCACTCCATTCTTCATGCATGTGGAAGCGCGTAATAATGAGAGGTTGTCGTGCCGAGGCTCGTGTTCGTTTATGTCCTGCCCACGTGAAAGCGCTACAATCGGACCCCGTGATGTATGTGGGCTAGGTACCAATAAATCTGGTGCATTTGTTGAACGCTTCCTTGCCGACATTGCCGACGACTTTGATAGAATCGCTTCCCCAGACGATGTGGACGATAGCGGCGGGATCGTAATGAGAATGATTATCGGTTCACGATGCGCGAAGCGCGCGTGTGGAGCTAAATGGCAGGTGACTGCCGCGCAGGTCGCGCGCCAAAAGTCGCCCATGGCTCTAGCGAGCGTCACTACGACGCAGGTGTGTATCTTATCGACAGCATGGTAGAGCGCAGGGATGGAGTTTACTCGCGGCACGTGACACCAACACGCTGTGTCGACACGGAGTGGCCGTGTGTGTTGGTCTGTCCCAGATCGACAGAGTATCTGTTTGACTACATCTACCGAGCTGAGTCTGGTGCGAAAGAAGTGCGCGATGCTAGCGACTGCTTCCTCATCTATGCCAGTTAAAACAGCTCTGGATGTGTCGCCTGATGATTCTGATCTAGTTGATATCTCGCTTACTCAGGTTCAAGACACCAAAGTGCCAGGAATCAGCGCCACAGCCGATGCGCTATCTCCGATACCATCGTCAACCCCTGCAGTACGAGACGCAGCACTTAAAAAACTCCCAAAACTCGTGCATGGACTGATTCCTGTCTCGAACAGGTTTTGGTTTGCTGTGTTTCCAAAACTTGTGGATGCGGACCAACTCAATGTCGGCGACGGTCTCGCCATGGCCCATATACCGGAAGATATCCCGACCAGTGCTCGGCCCCGAAAGCTTGAATGGTTTTGTATCGATGAAGATCTCATCTACTTGAGTTTTTCGAATGATTGGGGCCCTCTGAATGTTGCCATGTTTTACCGCTTTTGTGTACATGTGCACCAGGTGTTGATGAGCCCAGGCATGGAAGATACCCATCTCGTGCTATATACAAGCATGCACCCACACCACAAAGCCAATGCTGCGCTACTTTGTGCGCTATATGCTATGACGATTGATCACATATCGCCGGCAGACGCCTTTCATCCCTACAGTGAGATGGAGTTCAAGCCATTCCGCGACGCGGGCTATGGTCGTGCTGATTACAGTCTTACGATTCAGGATATACTATATGGTGTGCGGCGTGCTTTAGATCACGAGCTGCTTGACCTTACAACTTTTGATCTCGAGTCCTACGAATTTTATGAACAAGTTCAGAATGGTGACTGGAATTGGATTACGCCGCACTTTCTTGCATTTGCAAGTCCCAAAGACCGCGCTTATATGGCCACGCTTGCATCGCAGGGACCTTATGCAGCTGAATGCACTGCAAAACGTATGCCGGTGAACCCATCACTTCAAAGAACTGTTGAATACTTTCAACAACACAATATCTCTCTCGTTGTCCGCCTCAATAATGCACTATACCACCGCGGGGTCTTTGAAGATGCGGGCATCGAACATAAAGACTTGTACTTTGACGACGGATCGAATCCATCCGATGATATTCTTCGTACCTTCATTCAAGATGCGGATCGCACGATCCAGGCCGGCGGCGTGATTGCTGTACATTGCAAGGCAGGTCTTGGTCGAACGGGTGTGCTGATCGGGGCGTACCTGATATGGAGGTATGGATTTACGGCCAGTGAAGTCATCGGATATATGCGTTTGATGCGACCAGGATGTGTAGTTGGGCCGCAGCAGCATTTCATGTACGAAAATGCGTCCAAGTGGGTCCGCTGGGGCGTTGAAGATCGTTTGCGCGCAGAACTCGCAAGACAAATTTCCACGGCTGCTGTTCCATCAGACATCCCACAAACCCCCGCAACTAGCCGGATCGTGGATATGCCTGCCACAGCACCTGTTCATCACATTCACAAGCCGACGCCCTGTGTGGGCCAGCCACGAAAAAGTCCTAGTCCTAAGCGCCGGCGCTTAGGTATCGTGGAAGAAAGTGTGTCTACAAGAGCGCAAGTCACCGCGGATGACGCCGATGCCAAACTTGTGGCGGCCGAACTTGGTGTTGCACCATGCACAGATGCAGAAGTGCTTGGTGTTATTGACGCCAACGAAGCCTCATCTCCTGCAACAAGAGCGTCCAAGTTAGTATCCACAACTCGAACGTCCAACCCTGCCCCAACAGCATCAACCACCAATGCCAACCCTTTGCCGACACCAAAGTCACCATCGCCGATCGTGACAACTACCGACAGTGGTGCCATGCGTGCCACAAAGCCAGCGAGTCCAGTTGGTCTGCGTGAGCGGCGAACCATGACGCCAGCGCAGCAACCGAAAGCGGGAGTGCGCACTGTCCGCTCACCTGCGGCCAAACCTGTTGTAACACGGATGCAGACACGTCCCGCTCGGCCAGGCGCTGAGAATCGACCCCCTACAGCGATACGAACACGTCCTGCAGCCACTGCAACGGCTGCGACCCGACAACCACGTACACAATGATACGTCTACTCTCTCTCCACAACCAAAAAGACACATTGGAATAGGAGGTACCATGTACTGTATAATTGTTGCTACCATGCTATACAATGCCCCATAGATCTTCGAGACTGCAGCAAAACTTGCCGCAAGCCACACTTGCACTAAGGCTGTACTCGCTGATAGAGATTTTTTCGTCAACGAACTCATCGGCAAAATTGTCTTCACCATGTGCCATGGCACCGACAAATACGGCAATACTGCGGTCAGAGGGAATTGTAGCCAGGTAAGAAGAAAGGCGCTGTACAGGGGCATTGTACGACAAAGTGATTTTGTGGGTGTTCGCAGGGAAATAATCAGTTACTGGGTTCTTGATAACCCGCAGCAATTTTTCAGAGCCTTTGATCGAACGGATACTAAGGCGGTGAAGCAGTTGGACCATCAGGCCACTAAACCGCTTGAACGTACGAGGGATTCGGACCTGCGGATTCACTTCGATCAGCACGCCCTTGGAGGTGTGAATGTATACTTGAAGAAGCCCTGCCTTGTTCAGCGGAGAATCGAGCAATGTTAGAAGACACTGGTGTGTGATATCAGGACGTGCTTCTGAAATATCGCGGCCCATTTTGGCAAGCACTTTTTGGTGGTCATCACAGTTCAACAGCGCATACTTTTCACCGGCTTCCTTGTTGCCTCGCGTATGTGTCGCACTTCCGCTCGAGACTTTGTATGTCTCGAGACAAGCCTGCTCAAGTACAACAATCAGGCGAGGTGTCGATTCTTTTTCGGCATTGGTCTTTGGTAACTTAGGCACCGTGGGCACAAGCGAGGGACCAGCGCGTGTTCGCTTCGACGGTGGCAGTTCCATCGTCTGCCGTAATACAGACGCAGGAGTATGTGGTGGGGCTGTGGCAGAGAGGCGTGACTTTTTCGATCCGTTTTGAGAGACGCTCTCTGTCTCAACAGGGTGCCGCCCTGCCGAGATGGCATGCGCCTGTTCGTTGTGGTCGCCACTATTCTCTGCACGCTCATCCTCGGTACTCTTTACATCAGGCATGTCTTCGTCAGGTCCCTGCTGGGCCTGTGTGTCTAAATAGGCATTCCGCAAAGCGGCAAACGAACGGGTCGCACGCGGCTGACGTGTCTCACTAGGCTGTGGCGTCATGGCGCCGATCGGTCGGTGCGTAGCAGGCGCACTGATGGATGATCGCGCATTTTCTTCATCAGACGAAAAGTAGTCAGACTCTGTCATGACATGCGAAAGCGATGATGCTCTGAGAGGCACGAATGAAGGCAGAAGAGACCGTGGAGCAGGGAGAGATGTGATCGAACGACGAAGATGAAAAAGAAAACGTGTGGAAACAGAAATTTGATTTGTCGGGGCCTGTCAATCTGAACCAAATTTGCATCTGAGTTCGAAGCTTTGATTAGATTCCGCAAATGCCTCACCCCTCGTTCGCCCTGCGTAGCTCTTTGTCCGTACTCGGTTGCCCTCCTCCACCTTCCACGCACTTGGCTCAGTGAGAATGGGGCACACCCTCTCGCAACACACCTACCCCGTCACACCCATGCGCCTACCAGCGCGTCCCTGTGCCCTCCACCTTCTCACGTGGTAATGGAGGTGTGTGTCTACACGCTCTCCGCGCGTCGCGGAAGCGTTCCAATTCCACACATCACGCATTCACGCACGCTTCGCCTCCTCATCACGCCTGTTCGCCTCACGTGTGCGTGATAGACATGCCGCTGAGTGTGCCGGAAGGACAGATCTTCAAGGCCACGTACTCAGGTGTGCCTGTGTATGAATGCATCATCAAGGACGTGGCGGTCATGCGCCGTCGAAGCGATGCTTGGCTCAATGCCACACAAATTCTCAAGGTCGTGGGACTCGATAAATCGCAGCGGACGCGTGTGCTGGAAAAAGAGGTGCAAAAAGGGACGCACGAGAAAGTGCAAGGTGGATATGGAAAATACCAAGGTACGTGTTTGACTGTCGACAAGGTGTCTTGGCAACGAGGCTGACTCATGCAGGTACATGGATCCCGATGGATGTAGCCATTGCTCTAGCAGAGCACTACCATATCCGAGAATTGCTGGATCCCATTATATCATTCGTCCCATCAGACAAATCACCGCCACCCGCGCCAAAGCATGCGATTGCCTCGTCTGGTAGAATCAAAAAGCTGCCAAGTGACCTGGCGGATGCATCGACGACGCGTGTCTCGAGTGACGAAAACAGCAGCGAGATTTTTCCAGCAGAGGATGAAAATGGTTCTGAGGGCAGTATTAGCCCGTCTCCCAGTGATATTAGTAGTTCAAGTCGAACGCCCAGTCCGATCGGCGCTGACACACAGAAGCCGCCCGAGTACCAAACGTTCGCGGATACGCGACACCCTGGCATGTACACGCCAAACGGACGCATTGCCACGACGTATGCACCAGCGACGACGTACCAGGATCATTATGGAATGCCTGTGCAACAGCATACATACGATGAGCTCGAGCCGCAAGTACGGTATGCGGAGATTATTCTGGACTACTTCATCAGTGAGACGACTACGGTGCCCCCGCTGCTGGTGAACCCGCCGCCAGACTTTGACCCTAATATGAGCATTGATGAAGATGAGCACACTGCGCTGCACTGGGCTTGCGCGATGGGCCGCATTCGTGTGGTAAAGCTGCTACTGACCGCAGGCGCTGACATGTTCCGCGTCAACAACAATGGCCAAACAGCATTGATGCGTGCCGCCATGTTTAGCAACAATTATGACCTGCGCAAATTTCCAGAGCTGTTCGAGCTCTTGCATCGGAGCATCCTCAATATTGACCGGAACGATCGCACAGTTTTTCACCATGTAGTTGACCTTGCATTAAGTCGAGGCAAGCCGCATGCTAGTCGGTACTATCTCGAGACCATGATTCATCGACTTGCTGAATATGGCGAACAACTGGCAGATATTCTGAATTTCCAGGACGATGAAGGCGAGACGGCCCTCACAATGGCTGCGCGCGCGCGATCAAAGCGGCTCGTGAAGTTGCTCTTGGAACACGGTGCAGATCCCAAGATCCGGAACCGTGAGGGCAAGAATGCAGAAGACTTTATTGTGGAAGACGAGCGCTTCCGAGCGAGTCCCTCACGAACGACTAATGCGCCTTATGTTCCGTCATCCAATGCACCACACTCCTCTGAGGCAGGTCAACGCGCGGCAGGCCGTTCCGTCGGTTTGGTGTCCACTCTCCTGCACGACTTGGCCGACAGTTATGATACGGAACTGTCTGTGCTGGAGCGCAAACTGACGCATGCACAAACACTACTCATACAGATCCAGGGCGAAATCGCTGACAGCAACCGCATCGAGGCGTCACTCATGCCCAAAGGCCAAAGCAATGATGACGCATCGACTCTGAACGCGTTGGAGAACAAGTACACATCGGCAAGGCAGGAGCAGGCTAACAAAGAGGCTGAACGTTCGTGGAAATCGATGCACGAGCAAGTTCTGCAGGCGCGGCCGGACCTCTCACTCGGCGACGCTCCAACGGCCAATGAGGACGTCCAGCGGCTGTGTGCCAAGCCGAAGTCAGAATCTTTGAGAACTGAGCTTGAGACTTTGCGCGCACAAGCGAACGATGCACTTAGTCAGTACCAGGCGCTGGAATTGCGACACTTCCGTACCTTGTGTGACGAAGGTGCTGATCGCACGATGGCCATGTATCGACGTTTAATTGCTGCTGGTTGTGGCGGCATTGCCACGAAAGAAGTGGACGCTGTCGTTGGAGTGCTGAGTGATCTTCTCAGTGAGGGTGACAGCGCAGGCGCTGCCACCAAAGGTACCGAACCTGATTCAGTAGGACCTATGGATGAATAGATTCCTTCGCTTCCTTTCAAGCAAGAACAGTGAATGTAAGCTATGTATAGATTTAATTGCCCGTACGATCTAGTTGTGCTACTATCTTAGCGTTGCAATGGAAACATGAAATGTGGAGAAAAGAGTCCCAATTTGTGGCAATTTTCAATAGCAAGAACGTCGTTTTCAATTGCGACCATGGCTAGCGCTCCCAGGAGTGCGTTGGCCGTCCGACGAGCTCGCGCAGCTCAGCTAGCTCAACAGGCACAACAAGCACAGCCAACAGGAGAGTCATTCCCTTCTTCATCAGAATCATCTTTTGAGTCGAACCAAAGTGCAGGTTCCTCTCGTCGCCTAGGCTCATTAGATGTAGATGCTTCATCCAGCGCACATATCGTGCACTCAACCCAAAGTATACCCAAACAAACCAACGTGCCCAGTGCGAAGGACACTTTCAAACGTACTGAAGATGCATCTGGCTTAGTTCGCGGGTCTAGCAGGTGCACTTCTCTGCCACTACCTAATGTGACAGCGTCGGAGAATGAGTCGCTGACCCCACCAGACTGTTCCAATGCAGATCTTACAACATCTAAGCGCATATATACACCTCATGTATCAGAAGCTCGTTGCATTCGGCAAAATGGAACTATAATATGCGGCTTACGAGAAGAATGCATCGTAGTGCGCGGCGTTTGTATACTTACGGTTCTTCGTGGTGCTATTCGTATTGCAGGAGCGCGACTCACCCGGCGCTCACATCCATTTCCAATCTATGCTCCAGACACTTTTCCAGCCGCCGAGCTGGTCATGGAGCCAAGTCCTACGCACGAAGACCATTGCGATCTATTCCCTGATTGTGACACTGTCGTGCGTCTTGAGAGCATGCGATGTGGTCTTGAGCAACTGTCGCGTGTGTGTCCTGTTGCTGGCATGGACCCGTTTTCGATGCACCGCGCTCTTCCGGGATGTACGTTTACCCTCCTTTCGGATGCGTCAGATGTTTTATGCATGCCCAACGAATGGCTTGACACACTCGATGAACTTGCGTCTCTCCCCAGTCGGGTGCCAGGCATTGTGGCTGTGCGTGGCTTGAAAAACTCCGGCAAGTCAACGTGCGCACGTATGCTGCTTCATGCATTTCTAACAAGAGGTGAACACCGTTTTGTCGCGTACATGGAACTGGATGTTGGCCAGCCCGAGTTTGGTCCACCTGGCATGCTGTGTCTGCACGTGTTCGACTCGCAGCGCGAGCATGGCCTCTTTGCACCGGGCTGGTGCACGGCACGAATGCCTGTGCGAGCGCATTTTCTCGGCGATATCACCCCGCGCGATGACCCTGCACGCTACATGGCTGCCGTTTCGGATCTGGTCGACACGTATCGCTCGCAGTACCAATTTTACCAATCAGCGCAGCGAGTGGAAGAGCAATTGTATTTGCCTGCAACATCAGAAGGCACATTGCGAGCTGATCGCACGATACCCCTCATTGTTAACACGCATGGATGGCTGAAAGGCTTGGGTCTTGAGCTTGTGCAACACGTCACTGCTACGCTGATGCCGACGCATGTGCTTGATGTTGGCCCAACACCGTGTCCTGATGCCACTCATACACTTGTGCCGTTCCCAGAGACGTTGGACGGACGCGCTTCCGTGCCACAACGACGTCTGAATGCAGCCGAGTCGCGAACACTTAGTCTTCTGACCTATATGCACATGACGCGCCTTGCTAGTCCGGGGGTGCGTGCGCAGTGGAACTTTGCTAGTGCGTTAGTTGCGCAGCGCCCTTGGGTCGTCGATGTCTCCTCGGGACTAGGTGCCGGGTTTGCTGCTTTGGACACAGGGGCGCATGTAGATGAGGCTTTGACGCTTTTGGCGATGAATGGCGCATTGGTCGCCATTGTCCAGGCGCCTGAGCATGTCGCTGACGGCGAGACTAAAGTTCCAGATGTGTGGCGCACGGCCATTCAACGTGGCCGTGATTTGTTGACACGAACTATGCCACCCATGGCGCCTACTTTGGGCCTTGCGCTTGTTCGTTCCATTAATATGGAGCAAAAACAAATGCATCTCCTGACACCAATTAGCGGACCGGACCTACATCAACGCATATACAAGACAGGTTTGCCCATTGGACTACTACAAGGTGCACTTGATTTACCTTTTTGGGGTGCTTTGGATGCGGAAACCTATGCGGATGTGATGCAGTGGCGACGGGGTGGGCAGCCAAGCACGCACCTCGCAGGTGTGCCATGTGCGGATGTGCCGTACTTATTGTGGCCCAGCGAGTTCTTGGCACGAGCGACTCATTGTGAGGACGACGCGGCCTTGTCTCCGTCAGGCTCATCAGCCGAGCCACTCGGTGCACGACCGCGCAAGGTGCGACGTAATCTGATGAGGCGCCGACACAAGTCTACAGCGCTAATCTGAACGGTGTTGTAGTGGCGTGCGTGGCGGGCGAAAAGCCGTGAATCTGTAGGTGGAGGCTGGGGCCGGGGCTAGACGAGATAGAGCCAGCGACCAGCGACTAGCGAATTGTCAGATAAAAAGCGAGCTAAAGACGTTGACTCGTGCTTTCTCTTGCGAACGGCAGATCAAATGGGCGCCGAGGCATCGGCAGGGGTTGAGTCGTACTTTGCGACTCCTGCAGTGGATCATGCCGTAGCGGGCGTAGCTGCAGGCACGATATCGACGCTATGCATGAACCCACTTGACCTGATCAAGACACGCTTTCAGGTGAATCAGACGGCATTTTCCCATGTGCCCGCTGAGCGCTCGGTATTTTATCAGTCTGTAGCGCGAAGACGTTGGCTATTTTGGCTCATGGGAGGCAAGCCTGTTGTGGACATTGCCGACGGCATATATGGCATATATCGGCACCACGGATTTCGCGGACTGTACCGCGGGGTAGTGCCAAATGTTGTCGGCAATGCGTCCAGCTGGGGCCTTTACTTTTTGTGGTATACTATGTTTAAGGATTTGATGGTTCGCAACTCAGGTGAAGGGTCTGAGCCTGTGCGACTCTCGCCAATGAGTCATTTGCTTGCTGCGACCGAAAGTGGTGTCATCACGGCCATCATGACGAACCCGATCTGGGTCGTCAAGACACGTATGTTCACCACCACTGTCACGGAGCCGCAGCTGCAACCTGGTGTAAGCGGCTCATATGGGCCCGTGGGTGATCCATCGCGCGCCGGTCTCGCACACATTCTTCGAGAGCCTGGCGCAAAGCCGCCCAAAGCGTATCGTGGACTACTGCACGGCCTTGTGTCAACTGTCCAGTCGGAGGGGATTGCCGGTCTATACAAGGGCGTGGGACTGGCGATTGTGGGTGTATCGAATGGAGCAATCCAGTTCATGACTTACGAGCAGCTGAAGCAGTGGCGCTCGTCCATGAAGCTGCGGCACAGCGTTGACGGCAGCCGGTCCTATTCTGAGCTGGAGCTCGATAGTGTCAAGCTAAGCAATACCGACTATACCATTCTATCTGGTGCTGCAAAGCTCCTGGCCATTACACTGACGTATCCATACCAGGTGGTGCGCTCGCGTGTGCAAAACCATGCAACATTGCATATCTACCCGTCCGCCTGGGCGTGCATTCGACGCACGTTCCGAGATGAAGGTTTCTTTGCATTTTATCGCGGCTTTGCAACGAATGCCGTGCGCATCCTGCCAGGCACATGCGTTACGTTCGTTGCTTATGAAAACGTCGCATGGATGCTCCGCAAGGCGGCCGATGCACGTTCTTCTTCTGCCTTGGAGGTATCGTCTTGACCTACATCGCGCAACGATGCGCATGGTGGCTGGAGACCAAGAGAAAATTAGATCATGGGAATGGAAACGCGAGCGTGAGCAGGGAGGGAGGGGGCAGTTGGGCGGGGCTAAGAGTCAAATTGAACATGATTGGGCTAGGTGTGAGGGGGATGAGGCCCACCAAAAAAGGGAACTAGGACAGACAGGCCGGGCATACACGACTGGAAGCGGCAGCTAGAGCCATCAGTTTCTGCCTGGCGCGCCTCACCGCATCCAATCATGCCGAGGCGGGCTGATGAGCCGCATCTTGACCACTAGCGTCCGCACCTCCGATGCCACTACTGCTCGTGCCTGGTTCTTCAGACTTTTGGAGCGCGCCTGTGCCCTATGAGGACGGCCTGTTGCCGTTGTGCTTGGTCCAGACCACTGACATTGGGCAGATCGTTGCCAGCGCTGTTCGCGGACGAGGTCTCTTCGGCAGGGACAGAGGCCGACGATGTGACAGCAGCGGCACCATGCGTCGCCTTGGCTTGCTTCGTCACATGTGCAGGGAACAGGCGCTGAGGTAGGACTCGGTCAAGCTTGAACGGCCACGCCGCGTCCTCGTCCTGCGCACCGCGACCATCAGGGCGGTTGACGACTGGATCATACGTGGCATACTCATGAATGTCCTGGGGGAATTCTACGCAGTTGAAGTCCCAGGAGTCAAGCCAGATGGCATCGCCGCATGCCATATTTGTCCAGCGCGATGCATACGTGATGGGCGAATACCGGGCGAATAGCACACCGGCACCAATGGCAAGTGCAAGGGCCGCATACAAGCGGAACATGGGACGCACGCGCGTTGTGCCAAAGTCAAAGATCGAAGCCGTAAGCAGGATGCCGATGTACAAAGCAGGAAGGTAATGATGGATAAACAACTGGCGCTTCATCAGGAAGAAGGGCGCATAGTGGGCAACATACGCAACAGCAAGGAAGCCGCAAATCCGGTCGTACTTGACGACGGTTGTATGGGTGAAATCGTTGTATCCACGCTGGGCCCGCAAGATCAACAGGACACGCACACCCGCATACAGTAGTACACTACCGAGGACGGACCACCAGATGCCCGGGTTGCCCATTAGGTACACTTGGCGGTGGTTCTTTGTCCAGAAATTGATACCGCGACGTAGCCATGGCCAAGTCGAGGGTCGTGACTCGTACACGTGTGGCTCAGTGAGGTGGCTGTTGATATCCCACATAACTTTGTGTAGCTCGATGAACTTTTCCAGGAAGCTGGGGTTCTTGTAGTTGATTCTAGGCGTCTTGGCATTGAACTTGGGATGCTCACTTGTCTCGAAGTACCAGAGCGAGTTCTGCAGTGGTGGACTTGAATTGCACGTCACCTCCTGCTGATCAAACGCCCAGTCCGGCAGCGAAACCTTGTGCGAGTACAGGTAGCAACCAAGGTTCGCGTGGCGCAGACGGAAGATGGTTCGTAGCGTAATAGGTCGCTTCTTGTCGGCGAAGCGGAGGCCCGGTGGCTGCTTGTAGATCTCGACGATCCAGTTGTCGTTAAAGTCACCACCGAACCTCTCTTCTGGGAATCCGTAGCCGGACACCTCATTTTGATAGTCACCCGAGCTAATCGGCGGCCTGTGGTTGCCGTGCGAGTGAAGACGGACCATCGTCTGCTTGTGCAGTAGACGGACCATGTCATCATCCTTCAGGTATGTCACATTCTGGTAAAAGCGTGTGTACTCGTCGTCGGGTGTGATGGAATGACCATCAGCCTTCTTGACGTAATCGTCCTGGCCAGGCGCTTTAATGATAATCCATTCATTGTTCTCATCCATGAACGGATACAGCGTGATCTGCTGCTGGAAACTGCCGGACTGGTAGGAGTGATGGTGCGAATGCAGGCTACCACCCAACGTGTTCAGGTGCTTGATGGTCACAGTCGAGCCCAGAGCTACGTCCGCATACGTGTCAGGGACCTGATTGCCCTTGAGAGTTTGGCGGAATCGCCAGCTCATGAACCCGTCGTCTTCACCCGACTTGCTCAGCACACGGAAGTGCACAGCAAACATCGACATATAGACAACAATCGGGACTACAATCAGGCACAAAGCGCGGGCCATAAAGTGCCGAGCCAGCGTCTGGATCGGCATGCGCAGATTGCCGAGATGGTACCAAAGCTGCACAATCACAGCCACACCGACACTTGCAACGGTGAAGAGGCCGACCCACTTGCAGCTGAGACCGAGTCCCAACGCGAGGCCCGTCAGTGTGAGCATCAACCACCACGGCCGCGAGAACGGACGGTGCGCGTCCAGTTGGCAGAATACGGTCCATGCACACAAGGACGCTGCGACGAAAAAGACAAGCGGCGCATCCAGCAGAATCAGGCGCGACTGCGTCGTCAGTGCATTGTCAAATATCACAAGCAAAGAGCCAAGAAGCGCCGATGCTGGGCGCAGCGCCAGCGCACGCAGCGTCAGGTATGCCAGAGGCACAGTCAGAGTGCCGAACAAAGCACTAACACTGCGCATCGCAATGTACGGCACAGGCTCTTGGTCTGCTCCCATCAGATACTCGTTCCCGATCTCTGAGAAGTCGAAATTTCCCTTAAAGCCATGGAGCCACGAAGCGAATGTGATAAGCAACTTGGCCAGGGGTGGATGCACATCCATAAAGAACTTCCGTGACAGGTACTTGGATGCAAAACCGCCGAAGTGCACTTCATCAAAGCTGTTAGCATACATCGAGGCAAACAGACAAGCGAGGATCACCACTGCGTTAGTTCTCAGTTCGACCTTGATGCACACATCTCGCCACACACGTACACAACACTACTCGGCCGCTCGATATGGTAAAAGCGCACCACCAGGGCGATCAATGTCAGAATACCAAGCACGAAAAACTCAGTGCGTGTTACCACCGGCGGCGGTGAAACTGGAGTAGCTACATCGCCTGTCTCACGCAGCGAGCCAAGTGATTCGCGCTCCTTTTCTGGCATCGAATCAGAGGTACGGCTTTTCTCCTTTCGAGACTTCATGCCCATGTCTTGCGAATGCGACGTTGGTCGCGCCCGCATCGACGAGGAACTTCGACCCAGATCCATGCTGGATGGCGGCAGCGAATCAGTCTCAACTCTGAAAGATCTGTGCCTATCCACTGGCTTGGGCCTGCTTGCTATTATTTTCTTTGCTTTCCACCCCCTGTTCTTATCCGATTTCGTCTTGCTGCATAGAACGGTCGGTAACGGGCCTTGTGGGCTCGGCCGCTGCCGCGTTGGCTCGATGTTGGCAACACACTCTCACCTACTCAGGTCCGTCCGTCCACGCCTCGAGGCCCACGAAGGCCCATGCGGCTATACACGTGACGCAACCTCCACGAACACAAGGTTTCATCCACCTACCGTATGACGACTGCTGTCTATGCAAAAAAGCGCACCTGCTTGGACCGCGGTGGGAGTAACAAGCGCGCTTCTTAGCCGCACGCGGTCAGTTGTTTGAGTCCCCCCCCCTCCCCAACGATCGCCAGATCAAGCCGGGAGAGCCCAAGGGGTTTTGGCCTCCACACATTGTATGGATCTAGTTCGTTCTCCTCGACACAATGAGTGCTTTACAAACGGCGAAGCGCGCGCTTCGGCAGCGCATGTGCAAGGAACTTGCAGCACTGTCTCGTGCAGATATCGAAGAACAATGTACGTGGTGAATCGCATGTACCTACGCGAGTATGTGTGCGCACATCAACCAATTTGTCTCTTTGTAGAGCAACTAACATGAAGAAGCGGCTGCCGTGCTTGAACACATAAAGACGCTTGCTTGCTTTCAACATGCACGCACTGTGAGCGTTTATCTTAGCATGCCGACGGCTGAAATCGATACGTGGGAGCTCTGCCGGCACGTGCTCCATGAGGGCAAACATCTGTACATTCCACGGTTTTCGACATTACCTGCCGGTGCCCAGGCGTCTCAGACGACCCATAAGTTCACAACTGACATGCACATGTTGCGGGTGATGGACGTGAACGAGCTCGAGCATGGTCTCACACACAATCGTTGGGGCATAGCTGAGCCGGCTCTTACGCTACGCGACGGCACACCACGTGAAAATGCACTGGACGCAGCTACGGGTGGACAAGGGCTTGATCTGATTGTGCTGCCGGGCGTAGCATTCGATCTACAGGGTGGTCGTCTGGGTCATGGAAAAGGCTACTATGATCGGTATGTGGCACGCACAAGACAGCAACAACCACAAACGCCGCCAGCGACGGTTGCATTAGCACTGCTTGAACAGATTGTCGAGGCTGTGCCTCGTGATGCAGCGGACCAACCATGCGACATACTTGTGACGCCAAATGGCTGCCGGTCTTTTGCATCGTGAGTGGACAGCATATCTACTGCGATATACGCCGGGTAGATTCCATCGTGACGCCGCCTAGCAGTACACCCGCCAACAGCGTGCGCAGAAATGCGCGCCGATTCGCTGCTCGCGATAAGAATGCTACACGCGCACTCAGTCGGCCCAGCAACCGCCACGCAATCCATGGATCACCTCGACCAGACAGACGACGGAGTGCGGCTATCAGGAGGCTTGCCAACACGAAAAGGGACGACATGTCCAACAGAATCCGCAGCGCCAGTCCCACGACAATCGAGGCAAACTTGAACGGCGAGCGGAGAAGCGGCCATAACGAGTAGGCCCGCGATCCTGTCGCTCCATGTAATCGCCAAGCCTCGTAACTGGGCGCAAGGGTGTCGTTTGGCTGTGCAATGAGCCCGAGACATGCTCCGATATCCTGTAACGTCGCATGTGAAGCTGCCATGGTGTGATGGAGCAAGGTGCGTGTCAAACTTGCTTGCCGTTGCGGCTGTGTCATGCTCGACTCTGTGCGGTCCAAGCGCTCCGTAAGTGCCGTAAGAGATGCTTGGATCGCCCGAAGCGTCTGGTCTAGTTCGGCTGTCGGCTTTGCATGAGGTGTGTGGTATGTCGTGGGAGCTGGAGCACCGACAGTTTCTGTGTCCGCTGGAATGGGAGTAGCAGTAGTAGCAGCAGCAACCGCGGCCGTCGTACGCATTGGTGCCCCTTGCAACAAACTCGAGCGGCCACTGATCGATGACGTATACCTGCCCATCGGTCCCATGTGCGCTGAACGTGAGTCTTGTGCGGATGTGAACGATGGCGCCGCACCCCCTCGATCACTGCTGACGTATGAATGATCTCGCCAGGCAGACGAGCGTTGCCGTACTTTTGCATTATGTCGCGCAGGCACAGATGCAGCCGTAGGAACAGACACTCTAGACACGTCAGCTGCCCTTGACTGCGGTTGCGATGTGGCCAGCAAGTCTCTTTTGGTGCGAGTTGTGCGAGGCAGATCACTAGCAGTGACTGTTTCATGCGAGCCACTGTTGGTATGTGTGCCATGAGAAGATGCCATCATCATCCGTGGTGCACGGCTCGTGAACCGTTCCTGGGTAGACACGCGATCAAGGAGACCTTGACTCTCACGAAAATTTATACTGGTGCCAGCATCAGCATCAGCATCAGCACCAGCACCAGTGTCATTCTTTAACTTTGGATCTGCACGGTCTTGCAATAGCTCCTCTTCATCCTCATTCACAACCGACTCATTAGCTTGCTGCGATGGGCTGCGAGCAAAACTTGACGACTGCAGACTGGCCGTCTCCGCAAGTGTGCCTGTGGAAATATTAGTGGCAAGCAAGCGCCCATTTTACACACATACCGCTCATCACCTGCTCGGCTACGTCACCACTGTACGCTTCCAGCTCGCTCATCAGCGAAATGGCCAGTGGACGGTCCTCAAAGCGGCGTAAGATCTGCGCGTTAATGCACCATAGAAAGCATCAAATTGGGAATACATACATTCAACATGCTCTCAATATATAGCTGCTTGGCATCTTGTGATGAAAACCCACGTTGCCGAGCCCAGGCATCCCATTTGGCACGTCCTAGCATGTCAAACATGCCTGGACGCCTTGTCTGTACATCGCCTTCTGTTGCTGCCATCTCGTCAGCGTCGGCCTATGGCCAAAATATCATACCCTGTTTATAGAGTCTGCGGAGAAAAAAAAGTGAAATAAAATGGGGAGGGGGCATTGTCAGCACAACTTTTGAGGTTCTCACGAAACGGTTGGGACACGTACCCATACAGCACGAGTTTTTCTTCATATGATGTTTGGATCGGCCCATTCGGCGGTAGTGACTGCACAATGTCGACCGTGCGTTCAAAAAGTCTGGTATTAGGCATACATATGAAACATGCACAAGCACCATACGTACGCATCGATCACTCGCGCACTAGTCATGGCTGGCGGTCGTTTACTGTCCCCCAACACTCCGCGATTTACGAAACACAAGTTGGCTTACGGCTGTGGAGCAGGAGACGCGTCCTTGCCCCACGGACCTACTAGGCATAGGCACGGACTCACGCCCAACATGCTCCACCTGCGCTTCGGCGGGTTTTCGACGCCGCAAGTTGTGAGAGGCTCGCCTCTTGGGGGAGGACAGCGCGCCTCTTTGGCACCAAGTGCATTTGGTCATTGCCGAGGATTTAAGTGGTCGTCACGTAGCGGAGAACAGCTCGGGGTCTGCAGGCGAATCCGGGGCCTGATCCACACATTCAATCGATCGCACGATCACGCGCGTTTGTCCATCAGGCTATCGATCCGTTCGCTCCCGTTATGGCGCGAATGTCGGAGCGAGGGCGTTTATGGGCAAAGCGTGGCCTGCGTGTCGCGGCCGTGGCCACAGGGATAGTCGGTGGTCTGTACATGCTAGCCCAGTTTGCATTGGCCAAGTTCAATGATATGCAAGAGCGCTTGCTACGAGATCGTGTTGCGCGAGAAAATTTGCGCCGTCGGTTTTTACAAAACCAGGAAGACTGCAACTTCACCATTATGGCATTGTTGCCTACGCTCTCAGCGCAGATCTTTGCAGAAATGGATGTTGAGTCCATCAGCCATGCACTTCGTGAACAAAACAAGAAAAGTATTCACCCGCCTCGCACGACACCATCTGCGGCATATGAAACACGAAATGTAAGTGAATCTCATTCGCAGCCAGTATCGACGTCAGAGATGTCGGAAACACCCACAGCGGAAACAACGACGCCGCCGGTGTCGGCGGCTGCTTCTTCCTTATCGCCCTTGGACGCTCAGAAAGGACCGGCGGAGGGTCCTGTATCGAATGAAGATGCAGCTGCCACCGTTGCTGTTAGCGCTACGAAGTCAATGCCGGAGTCTTTGTCACAGAGTGCAACCCCCCAGTTTTCTACGCCGCAATGCTTGACGCCTCAGCTTGAAGCACCAAATGCAGTAGCGATGGCCGGTGAGAATGCAGATGCAGATGCCAATACCAATGTGATTGAGCATGCGGAAACTAGTAAGATGGTGGGCGACTCGCCACCAGCTGACCATGCCACTCCAAAAAAGATGTGTCCACAAAGTGGGTTAGACCTGGTCTCTGAGAAACCACCAGAGCCTATCTCGGCAACGACGAGACTTCCTGCGATTACCAAGCACGACGTAGTTGCTGATTCCGAGACTCCGGCTACATCTGTAACTCCATCTGTCGATACAGGCCCATCGTCTGTGAGCGAGGACGAGCGCCGCGCCACAAAGCTGCGTCTATGGAATGAGATCAAGCTCAAGTCATTTGAACGCACATTTACAACTCTGTATACACTGGTGTTTTTGTCATTGCAGACATACATTCAATTAAACTTGCTGGGCCGGCGTGCCTACCTGACAGCGCTCGAGAACCAGGCGAAGCGCGACGCTTATGCTCGCGCCCAACGCGATTTGGGTGCTGTGGATGAGTCGCATTTCATCGAGTTGCATGGCGACGGCTCTGACACGGTCATGCGTGATGACATGTTTGGTGTGGACGAACGCCTATCGCAAGATACAGAAAAGAAGTACCTGACCTCCAGCTATTGGTTCCTTCACTACGGATGGCGCGAGGTTGCTGCCGATGTGCGGCAAGCTGTGCAAGATGAGTTGGCGGATATGCCCCTCAAGACGATGCTTACATATGGCCACTTTGAGGCGCTTGTTGACCGGATAAGGGAGCGTGTGGAAAAACCATCGTCTTTCGATACTCACTCACATGGTTTTTGGGGCCGGCCTACTGGATTTAGCGGGATTCTTCTGCCCGAATCAGAGCGTGAAGAGGCACGCATGCTACGTGATGCCGGTGCTTTAGATCCGGCTGCGTCGTTGGACGAGGCTGTGACGCCAGCTCTGCGTGCCCTGCTCGATGAAACAAAGGACTATATTGACTCGCCTGACTTTGCGCACGTGGTTTCTTCTGCCTGCGAACAAGTGTTTTCATTGTTTCTGAGTCATATGGCAACGTCTTTCGGTGTGCGGGTGAACGAGGCGCGTCGTATCGACAAGCCATTATTACTGGCCAAGGTTCTGCCACTCGTGTCGCAGCAGGCGCAAGTGGCCCTGAATGCGACACCGAATGACTATGTGGATGCAGTTGTCGATTGTCGCGACCTGCGTGCGCTGAGCGTGCTCATGTATGCGGCTTGGGATGATGAAGGAGATCCATAGTGCTCGTGTATGCGAAAGATGCGTATTTTCGTCCCGATCGCTTGTTCGCGACGTATCGGGGTGGACCGAGTGTGCGGCGCTGTCGCAGCAGAATGGAAAGGCTCGCTTGATCGACGCTAAGAGGCGCACGCGCTGTCCTCCTCGTTTCCGATTAGTCATCACTGCATGCACGAGGGCCACGAGATGGCTGCACTTTTTTTTTTCTCTCTCTCTGGCAAGCAAAAACGCCTTGCATGCATGGCCTTCCAGGACTGTAGCAGCCTTGGCAGCACCCCATTCTAGCTGGTCAACCCGTCAAAATTTAAAAAAAAAATACAACTTACCTACCCAACCTTAAGAGCAACGGGCAGCATGGTCGAAATGTGTGCGGCCCTGCAGCCGCTATGGGAAAGCGGTAGCACAGAAGACGCACACAGACATGCAGAAGTGTTGACAGAACATATTAACACGCACGGCGTACGTACGCTCATGTCTGAGCGGATTCTTGAGGCTTTGCTGGACAAGCTCAAGAGCAAGAAACATGCAGAAGATCGCGAGCGCGCAGCCATCGGACTCGGTGCTATCGCATCCAAGGTTGCCGGGAAAAATGCGCCGTTACCTCTGGGTGCGGAACCGTGGCTTATTCCCGCTATTGCTCCGTTGCTCGAAACGTATGCGGACAAGAATGAGAAGGCGAAACAAGCGGCTGAAAGTGCCATGGCATCAATCGTTCCCTTGTTCCCCCCGGAGGCAGCGGCAGAACTTCTGGATGTGCTGTATGGCGTCATCATGTCCAGCACGGCCAAGTGGCAGGCCAAGGTCGGTGCGCTCAAGATCATTGGGCGCCTCGCTGATCTTGCGTATGAACAGGTCGGCGACGAACTAACACAAATGACCCCTGTCTTGACGCAGGCCATGCACGAAACCAAGGCTGAAGTGTCCAAGCAGGCCATCAAGACAGCCACAAAAGTGTGTGGTGTGATTGACAACAATGATATTCGACCGTTCATCCCCGATCTGGTCGGCTGTATGGCTCGTCCTGACTCGGTCCCTGCATGCATCAAGAAGCTGTCTTCCATTACCTTTGTCGCTGAAGTCACTGGCCCAGCACTGGCTGTCATGGTTCCTTTGCTTAGTCGCGCGCTCAACGAGCGTAGCCAGACTGTCCAGCGGCAGTCTGTTATTATCGTTGATAACTTGTGTAAGCTGGTCCGTGATCCACACACGGCAGCGCTATACTTGCCTGGCTTGCTGCCATCTGTCGAGCGTATTGAAGAAGGAGCCAGTTTCCCCGAAGTCCGTGAGCATGCGAAGAGTGCAGTTCACACACTTCGTACGGCGTTTGCCGCAGCGGATGCATCGAAGCAGGACCCTCAAGGCACAGATCCTCTTGCTCGACTGGCTGAAGCACGCTCAAAGGCCCTCCAGCGTCTTGCAGATGCTGTCCAGCCTCGCGTGCCGACGGGTGTAGTATTTTCGGCTCTTGGCGATGCCTTCACCCGTACTGGCCTCGAATATGTCTCTCGCGTCGTGGTCCGCTTGGCCGACAAGCGCATCGTGCAAGCGGAACCATGGAACGATGTGTATGTGCTGCCGCACCTTCGGCGTGTGTGTGAGACTGCGGAGGGCGCGCAGAACGCGACGAACTTGCTCCGCGAAGAGTATGAAAAGCTTGATTTTGAGCGCTTTGGCAAGCCAGAGGACGACGGCAGTGAGCTGGATGGCGAGAAGCTGTGCGACACCATCTTCAGTCTTGCATATGGTGGTTTGCTCCTTTTGAATCACACGCGTCTGCGTCTTTATCGTGGTCGTCGTTACGGTATTGTTGCAGCCAATGGTAGTGGTAAGTCGACGCTGCTCAAGGCTATGCGCGATGGCAAAGTCGAGGGGTACCCAGAGCAGGATAAGGTTCGCACTGTCATGGTTGAGCACTCGCTACAGGGTGAGGACGGCTCGAAACCAATTCTCGATTTTGTCGTGTCGGATCCGAAGCTTGCGGGCAAGAACCGCGACGAAGTTGCCGAAGCTTTGCACTCTGTCGGCTTTGACGAAGAGCGGCAGCAGACGCCTGTGGGCAGTTTGAGTGGTGGCTGGAAGATGAAGCTTGAGCTAGCTCGTGCTATGTTGATTGGAGCAGATATTTTGCTGCTAGACGAGCCAACGAACCACTTGGACGTGGGTTCGGTGCGTTGGCTAGAGAACTACCTGATTTCCAACACGAATGTGACTGTGCTGACCGTGTCGCACGACTCGAGCTTCCTAGACAACATTTGCACGGAGATCATCCACTACGAGCACAAGAAACTCAAGTATTACCACGGCAACCTGTCTGAGTTTGTCAAGACGCGCCCGGAGGCTAAGAGCTACTACTCCCTGGCTGCGACGTCAGTCAAATTCACTTTCCCACCACCGGGCTCTCTCATGGGTGTGCGTTCGAACACACGCACGATTCTCAAAGCTTCACACGTCACCGTACATTATCCCACCATGCCGCGCCCTTCGCTCGTGGATGCTTCCGTGTCTGTCAGCTTGTCGAGCCGTGTGGGTGTCGTTGGGCCTAATGGTGCAGGTAAAAGTACACTCATCAAGGTGCTGACGGGCGAAATTGTGCCCAATGAGGGCAAGGTCGAAAAACACCCTAATCTGCGTGTGGCAATGATGGCCCAACACGCATTCCACCATCTCGAGCAGCACTTGGAGAAGACTGCGTGCCAATACATTCGCTGGCGGTACCAGGACGGCCATGACCGTGAAATTACCGAGAAAGCCACCCGAAAGCTGAGCGCTGAAGAGGCCGAGCAGATGAAGGTCCCCATTGTGGCCCAGACGGGTGAGAAACGCACGATCGAGTTTATCGTCGGACGTAGCAAGCTGAAGAAGAGCTACCAGTATGAGATCAAGTGGGTCGGCCTGGAGCACAAGTACAACACGTGGATTCCTCGTGAGCGTTTGCTGGAACTCGGCTTCTCGAAGCTTGTACAAAAGTTTGACGACTTTGATGCGTCCCGCGAGGGTGCAGGAAGCCGTGACTTGAGCCAGAAGGCCATCCGTTCGGAACTAGAGGCCGTGGGTTTGAACGGCGAAATTGCCGAGAACAACGCGATGGGCGGCTACAGTGGTGGTCAGAAGGTCAAGGTCGTCTTGGCTGCTGCTTTGTGGAACAATCCGCAGGTGCTTGTCCTCGATGAGCCAACCAACTACCTGGACCGAGAGGCGCTCGGTGGTTTGGCTGTTGCGATTCGCGAATGGGCAGGTGCCGTCCTCATCATTTCGCACAATCAGGAATTCATCAATGCCTTGTGTCCAGAGATTTGGAACGTGGAGAATGGTCGCATAGTATCGAAGATGCGCACCGACATTGCCAGCGAGAACTTTGCCGACTCCAACCCCAATACACCGGCCGGCACTGAGCCGAACAGCGCGGCGCCCAGTGCGCCAGGCAGTGCAGCGCCCAGTGCTCCTGCAAGTGCTGCACCAAGTGCTCCGGCGAGTGCTGCTCCTAGTGACGATGAAGACATGTCGAAATTGAAGGCAAAGAAGGGCAAGAAGAAGATGACGCGAAATGAGAAGAAGGCTCAAGAAGAACGCCGTCGCTTGCGTCTGAACCGCTGGCTCCAGTATGGTGGCGAGCGTGAACCCGACACTGACGATGAATAATCCTGTTCATAGCGTGTAGGATACTACATGGATGCTGAAAGAAAGAAAAAAAAAAAACATGGTCTTCCAATGCATTACCTACGACGATGAGAACTGCGTCAAACCAAGCGTAGTTGTTTAGCTGGTGTCGCTAGCCATGCGGTATCGAGTGGATGAAGCAACGCAAATGGGCTGGACGCCGCCATACATGCAGTGCAAGCGTGTACCCAAGTTTTCTTGTCGTCCACTGGCCGCGCGATTCCACCCAACACGTTTCCATAGTGCGTCCTGTACGCTTTAAATTTGCAAGTGTCGTCCCAGAATATACAATGAGCAACGGCGATTCTCTGGCGGCTTTGCCAGTCCATGCGATTGCTGCATCGAAAAAGTACTTGGTTGCTCTTACTGGCGGAAATATTCTCCTGTACGACGTCCGCACAGGCGAGCGCCTAGCCGCGTTGGACGCGTGTGTAGATCCATCCGTTGCACCGGTATCACTGGCAGGATTTCCTAGACTATGTGCTATATCACCGCGTGAAACATACGTGGCAGTCGCATCAGACGACAAAGTGCTTCGAGTATGGGATACATCGAATGTAGCATACGGCCAAGAGGTGCTTGTTCAACGCCTTGCAAAGCGAACAGGCGCCATGCAATGGGTCCAGGACGACGAAATCATTGTGGCCGACAAGTTCGGTGATGTTTGGAGTTTTGAAATCGATCCATCAAGATATATGTTAGATCAGCCACAACAACAGCAGCCGCAGCAAAAAGAACCATCTGCTATTGTCGCGGATGCGGACACGGACGACCAGACATTGCAGCCCAAACTCGGTCATGTTAGCATGGTAACTTGCCTGGCATTTCTCAGGGACCATGAAACATCGCCTAAAAGCATTGTGACATGTGATCGTGACGAACATATTAGGATTTCACGCTGGGGCCCTCGACGTGCCGCGCATATTGTGGAACAGTATCTCCTCGGCTCACGCAGTTGTGTTGGTGCCCTGACTGTGGTACCTGCTGATCGTGCAAGTCGCGCTGGCTTGCCATGTTCATCCCAACCAGTGCTTGTGACGAGTGATGGCGGTGCTTGTTTACGTGTATGGTGTTGCCATGCTGATGGCAAGTACCGTCTCCATGCAACCGTTCATTTGGATGTACACGCGTTGCTCGAGCATGTCACTGTGGATGCGGCCATCGAGAGACGTCGAGAGAAAGATGCAGGGAATCTGGCGGCGAAAGACACTGTGTTTGACCCACATAAGACAGAGCCGGAGACCAAGCGGCAGAAATCCGATGAGCACCAAGAATGCAATTCGTCCACTGCCGATTCGCAACCCTCGCTCGTGATTCACCACCTTTCACACTTTATTTCGGACGATCGCGATTGGTTGCTCGTATGCATTGAGGGCGCCCGTGCTGTCTTTGTTGTGCCGCTTGATCATCTCACGAAGGATCGATCAACGCCGGCTTTGCCTGTCATTGTCACGTGTCGGATGAACGCACCGATCCTTGACGTATCGCTGGTGCCAGAGGCTTCCGGCGGGGATCGTTCAGGGGCGCCCAAGCTGTGGCTGTGCTGTGATGACCGACCTGGGATGGGGTCTGGTCCGTCTGTGAGTGAATTTGCATGGCGAGACGATCATTTCGAAGCTTGCGAAGTTCCTCCTATGAATACATCCTTACGGGCTTTAGTCGCCCCAGATTCGTCAGCGGCAACAACACCCCGTGCATCAGCGTCGCCCGCAGCACTCTCAAAACTATGCTTGTATTCACAGATCATGACTTGGCCCAAGCCTCCACAACCTAATGCAGACGGTACGCCATTTCTAAGCTATGCATGGGGCGATCGTTCCGAAACCGTAGCGCGCCAGATGTATGATCGGTTCCAGTCCGGAAAACGTGCCGCGGGACGTGCAAGAAACCAAGCGAGTATTCAGCAACAGTTTGGGGGTAACAATTCATAGTGCTAACATAGAGAAGAAATTAGGACGCACAAGAGAACTCATCTAAAGAGAGGACCATACGATATAGTATGGCTTGTGAACTAATCTGAATCGGAGTCACTATCCTTGCTCAGAGTTGCCCGTCCCTTCTTCTTCCCATCGCGATCACTGTCATCGTCATCATTGTCATCATCTTCATCTTCATCGCTGTCATCATCATCGTCGTCGTTGTCGTCCTCCTCCTCCTCATCATCATCGTCATCGTCATCGTCCTCTTGGTACACAACATTCGATCGCTTCACACGCTCACCCCGCATAAGCGCCATCTGACCAGCAATGGTATCCTCTTCTGGGTCAGAAATTTCATCTTCTTCGTCCTCATTGGGCGCTACAGCCTCCGACACGTTCAATTTCATAACCTTTACGGCTTTTGATCCAAGATACGAGTCGGAGTTGATTTCAACTTGGAATGTGTAGATACCCGGCTCCGGTGGAGCCACAATGGGCGCTGTGACAACACGTAGCTGCGAAACACCCAGTTCACCGAACCGTGTCGGTGACATGATCAAGTGGTCCGACTTGGGATCGCCCATCTGCATGAACCAACCTGGTGAACGTTCTTCCTTGAAGTACGGTGCATGCACATAGCCCATCGGCTCACGACCTGCATTAGCTTCACTAATAGTCTCTGTTTCCGTCAAACCGGAGCGTACGTTATCATCATGTTTGTCGCGTGCATCCAACCGACGCCCATTCCGCAAAATCGATCCATCACGCTTCATCGACAAAAGACGCAGCTTCAACACGAGGTGCATAAGTGACCCTGCACTCACGCGCTCCTCTCCAATGACTGTATAGTATGCATCGACCAGCTCAATGCGCGGCCATTCACCCACTGCACGGATGCAGGTACGGTACTGCTCCTCGCTCATGCCGTCTTTGTCCCCCACAAGCAAGGCGTGACGTTCCGCTTCGGGCACTTTCCACAGACCCTGCAAGCCCAACTTGGCAACAGGCTCTATTGAGCAAAGCTTCTTTGCTAGGTGCAGCGTCATATGCGGGAGCTGAAGCAGTTCCGACACACGTCCACCATCTAGAGGCACAGCTTGAACCACATGCGCAAGCATATCGCGAATCACATTCGTTTGATTCAGACGACTGTGCGCAGTGCTCATGGCCATCAAGCTCCTGAGCAGTTTCTCTGCATAGTAGCCAATGTCGTATTTGATCGTTTCAATATGCAGATTGCCAGATTCAATGCGGTACATATACGCAGTAAAGAGTACCAAGGCACGTCGGACATTCACAGGCACGTGCTCAGGCACGAGGTCTGAGCCACGTAGCTCACGATACGCATCGATGGTCTTTTTCTCGAGTTGTTCATAAGCAGGCATGTCGGACGCAGACAAGCGGCCGACCAGATCGCGAGAAAGTTCCTCTGACTGAGCCATCATGAGAAGAATGCCATTCGCCGAGACGTCCGGCTTGAGCTTTAAGAAGAACGACAGCGCAGTGGCATTCAGTACACCATCCTTTGTACGTGAACGCGTGCCATACCACCATCGAGCAACGAGCAGGGGAAGTCCTACACCAAAGACCAGTCCGTACATGAGAAGAACCGGCACATTGTGCTTGCTGTCGACGATCCATGTCGGCAGGGCAATGCCCATTGACATCTCTTGTCGGCCATCAGGATGGCCATACTCCTCGTAGTTTTTACGCGTGACCTCATCTGTAAGCGCTTTGTATGCTTTGGTAATCTCAATGTAGTGCGATTCGATCTGTTCCTTCGTTTTGTTTGACACACTGCCGACCTTGTCAGGATGAAACTCTAGACTCAAACGGCGGTAGCGACGGCGAATTTCGCGCTCCGTTGCTGAAGCTGCGATGCCAAGAATTGCAAACGGATCGTACAAATTCAGCTCCGAGTTCTTGGCTGCTTCTAGGACGCGTCGGAATAGATAGACCACAACTGCCCAGCCACACACGAGAATAGCCCCACGCATCAGCGTGTACACAGGTGAGGACTTCATCATGTGCTTGACAACACCGACTTTATGACCACGCTGGTCAAGCCAGCCTTGAACAGCCGCTGCAGATGTCAGTATAAGATACAGGCACACAAGACGGGCTGAAACTGGCTGGAAACGGCGTACCTGAGTCATGCTTCGGGCGCATGGTGCGGTACGTGTACGGCACCAGGAAGGCAAGGGCAGACGTCAAAACAAACGTCATGAATTGACTGCCCTCCTCATCGTATTTGTATCCAGACATAGTGTGCCGCACGCCGCGCGAGCCGGTTAGGACAAGTGAGAGAGCACGGAGTTAGACAACTGGCTCGAAAGTGTCGGCCGTCAAACTCACAGGCTTGCTTGCTCTGGGTCTTTGCGGCCACGGACGCCATTCGCAGATCAGCCAGGCGGCTGGTGTCTCACGTGGCTCTGACTAATGTAGCAGGGACTGGAGGTTCATGTCCCTTGGGGCCGGTAGTGAATGCGGCCGCCACATTGGAACGAGCGCCTCAAGGTGGTGGAAATTTCAGATCACGTCATCGCGGCTTGCCTCGCGTTGAGAGCGAAAGTGTCTGTGTGAAGGGGAGAGAAAGAAAGACAGCGAGAGTGGTAGGGAGTCACGAACGTTCTGGCCATGCTGCAGCCACCGGAAGTTGTGCCGGTCGATATCTTCATGCGCACGCATGGAGCCCGTATCTTGGATCAGGAAGATGAGAATAAGCACGAGTCGAGGCGCGATGGACACGATATCTATCTTCCAAATCATGTTGAACATGTGTCGCATATTGCTGTAGATGTGGGCGGCTCACTCGCGAAAGTCGTTTATTTCACGTGTGCCCCCACGACACCTTCATGTGAAACGAGCCCAGATGCTACTCCTGCTGCATCGGCTCGTGCTCAAGAATCAGGCATCTTGGAGCAGGAGTCACAGAAGCCTACACAAGCGACTTCAGCTGTGTACGACTCGCTGTCATTTCATCCAACAAGCTTGCGTGGTCGTTGTTTACCTGAGCAATTTCCTGGAGGCCGTCTCAATTTTACCAAGTTCGAATCCAGTAACATGGATGCATGTATGGCTTTTCTCCGTCAACTTATTGAGCGCAGCGCTTTGGCGAACAATGTAACCGTGGAGGAGGTGCGACAGAGTGTGAAGATCATGGCCACTGGTGGTGGAGCGCACCTGTTCTACCAGCGGTTCAAGGATGAGTTGGGTGTGGAAGTGCAGCGAGAAGGTGAGATGGAATGCCTCATTACAGGCCTCAACTTTATGACACTCATTCCTGAGGAGGTCTACTGGTTCTCAGATACATTGGTGGATGATATGGACCTATCATTTCCGAAAAATGCAGCGCAGCTGCCGCGAGGCGACTCGAGTCTTCTGCCCAATGCAGATGCAGATCTTCCACGACCCAGCCCAAGTCCGCCGCTGTATGCGCCCATGTTTGAAAGCACTCCCAAGCCGAAACTGCCGTGCCTGTTGGTGAATATTGGCTCAGGTGTAAGTATTCTCAAGATCGATGAGTTTGGCCAATTTGAACGAGTCAGTGGCACCAGTCTGGGGGGCGGCACGTTATGGGGTCTGTTGGGGCTGCTCACAGATGCCCAAAACTTTGACGAGATGTTAGAGTTGTGTGCTCGTGGTGACAACAGCCATGTCGACATGCTGGTCGGAGATATTTACGGGCCCGTCGGCTTGGATCACCTGGGCCTCAAGGCCTCGACCATTGCCTCGAGTTTCGGCAAGGTCTTTCGTTGGGATCGCCGCAGTGCGTCGCCTGACACTACCGATGAGGCACCGCGTACTGCCTCGGAGCGGCGTCGCGCTCGTTTTCGCCAGGAGGATATTTGCCGCAGTCTGTTGTATGCCATTAGCAACAACATTGGGCAGATTGCACATATGAATGCGGAAAAGTACAAGCTTGATCGTATCTATTTTGGTGGTTGCTTTATTCGAGGACATCAAGCAACGATTGCGACGCTCTCCTATGCTATCCGGTTCTGGAGTCGGGGCCGTCGCCGTGCATACTTTTTGCGCCACGAAGGCTACCTTGGGGCGATAGGCGCCTGGGTTCGGCAGATTGGGTCGAGTCCCTCCGTGCCCCACCACATCCAAGTGTCAGAACAAGCGCCGCAGCAACACGCAGGTCATGTGCAGCGGGAATCTGGACCAGAACAAAAGGTACCACTGGCGTCTCAACCGTCTCAGCCGTCGACCTCGTCGTCGTCGCCGCCCTCAATATCGACATGCCAGTCACATTCACATTCTATTCCTGCGATGCTGGCGGAAGCTCTTGGTCGTACGACCCTGGATGGGCCTTCCACGTCAGGGGATCAGACAAGTAAGGAAGGAGTTGATGGCAATGGCGGCGCTGAGGTTGCTCCGGCCGTTGCAACAGCAACATCCGAACCTCCGAGTGATACCTTATCTGGCTTGCTCGATGAGCTCGAGGTTCTCGATAAGCAAGGCGTTTCATCAGATCCCGACTCGATTCACAGAATCATGGAGCAGCTCGATCGTGCACACCAAGTGGCTGATGCTATTGAGTCACGGGTGGATCAGCTGTTAGGCAAGATTCACACTTTGTTGCCGAGTGAAGCATCCTAACCAATATTGTTGTACAGTACAATCCCTACTCAGTCAGCATAGAGCTTTGCTTCTTGTCTGGTTGGTATCCCGACGAATCCTAGACACTAGTCTTGAGTCTCGGGGAGCCGACCTACGACTTTCACCGCATAGAGGCCTACCATGCGTTTCTCTGTGTGTGGTTAGACATGAGTCTCTGTGGCTCCTTTACGCACCAATGCGTTGCCACTTTGCAACCCAGCTTTCCTCAGGGCGCAGCATACATATAAGCCCATCGAAGTTCGAGGTAGTAAAATCAGCGACTCGCTCCTGACTGCCTTGCATCTGTCGTCCGTTAGCATTGCGATAGTGTAGAGCACATACATCAAGCATATCTTGGCAATTGGGACAGCCCTTAGCATGGAATTCCGCTGCAGTCTGCGCAAAATGACATCGCAAGCACGCGCGAAGTTTGGCGGTTGACGACATCGTTGCTAAGATACGACAGGGTGTAGATCGATGCTCACACAATTGCTAAGCCGTGCCACGGTTGAGGGATCCGATGGGCTGTGGCAGGACGCCGCTGGCAGTGACTTTGAAAGGTCGTCGTCGTGTTTCGCTTTGGTTTTAGTGGCGAGGGCAACAAATAGGGTTGGCTACAGTGTAGTAGATTGGCCCAGCCAAAGGCATGCGCTGATTTGTTACATGCCTACCGTCCTCCACATGACGGCGGCAGCAGCGGCAGGCACCCAAAAGGCTCTTTCCCACCTAACTGTCCCTGCGTGCAGCGCGAGCACGCATCCTAGCACTGGTGCGTGGCAGCCGTAAGGGCCGGAGTCCACCATACGCTGACATAATAATATAGCCACTCCTGCGACGTCGCTGTCTGCTACGATGGTGCACGACGGACGTGAGCATTGGGATGGACGTACGGATCAACCGCGGCACGGAGGGCGACGCGGATGGGGCAGACACCGCGGAGGTCATCGAGGTCCTCGACATGGTGGTGATGCCCGCCATGTCTCTGCGCCTCCGTTTGGCGGCGGGTCGTATGGACCGCCACCGGATCCAGCTCGCATGCACCAGATAGATGTGACGCGCCGCGTCCACCAGTCGCTTTTCCAGCTCGGACATGTCGAGCAGTTCGACAGTGTAGCTGAGATTCCTAAAGTGTGTGCGTGGCTCGAGGAGCAGGCGCAGGAGTTTCCAGCTGCAGTCCTGTCGGCCTTTCGCATCATGGCGACAGAACAACCGCATAAGACTGCTTTGACGGCCGCGTTGATTGCACATCTCGTGCTAGCGCCCTCAACACAGTCACTAAATGATCCTGACAACAAAACGCTCGGTATTCGAGTGCTGGACCATCTCGTGCACATGTTTGGCCAGGACGTTGATGCGCACTACTGGCGCAATGCGCGTTTGGTCTTGCATGTGCTTGTGGCCTTGGCCCCGTTAAGCATCGTGTCGCCAGCATCACTTCGGCGCACACTCAGCGCCTTTGTTGGTGTGCTTTCTAGTGACGGCGTCGCGCGTGACGTTGCGGATCACGCCGCTGACTGTGTGATCGAGGCAGTCTGTCGTGGAGGAACGGATCTTCTCCAGCCAGAGCCAGGCGCATTAGAGGCGTTGCCAAGTGCAAAAGAGGAGCTACATACAATAGTGGATGGTATCGTTGCCTATGCTGAACGTCGTCGTTCATCGCCTGATGAGCTCAAGTCGCCGTTTCATGTGGTCGGCCAAGGACACGACTTCCTGGCAGAAGAGGGTTTTTTGGACCGCGTGCGCGCATTGAGCGGGATGAAAGAAAATGCATATGCGCGTGTAGCATGCATCGCAAGCGCGTGTGACCTGCTGAGTCCTGAGGTCACTGCTGCCACCAGTCCTGTGCCAGCCGAGCAACGCGTCTGGACCTTGCCAGATCTGCACGTGGCGCCCGTCCGCAGTACTGTGTACGATGAGCTGGAGGATGATCTGCTCGCTCCACCAAAGCAGCTGCAGACGGGCAAAGGCATGATCGATGTCGTGCGTGCAAGAGTCGGCACACCCACGATTGATTCGGCGGCACGTTGGTTTGGCACGAGTGTACCAGCTGTGGGCAGTGCCGAGTCTGTTGTACTTCGAGGCATCGTGCAGGATCTCATGGACTTGTACGTGGTGAATCGAAAAGAGTGTGCGCATGTGCTGTTGATGCTTCCGCACTGGCTGCGTCGTGGCACATTCGGCGGACGCGTACCGGCTTCCTGTGGCTTGTTTGGTGAGCCCGTTGTCGACGAGGAAAGTCGCGAGGCCGGCAGCACTGGCGAGTGGATTTTAGAAGATGTACTGTTGGAGGAAGCGTTGTCAACGATGCTTTTGTTGCCGAAACCGCCACAGCTGGAGCTGTATTACTCGTCGCTCATGCGCGAGATTGTGACACTAGCTCCGCAGCAGGTTGCTCCGTCGATTGGGCGCACGATTCGTCGGTTCTACGCTGCGTGTGGCGACGGGCTCGTGCATGCTGAAGTGCTCCGTCGCGTGGCCGATTGGTTCAGTGTGCACTTGAGCAACTTCAAGTTCACCTGGGCTTGGAACGAGTGGGCTGACGACATGACACTTCCATGGGCGCATCCACGCCGTGCTTTGGCGCGTCGAATTGTGGAGCTAGAGGTGCGTCTTGCATACTATGACCGCATCAAAGGCACGCTGCCGCCTGATATGGAGACATACATCTTGCCGCCGCATGAGCCTGCTCCAAGCGCAAGATACACGCAAGCCTCGAGCCCACACCGTGCGATGGCCGAGCAACTGTTCCAGTCCATCAAAGCCAAGGCAAACGTTCATGTGGTGCAGGCAGATCTGCAAAGCTTCCAGCAAAGCATCTTGGCACCGGCGACGGATGTCCCAGACACCGATGACGAGGCACGCTTTGTGGACTCGCCAGCAGAGGCCGAACGCCTAGTGCTCGACATGGCGATCCAAACACTCTTGTATGCAGGCAGTCGGAGTTTCTCGCATCTATTGAATGTAATTGAGAGATACCATGAACTCCTGCGCTCTCTCTCTCAGACGCCAGAAGCGCGTGTTGCGATTCTTCAAAGCACAGCTGCTTTCTGGACACACTCGCCGCAGTGGATCCTGATTGTGTGCGATAAACTACTACAGTACCGGATTGTCGAGCCCGTGGATGTGGTGACGTTTGTGTTCGCTGACGATGCACAGCGCGACACAGACCGTAGCGATGAAGAGGAGTCAGCGGCTCCCTCATCGCCTTTCGATGTCGCTGCCACTCGCGTGCCAGAATGGGGCGGCACACATCGTGACTGGAGCTCCTTCCATTGGTGGGCTATGCTGCGCCTCACGATGGACAAGGTCATGGGTCGAGTGAATCAGCTCACGCGCCGCGTGCAGGATCTTCGTCGTCGCGCAGATGACAATCAAGCAGCGGCTGCATCGGCCACATCCACCGAATTAGCACGTCATCCGGCGTCTTCGTCTATGGAAGAAGCGCAAGTTCATCTCGATGCCGTGCTGCTGGAGCAACGGAAAGTTCTCGTCACGATCCTTTCTAGGCTTGTGCTGTTCTTGCAGGACAAGGCACATGTGTCAATCCAAGACGAGCCTGACAGCTGTGCCTGGCAAGTGTGGTGGGTCCGTGAATGGTACCGAGCATTTATGGCCGTATATTATGTTGTGGTCGCCGAAAACCGCGAGACGATTCTTGCAAACGTATTTGCCAGTGCAGCCTCCGATGACGCGTGCCTCATCTTGTTCGACAAGGCTTGTGCACTGGCACACCTTGACTGATGGAGTACTGATTTGTGTGTGAGGAATCACGATGACTGGCTTGCGACGTGTCAAGACCTGTTCGTGCCCTGATCCTTCGTGCTTCTTGCCCCCCCCCCTCTCCTCCCCATCTCTCTTCTCTTTCTCATACTCATCCTCACTTTAGCTCCATCAGTTCTGCTTCTCATTTCTCGTAGTTGCCAACATGATCTGTTTATGCTTTTGTATACAAGTGTGTTGTTACTTCGCGAGGCCAACAATGTCTCATGCGCTTTCTGACGATCTACAGTCGCCGTGGCCGTGAAGAACGTGTGCTAGGCGTCGGTGACGCATATGATCCAGCACTGTTTGCCTGTGATCTCGCAGACGCGGTAGAGCTCCTTCGTGAAGATGTAGAGCGTGATGCACGAGGCGTGTTCGCTGAGCCGGCCACCTCGTCTGTCGTTCCGGCCGAAGACGATGCCGTTCCGCCATGCGCACCGCCCGCTGACGTGCTCGTAGTGCCGATTGTGGCACCTGTTGTGCTTGTAGATGCTGCTGCTTCCGCTGCGTCTTCAGCAGATCGCTCCTCGATCTGGCGCTGCTGTCGCCGAGTTGTTATGGGTCTAGAATATGAATCAGCACTTTCGTCGTCCATTTTTGTACTGCGTCTTCGCTTGCCAGCTCGAGTGCTCACACCAGTGGCTGCTGAGACGGGTGCAGCAGCAGCAGCACCATCTTTCTGCGATTCAGGCATTTGTTCATCCTCTGTATGCGCACGTTTTCGTCGGTTACGACGCGGTGGATGGTTGGCCGAGGACCGCATCTCTCGATCGTCAGTCTTGGATTCAGAGTCGGCATCAGTTAGGTCATCGTCCGACGACGGCGGCACCACAGACTGTGGCACATCGCTTTGACTCTCATGATCGCCTGTCGGTGCAACACGGCGTACCTCCATCCATGGCTCGAAGGACATGAACGGCTGCAATGCGAACTCCTCTTTGTCCAAACCATGAACTAGCCGTGTACGAGCTCGTTCATTCGTTCGCAACATGTCTTGGAGCCCTTCATACTCGCGCATCCAAAGAGGGGTATCATTTTCATCATCACCATTCTCTTCCTGTTTATTGAGTTCATTTACATCATAGTATTCGCCGAGCTTGTTCCAAAGATGGCCATCCATCTCCAGCGTACTTGACATATTTGGCGACTGACTTAGAGCATGCAGAACAGACACCATGTGGAAATGTCGGTGAAAACCTAACGGTCGGTACATAGATATGGCACGTAAAAATGCCGCCTGTTCGGCTGCATCCCATGAACTTCCTGTCGTGCCGTCCAACCTCATCGTTGCCCGCACAGTACGAGCTTACAATAGGACTGTACTGCAGTTGTGCACGCGTAGGAGAGCGCCTCCACTCGTTGAGGAGTCGCCACGTCCGTCCTAGGGACTTGGTCCAACCTTATTCGAACAATCTACAAGGAACGAGAGCTAGAAAAAAAGTGGCGCGGCGACTATACCAAGCCAAAGTAGGTATGAGTCTTGGGAAAATACTACTGTGAAACCCAATTACCTATGGAGAAGGCTCACCTTCGACAGAGACAGACCACCACTTGGGCATACATGAATAGCCATCCCGGTCAAAGGAATCTTCAGGATTGCAGCTGCACTTTCCATTGTCGTGATACTTTTTCCGATTCGCAGGACAGTGACCCCAAGGAGGATGATAGTATCCGATTTCTTCAAATTGATAAATCTGAGATCGGTTCAGAAAGAGAGCTGCAGCAATGCTGTGCACCGGCGCATCGCCCCAGCGCTCATAAAAGAAGCCACCCGCTTTGTCAAGATGGTCAAAGTATTCCTTGTACTGCTTCCCGCGGAAGAAGCGCAGGTCACCAATCTCAAAGTTGCTCCAGAAGTGGCATAGGTTGTAACGGGAGCCTTCAAGACCGTCCTGGTCAGTGATGAAACGCTGTGCGCTGTCATGCGCCAGGTACTCTGGGTGTCGTTTCATAAACTTCATCGTCTCGTCCCAAAGCGTAGGAATGGTGGCATCGTACTCAGGAAGCGTGAGCGTGAAGCTATACGCTTTGTTGTTCATCTGCATGAACAAAAAGGGGTCAAAGTCAATATCACACATCAAATGAACACCCGGCTCCACTCGCCAGTAGTACTCGAGGCCTAGTTGATATGTCAACGGGTGTTCAAAGAAAAAGCCACTCTGGAAGCGGCACATGTGACGGTACGACTCAGATTCTCCGTAGATGATCCCTTCCGATTCCATTTTTGCACGCGCTGCTGCCGCTTTATTTTGGTCGATCCAGCTTGGGTAGCTCCAGTGCTCTTCCGGCAGAATTCCGAAGTACACTGGCGCCCTTGTCATTTGTTTCACGCCCTGCTTGAATTCTGCAGTGAATGGCTTGTTGTTCAGAAAAACCCACGGATAGTTGTATTTGCGGTTAAAGCGAAATTCGACATCCATCATACTCTGACGCATGTCATCCAGCTCTGAGTTGCGAATCAGGGTGATGAACGCAGCTTTCGCGCGCGGGGTTTTGTTGATATCGGCCGGGTTAAATTCGGGAGGGAAATAGTTCCCGACATGATCCTTAGTCGCATAGCGGCCAAGATCATCAATAGATGTGACGTTGCTCATGAACTTGGTCGAGTCAGCAAACGCGTCACGAACTGGAACTGGCGGACAGGAGTGATTCCCGAAGAATTTCGGGATATGTTTGATCTGGTTCTGAAACTTTTCAGCATTCCAAGAAGACATAGATCCATATGAAGATATGACTATAATGACCATGACGATGGCCAAGAGCACCAGTAGGCGCTGCGGTCGCCGTAGGATGATGTCCAACATGGGCAATGATGGTGAAGAATCTACCATCTGGAGAATCGTGACATGGACTTTCAGTGGAGGTCCCAGAGACGACTAAAGACCTGCATGCAGATAAACGTGTCTGCGGGAGTAGACTATAACCCACTCATTGGTGCATCTGTACTCGATTTACATCAATCCTCAATCTAAAACTACACATCCCCGCTCCGTCGACAGATGTACGAAACGTTGCATGTCATAGTGCATCGGGTACTTTACTTCACTACCTCTCAATCATTCGTAGATGCACCATTACAGAATGCCGCATGGCACTAGACAGGATCACCCTCATAGGACGTTTCCCACCATAGAGCCGTGCAGGACCATCCATCTCGGTCAAATGACTCTTCTGGGTTGCAGGAGCATTTCCCATTATTGTGAAACTTCTCCCGATTGTATGGACAATGGCCCCATGGAGCATGGTAGTAGCCAATGTCTTCGAAGTGGTAGATTTGTGATCGGTTCAGAAAGAGCGCAGCAGCAATGCTGTGCACCGGCGCATCGCCCCAGCGCTCATAAAAGAAGCCACCCGCTTTGTCTAGATGGTCAAAGTATTCCTTGTACTGCTTCCCGCGGAAGAAGCGCAGGTCACCAATCTCAAAGTTGCTCCAGAAGTGACACAGATTGTATTCTGTCTCCGCGAAATCGCGCTCTTCCTGCAGTACGAAATGCCGCGCATTATCAGGTGCAATGTATTCGGGATGCTTCAGAACGAACTTGATTGTCTCAGGCCAGAGAGATTTGATTGTATCCTCAAATTCGTGGACACTAATGGTGAAGCCATACGCTTTGTTGTTTAATTGCATAAATACGAAAGGATCAAAGTCCACATCACATGTCAGATGCACACCAGGCTCGACACGCCAGTAGTATTCAAGTCCAAGCTCATACGTGAGTGGATGCTCAAAGAAAAAGCCACTTTGGAAACGGCACATGTGACGGTACGACTCTGAGTCGCCGTAAATAATACCTTGTTCTCCCATCTTCTCTCGTTCTCTAGCCGCCTTCTCCTGGTCGATCCAGCTTGGGTAGCTCCAGTGTTCCTTTGGAACCAAGCCGAAATAGACCGGTGCACGAGTCATCTTCCGGACACCTTGCTTGAATTCGTCCGTGAAAGGCTCATCGTTCAAGAAAAGCCAGGGATAATTGAATTTCCGATTAAACCGATACTCAACTGTTGTTAGACAATGGCCGCCCAGTGATGAAATGACATACAATCAAACATGCTCTCCTTGAGAGAGCCAAGCTCAGAGTTCCGAACCAGTGAAATGAAAGCAGCTTTGGCACGAGGAGCTCGATTAACTTCTGCGGGGTTATAATCTGGCGGGAAGTAATTGCCGTGTTGATCCTTCACAGCGAATTTGCTCAGTTCTTCGACTGATTTTATGTTACTCATAAACTTGTAAGTGTGGTCACCATATTGCATAGCCGGTGACAACGGCGGACATGTCTGGTTCCAAAAGAATTTGGGGATCTTCTTCAGATGTTTTTGTACGTGATTTGATCCCCACGAAGATGTCGAAGAATACGTCGAAACAATGACTACCACCATAAAGACAGCCAGACCGACCAGGAGCCGCTGGTGGCGGCGTAAAATCTGCTCTAGCATCCGTGGTGATACACGAAGAGCTCTCACTCGTTGGACCTAAAACAATCACTCACTTGCGGCTCCATTTATCTTGGAAGGGAGGTCCAGAGTGAAGCGGATGTAGACAATTTCTAGTCAGTATTATGTAATTCGAGATCCGATTTGTCTATTCGCGCCTGCCGCCTACTAGAACTCGATCGCAATACGCTCGCGTGTGTTTGGAGCGCTTGTTGGATCCGTAAGAAAGGACAGGTGCACGGCAGTGGCTTTACGCTCCCTCACTCCTACAATCGTACCTCATGTATGCGCCTCAGGCCATGGCGCTGCCAAACCATGGCGCGAATCTCGCGCAAGATAAAGCGCCGAATGTGGTTATTCGCGAGATCAACAATTCGCATGCAGATTTCATCCTGGAGAACTGCGACCTTAGGTACGTTGTATTGATGAGCAGTGCCACTGATAGATAAGTTTCGCAAATTCTCTTCGTCGAACTCTCATTGCAGATGTGCCCACTGTCGGTACGTTTGACTGCACGTGTGCTGACAATAAAGCAATTGATATGGTAGAAATCACTATCAACACGACTGTCCTTCCTGACGAGTTTCTTGCACACAGGCTTGGAATGATTCCGCTCTTGAGCATGGATACGGCTAAAGTACTTATTGATCAGCGCGAGTGTTCGTGTGAAGATGGATGTGATCGATGCTCTGTGGAACTTTCATTGGATGCGCTTTGCACCTCAGATCGCGGAGCAATGCTCGTGACATCGAAAGACTTGATCCGCAGCAACACGATTGCGAATATGTATTCTGATGAATCAGTCTTCGGGCCTGTTGCTCCGCGGCATCCAGACTTTGGAAAGCCTGTAGGACAGGACGACCCCAATGCGAATGGCGTGGTGATCGTGCAGCTGCGCAAAGGGCAGCACATCAAAGCTCGGTGCATTGCTCGAAAAGGATTTGCCAAAGAACATGCAAAATGGTCCCCTGTGTCTGCCGTTGGGTTTGAGTATGATCCGCACAATACGTTACGACATACTACATTGTGGTACGAGTTCGACGCGAAAAAAGAATGGCCCGAGAGCAAGAATGCGCGGGAGGAAGAACCGCCTGCAGAGGGTGCGCTTTTCGATCCCAATTTGCAGGCCTCGAGATTTTACTTCGACGTCGAATCTGTGGGAAGTCTACACCCGGCTGAAATCGTCGACACGGCTCTTTCCCTCCTAGAATACAAAACTGCTCAAATCGTTCAGGAGTTGGGCATGCTATTTCAACCTACAGATGCAGCAGTGAACGCTGGCGCCATTCCTCCCGGTGGCATGTATGATTCATATGGCGCCCCTCCGATGTCGGCCGCTGCTCCATATGTATGATATGGAGCCCGTAGGGATAGATGGAATGACGTCGGATGTAAAAGAAAATTAATTGTGGGGGGCCAACAAGCATAGGCAAGGACATCAACGCGTATGGGATGATAGTCGTTCATTTGTGTCAATAAATGCATAAATCCCATTACCCCAAAATTTTGAGCGCGACAAATCTTTTTAGTGGAAAACAAGTACCTGACATGATCCGTTAAAAGAGGAAGCGTGTCACAACACGGAGCGTCCGACATTGGCATCGATGACAGGCTCCCCTCAGGTACCCATGACAGGGAACTCAAGTGAACTTGTCGATGTAGCTACAAGGCCCGGATACTGCCCAGAGTTGGCCGGCCATTTCTTACCTGGAGTTGCAAAAGACCGAATTATTCTGTATTTTGGAAAGCTCATGCCCGCTACTGAGAAGGGACTGGATTTGAGTTATTGGAAACAAATGTTTGATGAATACTATGTTCCCACTGGCACAATGCGCATGCTTATGATGAATGAAGATACAAAGCAAAGGCAAAAATTCGACATCGCATGCGAATTTCTACCATACTTTTTCTCGTCTTGCGCAACTCACAGCATGCGTGTGATGCGTATGCAATTTACAGAAATGCGTGAGTATGCTTGTGACCCATCACATCCACCACCACCGCCCCAAGGCTCGTATGAGTCGAGCTTTCCTGAACCCTGTGTGGACAAACACACCACCCACATTGTGGAATCAAACCATATGTTGCTTATGATTGTATATGAAAATGGGTGGCAGTGCCATATGGTCGGCATGTTTCGTGCTCTCTTGACACCTTATACCAAAGTACAATATGTACCAGCTCCCCCAGGTGTCCGCGGAAATGCTGATGGACTCGTCGCTCGACTACACACGAACCTGCGAATACAGTACCTTTGCTTCAGTACGCTAGCGAAGCGAATGTATGTACCATTTGATGAAATGATGGGGTATCTTGAAACGCGAGAGATACCTCCAAAAGTTGTGGAACAAATCTTAGAATATGGCAAAACTATGAAACGAGACAAAGATTCTTCCGAGTCCAGCTCCGACGAACGTCCCTCAAAAAAGATTCGCATGGACTCGCCTCAGCTTTCAAATGGACAAGACAATGCATGGCATCTTAGTTTGCCTTTAATGTATTCTTACTCTGATCGCGAGTCTTGTTGCGAACCTCTGCCGCAGTTCTTCCTTCCCAGACCGCGACTCAGCTCGCTCAGAGTCCTTGACGGCCATGGATTTCCACCAGAGATGGTCCCTTTTGTGAATGTTCGTATTTCAGGTTGCTCTTTATCATATATGCTAACTGTCATCCCTCACCCTTGTCCAGATGCTTGAATGTATAACACAGCTACGCCCATTAATTGATTTACACTTAGAAGAGGGCTGTTCTCCTTTCGACATGATGCAAGAGTTCAAGGCTATCCACCAGCATCAACATTATTCATTCGCCAGTAAAGATTCTGACATTGCCCCTGTTTAGCCATGATTCCTCACTAACTTATCATCTTGTTTTCTTGACGTGCCATACGAACTTTGTACGCACTTCCCCGGCTCGCCTGATAGATCCAACCTTGTCACGCATACACACAGCAAGCTGGTCTTTGCGACAAGCGTTATCACGTGACTGTAGGCTCCGACTTGATGGGTTACGTGCGCGTGCCACACTCGAACCGCGTGAGCCACGCGCTCACTGGTCGTTTCCAAACACCTGCAGGACGCAATGAGTCCCGGTGGTGACGCGCAGCGTCAGATTGAGAAAGATGCTGGACTTTATGTGCCGCAAGACAAGCATTTGTGTTTTGCTGCACCGTATGAATCGACAGGTGTGGTGTCGAAGCGCTCGAGCAGTTGGAAAGAATGGGTGTCTTTGGGTCCGCTTCGTCCGCAGCAAATTTTCTACCTGTTTGTTATGCACACCTTTGGAGCTGGTATTCTTTCGGGTGCTGCCAATTTTGGAGTGGCTTGCGCGATGTACCGAACAACAAATAAACCCATTAAGATGTGGCCGCTCAACGAAAACACGTTGGCTGGTGACATGGGAGTCACAGTCGTAATCCAACAAATCATCACATATATTGTGACGTCAAATTTGTGCAACTTTGATCTTCGGCACGGAACACGCTCACTAACGCGACCATGGCCGCCCATGATGCATTTCCCATCTACATCTATGCCCACTGGTTCATGGTTTGGTGTTAAAATGCCTAGTGTTGTTCAGGCGGAAGGACACTTGTTGTACATGGGCAATGCGGAAAACAAATCGCGCTTCACTCAGTTCTGTCTTTGGTTCTTGCGTGCCACATGCACTGGTAGTGAGCGCAATATTATTTTCGAACGTGGTTTGACAGTACGGCACCGCTTCGAGCGCCTATTGTGGACTGCCTTGCAAGGTGGCTGGTGGGCCGTCATCACATTTTGGTGGTACTGGCCAATAGCTATCGCGATCACTCAGCCTTTATATGGAGATGACGACTTGCGTGGAACATGGACTCCTACATTTATTAAGCTCTTGTTTGGTGGTATCATGGGACTTATCACAAATCCGATCATGGCTATGATGACACTTGGTGCGGAGTGTCATGTGCATCGTTTTTATCCAGACATGGAATTGTGGCAGGAAACCGAACCAGCCCTACCTATGACGTCAGGCAACTCTTTTGATGATCAGATTCAGTCATTTGATGAAGTCTTCACTGATTTTGATGCTACAAAATAAGGCGGATGAGAGTCGCAAACTTCGATATCATAGATGAATATACACAAATTATGTATATAATGTGTATTAGGAAGAGATGTGCAAAAGTGTATGAACTAGTCGTCATTGTTGTCCGCCATCTCTTTGCTCACCCTATGCACAGCTTCCAGGAACACCCGGAGATGGTCTGGATCCACACCGGGCGTGATGCCTTGTCCCAAATTGCAAATAAGTGCACCTTGGCCCCCAAAGCCGCCCGTCTTAGTCTGAAACATACGACGAACGCGGTCCTGGATCACTTCTGGTCGGGCATACAGAATAGCTGGGTCCAAATTGCCCTGAATAGCAATCCGATGCTGCGCACCTTTGTTTACTTCCACTTCAGAAAATTTCCGATTGCTGGATTGAGCCTGCGCGAGACACTGGCGTGCCCAAGCTGGCTCGACGGTATGATCAATACCAACGACATCATAGCCCGAGCGGCTAATTTCCACAAGCGAATGATTCACCGCACCTCTTGCATACACAATCATGGGCGGTGGCTCCACGGACTTGAGCGCTAGGTTGTCCTTCACGTCGACAGCGATGTTTCGAAGATAGGGCAAAGCAAACGTGCGGAAATCATAAGGCGTCAGCTCGCCAGCCCATGAATCGAATACTTGAACAAGCTGCGCACCAGCAAGAATCTGGGCAACGAGGAAACTAGCGCATACGTCCGCAATGCGATCGAGTAAAGCCTTGCTTTCCTCGGGATAGTCAAAGAGCCAGCGTTTCGCCTTCTCCCACGTCTTCGAGCCACCGCCTTCGATCATGTACGCCATCAGCGTCCATGGTGCACCACAGAAGCCAATCACAGGCACGCGACCAGCGAGTTTGGTTCGAGTCAAACGAATCGCGTCAAGCACATAGCCTAGATCTTTCTGAATATCCACCTTCTTTAAACGCGCCATATCCTTGGGTGATTCCAACGGATGCAAAAACGTTGGGCCTTTGCCCGGCACCATCTCAACCTCCATTCCCATAGCCTGTGGCACGACGAGAATGTCAGAGAAGATCACAGCGGCATCCAAGAGCCTGTCGTAACGCCTTACTGGCTGAACTGTAATTTCCGATGCCACTTCTGGGTCGCGGCAACATTCGAAGAACTCAAACTGCTCGCGAATTTTGCGGAATTCTATCATGGTTAGTCATGTGTGTTTCAATCCGCGCAAAACAGTTGTGCTAATGCAACGTACCAGGCAAATAGCGACCTGCCTGGCGCATAACCCAGACAGGAGCACGCTCGGTTTTTTGGCCCCGGGCAGCACGAATGATCAAATCGTTTTTCAGGCCAGGTGTGCTGCTGCGCTGATCGCCTTTCTTGACTTGGTTTCTTGTTGTAAAGTTCTGCACATGCGAGATACCTGGGATTTTGTTCATCATAGTTTGAGATGCTTTCTTAGCACCGTTCCAGCCAACAAACGAGTGTGGAACCCAAACCTAGTTCCAGAACACCACTTGGAGGCTCAAGCAGAATGTGCTGATATCTCCAGGCTCAGTGTGACACGCAACACAACCTCCCCCATCTCAAACGTGCCCCTACCTAAGTCATAATGCCGCACTTGCATGTCACGTGCACCGTGTCGTCAGCCCTGTCGACTGTTCCATCTCCACACTCAGGTGGCATTCATCTCGAAGATGAATTCGCCAATCCGCGCGCTGCCAAAAGCGTATTTCATGAATCATTGCAGGTTTACTGAGCAGTGGCGCAAACGTCCCAAGTCGTTTTGCTTATGGTGATGCCGCAACCACGATTGTCTAATGAATACATGCTTCGGATGGCAAGAACTCCCAATTCTTGCTTTGTGTGCCATCGACCGTCCGTATTTGTGCTCGTGTCTCTGAACGTGCCTCAGTATGACTTCATGTACGTGTGTCTCTCACACGTTGATGACCGTGCTTTTGCTACGTGCACAAAGCCGGCACCATTGGATGCAAAATCAAATTTGACGACGTCTAGCTTAAATACAGCCCAGACACCGAATGTGCCGCCTGCTGCAGAGGGAGATGGCACTGCATATCCCAAATCTTCGTCCCTTCTTCCGGCCACACAACATACGCATCACCTCGAACAAACTGCCGACCACACGGCCACCCATACCTCAACGACATCGAAAGAACCACCTCTTCATGCACATTATGCACTACATCGCGAATTCTATGCTAAGCGTATGCGCATGTTCCAGCCAAAAAAACGCACGGTGCCTGTATTTCCAGAGGTGCCAAGATCCTAGAGTTACGACACCACATCCATGGCTGCATTCTCGGCGCTAGTTCCGCTGGCAAGCTGACGGGCCGATGAGCGTGCGTCCAAAAAGAGCCCATTTGTTTGGCTCACGTCGTCAATGGTGATTTCTGAGCGGCCAGCCACATTCGCAAGGACCGAAGCAGGTGCCAACAACTGCAAGGCAAAGCGCAAAGACGTGCGTGTGCCAAGTTCTGTCAATTTTGTAATGGCATCATCACTCACGGCAATACCCTCAGTTGCTGTGCGAATACGTATGACTTGCCGGATTTCTTCATCTGAGTACGGCAACGTACGCACAATCATACAGCGGTCAAGAAGGTCGAGTGGGATGCCATGCGGTGCGACAATTCCAGCACTCAAACCACCGTCAAACTCAGTCCCGCGTACAGTCGACTGGCCACGGTTTGTTGTGAGGATCACGTGTGGACTAATTGTAGATTCAAGCGCTCGGTTCAAGTACGTAAAACACTCCATGTCGAGCATGTGCACTTCATCAATAAACAGGACACCTGGCACAAGTTCGGCAATGCCTTGTTGAATATATTTGTCGACCACTCGGTTAATTTCGTTGCGCAGCTTGTCAGTTACTTCCGTGCGGCGACCTTTGACCAGCTGACCCACAACACTCATGATATCCTGTCCGCCCTGTGGCTTCGCATTGGCCATGTCAAGATCATGAAGTGTCACGTCCTGCACGACCTCTTTCCGTTTCTGCACATCTCCCTTCGGGAGAGCCACATATTCATCTGCTTCCAGATCGAATTCTGTTGCATAAGCATCGGAGCGACCAACCCGCTTCACAGCACCCGTGTTGGCCTCGATATAAATAACATCGCCGACTGCAATTCGCTCCTTTAGTATGCTCTCATAAATGCTGGGATCAAGGCGCAACTGTTTCGTTCCCTTGACTGTCTTGAGTGCAATAACCACATGCACGATGGTCTTTCCGTAGCCGGACAACGGGTTTTCCATTTCCGTCGGCGTCAACTCTGTAAGCTCACCTTCATACACCTCTTTCGTTTCACGCACACGAAGGCCAATTGCGCGGCGAAAATTTTCCATAAGAACCTCAGTTTTCTTCACTTCAGAACTGTACACTTCAGACCCGACCATAGGACAAAATGGCACTTTGTGTCCAAGCTCGTGTGCCATACCTAGAGCAAGTGCTGTCTTTCCTGTGCCGGGCCCACCGGCAAGCAACAAGGCACGACCCGCGAACTTTTTTTGTCGGATTAAATCGAGAATAAGACCGCATGCCTCGCGCGCTGACCGTTGGCCTACAAACCCGCGAGCGCTTGGGAGTGCCATGCCATGCTCATCAAGGCCGAGACCCTTGATGTGAGAGTGTGTAGCAATACGCGCTTCACGCGAGCTCGAGGAACTTGTGCTGGAAATTGAAACGGCTCCAGCACCTGTGCTGGATGGCCCTGTTGTGCTGCTGCTCATGATGGCAGTCTAACGATGCGACAAAGTAATGAGTCAAGCACAAGTACTCGCCCACGTCGGCGACGAACGACTCTTTCGTCACATTGTGACGACACTTGGACTTGGGTTTCGATGCCCACGTGGACCCACGTGGACATCGACAAATTTTCTATTCCTTTTTTTTTCCCTTGCATAGCAAGTTTCCACACAAGCACTAGAGGGCTCTGAGGGATCCAGGTTTCCTCACCTCCTTCCTCATAGTCGTGGAGCATGGCCAAGGTTTTTGGTGAAGATATCCTGCCACCTTCAGCTGCTAAGAAGGAGCTCGGATCATATGAAAACCGAGATGGCTTGAGCATTGGAGAGCTAATTGACTCCCGCAAGAATGGGGGTCTTACATATAATGACTTCTTGGTGCTCCCTGGCTACATTGATTTCCCAGCCTCTAAGGTTGATCTGCGAACACGCGTAACGAAGGACATCGTGTTGAATACGCCCTTTATTTCGAGTCCTATGGATACGGTCACGGAAGTCAATATGGCCATATCTATTGCTCTTATGGGCGGTATGGGTGTGATCCACAACAACATGTCACCACAAGAACAAGCAGCCATGGTGCGCAAAGTAAAGATTTTTGAAAACGGCTTTATCACTGAACCGCTTGTTCTGAGCCCCCGTGAGACGGTTGGTGATGTGCTCGAAATCAAGGAACGTTTAGGGTTCGCGGGCATTCCTATTACAGGTACGTGTATGGCTTTGCGTGAGCAAGGGGGAATAAAGCCAAACGGGTTATGAAGCGGGACACATCAAGATGAAAACTTTCTCACTGCTGTAACCTTCGTTCTGCGAAGGTCACACCTGAGTTGGGTGTGTCGATGCAGACTCCTTTGTTTACCTATGTCCGCTGATTCGATGTGGTCCGGCTCATTCAATCCCTAGGCTTATTGAAGGGCGCCCTTTCCTCGCACGTTGTATAGTCTCAGGACATGCTTACTTACTTGGCAGAGACGGGTTCATTGAAGAGCAAGCTTGTGGGTATTGTGACGGCTCGTGATATACAGTTCCGTGATCCATCGACGCCACTTATTGAAGTGATGACGCGTGAGCTTGTGACAGCGCCCACAGGTATCACGCTGGAAGAAGCAAACTGCATTCTGCGTGATAGCAAGAAAGGCAAGCTTCCTATTGTGAATGCCGAAGGTGACTTGATTGCGTTGCTCGCTCGCTCCGACTTGATGAAGAACCAGGACTATCCACTTGCATCGAAGCGACCCGACAGCAAACAACTTTACTGTGCAGCAGCCATTGGAACACGCCCGCACGACCGTGAGCGACTTGCTATGCTGGAAGAAGCTGGTCTGGACGTCGTTGTGCTGGACTCTTCGCAGGGAAACTCGACGTACCAGGTAGAAATGATCCGCTGGATCAAACAGACATACCCCAAACTGCAAGTTGTTGCTGGCAATGTCGTCACTCGTGAACAGGCTGCAACACTCATCGAAGCAGGTGCTGATGCTCTACGTGTTGGAATGGGTAGTGGATCCATTTGCATTACACAAGAAGTCATGGCTGTGGGTCGTCCGCAAGGCACAGCCGTGCGCCAGGTGGCCGAATATGCTAAGCGTTTCGGCGTGCCAGTAATTGCTGACGGTGGTATTCAAAACGTGGGACACATTGCCAAGGCGCTTTGCCTTGGTGCGAGTGCTGTGATGATGGGTGGCCTTCTGGCTGGTACAACAGAGAGTCCTGGTGAGTACTTCTACCGTGAGGGGCAGCGATTGAAGGGATACCGAGGTATGGGCTCTATCGAGGCCATGGAACACCAGAGCAAGAAGCGTCGCTTCGATGGTGCTACGGGTCGTGCAACAAAGAAAGTCGAGCAGGTCGGTACCGATGTTTCGGCTGAGAATGCGGCGACACAGCGCTACTTCTCAGAAAGCGACGCTGTGAAGGTGGCCCAGGGTGTGTCAGGCTCCGTTCAGGACAAGGGTAGCATCAAGAAGTTCTTGCCATATCTGTACACGGGCTTGCAGCACTCGCTCCAAGATATGGGCGTACCGAGTGTCGATGCCCTGCGCGATTCTGTGACATCAGGTGCTGTGCGCTTTGAGCTGCGGACTGCAAGCGCTCAGCTCGAAGGCGGGGTCCATGGCTTGATGCACTATGAAAAGCGTCTGTTCTCGTCGTAGGCCATATTGTATCACATGTAGTGCACGTGACTCTGAATGCTGCCCCGCCTAGCGTGTGATTGTCGGTGGAAGTGAAGTGGGAATCTATCGAGTTTATGTAGTGGCGAGTCATCCACCCTGGCTTCCACTGGCACCTACGTACACAGCAGGCATTCGAGCGCGCGATAGAGAAGCGAGCAGGGATGGGAGATAATTCGCATGATGCGACGCCTCTAAAGCGGATCAAAACAGAGAACCCCTTGGATGAACTCATGCTGCGTGTGCCAACGTCGTCACGGCCCAGTCTCTCGCCTCAGCCAGGATATGGTGGCCATGAATCACCCATGACAACTATGTCACCCACGAATTCTTGATCGTCTCGCCAACCCTTGCTGCTCAACGGAGTGAAACGAAGAGCGGGATACCGTTCCCTTCCCGAATAGACAATGCCACTCTACATGCAGCTGTTTCTCAGGGCAGCCCGTCATCCTCCTCTCTGCCCCTCTCGCTTCAACGGTTACAAGCAATGCGTCAGCAACAACAACAGCAGCAGCAGCAGCAACAGCAGCAGAACTCTCAACATCAGCCTCAGCAACCCCCACAACAACAGCAGCAACAACAACATCAATCTCATTTATCCCGATTCTCCCCTTTGCCTGCGGGCCAAAATCAATCTTCAGCGCAGTCGCAGTCCACGTCACAGCCCTCTCAAGTGCCTGCATCCAGTTCTAATCCTCAAGGCTCAAGCTACGACCAGTTAATTGATGTTATGGGCTATAGCGGTGTGGACTTACGTGCAGAAGAAGCGTTTATCCAACAAAATGGAGCCCATTGGGATGATGCGCACGCTGCCTCTGTCATCAACTCTGCCGGACTTGCACATGCTTTATACCTAAACGTATACCCTTTGTCCAGTATGGTGCACCGGATCGCTAAGCAATATGGGTTGAAGGTGGACGCAACTACTCTTGATTACCTCTCGGTTGCAACCCGAATGCGATTCCGTAATCTACTAGAGTCCATGATTCGTGCATCCCGACACCGTGCGTGGTCTTCACATCAACGAAATCCACCAATGTACTCGGAGTTGCTCCCGGATGGATCTCAGAAAGCGATGTATCATGAAGAAATGCTATCGAACCCCATGAAACAACTAGCTGGAATCGAGAAGGCCGAACGTATTGAAGAAGGTAACTGGCGTCGAATGCGCATTGAACGCGAAGAAAACGAAGCAGCTGCCATGGAAGCTGGTGGCGATGATGCAACTCCGAAAAATAAGAAGCGATCGAGCACATCCTCTCGTAATTTGTCCGAAGACGTGAGAAAACGACTTGCCGATAGCACGGCTATGCGACATCTGGGTGCTAATAACGTGACATCTAAATATTCCTGGCTTCAGTCGCCAGCAACCCGCACACCCTCTCGTGTGCGTGAGACCGGTGAGCAACAATCGCACCAACAGCAAGCAGAGTCAACAAGCTCGCCCAAAACGAACTCGTCCTTACCAAAACCAAAATTCGCACCTAGTGCAGGCCTCCGTGCTCCAGCAGCGCAAGCTGCTCATGCAGGTGCATGGAGTGACGTCGCCATGCGTCAAGCAGCAAAGAGAGAACAGGAACGTATTGCGCGCGCTCGGGTGACCATGCATGATGCTTTGGCAGCTCTGGAGCGAGAGCAGGCTGGAGGTGCTGGCCATGGCGCAAGAAGGCGAGCTCTGTATCTGGCACAGGCCTACGGAGGCAGCCGCGGCTTTTCGTAAGGATTCAGTCTATACATTCCATTTCTATTACCTCGTGCGTATTTGCATACAAAGCATAAGACGGTCCTGAAAAATTGGAAATTCTGATCACGTTCCTTTGAGTAGACATAGCAATGTGATAGTCCATGCGTTCTCTGAGACATGTCATTCTTGCCAACTTTAAGAATGCGATAAGCACCGAGATTTGAGTAGCTAAGATTAGTACAAGCCACAACACATTGTAAGGTCTCTTCAAGTTACTCGCGAAAAAGACGAGGTATCTGCAGCAAACATACTCAACGAGATGGCCTGCGTCAGACAGTGCGACGTAATGAAAGAAAATTCATACAGCAAATGCGTAAATACAATTGTAAAAAACGCGTAAAGAGGCAAGACACGAACAAAGATATCCACAGCCACTGGTTCAAGAAGCATCAAGACTTCGTTATTGTTCCAACATAAAAAAGCACGCTTACGATGACGTATCGCGCATCTGCAAAAGTTCCCATTTAATCACCAGACTCCTCCTGCTCGGACATCTCCTCGCTCTCCTCTTCACTGCTTTGGGCTTCCATTAGTCGAATAAGGTCCTCATACTCTTTGCGCTCAGGTGGACGGCCTTCCGCCGAAGCAAACCACCAATCTCCCATGCAGAAACCTTCCGTAATGGTGATGGCTTCCAAAGGGTTACAATCGCACTTGCCACTTTGGTGGTATTTTTCCTCACCTAGCGGGCAATGACCCATTCCGCCATGCGAATAGCCAATATCTTTGAAATGATACACTTGCGTGCGATTCAAAAAGAGTGATGCGGCAATGCTGTGGACTGGTGCATCGCCCCAACGTTCATAGAAAAATCCACCGGAATCATCGAGATGTTTGAAATAATCTTTATACTGCTTGCTCCGGAAGAAGCGCAGGTCGCCAATCTCGAAGTTACTCCAGAAATGACACATATTGTAGCTTGAGTCCTCCAAGTTATCATCATCAATTATAAAGTACTGTGCATTGTCAGGCGCCAAATACTCGGGGTGCTTTTTTACAAAATCCAGGGTAGTTTGCCAAAGAGTGGGAATAGTAGTGTCAATTTCGACCATCGCAATTGTGAAGCCATAAGCTTTGTTGTTGATCTTCATAAACATGAAAGGGTCATAGTCAATGTCACAGGTGAGGTGCACATTAGGCTCAACACGCCAATAGTACTCAAGATCGAGTTGGTATGTGAGCGGGTGTTCGAAAAAGAAGCCGCTTTGCCATCGGCACATGTGCCGGTATGATTCCGATCCAGCATATGGTGCGCCTAGCTTCATCATTTCGACTCGACTCTCAAATGCTTTGAACTGGTCAATCCAATCCGGGTAGCTCCAGTGCTCTTTTGGTACTTCGCCGAAATAAACAGGCGCACGAGTGTGTTTCCGCACCTCCCGTTTAAACTGGTTCGTAAAAGGTTTGTCGTTCAAAAACACCCATGGGTAGTTGTATTTGCGATTAAAACGAAACTCATCTGATATGTCAGTACGATATAAACTAGTTCTCAGACACGTACATTCTTGCATACTTTGCACCATGCCTTCAAGCTCGTCATTACGGACGAGAGCAATGAACGCAGCTTTCGCTCGAGGTGCCTGATTCACAGTTGCGGCATTGAACTCAGGTGGTCGATAGTTTCCCTGTTCATCCTTAATGGCATAACGCCCGATGCTATAGACACTAGCATTTTTTGCGAGAGCATTGTATGTTTGATCTTCGGCATAGGGGGATGACAGGCATACTTGATTCCGTAAATACGATGGCAGTTGTCTCAGCCGAGTGCGGATATGCTTAGAAGAGTTAAATGAAGTAACAGAGAAGAAGGAAGATATAAGCACGACTGTGACGACTGTAGCCAAAAGAATCAGCAGCCTTTGAGGCCGCATGATCAGTGACCTCAACATGATATGCGACAGAAAAAAATGACAATACTACTTTACCCCCCTCCCTGTTTGGAATAGCAGCGTAACACTGCACTATCTTGAGATCTTTAATACCGTAGAAATAGAGCGTGCAGATTCCAAGTGAGCCTCCACATGAGAAACTCTGCCATGCACAAGCTATTGGATTTTACTTTCACGTGAAGATGCACTGGAGCGAATTCGACGAGATGCAGCGAATCGGCCATCAAGGAATAGGCTAATCATGTTAGCAAAGCTCAACCCCTGTAAAATTAGGTCACAAAGAGGCGCGCTCATTGGACCTATAGCAAACTAAGCTGAAGCACACGGGCGGTTTAGTCACACCATTTTTTCTCATAAAAATTATGTACGGTCAAACATAGCCTGTACACGATTCAGTAGAGCAGCAGGGAAAGCGCGAGCTTTCATACGAGTCAGTATAGCTTGTGCTCGATCAGTGTGGCCATAAGCAAGCTCAGCACGAATCATCGCTTCGTAGGTACTTGGCTCACGGTTAACGAGCGCTCCCAACACATTGGCCCGATCCGGGGCATGTTCCTGTCGGCTGGAGTGAGCGGGGAGTCGTTCACGCCGTATACCTAAAGCGCCAGCGCCATGATGCCGCGGCAAATGGTTACCAGCAGCAGCAATGCCAGCTGGCGGATCAATCATAGCATCAAATACGCGGCGAGCCTCGACAAGTCCCATTGGCCCATCTTGTGCGTAGCCTTTGATTAAAAGATTCGCAATGTATGCGGTTGGCCATATGCCCTGACTGACCATGCGCGCAAGGTAAGTCGGCATGAGATCTGTGCGGCCATGTGCAACAAAAACAGCAAACAGAGCCTCAAACACGACGGCATCAGGCACAGTAGATAGAGGCGCATTGCCACGCGGGATTCTTGGCGCTCGATTCGCGATTGACTCAAATGTTTCCATCGCACGCTCTAGATCATGTAGCACAACACCTTGGGTATGAATGAGCGATGCCCAGTGCGTGCCTTGCACGCCGACCAGGCGATCAGCCGATAGACGAGCAAACACGGCTTGCTGACGATCAGGTTGTACAGGCTCGATAGTGCCCCATGCATCAAGAAGCAGCTTATAGGTGTGCGCGCTAGGTCTTACACCTGCTTGTTGCATTTTTTCGTAATAATGCAACGCTTTGTCGCGATTCATGACGGAGTGAACATAATACTGGATCATGGTATTGTACGGAGGCACGCGTGGTTGGAACATCGGCTGGGCTTCCATTTCTGCAAATAGCTGAGTCGCACGCGCCTCATCCCCAGTGCGAACACATGCATTGATAGCAGCTCCATACGTTACACTGCTAGGTCGCAAATTTGATGTTTGCATTGTATCAAACAGTCGAAGTGCTTGTTCGACTTTTCGTGCACGCGATAGTTTGGAAATGATGGTGTTGAATAGATACGTTGTTGGACGCACACCCAAACGCTGAGATTCGTTGAAGAGCTCTTCCGCGACGATCGCGTCATCTGTACGTTCCTGGATTGTGGCAATTAGTGCCGCGTATGCGCTAGCGCTAGGCACCTGATTTGCAGCAATCATGCGGAGTCGATGGGCATTGGCACGCTGGCCTAACATTGCATGAGATAAAGCAGTGATCATTCCATCCTCGAGCTGCGTCCATTGTTGCGTTCGCCAGTGTTCATCTGATGGCTTGGAAGCAAGGACGTGTAACGCCATATCGTACAACTCGTCGATTTGATCGACTTGAGCACTGCGTCCAAACGCATTAATTAATACGGCAAGCGAAGATGGTGTCGGATATTGACCATGTTGAATATTGTCCTTGAGCCGATCATACAAGTCGGTGGCATGTTCCTCCTGATTATGTGGACGTGCAAGACTTTGAATCGCCTGTGTTAAGACCTGATCAATGGATTTAACAGGCGGCAGGTGAGGCGAAAGCCTTCCCTCCAAAAACAGCGCCTCCATGGGTTTAGTCGGCTGAGACAAAGGGGCCTTGGACGGCGTGGGCGATGAAGGAGAAGAGGCCCTTCTGGGTGCGGATGACGATTCAGCTGTCGAGTTGCTAAGCCAGCCCTGCGTAATAATGGCACCATCAGGTCCATACTTGGCCTCGAGCATAGACTTGATAAGTTCCAAATCCAAATTCGGAGGCCGTGGCAAGCGAGACACTTCGGCTAAAAGCTTGCCAAGGCCCGTATATCCATCTGGACCGGGATACGTACTTGGACTGCTCTTCTCCACCGAACAAAAAACATCTACAATTCGCTTCCACGCGGCTTCATCAAGATCTAGTGGTGCAAGGTCGCCGTGCAAGTCTCGGCTCGCAGCTTCATACTGCCGCACAACAGCCGTGTTAGTTGTGCCGACCAAAGAGCCAGAAAGGCCTGCCATTGCCGGCAGAACAAGCGACGATAGCGCAATGAGACGAACACACGAACCGCTGAGAGCATGTGGCGCTGATGCCGCCGCATCAGCAATCGCCATCGGCAAATGGCACGCGTCACACATGAGACTGACAACAGCTGGCGACGATGCATCGCTATGTCTCAACGCTAAAGTGCTGAGCTGGAACAGCTGTCCTGCACGCTCAGCATAGCCGTGCATGGAGTTGTGCGCAGCAAGACGCAAGATGGCGGATACAGGCGCGGTTTGCTGACGCGATGCTAGAGGATGGTCCGCATCGTGCGAACAAAACAATAGTCGTGCAAGTTTTTCTAATACCTCGTAACAAGACCTTATATCAGAGGCATTAAGCGACCGTTCCACTTTCCGCATTTCGAGCACGGATGCGAGGTTTGTCACGCACCTCGACGCAGCAGCATGCAAACCGGTGGCAGGTGCATCACGAGCAATCAATATGCGCCCCACATCCCGCATAAGCAGAGCTGCATCCGTGGATGGTGTATGAATCGCTCCGGATACAGCGCATTCCAACGCCTCCGAGCTCGGTGCGGGCATGTGAGATGCATCCAGATGATACAACCATTCAATCGCAGCACGGGCGTCACCGACGTGAACAAAGCCCATAACCATGTGACTGACAATCTGTTCGTCAATGGCAGGCACAGAAGGCTCTTTTGTGGATTCAGCAATCATCCGCTCAAAGAGAGCGACAGCACCAAACACATCCCCTAGCACAAAGTATGCATCGATCATCGTCGCCCACACGTCGGCGCATCGCTCCAAACTGCATTCATCAGGCCGAGCATCCTTGCGTGACACCATTGAGACAACATCTTCAAACGCCCGGAATATCTGTAAGCAGGCTTCGAGGCAATGTTTTTGTCGGTCCTCGAACGAATGTCCAGATAGGGTGGGAACGGCGTCACTCATGAACACCTGTAACAGAAGACAGTAAGTGTCAGTGTCTTTGATAACGCAAAAACAGCTCTCCATGAGCGACAGAACCGACACAGCCTTATCTATAGCACCGCGGGGAATACAGCAGCGTAAAAGCTGATTGAAAAGAGTTGTCGAACTCGGTAGCTTCTTTGCACCGTACGCATCGGTGGTCACTTGCAGTGCCAGGCCGAAATAGTCAGGGTATTCAGCATAAGAACCAGGACGTCCATACAGTTCATGGTCACGCTGACACAAAAGATCCGTCAAAACAGCATATACACCCTCGGTAGGAGATGGACCATGGTGGCACATGTACGCATAGAGCGCATGGATGGCATCGACATCGGTGTTAGGTTGTCGCACACGTGCCGCGGCAGTGACAAGCGCTTCTGCACCCGCAGCACTTTGCACGTCCTGAGAAAGCGCTTGGTACGACTTGAACAACGCTTCGATATCCGCGTCAGCTTGCATCTGTTCGATGAGAGCTTTCTCTTCGGAGGAAATACTTCGATCAGTGCCGATGTTCATGGACGAAGGAATCCCAGGCTTCACGTTGTTAGGGAAGAGTGTAGCTACAGTGTTGCGGGAACGCACTCGTGCACGCTGGTCTTCATAGGTAATCGGCTCGCCCAAGTTGACGGAGTAACGTCGATGACTCAAGGCTCGCGACGCATGGCCCTGCGAGAATGAAGTCTAAGGCAAGTGTAAGAGATATGTTGAACACAAGAGCGCACGTACAGATTCATCATGGAGATCGGATAGGCCCTGATTGGATGATCCAAGGGCTCCCGATCGGAGCCTTTGCGTAACATATAGGGTATCTTTCGGAGTACGCACGGTGTCGGCGGACGGCCGGTCTTCCGACAGATGGTCTTCTAACGAAGGGAGCAAAGATATATACGGTGAAGGCTCATTTAGGAAATACACCGATGAGTCCGCAAGCCTAGCTGAGAGTGGCATGGGATCTCGTTGCGAAACGAGATCCTGAGTAGTTCGAATCAAAGAGAAATAGTGGTGTGTATGGGGGATTATCAAACATGCTGATCTTTGGCGCGCCAACCAATGCTGACGTTAGGCATTCGTGGAAGTGGAGGTTGACCAAAGTTCGGCTCTGTGACAGGTCCAATGCATGCGGTCTCCATTCTATTTGGCCGTAGGCATATGCACAAGGACCGTACGCGGGCTCAAAAAAGATGAATCGAAGAATGGCGTCTTCGAATTACTACGTTGAAGAGTGTCTTGCCAAGCATCTATTGGCCCTTTGTTCTCATGTAAAATATTGTCAGCTAGCCTTTTGTGCGCTATATTTAGTTAAGCAAGGCATCACACTGGACCAAGGGGTCCTGGAAGAGATCAATCAGCATTTAAAAATTAAAGTATTTCATATCGTAAATGAATGAAACTTGTTGTAAAATTGCCAAAAATCACGCGCTGCTGAATCCATTTTTTTCTATATTACTCGAACGTGGTCCGCTTTCCTTCTGAGGGAACAATGCCATAGGTCTGACGAGGCGCCGATGCATTCGCTGCACCTGGTCGGACACGGCGCGGCTGGGTTGATTGTTTGCGACGAGATACGGATGCATCCCAGTGCGCGGTTCCACCTTGATCTGCACCAGCATCATCGTTTTGTTTGTTGGCGTCCGCACTAGCATCATCCTCCATCGAATCCATTTCCTTAGAGTCCGCTGCGTGTGAACGTCGCCGACGCCGCGTGGGTACATAGTCCGGTAAAAGGTCTTTAGATGCGCCTCGCCGCACAGCATCCTGTCCGGCGAATTCGAGCTGAAGGGACCGCCCCAACAAGCGACTATTCCGTGGTTCAATGAGCGCTTTCGTGGCGAGTGTGGCAGAGTCGAAATCGATGAACGCAAATCCCTTGCACTTGCCTGAGTCTTCAAAGGTCCCCATGCGAATTTTTCGGATACCCGCAGCACCATCTACAGGTGCTGGATTTGATTCATCAAACGACGACGCTTCTTCATGTCGCCGACGTGCTGAACCTTCGAATAGGTCGAATATATCGGACTCTTTTGTCTCGAAGCTCAGGTTCCCAACGAACAGAGTCGGCGCTGGTGGACGGGTCTGGCTTCGAAGAATGCGCTGCGCCGTCTTAGTGAGACCTGTGTGACCTTGTCTGTCAATGCTAGAAATGCTTCCTAGTTCCGCGGCAGTAGGGTCCAAGCCAGGCCTGCCACGAAAGTCGGTCCCACTCTTGATCAATAAATTCCGCCCCCCCAGCTGCGATTCGGAAAGTGCCACACACCGCTCAACCTGATCTTCCGAAGGCAAATCGACGTACGCAAATCTAGAATATAAGAGTGGAAAACTTTCGATCTCTAACGTACCCTTTGTTGTGCTCGAATTTTCGTGCACCAGATGTCATGTGTACACGGCTTATGCCCTCGATGCCCTGATCTTGAAGCCACTCAGTTAAATCGTCCGCAGAGGTGGAAAATGCTAGGTTTCCGATCCACACGCTATAAGCACTGCGTTGCGGCCGACTTGGGATAGGCGCTGATGATTCTGTCGACTGCGATGCTGAAGCGACAGCTTGCTTTTCCATTTTGCGTCGCTTCCGTCGTTCCTTATGTGAAATAGCTTCCACTTCCTCAGTTTTATCTTCTTGTGCATTTTCATTGTTGTCTTTATGCTCCATGCCAGGGTGTTCGTTTGAATCCAGACTTGAAGAAGCGTTGGTCGTAAGAGTTTCTTCTTTTGCTCGCTTTTTTGACACTTTTTCAGGTGAATCTATCTGTGTTTTTTTCATCGCCAGCTCCTCACGTTCCTTTTTTCGCTCAGCCTTACGCGCAATGCGGCGTTCCTTGTTTGTGAGCTCTGGTGTTGCACTCATACTTGATGAATGAATGGCCTCGACGTCCCCGCTGGTTGGCGACGAAGACATCGATGGATGGAGCATGAACTACGAAATACAAATGCTCCGCTCCACTTCCTCCAGAAGCTCGAGATTGTCCCCAAATTTTCATCACTATGAAAACCCTTTTATTTACCGTAGCGTCCGGTGTGTGTTAGTTCGGGCTGCCGCATCAACGAGACCAAAAGCAACTTGGTCCATTTCATCCGTCTGAATAGCCGGTCTTTGAGCCAGTTTTCGAAAGCGTCTCGAGGGGCTGGGTGTATTAGCAACTAATAAGGTATCATGCGATTCATCACTGCTCGTCACGGTAGATTTGAGGCTGGATTTACGGGATGTCTGTTTTTGAGAGCCTGGCGATACATTCACATAATCATGGTTTTCAGCAAGAAACTGGGATGGGGCCGCGGGTGACGCTGCATCTTCACTTTCGTCACATGCACTAGATTCTGCAGAGGATGGTTCATGCTCAACAGCTTGCGAGAGGCGAGCAAACAGATCAATTTTCCGGTCCATGAAAGCGTCGCTTGCATCGATCTCTGCCTGAAGTTGACGCTCATAAAAACGTTGCATATTTTTTAGACCAGCTTCCAACTGTTGCCCCATTTCGTCACGCACATTCTTTTCCACAATTCGACATAAATTCTCGGCGCGTTCACAGCGTAGGCGCAAGCGCTCATTTTCAGCAAGAAGCATATTTACGAACTCATCTTGCTCCTCATCGTCGTTGTCGACGTCATCATCAGACGTATTGAGTTTCTCTGTGTTGAAACTAGCATCTAAGCCACTTGCATCAGGTGCATCTGAAACGTGTTGCGATCCTAACGAGTCAGAACAAGACGTAGATGGTCCGACGGTGGCCGTTGACGCAGGAGATGAAACTTGGATACCCACTTCTTTTGCCATTGCGCTGAACCGCATGACATTAGAACTTTCTTCGAAGCCTGTGCCAGAAGGATTGACATTCACAATCATGATGACCTTGCCGTCACCCATAAAGAAAGACTGGAATAGCTCTGTGAGTTTTGAATGCCGGAATGGCACAATGCTTGGTCGCCTTTTCCGTGACTCTTCAGAACGAGATGAAGAGAGCGATGCGCCGATACCTGCTCGGGCCTGGTTTTTGCGCATCGTTTCAAGGCATTGCCCTAAACACATAAGACTTTTGTTAATGCTGCCGGCCTCTTTAAGACGTGGACCTGTTGAAATATCAGTGTTAGAGATTCGCTCGCTTCCAGCTAGATCTACTATGCTTAGACGCGACACAGAATACTTGCGAGAAAGACCAGCGCTATCGCTGCTCGCAAATTCGACGCTCGTATTTTCTCGCAGGATTTTGATTGTAAAGACACTGTGTGAGCGTGAACTGGATTGGTTCGCCATCGTCCCGAAGACGGAACGGTTCTCTTGACCACACCGGAGCAGCTCACGGGCTTCTTGGATATTGTTAACTTTGATTTCTTTGAGCCCGCTCACGTATTTGCCCCCGGTTTCCGCTTCGCTCTTTAGTAGAAGCGGTCTACGTGCTGCTGCTGGGACGGATGGAGAGGCTAGAGCGCCTAGATCTGTGTCAGCGCCCGGCACGTCATGTTCCACACGAGACAGCAGCGATGGCGTGGGTGATTCGAGCAGATCATACAACTTTTCGTTATACACCTCAACATAGCTCACCCATACGCTGTAACGGACATTTTCAAGAACGTCGACTTTTGTAGCGTGATTCTGCCATGACTCGTCTGATTGCTTCGCTGTATCTGAGATCCCTGTGTTGATGGCATTGGCGATGTCAATAGAGGTACTGCCTTGTCCCATTATCGGATTCAGACGCTGCTTGAGTCTGGTGCGTGGGCGTATACGACCGGAAAGCAAGCTTTGACTGGGATCCGATACACCCGGTTGAACGCCATTCAGGCCCATTGGCCGCACGGCCTTCGTACATTCGCGTCCATGGATGCTATTGAAGATGACATTCAAAGCACGAGGAAGGATCCCAGCTTCTCCATTTCGCGAAAGGCCTTGCACTGTGTATGTTTTTCCTGAATTGGTAACACCATATGTGAAGACAAGACTGTTCTTTCCCTTCAACACATCCTGTACAAGAGGCAACGTCGTCATTGTGAAGAAATCTGCCTGCACCTGGCTGCGAGACGCGTTATTTTCTTCCTGAAGATGAGGTGCAAATACGTGTGAGAATGTATACTTCACTGGTGCTGCAGGGTTGGTTCGTAAGCGTGACTTGGATAGCGAAACTTCTGGCGGCGCATGCATCATCACTTGTGTATCAGAGAGCACTTCGACATATGATGGCGCACTTGATTCACGGTTGTCGCGTTCATCAATGGATGGCGGTCGGATCCGCAAATAGGTTTGAATCGGCTCACTCGGCACACTGACTTCGGTTGGTCTAGCCACATTCATGCCACTAGGTGTCCGAAGACTTGGCATGGCCATCTGTGCACTCATATTTCCAGAAGCGGGGCCATTTCCATAGGCTATGGCTGAACGCTTCAGCGGAGACGTTTCTTTCTTGGGCGAGAAGCCTCGCTGGTCCATCGATTCTATGGCTTCACCGCGATCGAATCGTAGCCAACTCAGACCAACACTCGAGTGCCTCGAATATCTCAGCAACCAACAACCAACACACACACGCATGAAAGTGCGTGTGTGCGCATCAAGGGTCCACGCGTCTAAAATCACGTGACCAGATATTTGCGCGAAGGGATGAAGTCGACGTGATGTGTGGTGGATCGGAGGGCTTGGCGGCAAAAGGCGACTGCTGTGTTCAGGCACATGTGTATGTCCGCGAACGGAAGGCGTGTGGTGCACTTGGGGATTTTTTCCAGGCAGCGAATGCGGCGACTGTCGTCCTATCGAGCCGTGGTGTCAAGATGCACGCGGGCATTCTCCAATGCGAGCACGCCCCCGACATGTGGGCAGCCACTTCCGCACACGCATCCACACCTGTTTCCCATTGATTTCCGGCGTGGCACAGATGCGTCGAAGGGCGGGGGTGTAGCGATGGACCACCTGACGCCGGGGATCCCTGCCTCCGAATATGAGGACCGACGGCGACGGCTGATGGAACGTCTGCCACCCAAATCGGTTGTCGTGCTGATGGGTGGGCGTATCAAGTACATGTCACGTAATATTTTTTACAAGTTCCGGCAGGAGTCCAACTTTTGGGTACGTAAGAAAGTCGTAAGTGCCTACGCGTGGGGCTATGCGTGTTACTAGGCGTGCCTCAGTGAACGTGTGAATGCAAACGTGTTTGGACGCATGCATGCGTGTGCACATAATGGATGAACATTGGTTCTCACCATCAATGCAGTACTTGACGGGCATGCAAGAGCCTGATGCAGCACTTGTCTTGGAAAAGACGGGTCATGGTCCACGCGGTTATAAAATGACCATGTTTGGTACGTGCGAGAGGTTTACAGGCCGTGTCTGAATACAGACAGGAACCTACTGACACGCAGTCGAACCGCGGCAACTTCATAAGGAGGTGTGGGATGGCCCTTCCTGTGGTATGGAAGGTGCTACACGCATCTTTGGCGCAGACGAAGCGCTTCCCAATGATCCATCTGTCATGTTGCAATTTTTCAAAACGGCAGCAGCTCATGCTGAGCAATTGTATGTCGACTTGCCGGCACAGGTGTCGACCCCACGGCAGAGCCTGCGGTCTCCGCGCTTTAGTATCCACGAGTTTCTCGCTCCGTCCTCGCCATCAGGCTATGATATGTTTGTGCGCAAGACAGATTTCGATAACGTCGTTAAGCTGCTATCTGATCGACGAAACACGCACTCTCTCGAGCGAGAGATGGACGTGCTTCGGAGTTGTAAGAGCGAGAATGAAATCAAGGTCATGCGACAGGCTGGTGCGATCAGTGGCAAGGCCATGTCACAGGTCATGCGAGCCGTGCAGCCTGGCATGGAGGAAGCCTCAAGCACAAGCCCTTTTCGAGTATGAATGTGCGCTCCGTGGCGCTGATCGACAGGCCTATGTGCCAGTATTTGCGTCTGGAAAGAATGCGTTGATGATCCATTATGTGCGGAACGACTGTGTGATGGGCGAACGAGACGTCATGTCGGTCGATGCCGGGTGTGAATTCCGTGGTTATGCTTCCGACATTACACGAACGATGCCCACGTCAGCGGATGGCCGATTCACATCTCCGCAGCGGGACTTATACGAGGCATTACTCCGTACGCTGAAAGGATGCACAGCACTTGCTACAGCTCGCCAGGGATATACGCTCTCGGCTCTGCATCGACGAAGTGTGGAGATGTTACATGCAGAGCTACGGGATCTTGGCTTCCACTTGGGCTTTGGCACACTGGAACGTATCCTGTATCCACACTATATTGGACACTGGCTCGGTATTGATCTGCATGATACAAGTACGATCGAGCGCTCCACACGCCTACAAGAAGGCATGGTTCTGACCATCGAGCCGGGCATATACGTGCCTGATGACCCCGCGTATCCAAAGGCATTCCGCGGCTTGGGTATGCGTGTGGAAGATGACGTGGCTGTTGGGTATGAGGACAATTTGGTACTGAGTGCAGAAGCACCAAAAGAAGTCGCCGACATTGAAGCCGTGTGTGCACAGCGTGTGTAATACTGTAGGCGAGGAAGAAGAGAGGGTGAGGGCAGGATGGGCGGGGTCATCACGTCGAGATGTGTGAACAAAAAGTGTATATTAGCATCCTCCATCGGCGCATCATAGCAAGTCAAAGTCATCCAGCTCGTCATTGTAGTTCGCAATGGCACGACGGATCTTAGACGTATCGACCCATGTGACAAAGTCCTCCATCGACCGCGTCACAAGAAACGCTGGGTCTGTTATAGTATCAGGGCCAACACGCACATGTCCCTGCTCGACATACTTGACAGCCTGTGATACACTTTCACTCATGTGAAGACGCACCATCACAACAGGTAAACGCCGTCGGCAAAATGCGCTTACGTTCAGCCGCTCCATAATGTCGCTCATTTTCGCACCGGTGTCAAGTAAGCCCATATCGTACAGCTTGTTCAGCATCATTGACTCATGCCGCGCACGGAATGGATCAGACGCAGACAAAGTCGATAGACGAAGGGCTAGCTGGCGTGTCTTGCCGACCAGCACATTGTATTTTTGATAGTCATCACGGTCCTGAATGTGATATCGGCGCATGACTTGAATTTCTCGAAGGTTGTGTTCATTCTTCCACTGCAGAAAATCGTGTCTGAATTGTAAGTATGTGTTGTTTGAGCATTATGCGTACTTTTTAAGCAGCTTTTGTTCGTGAAATTTGAGTTGCCTCATACTGAAGAAGCTACTCTCGATGCGGTATCTTCAGAAAAAGGCAACGCCGGGCGATAGACCGATGAGCACCTCTCGTATCATGGCCACATTTTTTTTGTAGTCATACTTCGATTTCTCTCACACCATTGGCCATCTACACCCAGGCCGCGCGTTCTATCAAGTGGAGAAAAAGTAAATTGGCATACCCCCTGTGGCAACGCCACACCTGGTGCTACGTATTAACGTTTGAATCCTCTGATCACTAGTCGTGGCCGCACACCGTAAACGTAGATGGCGTTTTCAGGGGCCTTGGTACGTGCCTGGGTTGTCTCATTCGAAAGACATTGACAGATCTCAATGACTACCTTGGGCCGTCACAGGCATGCATCAAGCCGGTGGAGGCGCCCACGACGACGGCGTCTTCAAATGCGCCCGAATCGACCATTGCATTGGAAGGTGGCGTATATGTGGAAGCACCAGTGAATGCACCGCGTGCACGTACTCAGCTAGAGACTGCTCAGATTTCACTGAATGATTGCCTCGCATGCAGCGGCTGTGTCACTAGTGCTGAAAGTGTGCTGATTGGCGTGCAAAGCATCGACGAAATTCGCAATGAGCTGGCACAAAAACGCGAGCGTATCTTTATTGCTACAATAAGCTCCCAAACCATTGCGTCTCTTCAGGCACGCTGGGGAATGCAGCCACCAGCGGTATGGACGCGAGTATGTGCAGCGCTAAAACAATTGGGCTTCGATCAAGTTCATGACTTGTCACTAGCGCGCCACATGTCGCTGTACGAGACCGTGCGTGAATTTCGTCTGCGACGTGAAGCCCGCATGCGTGGCACGAAAGATGCACCTACGCTGCCCATGGTCGCGAGTGCTTGCCCAGGCTGGGTATGCTATGCAGAAAAGGCTCACGGGGAATTGCTTCCATATGTAGCCACGACAAAGTCGCCACAGCAACTTGCTGGCATTCTCGCAAAGCGATTTTGGGGTCCCCAACAAAAAGGTGTCGACATATCACAAGACAGCGCGCCATATGTATACCATGTATCAGTCATGCCGTGCTATGACAAAAAGCTCGAAGCTGTCCGACAAGATAACGAACAGACATCTCAAACGAAAGACGTGGACTGTGTTCTCACAACAGGTGAGCTGCATGACCTGATCGTCGGTGTTGATGTGCATGCAAATGCGGAGACTGAGCCGCGCGAAAGCGAATCTGAACGTGCATCTGACAAGCAAATGGATGAAGCAAGCGATGCTTGGAAGCATGTCATGAGTGGTTCTAGTTCGGGCTCAGCTTCAGAGCAAAATGAAGCTAGAATCACACCACGTCCTCAGGTCGCAACTGAATTTTGCGACCCTGCTCATGTGCCAGCTCATCAAGAGCCAGGGTCCAGTAGTGGCGGCTATATTTTTGCTGTTTTACTTGATGCATATATGTCTTGGATTCGTTCTCATCCAGATACTTCACAGCCTACTGTGGAGTTGCACATCCTTCGCTCGACCGATTATACCGACTATACGCTTCGTGCTCCGGATGGCACGACACTCTTTAAAGGCGCCACGTGTTACGGCTTCCGAAATATCCAGAACGTGGTACGCAAATTGCAACGTGAAACAGGTGCACGAAGTACTCGTGGCCGTGGCCGTATGCGAAGTGTAGCACGTCCCTCGCCCCAAGACACGCATCCATACGATTATATCGAGGTGATGGCCTGCCCAGGAGGGTGTGTGAATGGTGGTGGACAACTTCGACCTCCTGCCACATGGGCATTAGACACGTCGTCCTTGTCAATGGCAGCGTTACCAGACGCTCAGCAAGCGTCTGAGGCATCGCCAGTTCAGGGCTGGCAGGGTACGGATCGCCGTTGGGTGCAGCATGTGGAGAATCTTTATTGGGGAGATGACATGAAGCGAGGCGCTACGGTCGATTCTGCTCAGTCACTACTGGAGCGAGCAGCTCACGGACCCCTTCGATCGTGGCTCGATGCATGGGATAGGCAAGCATCTGATGCTTTGAGCTTGTTCAAACATGATGATCTGCACACAAAATTCAATGCGGTGGAGTCGAATCCACAAGGCTTGACTGTGCAATGGTGAGGGGTCAACATGGTGCGAATCCATCATATATACACAGACCGACCTCAACATATAAAATCGATGTGTGTTTAGCGGAAAAATGGGCGTATAACCAGAATCGCTATCAGCAAGGCAATACAAAGGACGAGTAAGAAAATTAGGGAACGACGGCCTGCGCCAGCCTGGTACGTCACGGCGCGATTCAATTCGACATTCGAATGTTGCATGTCCGTGGCCATGGAATCGATATTATAATCAATCCGATCCAGCACCGAACCTTGTTCAATAACCAATGCTGACAGATCCTGAAACAGGTGAGCAAGCTCGCTGATGGACCGAGCAATTTGGGCTATATCGCGATCACGTTCTTGAATCATGGCAAAATCGTCAGTTGCGTCCATGAGACTCGTTGCCTGCTGATCCTGGAAATGCTCAGACTGGCTAGTCAGCAAATAAATGCAAATAGACATCACGTACCAAAGCCACATCCTCCTGCACACTTTGTACACTGTCTAATAGCGAGGGATCGCTGCGTTCCTGAACCTCCATGCCTTGTAGTTTTCGCAAGTAATGAGACTGTTTTTGACGGAATAAAGATGACATTTGCTGTACTCGTGTAGCCAGTGCAGTTTGTGCATTTCGAGCTGCTGTGATCTCTTCTTTTGACAGGCGTCTTGATCGCATCGTCTCGGTTGTCTGTGCAGCCAGTTTTGCAACGAGCTGTGATGCACGACGAAACTCGTGCGTTATATCTTCTGTTAATGCTTCAATTTCTCGTTTCTGATCTGTTTTGTCGGCAAAACTCGGTAACAAATGTTGTGCATGCAAGCGATCTAGTTGCGCAAGTTGGGGTATCATCTCGGTCAAGACGGCATCAACTTCCTCCGTAGCATCGACCCAGAACGGCGGAAGCGTAGATGGCATGGGTATCGCATTCTTATCGGCGTCAAAGTATACTCCATCCTGGCTATCACCCAGCAGAGGCACATTCGCTCCTGATGCATGTGTGCTTGGTGCAATTGAGTCGCGAATCGAGAGGAAGAAGAGAGTGCGTGACCGAATCACACCAATGGTACTAGGCGGTGCATTCTGGGTATAGTAACTTTTACTCGACGACTCATTCGTCCCCGCACCGAACATGACGATGCCAGCCGTCGTTGTGAGGATCAATCTGTTACGAATGCGTGTTGTTGACCTGAACCGCTCGCACAGGTGGAGGCCCTACGCCATGGACGGTTTGACCCAAGTCATGTGTCTTGTACTCAATCTAGCTACGAGGAGTGTGCTTACAGCATGGGCTTGTAGATGCCAGCACACACACTTCTCTTTCGTCACGCATGCTTTTCTTTCCTCCAGCGATAGAATAGTCTATCTGATTCAAACTTTACCCATAGAGTGATGCATGCAGACAGACTTCAGATATATAGATGATCAGAGTGTAGGCCATGCCCTATAAGACCAGGAAGCGTCGAACATCCTGGTACAAACAAAAAGACTTTTCTCGTATACCGCAGGAGTGCAAGACAGTTTTATTCACATTAATCCATCATGGACGCACCACCGGACTGCAGATAGACGTGTAAGTATGAACATGAGAGGAAAAGAGAGAGAGAGAGAGAGAGAGGGAGAGAGAGGGAGGGAGAGAGAAAGTGGAAGAGAGAAAGAGAGCGGGTGGTTAAGAAATAGCGAACAAACAACATACCTGAATGGCGTCCATCTCAGCTGGTGACATACGAAGAGCTGGCGTGTCCCAGAATCGCCGGGGCAAGTCAAACACAGTGGTCACTGCGTCTCGCGAACCAGTCTGACCAGAAGCACTCTTTCCAGAGTCCAAGCTAAATGGCTTTAGCTTAGATGGGTCATAATGTGGACCCGACTCGAGCACTTGGCGGAATTGCTCAAAGTTGTTGGCAATGTCTTCGGGCGCATCGGGGTGCGGCTGTGGCTTATGCTCCGCTGGATCATGTCAGCACTCTTGGACACTTACGTTTAGGGGCACGACGATCCGGGAATTTGATCATCGGTTTGTGCGCGCGTGCTGCACGAACAAGCGATGGGCGAAGCATCATCGAGTGGCGTAAGCACGTCGTGCGTGTAAAGCATGGACCGGGGTTGCTGCCGTCGCCGGCGCCGCCGACTTGCCCCCGACCGACGAGCGCCCGTCATCGCCTACTCGGCCGAGAGAGCATCGGTTCCTGTAGGTCCCACTCTACCTTTGGGCCTGGCCTCAAGAACGTTGCTGCCACAACGACGACAAGAATGACGGCGGATCACACTGCGTCTCTCGAGGAAAGCAATGCCGCACGACTACCTCTTGGATACCGCGACTCTTGCAGCGCGTACGTGCCATTTTTCATGTTTTCCTGCAGCCATTAACTTTGTGAAAGACTATTGATCCCATTGAACAAGTGCCGACGGAAGACTTTTTACGCTCCATGGAAGTGTGAAGACGAGCGGTATGTTATTATTGGCGTTATTGCCTACACGCACTTGGAATCTTGATACTAATGAATTCCCGCAGTCACACGTACGAAAGGTGCCAGTACCAAGAGTAAGTGCGTATGTGATTAATGTTAGTTTCCTGCAGCGTCAGAAGAAGCTCCAGAAGCTCGTGGCTGAAAAGGCCAACGAGGCAGCGGCAGAGGACCTTTAGAAGTGCCTTGTTCTTTCGTTTAAGGACTTTAGATACACAAGACATCGCCAATGGGGATGACTACTGAACACGAGGCGTGGCTGAGACGCCGTGTGAACTACCAACGCCATCTACCTTGTGTGTCGCTGACGCTTCAGCTGGCACATGAGACTGACGAATAGAATCTGTGCGCGGATCCAATGCTTTGCCGACAAATCCAATATAGTACATGCGTGAGATGTTACGGGAGAGTGAGTCACACTTCACGCGCTCGGTCAGCCGTGCCCGTGATTGGCGATGACGCCTAGGTTCGCGTAGAACGTACCAGTAGGAGACTCACACTGTTTGTGTGTGCAAAGCGCGACACACTTACAGGGTATGCAATGACTTGTGTGGCTCCTTCGAGAAGAGCGAAATCTGCCTGCGCTCGGCCACTGGATGGCGGGCCTAAACGTCCGTCTAGCACAGACAGCGCGTCATCGAAGTCGATCCCGTTAGGCAAGTTCACAAATGCAGCGCACCGCTGAAAATGAGTACTTCGCTCTTCAACACTTACTCGCACACTCAAGTCACCGCGCCCTGCATAAAGTAAGATACTTTCTACACGCACAGGACACGTAAAAGGAACGTTGACAATCATCTTGCTCGTCAGTCTTCCTACAACATACCTGGTCGTCTACCCCACTCTCTATCCATTGGTCCATAGAATGTCTTTGATCCCAGGGCTTGAAGGCAAGCTTCGCCGATTCAGGCGGCTCAATATTCACACCCCAAACGCGAGCATGATCGATGTAAGCGTAAAGATTGGACCCTGAGCTCGCTCCTTGATGCACATTCAAATCTTGTTCCGTTGACTCATTATTGCAATTCATGCTACCCTGTTCGTGCGCGACTCTGAGCGTTCGCCGCGTGCTAACTAAAGCATGCGTTTCGCCAAGCGTTTTGTGACGCGGGGGTCCTTACGTCATTCCACCTCTCATCTCGTTACCTTAAGCCGGCAGTTGTTAAGACCTAAAAGGCTCATTCGTTGGTCGCTAGCTCTCCACGACTCCAGTGCGCAATGTGAAAGCCCCTCAGTTGGAATAAATAAAACTGAAAATAAAAAGTGAACGCCGCGCGTCGCCGTCGCGGTAGGCGTGCTTATCGTTGTGAACCACTTGCCATCAATCAGTCGGTCAAAGAGTCCTTTGTTTGTGTGAATCAAACATGGTACGTGAATAGCGCTTGCGTATTAGAATCACTAACTCAAAAACAGGGTGTACCGGCTCTGTTCCGATGGCTTTCGAAGAAGTATCCCAAAATTGTGCAAAGCGTTGAGGAAGAAGAGCCAGGGCAGATGCCAGGACCAAATGGCGAGCCTGTGGACATTCCTGTCGACATATCGCGACCAAATCCGAATGGGGAAGAGTACGATTGCTTATATCTGGATATGAACGGTATTGTCCATCCATGCACACATCCTGAGGGCAAGCCTCCGCCTGAGACAGAAGAAGACATGATGGCCGAGGTATTCAAATACACAGAGAGGGTCATTAACATGATTCGTCCCCGAAAGTTGCTCATGATGGCCATTGATGGTGTGGCGCCTCGTGCAAAAATGAATCAACAACGCTCACGCCGTTTCCGCTCTGCACAGGATGCAAAGATCCTCCATCAGCAACGGGAACAAGAGCTCGAGGAACGCAAAAGAAAAGGCCTGGCAGGCGAAAATGAGCGCATTGAAAAGTCATGGGACTCTAATGCCATTACCCCCGGCACACCTTTCATGGATCTTCTTGCTTCTTCTTTGCGCTATTGGATTGCGCACAAATTAAATACAGACCCGGGGTGGAAAAACCTTTGTGTTGTGCTGTCAGATGCAAGTGTGCCCGGCGAAGGTGAACACAAAATCATGGATTATATTCGACGCAAGCGAAGCGACCCAAACCATGATCCTAATATGCGTCACGTCATTTACGGTTTGGATGCGGATCTGATCATGCTATCGCTCGCCACGCACGAGCCGCACTTCAAGGTGCTTCGGGAGGATGTGTTTTCTCAAGATGCGAAGCATCGAGGATGTCATCGCTGTGGACAAGAGGGACATGTAGCGGCGAACTGCCGCGGTGAAGCACGCAATGAAGCTAAACCATTTCAAAAGAAACCGTTTATTTTTCTGGATGTGCCGACCCTGCGTGAATACCTTCAGGTCGAGCTTCGAACACCCGGCACATCGTTTCCCTTTGATCTGGAACGGGCTATAGATGATTGGGTGTTTCTCATCTTTTTTGTCGGTAATGATTTTCTGCCCCACCTGCCAAGCCTCGAGATTCGAGAAGGAGCTATTGATACACTACTGAGAATCTGGAAACGTGAACTGCCCAACATGAGTGGCTATGTGACGAATAACGGAAAAGTCGAGTTAGCTAATGCACAATATATTCTCGATGGTCTTGCTGAGGTCGAAGATGATATATTTCGAAAACGCAAGGAGACGGAAGAACGCCAAGAAGCGAACAAGCGCCGGCATGCATCTTCCAACCATCAAGAGGCTCAGCATGGCGATACAACGTATGTCCAAGTGTCGAAATCAGCTCCGCCCCAGCGACCTGTAGTGCCACCGCCTGTCGGACCCAGCAAGCAAGTGCCTGGTGCACGAAACAAAGGGGGTCCAGTCATGCTCGATGGCAATAGTATCGACGTTGTCAAGAATCGCGCGCAGATTCGAATGGCCAATATCAGTGCGGCTGAGCAAATGCGCATGGAACTTGCGCAAAAGCGCGGCGCGAAACGTGCAGTAACTCAAACCGACCTGCAATGCAAACGCAGCAAAGTCGATCCTGAGTCATCTGGTGATTCCACCATGTTCAAGCTTGACGAGGATGTCAAAGAATCCGTAACACCAGTACTCAAGCGCGAAGAGAATTTGGCGTCAGTTATGGATTCAGACAAAGCCAGCCCATCAAAGTATGATGACAAAGCGTTGAATGGAAAGGCATCAGGCCTCGTAAAGTCTGAGCCGAATGACTCGCATATAAAAGCTGAACCGCCGGGACCTGACACCAGCCAAGATGACATGAAGGACGAAAAAAAAGAAGCGAAAAAAGAATGCTATAGTAAGGATGAAGGAGATGGACAGACGGAGGACTTGAAGACGCAGGGCGATGATGCTGGCGAATCGGATAATGACGAAAAAGAAGATGAGGATGAGGACGAGGACGAGGAAGAAGAAGAGCGTGATGAGGATGAGGACCAATCGAAAGCGAAGATGCTCGAGCGAAAAGTGCGACCGGATGGCACTGTGGAGTATGAAGACACTGTGAAGTTATGGGAGCCTGGTTACCGTGAGCGATATTACCGGCAAAAGTTCGGCGTCGAGCTCTCCGACACCAAGTTCCGTCGCAGCGTTGTTCAAGCTTATGTTGAGGGTCTCTGCTGGGTCCTTGCATACTATTACCAAGGCTGCCCTTCATGGAAGTGGTTTTATCCGTACCACTATGCACCGTTTGCAGCTGACTTTACTGATGTTCAAGACATGCACATCGACTTTGGCGAGAGTGAGCCGTTCCGGCCTTTTGAGCAGCTTATGGGCGTTCTGCCGGCTGCGAGTAAGAGCAATTTACCGGTGCCGTTCCAGCAGCTCATGACAAACGAGGAATCGGAAATTATTGATTTCTATCCAAATGAGTTTTCTATCGATATGAACGGCAAGAAAATGGCATGGCAAGGTGTAGCTCTTCTGCCTTTCATCGATGAGAATCGACTTTTGCATGCATTGCATAAACGCTATGCACAGCTTACGGATGATGAGGTGCGACGGAACTCGTTCGGGCGCAATGTTTTGTTTGTGAGTGAGGACGCCGACTTATTCCCTGTAATGAGTCGTTTGTACACGAAACGCAGTGATGGCCGTGCTGATGTGATCGATACAGCACGTCATGCTCAGATTGCAGGCACAATTGCTCCCGATACCTCCTGTGTGCCAGGCTCGACCTTTTACTCACCACTCCCTTCCGTGTCAGGTATGCAAGATATCCAGAATGACCGCAGCATTTGGACCTATTATGACTTCCCTCCACAGTTCACACCACACCGCAGTGTGCTTTTGCATGGTGTGCGACTTCCATCACGTCGACTTACGCCTGCTGATGCCGACTTTGTTCTTCGCGGAAGTCGAGGTGGCGGTCGAGGCAGCGGCGTTGGCAGCGGCGGTGCCAGTGGCAGTTTCCGTGGATCACGGGGACGCCGTGGTGGATGGAGTGACCAGGGTGTGATGTATGGTCGAGATGCTCGCCCCTCGAACATGCAGCAGGGACCTTACGGTGCAGGACCTTACGCGCGTGGCCCCTATGGCGGCGGGCGCTATGGTGGTGGCGTTTTGGGCTATGGTGGCGGACCTTATGGGGGTGGCCCATACAGCGGCAATCCCTATGTCGCAAGACCGTATGGTGGTGCTAGTGCCTACGGTGGCTCGCCGTACGGTGGTGCCTCATACGCTGTTCCTCCTTACAGTGGTGGTGGGACATATGGCGCCCCTGTTGCATATGGCCAACCGTACCCAACCTATGGTAATCCTTACCAAATCTATGGACCGTCTATACCGCAGGGAATTTCATATGGCGGAGCATACGGACATGCAGGGACAGCCTACGGGTCAGCATATGGTCAAAACTCCCATGGCTACAATGCGCGAAGCTCGCACGCTTACCATGGGTACGGTGCTCCACGTGGACGCCAGGGACCATATGGCTCGTTATGATTGACAACCTATCTGTAGACATGTGGAGATAGATCTGTACACTACCGAAAAATCGATTCAATTATGTCATGTCAGCGTGAGGCTGGCCCGAGTCCACGAAATATCGGGGAAAAAATTGGCCAACCATTTCAAATTAAAGCAAGATCATTGGGATACTGCGCTAAGTCCATCCATTGTCCTTTTTTGTGTCCAACATGTTGACACTAATCCCAGGGGTACAGTCATATGAATGGGGTGTGCCTGGTGGTGCAAAAGACAGCATGGTCGCTGATTTTGCTGAATGCACGCCAGAGCTTGGCTTCCAACGCGAATCTTCCAAACCGTATGCGGAACTTTGGATGGGCACACACCCTACCGTACCGTCGCGAGTGGTGAAGGAAGATGGCACTCGTACACTGCTGAATGACGTACTGCAGGAAGACCAGGCATTGATAGGCTCTGAAGTGGCGCGTCACTTTGGTGTCGACAAGACTTGTGGCCGCATTGCCGTTTCTGTTCAAAGTGCTTTCCATCAACAAGGCATTGTCGATTCAAGCACATCCCGATAAGGCACTCGCTGAGCGCTTACATGGGACCAAGCCACATATGTACAAGGACGACAATCATAAGCCAGAGATGGCCATTGCTATCCAGCCATTCGAAGGATTCTGTGGTTTCCGCCCTGTGAGCGAAGTACAAGCGTTTGTAGCTCATGTTTCGGAGCTGCGCAAGGTCCTTGGCGCCGACAATGTCATGGATCAATCCTTGCAGGAAGCGGCCAAGCTACAGAAGCAGGGCGCAAATGATGCGTCACAAGAGGCAAAGGTCAAAGATACGCTCAAGATGGTGTTCGGCAAGCTGATGCGTGCGTCGCCTGATGTTTATGAGCCGGCTGTGTCAGCTTTGGCTGAGCGTTACAGTCACGACACGAATGAAGTTTCTGAAGAAGTGCGTGAACTGGTGGTGCGTTTGAATAAGCAGTACCCGAAGGACATTGGTGTCTTGTGCACGTTCTTCTTGAATGTGGTGCATCTTGAGCGTGGTGAAGCTATGTTCCTAGGCGCTAATGAGCCGCACGCTTACATTTCCGGCCACATTCTTGAATGCATGGCTGCATCTGACAATGTCGTACGTGCGGGACTGACGCCGAAGGCTCGGGATGTCGATGTGCTCATTGACATGCTGACGTATGAGAGTGCATCCGCATCCGCCCAGCGTCTTGATGCGCCAATCTGGGACGGTGATGCATCCGGCGCTACTCTACTGTACAATCCGCCGATCCCTGAGTTTTCTGTGTTGGTATCATCGCTTGACATAGGTGCATCGTGCAAGCACCGTGCCCTGCATGGACCTTCCATTGTTCTGATTACAGAAGGCCAGGGATCATTCACTGTAGATGGCAAAGCCATTCCGGTATCTAAGGGCCGTGTGTTTTTCGTACCTGCGGAGCAAGAGCTGGACGTATCTGCGGAGTCGCGATTGGTTGTAGCGCGTGCCTTTGTAGAAGTAGAGTCGAACAAGTAGGAGCTTAATGACCACTTTAGACGAAGATAAAGGGATAAATCTTGAAAGCAACGGGCAATGACATTCATTATGGTTCAATACTTCGATTGAGTATGCACAACAAGTATATCAGTGCACTTCATGGTACGAGGCTACAACATATGTACTCCTTTTAGCATCTATGGCACAAGTGTTATCAAACAATAGAAGAAGGAACAAGATCTGCGATGCGTTAGCAAGGCTGAGGCCGATGACAAGGTCCATGGGACCAAAACATGTGGGAAAAGAGAGGGTGTCAGAGTAACTATGACTGATTGGCTGCACAGAGTCTTCGCCTACATTCGTACGAATGCAAGCTCGAGCCGATGGCAAATGTTTGTCATCCTGAGAGCATAGACTGCCTTAAAGCAGGATACGGAAAGGAGACCACAGGAAATACAGATACATACCAGAATGCAGACGTGAAAGTTGAGATAAAAAGTCGTTAAAATGCGCGCCTAAATAGTTCTTCTACGGGGAGTTCACCGTCAATTCGGAGAGGCCATGCGATAGGCGCCGCAGCAAAGATGCCTACTAGGACATGAAACAGAGAACATGAAACACGCCACCTTCCCCTCGTTTTTTCTTGTGTCTTGCTGACAAACCAGCAGTGGTCGCTTACGAGTCAACTTCTGGATTGCATTTTGAAGACGGTGCGCAACACAACCTTGCAGTGAGCAGCCGTTTGAGAAAGACGCGCCATTATACCCCGCTTCGCTGCTGCATGGTCGATGCGCAGTCGACCGCCCATATTTCTGCGGCATCCGCCATGGCCTTCCATACCATCGCATACACCTTCTCTTGCCATTCTCGGCACGTCTCAGCGAGTCTCGAGTGGTGTTGGGCAGACTAGTCACGCACCACGAGCTATGCAACCAGCCGTCGCCATATTGAGTGCCTGGGTGCACACCGACATAACCCATCAACCTTGTTCTAGCACACTAGAGGAGATGCCGGCACTGGCTTTGCGTGTACGAAATCTTCGTGCGTGTCTGAAGATTTTGTCCGACTCTACCAGGACCGACACATCCAACTCCTATCTGCCACCCTCACTTCGACATACCCTCACTGCAACGGTTCTTTCCTTATCGAAAGAACTACGAAATGCTCACATACCACCGTCTGACTCTTTTTGGCAGGAGGTTGTGGACATGTTCCTTGGTACTGTGCAACGGCTCTCCCCTCGGGATGGGATTTACGTATACAGTCGGTTAGCATGGTTACGGCCTCCTTTGAATCCTGCTACGCGTCGTCGTGCACACCTGATTGGTATTCGACTTCTTGTGAAAGCATCGCGGGCTGACGCTAAGATGCCACGCACGTGTGTGCAACACGCATGGTTCGGCCTCAAGGTCCTGGGGCAGCCGACCCCGAAGAACACCACCCCCTTAATTCGCTCGATGATTCTTATGAACCGACTCAGCGATGCAGTCATGATTCTCTCGTGGCACATTATCGGATACTGGGAACATGGAAAACCTCCGCTGTCCCGGTCTATCATGCACCATCTCATGATCCAAATGTGTGTGGTCGACCGTGTTCTGCGCTCACGCCCGCCACGAGCTCCTGGCCGCTTCGTATCATCTTCGTCCTTGCTTTCTGAATACTTGATGGCTCTTTCATCGCTTAGTCACTTACTTGTCGAAATGTACATTCCTCTTGTGCCCGCCAACAAGGACGATATTGTTTGGTTAATTAAGGCTCTGAGCAATGTAGAGCCTCTCCTTCGGCGCAATCAACATGAAAGAAAACTGAATCGCTCGTTGCGCAATGCCCTTCCGAAGTGGCTCGAAAGCTTGCCGTGCGGTCGTCCGCTGCCACCAAACGATGTCGAGAGTGTCATTAATGATGATCGCAATCGCGGTAGCATCTCCGAACCCAGCCGCCATTGCAAGGAAGACCGCGCTATGTATTTCATCCCACCCTTGAGCGCTCATGCGTACAACACACTCATTGACTACGCTTTAAAACGCGCGCGGAAGCCAGAGTGGTGCCGTGCTATACTGGACCATATGACGCGGCAGCGAAGTCCGCCCCTCACACCCGATTCCATTACCATTAACATTTTGCTAAAACAATCCACGCATTGGCGCATTCCGTCACTCGGTACATATGCGTTGGAGCTTGGGAGCGGCGGAGACGTTGTGTCTATCAGCCAGGACACTCCTTCCCATATCAGCACGCCGCGTCTCCTTTCGCACCTAGATGAAGCTTTGTATGGACAGGACTATCATCGCATTTGTGCGATTGTGCACCATATCAGGGACGGCCAGCTCCGTTGTCCGTCGAATGTGCATGGCATTCGAGCCACCAGTGTGGTTCTTCGCTTGTACCCGGAGCTCCGACGCGCTCGTTCACGACCCGGCCCCCTGGTGGCGCGTCATCCGCTTGTGTATGCAGCAGCTATTCGACTTGCAAACGAAGCAGGACAGGTCCAGCTTGCTTTGCGTGTTTGGCGTTTAGGCAAACATGCATGCATTTCCGATCGTCTTCCCGTGGCACCCAGCATGGCCGCTGCGTTCATGCACGTGCTCATCGCTGCGGCCATGCGATCGAAACGTGCACACATACGCCATGGTCGTGTGCGGAATCCACAGGTGCTCCAAGCACGCATTGCCGCGCTCCAAGAGTATACGTGGATCTTGCAGCACAACCAGGACATTGGCGAGTCGCAGCCCATGGCCATGTACGCGCCGCTGTTGCGTTTACTCCAGTTGACCGGACGCACAAGCGCGGGAAAAGACGCGGCATATCGGCGAGTGTGTAAGGATGTACATGCTATGCAGCCGCAAAGACTACCGAAGCAGCTACAAAAGATACTGAAACCACGAACAAGACACCAATACCTTCGCAGATACCCTTGATGATGTAGGAGTCTATGAATTAGCCAATCCGTTGTAAGTAGGTATGGGGTATGAGGCCACTGCGTTCTGGATGGTCCACTTGGTGTGCAAGAACCCATCCATCAGAGAGGTCTCTCTCAATCTGGACAGGCACCCCCGCGTTAACACTCAGCTCATTGCTTGCCTCGGCTTGAAAGTCGTATAGAACAATGTGCAAAACGGGCTCTGGCTCACTGGATGTGACTAATGCCCCCGTTGCAGGTACAGTCTTTTCTGCTTCTGTAGGCGCCATTTCTGTAGCCTCGATTCTTGCTGTTGTCGCTGACGGCGGCGGTGGAATGACAGAGCCCACGCCAACATGCCGTTCATCGTCGTCCGGAAAAGCAAAATCACGAATATGAAGTATACGAGCTTGGCTCAGGGCATGCATAATTTGGTATGGGTGTGCAGGAGAGAGATTATCCGAAAATTGATGTGCGTTTGGCTGCTTTTGTATGTCACTTGTTTGCATGGCGATGATTGTTTAAGCTTTTGGCGGCGACAGGGCATGCACACCAAGAGACCAATAACCCCTGTGGTTCGCAACAAGAAGCTGGGGCTGACAAGAGGAAGCGAGTCGTCAATCCCAAAAAGCAACTGCCGTCCCTAGAAATTCACGCTAGCCTGCAGACAATCAAAAGGTAATTGATGGAAATGGCGCTAGACTCCGCGTTATCTTCTCTTAACCACAACCCTTCGTTTTCCCTCGCACTCCCCTCCCCCCTTTCCTCTTTCGCTTTCCCCTCGATTTTTTCCTTCGCAACTTTCTTCATCAATTAGGTTACTTATCACGACCTCCACCTTGTATTTCTCGCACAGCCCGATCTCCAATGGATGGCAACGAAAGCTACGAGATCCAACGTCGGCGGCCTCTCGCCACGCCCGCCAAATCTGCCCGGGGTCCGAGGAAAGCGGAGAAATTCCGCTCACGTAAACTGTTGCTGCGTTTTAGATGTCCTGCTCCACTTGCCATCCTCTCAGGCGCTCGCCCATATTCACACGGCCGAGCGCATTTTCATGCGTGTGTGTCCGTGCGATGAGAACGAAATCTGCGCGAATCTATGTGTACGGCCGATCGTGCTGACCACGCAACGGCTGTTCACACCATGACGCTCCGAGAACACGCGTACTGTCATTTGTGCTTTTGCACACTGACAAATAACAATCGCCTGAGGTGTATGTCTGCGAATGCACTTATAAGCCAGGTCTGAATTGTCCTGACTGGGACTGCTGCCTCGATTGCGAGACAAGAGCACAAGAGGCACACCCTGGACACAAGCTCTTGCGCCTGACGCCGGAAAATGTAATGCCCAGTAGTCCGTACCCATCGCAATGGCTTCCGCATCATTCCGTTCTTTGCAATCGTACGTATGAATTCGAAACAATTGTCTGAACTCTGCTTACACGCTCATACATCCGCTCTTGCTCCATAAGAATGCCGTATGATTATCATTGGCCCTCGGTATAAATGCTCCAAATGTCTGGATTTTGATCTCTGCTCTCAGTGCGAGGCGGATCCTAGCACATCACACGAGCGTGACACAGACGAAACTCATCTGTTCGTCAAAATTCCCCGCCCACTTACTTCTGAGCTTTGGGGTCAGACTGTCCTACGAGAGCACACTCAATACCCTGAGAGCCCTCGGCATCAACATCAGGTTTTCCCGGATCCGGACGAAGAAGGCGTCAGTATTAATGAGCCCTTTCCCGAAGACCCTTTTTCTGGCGTCGGAAATCCTGAGCCATTGGACTTTTTCGCGGCCGCTCGCGCTTTGTCCCAGTTGATGGGCGTCGGGCATTCGGTCCTGAGTCATCCTCAGCTTCAAAGAGCTGCGCCGGTTCTTCGTCACATTACCTCGTTCATGGGAGCCTTTCCCGCGGCCACACAGCCTCGAACCTTGCCCAGAGTCGATTTACCTCAACTCGGCCGTGCAGTTGAGCAACTGGTTTTAGCTTGCGTGGGATCCCCTGAGCCAGTTGTCCCTTCTTCGCATGAGCTGACAAACTTCTCGCCTATATATGATGATCCTGATGAAGTACTCGTCACTTCTACAAGCGAGCCGGCCGCGTCACACGAGAATCGTGACACTGAATCTCCTCCACGCTCATGCACGCACGAAGACTCCAAAACCAACATGCCACCTGACCTTGACGTGGCATTTGCCGAAAATTTATCCCATCTTCTTGCGTCACCAATCTCATCTTCTTCCTCTCACACGTAATATTCAGCCTGTGTGCTCCCCCAGAATGCCACACATCAGTGTCAATCTCTACTTCCTTTGAGTCTAGTCTCTCGCGTCCTTTCTTGGCTCGTCCCTTGTGATAGTGCCAGAGTAGGACTCCACATGTGTATAGTTCATTTTTTGCATTTTGACCCAACACTTGACGGACGGTCATTTAATCGGATAGTACCTGCACTACAACATTATGCACCAGCGTGCTAAAAATCCTAATTTTCATTATCCTGTAGAGTCTGTCTTCACTCTACTCACTGTGGCCACTTTTGTAGCCGTGCAATATCATGTGATGGAACCGTACATGGTACGTGCACGACTTTAGCCTTTGTCTAATGCAAGGACGAAATTTTTCACGTACGACAACTCATACGATATTGTCATGGCGATTGGCGTTCTTGGGATCCATTATTGACAACCCCACCCGGATTGTATTTTGTTACGCTTATACTTAGGCCCTTTATGCAAGCCGTCAGCCTCTTTAGATCGTGTGAAGATATCAAGGCGATCCGCGGGACAAATTTGTTAGCCCTTTTACTCTTACCGAATCTCTGCCTAAAAGTGCTACGCTCCCGAACTGAAAATCAGAATCAGACTTGTAATACGCGTTGCTCCGAATATAATTCGCGAATTCGTGACAGCTCGATCGGCTGCTTGACTGCTTATGCTTGTGCCATGATCCCTCCTCTTTGGTTCGTGGGATTCCTATATTATACGGACGTCCTGGGACTATATGCTGTATTAGCTGCTCTTGCCGCCGCTGAATCGGGCCAACATATACGGGCATCGATTTGGGGCCTGGTATCTCTCCTGTTTCGCCAAACAAATATTGTATGGGTCCTTTTTATCGTGGGTGTCGCTATCGTGAACGTGAGTCAGCGTATCTCTGAAACGCCGAAGCAAAAGACACCACCATTTTTTGCGTTGCTGACCCGCTGTGACGCTTGGATACATTGGGGACATACTTTGGCACCGTATATCCCCACGTTTCTAGCATTCGCGGCGTATGTCATATGGAACGATGGTGCCATTGTGCTTGGCGACAAAAGTCACCATGAAGTCGCATTCCATGCGACCCAGCTCAATTATTTTTTTGCATTCACACTTGCTTTTGCCTGGCCGCTTCTCTCGGTGCCCCGCTGGCGTCGGAACCAATATTACGCCTATCTAGCATTGCTTGTGCTGAGCATGCTTGCAGTGCGATATGGCACAATTGTGCACCCATTCCTCCTCGCAGATAACCGCCATTACACGTTTTATATCTGGAGACACATCATCAATGCTCGAGCCTGGACGCGCTACGCACTTGTTCCCGTTTACGCAACAAGCGCCTTCTCGGTTATTCAGACACTTGCACACGAGCAGAGTGCCATATGGATCTTTGGCTGGATTTCGGCAACATGCCTTTCATTGATCCCCTCCCCATTGTTGGAACCACGCTACTTTCTAGTGCCTTATATCATTATGCGACTATATATGCCGAAAATGTCAAGCAAACAAGTGGCCTTGGAGTTCGCGCTGTATGGACTTGTCAACATTGTCACCATGATTGTTTTTCTATACCGGCCGTTCACATGGTCGAGTGAGCCAGGACTCCAGCGCTTCATGTGGTAAATTATCCAGCTACATTCGGATTGAAGGCGCAGGAATCAATTCGCCATCTGGGCCGCGGGGCTGAGACATGGTGGTGATGGTTTGGTTCGCTGGATTGCTGAGATCATCACTAGCCGTCCCGTCAATACTTGGACTCTCTTTCGACGAGTGCATCTTGCGTGGCGAATGAACGGACGATAAGGCGTCTAAGGTCCATGACGAGCGAATCAGATCGATGGTTTGTGCAAATGCTTTGTCACGCCATGCGACAGATTCTGGGCATTTTGGCTGCTCGTCAAAAGCATGCGCCTCGTTCGGCACGCTCAGAAAGCGACAATGGCGTTGCTGAGAAAAGCGCCCATTCTTCATGACGTGCTGGTAGAATCTCACCGATTCTGGGTACAGGGTGTCGGCATCGCCAGCAACAAATAGGATATGGTCTGGGAGCCGCTCAAGAGGAAGATTCATCACAGAGATGCGTGGGTCGCCTGGATCACACTGCAATGTAACATAGGCAGCAAAAAACACAGAAAAGACAAAATTGTCCATGATAATGCCGCTGCGGAAAGGACCCTTTTCGACGCCGCTGTCTCCGACGGATGCATTCGACGTCGAGCCGTCCAGCGGCGCATAGAACGACGTAACTGCTTTGATCTTGTCTGGCCCAAAGTGGTTTGTAGTCGCGAGAGCGAGGTTGCCACCTGCACTAAAGCCTGTCATTGAGACACGGTCCAAGTCGAATTTCTCGTGCTGCGTAAAGACCCAGTTAATCACGTCCTGACAGTCATAGATAGCTAATGGGAAGGGGTACTCGGGTGCTTTGCGATAGTCAGAATCAATCACATAACACTGTAAATTTGAAGCGACGCAGTAGTTAAACCAACGAGAATTACCATAGAACGCATTTATACAAAAGCCAGAACCATGAATATTTACATTCACAGGACGAGGACCTGCTGGCATATTTACCGGCTCATACACGTAGGCGGTAATATAGCGACCCTTATCCCGGGAAGGGACGCGGATTTTCGTGACTTTAACATCGTCCTTCACTTGCGGACGCAGCTTGTCCGTTGAGTACACTTCATAGTATGCTAATAGGCGGAAGAAGTTGACCAGCACAAGCAGACCGAAAAACCGCAAAGTCCATTCATGGTGGATACGATCTACTTTATCAACAGGCACTACCATCGCCGAAAGCAATCACCTAGAGCAATAACAAATTGTGAAACAAATAGACAATAAAGTGTTCTTCACTGTCTTCAAAGTGCGTAGTATGCGGCAGAAACCAACTAATTAGCGACCCTATCGCTCCTGGTCAATTCCATTCATCACGAGTCTCCATTTTTTGCACCGCGTATACCTTGAATCGAAAAATGGCCAATCATGAGCTAAAACCGTATATCAAATCTGCACCTGCAGGATTCTCTATCCACTTTGATACGCCTCTATCGAGGAAGAACACGTCCTCCATCAAGCGGCCGCATTCCACGCAGCGCGGATCATCTGGATGGCCGAGTCCTCCACTTTGTCACGCCACTCCACCGACTCGCGCACGGACGCAAAATTGTTGAATTCATGCGCTTCGTTCGGGATGCTGATAAATGTGCGTGTCATGGATTCATTTGTGCCATCTTCAGAACCAGTAATCTTGACCATAAAGTCGCGGCAACCCTTATACAGTGTATCGGCTTCACCGCACACAAGGAGCACATGCTTTGGGAAGCGTGAAGGCTCGTCCAGCAGCGGCGAAATACGCGGGTCATCCATGTTCGCTTTAGGTGTAAAGTATGCGAGAGTGAAAACTTTCATAGCCCAGTCCGAGATCACGATACCGCTGCGGAATGTAGTTGAGATCGCATGCTGACTCGAGTTAATACGTTCGACTGGGAGTAGCCGAGTGACAGGGTACATGGCGAAGCATCCCTTCACGCGCTGCTCGCCAAGACGTGCACTCAGAGAAAGAGCCATGCACGCTCCAGCGCTGGAACCACCTACCGTCACACGGTTCACATCAAATTGCTTGGGGTTTGCATGCACGTAAAATACCGCATCTTCAGTATCATTGTGCGCAGCAGGGTACTGGTTTTCAGGGCCTTTGCGGTAGTCACAATCAAGAACAATGCACCGCAACTCGCGAGCGAGCTTGACGCACATGTGACGGTCGAGTCCAAGGCGTTTCAGCATCCATCCAGATGCATGCCAATTCAAGTGCACTGGCAAAGGAGCTGTCTCACCTATAGGTGTATACCGGATGGCTCGAATGTACCGACCATTGTCTCGCGAAGGGATACGTATGTGCTCGACTTTTACCCCCTCTCGCGAAATTGCACGACACTTTCTTGATGTACCGATGTTGATCCAATCCACTATTCGCATGAAATACGATGTAAGATAAAGGATCATTTTTCGTAACACAGCCATGATCAAAACGGACTGCTCTCTTTGTGTAGGTTAGTTTTTTAGCCTTATCTCAGAGACACTCGATTAATGTCGATAAGAGCCTGGGGTCTCGATCCCTTTTCTCGTTCAAAAATGGAGGGAGCCGTTACAGAGACAACGAGTTTGCTGACTAACGCTGCTGTCCGCTCGCAACGCCCGAGTGGTGTCAGGCAATGCGCTCTGCTATATTGGCCTGTGTGGCAGAAAAAGCCTGTGCCTACTGACATGGCCAACGTGTTAAAGGCCTGATTGAGAAGGTTGTCTTGAACACACAAGCTCACTATAAGCTCACGCAAAGATTCTCTTATTTTCTCAGAAGAAAACATCCAAACTGTTTGCTTCCACAACAACAGAAGGATGGATAGACGGACCGAACTGCCAGTACGCGTTGAAACATACCGTAATGAAGAAGATTTGAAGGATGTGATTCGGCTTATTGAAAAAGAACTCAGTGAGCCATACCATATTTATACGTATCGCTATTTTCTGAATGCATGGCCCGAATTAAGTTTTCTTGCTTGGGCCGGCTCCGAGGCGGTGGGCGTGATTGTGTGCAAATTGGACCAGCATATGCGTGGCTCACGTTTAATGCGTGGCTATATAGCTATGCTTAGTGTCGATCCACGCTGGCGCGGATTGGGAATAGGTACGTGAGTCGAATGTTTAGTCCATTGTTGGTATGATTAGGCAGCGTTCTGACACTCAATAAGCCAAGCGACTCGTAAAAGCGGCAGTCGAAAAGATGCGCGAGAAAGGAGCCGATGAAGTCATGTTAGAAACTGAAGTGACAAACACAGCTGCAGTGCGACTGTACGAAAATCGTGGTTTCTTCAGAGAGAAACGCCTCTACCGATTCTATCTGAATGGCAATGATGCATTTCGGCTGATTCTACCCCTCATACCCATTTCTCCACCAACATTCAAATCTACGAGTTCGCAACAGCTCCTGACTCTCGATACCCAGCCGCTTTCTTCAGTAGCCGCACCTCCGCCCCTTCCTCCGCGCCCGCCGAGCCTATTGGACCGTTCGATTCTGGATCATATACTCTAGACATAGGTTCTCTCTCTCTCTCTCTCTCTCTCTCTCTCTATCATGTACATCTTTATCTTGCGCGTAAAGTTCACTGGGTCTTTTTCGACTCGGCTTTGGGTGGCACAGGGGTCGTATCTTCCTCCAAGCACGCTGCTACAATATAGCCGGCAAGGACAAGGTTGGCAACAAATGCAGCAAAACCCCCTGCATATACAGGATTACCTGCGCGTATTAAAACACATGGATTGTATTCACTTACCTTGAAGCCAGTTGTCCTTCGCATAATAGTACGCGGTAATTGGAGCGACAAATAATGCGACGCTGAAAAATGCAAGCTTAAAGTATACACCCCTAGAGAATTAGTATGTTCCACATACCGAGCAGGATCAGGACCGGGCCGTCCTACACGCGATGGCGTAATGTCCACAGACATGAAGCGTGCTTAGATCTATCTAGACAAAGTTTGTGTGTCAATGAAACAACGGGAGGTGGAGCTAAACCGACGCGCGTCAACCAGCAAGTGGAGACAACCATCCTCCACCTAGACTTCCGAATTTTGTGTGGAGACAGACGGTTTGCATTCACGAACTCGTTCCCAATAAATTCACAGCACGCTTGTTATTGTTACAGTGAATAGCACCTCGACAAGTTTGTTCATCTTTTCCTAACACTCACACCGCTCAAAAACTCGAACCTGAGGTATTTATACGCGATCAAGCATGTCGGAGCAGGAAAAAGTGTTCGTATAAGTTGACGTCTGCTAACGTGGATTAGCTTGCTGCTTGGCCCACCCAATGGGCGTGTACGTGCTATGGTGGAAAAAACACAAGCCATTGAGGCAAGACATGGTCCTTTTTCTTTGGCTTTAATAGTGGGAAATGTGTTTGCTGACGCGGAGCATCTCACAGAAGATGAGACAGCCTTTCTCCATGGGTCGCTTACAAGTACGTCGAAATGCGAAAGAATTCTTACCTCTGTCAAGTGCCAATGCCGACATACTTCTTCTTTGGGACACATATGCCAGAAAATGTCAAGTCGTATTTAAATGCACGGGGCGCTTCGCGACGAGGGCCCGTAGAAGTCGCGTCAAATTTGTTCTACATGGGCAGCGCAGGCATTGCAACGATCAAAGGACTGCGTGTCGCGTTTTGTGGAGGCGTATGGACAAAACCATCGCTTAGCACGAATGCACCTGAACGAGCAGATGTATGCGCATGGCGCGAGCCTACGGGAACAACAGATGACATGCCCTTTGAGTGGTCGACGTGGGACACTCTTGAAACACGGGCAGCATCAGAAGAAGCTCTGCGACATTTACTTCGGCACCCAGCGGTAGCGCTAGGCGAAGCACGTGCTCCTGAATTACCGCGCGATCCAGAGAGCCTGAAGCAAGTGCGCGCATGGCAATATGCCCAAGCAGCATTTGAGTTTCAGCAAGAACAAGACGCACCAGCGTTGCGACGACGTGCACCGATCGACTTTTTGCTAACGAATGCGTGGCCTCTGGGTATCGAGGCTTTTTCTTGCCTACCTCCGCAGCAGCAGGAAAACACAAATAATGCCACTGCGGTAGAGCAAGGACTTGCCCCGCTTGCTCGTTTGGCTGAGGCATGTCGTCCTCGATACCATATTGCATGTGCACGAGATGCCGAGCCAGACGGCTTGTACTGGGAAAGAGAGCCGTACGAAAATTGGCCGTTTGCAAAGGTGCCTGAGCCACGATCCCGCCGAGTGACACGATTCGTATCGCTTGCGGCGGCAGCGAATCCGAGAAAGTGTCGATGGTTTCTTGCATTACAAGTTGTGCCGAGTGGTGCACTGTATCAAGACCCCGGTAGGCCATTCCCACGTTCGGAGCTGGATGATGCAGTGCCACCTACGACAACGCCTATGCCTTTATGGCAAATGGTCGAAAATTTGAGTGCAAGAGCTGCGACAAGACTGGGAGCTGCATCTGACGTGCCTCACAATGGAGATACACCGCGCAAAAAGCGTACACGGACCGAGGCACGTTCGTCAGTGCATAAACGACGCGCGGGCGCAACACTCCAGCCCGTTGAGCCAGACACTTGTTGGTTTTGCCTTAGCAATCCAGCAGTGGAAAAACACCTGATTGTATCGATCGGTGCAGAATGTTACATTGCGCTGCCCAAAGGCCAACTGCCCGTTTCGTCCAGTGATGAGACACTTGTGCCTGGAGGCGGGCATGTGCTAATTGTGCCGATTGTGCACACCCCTTCGCTGTATGCACGTGAAACATCAAATGCAGACCTCCGGCGGGAAGTCAGCGCATGGAAACACGCTCTGCGTGCGTGCTATGACGCTTACGAAGCCGTGCCCGTGTGCTGGGAAGTAGTGCGACGCGCATCGCGTGTTGCCCATGCACATGTCCAAGTGCTCCCAATCCCCAAGGCACGGGAGGCCGAGTGTGTGCAATATGTGCGAGAAGCCGCAGAACGGGACGGACTTACATGGGAGTCAGACGCCGTGGCAAGAGCATGGGCGGATGTCGATAATGGTGATGACGAGCATGCGAAAACTGTATTGCCGCAGGACCGTGCAGACTACTTTTACATGGAAATTGGAGCGACGCGCTTGCTGCTTCTGCTTCGTGGCGAACGCTTTTATCTGCAGTTTGCACGCGAGACACTTGCGACTTTCTTGGGCATGTCGGAGCGTTCCGACTGGCACGCATGTGCGCGCTCGCGAGAGGTTGAGCAGGTTGAGTGCGATGAGTTCAAGGAAGCGTTTATCGAGTATGCAGAGCAAGTAACAGACACTTAGGTGACGCGACGGCGCGTCTGGCGCGTTGTACGTGCAGGGCGACTAGGTTGACCTTTCGATACGAGTGGGCGCGCATGGCGACGCTCTAGCTTCGCTGTCTGAGTCTGCGTAGCATCTTCAAGGGCGTGATCTTGTGTGCTTTGAGACGCTGCATGAGCAAGCACATCTTCAAATTCGCGCAAGTCGGTGTCGCCTGCCTTGGCAGCGGCTGAAGAGGACTTGCCCTGGTGCATCTTGGCCAAGATTTCAGAAAAGCGCTGGAACACATCAGGCACATACAGCTTGTCTCGGTAGAAGGGAAGAGCATCGACGAGTTTTTTGATGGAGCGCTCAGATCGATAGGGCAGGAGCGAAAGACAGAAAGCAATATCGCGCCAGGACCGTTCCTCAGTCGTGAGGCGGAAGCGCTGGCAGAGTTTCTCAATCACATTCTCCGCTTGGCGCTCCTTATCAATGAAGGTAAAGATGAAACGCATCGTATTCATAAACGTTGTCTCGTCGACAGCATGCTCTCCTGTCGAAAGGTGACTGATTATGTCTGGCAGGTTGTTGTACACGGCGTTTTCTTTCGCGGCCAATTCGCTGAAGAAAAGCTTGGCCAAATCGCTCACACGCATTTCCTCATCCTCGAGACATTTGGCAAGCTCGCCTAATTGTCCCTTGACTTTGATCATGCCGTTGAGAATCAGGTGAGTCAGCACCATCAGCGTATTTTTTTTCACACCCAAGTCCTTGTCACCGAGGCCTGCGTACAAACGCTCACTGTTCTCGTCGACGAGCGTGCCAAAACACACAGCGACGTCACCAAGACCAATGACCGCATTCGCACGAACGACCGCATCCTTGGACGTTCGCAACAAATGCAGTAGCAGGCCCAAATTTGCCTCACAGTACTCAGCTGAGATGCACATGAACTTGCACAGTGTCAGAGCCGCGGCACGCTGCAAGAATATATCCGGATATTGCCTTGTATTCGAGCAGATGAACGGCACCACATTCCCGTACAAGGCTAGTAGACTTTCTGGTCCGTACAGGAGCTCACGATCACGCACCCATGCCATCGTTTCGCCAATGTCATCCTCAGCCTGCTCCGCAACCTGATCAAGCTCCGACGCCGTCGCTGGCTTGGACGCACCAGAGTTTTGCTGCGCTGCATCGTCACGCATAGCCTTCCGCCGCTTAAATTCTCGCTCGACCAGCTCCAAATGCACCATCTGCTTTAACGCCACATGACCCACCACAAACACGAGCTGCGCCATCTGGTACACATCGTTTGTGCGCTGGTCCGTTGAAGCAAATGCAGCGAGAGTCATGTGGCGCAGGAGTTCCGTGCAAAGAGCATCTGGCTGCTCTCCCAGGAGATAGATCGCATCAATCGCCTGCTCAGCGACGCCGAACCATTCGGAATGACGGTCCTTCTCATCTGTTGATGGCATCTCAATGATCGAACATAATCGGGTGAACATGGGGTGTTGCATTGGATAACGGACATGGCCACCTGCGAGAGTGCCTTTCACTTTTTTCGTACTGCCACTAACGTGCTGCAGGGCGATGCAAGTATGCTTTGCCAACACGAGATCTTTCGAACCAACATGGCCGAGACCAATGCGCAAAAGCACATCCATCTTTTCTGCAACAAGCTCGCGCTCAGCCTTCGCCAGCATGCTCAGGATCATGATCGCTCCTCGGCGCTGAGCACGAGAGATGGGAAGCGGACTCGCATACACGTCCCAAAGCTTTTCAACGACGGCGCGCTCCACGAGACCCTCTGCATGCATGAGGCTAAAAAGCTGCTCAAGACTCGTGAGTTCAGCAAGAGTCGCACCGAACGTGCGCTCGATCATATTGCGGCATACAAGGGCGACGTGCTCAGAGCGACTTAGACCTGGGTAGGGATCAAAGTAGAGTGAGCGATACACTTCGATAAGACGGCTGCGGATCCCTTTCAGCTGACTGCCGTCTTCCATGACTAGGGCATTATCTTTTGTCCAAATCAAATGAATCATGGCTCGGACGCCGTCAGAAGCGCCATGAATCCTGTATTCATGGGCGACGCGAAAAAACTCCATACTTTCAAGCACCTCTGCCTTGTTTGTAGATGCAAGCAGTTGAACAAGGATCGGGACGCCTTGCTCAAGAAGGTGGATGAACTTGAGTGCGTCTTCGTAGTATGTCATAGTGAGACGCAACTTGACGAGTTTTTCATGCTCTGCATGCGTCATAGACTGCTGCGTAGCTGCAAGGGCATCTAGGTCAAGCTCAGAGCGTCGTGGTTTGCCGCTGCGACTCGACATTTTACCTGACATGTCTTCATCGCCTTGGTCTTGGTCCTCGCCGTCTATGCCAGCATCGGCTTCACCCTCCTCTGTCACAGGAAACGCGAGTCGTTCCTCAGCCTTTTCGAGCTCTGAACGTACAACATCCCGACGCTGCGTCCATGCATCAGCATTGAGTTCACCGCCATGCATAACACCATATGGATGTGTCAGTACAAGTTTTACAAGAAGGGCAATAGCATTCCGGCGCACATTACTGCTCTTATCCTCAAGTGACTGGACTGCCAGCGATGTCATCCGCAGTCTTTGGGCAGGGAGCCGCACGGCCAAGTCACAAAGTCTACCACAGACCTGAATGGCTTTGGTACGAACGAACGTCGTTAAATCAAGGAATCGCTCGAACAAGCGCTCGAAAAGCACGTCCATTTGCTTCTCACGTGCATTGCGCGTATCATCACCATCATCGTCCGTGTCGAGTTGACCAGCTTTACTATTTAGTGCTGCGTCGACGTCATCTTCACTTGTAGCGAGGTACTTGATAAGGAGGCCATGCACCTCGACCATGGCATTGCGAATTGGATATGATTCACTCTCCTGCTGCCTCTGCAACAGACTCATGAGCTTCAAAACACTGCGCGGATTCAGCTCCGTCATGCGCACGAGGAAACGGGCATAGCTCCGTGGACCCTTTGAATCAAGACTTGTAAATGACTTCGCTGCAAAATCACGAAGCACATCCTCCCCAAGAACTTCAACATCAAACTCCGTGCGCATGGCACCCAGGAGCTCCGCCATAGGCTCGGCCAAATGCTCGTAATACTGGAGCGCTTGTGATATACTGGTCTGGACATTTAAGCCCTGGCCGTGGAGTTTGACTGCCAAACATACAACCCTAAATATGCCCAATTTGATTGCTGTGTCCTTCAGATATACTTCATTTTCTTGACACAGCATCACTGGTCGGAGAATGCACCGAGATATGAACGTATCACGGCTGGCTTTCGATGTCCACATGCGTTCAGGTACTGTACGAAGCGTTTTAGAAAATAGCCTCAAAACGACTGGGAGCGAAGAGGCCCACGTCCACGATCCTTCGCCATTGTCTCTAAAAGCGGTGGACAATGTTGATGATGAACCAGCACGCTTGGTGATGCCCTTGTCAGACTTTCCAAACAACTCGCGATGTTTTTCCAGTAGTTCAACAAGCCATTGAAGAAGAAAAGCATAACGCTCCAAAGGTTCAGTCCAAGCAGCCCATTGGGATGAATCCAGTTCTACAACTTCTTCAATCGTAGCATTCATTCCACTAAGAATGGTGTCCAGGAGTCTGTGAGCCAGGTGGTTCGGCAAGTTGCTCACACTCTTGATGCATGATAGCATGCACTGATATACATCAGAATCATTTACAGAAGTAGCTGAGGATGCTACTGCATCGACAATACGTGTGACGAGATCTTGCTGAGCCATGACGTCCATTGCACTCACGTCGTATTCAATGATCATGTCATCCTCCTGAAGACGCAAAAGTTGTTCTGCAAGGTCAAACGATGATCCAGCATCCATCTCCGTGTTATGCATGAATCAAAACCAACAAACGATGACTCGGACAAGAATTTTCTATCCCCTTGAACCTCTCTTTCTTTTCCTTTACTCTCTATCTCTCTCACTCACTCACACACTCTCTCTCTCTCTTTCTCTCCTCTTCCTGTCGCTCTTACGTCTCTCTCTCAAAGCTCAACACACAGGACGCGTGTTGGATGGATGTGTTGAGGGAGCGACGCGCGTCGAATATATCACGTGACGGTAAGCATCTCGACAGGGGGGCGATGGGTTCAGCCTGTTCGTCGATAGCAGCCACGCGTGCAGACGGACAGAGAACAGATTCGTGAGGAATCAATCGATCTCTGGTATCCGAGAGAATTGGAAAGACGATGGTGAGTATCAGAGCCAATGTCTTGAAGGCCGCAGACAGAACTGACGCCCGCACAGGATCGACAAAAGACAGCGCCGCCGACACTGCGGAATGTAGTCAACTTTCTGCGAAATAAAGCGCAAATGAAGACACGTTCAGGCATTCTGAGTGGGCAACGCGTCGAGTACTTTAAGGGCAACTCGGCTATCAAGGCCGTTTTGTCACCTGAGTATGCAAAGCTGAAGAATGTTCCGGCTGTGACGAACGAAGAAGAAGCTGAGCGGATGCTTCACAGCATGTTGCCATTTGCCTTTTTCCTACGTGTGGAACGAGGCGATGCACCACCTGCTGGTAAGGACGGCCCAGCACCCCGACCTCTGCAGGTGAATCAAATGCAGATGTTCGATAAGGATATGTACTATGTGTGGCTGTATGAAGGTATGCAACTTTATCAAAAGTTGGCAGGACTGGGCCTGATTGTTGCGTTACTGGGCCTTGTCATGTTCCCGCTATGGCCTGTATTTTTGCGGCGGGGCGTCTATTACTTGAGTTTGGGTGTATTGGCTTTGTTTGGTTTGTTGATGGTAATTGCAGTGATTCGTCTGATTATCTGGCTGATCACCATTGTGGTGCTTCCGCCTGGTATTTGGATCTTCCCGAACTTGTTCGCAGATGTGGGTGTGATTGAGTCGTTCATCCCATTGTGGGGTTGGGATGTTCCGCCCGAGAAGAAGAAAGTGAAGCGCACGAAAAAGAAGGGAAAGAAGCACGCTGATGTGTCGGAAGCTGCAGCTTCAGCAACGACCATCGACGATGCCACCGTTGACAACGATGCGGACGGAGAGGCGGCCAATGAAGGCGAGGTTGGCGCGTCGACGTCAGTCTCAACAGAGTCCAAGAACTATGCTGATATTAATTAGGTTTCGTTCGTCATGGACATGCATGCTCAACAGTGGTATTGATATGCATCGTTTTGCGCGACAAACCTGACGCTGGCGTTTTCTCTTCGACTCCCATTCCAATCATCCCGAACATTGCCTCATTTTTTTTTTCTCATTCATAGTGTACAAACAGCCTACTTGCTTGTCTTGGTGATGGCAAGGACGCCGGAGGCCAGAGTCATTTCCAAATGCTTTTTGAGCGACCAGAGCCACACCATCATAAAAACAGGCATGCAGAGTAATACGTTCAGCACTGGGAAAAGGTCCGGATACCGCAGGAGCAGGCCGTCGATCCAAGCAATGCGGGGCGCACAAGCCACGAACCCCTGTAGGAGAAGGAGACCCAGCATGCCGAAGTGCGCAGCAGCACTCAGCCAAGCAACAAATGTAGCACGGGTCGTATGAAGCGCCTCCCATGGTCGGTAACCAATCAGTGCATTCCATACCAGCAGCAGGATGCACCATGCAAGGCCCTGACCATCGCGTAGGAGCAATGGCCACAAGCTGAACATGCCGACATTGTTGGTTAGAACAGCCCACTCCCAATCAGCAGCGACGGCGCCAGCGCCTGTGCGATCGCCTTTCACTGTCATGAGCATCGTTAGGGGGAGCAGGGGAAGCAAAATGCTTTTTTCGTGTGTCTGGAAACCAAAAAGGAAAAAGGCTAGTGACGTCGACACCAGGGTATATGGAAACAGTTCAGCTGCAGGCGATGGCGTCACAGACGAACGATGGGATGTCGGTCGAATGGCAGTCATTGTCGGTGTTATCGACGCGCTGGGGCGTGAGTGACCGTCAGCACCACGCATCAAGGTGGACGTGCTCCCTGCCAACAACGAGCCGCTCGCCACTGAGTGTCGGTCAGAGCCCCGGCTGGAATCGTGCACGGATGCAGCGAGAGAGCGTGCACAGCCGCCATCGTCGCGCATACTTGATGCCAAACGGGAATACGACTTACCTGATGCCACGGAGCCTGCATGACGACGCACTTTCGCGACGACTTGTTCAGCTTGAGCATCATCCATGATAGATTCACGATAGACAGACTCGATAGATGCAAGGAACAAGAGCACACAACTCGGCAGGATTGCAAATAGTACAGTGACAAGGCTAAGCTTGGCCAGGGTCGACACGTGAAACATGTGCTGCAATTTCCACTTCGCACCCACGGGCAAAACACTCAGGGCACACCACACGTTGGCGACCTTGTCTTCAAAAAGGCCGCGAGCAAGTGGAAAGATACGGTGGATGACCTGAGCTAAATCTGTCCAAGAACGGAGCCAAGGCGCAAAGACGGAAGCGAACGTGGCTGTCGTTACACATGCTAGACCGGCAAATAGCGCCATTCCACGCAGCCATTGGTGGCTCAGCAGCAAACCAACACATCGACCAAACATAATAGCAAAGATGGCCGGCGCATAGTAGAGCGCCATTTGCTTGAAGCACAAGCTGAGCGAAAATAAGACGGCGGCGGCCAAATACCGCAGACTTACATGTCGACTGAGTGTGTCAAGCACGAGACGCTGAAGAGCGGCCGTAGCCACAGCCGGTCCGCGAATGCTGGCGTGAACATGCGGGAGCTTGGATTGCAGAAGCGCGAAGCTCATGGCCGAGAGACCGAGCATGACGCTATTGTACTGGAAATGCCCATGATCCACAAGAATCAGCATAGGCTGGAGCCAGACAGATAACAGAGCTATTTGGCGCACGCGCTTACTGCGGGACTCATAGCGGCGCGAAATAAACCACGCAACAGAGGGAAGATAGATCAGCACATCAAGAACAAGAACACTGAGCCGCATGTACAGCACGACAGCAGGCGCCTCGGAGCCACGCGATGTGTCCAGTTCCAATCCATCACGTAGAGCCGGAAACCACATGGCCACCCACGCACAAAGCCAGCTTACCCACGCGGTGAATGGCGGATAATCCAGGCCCCAGTACGGCAAGTCGTACAAGTACCACTCGTCTGTGGGCAGGTGCCATGTCAGCTCAAGCCAATGCCGCTGTGCCTCAAAATCTCCATGCATCGGCGGCATTCCACGCCCGCTCCAATCGCCAAGCGCTACAATGCAGCGCACCATGATAGCCACAAGCAGACCCAAGTACACCAGCGCATCCTGTAGCTCCTCTTGCGACAGATACCGCAGTACGGATCGAAGAGGCACATCCGTGCCCGAAGCAAGATCTTCACGCACGTGTCGACGATGTTTGACGATCCCGCTACGCGCGTCCAAGTATCCCTTCCGGCTCGCAAGTACTTCGTTCTGCAACGCTTGTATATGTTGCTCGCGCCACTGGGCAATACGTTCATGCGAAGGTGCATCACAAATGGACTCTGGGACTGTCCCTCCTCCTACTGCGCCCCCTGCCGATGGGGTGCCGGACCACAATACACGCGAGCTGGAGGAATACGCTCGCGCGCTCATCGCATCTGATCTGTCGATGGTAGCACTTGTCCTCGTAGTCGCGTTTCCACGTGCACGAGTCTTTGATGACGAAAGCCCATCATCTCTTCGACGTGATGTCGCACGAGGTCCATGTATATCGCTGCAGGCCCGCCCGTTGGGGATGGACGTTGCCACGGCACCCTTAGCGTCGGCGTCGTCATGATCTGGAATATGTTGTAGTCGGGGGACCATCGCGTCGCGACGTGAATATGTTCGTGGGGATTTGGATGGCGCCGCAGTGCTGCCAAGCGATGAGGTCGAGAGTCTCTGCCGTGGAGCTCGTGCCTGCATACGCGAAGACCCGAGAAGTGGAATATCAGCCGCACAATCAATGTCGGCATCGTTTTCAATTGTAGAGCGCGGCGGTGGCAGTGGCGTCTGGCGCTCCGCCTGCACCACCTCGCATCATTGTAGGAACAAAGATCCAAAGGCAGGTAAAAAGAGCCAACAGGCAAAGGTAGTGAGAAAACGCGTCTCGCGCCTAGCTTGGACAGCTGGGACCAACGCTTGCGGCGCTTGCCGATGGGCCCACAACCGCCCCCAATCCCCCTTCCTCTCCGCTGGAACAGGCAGGCAAGACGGTCTGGACTGCACAGGTGTGTTGTTGATGACTAAGACAACCAGGCCACACTCCACTCGCTTGGGAACGCGTCGCGGGTGCGCCAAGTGTGGTGGCGATCGAAGGTGTGGGAATAGTGTGAGTGTGCGTCACGCGAAGGGAGAAGAAGTATCGTTAAGTGTTGGAAACCGACAGAGTCTCGACGTAGCCGCAGCCAGGAAGAGCAGCAAGAACAGTAGACACGGCGTCCTTACCATAATTTGTGGTCTGCGGAAAAAAATAAAATAAAGCCGACGGCAACATGGCGACAGAGTTTGACGATGTACTGACGAATCAGCCAGTCGTTATCGACAATGGGTCAGGCACGATTAAGGCTGGGTTTGCTGGTCAAGATACGCCCAAATGCTTCTTCCCAAACTGTGTCGGACGACCGAAACACACACGCGCTATGGCTGGTGCCGTCGAAGGCGATCGGTTTATTGGTCGCAAGGCACAAGAACTTCGTGGACTCTTGCGTATGCGATATCCGATGCAGCATGGCATTGTCGAAGACTGGGAGGATATGGAGATGATATGGAATCACGTATACGCTGATGAGCTTAAGACATTGTCGGAAGAGCATCCTGTGCTACTGACAGAAGCGCCACACAATCCGCGCTCTAATCGAGAGACAGCTGCGCAGATTTTTTTCGAGACATTCAATGTGCCGGCAATGTACGTCAGCATGCAAGCCATCCTAGGTCTGTACTCTTCGGGAAGAACCACAGGTGTGGTATTAGACTCAGGTGATGGTGTCACACATGCTGTCCCTGTGTATGAGGGTTTCGCTATGCCACATGCCATTCGCCGGATCGACGTGGCCGGCCGCGATGTCACGGAACATTTGCAATACCTGCTTCGTCGATCCGGATACTACCTTCACACATCTGCTGAGAAAGAGATCGTACGTGCTATAAAAGAGAAATGCTGTCAGCTGGCTGTCCCGGGCCAAGATGATGTCCATCAGCACCACCACCGGCAACCGCAACACGACCACCACCAGCATGAACATACAGACAGCGAGCGCCTGGTAGAATTCACTTTGCCAGACGGTAATATTGTCAAATTAGGCCACGAGCGCTACCGTGCACCGGAGACCCTCTTTCATCCCGAGCTTATTGGGCGGGAGGATGTCGGCACTCATCAAGTGCTGATGGATGCCATAGGACGTGCGGATTTGGACCTTCGGCGGCATCTCTATGGCAACATTGTACTGAGTGGAGGAGCCACTTTGACACGTGGATTCGGCGAGCGATTGCTGACGGAAATCAAGCAGCTTGCGCCCCCCGATACGAAGATCAAGATCTCGGCACCACCTGAACGCAAGTATTCCACGTGGATTGGCGGCAGCATATTTGCTGGTCTAAGTACTTTCCGGAAGGTACGTAGTGGCGCGACCATCCGTCACAAATGCACGTTTGCACGACACATGTACTGATAACACAAAGATGTGGATATCGGCAGACGCATATCACGAGGATCCTTGCATAGTCCATCGCGTACGTATTTATGCCCCCTACGATTGGCCAGCCGATGACTAACAGATGACATAATTTTACGCACCATAGACGTTTTAGTCCATAGAATCGACCGAGCGCCGCGGGCGTTGTTCTCAGCGAATTATATTCCTCATTTACGGTTGGCGATGCGCAGGTGCGCCCGGAATCTTGAGAATCGCCGTACACGCGCCCAAGTGCAAACGAACTAGAACCCTAGTCGCCTTTGGGGGTCTGTCGCAGCTGTGTGTGTGTGTGTGTGAACGTGCGTGTGTTCGTGTGTGTGTGCATGTACAATTAAACACACCTTGAGAGTTGGTACAGTCCACCATTCTGTCTTGTCGACCAACTTGAAACTAGAGATACGGCGCTCCTAGCACCGCGTGGCACACCATTGCTGCGCCCCCCAGCAAAAGACGCTTGCCTCTTCTTAACGAACCGTGGGCCCTCACTGACACGCAACTGAGAGTTTTTTCTTTGTGTGTCGCTCACAAAATGAGACTTGAGCTGTTGAATGACTCGCGCCTCGAGGCCGGGCGTGAGTTTGTTCCCATCAAGCGATTGGGCACCGGATCTTTCGGCACAGTATTTGTCGCTGATTGGCACAGCCCACTCCCATCTGGCACGATGGTGCCGGCCATGCAACATTCTTATGCCCGCCCTGAATATGTCGGAAAACGTATTGTGGCAATCAAAAGAATGATTCGTCCGTATTCAACACTCGAAGACTGTCTCTCGTTAAATGAGCTGCATGCTCTGATTGCCCTTCCGCCGCATGAAAATATCATTGCTCTCTATGACGTATTCCGAAAGCCGATTTCGCAGGAATTATACCTCGTGTTTGAGTGCATGGAAGGCAACCTGTTCCAGCTTATGAAGTCCCGAAAAGGTCGTCCGATGGCGCCAGGGCTTATTGCCTCGATCATACAACAGTCCATCGCAGGCATAGAACACGTACACTCACAAGGCTTTTTCCATCGCGACTTGAAGCCAGAAAATCTGTTGATTACCACCACAGGTCTAGGTGAATACCCTCTTTCGAAGTCTCAGATCGATGGTACAAAACAGGATGTACTAGTTGTCGTCAAAGTCGCTGACTTTGGCCTAGCTCGAAAAATGGAGGAGAATGCGACGTTTACGACGTACGTGTCAACACGCTGGTATCGTGCGCCTGAGATTCTGCTCGAATCTCAGAAGTATTCGTCGGCCGTTGACCTTTGGGCATTAGGCGCCATTATAGCTGAAATGGTTCGCCTCGAGCCATTGTTTCCGGGAAACAACGCAATGGATCAGCTTCAGTGCATTTGCAGCGTGTTGGGTGCGCCTACAAACGATATGCATCTCCCTCTATCGAATGGCTCCCTCTGGCCGGCCTGGCTTGATGTGATGCAACAGTGGGAGCGTTCAGTGCAACCGCTTTCACCAGTATCGCTTGAGCGATACTTTCCCTTCCCTACCTCGGATGTTTTATTGGACTTCATCTTTCACATACTCCGCTACGACCCCGCGGATCGACTAACAGCCAGACAGTGTTTGCAACATCCTTTCTTGGTGAATGAAGCGCCTAAACTGCGACCGACCCGTCGCATGATTCCAGAGCCTACGCATCACCCCCCCGCTACTGCCCTCAGCTATGACACTGACTCGCCCTACGAGTCTGATAGCGTCGGATCTCCAGAGGGCGCGCTGGAAGCTGTTCGCGACACACCACCGAAATCAGAGCTTCATGAGCATTCGGACGTGATGAAACGCTTGAATTTCGCACAAGGCGACAACCAATATGTCCTTTTTCCCAAGTCAAGTCTCTTGCACCGATCACAAGTCTCGCCTGGATCACGCTCCAATTCCCCTTTGTTCTTTATGCACACCAGGAAAAAAACTCAAGAGAGCACACGAAGCATGACTGAAGCCATTGCTGCATCCCCGTCGGCTTGCACTATGACTCCTCCGACATTGCGTCCGAAGAGCGAAGGCTTTTCGGATCGAAGACCGTCCTTTTTCTCCGAGCGACATGAATCGGGACACCTTTCGTCTGGCACTCTTTTGCGCCGAGGCAAGAAAGATCCTGTGGAAAAGGAGACAAAAGAAATGGAGCGAAAACGTCGTGAAGATGAAAAGGCTAAACTTCGTGAGCGATCGCGTGCCGTTGTACAAAATCGGGTTAATATGATGCAAGACCAAGGCTTGAAAACACATTCGAAGCGGTGGGTTGATATTGGGCTGTAGGGATGTACCTTGTCGTTGATAGTATTGTTGATATATAGTTACGTATATGCGTGTACATGTGATTTTTTTAAGCTTCATGGTCCTGCCAAGAAACATGTCTTGTCATGTATAATCATCGTTACCACCAACGTTATACTGTCCATCCAATTTGTGCATGAGAAAAATCGTATATTCAAAGCTAACCAGAGGTGATGTTCTAGATACTCACATGCAAACAGAATGGCGCAAATGCTAGGCATTCACTATATGCACCTTCGACACATTCAACAAGGATAAGAGCTTTGAGTAAAACCATATTGGTTTCACGAGAGCATGCGACCAAGCACAGAACGACCAAACCATGATCGTTTGTTCGACTCAACTTTGGATCGTTGTTCACGTGTCTTTGGTCCTGTCTCGTATTGCCCTTGGAACGAGGAAGAAGGCGGCATCCGATGCGACACTGTTTCGGGCGCCTTTGCTTGTGATTGTGTCTGTGGAAGACCTGTTACAGATGGGATATTCGTGGTAGATGACATGCCTTCATTCACACGATCTTGCGAGGGCTGCGACTGCGCAGGCGATGGTATGGAGCCGAGCGTAAACGTTGGCTCGTGAAAGGAGCCTGAACTCTGACTAGGTTCGACGGGCGCCAGGCTTTGATGCCATAAGTGCGGCAGGTGCAGCTGAATCGGATGACGCTGTCGGTAGCCAAATTCCAGACGACACTCGTGATGAATGATCCGCATGTGCAAATGAGGAATGACCTGGAACATGAATAGGCTTTGGCGAAGACTCTGATGGGCCAAGCAGATCACCAATTGGAGCAGTAGGATCATACAATATTGTCGACGAAGGACCCTGATTAGGCACCGCTGTGGAAGATGCCGACTCCGTTGTAATAGCAGGTACCGACGTGGGCGGAGGTACAAAAGACTGCGATAGCACAGGCGTTGGTACTGGTCCTGAAACAGGAGCAGTGAAAGAAGTATGTGAATGATTTCTTGGGACGATTGGAGGAGCTGCATGGTGGGAAGATAAGGGCTGAGAAACAGAAGCTCGTTTGTTGGAGAGGCCGGTGGGTGTGGACTGCGCCAATTCCAAAGAGGAGTCATTTACCCGAGCATCGAACAAATCGGGCTCGTCAATAGCCTGGTAAAATAGTACATAGGCACTGCCGACCTCAGGCGCATCGCCAAAGTACTTGGGAATATCACTTTCAGGAATGAAGGTGACATCTTCGTCATCAAAAATTGCCCAGCGAGCCCCAATTTTGATTATTGACACATAATGGCCCTGGTGCGCACCAGAGCCAATGTGAACGACGATGCCAAATAAGTCGTAGAGTTGGTCTGGCTGAGTCGCCTGGTGGGTGGTATTGAACAACCGCATGTTCAATGGAAACACAACTCGGCAGGCATGCTTCACATATGCCTGTCTCATATCGTCCCATTTGAATCGCTTCAAGTGCAAAGCAAGGATATTTGGAGGCTGCTTGATCTTCATTCGTTTTTCTGCCTCTTGCAAACTCGAGCATGTGTCGCAGTAAAACTTGTTTCGCCCTGACAGCATCTCACTCTCTGAAAACTGCCGCAAGCTCGATGATACAGACGTGTTGGCTTCCACGTTAATCGAAAGATCCAGAAATTCTTCATCTCGGTTCGTAATTGTTTCACATGACAGACAACGTGTTTCGTTAGTGAGTACACCCTGGAATAGTTTATGAATGTACGTTGGATGATCTTTTACAGTAGGACTGCTAAACGATGGAGTTAATGGCGTGAAGGATTGCTCTCTTGCGCGCTGTGAACGCCTCTTACGCTTGTCCATCAAGTTTTGGCCCACTTGATTTAGAATAAAGTTGAGAAATTCATGTGCATCGTGGTGCATACTGCTGTCAAACAAATTGCAGTTTTGGTGTAAAGTCGACAAGAACATTTTCAGGGCACCTGCGTCAACGTTCTGACTCAAAATAGCCGGTGCTTCAAGCATCGAGCTGCTGTGTATCCTGCCGTTACTCGCATCGGCAGACAATCGGACGGATGCAAGTGCAATGGAATGAAATAGTGCAGCGAGCGCGTCTTTCATGTTCATAGAGACAGGTGTTGATGCTAATGTCTTTTCTGACGCCAATCCATCCTGCAACGATGGTAAAGGTGATGGATGTGGTGACTTGTCGACTGACATGACAGCATCACGGAATGGTTTGCAGTAATAGAGCGCCTGAAGCACAGAATTCGCGTAGCATGAATTGCCAAAATTTTCCATACCAAGGAGCACAGCCTCCGATGTATCTGTTTGAAGGGCATTGTACATATTTGAAGCCCATTGATCCCACTCAGCAGATTTCCAGCCATGTGCAATATGTAGAGGCGTGATATCACGAGACAAACGTTGCGTTGAGCGTGGTGGTGACGTTGACGAGTCCAAGAGGCTCAATGGCTTAATTTCCGACTTTATGCCTCGCCGCATAGCTACACCGGAATTTTTGGTGCCATTGGTATCTTGCACGGACGCAGAGGCTTGGGGCGCACAATAGAGAAGTGACGGTGACGAATTGATCGTCACGGATGGGGGTGGCTGGTCCATTTTTTAACGCAGCGAGGCGTTGGCACGTTTCAAACTATGCCTGAAAATGCACAGTTACAGTACGTGGTAAATTGAGCGGGACAAATAACACAGCACAGGAGTCTATGCCAACACACTCAACAGGTCAAACTGTAACAAGCACTGAATACGTGGCTAATAACGCTATCATTTGCACCTGGCACTTATCTGACAAGTCACATATACCACGCGCGCCTAACCTCCACGCAGGTTTTGGTCGGGAACTCCTGTCCACGCTCGCCTGCCACTTCACGTAGACAGTACCTCACAACGCTCTTAACCTGTAGATGAACTTACAGCCAGTTCGCGACTTGCACACAGCTCGCTCAAGAAACCCTATTAGATGAGGCATGGCCATGCCTGAAAAATGATCAACAAAAAAATAACGTCAAGCTACAAAACTGTATCAATGGATGAACTGACTGAACCAGCAGACAAGTCATTCAACAAGAAATGAAATGAAATGAAAGAGATCTCTTTCTAAGCAGAGACATGATCCAAATGAAACATTAAAAAGGCCCGTTCATTCGCGCACCGCGCAAAGAACAGACAGAGAAACGTAGTAAGTGTCCGTCCGATAGATCCTTGACCAATCTAGATCGTTAAGCAGATGCGCCAGGCATTATCATCTCAATTTTTCAAGTGTGTATTATTCATAAGAACGTTCGTCAATAAAGGCAAACTTTAGATTTTCAGTTTAAAAGGTCCAAAGAGGGCGAGATCCCAGGGATTAGGCGTACGGCTTGTCCACATCGAAAGACCAGTCGTGATACCCTCGTCCAGCGTACCGGTGGTTGCCAAACGCTTGAAAGCACTCTTCGTAAGGTCAATGTGGTCGGCACTGCAACCCTCGCAGTGATCAACGATACGGACCTTCGTGCACTTCTGGGTCTTCTCATTACAGAGACGGACAAAGTCACCACACGATGGGCCATTTTCCCACCCCTTCATCACAGCACCAATGTGGTGGTGGTTCTTGGGGCTCCAGTGACCGGAACCACAAGCAGGGTCCTTGAGGTCATGAGAAGCATACCAAGTGATCTTGACGCCTTGCTTCCAAATCTTCTCAAGATAGTCTGGACCGTGTGTGAACGAGTGGATACGAGCTAGAGCGACGTCGCGCTTATTCATACCAAAGCTAGACTTGCCGCGAACGTGGACCGAGCGTTTGTGCTCGGTTTCCTCGTGCCAGTCTGGGTCACCACCCGAGTCAATGAACTTGATTTGATTGCCGCTATCGTCGAAGAACTTTTCTTCATCTGCGCGAGCCACAGTTACAAGAGCGACCAGCGCAAAAATAACACACAAAGCAAACTTGAGATAACGAGTCATGGAGATAGATAGCGCGTTTCGGTTGACTGAAGGTTTCTTGATGTTGACGGGATTCGTTAAGGTAAGGATCTGGCGGCTAGCGCTCAGGGAGGACAGGGGATAAGAGAAAGGTGATGTTGGTAAGGATTGAAGTGACCGGCCCAAATATATCTCTGGACACGCAGTTTGACCCCTGACTGCCTGTTTCGTGCGGATGCGCAACTCCACTCTTATTTGTTCTCGAACAACAACAATGGCCAGTCGCATCTCGTGCTCATGCACGGCAAAGCTTATATGCATGGTTACGTTATAGTGTCCATAGTCGATATTTTCTTCCATTGGACCAAAATATTTCTCCATGGGATTTACATTTATGCACAAGTCTAACCCCTATACGATAATTGCATGTGATATGACGCATACTGCTGTGGTCATGTCGAGGGCGTTCTGGGCGTTTGCTGCGAGGCTGCATGTTGTGTGGAGCTGGATGGCAGTCCTCGTGACGATTGATTGTGTACGCCACACGCAGTGCCATGGCCATTAGCCTATCCAGGAAGGCGTTGTCTTTAAATGTATCAGCCCCGTAGAAGATTGCCGGACTTCGTCCTACACTGCCCCCTATCACGGCCTTTTACGACATCGATTCACGCGTTGAGTCAAACTGTTCCCCTTCGAGTACAGATTTGCCATCCTCCTCCGATGTGAGATCAACCATTGCAGTAACCTGTAGACACTGCCACGTGCAAGTTTGTCAATGAGCCGCTTTCATGCAAAATGTGCAATAATTGTGTTATGTCCGAGGTAGGAGCTGCATCGTGCACAACGTACCCACGGATCTTTTTTCGTGCACATGTGAGACTCATTTGATTCGCTTGTGCACGCGTCGCGGAATGAGGCCTAGACTTTTCATGTATTGAAGTCTTATTCACCGGTGTTTGTCTTTATATTCGGCTCGAATACATGTTGCTCAGATCTATCTGCGCTTCTCCTTGTTCGACTTCATTCTGCAATGATCTGAAGTTGCTGTGTTTCTGAGCGCGTTTTGCGACGCTGATACACATGGATGATTGACGACCGCGACGACGCCCCAGACTAAAATCCCATTGTTTAGGAGATGCACATGCCAAATGAGTTAGGACGCTATCGTTCATTAGACAAATAGTCTATGTAAGTATGATTCAATCTTGGACTCCATTCGCTTGACGGCCTCTTGCAATCTCCTATCATGCCTTGTTTTGACTTCCCTTCTTTCAAGAGCGACAGTCGTTAGTCAATAGCCATGTAGCTTAGGTTTCAGACCCTATTGTCAGTGCGGTGCTTAGACCACCTGTTCGGCGCCACGGTAGAATGGTCACGTGACAAATGATTCGCTCGACGTGGTCTTTTTGCTAAATCGAGTGCAGCGGAAACTGGCCATCTCGAGACCTGTGCACCTACCATGTGGATTGGCCATATGCCTTGCGCAACGCCGCTGCGGGCTGCCTTGAGCTGGAGGCTCCAAGGGCGTGTTTATACAAACTTAACTTCACAGTCGGTACGGCGCATGGCGACTCGATCACCACCCCCTCACTCGACGCCTGATGGTGCTCAGAACATGTCGAAAGAACAGGCGGAACTGTTACGCTTGCTCAGAGAAAGTGAGGCCATGGCAAATAAACGAGCTGATGCGCGTACACAGGAACAGTCGCTTGGACTTGCCGGTGTAGCTCTGTCGCAAGGAGGTACAGCAGTTGGTTCAAGTCGGGTAGACAAATGGACAGGTCTAGGCAAAAAATGGGGTGACTTGAGCGGGGGTCAAAAGGCAGCACGCGTTACAGTAAACACTTCGCGTCTGTTTGTTATTACTTTTGGTGCTACATTAACGTTCGTTATTGGGTACGCGCTTTTCTCTGAGTTGTTTGCACAAAATAGCCCGACAGTGATTTACAATGAGGCTTGTAAACTTATCGAGAAGAGCGACAAAGTGCATGCACACTTGCTAGAACCATACCGGTTCCAGACATCGCTGACAGATTTTCGCAGCGACTACTCGCCATTGAACCCACCTTCCCATCCACATCGCCCATCGCAGACCGTGCATTCGACTCGGTATATGGATCCTCGTACAGGACATGAAATGATGGTTTTGCATTTCTTTGTTCAGTCCCGTGACAAGGATGAACCATTGGGATATTGGCAGTACGCACGCTCTTCCATCATCACAGGGGGTCGTTGGCTCAAGATGAAGGCTATTGAAGGCGGCATGTTCGTGTATGAGTGGTGGAAAGAACAAACGAGTCAAGAGCCAATCATCCGGAGACCTGAGGCTGCTCCATTAGAACCGACTCCTCCCGCTCCTGCTGAGCCATGGTGGATCACTAGAAAGCTTCGCAGTTTTGTGCACGGCGTCGGCACGCTCGTTGGACAAACGAGTGATGCGGTTGGAATGTCATCCTTGGACTTTGCTGGTACGAAGCCTGTGCCTGGCACATGGACGGATGGAGAGGTGCATATTGAGCTTGTGAAGGACGATAATGGCGTCTTCCAATACAAACATTTCTCCATTGATATTCCCAGCTCGCACTCACCTTTGCGCCGCCGTGTGTACTTAGACCGCCGACATGGTGACTTGCCCGCGAGGTAGAGCAGAAAATGCATGATATATGTACACGAGTGTATGTATGTTTGCTTGAATTCTCGAGCAAATGCATCTTACGAAATACAAAGATCATCTCTATAGTTTCATACCCTCTGGAAGCATCATCGCCTTGTCACGCTCTTCGATGTCATCCATTTCGTCATGCATGTCTTCGTCATCATCTTCGTCGTCATCATCGACTTGTGCATCTTCCATGTCATTGGCTTCATTGCGCAACCCCCCGCTCTTACGCGGCTCATCGGACATTGTGGTTGTACTTCGCGAGGACTCTATAAGCTCGCGATCCTCGTTGGACACCGGCACATCCACGACGGCACCCTCATCATGCTGGCCAGGCACACCAACAGCTGACCAGTATGCTAGGGGTATGAGACGGAAATGGGCCATCTGCACAAACAGATGCTTAAGGATCTGAGCCTTCTCGGCGCTAAGCTTCTCTCCCTTCCTACACACGGTGAATTCCTCCAAGAGGGTTGGTTCACCACGCTTAAGCTGTGTGGGCATACCGAGAGCACGAAGTTGTGGCTCGAGATTGTGCGGAAGCGTCTCTGGCGGGTTGCTTCGGCAGTAAATGGGACCTGGGGGTAAAATGATGGTCTCTGTGGCGCGATTTCCCATGCGCGCAAATTCAATCCGACGGTAGTCATTGCACCAGTCCAAGACTTCGGCTGGCGGTGAGTCAGTCATGAGGAGACCGACATTTCCACGTAGTCGTTGAGAGACCTGTCCCAGACCAGGGCGAATTTCTTCTTCTGTCGTCTCTCCGAGTGCCTTGGCAATCACGCGCAGCTTTCCGAAGAAAATCTTCGAGCCAGTCCAGAGACGACGTACTTCTCCCAGGTACGCATTGCGCATGTTGCTAACAGCGAATATCCATATATATGCGTATTGGTTCGCGGCCTCGCGCACATTTTCGACAAAGTTTTCTTTGTTTTCGCGTGTTTTCGCCTTGGTCTTTGTGAGCGAGACCACCTTGGCACGTTTCGTGCGAGCCATATCGGTAGTGGTTGTAGGGTCGAGCTGGACGTGTGCCCAAAAAAAACTAAATAAATAAATCCAATGTGCGCAAGTACGAGAAAAAAAAAATTATCCCCTAATGGCTTTTGAGCGCCAACCTCAGGCCAGCGTCCTTCGATTCTGTTGGCTGAAGGAGCTAGTGGCTGGCCAGTTGTCTGGATAACCAAGATAAATTCTTGTGCTTCCATTCAAGAAAAAAAAAACAATTTGGCTGCTGCCACTTTTGATAGAGTTAGTAAACGAGAACTACAGCCATACGAAAGATCGGCTGATTTGGTCCCCCAACAGGCCCAACAGGAACCGTTAATCATGTTGCCCGATATGGACGCTTTGGAAGCGTCTCTACTCAACACATCTGGCACAGTTAAATTAGATGTGCGCTTTAGGACCTTGTTCACGCTGAAGGGTCTCGCCGCACTGTCAGAAGAAAAGCGGAGGCGTGTGATTGAAATAATCTCCAAGGGATTCGAAGACGATTCGGCTCTTTTGAAACATGAAATGGCCTATGTTCTTGGACAAATCAAGGACACAGACGCGCTGCCATGCCTTGAGTCGATTTTATCAAACATGAAAGAGCATTGCATGGTGCGACATGAGGCAGCAGAGGCTATGGGCGCCATTTCATCGCCCTCTGCGTTGCCTGTTTTGAAAAAATATCTGCACGACGACGATGTGTCAATCCGAGAGACGTGTCATCTCGCTATTAACAAGATTGAGCTTGACAACTCCGAGGCGGGTCGAAATGAACAAGCTCTCAAGGATCTACGAGAAAAGGAGCATGGCGACGCCGTGAGTGCCGCCCGCGCTGCTGCCGCACCTATTGACCCTGCGCCCGCCACGGTGAATGTGCCAGGTACACAGCATGCACACCAAAATGTCTATACGCTCGAGAATGTGCCCAAGTTCCGTGAGACGCTTTTGAATCGTTCGCTCACACTCTTTGAGCGGTACCGTGCCATGTTTGCGTTACGGAACACGGTGCAACAGGGCGGTCGCGAGGCCCAAGTTCCTGCAGTGAAGGCGCTCGCAGATGGACTAGAAGACGACAGTGCCTTGTTCAAGCATGAAATCTGCTTCGTATTTGGCGAGTTGTGTCATCCAGCTTCACTGCAGCCCATGTCTCGTGTGCTCAATGATGCGGGTGAACACGAGATGGTGCGACATGAAGCAGCAGAGGCGCTGGGTGCTATCTTGGAAGAGGGTGCTGGCGATAGCGAGGCTGATCAGATTATCAAGGTGCTGCGCCAGTATGCGGAAGATGCGTCGGCACCACGAGTCGTACGGGAAAGCTGCATTGTGGCTTTAGACGAAATCGCGTATAACCAAGATCCATCGCAGTTCCAGCGCGTGGAGTAATGTCTTACTGTACCCTCACACTTGCACAACCATGGAACTGACAGATGAACGTGGGGAGTGGGGGCCATTTTGATAGTCATTGGTTTTCATACGCCGGTTCATCTTCTCTTGGAACACGCACGGTAGCGAGGAAATGAAAATAGAGAAAAAGACATACGACGAAAGCAAACAGGTCAGCGGACAACACATTGACATGTATGAGCGTCCCTACATACAGGAAGAAGGGCTAAAAGGAATCAAAAATATTAAGCCCGACCGGCATCCTTCATGGCCTTGAGCATAAGCTCACCGATTTTGGCGGGCGAGTCAGCAACAATTGCACCAGCCTTCTCGAGAGCGCTGACCTTCGAGTCAGCACCGCCCTTACCACCACTGATAATGGCACCAGCATGGCCCATACGACGGCCCGGAGGAGCAGTACGGCCGGCAATAAATGCAACGACGGGCTTCGGGTTGGGCCGAGTGAGGTTGTACTTCTCAAGGTACTCGGCAGCGTCTTCCTCCATGCTACCGCCAATCTCACCAATAATAACAATACCTTCAGATCGGTCGTCCTCTAGGTACATTTTCACAAGATCCACAGTAGCCGAGCCTGGGTATGGATCACCGCCAATACCCACACAAAGAGACTGGCCGAGACCGACGTTCGTGGTTTGGTTCACGGCTTCGTACGTGAGCGTGCCCGAGCGGGAGACAATACCGATTTTGCCTGGCATATGAATATGCGCAGGCATGATACCAATCTTACAGCCCTCTGGGTTGATCACACCAGGGCAGTTGGGGCCGACCATGCGCGACTTGCTCTGCTGCTTGAGCACGTTGGCCACGCGGATTTCATCCTTCTGAGGAATGCCCTCGGTGATAGCCACGATGAGCGGCACCTCAGCCTCGACGGCCTCGATGATGGCATCGGCGGCGCCAGCTGGCGGTACGTAGATCACTGATGCAGCTGGCTTTGTCTTGTCGACAGCCTCACGTACCGATCCGAACACAGGCAGACCGAGGTGCGTCTGACCAGCACGCTTCGGCGACACACCACCTACAAGGTTGGTGCCGTATGCGAGGGTCTGCTCACAGTGGAACGTAGCTGTCTTGCCGGTAAAGCCCTGGCAAATAATTGGCGAGTCCTTGCGCACGTAAATGTTCTTCACCGTGTCTTCATAACCACGGCGAATAGCCGTTGATGACAGCGAGCGCGCGCCAGCTAAAAGCGTGAGCCATGCTCTAAAAGGCACGATCGCAACTCTGCCTGATACGTACCGGCCCGCTGGACACCACGGAACATGTTCACAGATGCCTTTCCAAGCATTTTGTAGTGGGCTGACGACACACCGGGAATTCCCTCACGCCCGCCAGATGGCGGCTTGCCAGCTGGTCGGTCTCGTGGGCGGGACGCATCACGTGCATATTACACGTGGTACGTGCACACTTCCATGTGAGGTCTTGCTCAGTTGCCCCACACCTAGACCAAACCTCTCGATGATGGTGTTCGACTAGACACTTGCAGCAGCAGCGCTCGAGGCCGCATTTCTGTGAGGTTGTCCACGGCACAGACTAAGATGCGCAGAGACTTAGACAGCTTTTGAAGCTATGGCTGTTTCTAGAATCTCGAGGGCTTCGCGTAGTTGTGCACGTGCCGTTTCCACGTCTTCGTAGTCGAGCGCACTGCATGCCCAACGCGACATTTTCTGGACGCGCGCAATCTCCTGTATAGACAGTGGACAGTCATCTGGGTCAATGTGCCGATTTCTATTGTGCGTGGTGACTTGCCCACTCGTAGCGGGCGCAAGAACCGTGTCAGTTGTAGGCGCAAACGCAGTGACATGCTTCGTGGAGGTGGCCGATGACGGTGCCCCTCGCACGGACGATTCGGACTGTGCTGACGGTGCGGGTGGGGCTGAGGGGGATGAGGACGTGGGATTTCCTGTCTGGACGGAAGGAATCGAGGGCAGAAAAGATCCCGTGCCAGTGCTACATCGTCAGCCTCAACATCACGAGGAACCGGCTGCTCATGACCTGAATCCGCGGCATTTCGGGGCATTGTCGAACTTGACGGCTCATTATGATCAGAAACAGACAGATCAATGCCCTCAGAAGATTGCCTGTTGGTCGAAGTTGGTGCATTCGGCATAAGTTGCGATAACACCTGTTCCTCCTCCTCCTCCTCCTCGACGGTACTCTCGGCAGGACCCGGGCGAGGCTGGTCACCATCTCGCAATGCCTTGCTAATCTGAGCAGCTTTCCATTTCGCATACCTGACTTTTGTCTGTATCTAATAGATAGAAAGAATGGCAAAATCATATAAGAGACAATGTTAGATTTTGTGCCAACAAACGGATCCACCAACGCACCTCGGCTTCTAATGGCCCAAACACACGGAGGACTTCCAGGAACTTGGACGCAGCAGCAAACGCTTGCGCGGTAGCACTGCTTTGTGAGGATGCTGTATGGAAATGCGGTGCATGCTTACCGACTCGCTTGTCCTTGGCGATCTTGATTGTCCGCGCCCAGGAATATGCGCAGAGCAAAGTTTTCTATGTATGCATACGCCACAGTCTCGCTTTTCACTGCATCTTGTTCACTCATGCTGTCCTTAAGCTGTTGTTAGTTTAATTATATGCACGCACACGCTCGAGCTCGTCCATTAGCTGCATGAGAAAGCTCTGCGCTTCAGTGTCGCCAGCCGATTTTTCGATGCCAATCTGCGCCGCATAATATTTACCTGTGTGTGTGAGAAAGAAAGTAACGCGCAACACATACACCAGTAGGATATGATTGGATCAGCCTTTATGACTTCGTCGGCTCGAGCTAAGAACGGTGCCGCGTCTTTGAGGATGGTGGGAACGTTCCGGGGCATAGCTTTGTTCCGTGACTTGCTTCAAGATCGTTGCATCCCAAGACAGATACGACGTATTTTCTCCACAGCGTACGACCAAATCTGGCGCATGTAAAAAAATGGGCCATCTTTCACTCACAATATATTTTCGGGGGAGACAAAACCCGCTAGATTCAGTTCTCGATATTAGAAACTATGTTCAAACATGATGCGAATGCACAAGAAAGGGCGGGCATAGACCTAACAAGTGCCACGCTCGAACGAATCTAGAATACATACTCGCAAGCCAGAAGTGTTGTGTCGAACGCTATCCTCTACACAAGATCCCCCCACGTTGTGAAGAGGCATTTTTTTTTTTTTCGGCGCATTCAACGCATCGAATCCACAAAATTCGGCGCGCGAGATCGGCAGGAGTCTCGGGTTCAAAAGGTACCTCGGCATAAAAGCCTGATTTTCTAATGCATGTCCCTCGAACTCAGATGCTCATCTGCCCCGAAAAGTGAGCGATTCCTCTTATCGACGAGGGCCTTTTCTTTTGGATCTGAGCGCAAAAAAAAACTGCCGCACCTGACGTGAAAATACGCGATCGACAAGATATCCAGGACCTGTGAGTCAGTATGAATCTTGATCTGCAAGAAAAGACGCGGGAACCAGCAGCGATCAGTCGAAAGATGGTGATTAGGTTTTTTGACTCAGCATCGCGGTGCTTAGAGTGGTGCATGAAAACGTGCTCGTCATTTCGCTGCGATGGTATGCGCCAGAATGCTGGAAGCAACCAACAAAGGGTTACCCAGGTCGGTTGAGAGAGGGACTTGGCAACTCATACATACCTCGGGGTGGTTCATGTTTAGGCACTCTGATGGGTCGCGCACGTCGTTACCAAATGCAATAGTCTGCACATAGATGCAAAGCGGGCCATCCAACACCTGCTTTTACCAAAGGAAGCTCATATCGGTAGAGCATGGCGGCGCTGCAGCATCTTTGTGCCATTTGCACATCCAAGCCATGATGAATCCATTGACCAAGACTCCTGTTGAGTGTGAGGATTTGTCTAACGATTACATATCACGGATCAGGGAGCAAAACAACATTAGGCATCCTCATACTTTGCATAGGAGAGATTCCCACTTTTGCATACTTTCATCCTAAAGCGGTCCACGGACACACATGGACATAACACATACCCATTTACTTGTGCTTGCGTACGCATCGCATCGTATCAAGCAGATCGCGTGCTCGCCACGAGGCTGATTCAAACATACACGTGCTACAGCTAAGGGACGAAAGACATTTGCGTCACACAGCAGAGTAGATACGTCAGTGGAAGAAAGAGAAAAAGGTATTTCGCTTAGGTTCGGGTTGAAAAGAAACGAGTGTGAAGAGGAAGGGGGCGGGGTCTGGACTATTTTCAGAGGTCAACGACAGCCAATCTTGCAAAGCATATCACGTGACTACTCCACCAGCAACATACAGCAGTGATGATGTTGTCGGTGGAAAAGCACACGTCGAGCAGTTGAGCTTGTGTGTGCATTGTTCGCGGCATTGTGGCAGGTTCGTATCCACATCGTATCACACGATGGCCACATCGGCAGTATACTATAGGTTCCGATCACAGCGTGAGCCACAGCGGCTCACGTTTGATGGGACAGGCATCAGTGTGTGGGAGTTGAAGCGAGAGATCATCCTCCAAAATAAAATGGGCAAGGGCACAGACTTTGATCTAGCCGTATATAATGCAGATACTGACGAAGGTACGTGAACGGCGAGAGGATGTGGATCTAGATGTATCTTTACATGTGCCCACTGCTTACACACACATGTATGTATAGAGTACAAGGACGATAACTACACGATTCCGCGAGCGTCACAAGTGATTGTGCGACGCTTGCCTCCCTCGAAGCCAGGACGCGGGACGGCCCAGCTTTATGTTGCAGATATGCAAAGTACAGCAACAGCCAATGGCTCCGTACCAAGCACGTCTATGGCACCGAATGTACCTTCACAAAGCATGCCATACCGTGGGCCCATGTCGAAGAGATTTGACGGGCGTGATGCGCCATCATCGTCAACAGCCGCATCGGCCATGCCAGCTGCAGCGATCCAATCCGCCGCCATTGACAATCATCAGGATGAAGCCTCAAAGATTGCTGCCATGTTCCAAGCATCCACTGAGCAATGGGAAGAAACACAGGAACGCATGTCACACGCAACGTACAGAGAACGGAGTGGTGCACCGCGCCGAGGACCACCTCCGGGCCGAGATGGTGGTGGCTATGCCATGTCGGCGATAGAGCGGCGACCGCCGCCGCCAGGCTTTATCTGCTATCGATGCGGACAAAAAGGCCATTGGATCCAAGACTGCCCAACGAATGATAATCCCGAATATGATAATCGGCGCTTCAAGCGCACAACAGGGATTCCCAAGAGCATGCTTAAAACCGTGGAGCAATCGACGGCCGAAAATATGTCAGGTGTGATGGTGACGCCGGATGGATCCTACGTGATTGCTACACCCGACTCCAGCTCATGGCAGCGCAGCCGCGCTCGATCGCGGCCATTGTCTAAGACGGACGTGTACCAATCGGTACCGTCGGATCCTGCATTAGCATGTCCACTGTGCTCTAAGCTAGTGCGCGATGCCGTGAAGACGTCATGCTGCCACACGTCCTTTTGTGAGGAGTGCGTGCAGACGCATCTGTTTGAGCATGACTTTGTGTGTCCTGAGTGTGAAAAGCGTATTCCTGACATTGAGATGCTGAAGATTGACGATGTCTTGCGAAAGCTCGTGCGTGAGTATGTGGAAAAGACGATTGCTCGCAGTGAAGAGGCGTTCGAGCAAGGCACAGGTGTTGATGAAGAAGCTGCGCAGCAGGCGGCCGTCTCGGAGTTTGCTGCTGCTGGTTCGGTGTCGGACAGCAAAGACAGGGCGTCAAGTGGGAGGGATCCGGCCGTGAGCAAGGACGTCGCGTCGAATTCAACAGCGACCGCTGATCATGGCACGTCAGCCAAGGCTGCCGAGCCAGAATCGGGCTCTACACCGACGGTTGCACCTTTGGCGGCCATCGCAGATGATGCCAGTGCTACGGCCAAGGGGTCAATGCCCATGCTAGGCGCGGGTCCAAGTGTTGGTCCTGGCTCCGGCGACGGCGCACCGACCTTTCATCCACAAACTGTACAGCAAATTGTCATGATGCTGCAAAACCCGCAGCTGCCGATGCCGATGCGAATGCAACTGCAAATGCAACTGCAGTTCCAACAAATGTTGTTTTTCCAAACGTTTTCGTCTGGCGCGCCGACCGGGATGCCGCCCGGGATGCCGCCTGGAATGCCGCCTGGAATGCCGCCTGGAATGCCGCCTGGAGTGCTACCTGGAATGCCTCTTGGGATGCCACCCGGCATGCCCCCAGGTGACTTGTCTGGGCAGGACGCCGCCAAGCGTCCTCACGCAGAGGGCGAGAGCTCTGGTCGGAAAGAAAAGCAGGCCAGGTACACCTAATGTAGATACGAATCACTTGCGGCACTTAGCATCATCCACTCGAACTTGTCTGTCCCCTCGGCCGTGACCAAGCGCCCATGGTCGACATGCATGCCGCTCAGCAAGTGGGCAGCATTTTGTGGGCGAGTCCACGCGAGTGTGTGCGGCAAGCGGTGTGCGACAAAAAGGAAAAAATCATCTTGCGGGACACCATCGTGGTTACAAGGAGGTGGATGGACAAAGTGCGACGCATGTGAGCCAAAGCGCTGCATCGATGCGCCTGGGGCAGCGCACTGTACCCAAGTAAAGTCGAACCATACACCCAAGGCTGTCCAGAACGGCTGCTCTTTGGTGAGCGAGCGGATCTTGTACGCAATGAGCACGGGTGCATCTGGCACTTGATCTGTGATGTCGAGCAGAGTCGATAGCAGAGGCGCCAAAAGTTCAGGAAAGTACACGAGATCGGAGCACAGGATATGCGTGGGGCGAAATTCTTGGACAACCTGGTGTGACGAGAGTCTGTCTCCCCATGGTAGTGCACGAACATGCACGCATACGCCCTCCCGATGGAACGAACTGGCATTTCGTTGGAGCAGTGCACATACGTCTGGTAAATCCGTCAGCACGACGTGATGGCACTTGGATGGCTGCGATGGGCTCGGTGGCGACCTAATCACGGGTGGCAGAAGACCTGCCGTTGAAAGTCCAGCTGTGCCGACGCCAGCACCCAGCTCCAGCACAGTTCGAGGTTGTGAAGCGTCGAAGATCGTTCTTTCGGGGTCCCATGTCCAATGGCCAGGGGCTTTCATGTACGAAACAACGAGGAAGGCAGATTCCCTAACCAAGGCATGAGATAACGTCTCAGATCGCGCACAGATGCCGAGAGGCTGTATGTACGTACCAGATCCGACCAGCAATTCCGTAGTCAGCTATGTCTTCAGCACTATCATGACACCAAGCATCGCCCGCATCTTGAGACTTGGGCGCTGCGGGAGCGATATTGAGTTGCTTGGGGAAATTCGGGTCCGACCGCTCGTCCATACACCTTCAAAGAAGATGGTCCCACCTGTATTGCGCGCGCTTCCGGGAAAGGGCACTGCCACACGCGTGCAATGACTCAATACGTCAAGGCAAGGCAAATGAGCCAGCGTCAGCTCGCCAACGATGTCGTTCTGTTCCAGACAGGCGCACGACCCCTCGGCCCCCTGCCTCCTCCTTTCCCCAAGTGTTGTGCAGAGGCCTCCACCCAAGGCTCTTCTCGCTAAGTTCGGCCGAATCAAGAGAGCGTGTGGAGCACTCATGGGGGCGCGCCGCGGCGGCGGGGGAAGGGAGCGACTAGTTGGCTGGCTGGTCAGGCTTGGGACGAATCAAGCGCGTCGTCGTCTCGTGGTGACGAATCTCAAGGACTCCGGCTCGTGCTTCTCGTACAGACCGACTTTGACACACGCACGACAACGAGAACGACGACGACGACGACGACAACGATAGGGAAATCGAAGCGCTTATCATGAAGCGGATCACCGCCACTAAAAAGCAGAGGCCGACCATCCGCCATGAAAACACGCGGCTAGGCGAGGGTGCTGGCATCGCGCACGGGTACATCAATGTCCCTGGCCACAATGCGTTTCCCATGCCAGGGACCCTGTCGCCGCCGCCGCCGTCGTCCCAGATCCCGCTGTCGTCGCTTCCTGGTACGGACATGCATGCTGGACCATCTAGTCGTGCGCAGATGCAGCCTGACATGCTCGCTGCCGCGTCAGATCGACAGATGCCAGCACGAGAGCAGGGAGCGGGATTTGCGCCTGACGACGCATATGCAACGGCGCCCATGCCGACATCCACACCAAGCGCCGAGTCTGTAGGACTCTCTGTGCCACCGGCAGATGGGTTGGCAGCTGACGCTATGCCATCCAGACCACGTGTGCGCCCACCCAAAGCTGCACGACTGCCTTCTCCTACCCCAGCAGCAGCGTCGACGTCGATGGAATCGGTACCAGCTGCTCAAGCAGCGCCATTGGCTGTCGCTATGGATCCATACATGCGCGATTCCTTCGCAGATGCATGGACTGCACCTGCGCCACCAGGCGCATCAGAGACGGAGGCGCCACCGACGTCGACCATATCGACGCAACCGACGAGCGCAGGTGCTCGCATGTCGGGCCAAGACGCACCACCTATCCAAGCGCGCGCTCCTGAAAGACGATCTGCGCAAGGGCCATGGGAATCATCGACACCACGAACATCCATGATGGTGGACGAGCGTCCTGCGTCGCCGGAGGGGCATGTCGATGTACGATCGCGCTTGCGTCCACGGCGCGAGCCGAAACCGCCCCGATCTCCTGTGTCTTCGTCAGCTGCTGTGCAGGGCATTCCATCGACGTCGGCATCGACGTCGGCATCAGCGTTGGCCTCCACGCCTGCGGTGACCTCTGCGCCTGCGCCTGGACTCGATGCTGCCGTAGCTACGGGTGCAAGCACCAGCGCGGCAGCAGCAGCCATGGCACCATCGGGCCAAGAGCCACTGCATCGACTGGGCTCACTGACGCAGGAGCGTGAATTGGCCGAGGCACGTCGGAAGCAGAAACTGCGTCTCTTACGCAGCGCTGAGCGCGAGCGACACACGCCTCACCTGCCGCGAGTGATGCAGCCACGGCGCGGGCGACCAGTGGAAGCGTATGTCGACCAGCACGATTCACCGAACTTCCGCACGCTGCAGGCGGTGCTGCGCAAGATCAAGAGTGAGTGGGACTTTTTGCTCGATACGGACTTCAACCCCGTGCAGCTATCGATGGCGCTCCTGCCGCACGGGCCGTTACGCGCATACATGGGAGACTTTTCGTCGCTAGCGGGCATGATCGAGAGAGCACTGCAAAGCACGGTCGGCGACCACTACAACTCGTTTGCGTCGGCCATCACTGTGAATCATGGGATGATTGCGTCGCTGTCCGCCTCGCAAGACAGCATTTCTGGCGCGCGGCAGCAGCTGCAAAGTGCGCGTGATGCCCTCGGGACACGGCGCGCCGACCTAGTGCAGATGTGGCAGCGGATGCAGAGTGTGAAGGAGGCGATGCGTGTGCTGACGCTTCTTGAGCAGCTGCGTGATGTGCCGGATGAACTTGAATCGCTGATGACGGAAAAGCGGTTTTTGGAAGCGACGCACCTGCTGATGCGCTCTCTGCGGATGATCCAGCGCGACGACATTGCCGAGCTCGGCGCTGCGGCCGACTTGCGTGCGTACCTGCGGTCGCAGGAGCACTCGCTCCTAGACATTCTCATTGAAGAGCTGCAGAGCCACCTGCATGTGAAGAGTTACTGGTGCGATGCACGTTGGAGGTCGTACGTGCCGGGGCAGGACACGCTGCCGCATATGGTGCTGGGGGCGCCTGGCACGGGTGAGCGTGCGTGGACGACGCTGACGCAGTTTCTGGGCGCTNTGCGCGCGCGCATTCCGTACGAGATCGTCGCTGGCATGCCGCCGGCGGAGGCGGGCGTCGTGCGGGACGCGTATCTCCACTGGGACGGCTCCGAGGAGACCAAGCCCGAGGCCCTGTCGCGTGCGTCGCCCAAGCGGGACGCCACCCAAACGGCCGAGGACGACAGTTTCCTCTACCTGGAGATGCTGCTCGAGTCGCTCATGCAGCTTGGCAAGATCGGCTATGCACTCGACACCGTGTCGCAGCTGCTATCGACGGAGCTGCACCAGCTGGTCGACAAGACGATCGAGCAGGTGGAAGCACGGCATGTGTCGCACAGCTCGACGGCGCCGGTGCGTCTCGAGACGGTCCTGTTTGCACCGCATGCCGTGCACTCGGTGCTGGACGCGCCAGGAAGCGCCAGCCGCCCATTCCTGCTGCGTGGCCTGCCTGACTCATCGCTCTCGCGCATGACGGCCAGTGCCGACCATGCGGCGCTGCAGCACGACACCGAGATCATGCGCGACTTTGTCTGGACGCTGTTCTCGAAGCTGGAGGCGGTGCTTGCCGCGCACCGCGCCGTACAGGAAGTCGCGAGCGTGCTGATATCGCGAGCGAATCCCCACGATGCCGGCGCGGCGGATCGCGCGAGTGCCGAGACGGGCGTCGCCGCGCTCGCTCGTGTGTGGGATGCCGTCGAGCATGAGATCCACATGCTCCTACTCGACTACCTCGTGGAAGACTCTGACCGCACCGTCGTGTCGCAGCATGTACCGTCTCTGGAGACGGTCCTGCGCATGACGCGCTTTGAGCGCGAGCGAAATGTGCTCTTCCGCCTGAATCACGCCAGCCGGCCCAGTGCGGCTGTGCGCGAGGCGTCCGAGGTCGTCGACGAGGCGCTCGATGCTTACGTGCCGGGTCTTGTGGGTCAGGATACGGCGCTGCCGTTCGTCCTGGAGCCGCGCACACGCACAGACGAATACCTGGGCGCCGGACACCGTCGCCTCGTAAAGCCACTCACGTTCACGGCGTCCATTCTGCTGCCGCCCACCCTCCAGTTCGTGCAGCGGGCTGAGCAGGTCCTGCCTGCTGACGCTGCGCATGCCGCCGACTTTGGCCGCTTCCTCCGTGAGTTTGTCCAGGAGCGGTTCCTCCCGCTCCTGGGCGAGCAGGTGCACGCTCTTGTGCAGGGTGCCTCGAGTGCGCCTGATGCATTCCATGCTGAGCCTGCCGCTCGCGTGGGCGTGTCGCGAGCGGTCGTGCGCAGCAGCGTGCAGCTTGTCTCGCTCGTCGAGAGCCTGTATGCGATGCTGCAGGCAGCGCCGTTCGAGCAAGCCGGCTTTGCGAACCTGATCATCGCGGCGTTCCTCGTGTACTATGAGGCATGCAATGCACGATTCAAGCGTCTCGTTGCCGAAGATGCCGACTCGGCCAATGGGCCCTACCTGCTGGCTGCCGTGTGGGCACAGCGCCCAGAGCTGTATGCATGCCTTGCGACGGCTCTCGATGCGCCGCCATCCAGCACGCGCGCTGTGGACGTGTGCCGCGCGGAGGCGCGGACCGAGCTGCATATGGCCGAGGGCCTGGATCTCAAGCGCTCCGACCTCATCACGTCGCGGAAGCGGCACTTGGCGCTTGGCACTCTGCACCACACGCTGCACTGGTTGGGCATGCACATCGCACAGTTCCACGTCGATCCAGCAGCCGGAGACGTGGCGAGCTCAGCTCCATCCGTTGCAGCGACGCCCACTTCGTCCGCCAATGCCGATGGTCGCACTACGGCGCTTCCTCTGCCTGTGGCGTCAGGCACCCAATCTCTCTGGCAGGATGTGCCGTCCATGTATGCCATGCTGGCCAAATGCGTGCTGATGACGTTGCGCGTCGAGCTACGGCTCAAGACGCTCTACTACCTGCGAGCTGCCGTGCTTGGCTCGTACGTGTGTGATGCGCTGTCGATGGAACCCGACGCACATGTCGTCGAGCTGAACACAGAGCTGGGTGCGTGCCATGAGGTGTACAAAGAAACCATGCTTCCCACGCACCATGCGTACGTTTTTGACGGCCTCGATGTGCTCATGGACGCGATCATGACGGAAGCCGTCTTGCACGTGACGGCCATCAATCGCTATGGCGTCACCAAGATGCTGCGAAACCTGCTGAGTCTCCAGCAGAACCTCAAGAACATCGTCGACGAGCCTCGGCGCATCGATCTGGACAGAAGCAAGCGCCTCTGGGAGATGCTGGCTCGCGAGCCAGAGCATTGGCTCTCAACGGCCCAGGACACCTACTCAGCTGCCGAGTACCTTGCGATGGTGCGTCTGAGCTTCGGCTGGGGCCTCGACAATGCACCGATCCCGCATGCCGGCACCTCGCAGCAGCCGGTGTCAGACGAGCGATTCCGTGCGTGTGTTGACATGCTTGACGCTGCCTTGAAACGTGATGTATCTGCGACATGAACCACGTACATCATCGAGCGTCGTGCTTTCCCCTTCCCTTTTTTTTTTTCGGTTATGCGCTCTACCTCTTTCTATGTCGAGTTCATCAGAGATACATACATCCTCCTAGCGCATATACGCAGGCTCATCTATCCCCAAGACTATTATTTTTTTTGGTCCCAAATAGTCTCTCTCTCTCTCTCCCTTCTTGCACGTATAATCGCGATTCGCATACATACATCCGATATCACGCTCCACCTAGCAGAGCCTAGACATCCAGTTCTTCCAGGCGGCGTCCACGACTCAGCTCCATATCACGTCGCGTACGTGCACCCTGTCCACGATCGCCTCGGCGCATCTTACCACGCACACCGCCACCCATTCCGATGGGCGCACTGCCACCCCACAGGACCTGGAGCGCGGCCTTGATGACATTCATCGCATTCGATGAGCCATACACGGCCGCGCTCAAGTCTGTGAATCCTGCTGCGCGCGCAATAGGGTGTAGCACATTGGGCACACGCAGGCCAAAGCCAGCGGGTCGTGGACGGATCGCGACGCGCGTAGCACCCCAGTGGCCCTCGACGGGCGTTTCCACCGTGTTGGCACCACTCTTTGAGCGGTGGACCGACACGAGATCCATGTTTTTCACAGCGGCATGGAATGCCTTTTTGTTAGCACGGCCAATGTTGGTATCTTTGCCTTCGCCATAGCCCACGAGTCCACGGCCATTGCCTGCAATGACGAGCGAGTACCAACTAGGCACACGGCCCTTGCCGGTCATATTGACGACGCGCTTGATCGTAATGTTGTAGCGGTGCAACTGACGGATCTCCATCGCACTCAATGGTGTGACGGAGCTCAGGTAGCTCTCAGAGTTCACTTCCTCGCCCAGATCACTACCAGACGTCATAACAGCCAGCACAGAAGGCGGCGGCGTCGCAAAGTACGGACGCTCCGTCTCATTGTACATAGTCACACTGTTCGTATATGGCACTTGCTCCGTCGCTTCGTACTGATACACAGGCACATCGTGCAACGCCTTCGGTTCCTTGAGCAGATCGGGGAATCTCGCGAGTTCCTCCGTGTTGAACAGGATAGGTAGCGCTCGTTGCATTGCTGTTTCAGACACAGGCGACGCCGTATGCGCTACATCTGCCTTCGTAAGGCGGCTCTCGTTGCTTCGTGTCACGCCAGCTGCTGCTGTGGCTGCAGCTTCGGTGCTCTCCCATCTCCAACTTGAGCGTGCGCGCAACAGTGCCGCGTTGGTGCGCACAGCTTGTCGTGCACATCGTCCTAAAAGAAGCCCAGTCATCTAGGTTGTTCTGGGGGGATTCTCACTGCCGATGCTTATACTGCCACGGCTGCTGCTACGCTGTTAACGTGTGTGTAATCTTGTGAGAAGACGAGAGCCAAATCGTCGCTGCACCAACGGCACACGCTTCCACACGACCTAACACATACACACCTCTATCCACTATGTCGTGCTTGGTCATCTGGCCACATCCTCCTCCTCCAACTCCTTCCCACGTGGAAGAACTCCACCCTCCGTCTCTCACCTTCCTTGTGCCCACCTTACCTGAGCCCAACGAAGAAATTTCTGGCTCGGCGAGTTTCTCCATCTCATCCACTCTGACGCAACACGCCTGGCTGGGCCAAGTGGGTCCGATAGGACGAGTGAACATCACGTGATACCACGATACACCGGCGACGCGATCGTTTGGCACCTGAGAGAGCAGAGTCAGCGTAGCGGTCAGTACTCCATCCCTCTGCGACTCGCTAGAGGAGTCTGGTCTTATCGTACGCCTTCGTCCTCCTCCTTGGGTCGGGCTCCCGGTCGATGCGTTTTGCTCGATCGCCCAATACTACCCTTGAGCCTTTAGCGATCGCCTCAAACAACAAGTCTGAGCATGAACTCGATCACGCGACAATTCGTCGAACTTCCATACCTAGCGTGCTGGATGGTGTCTCCAATGCCGCTGCGGTTATGAGCCGTCGTGCGAGTAGCGCAACAAATCTCTCAGACTCGGGTCTCCCTCCCAGTATGCCATCCTTGAATGTTTTTCCTTCATCCGGCCCAGAGTTCGCTTCCAATGCCATGCTTCTGTGTCCTAGCGACGGCGGGCCTGGCACCAATGCACCAACCGCGTCGACAGACTCACGTGCATCTAGCATGTCAGATCTTCGTGCAACTTTGGGCACCAAAAGCAACGGCGCTCCTGGAGCGCCGGTACCACGACCCCTGTCAGCGACCGAGTCGCACTTTCCTCTATCATCGCCCTTTCTCTCCCACTTTGGGCGTCGTAGTGTATCACCAACTCGCTCTGTCTCGCCCTACAAGCAGATACAGCGTCGCGATGACTTGGATGCGACGCGGCCCATGCTCCATGGCGCGGCTGCTGGTGCTCATGCAGCTGGCGATCAGCGCACTCAATTGTATGTGCGGAACTTGCCTCCTCAGGTCCGTTGGCAGGACTTGAAGGATCTGTTCCGTCGCGCAGGCACTGTGCTCCGCGCCGATGTGCACAACATGCTTCACGATCCTCGCTACGTCGACTCGGGCACCGTTCTGTTTGCCACCGAAGCGGATGCACACTATGCGATCCAGATCCTCCACGGCTACAACTGGCATGGCCATGTGCTTGATGTCACGCTCGATGACCAAACCACGTCGTCGAAAACCGCGTCTCTTCTGCATGATAGGAATCTCCGTCGTTCCCTCATACCGATGGCAATAAACGCCGCGTCATCGGCTGGTTCGGCAAGTGCCGCTGCGACCGGTCCGGCGGTGTCATCTTCAGCCGCAGCGCCTTTGTCGGCTACGTCCCAACCCTCTGCGGCGTCATCATCATCCACGCTGATGCCGCCGACGACTATGGCGTCCTCTTCGTTCTCGTCTTTGCGTCACGTGCCATCTTCGCATGCAGCAGCAAGTGATCCGTGGTCCCGTTATTCGTCTCCAGCGACAGCTGCGCCTTTGCCCTATCCTGGCCGTGTTCTCTTTGTTGGGAACTTGCCATTCCATTGCCAGTGGCAGGATCTCAAAGATCTCTTTCGCGCGGCTGGCAACATCCAGCGTGCTGACGTTGCTCTCAATGCCGATGGACGAAGTCGCGGTTTTGGCACTGTCTTGTTCGCGTCGCCAGAGGATGCCCAAACGGCCGTGCGTCTGTATCACGGATATGAATACAGCGGTCGCATATTGAAGGTTCACTTTGATCGTTAGACGCACTACGGTCCCGTCTCCTTCATGGTGCCGACAGATCCGTATCAATACACGTCAGCCTTCCATTCTCGAAACGTGGCACCATCAAATACCATGGCGCCCCCCTTGCCACCACCTATGCCGCAACATGCACCACAGCGCTTGCCAGTGTCAACTGCCCCTTCTGCTGCGCCTGGCTTTGCTGGGTGCACCATTCTTGCACACTGTCATGCCATCCCAACTGCATGATCACTCTATGCATTGGGGTCAGCACATACCCAATAATGCTACTTCTGTCCCTACCTCTGCTGCAGCGGCCGCTTCTACCGCCATGCCGCTTCCCCTGTCGTCGGAGCAGCGGCAGCCCCAGCAGTTGCAGCAGCAGCCATCACCGCAGCCGCAACCGCAGCCGCAACCGCAGTTCCCGCTGGGATCGTCAGCTGTTCCTTCATCGACCACAACGGCGCCAGCATCTTCTGATCCCGCGCATCACGTCCCTCATCCTGGACGCATTGCCATGCCGCCCGTTTCATTTCCACCTATCGGTGCAATGACACCTGGTGTGCCATTGACACCAGGTATGCCTGGGTTCATCCTTCGTTCAGTCCTAGAAACACCTCCCATATACCCCTACATGATGAGTCCAGGGATTGCCTTGAATACATCAGGCGTCTCAAATGGGATCAACTCGTACTTGAATGCAGCGCCTGGCGCTCCCGTGGACATGCATCTTTCGATGGCCATGCCCAACGCTCACACAAACTTGCCACCAACGCCTCACTGGGCGCAGCCAGTGCAGACTCGCACTTATGCGCCATCGTCCTCATCACATGTGTCCACGCACCCAGATCCTCCTGTGCGCACCAAGGGCTTTGACTCGTCTTCGCCCACCGTTGACCAGACAGCGCCTGTCGGAGCGCCACGAAATGAACAAGAGTATCCGTTCCCTGAGACGGACGAGGTTACTCCACCAATCAAAGCATCAGTGCCACCTCGGCCGGAGTCCTTGGCTGAGAATCATCGTCGGACGCATCCTAAAGACAATAATGATCCCAGAGAGGCGACGTCACATGCAGAGTCTGTCACAGGTCCTGCCGAGCATTCTTCAACAGCCCAAAATACTCACTCTACGTCGGCAGACGCCGTCGTTGCCTCCGCTGCATCGGCTGCTCCTGTCTTGGGAGGTCGAGCTGTCTCACCAACCACTGTGGCTTCGCCGAAAGCAGCCGACTCATCTTTAGCAAAGGACTCCGCTAGTGCAGTTGAAGACGCCGAAGCGTCCGTGCTTCCGAGCACACGTGAACTTACGCATGCCATTGCTAAACTAAGTGTTCGTGGGACAGCGCGCACGAAGCGAACTGACGACATCCAAAAAGAACGTGTGGCTGCTGAGGCTGCGTTGTCTCGGTTGCGACATGACTTGGCCGCTAAAGACAAGCCAGCAAAAGACCCTACTGCCATGGGGGAATGATTGAATTCATGTGGGACGTACTACGTATCCATGCACTGTAGCACGTATATTAGCATCACCTGGGTCATCAGGGAACATGGGCTATACGAGTGAGATGAAAGAAAGTAACGAGCATAGGTGCGGTTCGCGATGATATGTACAAAGTGGACGAGTTAGCATATGCTGTGAGAAAGGGGAGGAGGGGGGAGGGTGGGGGCTTCGACGTGCTTCCGGTACGTACCGTAAGGAGCCATTCATCTAGCTTTTCACAAATGTAGCCACGCTGCGAAGCCAAAGTGAAGAAAGCCAAGTCGCGTTCAGCCATATGTGGTCGGTGATGACTAAAGAACACAAGCGCCTGCCCCTGGGGATGCAGGCAGCGGTCCAGGGTATCGATAAGCGCTGGATGCGCCTGGTGGTTAAAGATCAAGTCTGAAAGCAAAAGCAGGTCGTAGCCATGAGGCGCATGCTCCTTGAGCGGCGCACAATCTGCACCCCATATGTAGCCTAGAGCTTTGGCCGATCCGTACCGTGCGAGGTTGAATGACAAATTTTGCATCAAATCAGGATCCGGATAATCCGTGGCCACAACGGCCCGTGCCCCCAGCTTCATTGCCACAATCGATGGCAGACCCGCAGCAGCACCCAGCTCGAGCACATACTTGTCGCGCACCAGAGCATCGTGCTCTTCCAAGTACATAGAAAGAGTAGGAGCTGCATTCCACAAGTAGTGCCCCCAAAGAGGGTGTGAGCCTACGAGACGCATTGTCACGACGTCGCCATTTTTTCGCACGTGTTGAGCTTCTGTCGGTGGCGGCGTTGGTGGACGGAAATCGCGCGGCTCTTCAAACAAGTCCCAGCTAGTTACGTCTTCAGCATCGGCCTTCGCTCATACTTCACAACTAAAAACCGCCTGCTTCAAGCAATGTGCCTTTGCCCTTGCCAGTCAGTGCAACCAGTACTGGGCTTTAGGACCTTCTTGATGCTGGGTCACTGCGCCAACACAACTCTGTCCAAATTCACTTTGGGGGACTCAAAGCGAATTAACTTAGCCACCCACACACCGACACCTCGCTTCGTATCAGAGTCCCAGTGGACAGATCCACGTGGCACTTGCATGCATTATCAGATTAAATGCTCGTGCGTGCTCTGGATCATCATTGCCTGTCCCACAAGGCACATCCGACTTGTGTGGTCCAATTGTCGCCGTCACCATTTATAGCCGAACAACCACACGCAACCACAGTCGCAGTTTCCTATAATTCTAGCGTCTCTGTCAGAAGCCGTTTGTAGGCGGGAGAAGAGGCTGGCAATTGATGTCTTCTATTGTACTGTGTGCAAGCATGCCGCCCGATCCCACGGTGGATATGAACGTGTTGGGTGCCGAAAGCGATATCATCAAGCCCAGCAAAGAGTGGGTCCTACCTGCACGTGGAAAGCCCGGGCGAAAACCCTCGGATTCGGTCCCGCCAACAAAGCGAAAAGCCCAGAATCGCGCTTCTCAGCGAGCATTTCGAGAACGCCGGCATGCGTACGTGTGTGAGCTTGAGCAGAAAGTCGCCCAGTATCAAGCGCGAGAAATTGATGCTAATGTGCAAATGCAACGCATTGCACTTCAGTGCCGTGAAGAAGCAAATGCTCTTCGCAAGTCGAACGAGGAACTGCGTGCGCGCTACGAGCAAATGGAGCAACAGTTCTTAGCTTACCGACGATGTGCCGAGGCACAAGCGACCACTCATTCTACAGGTTGTCAGCCACCATTGCATGAGAAGACACACACACATTGTTCTTCACGGGATGCTATTTCCATCCGTGGCACCCCAACGTCGGGGACAACAGGACCGTCGAAATTTTCAGCGGTTGGCACTGAAGGCACAGAAGTGAACGTCGCGGGATCACATGCGCAGGACCATAAGCACTTTTATGGATTACGCTCGGCAAACAGCACATTCTCGCCACCATCTTCACCAACGCTTTCAACTTCTTCCGAAGTCAAGACAGCCGAGGCCATCCCATCTACGTCATACACTCCCACTCGTGCGGTCCCGCTACGTCGCAAGCATGAGCCCTCGTTACCTCTCGCATCGCTCAGCGAAGGAGAGGATCTTTTGCTTGATCTTGACTGTGGGTTTTGCAAAGATGCAACGGTGTGCGTGTGTCGCGGAAAGGCGCGCTTAGAACTCGACGAGGCCAAGCCATCTGTAACTGGTGCTGGCTCAGACTCTGGCTCAGCTCCAAAGCCAACTCTTTGGTACACCAAGGCACCTGAACCTAGTAGCTCGAATGCGATGCGCTTGCCAATACGACCGCATCACTCTTCGCGTCCGCGTCTGTGGGCCGTCACGCCCGGCAACATGTCACAATTTGGGGCTGCGACTTGTTCAGCTTCAAGCTCCCAACTTGCCCCACAGTGCACGGGTGATCGACGCACCTGTTCTGCATGCCAAACTGATCCGACACTCGCCGAATTTTGTACAGCCATCTCGCGGAACGTTCACTTGCCCGTATCCACGCAGCGCGAGACGAAGACATTGTGTGAAAGTGTGCCACATGCATTTACGCGTCTACGAAGTCATCCCAACTTTCCATCTTGGCGCGGTGGACTTGAGATGCTGGCGGAAATTGTAGCTCGCGATCCCGTCTCACTTGCCTTTGATACGGCGCAGCCGCCAACGCCGCCGCATCAACAATCCCAAAGCACCAGCACCAGCACCAGCATCAGAACGAACGTGGATCCCAATATCCATCGTTACACACAATGTAACCGCCACAAGCCTACTATGCTTGTGCGGAGTAAGGCAGTGTCGGAAGCTCTCGATATCCTGGATCATCAGCCAGACAATCAACGTGTCTGTCCATGCCCATGGGCACAACTTCCCTCACGCTTACCATGGCCTCGCACACCACAAGCTAAAGCTTCGGATGGAAAATAAGCTGATGATCTTGCGGTGCATACACATCGTGCCAGTGCACGCCCATGCCTGGCTCTGTATTGTTGTCAGGCACGAAACTAAAGTCCCAGTGACGCTCTTCACCATGTGGTAGAAATGATGTCCGCCCATTGTACTCTTGATGCCATATTTGTGCGTGCACATGCGGCCGTGTGTACTTGCTCACGCTCGCTGTACCTGCACGGATCTCTTTCTCACGCACACTTTCGTACGTGCCTTGCGTTTGTAGCATACGACCTAATGCAATGATCGTCGCTGCATGCGACACAAGTAATATTCGTGTCAGACCCCAAGCCGAGCATCGCTCGTTGATCCGTCGCATGAGCTCTCTCATTCGCTCGTGCACGCCAGGAATCGATTCTCCGCGGGGATCCGGATACAGCAGTGGCTTCCATCGCGTTGATATTGTTGGGAACTGAGCCACCAGGTGCTCAGCTGTTCGGGGACTCGGGTGCAACCCGGTATCCTTGGGCCAAACCGGTCCGAACCATTCAGCCAGCCCCGGCTCAATACACAATTCGAGACCGAGCTTCTCATGAATCGGAAGTGCTGTTCGCACGCACCGCGTGTATGGCGAGCATATGATCAGCTGTGGCTGCTCATCCGCTGGCATGCGTGCGAAGAATGCGGCTAGGTCGTGGATTTGTTCCTCGCCACGTGCCGTTAACGGTGGATCGCGCGGAACTGACGCTTGTTCACTTCGAAACTCGCTGTGGTTCATTCGGTGCGCATGACGTGCCACATACAATGTCGTCAACATTTAGGGGTGGAAAGTCTCGGGTCAGGTTTGGAAGCGATGGCAGGACTTGTTTGAGCGGATGGAAGTAGGGGTAAATGTGCAGCTCGCCGAAGATCCTGGCAGATAACTCGTCGTAGTGGAATGTGTCGAATAACAGGGAAGTAATAAAAAGGGTACAGAAGGCAAACGAGTACGCGAAGCAACTACTTGGTATTGGCACTCACACACGCTCTCGTTCGTTCGTGCTCTTGTGTTTGACACAAGAGCACGAACGGATCTGACACGCCCCATCAGGGATTTCTCCACGTCTCGTCCAGTCTTATTTTGACCTGACACCATATGGAGGTATTTTTAGGTACACATGCGCCACAAGAGCTAGGTCCCGGCAATGTGTGGGTGACTTTGACGTTCGCACAGTCCCAGGATGGGAAAATCGCTGGGGCAAACAAGAGGCCATTGCGTCTGAGTGGCGAGAAAAGCATGAACATGACACACCATTTGCGTGCGATGCACGACGCCATCCTCGTTGGTATCGGCACCGTGCTCGCTGATGACCCTCGCTTGAACGTACGGCTGGACAACTATTCAGGTTTGTCTCCTAGACCTGTGATACTCGATTGCCATCTTCAAATGCCATGCGAGTGCCGTCTTCTTCAGCGAGTCCCCCGCGCTGATCCACTTGTGCTGTGTGCTGAGCCGGCAGATCAGAACGCTCGCAAAGCATGGGAAACGCGGCGGCAGGCACTTGAGCACGCCGGCGCTCATATACGCACCGTCGAGACCTTTACAAATCCGCAAGGCAAGCTCCATCTCGCATGGCCATCAATCTTACATGTTCTGGCGCATGAGCAACTACATTCTGTAATGGTTGAGGGTGGCGCAGCTGTGATCGATAGCATACTCGCTTCGCATCATCTCCTACACAAAGTCATCGTGACCGTATCACCAGTACGTGTGGGTGAAGACGGCGTTGGGTATACAGCGACTCCGCTTCAGCATGCACCCTATCTACAACACATCGACACTCTCGAGCTGCCGCCAGACACCGTTTTTGCATGGGATGTCGTCCCTTGCTAGGTACTTTTCTTCTTGTGAGCAAGAATACTCGATACCATAGATGTCGCATCACTTAGGCGCGCTCGCTGCTCAAATACAATTCGTGTGACTTGTTGCACATCGTCTTCCTGCGATAATGGCATGCCAGCGAGTCCGGTTTCGATCAAGTATTGAGCAAGGGAAGTCAGCTGATCTTCTGCGTCAGCCAACGTCTCCTCTACTCCGGTTCCATCCACGTCGCTAACCAAGCCGTATGTCCTGCTAGGTAAGCCGTTACCTCAACACACGCACACTCGTTGAAACATCGCATCCATGGCCTGCCGCACGCTAGGAATGTGGTGATGTTGCAATGCATCTATCGCGTCGGACATAACTATATTCGGGTCTCGCACGTTTGACCATAGCGATGCATTGCGCAAGCCCAGTGGTTTTTTGCTCATCCGTGTCTCCTTTGCCGTGTGCGGAGTAAGAACGGATTGTTTTTCTCCCCCGCACAAATGAGCGCAAGCCATTTTTTCTCTTTGCCCATTTTGACTTGAACTCTTGGGCGCTGATTCCTTGTCTCTGAATGAACCCTCCCCTTGCTCTTCCCTGTCTTTTTTTAGTCATCTGAACCTATACTCCGGTGATCCGACACAACAAGTCCCACCTGTGACAAGCAGCAGCACAAGCTACACAGAGGCACGCTCGCACTCAGGCAGGGCCAAGGTCAGTCGCCCTTCATTTTCTGTATCTACTCCTGCCATTTCATATGACAAGGGCAATGTCTTTTGACTCTTCCGTGAGCAGCAACAGCAGCAGCAGTACCAAGCCAAGCAATGTAGATATATCCTCTGGCATCGGTCCTACCAAACTACCCGCTCTCCCTGACATGCGTCTTGAGCAATTTTTCTTGTCAACGATTCGACAACACGTTTTTATTGATGGTGTTTCACCTGAATCTTACGTTAGTGCTACCCATACTCCCTGGGAAAAAGTATATGCGATTCAATGGCGGCCCATGCTGTGGCTCCTATTGTGGGAACAGCTCATCTCCCCTTTATGGCAAGGTGTGCTATGGGGTTTGGGTGGCGTCTTCTTTGTCTGCATGCGTCAATCATTTGTCTATGCTCGGTCTGCACGTGTGCCGCCACCACCACGTCCGCGCGGCATCGTGCCATTTGTCTCACAAATGCTCGCGCGACTAGGTCTAGGCGGTTTGGCTATTTAGCTTTACTGCCTCTGCACACTCCGCGAGCGCGCGCAATTTTGATGTACACTGGACTGCAAGCTCATCTGAAGAGGCATCTTTATTCGCAGCCAGACACTGATCATACTCGCGAATCAAGTGGCCGCACGTCCGCTTGATGGTCTGCAGCATTGGCACTGCGTTTGATGCACACTTGGCTAGTTCCTGCTGAGGTTGTGTACAGGAGGCTGGGTCATTTCGGTGGACATAAATACACCGCTGAAATACAGCTGGTCGTGTGAGCTTTCTTTTTTCGTTCCTTCCTTTTTTTTCAAATGTACATACCTAGTTGATCTTGACACTGCTTTCCCACCGATTCCATTAACGGTTCCATGTTTCTCGTGGGTGTGAGGCTATGAAAGAGACCTGTGGAGGCTTTCCCTGGGATTCATTTACCTGCTACGAAAGTCCTTGTGCTCCATCTATGTGGAGGCACGAATCATCCGCTCACAGACGCCAACGTGTCGTCCTAGCTGGCGTCCCTCAAGAGAGACCCCTCTGCATCTTCCAGCCGTTCGCATGCCTGTGGAGAGAATGACATCCAGCGCTTCTACAAGATGTTATAGACATCCAAGTCGACGTCGGATCGTTGGTGTATCTTTGAAAATGTACTTCGACTATGCACGTACTCAGACCTATGCGCGTGGGCTTTTACAGTGTGCAAATATGCACCCCAATTTCCCCATAGCTGATCATCAAGGCACTCAAGCTCTGGATATATTTGTACTCCCAGAATTTGCGTCTTTACAATCTGTCCAAGAAACATTGTCTCGATCGACGACGCACTGGTGGATCGGCGCACAAAATGTATGTGAATACGAACGCGGTGCCTATACGGGCGAAGTAGCAGCCTCGACACTTGCTCAGGTCGGATGCCGTCTGGTGGAACTTGGCCATGCGGAGCGGCGTCACTTGTTCAATGAGACGGATGAAATTGTTGCTCGTAAGGCATTCCAGTGCGTGAGATATGGCCTCATCCCTCTTGTGTGTGTGGGCGAACGAACATGCACTAGCGACACGCTCCTGGCTGTCGATGAATGCTGGCATCAAGTCGCACCAGTTCTAGTGAATGTTCCGCATGATGCACCCATCTGTCTAGCCTATGAGCCTGTGTGGGCCATTGGAAAGGAAGAGCCCGCAACGCCCGAGCATATACGAGCTGTGACGCAGGCTCTGCGCTCGCGGTGCCTGGCAGAGTTTCCCGAACGCCATGATGTTTCTTTACGTATCATATATGGTGGCTCAGCCAAACTTGGACTATACTCTAAAATCAGTGATGCCGTGGACGGTTTATTTCTGGGTCGATATGGACATGATCCTGCTACATTTATTGATACAGTGTGGGAGGTGTATAAAGCCGACAATATATAAAAAAAACAAACATCGCAACTTTCTCATCACGCTTGCATAGCTCGACAGCGATCTTCACGCATGCGATACATTCGTCGAAGAAGCGTTTTGTGGTCGGTGAGCAGACTAGAGCCGGAACTCGGGTGTGCTAACGTGTGCCACAACTGATATTGCGATAACATATCTTGAATGACGCGGGTGACAATCGGCAACGATACATTGAAGCTGGCGAGAAACTTTATTGTGTCAGAGTCGGGGGATGCTTCGTCAAATGCGCCATGAAACTTGGCTTTCAGTGACTCGCGAAGCGTTGGTGAGATACTCAGGGCCAGATAGACACACGCCACTGCAAGCACGTAGGGCGGGTGTTCCAGTGGCAGGTGTGTGCGGTACATGTCGTTGGCGATGTACCATGCCATTTGTAAAAGCGAAGCCATCACATCTTTCGTGTCACTATGCTGGGAAGAGATCTTGCATGCATTAAGACAGACCTCACACAGGTTCGGCAGAAGGTGGTATATGTGGAAGACGACCAAGTCAAACTCTAGCTCTTCGAGCAAGCAATACTCCATCTCTGCAAGAAGTGGCACATGATTCGGCATCTCACGGTAACCTCTTTCATTCATCATCTTGGATGCCTCAGCACACACGATGCGAATGCGAATAGGGGCTTCTTCGACTTTGCTCGCCAAATATACACATGTCACCAATACCACGATCGGATCAGTCGTGACATACGAGTTCTTGACATAAAACCGTTGAAAGTACATACACGCTGTGGCAATCACCCGCTGCTGAGCACCTAACCGCACGCACAGGTCTGAGATTGTATTCAGGCACCACGCACAGAGAGCCGCGACATCTATGGCACTTGCGTACTTCAGGTCTTCTGCACGCGCTTTGAGAGTTGTACCGGGCGAAAGGAGCCATGTATGGCATTGCGTTGAAGACCAAAAGTTGGCTGCCATACGTATAAACGTAGAATAAATGAGCGTCTCGATGTTACAACGCCGAAAAACTACGTGCCTCGCTTACGGTGTGGAATGTACAAATGGCTGATGGATGATGGGCGGTGTGGAGAACTGTGATCAAAGAAAAGTGACGGAGGGATGTGCGGGGCATGGCTCGGTGTTACTTCATTTTCTTCGCGCCCAATATGAGAGAGAAATAAAAAATAACTCGTACCTCTGACACTTGTTCATTGCTGCTCTCACTTGGTCGCCGAGTCTTTTTTTTTTCTTCTTTGACTCGACCACTAGAGATTTGACGTGCATATATGCATGACGCCACCGAAGAAACGCGCACGAGTCGCAGAATTCAGTGCCGAGTCACCCAAGACAGAGGAGGAGGCCGATAGGCATTTGCAAGCTGCCTTAAAAGCCAGTGTTCAGCGCGTCACTTGCCCATTGTGCCATGTTGAATGGCCAGAAAGTGAGATAGTACGACATGCGAGCTCATGTGGCACCGAAAGTGCTTCGAAAGAGGTTGAAAAGCAGTGGAAGGCTATTCTTCCGGGACTAAGCAAGACACATAATCGTCGCATCCCGTTCTTCAAGGTGTTAGATGGCATGCCACTAGCGGTTGATGCATTTCGGTACGGAGCGATAGAGGGATGCACAGCGTATTTTCTGACGCATTTTCACTCTGACCATTATGCTGGTCTTTCATCAACCTGGAAGCACGGTCCCATCTACTGCACACCTGCGACATCGCGTCTTGTTCACGCCAAGTTGCGCGTCGACAAAATGTGGCTGCGACCCATTGCACTCGATGTGCGCACACTGATTCCTGACTCTGGTGGTGTCTACGTGACATGCATTGACGCTAATCATTGTCCAGGCTCGTGTTTGTTTTTGTTTGAAGGGCCGCTGACCGCGCACATCCTTCCGTCGAGCATACGCAATCCACACATCGGCACTTCGCGCGTGTTCCGATACCTGCACTGTGGCGATTTTCGCGCCTGTCCCGCACATAAGACGCACCCAGCTTTGCAGCTAGGCATCCTGGATGCAATTTATCTCGACACGACCTACCTCGATCCGCGGTATTGCTTTCCTCCACAGGCACAGGTCGTTCAGGCGTGTATCGATTTGGTGGTGATGCCACATGCGCAGCCTCACGATGTCACTCTCATGTCAGCATGGTTGAAGCAGCCGCAGGTCCGCAGTCAACCTTTGGTTGTAGTTGGCTCTTATTCGATTGGGAAAGAGCGGCTGTTCTTGGCACTCGCTAAAGCGTTGGACTCTTGCATTTACTGCGCGGATGCCCGAAAATACGAGACCTATGCTCTGCTTGACGATCCAACACTACAGAGTCGCCTTACAAAAGACCCCATGTCTGCGCGTGTGCATGTGGTGACTTTGAATGCCCTCTCTCTGGATACATTGCGCGCTTACACAGAAACGTTCGTGCGGCGCGGCATGTCAATTTCTCACACGATTGCCATCCGGCCCACTGGCTGGACGTTCAGTGGTCGCTCACTAGCACCGAAAAAGTCCATTGATGATTTGGTGAAAGAATGCGTGCCACCCACTTTTACCTACAAACAACTTGAGCCGCAACGCCAAAGCACACACGCGGTGCGCATATACGCGGTGCCGTACTCAGAGCACTCTTCGTTTTATGAATTGATGGCCCTGATGGTCTCACTCCCACACCGTCGCATCATACCCACTGTGTCAGCTGGCAATCAAGCTCGGCGACAGGCGATGCGTTCGTGGACGGACATGTGGACGGCCGCCTCAACGCAGCAGCATGTACATATAGCACCTCGTTCAGAAGACTACTGGTGAATGCGCAAAGGCATCTACGTAGCTAGGAGAAAAAAGAGGAAGAAAGGAAGGGAACCTCATCTAGACAGAGAGCTCGGCGCGGCCGGAACTGGCCAGCTGTGCTGCGTAAGGCTCAAGAGCTGGCTTGACCCACTTCGTCAAGAAAGCGTCGACCTGCTGAGGCGCGCGGCCCGTGAAGCTTGCGGGATCCAACAAGGCATCGAGACGATCCGAAATAGGCGCGAAGTAGGGATCGCCCTTCACACGCTCAATCAAGTCGTTCTCACCACCCTCTTCCTTCACGACACGAGCAGCTTGGTGTGAAAGAACGCGAATTCGTTCATGGCAGTCTTGCCGGTCACCGCCACTGCGGACCATGGCCATGATAATGTTCTCCGTAGCCATGAATGGGAGCTCCGCAGCAATGTGACGGGCAATGATCGCGGGGTACACCACGAGTCCCTCGCTGACGTTCTGAAGAATCGTCAGAATCACATCGGCCGTGAGGAACGACTCAGGAATCGTCAAGCGGCGGTTCGCACTGTCATCAAGCGTTCGCTCCATCCACTGACCACCGGCCGTCTCGCGCGCACTGTTCAGTGTGTTGCCAAGCCAACGAGCCAGGCCACAAATACGCTCAGAGCGCATCGGGTTACGCTTGTACGCCATAGCGCTGGAGCCGATCTGGTCCTTCTCGAATGGCTCTTCGACCTCCTTCAAGTGGCACAGCAGACGAATGTCAGTTGCAATCTTAAGAGCGGAAGCAGCGAATGACGAAAGCGACGATAGCACGTCAATGTCAATCTTTCGCGAGTACGTCTGTCCCGTCACGGGCAACGCGTATGGAAACTCGAATAATTGCGTCACGCGCTCGTCAAGGGCTTCGACTTTGTCATGGTCACCATCGAAAAGCTGAAGGAAGCTGGCTTGTGTACCTGTAGTGCCTTTAACACCGCGGAATCCAAGGTCGTCGCGTGCACGCTGAATGTTCCGCAAATCCCACAGCAGGTCCTGGATCCACAGGGTGGCACGTTTTCCAACGGTAGTGAGCTGTGCAGGCTGCATGTGGGTAAAGCCCAACGTTGGCAATGCGCGGTGCTTTTCAGCAAAGGTCGCAAGCCGTTGAATCACGACGGCCAATTTGGGCAGCAAGAGATCGAGGCCCTTGCGCAAGAAAATGAGATCGGCTGTCGCGTTAGCACCCGGACATCATGCGTACATACCATTGTCCGTCACATAGCAGGACGTGGCACCGAGACTAGTGTGTAAGTAAAAGAAAGATGGGGATTTGACTCTCGCACGTACTGGATAAATGGTGCAGCTGCAGGTGCCATGAGACCGAATACATGGACATGTGCCATGACATCATGTCGACGACGCTTTTCTTCCTCAGCAGCGAGTCTCATCTGTTCTTCGTCGAGCTTGAGATGCGCACGCATTTGCTCGATGGCTTCATCTGGGATCGGAAGGCCCAGCTCCTTCTCGGCTATGGCCAGGTTCAACCACAGTTGACGCCATGTTCCAAAGCGCGTCTAGTAATTTATTAGCGTCCATTGCTTTACTTACAGCATTCGAAAACAGGTTTGACATTTCTTTGCTCGCATAGCGGCTCGAAAGCGGCGATTGCCAGCTGTCCATTGTGATGGCGATGCTTTGATGCACGTCAGGTCAAATGCCTCTAACGAACACCTACCTCCATACGTCGTCACTCTGCTATCAAGTTCAACTTAACGCAAGCGTGCACCTGACCGTACACGCTACCACGTGACTGTAGGCCCGTACCGCGGACCCCGAGTATGTTTTTTTTCTCTAGCATTTAAAACGGTTGGGTTCGAGAACGGGCAGCTTGCTATTGTGCATCCAGTGTGTCTTGTCTCATGGTCATGGGCATCTCTTGATACCCTTCATGTAAGTATACCGCTCCTCCCCCCTCTTCGACTCCAAGTCCCGCTATTCTATGATGAACCCTAAGAACCAAGCTCTAGAATTACTCTGCATCCACATATGGAGACACACTCTTAGTTATCAGTTTCAGCCTTGTCTGATCATTCTACCTTCCCTCTCGCTTTTTTTCTGCTATCCTATACATTTTGCTCTTGCTTCTATGAACTTTGCTTACATTTTGTCCAGATTATAAGTATGTACCGTATATGCCAAAGGTGCTAGCGGATGAAATCATTACCGATGGGCGGACCGAATGGGCCTTCTCACTCTGACACTCGTCAGCCCTCGTGCTTGTGTACAAATTTTGCGCAGGGTTTGTAGTAGGAGGTTTTTGAGGATTCATCGGGTTCTGATACAGCTTCTTTTTCGTGTTGTCTTTCGGAGAAAGACGACAAATATCGGATTGGACTGACACGTGTGCAGGGATGAGTGAATCTACTACGGCGATGCAGCCACTTTGCCCAGATGCTTTAGCCGAAGAATTCATGCGCCAAGGACACTTTGATCAGCTGCGGAAACAGATGCTACATGAGTTTTTGCAAAGTGAGGAGCATGCAGTTTTTCGCGAACAGCTTGAGACACGTTTGCATGAATGCGTAACGAAAGATGTCGACAGGCTTGCCTTTCGTGATCCGCGTCTTCGACAGAGCGATGTCATGCGTGCATTAGATAAGGACCCCATCTTCGACCAACTCTTGTCGAACTTGTCGCGGCCCGGCCAGACTGCGCCGTGGCTCGGTGAACACGGTCGTCTTGCAGAGCAAGTTCGCGAGCAACTGACGGCGATGATTCAAGCTCATCAATGTTCTTCGTCTTCGTTGGAACCAAAAGAAGCAAACTCATAGCCGTCATGACATACCCAGGTCTGTGTATTTGATGACGTACATATTGGGCCATGTCTATGTAAATATCAAAGTGACATGCCTCCTTCCCATCATTTGAAGTTTGTTGTTATGTGCTCTGATTATTCTTCCTTGAATGACAACGAAATGGAATTCACACAATGCCGCTCGTCTGTGGGCGTGGGAAATCCTTCGCCATAGAAAACGTGTCCGAGATGACCGCCACAGTTCTTGCACGTAATTTCGGTGCGTTTCTTGGGTGAGTTAGGAACCAATCTGCCGCACGTACCATGCCAAATGAAAAATCATCGTGCCTCGAGATGGCACCTGGAATGGCGTCGAAAAATGCTGGCCATCCACATCCACTGTTAAACTTAGTCGTGCTCTTGTAGAGCGGAGCGCGACAACCGGCGCACTCGTACACGCCTGGCTCGTAATGTTTGTTGTATGCTCCTGTGCCGGCCATTTCAGTGCCTTTTTGGCGAAGGACACGGAATTGTTCGGGACTTAGAACAGCACGCCATTCACTCTCATTCTTTGGTAGATGCGTCATGGTTGAGGCGGTGCTGTTAAATCGAGAAACTGATGCAGTTGCGTAGGGCTTTAAGCGACAGACGACCCTGGTTCTTCTTAACAGCACTAGCGCCGGGAACATACACTCCGGGCAGCTCAGGAAAGCTGCTTTAGTGTACGTATTAGTGTAAAGCTTATTTAGAGTCTTGCGCGATAATCCATGTCGAAATGGCGCAGTCAGGTTCTTTACTCATATATCTCCGAGGTGGAGAACGAACAGGGCTTGAGCCAAGAGAGAAAAGCGCGCTTGTGAGAAACATCATCCAAGAAAGGTCGGGACGGATGAAATTTATGCTACATGCAAGATGTACGTTATGGCAAGAAGAACTAGAAACTTTTCGCAAAATGCATAGTATGTCACAACTCTTTTCGTTCAGGAAACTCGAGATTTAGTTCCTTGGGTGCGTCGTTTTTCGACGCCTCTTGTTCATGTTGCGCCTCAAGCGGATGCTTGTGGCCCGTGTTACGCTCATAGTTCGCCATGTTTTGTTTGTATTTCCTATGAGTATGAGTAGAGAGTAAATATGACGTACGCAGCCAGATTTTTGGACTGTTGAAGGATCATTTCAAGGCGGTTGTCCTGGGCGATATGCTGTGGCTCATTCATGTTTAGCAAAATGACGAGGGGTGTCTCGTTAAGTGTCTGTAGAGTGGAACACATCAAGTGAGGCAGATGAACGACATTGTGGAGACTGCTAAAATTGTCCGAAGACCCGTTTTTTTCATAGGTTGGGGGCGCTGACAATATGGCGGTTAACTTGGGCTATGCATGACAAAGACACGCGTTTTGCAACTACACGTTGGAAGCATGAGATGATCGATGACAACGGCGGGGCACTTTGTTGGTAACAGAGGTATCATTAGCATCGACGTCGTCTTCCATACTAAATGTTAGGGGCCCAGCACGTTCGCGCTTCTTCTTCTTAGGACCAGACGCAGCTCTTTTGTGTGTGAACGTGACATGGGTGGTAGTCTCACTTTGCCGGCTTCGCATTCCAGCGGAGTCAGAATTCTTGTTCCGATCTGATCGATCATCTTCGACATTGTCATCATCGTCATCATCCGACTGAAATACGGCTTTAAATAAATCCATAGGAGGCCGAGATGCCTGCATTTCACGCTCCATCGCAGTCTCGAGTTCTTGAGACATAGGTGCAAACGCAATTCCAGGTGTATCGTCCACCTCAGAAGACATGGGAGTGAGAGTGGTGGAAGTGGTAGTCGACGACCAGGAAGAAGAAGTGCCTGGTGCACCTGGAACATTTGAGAGACGATCGTTTGAGTCTGGCAAGTCGGTTGGGTCGAGGTCATCGCTATCGGCATCACGTTCTGGGTGCGGATCTGGCACGCCATGCCGTTTGCATAATAGGTGCGGAGGGTAAAATACACCGACGTGACGCGTCAGTGCACCGAACTCACCATTTCTCGCGGCACGCACAGCAGCCGACGGAGGCTCGGATTCCATTGTCTGTGGCACTGATTCCAAGGCTTGGGATGCATGTTTCTGTGCATGGTTCTGCAGTTCGGAGGCATGTTGGAGACCGCCCTGGACGCCAACGCTTTCATCTTGCAGAAACGTGCTGGAGGTGAACCGATGTGCCATGTCGCCATGGACAGGTCTATGACGACAGGCAGTTTGATAGAATTCATCCACTTCGTCTTGTTGTGCATCCAGTGCGACGCCTTTCGGTGGCAGATATACAGGCCCTTCAAGAAAAGAGGCCACATACGCCTGGTATCTTTGGTCCTTGCGTGGATCTTTTCCCGTGCCACGAAAAGCTGCAAGAGCACGCCGAGCCGTTACAGGATCGAGTGGATGGATTTTGAGCTGTTTAGGTGATGTGACACGGGCTGCGGGAGATTCCAGATGTGATGTATCGCTGGATGGTGCTTTGACCTTGATATACTCAGTGATCATAGGCGGCGGTCCTGGGGGCGGTGCCTCGCCAAGGATCGCACGTCGATCATTGGCATTTGAGGGTCGCGAAGCATTTGAAGCGTTTGATGGATCTGACCGCTTTGATAGCCACACACGGTGCGGATCAGGTACCCAATTGCTCGGAACGGGAGGTGGATTCCAGATGCGTTCCGTGGGAAGTGGCTCTTTGGCTAGAACAAAGCCTGGAGGCAGAGGCCGCCCATCGTGCCAGGTAACAGAGCCAGAAACTGCAGGCGTGTGAGTTTTGGCTTGTGTGGCTGGTTTGGGAGGCTCCGTGTCTTCGACGAGCGTGGCGGAGTCTTGTTCTGTGTAGGCGAGAGTCGAGTCTTGCATGGACGGACCGGGCGCATACACATGATCTTCATCATCAGAGTCCATGCCAGCCGCACCGATCTGAGGCCGTCGTTGCTGGCCTTGCGCGCGATGGTACTGCTGCAAAGCAAGTTGCAGAGCATCGGAACGGCTTGAGGACGATTCAACACCAAGAGACTGCCGTCGGTCTTTGGGTGGCTCGTACATGTGTGTGTCAGGCGGAGGAAATTTGTATCGTCGAGCCTCGTCATGAGGAGCTGCGTGCTTCGTCTGGAGTAAGCTGGGAGATGCGAGATGCATGCGTTCCAGCAAATCGATGAGTTGTGCACGCTGATCGCCAGAGACAAGGGGGCCGATCCCCTGGCCCGGTTTCCATCCCATCAGCTGCATGATGGCCTGGCCTTTTTGTGAAGAGCCGGCTTGGAGGTGAGAGGATGAGTTCGACAAAAGACGAAGGAATGGATCATTGGTCTCGGGTCCTTGGTCCGCATACTCGGACGTCGTTTGCAATTGGCGATACTCGGCAAGGTCCTCTGCATCCATATAGTCCTCAAGACGCGACTTGATCTGCGACGTATCGCTACGGGTTTTTCTTGATGACTTAAACGACGACGGCATCCATCCCTCTTTGCTTCCAACCGTGTTGAAGTAGCCAGCGGACCATCCACCCGTGAATGCGCCGTGAAATCGCCGACGGCCCTGTTCATCGTACACTTCCTGCTCCCAAAGTGGCCTGTACTCGTGCCTATCTTTTTTTGAACCTGTCAATGGAGGAAGGGCTGTGCCATACTTTTCGTAGCGTTAGAGAACTCGTACGTGTATACATACACGACAAAAGTTTTCAGACACGTTCACACGATCCAGCACGCCATCCCGCTCAATTTTCCGCCGAAGCCGCTGCGTCGCCATGTGGGTGCAGTGTTGGGGCGTATGGGGGTGCGTAGGTGTGTATGAATGTGCAAGAGGCGCAGGTCAAATGCGCAGGATGGCCTGGGCGAGTGCTCAGTATACGCGGATCACAATCGGCTGTGTCGCTGTTCGCTGGAGCTGGCGTACGAATCTGAGGCGTAAAATGCGGCAGATTTCCACCTCCACCGATAATTCATCGTGCACCCCGCGACGCCGAGATCCTCCAGGCAAGACCGTCTTGACGACGACCTCAGAGTAACACGACTGAATTGAGACGTTCCAGAACCTATCCCTCTCGTCATGGTCCTCTACTTAATAGGCCTAGGACTCGCGGACGAAGAAGATATCACACTGAAGGGGCTCAAGGCCGTCAGGTCGTGTAGCAAGGTGTATTTGGAAAGCTACACGAGTATTCTTCTTGTAGACGATTTCGTTCATCGTATGGTACGTGCGCATGAATGCGCGTAAGCACATGCCTCTAGCTATCTTACACGTATGCAGGAATTGCTGTATGAACGACCCATCACTCTGGCACACCGCGAGACCGTCGAGCTTGAGGCAGACGATATTCTAGCTGCTGCGTACACTGGCAACGTGGCATTCCTCGTCGTAGGCGACCCTCTGTCAGCGACGACGCATGCCGACCTCATTATTCGTGCGCGCAACTATAGAGCACCTGGCTCGGAATGCACAACGCCTGTCACTGTCAGGATCATTCACAACGCCAGTATCACTACGGCACTTGGGTCCAGTGGCTTGGCTGGCTACAATTTTGGTCAGACTGTGAGCATCCCATTTTGGACGGAGGATTGGCAACCTGATAGCTGGCTCTTCCGTATCGGCGAGAACAGCCAGCTCGGTCTTCATACACTGTGCCTAAGCGACATCAAGGTGCGGGAGCAAAGCATAGAGGACATGAGCCGAGGAATTGCTCGTTACCAGCCACCGCGATACATGCTGATTCCCCAGCTTATTGCACAACTTGTGGCGGCTGCTCAGCACCATCAGGTCGACTACCTGCATCCTGAGCGCACACTAGCCATAGCTCTCTGTCGCATGGGAGCAGAGGACTCGGCAACACGGCGCGGTGAGCTCATTGTCGCTGGTACACTCGCTGAGCTGTTGCGTTGCACAGAGCCTGACGAAGCACAACAACAGGAAGACATGCGAGAGGATGAACAGTTTGAAGAGGAGAACCCCACGGTGAGCGAGAAGGAAATGGATGCACGACGTGAAGCTCGACGTGTACAGCGAGCACTGCAGTTCTGGGGCCATCCCTTGCATTCGCTTGTGCTTGTAGGTCATCGGCTGCATCCGATGGAGGTCGAATATGGTCGGGCTTTTGCATTGCCAGGAAGTCGATGGGCCGACGTCGCTCGCGACGTGTACGGCGCGCGCGACACATAGCTTCATGGTGGAAGGAACTCACCCCGTTGCCACTTTTTCCAGCGTGGGCCACCAAGCCACAGAGACTCGCTTTCGGACGCGGCTTGGACGACTTCCTGTAGCATATCTTTGGGACACTGCTGCTGGGCTTCAAGAGCGCGCCTTCGCTCTTCAGCACGACGCATACTCTTGACGACGCCACGTAGCTTTACCAGCTTGTCTCTCACGGCCAACGTGTGCTTGTGCTGGTGTCCATATTGTTGCGTCAGACTGTCTGTCTCCTCTTGCAGTTGCGCAAGCCGTTCTTGCAGCTCATGCATCGTGCGCGTCGCTGCGCCTTGCGAATCCGCAACGGCGCGCAGATGCTTTTCGGGATGTTGGCCATCCCAGTACACGGGGCGCACATGTACAGGACCACGCACCGGTTTCGACTGTACCATGAGCATGTCGAGTCGGAGTGCTACAGGTGTCTCGTGAGCCACTGCGTCTGCATCCATCCCAAAGTCTGTGTTGAGCGCATCGTTCACGATCGAGGGCTTGATATTCGTGTCTGAGCTGGATCCTCCCGCCCGTCGACTGTGTGGCTGCATTTGCGTATTGGGCGACAAGTGGTGGTATGCGAGTGATGAGAGATTGCGAATCACCTGCTTTGCAAGGAAGGAGGCGTGCGATGTCTTGAAGCAACCTAGCGGTGCTCCTTCACCTTGCTTGTCTTTCTTAGTAGACTTCTGCTTGCGATCTAGCGCTGACAAGACCAACAGACCCATTGTTCGCTCCGCATAAAGCTCCTGATCACGTGTATCGGCTGAGATCCGCATGGCTGCTTCAACATCCGCGCGCAGGAGCTGTCGAATACTTCGTGCAGCTGGCCTTTTGAAGTGTACAGATGCGCGCGCCGCCCGAAGCAAGTGCCGGTACACATGTAACATACTCATGAGCGCCTCTCTCTTTTTTTTCTCGCTCTCTCTGAGAAGAAGCTTGTGAGAGTGACGCGTATTAGAAAGATGCTGGAGCGACAGTGGAGGTCTGCTTGGGGTGCGAAGTGAATGTGAGGCCAGTCAGATCAACTGGAGCCTCGTTGATTCGCTAGTGAGTCCATGAATGAACAGGCGTGCACGGTCAAATAAGTGTCTCCAATGCGGGGTAAAAGCTAGCCAAGGTACATAGAGATCACGTGCTTTACGTGTTCACAGAAATGCCCTCCTTGAAGTCGGCTGCTGCGTGCAGAGCCAGAGCTGTCTGTGCATTATAAGCTCTACGTGGAAGTAAGCAGCACATCGCGAACACGTTGCTGATTGACGCGGAGCCTGCAAAATAAAGTGTCAGTATGAAAGAAAAGAGAGAGAGAGAGAGAGAGAGAGAGAAAGAAAGAATCAACGTACTTGATGTTTTCCATTTCAAGCTCGCGAATGTGCGTGTCACGCTCGGCGACCTGCGCCTGGAGGTCCTGAATCTGCGTCTTGAGGGCATCAACATCGGATGCAGCTGTGTTAGGGCCTGCCAGCGAAGTTGTGTCATTTTTCGAGGCCACAGTCGCAAGGGATGATGACGCCGAGGATGGCTTGGCATCTTGTGTTCGGTCTGGGTGAAAGGGTGCAGCATCAGTCATAGAGGGCTCGTTTGAATGCACATCTTCTGACTCACATTGCGTGTTCTGTGCTATTGTTGCAGGGACATAATTTGTGTCTGTCTTCGGCTCGGCTTCCCTCGAAACATCGTTTACGGCTGGCTGAGCTGGCGGGTCCTTGGAACCAACGTTGTCGTCTAACTTGGTTTCATTCTCGTTGGAATCAGCTTTGCTGGACGGCTTTACCTCTGCCTCCTTAGCGTTCGACTTGTCAGCACCCTTTGCTCCCTTAGCATTCACCTCGTCTGTCGGCTTTCCAATAGCATCCTTTGCTTTTTCTTTATCAGTCTCTTTGGACTCTGATTTCGGTATAGCATCTGCTGGTTCATTGGCAGTCTTCGAGTCCTCTTGCTTAGCATCCTTTGGTGTAACCGCAGCGTTAGACACCTCCTCCTTACATGGCTCCGCATCGCCACTTGACTTCAGGTCTAGTTCCTTCTCGCCAGTCGATGCCTGTAGATTGCCTGGCAGACTTGTGGCTTGTGAACCGTGTATCGATTCACGAGTCTCCAAGTTCAGAAGGTTCGGAGTCGCAGTCTTTTTCTCATCGAAAAACTCCGTGGCTGTGAGTGGGGGCGTCGTTGAGCGAGCAGGAGGGAAAATATCCGATTGAAACGTCTCCGACCTACGCGGCACATAGAACGACAATGGCTGGATCATCGAGTAGGACACCTTGTATGCACGGGCGATTTCGTTCTCATTTGCATTCAGTGCGCGACGTGGGAGGAACGTCATACCACTCTGTGGCTCAATGGACTTGTACTCAGCAAGATAGTATAGTTCATCTGATTCCAACTCATAGTACCGAATATTTCCATCGCCTTTGCCAGCGAGGAACACAATGTTGTTGTCACTCCAGAACGGCATAATGATGCCATTGCTACTGTCGAGTGAAACAGTCTTGATAGGCTTTGTCAATTGTGCCACATCCCAAAGGAACATCTGGCGTTCTGACATTTTGCTGAAGCCTGTGGTGATAATGCGCGGCTTGTCGCCGCACCAAATCACACGTGCACCTTTGATGCCGCCATGCCCATCTGTCGTTTGCATGTTGTCTGGCGCACGAGCATCGAGCAAGCGCAACTTCTTGTCACGGCATGTCGCAGCGATCATGCTGCCTGTCTGATCGAACGCCATAGACTGGATCGAGTCTCCAAAGCCTCGGAGATCCACACGTGGTGTTTGCTTCTCGATATCAAAGAGCTTGATGGCATGATCTCCCGTGGCTGCGGCAACCACATTCGATGCTGTAGGGTGGAATTCGACATGTCCGACGCGGCGCCTACCTGCAACAAAACTGGATACTGGCTTGATATCGTCCATCGAGCCAGATGTCTTTGCGTCGTCCAATCGCTGGACAATGTCGTCTGGCGTCACTTTCCACACAGACAACTGTGCGTCATCACCACCACTCACAACAACATGGTCGTCAAACGGGCTGAATGACGTGTCTAATACGGCTGACGTGTGACCACGGCACAGCGGGTACAAATCAGGCAATTTCCCAGGCTGAGCGAGGGGCAACAGGGCGAAGGCTCCGCCACCTGACACCTGCCAGTTTAAAGAGATAAACGTCCCACCAGACGACATCAAGTTCGTGTCCCAAGCCTAGGCTGTGAGTCCCTGTTTACAGCAGTATCACTTACATTGTTTGATACCTGAGTCGTCAGTTAGCCGTATCCCGGACATACCTTGACATTGTCAAAAGACATCTCCTTCTTCGCCGGGTTGCCATATACATGACTGTACACAATTAGATGAAACAAAAATAGAATGCTGCCACTTACCGATACTTAGACGAACGCACGAATCGGCCACTCATGCTTCTTTGCGACTCCCCGTGTAGATGCAAGCAAGCGAGCGACGCACGAGACCTTTCTACGTTGTATCCGGAGTCTTACGCTCAAAACCCATCCCCCACATGCGCGTCGTGCTTATTTCCTCTATGCGGTCATTCGGGCGATGGCGTCTCATTCGTCACGTCAGCTTCAGTCATCCGAGATAATCAAGACCCAGGACAAAATCCACGCATCGAGGGCAAGCAGAAAAAAAAATTTCCGGGGAGTCATCGATGTAGTTGAATATGTACGATGGTGTATAGATCTACAGAAGGGGGATACAGGTGCCAAAAAAGGGCATCAAGATAAGACTTGGATGGAAGGATTAATGATGAAAGAGCATGTGGACTAGGCTTGTCCGTTGAGCACAGCCATATATTACAATTGAGTGTGTGCAAAAAAAGAGGTTGATAATAGGGAAGAAACGAAACCAGCCGGCGCGAGTTATTAAGCAATCCAACCAGCTAGACCCCTTTGGCTCTTTACGAGCGCACAACTGCAGCGGGTTTGTTCGCTTGAACAGCTGCTGAGGACATAGAGTCAACGTGCCGCTTCGTGGAAACAGCAATGATCTGGTACGTTAATGATATTTCTCAGAAACGAGCGCATACACATACATGGTATGCAATAATCAGCACCATAGCTCCACTTCCGAGCGCATTAGAAACGAAGGATAGTGCCGTGTCAGTGATCATGTTTTATCGCTTGCGAATTGATGTGAAGACAAGTGTAAGTTCAAGACCAAGTTGATCTTTTTATCCTTAACATGTACATTAAGTGGCGATAATTTCCCCTTTGCACTTTATCAGTTGCAATCACGCAAGAATTTTTCACTCACGCCTATCATTGGTTGATTTTCGGCTATAGCACAATGACTGCCTAAATCCAGTAACACTTCGGCGTCATCGAGTACGTGCGATGGTATAATACATGGGATGGTGCAAGTTATGTCCGTTTGTGTTTGCTTTGAGACGTGCGTTTCGCGCGATTCTCTGCTCGTCGATTCTCAGCCTGTGCGTGATTCCAAGCACGCTGGAGCTGCCGCTCCTGCTGTCGCTCAGCTTTGGACATGTAGGAATGTGGCCGTTTGGGTTTAGCGTCGATAGCGGTCTGATTCTCTACATTGGTATCCCGGAAGATTTTGTCCGCCATAGCAGCTTGCGCCACTTCAGGCTCCAAGATACCTGTCAAGCTTCCTGATGGGATCGCCGGCGCACGATCGTTTCGTTGCATAGAAGAGGGTTTTGGCTTCTTTGCTTCAGGTGACTGATGAGAGTTCCGCTCAGAACGGGGATACTTCGGGTGTATGTTTGATGATGTGGGTCTCTGTTCGGGCCAATCGTCAACGTCAAGCTCCTGGATGGTGACATGAGCACGCTGTGTGTCGGTTTCGAACTCGCGCTCTCCATGTATGTCACGATCCTCGTTTTCCTCCTCCTCATCATGGTCGGAATCTAGTAGTCCATAAGCAATTTGTTCAGCGCGGACGTTCTCAGCCGCTTGCCTTTTTCGTGCTTCAGCTGTCGCCAAGCGCGAGTTCCGGATTTCTTCCCGAATTGCCTTTTGGACGTGATCATGCGCAGCCTGTCTACGCTGATTTTTCCGCTTGCTAAAACCGGTGAGATACTCGCGACGAGCATCTTCGTCAAATGTGAGTGTTTGCTTTTTTTGCTTCTTGGAGACCGGCGCATACGTAGGTGCGCGCTTTTCCTTGCGCGTCTTGACCTGTTTCTTCGGCTGTACTTTTTGCGCTGACTCTGTCAGCGCCTGTAGTGGTGCGATCCCAGCCATCCCTAAGCTGTCGCTTATACGACAAATATCTCACGACAGCGGTTGGAAAAATTCGTCCGTTCTCCAAGGGCCTTTGGATTCTTTGAGCCCCCAAGTAAAATTCCTGACGTAAAATTTTGTATGAACGCCGGTGTGGAACTTTGGCGGTGTGTCCCAATTGCGCGGAGGCAAGATCGGGTCCTCATCGGACTCCACAATCAATTCACTAGCGACGATATTGACTTGCGACGGCGATCGTTATCTTGGAACATAAGTTGGTCAGTCATTCTGTAGAGGTCATGAAGTCGTCGACGGCGCCAGCCAAGCCTCGTAGTCAAATGCCCTCTACTTCGGTGGTGCGCGGACATGTTGGTCAGTCGCAAGTTCGAGATCGAAGCGGCCGCATCTCGGAGTACTCGGTAAGTTTGTTCTCGTAAGGCATCCGAGAGAAGGAACAAGCTCATCTGACACTTTTCCTGCGACAGTCATCTGATGACAAGTGCCCTATATGCAAGACGGACAGATACCTGTCACCACGTCTTCGACTGCTAGTGAGTCCATGTTACCACAAAATGTGCGAGTCATGCATAGATCGGCTATTCTCACTCGGGCCTGCCGCGTGCCCCGAGTGTGGTCAAGTCGTACGGAAGCAGCAGTTTAGCGCACAGATTTTTGAAGACCTGCAAGTCGAGGAGGAGGTGAATATACGAAAGCGCGTATCGCGGCTATTCAATCGCAGGCCTGAGGAGTTTCCTACACTACGCGCGTACAACGACTACCTGGAGGAATTCGAAGAGATCAGTACGTGTGAAGCTTGCACGAACGTGCCTGGCAGCCATGTTCTTGCCAGCTAACTATGACACACGCAGCCTTCAATCTTGTACATAAAATTGATCTCGAGCATACGCAAACGAAATTGGCGCAATATGAAGCGTTGAACAAGTCGTTCATTGCACAGCAGCAGCAGCAACGCGAGCAGGAATCGATACGGCAGCAGCAGCTGGATGAAGCGTCCCGACAGGAACGTATGCTGCGTGCGCAAAAAGTTAAGGAGGAGCAGGAGCTTGAGCAGCGGGAGCGGGAAGCTGAAGAGAAAGCAATTGTTGCCGAGCTCGAGAAAGGTCGTAGCATTGATGATGTGATGCAAGAGCATGAGAAACGGCGCCAAGATCGACTTGCTGCATCCAAGAAACGTGCGATGGAGGAACGACAACGCCAGAAGCTATTCGAAGAACGCTTGCACGAAGCGCCCGTGAGTGCGCGACCAAAAATGAGTGCGGCTGAGCTTGAATATATACACCAGGTGATCCAGTCAGACTATGTCGGCCCATTTGCTACGCTGGACGATGGTTCTGGGCTCGTGGCTGTTCGAGAAGCACCTGTGTCGTTGGGTGGCATCGCAGCGAGCGGCTCTGCCGGCTATGTGGATCCATGGCTCAAACCAGAGTTCGTCACGCCCATTGCGAGTGCACAAAACCGAGCCGGAGGATATGACTGGCAGCACCAAGTATGGCAGCGTGGGATTTTGGCAGTTTGTGATGGACTCTCTCTAGCACCGGACCTAGGATGACACAGCCGGGGACGACGGCGACGTTGTCGATGACGGCAAGGTGCCCGAGAATGTCGCCAGGATACTGTCCCACATCTCAGCTTTGCATGCCATGGCGAGTAACATCACGGCCGGCAAGTGGAACAGGCTGAACCAAAAGCACATGCGGGCACTTTTCTCATTGGGTGTGTGCCAGAAACGACCCGTATAGTACGCAAACAGCAAGTTCGGAACAAGACTAAGAACCGCGTAGGGAATCGGCAGCACAGTGCCGGTAATGGGCAACGCAATCGAGCACAGCGGCAACAGAGACAGGGCGTAGCGGAAAGCGACACGGCGATTCAATGCAGGGTTCGTGACGGCCATCATTCGGTAGCCGCCGCGTGCGTACTCGTTGCCCATGGCATGAGAAAGCGAATTGAAGTGCGGGAATTGCCATGCAAACAGAATACCAGCGAGGATCCAGCCTGCGGCATCAGTGGTATGCGTAAGTGTGCCAGTGCAAGATGCCCAGCCCATGAGGGGAGGTAATGCACCGACAACGGCACCGACCCAAGTGTTTGCAATACTGTGTCGTTTCATAGGCGTGTAAACAAATGAATACAACACCACATTCAGCGCGCCCAGCGCAGCCGTCAGTGGATTGGTCAGTGTCCATAAAAGGGCGATGCCACCCAACGTGCTGCAGGAAGCCACACCAAATGCATGGACAGGCGAGATCGCGCGGCGCGGAAGGGGACGTGCCTTGGTACGTGCCATCTGTGCATCGTAGGGCGCTTCGACAATTTGGTTCAGCGTATTAGCGGCCGTTGAACAGAGCGTGATCCCACCAGCCAGTGCCAAAAGCCGCACAACTGGCGAGAGAGCTGTGGTCGTTGCATAGGCGGCTGGGCACAGTGAATAGCCCATCATGCCGGAAAGCACGACGAGGAATGTGAGTCGAGACTTGGACAATTGTCGATAAACTCGGAACCACTGCTTCGGTGATCTTTGCCGCTGTGCCACAAAGCCGTCAGGCACGCCCCCTGTCGCTGTTCTCGGCACATCATCTGGCACTACCTGTATATGGAGTGGGTCGTCCGTTTTGGGTCGATAGGTTTCGGCGATGCTTCGTGCGACATGCATGTCAGGGCGCGCCATCGTTAGCGGAGTGTCCATGCGATGTGCATTAAAGAACATGGGTGGCGGCGTGAAAGAAACGCGCTCATTGGGCCCAAGCGCACAGGCGGATGTTGAAAGCTGCTTGCCGAGTATGTACGGTACGAATTGCCGGCTTGGCCGTGTACGCCTAAGCAGCAGCCCGCATGCTCGCTCGAGCATAGCTTGTCGGAAAGGGCGGAGGGGTCAATAGCAGATTTGGCTATGTAAGCAAAACCCAACCTATAACGCACTTTTCGACCTACTCACTCACACTTTTTTCTAGTTGGGAGGGAGGGCGCCGATATCAATGTGTGCCAAGTAAGGGCGAGTGAGTCACGTGCGATCACAATGTCTTCGCGCCATCAACTTGTGCCACTGTCTCTATGACGCATGAGGATTTCGTGCCACGAATTTGGGTGAAGGGGTGACGATTCACATCCTGTTATTATTTTACTTTCCATAACAACAATGAACAAGAATCAACGATTTTTCTTGTTAAACGAATTTTCACAATATCGATACCATCATGATTGCGTGATCTATATATATATATATATATATTTACATCGTGTATTCGTAAGCTCACCAACATTTTGCTCATACACGAAATGAGCCTTCCATGCTATCCGTCAGTAGGGGTATCGCCACCATGCATCCACAGACACTCGTCAAGCGTTGCATGCGCACGAATATGACGAGGTCCTTTCCCACTGTACAGTGCATAGGGAGATAGAGATATACGCACATGTGGCGAGGGCTTCATAGTCTCGACACTTTCTGATAGTATAGCAAGGCCCTGTCGCATCATATCCCAAGACGTACGTCGTGACTTGGCTTCAGAAAATAGATGCGAATCCTGCTCGCGTGCGTGGAGCGTAATGATAGGGGCATTCGCCAGAATCCATGCCCACATGCGCCGTCGAGCACGCGAATTCTGCAGGTAATCAACGCGCTTGCGCCGTAGACGACGTGGAATGGCAGACAACGCCGCATGTTGTGCTGCCGCGACATAACGAGGCACACATCTTGTCATGGCCAATGCTTTTGCTGAGGCGGGCGAATGTGCACGAGTTTCGCATCGTGCTAGCACTGGCTGCTCTTGCTTTCGAATCTGACGTTGCACACGTCGTGGCACCGTCGTTTGACTCGGCTTAGCCTTTATTTCGAGCTCATGAAAAAGTCCCGCATGTTGCGCGGTCCATTGGTCCATCCTGGCGCGGATGGACGGCTCCATGGCGCCCGTCGTCGCAGGCACAACCCGCGCACACAGAGGTGCCCGAACACGCTCAAGTTGCATTGTGAGCCAGCGCCAGTGCAAATTAGCAATGCGACGACGACTCATTTTGCGCCCGGGGATCTTGTTGATCGATTCCAGCGCCGTCGCAAGTTTGGGTGGACACTTCATCGCACCTTCTCGTGGCGCGGAACCGCGATGCGACACGTATGAGAGCAAAAGCGCAGAAAGTGTTTGTGAAATAAACGGTTTCCGAAGCCGCCGTGGGTATCGTGCGTTGTCGTGCATGTATGGTGGGGACGGCTGCGGTGGCTTTATTGTAGATAAGAGCTCATGTCGAAATCGGCCACGGCGGCCGTAGGCTTGTTCCAGTGCGCGGACCACACCGTGTGGCCAGCCGACATTTGCTTGCATTAGTTGCCTGATACGCTGGTGCGCCGTGTCCCATCGACGATTTTCGTGCATCGTGTGCCGATGCAATCGCTTCATATGTCGCCGGGCAAAAAAAGCATGCGCTTCATATAGGTGTGGATCGCCCCATGTGTGTGCAAGTAGGCGCGCCTGCTGAAGCCATGTCCGGTACACGGCGTGCGGTGCAGGTCCCCTATGGCTACCCATTGCTGCGACAACTTGTCTGCGAAGAACCAGCTAATCCTGAACAAAGGCAAAACCTGGAGGTGCAGGGGAAGGCTAAAGAATCACGACAGTCGTGAAAGTGGGAGGAAGTCGATGGTGTAAGCTGTCATTGTAGCGACGACTGAGCAAGTGTTGGGGCTGATGCAAACTAGAAGTCGTCGATGGAGTCGTGTACGCTCAGTGCCTGGATCCTTCACAGGCGCGTAGGGAAACTATGTGGTGCTAGTGTCGGCAGAGGTTCTTGCCACTGAGAGGAAAGGTCTTAATTGACATTTGATTCTAGCGGTCCTGCTTTGCGATGTCCCATTCCATTGGCATGCTACACAAGGTCTTGGCACACCGGGTCGTCCCACGACATGAATGCACCCAATGCCCCGGGATGCGTGCCGTCTGGAAGCGTCGGTGACGAACGAGTGCCCTTGGTTGCCAGGGCTGCAAGAACCTGAGCCGGCTTGTCTGCTGGGACCAGTTTGCCTTCCTTGTGTAGACCAAGGAATTTGGCATGCTGTGCCGAAGGCATTTGGTCTGTCGATCGAATCAGTACTTGCATGTCAGTATCCACGACACCGGGTCGGATAGAGAAACATGCAATGTCCGACTCCTCATTTGCGAGCGTTCGCGCATATGCATTCATAGCAGCTTTTGAGGCACTGAGATACACGTCAGTCCCATCCTAATCCACACTTACTTGTACGCAGCCCATGAGGAGTAGTTGCTCGTTGCTGAACCGCTGCTCACAAAGACAACAGATCCATGCGATTTACGAAGCTCTGGAAGTGCAATACGCACTGTGAGAGCCAGGGATACTGTGTTCACATTGAGCACATGCAGGAATCGCTCCGGCGTCAAGTCCGCACACATTTGATGATCAACAATACCCGCATTCAGAATAAGTGCATCAAGCCTACCCCAGCGCTTCAGTGCCTCATCTCGCGCAGACAAATTGTCTTTTTCGCTCGTGACGTCGCCTTGCACGGTCACAAGGTCGTCTGGCTTCTCACGTGCCAATGCCGCAAGGTCCTCTGTGAGCGTGCGCGACAGCGTTACGACCCTGCTGGCAGGGATGGAAGGCGTGCCATAAACGAGCCGACGAACGGCTGCAAGTCCAATACCGCGACTCGCTCCGGTTACTAGTACCACTTTTTTGTCCGTCATGATGTCAATGAGGGAAGGGCGCTCTCTGTCTTACACTTTGTCCGTGGAGTTGTGTTGTTTCAGTCACGGGCGACTTTTTGTCAGCTGCGATCGGGCTCACGAGTGTCAGAACACGAGTATAAAGCGGATGCTGGGGCAGTGGGAATGTCGAGACGTGGTATCAACTGTGGGTGCACGCAGATAGAGTGGTCATTTACATCTTTCCTTGCGTTTCCTGGCATAATTCAATCCATAGCCATTGGCCTCATTCTATATGCTGTGTGTGTGTACTGGGTCACAATCTTTTTCATTCAACGAAGTCGTGCTGTGTGACTGCATTTCGAATGAAGCAGTTTGATCCGAGGATGGCGAAACGATCGCCGTAGGAGCTGATATATTCATGTTTGCTCTCTTTGTCGATGGCAGCGCCATCGCATCTGCGACTGACGTGCACAAAAGTGTGTCCCAAACCCGAGCTGGCTTCTCATTCTGCGATTCAGGATCATAAAAACGCACTCGAGGCGTAGGCGATGATGGTTTCTCATTACGAAGTCGTCGTCGCTCAAGCCACGACAGAATGAGGAAGAACGTGGCACTAAAACAGATACAACTGAATCCGGTCCCTGTGTTTGCATGCATGATGAGGGGCATTGACATTTCGCGCTGATGCGAGAGAGCCGCCTCGCCCAGCGTTTGTTCACCATTATCGCGGTTGAATGAGTCAATGATTCGAGCGACATACACACGCAGAGCGATCATGTCAATAAGCAATAGTAGGGGCACCAATATCTTGCAAGTACGTTGCGATTCGAAGAAGAAGCAGAAAACGTTGCGAAGGGCGCATCATCCTCTTTGGGGATAGCCCACACAAATACACGGGGAACATGAACTCCTGTGGTGACCAGTATCAAAAGCCATGCAATAAGAGCTAATGGCGGGTACAATGTCCATGTAGTTGGAAGACTGTCGACATCCAATTCTAGGCCAGGCGCAGAATCTAGCCATTGACACTCCGAGATTCGGCTGCATACTCGAGGGTGTACAATGTCTCGCAGCACTCGCATCTGTGAAGCAAGAGCCAAGCAGTCCAATCCGAAACTCAATGTCTGACGTGGTAATGCTAGACATCTCGTGTCCGATGTCTTTGCGCCGATCAAGTGTCGTCGCCATTGCCTCGGTCATGTTGGGCGCATCACTGGGCATGGCCGTAGGTTGTAGCTGCTGTGATCTCGATTCTGAATCATTGTCAGACGACGATCCAGGTATTAATGGGGCAGGACTCAAGTAAAAAAACGATATGCTTGATCCATGGTACGGCACTGGGCTCAAGAATGAAATGATTACTAGGAGGAGTCCGAGAAGCTGGAACACTGGTGGAATGACAATCCGTACAAACATCAAGCGTTCCGGCACATAAAAATCACACTCTCTAGGAAAGTGCCATTCATATTCCCTATATGTATACATATATGTACTTTTCCTCCTCTACTTTGTTGTGCACAGACACGACATTGCCACCATGTCGTTAGAACAAAGCAAGCTTGTTCCGTCAACAAAGATCCACCTGGGACGTGGAATGCCAAGTGGCGTATGCACGGACCATCTGGAGCAGGTCCAGATGCTTTGAACTACACTTTGATGTCAAGATGGGGCATTTGTCATGCTTCTCCACGTGTCACCGTCTGTCGCTTATTCAGCTGCGCCGCGCCGCGCCTGGCCCAGGCTCTTCTCACAGGGATCTGCCCCGCTCCTCTCGCCCAACTTAAGTCAAGCCCTTTTTTCACGCCTGTCACAGCACAGATACATTTGATCATCATGTCCATGTTTGGCGTACCTCGTCTATTTGGATCTGCTGCGCGGATGCAGCGCTCATCCTTGTCCATCCGAGCATTTTCGTCACACATGCGTATGAGAGGCGCACGTGCTTCTGCGCCGAAGGCTGTGCGCCCGCTCACGACGACAGCATCATTGGGCTTCTCACTCATGAGCCTGTTTTCAATGAAGAATATTTCAGATGTGCTTGGGACAAGTGAAAGCGCATCAATTCTGCGCGAGGCTTCACCGGCAGCTATGACGAAGCAGCCGTACACACTTGTGTTTGTGAGCTCGAGCGAATGGAGCGTGAGCCGGGACGCGTGGCAGTCGTGGATTATGTACTTCCGTGAAGCTGGCTACGATTGCATCGACATGAGGGTAGAAGTGCCATCTGAACATGATGAAGGAAAGTGCAAGGCTGAACTTCTTGCTGAGCAGATTGCGTCGCAAGTGCGGCTAAGCTCTTTGCAGCGTCAGCCCGTGCTATTCCTGCGCCAGCTTGCTGATACTGCTGTGCCTTCGTACCTCGGACATGGTGGCTTGTTTACAAGTACGCGTGGCCCTATGTCGGGTCTTGTCATGCTCCATCCAATGTCCAAAGATGCACTCTCGAAGGGCGACTGGCCATCAGGGACGCCTGTCTTGCTGATCCCATCGTCGGAAGCTGAGGCGAATAACTGGGATGACGTAGTCCCATCGCGGAATGCGACAGTACTAGCCGACAAGTGGTCCGAGAAGGAGGGTCTTATCAAGGAAGTAGAGAGCTGGCTCCGATACGCAGGTCTTTGAGGAGCAGGAAGAAGACTTGCAGCTAAAGGCCACGCGCAAAACATCAAGGTCTTGTGGGATGCTTTTGTGTATTCCATCGGTACACTACTCCATTGTCAGATACACGAACAACATGACTCGCTGCGAGCAGAGCAATTAGAGCTTTGTTTACTTTGCCCGCAGGCCACTCTGGTGACTTGGCCACATCCGCGACTGTCGTTAGTGGTTGTTTTGTACCAGGCCAAGCCTAGTCGTAGCTTGAATGATTGTAGCTTACCTCGAATACCCTTATCGTTTGCGTCCAGCAGCGCGAAAATTATGTGTTGGAGGAGCGCACGTTGCTTCTGCAAGGGAGTCAGCCAAAGTCCGTGACATACCGGATCGCCTTGTCGATATTCAAGTGGCATGGTATCGATTATGTCGTCTGCAAAAGCCTAGTGATGTCAGTTACGTTGACATGGACCACAGAGTACTCACAGCACGTTTCTTCTGCACAGCAGCGGGTAGTCGTTTCGATGCCTGCGAGGAAGCAGCTTTTCTCGGTCGTGTCATGGACGCTTTTTGTGAAGGTGGCGGCACTCGCCCTTTCGACATGGTGGGTCCTTTCGAGGGAGCGTGAGCACGCGGTGGTGATGGGATGTCGGCATCGACATCTGTCGTGTACGTCTGATCGCCGAGTGCACCGTCATCATAGGGTGAACTTACGTCCATTCCTGCGGTTGTCGCCGCAGCTGTAGCTGTAGCTGTAGCTGCCACTGGGGCAAGTCTCGGTGTCATGGACACTGGGCTTCTGTGCGCACGGAGCGTCGCTTCTGTAGGCGCTTCAGGCCACTCAACACAAAAAGCGTTCATTTTGATGCCGTAGAGAAAGGCCGCAAAGCTTTCATTGAAGGCCGTCATCGCATGTTGGATCTCGGCGATTTGAGCAAAATTGTCGTGCAGCGTCATAGTTTCTTCAACGAGAATCGGTAGGGCATCATCCTGCAGGAAAGACAAGGGTGTGGGTGCATCAGACTGGGCCCTTGTGACTGTGAATGAACCACTCGATACCCCACGGATCGGCGTTGATGCACGCCGTGGAGTTGATATGCTCATCCTGCTTGAGAATTGGACGAATGCTTACAGGCACTATCTGAAAAAGTCCGTCTGTCTCAACGTGTCAGCCGACCGGACTGGAGATATATATACATACGCAGATGAATGTGCGTTGCTGCGTCCAGTTTGCGTGATTCGCAAATGCAACACAAGGCGCGCGCGCAACGCGTCATAGATGACTAAGCGAATGACAGAGTGACAAGTATAGTGGCCTATCAAAGGCGTTCTTGCGTGTGTAAGAACTAACCGACGCGTGTGGCACTTCCTTTCTCACAGACATTTTGGTTGGGTTTCGCCAGACTCTTCTCGTCCGCAGGCCGTTTGGATTGTCTTGAACGATCATGTCGTCGTACATCTACTTTCGAGGTACGTGTAGTTTCGGCTGATGGTGAGTGACTGGCTCCGTACAAGGCGTCATGTTTCGCAAAAGCACGCTGCAGCAGGCACATGCGTTAAACCTACGTGGTTGGGTGAGGAATGAGCCGGACGGTTCCGTGAGTGGCGAGGCCGCTGGTCCTACGCAACACGTGGAACGTCTGCGCGACTATCTTCACATTGGACCTCGGGAGGCTCGTGTCGATAATGTCGATGTCATGTTTATCAAGCACCATGACATATCCACGTCAACACTTCCGATGCCGTTTGAAATTCGGTCATAAGATGGGGACGAAGAACACAGAACGAGAAAGGAGCGGAGGAGGGAGAGAGGCTGGGGATTTAGCAAAACAACGCGAGATTGTATGATCAGTCCAACAGGCTGTTTTTCTGGCTCGTTGATATGTGACAGGTCGAGTGCGGACGAATCCTCACCTTTTTTTATCTATGTTTCGTTTTTGACCAAAAATGAAATCAGAGAGAAACGAGGCCGATAGGGAAATTCATCCTGCATTTTCCTCTATGGTGTTTTATGACGAGTCTTTACGTGAGCTAGGTGAGAGTTGTGCAGCTTGACGTCTTTCGCGGTAATCTTGCGATCGTGTTCGGCGCTTTTCCTTGCCACGATTGTCCCTTGTTAGACGGTGTGCTTCATCAGTTTCGTGTTCATATACTTGCAGAGCGTCTTCATAGTTAGCGCCAAGATCATTTTCAACCACCTCGGCACGGTGACCACCCCAGTCACCCTTCCGACGCGATGAAGACCAGCCAAAGAGCCACTCGTCCATCACATTCATTGGATGCGAAAGAGAATGACCGCCTGTTGAGTCTAGTGGACGTCCATCGTACATCATTTGCTCGAGCTCTTCGCGAATCGGGGGTGCTTTTGCCGTGTACGAGCCACGCGCAATGTCGGTGTAGTTCCAGCCCTCAGGTCGCAGCTCAGCGATCGTCGAGTGAAGTTGGGCCGTAAGATTGATACGCTCTTGCTGGATTTGATCAATCACTCGGCGTCGGCCTGGCAACAGAGATGCAATAAGAGGCGGCAGCGACTTGTACACATCTATGCCCACCTCGTTCATTTTGATCACACCGACCGAGATGGCCGGCATGCCCAGCATCACGTACAGCGGCATTAGACGTTTGTGAATCAAGCGCAACGAGTTCGAGCGATAAGCAAGTGTCGTGGCTACCACGGCATACGACGCATACAAAATAGGTGCGACAACGAGTGTGACAATGACCTTCCAAGTTGCAAGTACATCACGACCGAACAGCTTGACCTGCGATGCCGCAAGGGCTTCTTTCGCCTTTTTCTTGCTAACGATCTTGGCAAAAATGATGATGGGAAGGTTCAAAATTGTGCCTGGCAATGCGCATCCACTCCATACGACAAGGAGACCCAATCGATACAGCAGCAAAGCAAGACTTCGAAGGACAGACCGGTTCGCACGCTCCACTTGGTGGTCACGGATGCCCACCTGCTTCAAGTGCTTATTGTACGTCAGCACCGATTCGCGCAGCGCGACGACCTTTGGGTGGTCCTTGAACTGCATGTAGCCCATAATGAGCTTCCGGTTCTGCTCCACTTTGTCACTTAGACTCAGTTGCTGGCCTGGCAGGGACATAAGACGCCGACTTGCTTGAATCACCATTAACGTTTCATAGTCTGGCGCTCGCACAGTGACGCTCTTCAATCCGTCAAAAACGATGTCGAGCATAGATGCGATGGCTTGGCGCTTCGATGTGCCACCATGTTCGAAGAGCTCAACGAGGTCTTTTGGTACGTTGATGGGCATACCAAACTCTATGACAGCACGCGAACGGAATCGATGCGGATGGAAGTAGCTCAGTCCAACTGGCACGATATGAACATTAAGGTTGGGGTCATTGGCCATCGCACCCAGCGCCATGATAACGACACCGGCTTTGAGCGGGAGTAAATCTGTCCGGTCGTGGCTGCCTCCTTCAGGAAAAATACACAGACAGCCACCATCGGACAGCTGGCGGTACACACTAGCGTACATTTCGGCTTGATTCACGTACGGCTGCAGCTTGTACGTCGTGCCGATGACCTTCGATGGATCTTCGTTATCCTGGGTCCGCAATGCCTCGGATGCTGCGTCGCCAGGAAATGGCTTTTTTAAACGCAGTTCTGTGTCGCTCAAGATTTCGGCCACTTCTGCCATTGCGTAGTCTGTCGACTTTGGCAACACAACGTGGCCGCGAACCTGCGCTTGCTTTGTGAATTCAGAGTTGATACCCAACAGCAGTGTCTCATCACCGGATGGGTGAGCAGTCACTGTTCCGCTACCAACCTTGGCATCATCGGCTGCGCGGCGGACAGGAATTGACTTGAGCATCCGCGAGAAGCGTCCAATCAATGGCCGCTTCGTGCTTTTGTGTGCAATTAAGAAAGAAACACGACGACCAGCATTGCGTACTTCAGAAGCAAGGATCAGCGGGTCCAGGAACTGGTTGTGGTGTGGCGCAACAACAAAGATAATGGGGCCCGCCCGAGGAATACGCCATGACGAGCGCGGCTGGACCTCACGGAAGAATATAACCACAATCAAACGGAGAAACACAATAGTAAAATCAAAGAGCGAGTCCGTTGCTAACAAACGGGCGCGGAACAGCATACGCGCTGCTAATTTAACGACGAATTTGGGTACAACTTGATGCAGAGGTATCGGCAGAATCGAGAGCATGCGACGAAAATCTTCCTCAACGTAAGAAAGTGTGTGTTTAAACGAATTTTCAGATAGCTTGGGATCTGCATGGCGTACTGGAGATGTAGTCGGTGAAGCGCTGTTTGGCTTGCGTTCCGCGTCTTCTTTCGTACGCTCGCTATTGAGATCTGTGCGACTTATAGCGCTAGCCTCAGATGAAGCCATGCCGGCAGTTTCAAGCATGGATGAAATATTGCCATTCTCATGCGACTCATGCGATGTCATGGAAACTGGACCACGTTGGTCGTGTGCCTGATTCGGGCTGGGGCTGTCCCTCTTCCCGTCGTCCCGCATCCGACCTGACTGAGCAGTAGTTACAAGACAGGGAGAGGGCGTGTGGGAAATGGCGCCACGTGCGTAGATCTTTCTCCACCTCTTCTTTCGTCACGCAAGTTGGAACTTTGCTGCTTGTTAGTGGGTGGGCCAATGTGTGTGGAGCCGAAAGGTTTCGCAGCTCGCACGTCTCAACCCAAATTGAATGTGTCCATCGTTCTTACGCGAGAGAATGGGCCTTGTAAGCAAGGAGAGCAAGAATCGGACGTGTGGATGCGGATGCATTATGTAATGCAAAGTCCACCTGCCCCCTACACAGCACGCATAATTGTCGAATGTTTATCCCTCACAATTTAATATCAGGCCTCAAGTCATTCTGCATGTGAGAAAAGCGCCGTCTCGAACAATCATCAAGGATCACAGGAAGAGAAGGAACTAACAAATTCGCGACAAAATAGTGATTTGCTGATTCAGGCTTGTTTATGATGCTAAGTGGTCTGTCCGATGCTCAGCGCACAGCCGTCACATCCGATGCATCGCGTCCGTTACAGATCCTAGCAGGACCTGGTTCAGGTAAAACACGTGTGCTGACGACGCGCGTGGCTTGGCTCGTGCAAGGCGCTCCTGATCGGAAGCCGATTCCTCCGTCACAATGCGTCGTCGTCACATTTACCAACAAGGCAGCAGCAGAGATGCGCTCGCGCCTTCAGGCGCTTATTGGTGAAGAACGCACGCGAATGCTTATACTTGGTACATTTCATGCTACATGTGCGCGATTCCTGCGCCGCTGGGGCGAGCGAATCGGTCTATCGCGTCAGTTCACCATAGCCGATGCAGATGATGCCAAGCGCATCATCAAGGATATATGCGCAGACTTTGATGCTGACATGGCTTCCGACGATGTGCGCGTGAAGCCTGAGACTGCGATCGCTGCTATTTCACGCGCCAAGTCACGATGCATGAATGCCGTACAATGGCGCTCCATGTCCAAATATCCACCAGGCACAGCCATGCACGAGGAACATACGTATGTATGCCGGATTTATGCGGAGTATGAGTCACGCCTTGCTTCTCATAATGCACTTGACTTTGACGACCTGCTAATGTATGGCGTCAAACTTTTCCGCGAGCATCCCTTCCTTTCACTTGATCATATTGAACATGTGCTTGTCGACGAGTTTCAAGACACGAATGCCGTGCAGTATGAGCTCATGTGCCACATGTCAGCTGGCAATAAATGCGTCAGCATTGTTGGTGACCCGGACCAGAGCATTTATAGCTGGCGCCACGCAGACGTGAGTCACCTTGAACGCATGCGAACCGACTTTCCAGGTGTCCAGCGTGTGTTGCTCGAGCAAAACTTTCGCAGCACGCCTTCTATTCTTGATGCTGCTTTGTCTGTCATGCAACAGGATAAACTGCGAATCCAAAAGGGTCTTTACACGTCTCATGCACAGGGTGCGCCGGTGGTTTTGCGTGCCTTCCATGATGCCGACGAAGAGGCGCGATATATTGCGCTTGAAATCCTTCGCCATGTCCAGTGCACTGGCGGACTACTGACGTTTGCCGACATCAGCATTCTTCTACGATTCAACGCTCAGAGCCGACCATTGGAAGCAGCGCTTCAGCGCCACGGCATTCCATACCGAATCCTCGGTGGCTTGCGATTCTTTGACCGTGCAGAAATCAAGGACTTGCTCGCGTACTTGGTCGTGACTGAAAACCCTGCATACACGCCCGGTGTCTTGCGCATTCTCAATGTACCTAAACGTGGGATTGGTACAAAAAGTGTTCAAGCTCTGCTTGCTGCTGCCCAAGCGGAGCAGGTCCCACTTCTCACGTACTTGGAACGAGTGTCTCCTGCCGCTGCGTACGGCATGCGTCCAGCTGTTGTCAAAAGTGTCTCTCAGTTTGTACAGACGATTCAAGAACTTCGCAATGCAGCGGAGAACGGCAGCTCTGTTGCAGACTTGCTACATCTCGTGCTCAAGCTCACCAGATACGAGGAACATTTGCGCCCTGACCCAGACTTTGATTCGCGCTGGGAAAATGTGCAGGAACTGGTGAGTTTTGCCTCTTCGATCGATTTGCCGCCACAGTCGCCGCCGTCGCATCATGGCGAACCAGTGCGCAAGCGAGCTCGTGTCAGTGAGAATAGGCCTGAGGACGCGAATGAGTTCAGCGTCCACAACATCGTTGACAATGTCCATGCTGACGAGGAGGTTGCAACAACACCTTTATCAGCGTTTCTCGAGTCGAGTGCGCTGGCGTCGGATTTAGGGGTTCAGGAAGGCTCACCGCCAGCTATGGTTACCATCAGTACGTGTCATGCAGCCAAGGGCCTGGAATGGCCTGTGGTATTTTTGCCCGCTAGCGAGGATGGTATCTATCCATTTTACCGCTCGACAACGCCTGAGGAACGTCGTGAAGAACGTCGGCTTTATTATGTCGCCATGACCCGAGCACAGACCAACTTGATCCTGTCGTGGTCGCACCGCCGCCTTGTTATGAGTGAATGGTCATCCCGACAACTCTCACCCTTTCTTGCCCCCCTTGTATCGAAAGCTCATGGTGGTCATGTTCCCTTGGACAAGAAACCCATGTCCGATGAATCGTGGAGTCACGTCTCTCCTCCCTTCACACATGCATGGCTTGGTGTTACAGCCAGCATACTCAGTCGCTCACCCATTACCTTAGAACGCCTGAACGAGCTAGCGGAGGCATTCGCAACGTCACCTACCGGCCAGCAGTATCGCCGCATCAGTGCGCAAATACCAAGTGGCACACCAAGTGCTCCATGGCCTAGCACTTTGCCCAGAACGGATTCTTTCACGAATGCCGAAGTCCGCAAGTGGCCCCGACTTGGGACAAGTACCTCTCGCGAAGTCAATGCCCGTCCCGTGTCATCCGCGCGATCCCTCACACCCAAACCTGCTGGTCAGGGCTTTGTATCGTCATTGCATACCCTCCACTCGACGTCTTCGTCGCTTGGCACATCTTTTCGATCACCGACACTCGGCTCGTCAACTTCGGCAGAACCACATTCCTTGCGCGTGGGATCCAAGCGTCCCCGAACACTGGGCGTAGCCCGACGTCCGCGGACAACACAGTGAGCTGTCAATATTTTCTACATGATACAACAACTATATACCCAAAATGCATTTCATCTCTGACCACACAGCAAAGCTAATTGCTGTCATAGGGACGACTTTCAAATAGCCGATACCAAGGCCAATGTAAAATCCAAGGATGCCGCGTGTTGTGTAAATCCATCGCACCGTTTCAGTGAATCCCATCATGCGGCTAGGGTGAAGTAAGCCACCGACCTGCTGTCGTCGTCGAATGACTTCAAATGGGTATGAAGCCGTTTGGGATATGGCTCCTGCTAGAGCACCAGCCGTAAGATCGACGACGGTGCGGTTGAGGTCAAAGAGTGGCGGATGCTCCGAGAGCGGCGTCCCTTGCGTATCCTTGTTCAGCAGAACCGTATAGAGCCAGGCCTTGGTGCGTCCAAACACAAGGAACGAGGTGCCTGCGTATGGGATCATACCCATGACCGTGGCTCCGAAACCGCGGTAGAATTTCAGCAAGGGCATGCGGTTGAGAAGCGTGCTTTTGTGTGAGCCATCATTCGTGACGATTTCCGCTCCTTCATGGTATATGTTTGTGACAATGTTGCGCAAGCTTCCAGCTTGCGGTTTTGTTTTGGTATCAAAAGCTAGACGCACACGAATAAGTTCAAGCGGATATGTGATAAACACGCTCAGCACACCCGACATGGATCCGGCTAAGAAAAGTCGCAGACTGGTCTCGTCGCGCGGTGTCGGCATCATCACGAGGCGAAACATGTCGAATGCCATGTACTTGACTGCCGCGTATGGGAATATTCGTAGGATCGTCGCACTATGGCCATGGAACAAGCCCATGACGCCCTGTTGCTTGACGATATTGTCCATCGCATTCACCACACCAAGCCATCGTCCACTGTACTTTTGGTAGTCGGGATTGCTTGCCTGGAACAAGATCTTCACACGATCCAGTGGCGCAATGGCTGTCTTTGCCTGTTATTTCATGTCAGTCTAAGCTGTTTGTGGCTCCATGCGTGCACAGCGCATCTGGACCATGTCTGCCGCCATACGTACTGCACATCCTGCGACGCCACCAGCGAGTCCACTCCGCAGCACATAGTCCCAGCTGTTCCGGTGTCGCTGGGTCATCTGCTTTCTCGAGGACCCTTGCATGTCTATGTGCACACGTCACACACACACAGCGTCCCACGTCTCTGATGCACCTGGTGTGGGGAACGATCAGAATTACCCAAGTGACAAGCCTAACAAACCGGGTGTGGGCAACCAAGGCCGGTCGTCATCTTCGTTACGTACATGTCTGCGGATAATTGGCTGGAATACCACGTGTGCCTGCTCCTATTAGCTGAGATGAGTGGATGAACAGTCGAAATAGCGAAATGACAAAAAAAAATGTGTGCGCTCTTTGCTGTTGCACGCTTTGTGATGATATACCTCCACTGTTGTCCGCGCTCCTAGCCATCAATGAGTGGAGTGGATCCTGCCTGAATTCACACACACATACACCTCCACACGCGATGCACCTAGCAATCGCTCGAGACAAGCCCCCCACCTAATCTAACGCGACTCTTGACGCGTTCATTTTTTTAAGATCGTTCTCGCGGAAGTAAGGCTGGGCTGCGCTCGCTTTTCGCACGTGTAACGAGCCAGTGTACTGCTGATGGGGTGCAGCATATGTCTAGATACATACACACAAGAGAATCGACCTGCAGCGCTTCCTTGCGGTCATATATTCCATCATGCGTGCATTCAGGATTGGCTATCAACGCGAAATCACTCCGCATTGCCTTCCGGCTGTCCACTTTGCAAGGCGCCAGCAACATCATCATCTGTTCTTCCTCTTTGGCCGATGGACGACTTGGATTTCGGCCAGTATGTTGCCTCACACTCTGCAGATCCTTCTGCATGCAATGGCGCGCATGGTGGTCTTCTAGCGTCTGTGCGTGATTGGGTTTTTAGTATGCAGGCCTATGCCATGGCAGCTTATGGCTTGCAAAGCTCTGCCATGTCGAAAGCATCGCATCGCATAGGAACATGTCATCGAGGTCTAGTGCAACATGCGCTGGCCGAACAACATATGCACAATGCCATGCAAGCTTTGACGCAGGCAGTCGTGCATGCAGAGCGTCTTTCGCGCGAATTGGCCCAGCGTACTTCATCACTGGATGAAAACAATCGCCAGGTACATTTGCGGCAAGTTCAGTTGCGTAATGAGCAGCAGCATCTTGATACCCTACGCCAGAAACTTGAGCATGAGCGTACTTCTCTTAAGCACAAGCTCAAGCACGCCGCTCAAACAAAGCGCGAGCTTGCTGAGCAGCACGACGCATTGGAACGTCGTGGCCAGTCTATGGAAAAAGAGCAACAAGCCCAGGCCATGCGCACGCAGGAAGCCATCGCCTGTGCCAAAAGTCAAAGTGCCGAGGCTATTCGAAAGGCGGCTCTGGCAGAAGAAGCAGCCATGCAACGCGCATCGGAAGCAGAGGATCGTGCGCGTGCTGCCGAGGAGCGTGCTTCAGATATGGCTGACGCGCTTCATGCGACACGCGCCAAGAACCAGAGTATGGCTGATCAAATGCGTGCCCTCCAAGCGGCCTTGGCCTCAAATAAAAGCAAGCGGCGGTCTGAACGTGAAACATCAGATCGTCTTCGATCAAGAGTCTTTCAACTTGAGCACGAACGAGACGCATCAGCATCGCCTCTACGTGAGCGTTCTATAAATGAGTGTATGTCGCTTAGTCGCAGTCGTCAAGGCCACCATGTGCCCGAAACGCCAGACGCCGGAGCAAAAAGGAAAAGAGCGACAGGCGTCGGCGCGGGCGCGAATACGGATGCGGGTGTGGCAGCGAGTTTCGAGACTGAGACCGATCCACACTTGTCTGCCAGCTCAGAGTTTGCGCCTACACTGATCTCGCTCAAGCCCAGGGCCGAGTCTTCGGCGCCCACACCTTCACCTAGTCAGGCATTCTTGTCCTCTCTCACATATGATATGGACGACAACGAATTCCCTATGCCAGGTGGCTCGTGGCCAACCATGAATCAGCCACATTCTCGCATAAGTCCACACAAGCACACAGCCGTTTCGGATTCGCTTTGGATACATAGCAGCACGCAGGGAACCGTCGCGTTGGGTCCGCGACGGCGGCCTACGTAGCCGGCGAAGAGTCGTCTGAGGCAGCGTGTCCCTTGCGTGCCATGCGCAAGCACGCATCCTCCAGCCATGCCTTTGGATTATTGGCCATCACGCGAATGGGGATGGAGCTCAGATTCGGGCAGGTAAGACCCAAGGCTGATGGCGAACCATCTGGGCTTGCAGACAGGACATCGATGCCGGCTGAGCGCAGAATCCGTGAAGACTGACATTTTACAAAGTCGTCCGGCTCGCGCACGCCCTGAATCACAAGTGAGATACGCAAGGGACGTAGTGTCGTGTCGAGATCTGTGCGCAAAACGGCCCCATTCGCGTCTTGTGCAATTTTCGCAAGCCAAAACGCAGATGTCATTGGAGCCTTTTGATTGAATGCTTGAATTCGCTGTGCGCATGGCAAATTCCCACTCAGTCGCTCAGAGCATGGCTCCATTGTCGTGTAAAGAACAAGTTCCAAGGGCTCCCGTTGGCGCGCTTCCGCTATATTGTATACATGTGGCGTCCGTGCACAATGGCGTGCGATTTTCTCCATTGCACATTCCTCTGCATGTGTATTACCAGGCAGTTCGCGTGAGTAGCCAGTCGTCAACAGAAGCGGCTCCATGGGCTCGTCAACCTCAGGAAGTTCACGACAGAGCTCGGTTCCATTTACAGCAATCACACACCCCACCGAAAAGGCGGTGGGGACCGAGTCACAGTGATCTGCTTCTTGTAAAGCCAGTAAGAGCATGCGGAGGTGGGCAGGATGCGATGCATCCACAGCATGGTCCTTTGTTACAGGCTTGTTGAGTGAATGCAGCCAGCATGTGTATGTTTCTTCCGCAGGACCTTGTGGCCACACGATCCAGTCATCACGCAGCCGCAGAAGCCGACTCGGGAGACTTCGGTAAAATGCCACGCGGCATCTGGTCAAGATGGAAGATGTGCGAAGTAAGTACTCCGTGAGCATGTAGTATAGAGCACCAATCGCTAGGCCGGTCGACAGTCCGACATGGATCTGCGCAGGAGAGTGGTACATGAGACGATGCCGCGAGTAACACGTCAGAACAGTCAGGAGAATAATGAAAACAAGCGATAAGAACTGCTCGAACTGCCTTAGGTAGAGTCCACGGGCTAGTCGAGCACGGTGTTTCGGCCAATGTGCGAGAATATGAATGCCCCAGAAAGCGCAAAAAAAGCCACAGAACTGAGCGTGTGATGACGGCATGCCATAGCCCGTCCCAAGAATGTTCGTTGGACGAGGTTGTTGGATATGCTTTTTGAGACGAGAATTGACTGCCTCGCACAATACTTGTCCCAAAAAAACGTTGACATAAATTGTCTCACGACGCTGCAGGAATGCTGCGATATAGACAGCGAGTATCAACACCGGCGAAAGTGTCACAATAGCCCAGTATGGGCCCCATGGATCATCTAGACTATACTGTACATGCGTGAGATCCAGTGTGTGCCGATTGCCTAGGTAATCATACTGCATGGTGATGGCACAGACACGAGTCTCTGATGCTTGTCTAGGACGCGCGTCGTTTGTCCTACTGCTCCCTCCGTTTTCTTCGGTCAGGCGGCGAAATCAAGGGTGTGTGCGTGGGGTGACGGGGGAGGGGTCGGCGAATGTATACCTCCACACTTGTTGGCATGCATAAGCACGAATGCCAATGCCAAGATTGATAGGCTACTGGGTCCTTGCTAAGACTGAGAGCAGTATTAGGATTTGAGTGCTTCTCGCAATTACGTAGCATTCGATATTGCATCGCTTGTGCTATATCGACCTCTAGCTCGATCAAGAAATGTTCTCCATGTACGCGAAAACATAGCTGTCGACACTTGACGCCGAACACGTCGTGGCGCTTGTTCGGGTGTCGTTGCGTGCCTCATGGCTGCCTGAGCATGGTGCCGTGACCATGTCATACTCAATGGCTCACACGTGTGTATTTCTGGATATGATGAGATTGGCTGTCGCTCGCATGGGGATGACTTTGACCGGGTCCGACCCCAGGGGCACCAAGCTCGATGTGATCGAGCTTTGTGCCACGGTGTCGCGTGGTTCTTTGCGCCGAGATCATCGAATGGGTCCGGACCTGCTGGCTCCGACTCTCCCGTTGCTTCTTTGATCAACGGTGATTGCTGAAAGGAGTGGCGCTGTGAATGATAAGGCATCTCGTACAGCGACACTTGCGGAGAGTTGTGTGGCGGCTCTTCATGCTGAGGACGGAGATGTGGTGGCGTGTGCTGCGGCGTTAGAGGCGGCGTGTACCTTTTGAAGGCCCCAAAGGCTTTGCGCCATTCGTTGATTATGTCGAATGAAGGCGTTGTGAACGCGGTGCGCTCAGACGTCTCTATGGGTACGTCAACATCCAAAATGGATTGGCTGGATAAAAGTCGCAGAGCTTGAAGCGAATCGCGACAAAGTGGCGGTGATGGAGATGGTGTTGTGACACGTTCATATTGTCCGACAGTATAAAGCTGCTCCTCAGAGCTGCGCACCTCGTGGACCGACATCTCGTCGCTGGGGGTGCCGGGCGGTGGCGAGGGAGGCGCTTGGCCTACCAGGTTCGGCGAGAGGCCCAACGACTCTGCCAGACCCACACCTGATGTGCAGAATTGGCAACAAAGGATTTGGCGCTCGTACTCCTCTGCTTTGAGCAGAGACATGGTCTGTTGGATTTCGCTTCCAGGACTTGAAATCATAGCCGGTATTGAATCAGAATCGGCAAAGCACCAGCTTGTGTGCTCAATTCTACTTTGATGCAAAATAGTAGTGACATCAGGCTCATTCGTGATGGCATGTAGGTTATATTCTTCAAAATCATCTTCTGTATTTGCAAAGCATGTCTGTGGTAAATTTCTCTGGGGGCAAGACTCTAGTGCACTTAGCGAGCCCTCGTCCATGATTGGTGGAACATCGCCCTCGACCTCTTTAGCCACACGCGTGTGCTTCTGGTCGTTTGCTTGAAACAGAGCTGTGGCGGATCCATTCCCTTCCGATGTGCTGGGGTCAGGATCCGGTCGTCGAACCATAGTCTGTGCTGTTTCGCCAATGCCCTCAGGATGATAGACACGTCGAATCAAGGACATGAGCGCGTCTGACCATTAGTTGTGATGCTTACTTCTTTATACATCTATACAGGTACTTGTCAAGACATGATCAAGTGCAAAGAATGAATCGATCAAGTTGCTCTTGACACTTCGAAAACGCTTGATGAGTCGAGGACATGATCGAGGACTGACATCGTTCACGCATGGATTTCGAATTACCAACGTGTGTCATCCAAAGAACATGCGTGTACATGCCCACTTCTCATCTCTTCAGTTCACTGATCGCTTGGAACTTGCATGTAATAAACTTTTCACTATCGGATAACCGAAAAGGTACCTATTCTGACACCGCTGCAACTTCGTACAAGTATGTGCCAAGAAGCTGTGTACCCTTAATGTAGTTCGACAAGTCGAGCTTCTCATTGGTCGAGTGAGCGCCATCATCTGAGCGGCCCATAGGAAGGAGAAGCACATTTTTCTGGAGCGCATCGGCAAACGTGAGCGTGATGGGAATAGAGCCGCCCTCTCTTGTCAGATCAGGACGCACGCCGTATATTTTTTCTGTGGCAGCGAATGCAGCTTCGTAATTCCAATGCTTCGGGTCAGTGCACCATGGCTTGCCAGGATGGTCTGGTATGAGCTTCATTGTGTTCTTCGAGTTCAGCTTGCTAAACTCGGACTCAACGTGCTTCTGCACAGCTTCCACAACTTTGGATGGCTCCATGTTGGGTACAAGGCGAATCGAAAACTTGCCAGTAACCTTGTGAGGAATGACCGTCTTAGAGCCCGGCTCTCCAAATGCACCCTCAATACCATGCAGGCTTAGACTAGGGTTCCGCATACGAGCCATGAGCACATCGCTCTTTTTGTCGCTAATGGTCGACTTGCTGCCCGTCGAGTTGTCGATATCAGAAATACTAAATTCCATCGCATCGTACACTTTGAGCTCGTCATCTGAAAGCGGTGCCACCTGTTCTTCGATGCCAGGCACCAGAATCTTGCCTTGTGGCGAGACAAGCGACGACATGATACGGACAAGATCGGTCATCGGCTCATGGACCACGCCGCCAAACACACCGCTGTGCAGGTCGTGTGCCGGTCCGCTAATCAAGAGCTTAAAGTATGCAATGCCGCGCAAGCCATGGGTGACGCAGGGCTTGTTCGTACCGAGCCAGTAGTTGTCGGAAATACACACCGCGTCAACATCGTGGAACAACTTGTCTTTATTCTGTACAACAAAGTCTTCCAAGCCCACAGAACCGCTCTCCTCCATGCCTTCTAGACAGAACCTGAGATTGACAGGCAGTTCCAAGCCGAGAGCCTGGTGTGCCTCGAGCACGTTGAGCCAGCCAAGAATCGGGCCTTTGTCATCCGTGGAGCCTCGACCATACAAGCGGTCGGATTCTTTGTCGTGTACAAGCTCAAATGGCTCCGTCTTCCATCCGTCCGACTTGAGCGCCGGCTGCACATCGTAATGACCGTATACAAGCACCGTCTTTTTCGATGTATCTTTTCCAATCGAGCCCACAATCACTGGAGGAAGCTGCACCTCCTGATCATCGAGCTCTTGCATCCCGAGATCATGCGATGAAACCTCGCAGCCAAGCTCGCTGAGTCGGTTCTTAAGCCATGCTCCCATCTTGTACACTTCCGCGCGGAAAGATGCATCGCCAGAAACACTAGGAATTTCTACAGCCTCAGCGAGACCTGCGATGAGCTTGGCCTGGTTTTCCTCAATGTAGGCAATAACTTTAGCTTGGTTCTCACTCATTGTCGCCTAAGAACAACCGCTGTACCCGCCCACGTATAAAAACTGGTGTGTGTTGGTTGTTGTTGGAGAATTTCATTTCGCTGCTATTGGCTGGGTCCCGAAACCATCCCCTTCCCCTTCTTTCGCTCCACACGTGAGTGCCACAAGTGAACCGAGCGAATTGAAGTCCTCTTCACGAAAAATGTACATGTAACGCGCAAATAGTTCTATTGATTTCATCATTCCCACTTTTCGAACCATGGGTACCGGCATGAACGTTCATGCTTGCGAATCGGGCTGGAGCTCGACGGTCCAGTAGATAGGTGCATCCGTCGTCACTTGCACTATGCCTTGCGCATTGTCCGGCGCAAGGTGATTTGATGTTGATAAGAAGCCGGCAAGTGAGGTGGTTTCTCCATCTGTACCAATGGTCAGTAATCACGACGCAAAACGTGCTTCACATACGTAAATTCCATTCAAGGCCCTGGGTGGAAATACGGGCAGACGAAACACCGAGAGGTAAGAGACCACACGTCTTTCCCAAAATCCGGCGGTCATGCATAAGTTCATGCGTGCCCTGGTGCGACGTCAGTGAGTCGAGGTAGACGTACCGGTGGCAATAAACATGAAACACAGCTGCTGGCAATCAGGATTGTTTCGGGCCGTGCTTGCAACGTGCTATCAGGAAGTGGTGACGTATGTACTTGTACGTACGGAACCGCCGCCGACGAAGACGCATCAGGTGCGAGCTGCGCCAACACATGTAGTGTATGCATGGACTGATCAAGGCGACTGCCAAGTCCACCATAGATGACCAATGGATGGCGCATAACGAAAGTAGAGTCAACTGGTGCTTTACAACTGTTGGCTGCCTCCATTTGCTCTAACGCTTGGATCGACTTTTGCAGGTCTGTCGAGTCTTGAGACGCGATTCGCTTGACACATACGCCCAGATCGACAAAAAACTTGTGCGTATCAGCGCTGATTGAATCTAAATCACCACATATGAGTGTCGGCCGTTGAAATGTGTCCCATGACTTAACAAATTCGCGAAGAACGTTCGCCCCACCGTCCGCCACAATGCGGATGGCAGCACTATTCCAAACACGTGAAAATAGGTGAGCATGCTCAGGTGGAATCGGTGTATTGAGCATGACAATAGCGTATGCATTTTCATACAGTGTATTACCGTTTAAAAGCCGCGAAAAATCCCATTCAAACCTGCGCGAACGAACGCCACTCTCGCACATTTCAGTCATGCTATTGCCAAAATTTTGACTGCGTAGAGTCCAGATCCACATTTAATCACAGGTACGGGTATTGATTTGGGCGCCCACGAGGCACTTGCATGAAATTTGAATACGTAGCACAAACCAATGTGTGCACGAACATTTCCATCTTCGCGCAGAGCATAGCGAATACTCTCACCAGGACCTGGTTCAACTATTGTTTTGTCATTCAAGCTCTCTCTGTCAAACTGCTCGATTTTTTTCTCCCGGTTATACGACCCAAAATTCTAGCGCCCTTTTGTAGCCCAGGGCTTGTAAGATGAGAGCATATGCGGGTGCGCTGATTACCTGGTATGTGAACGCCGGCTTACACCAGCGACGTAGCTGTTAAACAAATGATTCTAGCGATTGACGAGCGAATGCCTTGTATTATCATGGACTTGGATGAGACGCATGTATTAGTGAATACCAATATGGTGGAACAACTGCAAATCATGCTCGAGGCCGAGGTACGTTGGCACGTCTGGCAGCATGGCTTACGACAGTTTGAGAAAAACACCTATACCCTAGATATTTAAGGCGCGTGGGCATGCTGATTCAAGATAAAAATTCGTTACACTACTTGTCAGCCTTAGCAGCTTTTTTGGCATCTATCTCTTTTTGTTGACGCTGGACATCGAGACGAGCCGACAGCAATTTAGCTGTACAGTTCCGAACGTTCTGATCTGCACGATCGACGCCATTCTTCAAAGCCTTCTTGTATGCGTCAATCGCTGACTCTAACTGCTCGCAAGCCTCAAGCACTGTGCCAAGGTTGAAATGAATCTCGCCATCGTCAGGGCTCTGTGACGCAGCTGTTATTAAATGTTCCAATGCCTTATCCGCTTGGGGTGGCTTCGACATGATGTAGGCTGATGCTAGGTTTGTATGTGCATCTGGACTGTCCGGCGCGAGCCGCAACGCAGCATTCCAAGATGCAATCGCTCCTTCCAAGTCATCTGCATTATCGTAAATATATCCATCAAAGTGATACATACGGTCCTGATACTGGCAAATTCCGAGATTGTAGTATGCTGATGCATTTTCATGCACTTCTGCGCTTTTTTTATACTGAGTCTTTATTAGTGTTAGCAATGTAATAGGTTGGCCACAGCTCTGTCACTTTGCGCACCTTGGCTAATTCCATATCGCCCATCTCAAGTGCTTCTGTGCCTTTTTCTAAAAGCTTTTGAGCTTCTTCTTCAGTTGGATCATGTAAGGACACGCCCTTGTCTTTTTCAGTGGCAAAATCTGTCGGTGAGCTGAAATATAGTCCTTATACACATACGTCGGCACATAGCAGGAAATGATGTCTTTGGCGCCACGGTCACAGGGCGAATTGCAATAGACACTCTTGTCACTTGTACAGGTAGACGCATAAATATAGCACGCGTCGCAACGCATCCTGTGCGCGCTATCCACGACATGGTAACACTGATGACGTGAAGGAACCAGAATTTCGCTGCTACCACAGTTCCCTCAACTTGTCCCATGTCCGGTAGATGAAGCTACTAGATGGAGGCGTGTATATCCAACAATCGTCTCGGACCTCCACCACACACGATTCCCCCTCCCTACCACGTAGCTCCGAGAGGTGGTTATTGTTTGTGGACGGGCGGTCGGTAGTTTGACCTTATGCATCATGCTACCAATTCGCTTGACGGCGATGAAATAAATGTAGCGAACTACACTAATACTTCCAGCTCAATGGACAAAGCCGGCAGCGCAATTCCACCTACGCAACGCCCTGAGTCGGCACCCAGCAGGCCGCGTCCGTTCTCCAATACACAATTGATTTTGCCTAAGCGCGCGGGCTCATCCATGTCGTCGAAAGTTTTCGAAGAACTTAGAGCTGAATTTGGAACAGCCAATTCTAGAGAGAAAGCTCCCAACCCTCATCCACGCACACAAGATACCCTCGACTTGCCAGCTAAGACCCTAGCTAGTACCACTTGTCCATTTTGTCACGAAAAGCTGCAGAATCCATCCGCTGAATTGTCTGCTATGATTTCATATTGGCAGCAACGCCGAAAGTCTGGAACGGTGCTTCGCCCCACTGACACATTGGCAGTGTGCCAACGGCACCGGGATGAGCAAGATGTAATCCCACACGGCAAATCGCAGGGCTGGCCAATGCAAATTGATTTCAGGCAACTTCGCCGACGTATTACCCAACCGCAAAGCCGATATATGGGCGTGCTACAAGACCGGATCATAGCACCAGAACAGAGCCGTTGGTTTCATGCAGCACGAGCTCGTCGCGAAGCTATGGGCAAGAAGATGAGCGCAAGTGTACATCAAATTGACTTGTTTCATGAGCGACAGTCAGGATATTATGGCGAGCGTGGTTGGGAATTGTTCCATGACATCCTATTTGCGGCTTTTGTGCAAGACCCACTCATGACGTCCTTGGATTTGAAGCAGGATACTTTATTGGACAAAATTGCACCGTTGGATGCGCCAGAATTTGTGGATCAAGTGCTTCTGCCCGAGCTTGTGTGCATGCTAATTCAAGATGATATGGGTGGCACAGGGCAAGCAACATATGAGGATGCGATCCAAGTACAGCAAGAGAGTCAAAAATTCGGCGTGGCGATGTATGCGAGTGATGCAGCTGATGCGTCGGCAGTAAGCGATACACGGAGATCTAGCGGAAGTTGGATTGGAGCATCGCCGAAACGCGCTAAGAAAATGGAGCGGGATGACGACGATCCATTTGTGCCCGGGGGATCATCACGAGCAAGATCACAATCGAAATATGTACAACAGACCTTGCCTGTGCGCCGACGGTCGACACGCAATTGCACCCCACCCGCTACAACATACCAGGAGGACTCCTCGTCAAGTGATTCAGACGAAGTAGTGCCAGTAAAAGTATGGCACCAGCAACGCTTGTTTTTACCAACAAGGAGAAAGGCAGCCTCCTCGTCACCAAGACCAAAGCCGCGTCCAGCCCACAGATCAGGAATATAGCACCCGACATGAGCTTAATATATGTTATCACGTCGCAGTGGCCTTTTTGTCGACGTTGTCAATAGCGCGCTTTTTACCTTTGCGCTTTTTCATCGCTGCCGCTACCGCACCGCGTACATTGTCGACGATTTCTCGGCTTTGTTCAACATACTCATGGTCATCAAGTCGTTCCTTGCGCTTGGGCGCAGATGCGGTCCTGGTTTCATTCACAGACGCAGACGCGGATGCTGACGAAGAAGGCGCTGACTCGTGGGATGCATCCAATGAGTCGCCCGCTTCCTCAAGCTTTTCAGCAGCCTCTTGAAAGTCGTCCATAGACTTGGGTTCACGGCCTAGCATACGCTCCAACTTGGCATACTTGCGTTTCTGCGCCTCATCGAGTGCAGCTTTGCGATCAGGTTCCTTGGCTATATATTCAGCCAGAAGCTGGGCTTCCTTGATCGAGCCAAGACGGCGCCCCTGCAAGTCTCGACAAGAATCTTGACTCTCATGCTTCCCACGCGCACTCATTCGACCGCCTTGGGCACGCAGCATATTACCAAAACCGCCCTTGCCACCGAGATGGCGGACCCGAAGTTCGAGATCGACACACGGATACACACCGGCCAATTCATTCAGAGTGTATGAGGGGCAAATAGAGTGACCACCGCGCGAGGTTAGGCGGACAATGTCAGAGTTACGTCCGAGCACAGCTGTGATTCTGTCATAGAGAGTCGCACAGCTCGTTGAACGAGCCAGGGATATCTTGACCGTCCGGTCGTACGGTTCACACATGTGAATATAGACTTGGACTTCTCGCGCACACTCTCGCGATCCAAGAGGAAACGAGCTCACCAGGGATGGCGTTGCCACAGACATGAAAGAAATATAACAAATTCAATGTAGAAGCGACAGAAAATCGTTGAGAGAAACAGCTTGTCGCAGAGAGTACCTTTTGTGTAAAGGACAAGACACAGGAAGCTGGACGAATATGCCACGTGGTTTGAGCATTTGTCCATGTGCGTGCGGCCGGCGAACTACGTACGTTAGACCTGTCTGATCTGGCGCCAAGCAACAGGGAAATTCAACCCCACTTGAGAAATTGTCGCGCGTTTTGTGGCATAGACAAAGTGCCTCTGTTGGCCTAACACACATGTGGTGGGCACGGAGCGTGCGTAGTCGCGCAAACAAGGGCTGCATACCCACGAAACGAGCCTACACATTTGCGCATGGTCCTTACGACCCTTATAATGCATTGACGAACGTGTTTGAGAAGCCGGCTTCGTCGACACAAGCTGCACGCGAGAGCGAGTCAGGGCCGCTGGCTGGCTGGCCCGTGAGTGTCAAAGAAAACATATCGATGAAAGGCGTACGAACGACATGTGCCAGTCGCATGCTTGCCGACTACGAAGCACCGTACGACGCGACGGTTGTCCAACGACTCCGCCATGCAGGCGCCTACATCGCATCTAGAAACAACTGTGACGAGTTTGCCATGGGCGCACTCAACAAGCACTCGTTTCATGGACCTGTGGCAAATCCTGTGCCGTATCAGGACAAGCAACATCCAGATTTCTTGCGAGTCAGCCCGAGAGCGCCAGGGGGCAGCTCAGGCGGAGCTGCAGCTGCCGTCAGTGCAGGGCTTTGTCGGGTGTACGTGTATAATGGCGACCAGAAACGTATATGATGGGCTGACTGACTTTTTCTTACAGTGCGCTTGGTACAGATACCGGTGGCTCAGTGCGGGTGCCTGCGTCATACTGTGGTGTATATGGCATGAAACCCTCCTATGGCATGTTGAGTCGATGGGGCGTAGTGTCGTATGCCGATACTCTTGATACTGTTGGCATTCTCGCAAGAAACATCGGCGATGTGCGGCAAGTATTTGATGTGCTTGCTCTGGAAGATGAACGAGATGCCACATGCATTCATGAAGCCATGCGACTTCGACTGGATGCGCAAGTTGAGCGAATCCTGGCCCGCATACCATCACGTCTCGATGGATTGCGTGTCGGCATCGTAAAAGAGATGTATCCAAGGGAAGTTGACTCTCGCACACTCGATATTGTCGATGATGTATTGGACCACATGCAGTCGCTGGGGGCTACGCTCGTGCCGCTTTCAGTGCCCGCGATCAAAAAGTCTGTATCTGCATACTATATTCTGTCCCTTTCAGAAGCGAGCAGCAACCTGGGCCGGTTCGATGGTATCCGCTTTGGCGCACGCATGAAGCACACGTCCAGTACATTTCACGACGAGATCGCCAAGAACCGGAGCTATGGCTTTGGTGATGAGGTCAAGCGACGCATACTTCTAGGCACATATGCACTAACCTCGGAAGCTTGGGAAAGTCACCATCTCGTAGCGACACGCATTCGTCAGGGTATTCTGCGCGGATACCAGGCGTGTTGGTCCACACAAGATCTTCGGTGGCCCGAGCCGACAGGCAATGAAGAGCACGGCGTCGATGTGGTAGTACAGCCTACGGCCCTGAGTGTGGCACCCAGGCTCGATGAGCCCGTTAGCAGCGAATATGCGGCTGACGTTCTCACATTTGCAGCCAATCTGGCTGGTCTGCCAGCGCTCTCGGCGCCTGCATCTCGCACCATCTCGATGGATGAAGACCCTAGTGTGCATTTACCGGTTGGTGTCTTATTCAAAGCACAGTGGGGTCACGACAAGCTTCTTTTTCACATTCTCGAGCAGCTGAACCAGCACACGGATGTATTTCAAGGCCCTCGGTCATAGACAATTTTGGGCCTGTCCCTCGCCCTATTCGCTCATGATAGACACAGTACATGATCAGATCACTGTTGTAAAAGGACAATAGCCATTCTCGTAGACATGGCCATGTTTATTTTTCTGCGCAACCTAGCATCTTTCCAGGAGTTTGGCCGTAACATCAAAAGTGCCCAGGAACACAGCGCCGCCAACACCGATCCAGAGTGTGCGCGGCGCCACACCAGCGAACAACGCTCGAATCCCACCCTCTTGTATGACATGCGACAGCATAGGAAGAATGCGTGCGCTTGGGCCATGGGGCGTGCCAGGCGTCACTTTTGAAAGCATGATACGCGTCTTGATCACGTCCAACGGTGTTGTGACAGCCGCGGCGACGGCACCAGCTATGCTGCCAGAGCTCGCAGCTTGCCACCATGTAGGCTCATGTTTATAGCCGGCCATGTGCTGCTTGAGGAACTCATACAAGGGGAATTGGATGCATGTGAAGGGGATCTGGAACGTTAGTGGTCTATGGGCGCGCTCAGTACAACCTACCTCGCGGAATATTGTGCTGCCGTAGCCGCGATACAACCCACGGCCCCCTTCTTGTGCAACGACATGGCGGAACGCATGGAAAGATGATATGCGACCATACGCAGAGGTCTGCTGCCGAGACTTGATAACCTCCGTCGGCACACGCACCATACAGGCAGCCATCTCACCAATTGTGCCTGCAGCCATATGCACGGCTGGGGAAGAGATTTTCGCATCCATGCTGTTGTCGGGATCGATCACGCGGGCAAGCATGGACTTAGACATTTCATATGTGACAAAAAAGATCGATGCACCAGGCGCACTGCCAACAGCGACGCTACCCATGCCGCGATACACGCCCGCAAAGCCGCCGCTTCTCCAGAATCCCTCAGCACTTTGCAAACGTGTTTTGATCGTGTCAACTGGGAAAAACAGCAAATCTACCGACAGTCCCGAAGCTGCACCGGCAAGTAGCGCCGTCACAAAGCCCGGATGCACACGCTGTGCCTCTTCGACATGCTCAGCCTCCATGGTGGCGTGAAGTAGGTGCACTTGGATCTACGACGACAGCATGCATGTGTATGACTAAAATATCCAACCAGGCTCTCAGTCTCGCCAGCCGCCCCCCCCCCCCTACTCCCACTTCTCACCACTCGCCCTACCGCTCGTGAGCCAGTTGCATCGACAACCCGATCGTATTCATACCGCCAAATCGTGATACATCCAGGCATGAGGAAATGAGCAAGCAGGTCAAACGGAAGATAAGGGCGAAAGGCGCTCAATACGTTGCAGGTCAACTGGCGAACAATACTTGATGCCATGTCTTACTCAGCTTCGTCACTCTCGCCCTCATCATCCCCGTCCTCGTCTGTTTCATTGGCCTCCTTCCATAGAGCATAGAGTTTTCGGCGACTAGGGGCATAAGTATTAGGGGCGCTTGCAGCGGCGATAAGCCTCTGCCATGACGCATGTCTAAGGACCTGAGCATCAGCCGTTTTGCCGGACCCATCCACGCACGAGTGCAAAAGAAGGGACTCCAGGCCATCTACTTCGTCATCTTCATGACGTCGTTTCTTCGCCGGACGCGATGGCCTTGCGTATTTCTCACATGTTTCCAGGAAGGGCAAAAGCACTCGACTCATAACACGGTCGTACATTTGCTTGGACGTGCTCGTCGCAGCCAAGTCCATAAAAGGCGCTAGCAAATCAAGCGTAGGAATCACAGGCTTAGTCTCGGAGTCCACAGGCGACAAGAAAGTATGTTGCAGCTCGTCAAGATATGTATCACACACATGATACGTGATACTGTCGGGAACACTGACGTTGTTGGAGGCCAAGGGCCCATGTGAACCGCGCATGATTTGAATATACCGATCGAGCAAGACCTTGTCGAACGCGTGAAGATGCAGTAAATGAAGCCCAGAGTACAAAAAGCGACGCATCAGCATATAATATTTATCGATGCTGACTATGTCAGTCTTGTGTGCATTGCCACGTACCGGAACTTGTCGACACCATGCCACTCAGATTGCATCGTGTGCCAGAAACCCTCGTAAAAATCAAGTGCGGTAAGGGCCCGAATTGTGCGAGCATGTTTATCGAGTTTGGGTCTTTTCCCGTGATCCCCGACTTTTGTCTTGTCGGCTCGTTCATCTTGCTGAGCCTGCGGAGTGGTATCGATGCCAGCGACCATCCATACAAGCTCGCTGAGTTCCTGGGCGAGCTGCTGCTGTACAAGCGGCTTATCACTCATCCAAAAGCCTTTTCATGAGTTATTTTCATACGTACAATAAAAGATTCCTTTCCACAGTTTCGACAGCTCCGTCGACGACATCGAAAGGCCATTTTCCTCTGCACTCTTAAGCAGAAAAGCAGCGAGCGAGCGGATCGCTCGATCACGAACACGCTTCTCTGTGGACGCCAAGTATTTCCCAAGAGGAAGTTCCGGCTCTACTGGTTCTGCACGCCGTCGCTGCTCCTCCTTGCTTCGCTTACCCATGACAACACACTCGACAAAGCAGGCGAACAGTTGCGTGTGTATGTCTGTGTCTGTGTCCGTGTGTGGAGGATTGACGCGATCGAAGAGAGCAAAAAGAAAAAATGTCGACATGATGGTGCAGGTCCGCGAGGCACAAGGTAATCGGCCGAGTAGTCTACAAGGTTCTCCTGCCATCATGAATTCGTAGTAGTACTTCGCCTTGAGGCCGCCTGAACGAGCGTGCGGCACAGGGAGTCAGGACGAAGACGTTCCAATAGTATGAGTGCGCAGGCGCCAGAATTTGGACAGCCTATCTTACCCGTGGGTGATTTGCCTGCCGATGGGGTCGCGCGTGACGGCGAAGAATACTTGGCCATGGTGCGGTACGTCTACAAAACCATGGCGCTCTGTCGTTCGAATCGAAGCTAAGTCAGGCAGTCACGAAGCCAGTCTTCATCCTCCGATTTTGGCACACACTCCTATGAATGGTCCGAAATATGCTATGGAACGGCACGAGCGTGTCGATCTGCCGGAAACGGCCAACGTCCGCATGCCCACACATGCCTGGTGCACAGTTTTTCTTGCACGATTTCGCCGGCTTCAATATGTACGTATACGTTTGTTGCAATGTTTTCATCAGCCCATATCTTTGACCGCTGACACTTGTATTTCTTTTTTTTTTTTTTTGCCAGAGTACATCTGCTCCACGTCCCGCGGGTCGGAAACGTGTTACAGTGCCGAGCGTGCAAGATGAAGCTCGTTGGTACACATTCGTGCATGGGCGCACACCGCCTAGTGAGCAAGAGCGCCAAACTATGGCTGACGTATGTCGAGAGAAAGACTTGCATGGTGCATGCTCAGACTCGGAGAGTGAGGTCAGTGACATGCTCGATGTCGCGGAGCCGAAGGATGTGCTCAACGCTTATGACTACGATTTCCGCAGACCTTCATTACAAGTGCTAATGCAGCTGGACACGAATGATACAATTGCTTTGACGAAACTATTCCGCAAGTGGATGCAGCATGCACAGTTCGCATATGCTCATGGATCACCGGCGGCAATCCACCCTGTGCATGCGCAATGGCTCTTTAGTTTGCTAGCATGCCTGGATCAGCGCTTAGACAGCGATGATATTTCAACACTACGAGTTCTCGCACGAGCATGCATAAAATGCATCGTACGTACGCGAGAACAGGTTGCACCCACGTCAACGAACGATGCCGACTTTTTGGAATGCGAGTCGGGAGCATGGATGATCATCGCGATTATTGCAGGTATCTGGGGGCAACTGGACTTGTGGATTGAGGCGCATGATCGTCTAGCCGAGGCGAGAATCCCCACCGCCTAGGCAGACAGGAGACGAGTAACAGCGATTTGCAGATGTATATACGGAATATGTTGTGGCAGTAGTGGAGGCGTGTATTCTGCATTGTAGCGACAAGGCCCGGGCAAGAACGACGCCGCCTTTTGTGCAGTCTCTCCCAAACCTTTGTTGTTCGGATTCACATCTCCACCATGACGTGTGTTCATATCGTGCTTTTCAAGGTCAAGGCGCAAGTGTTAAAGAACGGTTATGAAGAGTTCAAAGCTCGCGCAGAGACCATCCGCGATCTCCCGATTGTAAAGGAACATGCCAAGGAGCTCCAGCTAGGACCACCGATTTGGGACACACGGTCGCACGGCTTCAACTATGGCCTGTACTCGGTGTTTGAGACGCGAGAGAGCCTAGAAAGGTACAAAGAGGACAACGATCACAAAGAGTACGTATATGAATTGGAGTGACTTATAAACAATAGATTCACAAAGATGAATCTTTTGCCGAACGTTGACGGTACGTATGAGCAGGGAAGTGTTTGCGCTGACAACCACAGACCTGCTTGCCTATGACTTTGAGTTTTAAAGAAAGCGTAGCTTATAGTATATGCTTTTTTTTTTAGATAAACATGTGTGTATGTGTTTGTGCGTAATTTCCATTCGCACGTCGTCGCAGAAACAATTGCTATATTCAATGGGACAAAGGCGTTTAAAGGCATGCGTATCTTTGACCATGCTTCATACTGTGTCAAGGGTTGCGTAAGTCCTTCCTTAGCTTTTAGAAAGCTGTGTAATAAAAAGCACAATAAGGTCACGATGTGACACAGGAAAGGATAGGACACTTTCCACAGTGCAGAAATGGCTTATGGTTGGGCGCCGTGGCTACTCGTACAGGCCGTTGTGCCCCGGGTCCACAGCCCACTCACGACCGTGCGCACAAAGGTGAGTCGCCACGTGGCGTGTGTGAACGCACACGCACGAGGGTCGGCACAGTAGGACGGCGAGAAAGTGACATGATTGTGTGCAACGAATCATCCACATTTTGGTGATACTCACCAGCTGCTGTTGCTGCCGAGATGAACAAGCGAGCGGTGAGTGCTCAGGACGTGTGGCGGAGTGAAAGCGATGGCCACGGGCTTTCGCGTGTATCGTCTCAATACGACAGCATTCCTGATGATGTTCGGAACCGCTTGCAAAGCATGAGCTGGCGGATCCGATCCAGTAAGTGTAAAGAATAGCCGATCCCCCCATAAGTGACTGACACATCGACAGACGTAAACCGCGGTTACATGTTTGGCGGGCCACTTAGTGCGATGGCATCGTCTGATGGGCCCACATTCTCCAACGCACAAAGCACTTGGCAACATGTTCAACAAACCTACCCGCAATGGGGACGGACGGCCTCTGTGCCGTACGGTGCGTTGCGAGGCACGCCTTCTAATACGACTATGCCTGCAGCGTCTTCGCAAGCAATGGAGCGAAGTGTTACGGAATCGCACACTTCGCCATCATCTCTAGTATCTGACACGGTAGAGTCGGGAACACTATCCATGAAAAGGGGCATAAGTGAGGACGACTCGGATGCTATTCTCGCTGGCGCATTTGACGATGACGATGGTGCAGGTGCTATTGACAGGAACATGGGATTATCTTGCTCCTCGTTTCCCATGGCACCGCCTTCGCCGCCTCCAGCACAGGCACAACCAACAACATACACCCAGGTGAGCAGTCGGCCTGTTCGACCGCTTCCCTCGCGTCAGGGCATGTTTAGGCCCATCAAGTCAATGCCAGTTGCCAAGACGCAAGACCTCACAATGGACGATGACAATTCGGAACCATTCCAGCGTGTTGACTTCTCCGCCTATGCAGCACATCCGCATGGATTCTAGACCCGCTTGCTGTGATACCCTATGGCTTATTCTTTTGTACAGTACACTAGAAAGAACCTATGTTACAAAAAGCCCTCATTTTCGTAATCAATGTCTGGCGCATTCTGGGCTTCGTCCTCATCTTCATCATCTTCTGAGCCGCGCTCTGCGCGCGGAGCTTCTTTGGTGGGAAGACGCGGCTTTTTCGGCGGTGGTGGGCGCCGGTGAGGATGCAATGAAGGCAAACGCACATGCCGAGCAAGCCCTGGCATGCGGCTAGATGTATCTGGACGGGAAAGGAGCTTGGAGATTGCTGCGTAAGCACCAATGGTCAGCCACGACAACGAAACGTACGCTTTCCAAAGAACCGCTTCCGTGCCTCTTGCTCTGTTCTTGAATAGCTTGACTGTGTCGGGGGAGGTGCACTTGCGGCCGAATCAGAGTACTGTGCGCGCTTCCGCTCTATTTTACGCACATTGGATGGGTTGTCACGACCTACATTGTCGGTGGACACCCTTTGATCTGCGATATCGTTCTGAGTACTTTGCATGCTAGTGGCACTTTCGTTCATAGTATGATCGACTTTCGTTGCATCTGCATCATTTGGCCCTTTCTTTGCTGGTCTCGCTTGAGAGCGAGTAGTACGGTCTATTGGATGACTAGCACGCACATCATGGGTGTCTCGGCTCTCTTCGATGACATGCTTCACTGCGTCGTCAGCCTCACGTTGGTCACGCTGAATGTATTCTTCTTCCGTCTGGTTGTCATTGCCGACTTTGTTGCTCGCACTTTCACTCTCTTGAGAAGGGTCGGTATGAACAACATGATTCAGCAGCATGGTCTCGTTTCCCCGAGCATGGTGCTCAGGAACAGGTGAGAAGCCACCTGTTGTTTCTTGAACAGGTCCCGCAGCTATGCTTGTAGGTGAGACTGACTGATTGGGTACTTCGACTACAGCGTTTCGCGATTCATTCTCTCGCATAGACAGGGCGAGTACACGCTCCAGGTCCCTGGCTTCTCGCCGGCGCGACATGACACTCGAGTACACGATCCACACGAGACGCGCGACCCTTGTCGAATGCACTACGTAATCCGAAAATAATACTGGGGAATGTGGGAGGGGTCGGGTTAAAACAGAAGGAACGACAAGAAGACATTAACACAAACTGGACAGAAGCCCACATTTCCTTCACATTCTAGTGACCCTAAACATATACAACTACTACGTTGATGATAAAGAGCGATGCTTCACGGCTCGTTGCCGCTTGCGAACTTTCCACTCACGAATGACCGCAAGGATCAGCGGGAGAACCATGGGTCCAAATAGCGGGGTATAGACAGCGAACTTGTGTTCGTTAGGGAAATAGAGCGTCACTAGCATAGAAGGGTCGTAAAATGCACGCGATGCATGTGTATGAGCGCTGGTTGCACGCGCGAGTGTATCAAGCCTGGAAGAGTCACAAAATGCGAGTTCATGAAGTGATGCGAGAAACTCGTCCCGAACTTTGGCGTTCACACCGAGACTAGGCATTTTGTTCACAAGGCGAACGATGCTGGCCAATGTCTCGACAGCACTGCGGGTCATCTCGAGTGTTCTACGCCACTCGAGACCCTCAGCGGCCTGCAAAAGAGCATGCTGCTGCTCAGGCTCTGTCATAGCAAGGGGCTCGACATGGAGGCCTAGGAGCGTGCGAATTTGGCCGGTAAAGCGGGACATGGGTTTTTGGAGTGTCTCGAGAGAAAGGACCGTGGAAGGAGGCCCCTCAACACGCTGGGTGGGATTCCATACAACTACACCACCCCACTGAGGAACGAGCCACGCTGGCTCCGCGACTGTACCGACGTCTGGACCCTCAATGTACAAAGGCGAATGCTGCACACTAGGGACGAAGAGCACCATTTGCAAGGTGCGGATCTCTGTAGCAGGGGAGAGATCGGCTGTGCCGTAAGAATCAAGTGCCCAATGAACGGAATTGACAAATACGCTCACATCCTGCATGGACACTGCATAGTATGTCTCATTCATACGTTCCGGGTGATGCACTGGTTGAGGCGTCGACTCGAGTGGTGCATACCACTGCACTTGGCTCTCGAGTTGAACGCTATACACACGCTCCAAGGCCTCCAATGTTTGGGCGAGAGGCGCAAGCGCTTTATGCGCCTTGATATCTTGCAAGGCATGCGTGAGGTCCCAACCGTCGAAACCATTACCAAGACTCGCATCCTCCTGAAGCAAAGAAAATACGATACGAATATGTGGTGCATATTGCACGACGCGTGGATCATCATGTTGGGAAGCCGAGGCGATAGCCGAGGTATTGATGGCATCGGCACGAGCCTGATAAGAGGACCCGCCAAACAAAGACGAAAGGTATTCAACAATTCCAGCGGTTCCCTGGTTCTCGTAGGCAGATAGGGGGACAGGGAAAGTACGAGTAGCATGATCCAGCGGCTCGCCAGCTGCACATACGTTTGGTGCTGATACATGCCAGTCTAAGCATAAATCATGTCGATCGGTGTGAGTTTGGAGCTGTGTTTGAGCTCGTTCGCACAAGGACAAGTCGGGTTGGGCATCCTCGAGAATGACAGCCCAAGTAGCACGAATGGGACATGTACCGCGCACTTCCCATGCACGCACTTCTTCTGAGGGCAGAGACAGACGTGTGATGGTCGTGAGTGCCCACCATGCAGGCACAGCAGCGAGAATCACACAAACGAATGATGCAAGTACACGCGAATGGAGATATGAATGTTGAAATGATGCTGGGTCGGACAACGCCCGCGATTTGTGCTCAGATGCACGCATAGCTCGACGTCTGATGTCGCACAAGTTACGCGACACGCACACTTACACTCGTACTCACGTAACCAGACTTGCTTTCTCTTAAACACACACACACACACACACACACTCTCTCTCTCTCTCTCTCTCTCTCTCTCTCTCTCTCTCTCTCTCGCTTTCGTTCACGCGCAGGGATCTCAACAATCGACCGTGTCGCACACAGTCGACAACGCATGCTCATCTTGTAACCGCACACACACAGACGGACGAATATCACGTGATCCAGGCCTGCAATCCTTGGTGTGCCTCAGGCGGCGGCGAGTCGTTTCAGATCGGCGATCCAAGAAATCTCGCCGCCCGATGGACGGACGACTTGGTGGGCCGAATGCGCGCTGTGACTGACGGGGGCCGGCTGTCGGCCGGCGCACATGCATGCGCAAGTTCCGTGTGGGGTGAGAGGTGAAATTTCCACGTGGTCAAGTCTTCAGGCCACCAATTCATGTGTGGGGGTCAGGCCACACAACCTTGTATAGACAAAGATAGCAAAAAAAATAACGGTGTGGAGAGAAAAGCGGGGGAAGGGGCGCGGCCAAAATCGAACTAGGCGGAGTGGCAATGGAACTGGAGGAACTACTATTCTGCCATTGATCTGACCGTGACTGCCCGTCCATCATGACGGAGAAGAGCAGTCATGTCAGTGCGCGTACATCAAGCACAGCCAATTTGCGCAAAATATCGTTCGTCGATATTATCGAACGATTGCCACCGTGCATGATCCAGCTGCTAAGTGTGTTAGCACCAGCTATTCATGTTACACATCATGCCCTGTTGCTGATCACATGGAGAGGGGGGTATGCGATGCGTGTGCAGTCGTGGATCCTCTTGGTCACGTATGTGCATGTGTGCATGTATGGGTACGAGGTGCTTAGGTACGCGCCTCAGCTGCTTTTGCTCGCGCTACTAGGATACACATGGCTTCGACATTCATTTGCCCGTGTTACAGGACAGAAGCGTGCGGCTGACGAACGTGGTAGTCCGGAGCAGATACGCCGTGCGATTTCACAATTGGCCGACATAACGGATTTTGTCGTCGCGTTATATGAATGCTTTGTGGGGCCGTTGTACGACGTGCTCACATGGAAGGTGCCTGGCTACGGACCTGTGCATCTGGTCATATTTCTTCTTGTCTCGTGGCCTATATGGCTGCTATGCATGCTTCCATCGAGTATGTGGGTGACGCCTACGTACGTTTTCCATGCTGATGTGGTGCGCCCATGGCTTGAATCGACACTGGTCGTGCGAGCGCTCGACACATGGCAGCTCGCAAGCACCCGTATTCTGACGGTGCTCGAAGCACATATGCCGAAGCTTTTCCATTTGGCACAGACCATGACAGGCTTTGTCCAGACGCATGTGAGACCATTCGCCGTGCAGCTCGGCATGTGGCTCTCCAGCACACATACGATCATGAACATCCAAATGTGGCCTCCCTTCCCAATTGCTTCGTTAACCGTGCGGCATGTACTGATGATCACAGGCGTGATCGTGCTGACATGGTGCTCGCCTTGGGCCACGCTACTGCGCATGGCCGTATGGCGCAGTGCGTTTGTGCGTCGCCATGTGATGTCGCTTGTGCGTGTACTTAGTGGCTCAGAGAGCTTGGCTGCATCGCTGTACACGACGACAGTCACTCCGCAGCCAAAGCCTGAGCGAGCAGGTCCGCCAAAGACAAGTCACGAAACGGCGTTTGTCTTCGAAATTTACGAAAACCAACGCTGGTGGATCGGATTGGACTGGACAGCGGCGCTCTTGCCGCACGAACGGCCCAGCTGGTCGGACAGTGACAACGAGGCCGTGGCGCCGCCCGCGTCGTTCTCATTGCCCGCTGGTACGTGTGTGATGATGCCATCGTCGCGATTCCCCGGAAAGGATGATTGCCGCAAGTCTGAGTGGCGGTGGGTCGACTCGGAGTGGCATGTCGCTGGCGTACAGACAATTACGTCGAATTCGTACAAGCCCGCTTCCAGCGTAGCGCCGTCTGAAGCGCAAAAAGTCAGCAAGGAGCTCTCGGACAAGACGACTGCAGCAGCCGATAACATCCAGAAAGAGCAGACAACAGAGGCCGTTGCACAGGTCGAGGAGGCTGCACACAACGCGCGTGACACATCTGTCGAGACAGTGCCGGACGAGGTGAAGCGGTACGCGCGACATGCGACAGAGCCTGGCGTGAGTATGGATGTGGATGCCGAGGGCTGGCAATACGGCGACAATGCTTGGGACAAGCTCAGCAAGCAGAGTGGCATGGGCCGCTACACACGCCGCCGCCGCTGGCTTCGAATGGCCGTGCTTGTGGAGTCTGTAGAATACGGTGTGCAACGCTGCAGCAGTATGTAGACAGTACGAAAGGAAGAATGACGTCGGCAAGCAAGCAGGGCGCCTCAGCTTGGAGTGGCAAGAAAGTGTTGGGCAGTATACATGGGACCATGGACCAGCCATGACCCTTCCCCGCCACCCGTGCTTCCTTCCCGCTCTCCCCGACCCTCTCTGCATCGCTGACATCGTGACCGCTTCGAACGGCCGTCAAGGCTCATGTCCTAGTCACTGATCTTGTATACGTTCACCATGGGAATCGATGCGACCGCTCACCACTCCTACAGGACCAAGCTGCATTGCATGGGTATTTTCCAAGGCTATGATCGGAAGGCGCCGCCGCGGCGACGGAGCACTTCAAGGAATCGCTCAACAAGTTCCGGCTCCGTCGTCACCTGCGCACATGCTACACTCGCCAGCTGCCGACGTAGCTCGGCATGATCTACGTCGTGTGTATCGTCAATAGCACCCCAGGCAGCGACCTGGCTGGCTGTCTCGACTTCAGCGGCCAGAGCCGCTTGTTCAGCCTCGATATGGCGATGAATCAGCGCAAGGCCAATGATCATGGATTTGCTGGTCATCACGGCGCGTTCCAACGACGCAAGATCAAGTGGCTGCAAGCCAGCAACGATACGCGCGACTTTCTCGCGTGTCTCTGGAGACTGTTGGCACACAAGCGAGTCCTTCGCTACATTCACTTCGATATCAAACGAACGGCGCATCCAATCAAGAAGCGGCGTCCACCGCTCTTCCTGCAGCCTGACAAGTCGCGCCGGCTCAGAGTCATGGAAACACACAGCGTCAGTATCAAAGTAACGCATCAAATAGTCCTGCACATCTTTGTGACCCTGCTCGTCCTGCAATGCATCAATGGCACGCGACATGAGCGAAGTGAGCGGCAGGGAGTGGGGCTTTACGACCTTGGTTTGTTCGTCCCATTCCTGCGCGATGAGACAGGCAAGTAATGGACGATCAGCGGGGATCGCAAGCTTCGCGCCTTGAGGCGTTCGTAGATTTCGCCGATCCAGCTGCACCACAAAATGTTCGTCATCGCCATTCGTAGGCGCCTCGTACCCGAGGAACACATCTTTCCAGAAGCGCTCCATGGTCTTTTCTGCTCGCTTACTTTCCGATAGTCTAGCAGCCATGTCTTCCACAGACGATGGCGCATCAAATTTCGCAGCAGACGCATGCACCGCCCGCATTGGCACAGCACACACCACTCGCATGGCACACAGCGGCGCACAACGCACCGCCATGGCGCTACGCATCATCCGCCACATCGCGCTAATACGTTCTACAACTCCGAGTACGTGTGCCAGACAGTCAGTGAGCTGCAGAGACGACGATGACCGACCACTTCGCCTGCACTACAACGTATGTAACACACGTCGTTGCAAGTCCGCCAACCGTTTGAGCCGAGAGTCAGACCTGGTTAGCAGTAGCCCCCGTCCCTCCCTAAGAACCTCTCTCTACACACACCTATATTTGCCCTGCCTGCCTGCCTGCCTGCAAAGGACCTACATGGCCCTTGTAGGCCGTTACCACAATAACCATCGCTGCCGCCTATGCCTGAGGCGCATGGAGGGTGAGGCACGTGACCGAGACCCAGCGGCGGACATCGTCTACGATGCCCCGGCGTGTTCGATGGCCTGACCCTGTGCCTTCGCGGACATATAGATCAAGGCCAGGTCCATCACCACACTTCTTTTTTCTCACGCTCATCGCGCGTGGGCGGGCAACCGGATCAGCATGAGCGACAAGAAAAATCCACTGGCTGATCTGCCAGCTGAAGACGCGACAGATGAGAAGGGCAACCCTTTGCTCTTCGCTGTTGACGGCGATGAGATGTTCCCATTCTCCGTCGACGCCAAGACAAACCAGGTACATACCAATGCACACGACGTGTCGCTGTTGAATCTCATCGCCAACTGGTTGACTCTTTTGCCACCACAAGCACCATTTCCACCGCCACCACACATTCTGCAGAAACAACTGACGGAAAACATCCAGGAAGCCAAAGAAAAAGGCAACACGGCCTTCCGGCAAAAGGACTATGAGACAGCAATCAAGCACTACACGTTGGGCGTTGCGATGATCACGAGTCGGCCGATGTGGGAGTCTTGCTCACTCATCGCGGATGAACTCACCGTCATGCTTGCCAATCGCAGTGCTGCCATGTATGCGTGCGAGGCGTATATAGAGGCACTATGCGATGCAGATGCTGTGGTGAAAATCAAAGGTACATGGGGCAAAGGCCACTTCCGGAAGGGCAAGGCCCTTGCTGCATTGCAGCGTTATGATGAAGCGCGGGCCGCGCTGGATCTTGGGCACCAGTGTGAGCCAGACAATGAGGTATGTACAACACAGCCACGTCATACGCATCGGCAAACTGACTCCGTGTGTAGGACTTTCTCAAGGCCATTGCCGAGCTGCCGTAGATCATCTATGTATAATCACGATGCCTTCCCTCATACAGTCACCTCTTGCCGTTTATGATGACGACGATGAGGTATCGCCGCTTGTGCCGTGGAACTTGTGGTTCACAAAGTTGAACCATGGCAGTACACCTGGGAGAAGAAGGAGAAGGGAAAAGAGGCCCAGTGTCAGTCTGTGTACAAACAACATGGCGCAGAGCAAAACGCGCCTACGCGAAACAAAACGGACGTACCCAAGTTGAGCTGAGAGAATGCACTGTTCCTGTGTGCGACGCCTTGCAGCTCGTCTGTGAGGCTGCTCTTGCCCTGACCAGGCACATCGCCAGAGGCCACCTCTGCTTTTGCGAGTTCCTGTTCACGCGCATTCTCTGTCCAACCCCAGAAACGGACTAAATTGAATCAAATAGAAAACATGTGTAAGTACAAGCACGCTCATACACAGCCCATGTCACGTACACGTCGAGCGCTGGTACGCATACAAGAATCCTCCGCACAATCCAAGGAATGTCGATAGCTTCAAAGCCGCACCAAGCTTTCCGCGGCCGCGCGCTGGATCAGAGCTCTCTAGCAGCCAGAGCGCACTTGGGAAGGCCACGGCTGTGCCTGCGATAGCATAATAGTCCGAAGGACGGAAGTAGCGCACCACGCGCCTGAAGTGCGGATCCGAATCAATCAATGGAAACTCTGTCTCAAATTCCTTCTGAGCTGCCTACGTCAGCACATGTCCACAGGAAAAAGATAGAGAAGAGGTGTTTGTGTGAGTTGGTGGGGTGCACCATGCCTCACTTCGTGTCGTGCAACGTATACGTACGCATCGTGGCAACAATCCGTAACGGAATGCAATCAGTTGGCCGCCGACGTGGTTCGTCTCAGGCGCTATCGGAACTTGTGCCCAAACGACCCAGCCAGCCAGGCGGAGGATCCCGAGTCACGTGATATCCACGCTCCCTGACACACTCAACTTGCCCTTTTCACGCGCGCTCTTCATGCTTGATGACAACGCGTTCGCCACTGGTAGCTGCACCTGCCCCTGCACCATCAGCTGGCTGACCTACTAGCTGGTAGACGAGCAAGAAAGCAAAAGTGCCACTGCCAAAAGCAGTGTCCCCACTCAAGATGATGCTGCTTCCACGCGCGCTTACAGGAGCGTGGCGCATATCGTTCAGTGCTGCTGCCAAGACATTGTCCTTTCATACGACGGCTGTGCCAACGTTTCCTAGAGCACGGCGTTCTATAGGGCCTTCGCGCACTGCAGTCGTGTCTCATGGACGAACCGACACGCACACATCACAGGCGTCGTCGTCGCCGCGCATCCCTGCCGCGGTACCGTGGTTCATGGAAGAAGAAGTGATTGATGCGCCGGTGCCGCCACCTGCACCCAGCGCTGATGTCCTGCCACCCATTGCATGGCTCCCCTCCTATATACCTGCTACAAGCGATATTCCCGAACAGCTTGCCCAACTCATTGACATGTGTGTCACAGGCCCGCTCAGCGCGCTTGTGGCACGGCCAGCAGAACCGGACGACATCGACATCGACGATTGGTCCGAACGCGTACGCGGCTCGCCACTGGCTGTGATTAAGCCGATGAATCCAGCCGATACCGTCGGCGATGAAGGTCAGGATTGGATCGTGGTCGTGCAAGTCCGCGGCGCTGGCGTAGGAACCGTGCGCCGGGTCGCGTCGGACATCGGTACGTATCTCAAGCACACGCGTCCACCAGCACCTGTGCCAGCTGAGGCGATTGCCTTGGATGCGATCCTTGGACCTGCTCAAATTGTCCATGAGCAGGATGGGCTTGTAAGCGATGGTCCCGCGGAGTCGGCCTCTGCCTCAGGACGAGGCGCACGGCCTTCTGGCATGTCTCGTGCTGAGCATGAGGCAGGCCAGCATCTGCCAGCGTGGGAGATCCAAAAGCTCGCCCTTATGCGCAAGTTCCCCGATGGATGGATGCCCATGACAAAACTGTCGCATGAGGCGCAGCATGGCTTGCGTCTCTTGCATGCAGCAGACCCTGAGCGATTCCACATCGGCGTTCTCAGTCGACGATTCCGCATCAGCCCTGAGAGTGTGCGACGGATTCTGCGCAGCAAATGGCAGCCGAGTGAAGAGGCCGCCCAGCGACAAAACAGGCGCGCAAAGGTGCAATGGCGACAGCAACCGGCGCACGCCTCGAAAGACGAAGCGGATGAAATTGCCGGGTTACGTCAGGGCGGAGTTCCGGTGAATACAGAGCCTCGTCAGACATCTCCAGAGATGAGTGTCGTGGATCCCTCCTACGAGCATCCCGTGCGAATGGAAGGCTTGGTGTCAAGTGCTGACCTGGCCGGGGGCCGCCGGCGCCAGAAAAGCGTTGCCTCCCGTGGGAGCGGTGACTGGTGTCTGATCGATGCTGGATGGTGTGTGGTGCATGTCATGACGGCCAAGGCGCGCGAACATTACCGCTTAGAGGACATGTGGCGATATAATGGGACCTCGTGAGGTCCGCCAACATGGTCCGTCCTTGCTCAGAGCGGCTGATGCTCGTCACCTTTTTTTTTGTTTCACACTACCCCAATCGATCCACTGGCGTCAATACTCCCGCGCGCAACACCCCCAAGACACGTACAGAGCTCCAAGCGGTGCAGTATGTGGGCCGCACTCGTATCTGTGATTTCTCCGGCCATGATGATTTCATCGAGCACCGCATACACTTTGTAGAATTGAAACACAAGATCTTCCTCGCACACGTTGGAAAAGTAAGCATCCAGAACTTCGACAAATAGATGAATGGCCTCTAAACAAGCCAGTTCGTTGTCGTGCGTGTCGATGCACGCACAAAAATACAAGCCAGCATAGCGCCTATACACGATTTTGTTGTCGTTGCGGAACTGGACATGTCAGCCAGTGCATTCAAACACGTCTCTCTCCCACGCCGACACTAATGTCCGCATCCCTTGAGCGCTTGCGTACCTCGACAAAGTTGCTTTGGGACCGCTGATCACGCGGTGCTATGACACGAAACACCTCTCCCGGGATTTGTGCCTTCTCCGCCTCATCCATTCGTACATAGTACTTGGCGAGGCGCACTTTGCCCTGACGATTCTGTACCAGCACGAATCGGATCATAAGGAGGCAGCATGGACGACGGATGGCCTCACAGCCAGCCGCCTTGGTTCCAACGTGGGAGCATAATTCCTCGACACCCCAGACACTCGCAGTCTCTTACAAACGTGTCGTCGATCCAACGCACTGATGACACATTGTCACTCACTCCATCCGGATTTCCGTTGATTCTTTTGGATCAGCGCAGCGCGTAACTCTGTCGCGGCAGCGGCAGTGCACATTGGTAGTCGTCAGACATCCGCCCAAGTATGGTCAAGTGGTCGTCTGTGCTACTGCGTATACCGATGACGCTGCACGGCTGGGATCCGTTGCGGATCCTCGCACAAATGACAGCTTTGCAGTGTATTCACTACATCCTACTCGCAGCATTTGTGCCGCCGTTTCTGTCGATCTTTACAGAACCGGCAGCACTTCGATTTGAAGGCGGACCTGCACAAGTCGGCATGATCATGGACTGGCGCGAAGTCGCAAGTAAGCCGACGTGGGACTGGCACACAGTGATGCATCTTGTGAATCTGTACAAAGGTTGGAGCAAGACAGGCGGTGAGAGCGGCCCTGCTTGGACGCCCAGTGAACAAGTAGCGCTATCAAACTGGACGGCTGGCGCCGTCTGGCTCCACGTGCCGGACCATCGAGGTGGCTTGCAGCCGTATGTACTTCCGCCCACGTCCTTCCAATGGAACGACTCGTCGCCATCTCTTGCCAACGATCTGTCCACTGAATCTCTGCTGACTTCCATGGCCGAAGAGCCTCTCATACCCGCAGCACGCTCGCTACGATCACCAACGGCGTTCGCCTCGTCGCCCACCTCGTTGCCATCATCGATATGGCCGTCGCCGAGATGGCTCGCGAAAGATGCATCGCGACCGACCAATACATCAGGCACACTGCTCCAGCAAGAGCGTCAGCTTGAAATGTGGGAGTATCGTCGCACACATGACGCACGACGTGGTTGGGCTATTAGTGCCGCATGGATGCTCACGGTCTTCTTTGACGTTCAAGTCTTGTACTATCTTGTCCGCAAGCCTACCCACGTGCTGGATTTTGTATGCACGATGCATTTCGTTCACTTTATTCTGACAACCTCCTTTGCAGGTGCATTGCCGCACTCCGTGTATTGGTGGGTGCTTATGATGGTTCATGCAAGTCTATGTATTGTGTTTGCCGAGCGCATTGCGATCCAGCGCGAAATGCGCATGGGCTTTACAGACCACACCGTGTTGGATTCGTCTCAGCTGGACGAAGATACATACGAACTCCTTCCTTCACGCAGCCGCGGCGCGGGCCGTGGGAGATACTAGTTATGCAGGCGGATAAAACCCTGCGTACAACACACATGCCACCCCACTGTAGCATAGCAAGTACAACACAACCCCTTTTGTCCATGCAGGACCGCCTCGCTCACATAGCATGGCAGCAGCCCACCATACCATTGGCATGCCCCCTGGCGTCGCCATCCGCAATGCAATTTGTACATGACTCGCGAACAGCAGAATACATAAGACAACAGCCGTATGATAGACGTACACGAGCTCACAGCGCAAAGCGGGCCGGGATCGGATGGTTGTGGAAACGCGCTTGGCTGGATCACTGGCAAGACCACTACCGCGCCAGGGTATCAGCGTCTGTTCGACAACACGACGCGCGCACGGCGTGGCCAGCCAGCAGCCGTACGCGCCGAGCGTGAGGACTGGAAACGCCAGCACAAAGTTGGGCACTTGTGCGAGTGTCCAGTAGCGAAAGAAACCGACATCCCAGTAATGTGCTTGGACGAAACTGTAGACGAGCGGGATCGGCTCCATGTCACACCATGGACGTCCAGGGCAGAGTCGTTCATACGCCCACCGCTGGTGCAAGAAGAAAGGGATCGAGATGAAAATCATGCCTGCCGCCGCACTCACGACATCTGCACAGACAGTGATGCATGTACGCTGACGCTGTTCGATCCAAGGGCGGTGAATCGCGTGCCATACGAGGAATGCACCTAACAGGATCCCATTCGCTCGAAAGCACGTTGCGAGACAGAAGAAAAGAGCTGCACACCACCGAGGCAAAGGACAGGGGCGTTGCAGCACGCAAAGACCGCTGAGCACGAGAACAGAATAAAATGGCTCAGGCGTTGGAGCAGTAAGTGCCGTAGCTGAAGCTGGCGCAAAAACAGCCAGAAGAGCCGCTCGCTCAGCGAGGGCGCGTGAATGCGTTTGGGCACGAGTCAACATGTACAGCAGCACCGGTGCGACGATAGTGGCCACGTTCGCCAGAAAAGCACCTCCCACTACTGCACACGTGGCACTCCAGCGAGTATCGCCCCATAACGCCGGTATAGAACCAAGTCGGCGTAGCACAAACACAATGCCTGGCTGAAACGCCAGTGTGTTTTCATACACGTACCCACGCTCCGGATGAGCAAGCGCAACAAAGTAGACTGTATCCCAACGTACAAAAGGAACAGCCCAAGTGTCCCACGCAGAATCCCATGCACCCTGCGGCAAAGTAAGTCGCACGAGCTCCGCAGATGTATCAAACGCTGTCTGCAGATGCGTGCACACCAGCAGTGTGCACACACATACGATTCGCCACAGCGCAGACGCCGCAAGTATACGCGTCCATGCGCGCATGCCTTTCGTGGCTTTGTTGCTTCGAGCCCGAAAGCTTCTGCTGCAGCAAGTGACAAGAACGAATGTGACAAGCGACGCGTTAGCAGCAAGTGGGGTTGGCCAAGCCGCAAGATGGGGCGCAATAGCGAGTGGAGGAGGCAGCAGCCCTGAGTTCTCGTAGCACGCATGCAAACGTGTGCCTATTTCTCACGTGAGTCGCATCCACGTTATCGTGTCCCCCCTATTCCCCCCCTCCTCACCACCACCTCGTCGTCGTACCTCCATCATCCATTCACGCACCTCTCCACACGCCCGCTTAGTACCGGTGGAGGTGAACGGGCAAACGCCCATACAGCGAGTGTTGTCGACGAAAAAAATCCATCTGACCAAAGAGTCGCCATTATGGTGTTGGCCGATTTGGGGCGGCGCCTAAACCAGGCATTTTCGGACTTACAGAGGCAACCGACGCTTGATGCAGCTTCCGTCGACCAGCTGCTCAAAGACGTGTGCAGTGCGCTACTGGCCAGCGATGTCAATGTGCGCCTAGTGCAAAAACTTCGGCAGGATGTAAAAGACGAAGTTAGCTCACTCCTGAATGACAAGGGAAAGGCTGAGTCATATACGGATGCACAGCGAAAGCACCAAGTCCAAAGAATCGTGTTTGATTATCTTGTGAAACTGGTGGATCCAGGCGATGGATCGACGAAGCACCGCCTCGATAAGGGACAACAGCATGTGATCATGTTCGTTGGGCTGCAGGGTTCAGGAAAGACAACGTCATGTACAAAGCTGGCACTCTGGTACCAAAAGCGTGGCTACAGGACGGGTCTTGTGTGCGCAGACACGTTCCGTGCGGGTGCCTTTGATCAGCTGAAGCAGAATGCAGCAAAGGCTCGCATCCCCTTCTATGGCTCCTACACAGAGACGGACCCCGTGGCAATTGCGTCTGCGGGTGTGACATCGTTCAAGAAAAACCGCTTTGATGTAATCATTGTCGATACATCCGGACGGCACAAGCAAGAGAAGGACCTGTTTGCAGAAATGGTCGACATTAGCCGAGCTGTGAAGCCGAGTCAGACCATCATGGTCTTGGATGCTAGCATTGGCCAGGCTGCAGAGGCACAGTGTCGTGCATTCAAGGAGGCTGCTGACTTTGGTGCCATGTTTGTCACAAAGCTCGATGGACATGCGAAAGGCGGAGGTGCGATTTCTGCCGTGGCTTCCACGCAGACGCCTATCATCTTTATTGGAACGGGTGAACATGTGCATGATTTGGAGCCGTTCCGTGCACGACCCTTTATCTCTAAGCTGCTTGGCTTGGGCGATCTCACAGGTCTGATGGACAAAATGGAAGAGGTGCACATGAACGAGGACGTGCAGCAGCGGCAGCGCGATATGATGAAAAAGATCCAAGAAGGCGGCACCTTCACGATCCGCGACTGGCGCGAGCAAATCACACACATCCAGAGCATGGGTCCCATGTCAAAGATGGCGGGCATGATCCCAGGCATGAGCCAGATGATGGGACATGCGCCCAGCGACGCCACAGCGAACGACAAGTTCAAGATCATGCTGTACATCACCGACAGCATGACGCCCGAAGAACTTGACTCGGACGGCTCCTGCTTCACGAAGCCGATCAAGACATCGACTAGCCGCGCGGCTGCTGCGCGATCGCACTCGGACGAAAAGGCACAGAGTCGCACAGCGGCCAACACCAACGCCAATGCCAACGACAAAACAAAAAGCAAGGCTCCATTACGCCTCACAAGTCGTGCTCTTCGTGTGGCACGTGGCAGCGGCACGAGCGTGCGGGATGTGGAAGAGTTCTTGATGCAGTACCGAACGATCTCGCAAATGGTGAAGAAGTTTGGGGGAAAGAACAGTTGGCTCCAGCAAATGAAGAGCGGTGGCGGCAGTGGCGCGGGCGCCGGCCGTGGTGGCATGCCGATGTTACCGCCAGGTATGACACGGGAGCAGGCGATGAAGATGCAGAATGCGCTCCCGGCTGATATTAAGGCGCAGCTTCGGCAACCTGGCGGTCGTGAACAACTCATGCGACAGCTTCAGAGTGGAAATGTTCCACCCTCTTTAGCCGCGATGGGCGGTCTGCCCGGCATGCCGAGTTTTCCAGGTATGGGTCTAGGTGGTGCAGCTGGCGGTATGCCCGATCTTGCTCAGATGCAGAGTATGATGCAGAACATGGGCGGTCTTGGAGGAATGATGCAAAAGATGATGGGTGGTGGTATGTCATGAAGGACGGTTTCCCATGTTAGGCAAGAAAAACGCTTCATAGCACCGCACTCGCTAGTATGTTGCAACTTTTTCCCTGTTCGGTACCTTGTCCGTAGGTTGTGAAATATTTTTTGCAGGTAGCAACACATGCGATCAACATGCAAAAAAGAATTGGCCCTGATTTTTCCAAGTTGGTTTGTCATCAAAGTACGAACCTCCACGGCTGAACAGCACGTACGACATTTTCCTCCCTTGCCTCGATCAGAACGCTCTTCTTGTGCGCAAGTGCCTCAACTCGTTGAGTGGTAATGGTACAGACCACAGAGCATGATACGCAGCTTGCGTACGTACAAACATTTTTTTTTTTTTTTTTTTTTGCACACTTTACATACTTACACAGGGGTGCAGGTATCCATGGCATGCTTGCGTGCAAGCCTTCTTCTTGCGTTATCCAAACCCACAAGCGTCGCACATTTTGTCCGTCGACGTTGTTGATCGCCGCATTGAAATGCGCGCAAAAACACCATCTGAAGACATGTTTCCTGTCTTGTGCACATCAAGACTCATTCTAAAAAGTGGATCGCTGCCCAGCTGGGCGCCCAAAAACATCATCCAGCATTCGACATCGTGGGTGCTCGAGGAGAGCGAAGTCGATTTATCTGCATATGACCCTGCACAACCGCGCGTCATGTCTATTTGGACGCGAAATCTTGATCATACGTCTGTACTAGCTGTAACTGAAGCCCTCAAGTTCCAGGAGCCACGGCAAGAAATGCAATCGCAACAAAAATCATCATGGTCACAGTCACAGGCACAGCCACACTTGCATTTGCATTCAGAGCCACCACCACATCCACAACTACAACTACAGTCACAACACCTAACACACGGACAGCCATCGCAGCCACCAATGCGTCCCTTTACTCACTTGCAGTTGGCTGCCGATGTGCGCTCAGCTGTATCGTTCAAGTTACTTCGCTATCGCATTGAAAAATTTGGACTTAAGCGGTACATGTCACACGTCGAGTCGTCTCGGAATGGCCTTATTTGGGTCATCACTCGTATGGCACCGCATCTTGCCTCTGTACATACCGAGCACATGCCGCCGCATGTGCCTCCGCCCCCCAGACGTCGACTTTTGAATGCCTTACGTCCACCATTCCTCGATGGATACCCTGAAACGCCATGGCAGTGGCTCAAGAAAAAATGGCGGCAGTGGCGGGGTGCGTTCCGCCGCACACCCACTTCTTCCACATAAGTATTGTACAATAATGATGTTCATAGCGATGGCGACGACACACTTGAGTCACTCAGCACAATTACATCCGAATACACGACACGGATCAATTCACAAGAATCGTCATCAACGCTTTTCTCATGAATGGGTGTGCATGTTTTTGCGGAAGAACCATGTGTCATGAAGGATGTGAGTAGCGTCTGTCGTTCGCCTGTTGCATGCACGGAACTTGGACCCTTGTCGCACCAAGAGAGATCTGTAGGGTACTTCGATCTCTTACGAGCAGCCAGGTACGCTCTTACACGCTCTGAAAGTTGTTGTCCTTGCGCGAGAAGAAGCGGCACAGGCAGCCATACGCGCCGAACGATGGCTGCACTCGAAGCGTGCTGCAGACGCATAGCCTTGGCAAGGCCATTGACGAATGTGTCAGCATCGTATGAGACACGAAGTTCTAAGCGACCATGCTTTGTGCGCATGGAGTGGATGTCACGCATGTGCAAGGAAGGCTCAGGAAAAGCTTTGAATGCATGGACCTGCATTGCAGCCAACTTGACGCTGAGTTCGTCCACGATAGGCTTGGGTGCGCTTTTCGCAGCGACGGAAACACTAGCGGAAGCAGTAGAGCTGGTAGTCAAGGTCCCTTCATGCAGCCTCTTATTGGCATCCGCGTCATCTTGAGCGCTGACTTGCTTGTCCGTGTTTGCTGCAGCGATGAGCTCACGAACGTACACGCCATCAAGTAAGAGACGCTCAAGCTTGTCCAGCACAGCGCTCGGTGTCCACAGAAACGACTGCTGCAAGGTTTGGGCCAGGGCATGAAGATCTACTCGTTCGTACGGAGGAACGCGCGCCAGTTTCGCCACGAGTGATGCTGAGCGCATTGCATCGTACTCGGACGTGCGAGGCCAAATGTAATCAAAAAGGTAGCGACGTGCGTTGGTCGTGCTTAAGAATGTGTCGTTGATGGAGGCGGCTAGTTTCGGCTGACATCTACTGAGGTGACCATGCGAATTGGACCGCAGCTCTGTGCGCATATCACGCCGCCATGCAGCAAGAAATGTATCCCATGCCGGCGACGATGCTGCAAGTTGCTTCGGATCACACTGCGGGGGAAAGTGTGTGCGAAAAGCCGACGTCAGCGCGGAGCCAAATCCAGCTCGGGCTAGCGCCACAGCAGTCTTGATGCCACAATGCACGAGACCGTGCGTATCATAGTCACCACCAGATAAAACAGCCACAAGAACCATGGCATCGCGATCTAGATCCCATGCTGCTTCCCGAGTATCGTATACAGTCAGCAGGTCAGAGGACGTGTCGTGTGTCGATGGACGAAGCACGCACACAGATCCGTACATAAGAGCATCCACATCATCTGTGAGAACGCCATCATCAGACCAAGTAGATTCATCCATGCAAGTTCCGCTTCAGCTTCGGCATATGCACGCCAATAGACGAAACCAAGATCCGTGAGCAGTGCACAAAAACGAGCTTCGAGTGGCTGATACGCATGCGACACGTGTGCGTTGCGTTTGATCGTCGGCTTATGTGGTCCATCCAGCACAAAAATCGGGTATATTGGTAAGTTAAAGAACCGTGCAAGGCGGAAAAAGAGCGCTCGAAGCTCCGGCTGCGCGCCACCGCAGCTTTTCTTCGCATGGTACATCCACTGGGACGCATCAATGCCCATGCGGTACATGCGTCGACAAGAGCGGTCCTTGCACAAGTGATTCCATGCTAGCTGCTCAAGTGCCATGGGCGTGCCATGTGCAGCTAGTTGCTGCCATAAACCTGGCACACCCATGTCGGTGGTGCATGAATCAACAAGAGGACGGTTGCCTCAAGCACGCGAGTGTGTTGATGGGACGACCTGTGGAGGGAAACGAGGCACTTGTGACTCTACGAAAGCACGTTCGTATATGTGTATATATGTATATCGACATCGGCTGTACTATGTCCTCCAGGAGGGGGCGTGGGGTCGTGCTCGCCAAACGAAGGCCATGTTTCGCTTGTTCTTTTTATTTTATTTCACTTTCGCAATCAATATATGCATTTCTTTTGTCGTCTTTTGCAAGACCTGACGTGGCCCTACTCAAGCCTCAGAGGCAGACTCGGCAGAAGTGCCAGGCTTCTCCATGTCCCGACGACGCGCCTCGAGCGTTGCAGCAAGCTCACCACCACCAGCTTGCGACAAAAGACCTGCAATCTTCTGCCCTGGTGCAGAGAGCAAGCCAACCAGCTGTGCACGCAGCGTAGGCAGATTCGGCAGCTTCGTGAATGCAGGCAAAGCATTCGTGTCAACGAGGCGACTCCGTTCAGCGACTGCAACAATCGGCTTGAAAAGCGGCGCTTTTTTGGCGCTCTTTGGGTCATGCGCATCTACAGCGGCAGCAACAGGGCGCTCCATAGCTCGCAGGACCTTGCCAATATATTCCGGCGAAAGAACAGGACATGTTAGCATAGCAAGCTGACCCCGCAAGTGTGGCTCCAAGGCCTGAACGGGCTGCGCCGTGTCCTTGCGGCATACAGGCCGCATGAGACCTGTGCGAATCATCGTCAAAGAACATGTGGGGAAATTCCACGGAACACCATTGTTCTTTTCCTCGAGACGCGCAAGGTCCTCGCTAGGTATCTTGACGAGCGACGCCTGCCGGCGCACATTGTTGAGCAGTTTCACATCCAAATTCTCCATTTTGAACAGGAGAACAAGCTCATTCTCACGCAGGAGCCGCTCATACTTTTTGAAGAGAAATGTTTTTCTTTCACTGAAGCCTTTGCGCTTGTCCTGATAGGCAAAGCGTTTGGGTCCTTTCGTGTTAAGCACATTGTGAGGCGTTTTCCCAGTAGGCGCTAGTGAGCTTGACGTGTGCGCCGACGCCACACTCGCGTACGTCCGCACTGCCTGCGCTCCCTGACGCATGAAACGTGCGATCGAGAACGCCATGTTCCCGGCGAATAGACGCGCAGCGTAGCCGTATTGGGAGAGAGCGTCTCTGCGTCGGCTGACGAGACAGAGCGAGACAAGGAAAGCCTTAGCCAGAGGACGAGATGCGTGATACAACTCACGTGATCTACCTGCACGCTCGCCTCCGCACATTGGAGCTCACGCCGCCTGGCGGCGCGCGATTCTCCTCCACATTGTGTCACGACGCTCGGCTCCCCACATTGTTGATGACGACCTCACATGCACGGCATCCAGGCGTTCCTGCCAGTAGAGCGAGTCGTTTGCTACCACCCGACATTGTCCCTCTTGTTCTTGCGCATCTGTCTTGGCGCGTACGTGACTTAGGAGCCTGCTGCCTCGTAAATGCATTGTGGCGGAGGTACGCGACACCATACTTGTATGAGCGTATATGGCTGCGCGACCAGAAACGTCTTCTGCTTGTTTTTCGCACATTGGCAGAATGTCCGCACCTTGCGCGATATGTGCGAATCATGGAAATACGTGTATACCCCTTTGGTCTTCCCGCAGAAAAGCTCGAGGACGTGGAAGCCTCTATTGTTCAGGCGTTGCACCATGCCGTCAACCTGGTTGAACTCTGCTGGACAAGAGCTGGTAGTTTGAATGATCGCGTGCTCATGACGATTTTCGACAATATGAGGTGTATGAGAAAGTTGGAACTTTCAGGAAGCGGCCAGATGTCATCTCAAATGTGGGAGCCGAAACTTCTCGTTTCTCATTTGCCTCGAACGGTCGAAACACTCTCTTTGATTATGCCAAGCCGTGAAGTCGTACATGAATTGGTTCATATTGCCAAACATCTCGATAACCGCTTATTTTCTTTGCAACTCCTTTGCATGAACTCTGCTGTCGTCACGGACGGTCTTCTGTGTGATCTTGCGCCGCATGTGCCGCGGCTTTCGCGGCTCTCGCTGGTTGGGTGCAAGCGAGTACATGGCCCTGGCGTGCGCGCACTTGTCAATAAGTCGATTCGTGATTTGTCCTTGGAGTCTGTGGCCTTGGACGTCGGTGTTCTTGCCACCCTGGCACCGGATGTGGTACATTTGAAGCGCCTAACCCTCACACCCCCACGGCACGTGCGTGATATGAAATCGTTCTACGATGAGGCCAGTGTATTGATCGATGCTTGCAACGCACTCGAATGCCTCACACTCTATGCGCGTGGCGGAAGTAAGCCTGTGGTAGGACACGATCTCGGAAGCACGGGCGACACGAGCCGTCTCGGTGAGGATCAAGCCGATTTAGATGTTCAAGTCAATCATGTGGTTCAACCACCCTCTTCTCAGCAGCAGCTCACTCCATCAAGCCCATATATAAGCACATTATATATGGCCCGCCTGTGTGCGAGTTCATCTGCACATTCGCTCAAAACACTGCGCATCCAAGGTCTCGGTATGTCACTGGATACACTTTCGATGCTTGCGCAGTCACCACTCCAGCATGTACTGCGCGATTTAGACATTCATCTGTATGAGGACAATGTACCTAAACTGATTGCGTGCATCGCATCATTCGAGCGGCTAGAAAGTTTACACATATTTTCTGACCTACAGTCGCATGCGCAGTTGTCGGACGGGGATATCTTGCGCCTCGCCAGGGAAGCTGGTGGCGAGTGGTTCTGTCAAATAGGCTTTCAGAACCGGGTATGGCATGTCCGATCGACGAGACAGGGTCGTGAACTAATTCCCTGGGATAAGAGTGCAGGCACATTTCCTCAGAGTATGCTTGTGGTGCGCAGCTGAAGGTCAAGAGTTGCAGCGACGCAAAATAATGAAGCACCACGTTGTATTCCCATCGACTTTGTCACACTCTCCTTTTTGACTGATTCCAACGATCATAAAGCTCCTTCACATATCAGTGTCACTGACTCATCATGTTTGACATATGACATTGTCTTGACGTCATTACGATTTGGTATTGTACTCTTGACCTGTATCTCTCTGATACGACTGTGCCCTTTCTGTGCTCACTTTCCTCCTTGGCATATATATATATATATGTAACCATGCGCTTGTCGTTGTGAGGCTCATGCAACTTCCTGCAGCGCGGTATAGGCTGGCTCCTGAGGAGCCGTTGGCCATAGAGTGTGCCAAAGGCGAGCCAGTCCGGCAGATACGGATGCGTGTGTGAAGGCGACCGATGGCGGCACACCCGCAGAAATGTCGGGTCGTTTCCACAAGCGCAGAGACAAGGAACTGAGCACCACACTAACGCTACTGCAGGCCATGGCCACGCCAGCCATCATCGGATGCAAGTATATGCCCCAGGGAAGAAGCAGACCCATAGCAAGAGGCACCATAATCAAGTTGTATGTGGTAGCCCACAAAAAGTTCAAGCGGATTTGCCAGAAGATTCGCCGGCATAGCAAGAAGGCAATCGGCACATCCATAAGTTCATTCCGCATGAGCACAATCGAAGCAGCTCCCATCGCAATGTCTGATCCTGATGACATGGCTACACCAACATCAGCTGTGGCCAAAGCCGGCGAGTCATTTACGCCATCACCGACCATCGCGAGGCCGTGGCACTGAGTCGGCACCAGTGCCTCGGCAACGCGCTCCCACATGCTTTGTGGGACACGAGCGTTCGACGTGTCTGAAGGAGGCGTGCGGTTTTGCTGCAGCAGGGTCATTTTACCATTCGGTGAGAGTCCCGCATGCACATCATCTGGGTATACACCAATTGCTTTAGCAACAGCTGAGGCTGAGCTCCGTGTGTCACCTGTCATCATGCTGCAGCGGAAGCCCCATGTCGTGCAGCCATTCAATACATTCGGCAGCATGGTCTTTGAGTTTGTCAGCGAGGGCGAAAGCTTGCGTCCAGGAACCATTCACTGATGCATAGACCACCGTACACCCTTTGCTTTCCCAGTGCTGCGCAAACGCGAGCATGGGCGTCGGCTGCTCGCCGAGAGGATGGAGGCCTGCATGACCGATGATAACGTCGTACAGCTCATCATCACATTCGACGTGTGCCTTGACACCAGCACCTTGTACGGCCTCGAAGGCTTGGACTACCATGCGGGACGTTTTGTGCGGCTCACAGTGCTGGACAAGCGCATGTGCCAAGACATGTTCGCTGCGACTTTCGACGGCATGGACGAGTGCTAGGAGGCGAGACACGGATATCGACGATGAGGATGATGACGATAATGGCGCATCCCACCGCTCTGTGACATGCAGCTGGCCCCGTGTCAGTGTACCGGTCTTGTCAAAGATGACATGGCGAACCGAACATGCTGCCTCAAGAGACGGTGCATTCTTGATCAAGATGCCGTGCTCAGCACCGACACCTGTGCCAACCATGACGGCCGTAGGCGTGCTAAGACCTAACGCACACGGACATGCCACAACCACCACGCTGATGCACAATTTCAGGCACTCCATAAATTTGTGGTGCCCAGCAACACGAAGCATAGATGGCTGCCAAGCGGGGGGGAATACTAAAGCCACAAAAAGCCAGAACGCCAACGTGCAAACGCTCAAGCCAATGATGCACGGGACAAACATCCCAGCAACACGGTCGGCATAGTCCTGAATCGGCGCCTTGCTGATTTGGGCATCTTGCACAAGTTGCACAATGCGGTTTAGGCTTGTGTCTTTGCCAGCGCGAGTCACCTCAAAGTCGAGCGTTCCACTGCCATTGACGGTGCCGCCCCAACACCTGGGCACCGACGGTCTTGTGCACAGGCACATGCTCGCCCGTGACCATGCTTTCATCAACGAAGCTCTGGCCATGCCGGACGATACCATCCGCTGCAATTTTTTCTCCCGGCACAAGTTTCACTGTATCGCCAACCTGGAGCAGTTCTGCCGGGATGACTCGCTCTGTCTGGTGGTGCTCATCCGTGTAAATCGTGGCTTTCTGTGGGGCGAGCTGAATGAGGCGTGTGAGAGCCTGGCCCGTCTGGCCTTTCGCCGAGCTTTCCAAGTACCGACCCAACGACACAAAGGTAATGAGCATGGTTGACGTATCAAAGAAGGTACGTGGCTTTTCACAGTGGTCGGTGCAGCCAAGCATCATGAGCATGGCGAGGACGCTGAACGTCCAAGAGGCCATCGTTCCGATAACGACAAGTGTATCCATAGTCATAGAACCATGGCGAATGGCCTTGTATGCCGCTCGGAAGAACCGTTGCCCCACACCAAATTGCACGGGCAGCGTAAGTAAGAGGCCAAGTACATCCTGCATATACAGGCCGCGCACGGGCTGCATTATGAGAAATGGTCGAAGAAGCCGTACGTGCATTAACACCATACAGACAAGAAACTCAGGCACGGCAAACAATAACGAGATCATGAATGCATGTAGCCAATCATGCATCTCATGCACATGCGTGAGACTCTCGATCTGCGCTTCGTCCCGATCATCAAATACAATCGCATCAAATCCAGCATCTTCCACTGCCTCAACAAGCGCGCGCACGCTTGTTCGGTGGTGATCGAACTCGATTTGTGCTCTCTGGAGTGTGAGCGAGACGTTACATGACACGACGCCATCGACTCTCATAAGCGCATGCTCTAGCGAAGATGTGCAAGAACTGCACGTCATGCCAAATACTGAAAGTGTAACGGCGTCCTCTGCACGCTCCGGCACGACCTGAGCATCGAAGCCAATGTCATCAATGGCCTCGACGAGCTTGTCAGGCGTCCAGGTAGATGCAGCATCATACACAACCGTTGCACGCTCCGCAAGCAGAGCCACAGTCACAGACTCGATCCCCGGCTTCTGCCCCAGCATTTTTTCGATACTTGCCACACATGAACCGCAAGTCATACCACTCACATGCAGTTGGACAGTGCGCGTGTTGGGTACGTGATTGTCTTCTTTCGAGGCACTTGCATCACCTCGCAGAGCTTCGAACGAACTAGACCCATCCATCGGCACCTTTTCGAGGTCCGACATATGTGTAAGACCGGAGGTCGGTAACGTATTCGTGTGCTGTCTGTGCGCTGAGCAAGTGTGTTGTAACGTTCGGTCGTGTGTATAAACAAGTGGCAAATTTCGTCCCTTCTCCCCTCGTCGTGTTGTGGAGATCATCTTTACCGCCATTCACGCATTTGAACTTGCGCCCATCGCAGCCGTGCATTAACGCCACTTGGAATGTGTGCTATTTGTTCAAATAAGCCCGTGCGATGGGGCCCTAGTATAATGCAAAAAAATAAAATAAAATCAAATATCGCGTGCCAAATACACACTTACACACACACAAGTGCGCGTATGTGCCCTCGAACCAATCCAATCAGTGTTTCCCTGTTGCCTATTGAAGATCCACTCCAACACGCGTCGTATTCATGTGGCGACGGCCATGTCGCTCGATGAAAGATATCGTGCCGTCGTCCGATCCTATTGGCGATGAGTTGGATCTCATCGATCCTCAGTGCGCTTCGCCATACAGATCTTTCGCGTCACAGGCGTCCTCGTCACAAAAGACAAGTCTGCAAGAACTTCGTGATTTGGACGACGACTCAGAAGACGACGCTCTCTTGCTCGATACTACACCGCCGCTTGGCCGACGCCCACAGCGTGCAGCAGCGCAAAGATCAGCACCATACTCGCTTAAGCTAAGCTTGACGCGACCAGGTGATGCTGCAACCCAACGATCTCGTGGCATGCCCAAACCACTCATCGACGCCATTCCTCGTGCGTCCTCCACTCGCTTCAGTATCGAGTCCCTCCTGCGTGATAAGACACGGCGTGCGCGCGCTCACCCATTCGATCCATTTCCGAAGCATAACACGAGTGGTGCGAATACAGCTCCTGAGAAGCATCGCGACGATCCTTTTTCTCATGCCCGCTCCGCGCTAGAGTCAGCGGAGCTTGACGCACAAACTCGACACACTCTTCTTTCTATGTTGGCGCAGGACAAGGGCCATACGAGCATAAAGGCACAGCGGCACAAGCATGCAATGACTTCCTCCTACTGGATACGAAGTATGCGTGCAGACACTGTGCCAGAAGAAAATGTATGTATTCACGGAACAAAGCCACAATTGTCTGCCCTGCATCTGTCGGTCGCTGGTGCATCGTCATTAAAATCATGCCATCATAACGTAAAGCAGCTTGTCATGGCCGCCATGCAGCATGACAATGATAAGCTTGCAGTTGCAGCTCGTATGCATCTCGCCTCCAAACCTCGAGATGTGCTGGCTCTTGTTCCGAGCATTTTGTCGAGTCTAGGGGCCAACGAACAGCTTTTGGCTCTCTGTTTCAGCTCTTATCGCTCTGATGCAGACGTTCGATCTCACGCAGCCGCCGCACATTCTCGAGCTTCACCAGCGTTGCATGATGCGTCGATGTGGGTTTTGGTGCCACCACGTGAAAAGTGTGTCAAGCAATTGTGGAACTTGCTTTGCTCCCTCAACTATCATGACACTGAAGCTATCAGTGAGCCTGAGCTCTCGTCCTATATTCCGATGTTGTTGCATTTCGGTGCATGCGCAATGCCGGAACTCTCACCATACGAGCTTGATGCTGTGTTGCGTACGTGCATGCGCCGATGCACATTTACTTCTGAACTAGGCTCACGGATCGTCAATGTGGGCCTTTGCTTACAACCGCGTGAGCAAGTAGGCTTTGTGCGTGCTATGCCTGTAGAAGAGTCTCTACACGATACTGACGGCTGTGGTCGTCATGTACGAGCGGCTATGGCCTCCCACTTACTCTTGCGCCGCCCGTGGTCTGGACCGCACGTCGATCTACATGCACTCAACTCTCTGATCACCGACGCACCAGACGCCGTCCTGTGTACGGCATCACACGTGCCTGACGCGCGAGACTATTTGGCACTATCAGCTTACACACAACTTATGTCACTCGCATTGTCAGACATGACAGCCATGCTGCGAGCTGGAGGCGCATCTGTGCTCGAGGAGCTTCGCACATTGGTCCTGCGAGTGTGGGAGCTACGCAGTAGTATCCAGGACCACCGAGGATCGCACATGGATAGGAGCGCAGTCAAAGATGTGGTGCAGCGTCTGGGATTGAGACTGTGGTACCAGGCACGGAACTATGTCGAGGGAGGCCACGAGCATGCCGCACTGCGGCCACTTTTGGATGGCATGCTGATGATACACACACGCCACGCAAATATACCCAAGCCAAGCATATGTAGATAGGTTGTTTATGCCAACTCAATCTTGCCACCAGCCTTTTCTACGGCCTCCTTAATCTTCTGTGCGTCTTCCTTTGTGACGTTTTCCTTCAGCGTCTGTGGCGCCGATTCGACGAACTTCTTCGCCTCGACCAAGTTCATGCTCGTGTTGATGGCCTTGACCTCCTTGATAACCTTGGCCTTCGCGCTGTCAGATCCGAGACCCAAGAATTTAATTGTAAAGAGCGTCTTTTCCTTTGGCTTTTCTTCCGCTGGTGCTTCTTCTGCTGGAGCTGCAGCCGCTGGTGCCGCTGGAGCTGCTGCTGGCATCGCAATGTCCGTGATGTTCAAACGCGTCTGTCATAGTTAGCACATGATTCATCTCAGTCCTTCACCCCTGTTCTCGCGCTACCCACCTTCAGCTCTTGCACGAGCTCAGACGCTTCCAACAGTGTCAGCTTCTCAATGCTGTCGACGATTTCTGTAATCTTCGGCGACGATGGTGTCGTCGTGCCTTCGCAAACACGCATGCTCCTCGACAACATGCGCACTTGCATCGTGGGCCGCGCACGCGGCACTGCCATAGCAGCGCGACGTGCGGCGGCAGCAGCAGCCGAAGCGTGTATCATCATTCTGGTCGTCGTCGGCAAAAAATCCCACAAGGACTTCGAATTCACTAGCAAGCCGCCGACGGAGGGCATGTCTCGTTTGTCTTGCCAAAGGAAGCCAGCCTAAAAGGGTGGGGGGGGGGTGGCTTGCTGAGTGCGTGTTTCGTCAGCCACTGGGCTTGAGGCTTCTTCTCGTTTGTTACACGCGCGGACAGAAAATGGCACGTGATTTTTGACGTCGCGGCCCACGCGCGCCGTTCACTTGCGCAAGCCATGAATGGGGTGACAAGCACGTCCCATCTTCGTCCATTCCGCACGACTAACTGACGATGGCAGCACCGCCCATCCGTGAAGGTGTGCGCACGCGAAGTGTGGCTGCACAGGAACAGGCGCTGGCCCAGTCTCAATATGAAAGACAGAGCCGAGCACCTACGGACGCTCAGATGCGCGAGCGAATTGTTCGTACTCAGCAACCTGCACAGACCGGGGCCCAGACACCCTTGCGTGCCGAGTCTATGCCGACAAAGTACCACCACGCGTCACGCGCAACTTGACCTTCGTGATCCGCAGATCCTTGGTGGCGGAAAGCAACGTGCAGCTGTGCAAACTGCGCCGGGCATTAGTATCACAGAAAAAGGTCGCGAACGTGACAAGGCGATGGACACGCACCACGAGTACGAGTTTGGTGGTCCATGGGGTGTTACAGCGATGATCTTTGGCTTCCCAGTGCTGATGTACTATTTGTGGATCTGTCTGTGGTTTTACGACGGCCAGTTTGCGCATCCGACAGGCCCTTTCGGACGTGATTCCGTTCATACGCCGTATGGCCTCCCATGTGTACCAAGATGCATTTCCAACTCCACGTGCTTTCATCGGGTATGGTGGACTCATGCTCGTCGAATTTGTGCTCGCGTGGATCATGCCTGGCTACATGCAAGAGGGTCTGCCGGTCCCATCCCTCAACTACAAGACCCTGATGTACAAGTGCAATGCATTGGGCTGTCTGTACAGCACACTGATCATTGCTGCGGCTCTGCACGTATCTGGCGTGTTCCGTCTCACACAGATTATCGAGCACTTTGGTGAGTACATGACGGTGAGTATGATTGCTGGCTTTGCCGTGAGCTTTGCGACATACTTCCATGCTGTCTTCACGCACACAACGCATCGAATGAGTGGCAACTTTATGTACGACTTTTTCATGGGTGCCGCATTGAACCCGCGGATTGGTCCGATTGACCTGAAGATGTGGGCAGAAGTGCGGATTCCATGGATTCTCCTGTTCTTGATCAGCGTGAGTGGCGCGTGCCAGCAGTACGAGCAGTACGGCTATGTGACGCCCAACATGGCGTTCATGGTCCTGGCCACCGGTCTGTATATTAATGCTTGTGCGAAGGGTGAAGAATGCATCCCTCAGACTTGGGACATGTTTCACGAGAAGTGGGGCTTCATGGTCATTTTCTGGAACTTTGCTGGTGTGCCATTCACTTACTGCTACAGCATTGTGTACATGGCCGCACACCCACCTGAGTACTATCGCTTCTCGACGCCGACGTATATCTTTATGTTCTCGCTTCTCCTGTTTGCGCACTTTGTGTTTGACTCTTCCATGGCACAAAAATCTCGCTTCCGCATGCAGCTGCAAGGTACACTGAAGGTGCGCTGGTCGTTCCCGCAGTGGCCTTGGAGCACGCTGAAGGATCCTCGATACCTGCAGACAGAGCACGGCAATGCTCTGCTTATCGATGGCTGGTGGCAATTCCTCCGCAAGCCCAACTACACCGCCGACTGGACACAGGCTTTCCTCTGGGGTGCCATCGCCGGTACGAGGTCTGTGATTCCCTACTACTATTCGCTCTTCTTCCTTGCTGTGCTCACGCATCGCTGTGGTCGTGACTTTGAGCGTTGCGCTCGCAAGTATGGCAAAGATTGGGAGAAGTACTGCCAGATTGTGCCGTACCGCTTCATTCCTTTCGTGTACTAGGCCAACTACTCGACATAACTGGGCCAGTTCAGTCTTAGCCGTGCTACTTGCGTTTCCGCAGAACTGCCGTAGACGAGAGAGACCTATGCATCACGTGGTGGCCGAACGCCATGCGCGACGCGCGCGGTAAAGAAGTGGAGATGCGTGCCGTCGCCGCCTTTCAGCTGTCAGTTGGTGAGTCGAGCTTAATTTGTCTTGCGTCAATAGCAGCCAAAAGGCTGAATTCATTCATTTTGTGGCTGCAGTGACAAGCCAGGTCGCCCGTGCGAATCGTTTCAGCGCCCTAAGTTTCTCTAATCTACCACACGAAGTAAAGGTAAGGTGGCATCCGCTCCGTGCTACGTGTGTGCACACGATGTATGACGGTGTCGTTTCTAAAGACAATGTGTCTGGGTCTGATGTGAACACGTGCATGATCGCGTCTATGAGTGGCGATTCCGCCGCACTTCCTGTGCTTCTTGCTCAATCTGAACAAAATCCGCCTCCAAAAACGATACTCAAAGACCCAAACCCGCATTTGCATGGCGCCGACCATGAATGGACCGAACGTCCAGGCGATCTCATGAGGTTCACTTTGTACAAGTCTCGAGAATACTACTACTGTGTCTATACGAGTTCTGACCAGAAGCGCTATCGAATACTCAGGATTCATCGCATCCCCCCTTTCTTGTCGCAAGAGAAGGATGAGCGCCTGGCTCAGAACAGTGAGCTGACGCCACCTGTCTCATCGAAGCCGCACGAGCAGCCTGGTCCTCAGTCGACGGAGTCGCCACCCACTCAACCCAAGTCATCCACCAGGCCCACGCGTCACAAGCGAGGTAAAAGTCTGTCAAGCGTCGTTCTTAGTATTGCTGACGGGCCTGACGACGTGCTGCCGAAACCTGCTACCACGCCATCGGGCACACTGTCGTCAGAAATCACAGAACTTGCCTCGTCTCTTGTGCCTGAACATGCCACGTCTGTGCCAGGTGGTCCCGAGAGTGCCGGTGGCAAGTATCTAGGATTGTACGATGCCGATGTTCTCCAGTTACGCTTGACATCAGAATGGAAGCACTACATCGGCGCCACAGCCGATAGCCCTGCTCGCGACGCACAAAGCGCTACACCTGAGCGGACCGTTCGGCCCATCTCTGACTTGGGATCGCAACGCTCGCCAAAGCGTTCACAGCCGCGTACGACAAATCAGCCCCTTTCCGGTGCTTCAAGCAATGTACAGCCCAGTGTGTCAGAGTCGGCTGACTCGCCAAGCAAACTCGACCCATCGATGGACCCCACGCAAGAGGCGGCTTGGGCATTGCAAGTTTCTGCGTACAGTACGGAACACACACCGCCAAATGTAATGCATGAACTTTTATCGACCATCTTTGACGGTACGTCCGAGTCCACGCGATGCAAAGAGGTCGGCCGCTACTTTGGCATTGTGGGCTTTGTGCGCTTCACAGCCGGGTATTACATGGTGTTAATCTCGAAACGAAGCGTCGTAAGCTTGATCGGCGGCCATTACATTTACCACTGCGACGAGACGCAGGTTCTGCCTGTGTGTCATTCTCACGTGTTGAACAGCGTGTCGGGACGCCCCATGTCGCGCGATGCTCGTGAGTCACAGCTTTTGCGCTCATTCAGCCAGGTGGACCTCAGTAAAAACTTTTACTTTAGCTACACGTACGATCTCACGCGCACATTGCAGGAAAACATGACGGGTCCTCGTGCACAGGCACAGCTGTTCAGCACAAAGGCCTGGGGCTACAAAGACAAGTTTATGTGGAACTATCGACTCTTGGAGCCTGCGTTTGGCGAATGCCGTGATGTGGACTTGAACACATATGTACATCCATCTATACATGCCAAGCGGCAGTGGATCGTGCCCCTCGTCCATGGCTTCGCGGACCAAGCTAAGCTGAACGTGTTGGGCACAGCCATCTACGTATCACTAATAGCACGTCGCTCCCGTCATTTTGCTGGCGCCCGTTTTTACAAGCGTGGGATTAATTCCGACGGGCATGTGGCGAACGATGTCGAAACGGAACAAATCGTCAACAAGCCCGTGACGAGTCCATTTTTTGCGCCTCCATCGCGTTATGATACGTCGGCATCACTCCGTGCATCGCCACACTTTGCATCGTATGTGGTGATGCGCGGCTCAATCCCTGTGTTTTGGACGCAGGACTCAACAAATATGTCGCCCCGACCCCCTATTGAGATTTCGGTGGTCGATCCTTACTTTACCGCAGCTTCGCGCCACTTTCACGATTTGTTCAGCGCCTACGGTACGCCGGTGATTGTGTTGAACCTAATCAAGAGCAAAGAACGCCAGCCACGTGAATCGAAGCTCCTCAAAGTATATACAGAGTGCATTGAGCAGTTAAATCAATTTCTGCCTGTGGATCAGAACGGCCAGGATCACCGTATCCGTCACATTGCTTGGGACATGAGCCGCGCAAGTAAGAGCCGTCATGAAAATGTGATAGCCTTTCTTGAGCAGCTCGCTGAAGAGACTCTACAGGCAACAGACTTTTTTCATTCTGGGCCTTTGCCTGAGACATTCCGGCGCATGGAGCATCCGAAAAATGAGCCTATCCTGCTGCAACAGGGCATTGTGCGCGTGAATTGTGTCGACTGCTTAGATCGTACGAATGCAGCGCAATTCGTGCTTGGAAAGGCTGCATTTGCGTATCAACTGCATGCACTGGGTCTGCTGAAGCGGCCTGAGCTGTCTTTTGATTCTGACGCCATCAATATGCTGACAGAAATGTACCACGATTTGGGCGACACAATTGCTCTTCAGTATGGTGGCTCAGCTTTGGCTCATACGACTGATACATATCGCAAGATCAACCATTGGTCGTCTCATTCGCGTGACATGCTTGAGGGCATTCGGCGCTATTATGCAAATTCGTTCGCCGATGCCGATAAGCAGGCGTCCATTGACCTCTTTCTTGGTCAACAGTCCAGTGACTCGGCTGTGTCACTGCCCCTTAACACGGCTTCAAGCGACCATGCATTGTCACTCACATCGTTTTTAGACACCGAGGAACAGATGGACACAAAACTCGCTTACTTGCGGCATTTTGTCAACACTGACAAAGGATTTTGGGATGGATACTACCGGCCTACACTTTTCACCGAGTACGTTCTTTTTGATTTTAATTTCATTAAATTTCTTTCTTTGTCGGACATGTTGTACTGACTCGCCTTAGTTTACAGCGTCTTCATGCATTTAAAATGACAGCCGTGCATTTGGCGCGCACGGCACCTGAAGACCCTATACCCACGTTGAACGAATCGGATGCTCCGCCTGTCGAGCGATCCGACTCGCCAAAACCGTCTTCGCCGTACTCGCCAACGAATTCACTGCACCGCTCTATTCTCGGAGGCATGCGTCGTTGGATGAAAACATCACAAGGTGCGCGCCCAGTCTCGATGCGTCTTGACCATGATGGCCATGACAGCCTGCATGCGCCTACTTCGAGGGATTCGGCCACCACATATTATCCATCCTCTTCTCAAGCGACGGAGCCACCAGCTAACTCACTGCAGGTGGTTGTACCACGCACGATGAACCCAACCATTTCACGGCATGAAACACGTGAATATCATGCGTACTGCACGCAATTCGATACATTACCGTTCCGCTTGACAGATCGCGCAACGGACACTGATTGGCATGTGTATGAGCATGCAACAGCTTTCACTTCTGTCGGCGCACATTTCTTTGCTTACCAGCCTACAATCTCTTCAAATTCTGAGGATTCGGCGTACGTGGCATATTCGCACTTCATGCAACAGCCGGTGCGGTTCGCGTCACTTGCGCCACGAGCCTGATTTTCCAAGGTTATGCGTTGGTGGCGGTGGTGTGTATGAACTGTGGAGGCTAAAGTTATGTGTTGTAGATAGTTGTATAATATTCCTATTAGGCAAATTCGATCACGCTTGCGCGTCCCCTCAGTTATCTCTGCAGTGCGTCGGGGCTGGTCAGTATCGATCGCAAACCACTCAACGCATCACGAAGGCGGAAGCGGTCCTCTTTGTCGCAGTGTGAGTGTGAATCAGCAGCTCCCGCTACTATGAATTCCGTGCTAGCAAAGTTTGCGCGCGATGATCTGAGTGTACCCTGCGTGCAGGACGAGGATCTGGGCGCTTTGGGAAACGGGTTTGCTCTTCCAGCCTCAGATCCATCACGGTTCCTCGCTCAATATACGGATGTGGACTCGACGCGTCCTGATGCACGCATCAAATTGAACCACGGTACTACTACGCTTGCGTTCCGATACAAAGGTGGTGTTGTTGTAGCTGTGGATTCGCGTGCGTCGGCAGGTTCTTACATTGCATCCGGCTCCGTAAAAAAGGTCATTGAAATCAATCCGTACCTGTTGGGTACTATGGCCGGTGGTGCGGCTGACTGCCAGTACTGGGAGACATATCTTGGCATTCAGTGCCGTTTGCATGAGTTGCGGAATAAAGAACGTATCTCTGTTGCGGCTGCTTCCAAGATATTGAGCAACTTGGTATACTCCTACAAAGGAATGGGGCTTAGCATGGGCACAATGATCTGCGGCTGGGATAAGTCAGGTCCTGCCATCTATTACGTTGATTCAGAAGGCTCGCGGATGAAGGGCGACTTATTCTCGGTCGGCTCAGGATCTACTTTCGCGTACGGAGTGCTGGACCAGGGCTACCACTGGGATCTTTCGGAAGAAGAGGCATTAGATCTTGGGCGTCGTAGCATTTACGCGGCTACTCATCGTGACGCATATTCTGGAAATGTACGTTGGATCTATTTCAACGCTTGCTAACGTTACAGACCATCAATCTGTACCACATGGGACCAAATGGTTGGCGATTCATCGCAAATTACGACGTAATGCAACGTAAGTTCCCCCTTTATTGATTCTATGCTAACAAATGTCCAGTCCACTACGATGGTGTGTCAGACCAGGTGCCCAATGCACCGTCAGGTGGTTATGGCTACAATGTGCGCACAGCTGGCCTCTCTTCGAGGGACGAGTCTGTATCAGGGCAATCTAGCGCATAGATTTGTGGTCGCATAGAAAATAAAACAAGACATGAGGCTTCGCATATACAAACGTCGTGCACAGAATATACATAAGCGTTGTGAAGGTCAGCAGCGGAGTGGATGCGTGTGTGTGTATAAGCTGGTGTCTAGTGGAACCGTGACACTTGCGGTGCAGCTGTGTGAATGGTAGTGGGATGGACAATAGGTGCATCATTGAATGGATCTGCTGTTGCATTTATGAAGGAAGCGTCATCCGGGTGATCATTCATAGGCGCAAACTCCGACTTTGTGTCACCGAATGCATCATCCTGCAGGTCCATATCATCGGCCTTGTGCGTTCTCGAGAGTCCCTGCATCGCGAACGCTTGGTCTTCGTCAAAAGCATGCTCCATATCAGATGGCATGGACTGAGCCCCAGGTCTTGAGCTCACCATGTTCAGTGCATTCTGAAGGTACCGCACAGACAAAGCATACAAGCATAAACCAAAGATCACAATCCATGTTAGCCAAACGATATTCCAGGTAGCAAGAGTGTGCCACCAGTGATGGCAATAATCCGACATTTCGTGCTTTTCAGAATTCGAAGGTGAAGAGACCGGCCCCCATTGTACATCCTCAGTCTCCCGACGAATGCAATTGGATATCGACATGGTTTTGTTTGCATATGTGTTGGTTAGTGAAATAACTTGTGCAGCGAGAAAAAGTAAGAGTATGATGGGTAAGAAATGTACAAATTTTTTGGTGAGTCCCAAATCAAAAGAAGCGCAACCCATGAACCCAAAAAATTCTGAAACAGTGAACACGGTGAGTAACACCGCCGATACGAACGATAATGTCGCAGCTGAGCTTGTTTGATATACCACTAGGTACCAATTGACAGCAGCGAGAATTGTGCCTACAATCAGTGATAAAATATGCAAAATCATATACGATGGGTACAGCGGGTTCCGCATTCCCCATCGAGCAGCGTCTGACTCGGATAGGTGTGTGCTTTCAGTGGGACTGTATTCATGCATCCACGGAGAGTGCACATGTGCACGTTGCGAATCCGAAGGGATTGCATTGCTCATGGCGCACTAGCTGCTCGCGCAACAGACTCAATCTTGTTCACCGCGGCTGAGCTGTCGCAGCAAGAAGTGCCGAGACGTCGGCGCTACGATGGATAGGCCTAGGCGGCTGGCGTTGTCATTTGGCTTAGGATGCATGGATGTGGATCATAATCACGTGATGTCCGTTGAAGCAGCGCGGGGGATGCAAGAGTGTCACGGCGGTTGTGTTCCATGCGTGCGGATGCGCAAGTTGCGGAATGGCCAATTTAGACTTGCTTACGAATATTTATCGTCAGCGCTGCGTGCTATCGAAAGCTATTCTATCTACGTGAGCGATCTTACACATTGTCGATAACATGTCGGGTCGAATCGATATTGCGCTTATTGGTATGTAATTGTGTATGTTGACCGTGTAGGTGTGGGCCTTGTGGGCTCCGCTGTGATTAAGCAGTTGGCGTCCGTGCCTGCTCTGTCGTCGCTGAAAGTAGTGGCTTTGCAGAATAGTCGTAAGACTCTCCTCGCCGCGCCTGGCCAAGCACTTGCACTAGAAAATTGGCAGTCACAGCTTGAAAACAACGGAGTACCGGCACTGTCTCTCGAGCAGCTTGTAACCGAATTGAAGAATATCCAGGCGAAGAACCAGCGCCATATTGCCGTCGTCGATAACACCTCGAATGACAGTGTGGCATGCTTCTATCCATCATTCCTCCATGCTGGCTTCAGCGTCGTAACGCCAAACAAGAAAGCCTTCTCCGGCTCGCTTGATCTGTTCTCGGCGATCGAGGAAGCGAAGCAAGACGACAGCAAACCACTCGTTTACCAGGAAAGCACAGTCGGCGCTGGTCTGCCAATTATCGGCACTCTCAAGGACCTCGTCGCGACTGGCGACAAGATCAAGAAAGTCGAAGGTGTGCTGAGTGGCACGATGAGCTATATCTTTAATGAATTTAGCCCTGCGGCCGGTAGCACGACCAAGTTCTCGGAGATCGTTTCCGTTGCGCGTCAAAACGGATACACAGAACCGCATCCAGGAGACGATCTCTCAGGCTCCGACGTCGCCCGCAAGCTCACGATTCTTTCGCGCCTAATTCCTGGTCTTGCGTATGAGCTTCCTCGGGGTTTCGCGTCCGTCAGCACGCAATCGCTTACACCTGCTGGCCTGGCAGATGAAGCGAACGCGGACGTGTATGTACAGCGCCTCCCGGAGTTTGACGCCGAGTTCGATGAGATCCGTGCGAAGGCACAGGCAAAGCATTGTGTACTACGCTATGTCGGCCTCATCGATGTCGAAAAGAAGGTCATCAAGGCCGGTCTCGAAGAGTACCCAGCTGACCACCCATTCGCTACGTCGCTTGGCGGTTCTGACAACATTATCTCATTCACAACGGAACGCTACCAGCGTCCTTTGCTTGTCCAAGGCGCAGGCGCAGGCGCTGATGTCACTGCGATGGGTGTCGTTGCCGACCTTGTGCGTGTGGCCGAACGCCGTGGATAGATAATACATGCCATGCGTATGTAACTTTTGTCTTTCATTATAGCGCACCATGAATAGGTCGTGCGGTTGCCTGCCGTTGAAAGTGGGCTATGGAAACTTGATCATGTCTCGTGGTATGTCTCGCATGCCACGGCTATGAGCCGCTATGCGCGTCACTCACTTGAGCATATCGCCCCCACGACCACTGAGTCCATAACATCAAGCCTTGTTCTTTCGCGGTGTGAAAACCAAATTGGCCGGCTGCGTGGGCAGTACAACCATAGACGTGTAGTCGGGAGCCGGCAGCTTGGTCTCCAAGCGCCAGTCAAACGCGCGAACAAATGTTGAGATGATCGTACCAAGCTGAAGATACGCAAACTGCTCACCAATGCAACGGTGGCGGCCAGCGCCGAATGGCAAGTACGGACTATTCGCACCTGTGCTGACCATACCCCAGCCAAAGTCTTCCTGTGCATCATCAGTTTGATTCATCACATTGGCTTTGTCACCCAACCAACGGTGAGGATCAAAGCGACTAGCATCCTCCCAGATCTTCGGATCCACCTGCGACACACCGGGCGCTGCAATCACATAGTGACCCTTAGGGATCACATACGTCTCATCACGCGATCCCTTGCTTGAGATCGGCGCTGCCAAAGTTGGCGGAACGACCATATCGGACTTGACTTTGCGCATGATGCTGTGAATCGGCGGGTGCAGACGCAGCGTCTCACGGATCACAGCATCTAGCACAGGTACACTCGATTTTTGGATATCGTAGTCAAGAGGAGCAAACCCACCCGTACCATCACTGTACACGCGCTTCTGCTCCTCATAGAGTTCCTCGATAATCTCTGGGCGACTCGCTAGGCGCAGCATGGCCCAGCTACCTGTCGCGCTTGACGTGTGTTGACCAGCCATAAGCAACGCAATCATCATATGCGCGATCTCGCGGTCATTGATGTTGCGTCCATTCTTATAGGATTGTTCCATCAAAGCACTGATCATGTCATGCTCAGTGCCTTCCGTGTTGCCTTCACGGCGCTTCTTGATGATGCCTAGGTAGAAGTCGCTCATCAAACGCTGAGCACGGTCTCGACGGAAGTTGTTCGGCAATGGCAGGTTCGGAATCACGAAGTTAATAGGGGTGAAGCCGGAGTCAAGGTCGTGATACAGTTTCGCAAAGGTCTTGTCAAGACTCTCACGTACTTCCTTGCCCTGAAGGGTACGGCTTGCAGTAAGAATTGTAATCTCGCTAAACACATTGAATATGTCCACTGTGACGGATGTAGCACCCTTTTGGAGAGGCAGGAAAGCGGCATCGTTGTTGATGAAGTCCTTGACCTCGCTCTCGATCTGCGTGACATACATGCGGAAATTCTCCATCGACAGGCCTGACTTGACGAAGCGCTTCTGCTCCATCAAAACCGCATTTGGTACATCGTACACGACCCCCTTACCAAATACAGGCGTCGTGAGGGACGTGTAAGCTTCCTCTGCTGATACCTGCGTTAAGCGTCCGTTAAACACGAGGTTTGATCCCTTGGGCCCCAGCGCAACCGTCACATTCCGACCGAACAGCTTGAACGTGAAAACATCGCCATATTTCTCGCGGCAGTTGAAAAAGAAGCGATACGGGTCCATGCCGTATGTGATGGCCGAGCCGACCACAGGGACCCAGTGAAACACCATGGGCGGCAGCGACTTGTTTCGAGGTACAAGCACTTGCACTAGCACATTGATCCCTACAATAAGAGCCAAGCCTCCAACTAAAAATGTAAGCGCTTGCTGCCAAACAGGCCATGCACCGATCTCTTGAAGCATGGCGGACACGCTCATGGCAGTTGGGTAAGAGCCAAAATGGCGTGGTCGAGGACGTTGTAGATTTGTCATACTCCATCTACGAATTGGACTACAAAAGAAAATATTTTTCGCGTCCACTCACTCGCGGATTCTAACTTCAAGTTTGCGTTGCTAGGTTTTCACGTACTGCGGCTATTCTTCACGAGACCTGAGCCCAATTCAATGCCCGCAGCTATGTGCGACAACCGCGCATCCACCTCATATCCTTGCTTTTTAAATGCTTCATCATAAGCTATGCCGTCTTTGTTGTACGTACCTTGCAGTTGTGAGACAAGAGAAGCTAGTGGCACAAGGTGCTTGTCGATATACTCGCCTTCATCTGGACGAGCGATTGGTTCTGCTGCATCATCAGATAGCTCAATATGGATGACACATAGCTTCATGTTCGCGCCGGTGAGACCTGGGTCATTGTACATGACATCGCTCAGTGATTGAACTGAAACTGTAGCGCCGGGCATCGATGCAGCTCCGTAGCCCGTTTCTTCTTCCAACTCACGCAAGGCCGCACGCTTTGCACCTTCATCTCCATCTTCACCTGCGTCCACAAGTCCCGCAGGAAGTTCAACAACACATGCTCCCACCGGAGGACGGAATTGCGTCACGAGGAGGATGTGGGGCTCCACGGATGGACGCTTAATCACTGTTAAGATGGCAACCGCTGTCTGTAAGTACAAATTTGAACGAACCATCTACTTCGCTCTTGCGCGTGCGTCGATCTGCCGACTCCCATACACGCGCTTTCCCACTAGGATCAGTCCATTCAATAGCGCGAAGACCAATCCATTTAGCATCTTCATTGGCAAGGGGACGCGATTGAGTGACACAAGATGTTCGAGGATCCATTTTGGAGGAAAGCGAATGTACAGATGCACAAGGAACAACGGGACAAGGTACGCGAAACGCTGTCAGCAATGTTGACACAAGTCGTTGCGATCCAAGTCGGATCCGCGATGACATGGAGAAACAACCTCCACACCCGTCCCTTTGCTTCCAAAATTTCTATTTCGAAGAGGTCCGTGCGCTATGATACGTAGAAATTGCAAATCAAACGAATGTCGCCAAAGTCAGCTACTTCCAGCCCAGAAAACGAGTGCGAAAGATGCTTGTAAAAAAAACTACGGTGAAAGTGTGCCGAAAACGTCGCCATAAGTCGAGCTCTTCTGCGCCGTAACGCCGTCTTTCCATTCCGTCCAGTTTACAACAATCTGTCGTTAACGTCTGGGCAATAACGTACCGACTTGACTATCGGTTCGCCAACGGCATATAGGTTAGCCAGCGATGGCACTGAAAGATCTGTACGCATGCTTGTATTCAAAAAGTGCTCAAAGTCGTCTGCTTCTTTGGGTGCTTGAGAATATGTAAGTTATTGAAGTCACGTACCGCGATCAAAGTTACTTCCTGAACGGAATAGGATCACTCTGCCGTAATCGGCATTATCTGACTTGTGCGCACGCACAATGACTTCCAGGATTGCATTGTCCTCTTGTGCAGTAAGTGCATACGTACCCGTACCATTTGTCAATATGGACGTAATATTCTTTGCCATACGTTCACTGATGGTAAGCTCGTAAGCACGTACTATATCTTTCCGGTGAAATAAAGATCACTGGTGGTGACGTCACCTTTAAACACTGAGGGTGGCGCCTTGGCCCGTTCCTGAGAATAAGTGGAGCGGTATTTCTTCACCGCTGATGTGTCTTTCAACTTAACATTCTTGACAAGCTCAAAGACCCTGTCTCTGAGTGAAGAGTTGAGTTCAAAGACTTCTGTTCCATAAAAGTTGCGAGGGTAAGATCCAGGTTTCATCGTGCCGTAGTTCCAAAAACTGTAAGTCCAGTTCTTTGGCGCTTGTCTTGCGTCGATTCCATACTGCAATCCCACCTGCACAGCATATCGAGCTAGACCAACACTTCCTAGTGTACCTGCGTCTGGACTGATTCCTGCAATACCGTTCATAAGGATGTATGTTTTCCGCAGGTCGAACGACAGTGAGTACACAACAGCAGACAGTGATGCAGCGGCATTGATTTCTCCTTCACCTGTAGTAATGAGACAGACTTCGCCGTCATGATTACAAGATACGTGAGGAAAGAGGGGGCTCAAGCCAGGGACGCTGATATTTCTTGAAAGGGGCATGTTATCGAGCCATGCATTGCGTTCAGGCTCAAACATAGTAACTATAAGTACTTTAGGTGCTAGTAGACTTGCAGCGGAGACCAAGCCTGCTAATCCCCATACCAGCCAGCCGACAAAGAGTCCCAACCTCATGAATGGTACTTGGTGAACGAAGGAACAGAACAGGATTCATCCAACTTCTACGAACCTTTTTTTTTTGACTCCACACTATGGTCGCCCTGACTTGGTGTGGAGAGAGTTGCTTGTACGTATAATTTTCACACCTGACTGAACACGTCTATGCTTCTAGGCTTGGATTAAGCAGCCGCGTCTATGTCAAGGCGATCATACGAAAAGTGCACGTACGAGTTGATGGAGCTGCGATGTTTGAATGGATCCAGATGCTCTGGATGCACGTTTCTCTCCTCCATGTCTTGGATCCGCGTAGCCACACGTTCAGCGCCCTCTCGTATGCCGCCGAGATTGAATGCCGTAGGCCCAATCTGGATCGCTGAGTAAGCACCTAGACAGAACAATGGCCAGGGTCCGTATTGCAAATCCTCCTTCACGATGGGAATTCCATGCACCTCAGGCACGTGGGCTTTGCTCCGAAGTGTCTTCATGAAAGGGAGTTCCCTGAAGCCGAGATCAGTGCCGGTCGCTACGACAACGTAGTCCGCCAGGCATGAAACAGAAGTACCAGCTTTCTGGGTGTGGTTCATGAACTGTGAGTCAGGACGAGCGTCTGAGCTGCGATGCAGCATCAAGGACCAGCGCTCCTTCTCGGGATCCCAATGCGCATCTTCCACTTCAGTGTGGGTGCGGATTTCCAACTGCCCGTCACGCGCACGTTGAAGCAGAACCTTGGCATACACAGGGTTGATGCTTCCACCGCTTCGGCCTTGATGAATCATGTCCATCCGACTTTGGGGATCCTCAGTCTGCCAAAACTGCATTTTTTGTGCATTTGCATATTTTCCGACCCAGTCGAGACTAAAGTCAAATGGCTTCACCTTCATAAAGCCACGTAACAAAAGAATAACGCGTGAGAATCCTCGTCGAACACACAGATCGGCAAGCTGTGCAGACGTCAAGCCACCACCAATTACCAACGCTGTTGTTGACTGCCCACGCTCGATTTTGGCTGACACATTTGGCGGGGGAAACGTGAACTGGGGTGCCGATATGGCGGAAGAATGTGCCCATCCATCTCCCATGCTCTCCGGCGACGGTTCTTCGTATTTGTCCACTGATGGTCGTGATAACCGTTGCATTGGGTCTGCGTGGCATAAATTGTCACGCGGGCATGCGCTCGTTAATTCCTGTCCAGAAGAGGACTTGTTGCTATTGCGCTGCGTTGTGGTATCTTGTGAATATGCATTGCGCACCCACGTTGGTATCAGAGGACAATCACCAGTCCCAACAGCCGAGACAACATACTTTGCAGCAATGTGTGACCCATCAGTCGTTGTGAGAGCAAATCCTTCCGCCTCATGGTCGATGGAGCCATCTAGGCATTCGCAATGCATCAGTCCATAATCAATATCAGAAACATCTGCTCGTAACAAAGTTACTGACGCATTTGCGAGTTCCGAATTCTCCTCTGCGAGCCATTCTTGTAAGGGACGAACCTTGCCATCGGGGCCAATATCAGGTTGCAAATCAAATCGATCGACCAGCTCATTTGTAAAGTCGCGGAAAAGCGCTGCTGACGGGTTATGATAATCCTGTCGATCGCGCTCATTTACGACAGGACCTAAAGCACGAACCATTTGAGCATATTTCTTGTGCTTTGATTGTTTCCATTTATGCTTACTCATTTCGCGCCCGACCACGCCGGGTACCTCTAGTAGATGTGGACACACGCCATCCAAATAACTTTTTTTGGTTGTGCGGTGCCTAGTGTGTAATGATCGATTCGATAAACAGTCACACACGTACGTATATGGTCGAGACACAGCACGGCTTGTCTGTGCTGCAAATGCAAGGAGTGCGTCCACATCAGATGGGTCCGGATGGAAAAACATCGGCGAACGAAGAAAGGGAATTTCATATGCATGGAAATTCCTGTGCCACTGCCCCAGCCATCCGTCACCCAGCTTGTCGAGCACAAGAATACGTAGGGGAGGAGGGCGTCGATTCAAATATCGATTCACCTGCTTGGTTCCTTTTATGATGCGGGCATTGTTTAGTCCCGGCCGACGTGTAGTTAGTACAGGCGCAGCATGCGATTGTCGTTGAAGCCAATGGAGATGCTGTCGCTCGTCCTCGAGGTAAAGTGCTGCAGGTCGCTCTTCAAGTATGCGCGTTACGAACGTGAGAGCAGCTGGGCCTGAACCAATCACAACGATATCAAAGAACGCTTTTTCAGGAACACTAAAAGTCTCACCGTTATTATGTTTTAAAGGTTGTGGCGGAAGCTGACTCTCCTTCGTAGCGAAGAGAGGTTTCGTACATCGACGGCTGCAGGGCGACATGGCGTGAACAATTTGGCTTGGGTCGGTGAGAGAGTCTGCTTATATGTAGCCGTTCGATACACCGAATCTCAACAGAGAATGGCGAACGAGAACATGGGGAGAGCTACCTTGTCAGTTGTGACATGCGCGCGCACAACCGTTAGGGTCCACAAATCCAGATCATGTACCTTACAGCGGTACATTGAATGCGCGTCAACCCTCTAGAATTGCGTGGCATCACGAGTGCATTTGCACCTTCGGATGGTGTGAACGCTCTCCAATCCTAAGCTGAGGATGATTACGAGTCACCGCGCTTGCTGTTATGGGAACGTTATAACCGTTACAAGCGATAAGTGAACGTAATACCGCTGAATCAGCCAACCAATTCAAATTTGCCAGTTGGGCAGTTGTCTCCAAAATGATCAAGGCGTCGGACCACACATGTGGAGAGAAGGAACTTTGTGAGTCGTAATGGTGACATTGATCTCTGCATGTTGACTGCGTCACCGTACGAGCGAGAAGCACCTCTGCGTGTCGCCATTGTAGGGTCAGGATTGGCAGGACTTGCAACAGCATATTTTCTTCAGCCACGAGATGAACGCACGAGAAACATGATCCATATCGAGCTCTTTGAGCGGAACCGAGTACTTGGCATGGACTCAGAAAGTGTCACAGTCCAGCAAGACGGTCAGCCACGCCGGATTGATGTACCGATGCGGGCATTTTCAAAAGGTACGATGATTGATCTTATTCTTGGCAGCATATTATCCTGAACTTGTCGCTCTGTATCGACACTTAGGCATTCCCTTTGCACCTGCATCTTTTTCTTTTTCTTTTGGCCGGGCTCCAGAGAGCAAAGGACGTGTTCATGGCACCGAACCAGACTTTTTGTACAGTGGGCTTACAAACAAAGGACGAAAATTTATCCGGAGAGGGTCGTTTGCTAGTCCGTTCTTTGTACTAACCACTGTGTGGTCCTACTTGGTGATCTTGTTCATGGCATACTACCACACCGCCATGGGTCACACACAGAATATGGAACACAAGATCTACAAGCGCACATTTGGCGAATGGTGTGATTCAATTTGGATCCATCGCTCATTTGTCGGGGAGCTTCTGATCCCTCTTTTCTGTTCGATCATGACAGCCAATGTCGATGCGGTAAGGTCTATGCCGGCCGCTGAGGTCCTTGACTATGTCGCGCGGACATTCTTGTATGATCATTACACTGTCCAAGGAGGTGTCTCACAAGTGGTCGATGGACTTTCGTTCTATTTATCACCCTCACAAAAGCGAGTTGGAGTGACAATCACGGATGTGTTTCCCCAACATGTTAACGACAAACGCCAATTTGGTTTGCGGTTCACAACAGCAGATGGCGAGCAGATGGAGGCCACCTTCGACCATATTGTGTTTGCTTCACAGGCCACACAAACTGCGCGTATGCTTGAAATGTACTATCATCATCTATCCCGCAGTTCCGGGAATTTCCTCTCTTCACCACATTCCCAGCGCTGCAGGCAACAGCTCGAAAGCCTGCGACGGATGCGGTATGAAAAAAGCACAGTCGTTTGCCACACGGATACGACGATTTTGCCGCCGAAGCAAGAACACTGGCGCGATCTAAATCTTGTGAGTCCATTGAATCCACACTCGCCTGATGCATCATTTACAATGGCGACACACATAATTTGGCGTACAAGTGATGAGGTTGTGATGCAGACGACGAATCCGCTTCCATATTTATTTCCGCTTGAACATACATGGATCAGCAAAAGCACCTTTGAGCGCTTTGTTCTTACGCTCCAAGGAAGAGACGCACGGCAGAGCTTTTTCCTAACGCGCGGCGCTAAGCACGGCCGCCCTACGTCTGTGCTTGGTCCGCTGCAAGGGCCACCGGAGGCACCAGTGCATGTTCACTCGCAACGCGAAGCATGTGCTCCATTTCGTTCAGAAGGCGGATTTTGGTTCTGCGGTAGTTGGAGTTATGGTGTACCTTTGCTTGAAGGTGCGTTTCTTGTCGTTCACTAACCACAGGTTGTGTCACAAGTGCGCGACTGAGTGCAGATCGCATTCTCTTGAACCATGGTCTCGATAATTCACATATTCATTCCATTCTAGGAACAGCATTGTAGCACTATAGTACAAGAGATATGTGATAGTAAAATTAAGAATACATGTTCGGAAACGACATTCTCTCCGAATAAATGCTGCCGACAAGAGCCGATGTGCTCATGTGCGACGACGCTTTTTGTTCTTCGCAAGGCAATCGCTGCACACCCACATTTGGGGAAGCGGCTTCGATACGCCAACGCACCCAATGTGAAACCACTCATACTTGCAGTCATCGGAATCACAACCGATCATCTCGCCGAACGACGCACGCTGACAGAAACAATATAGATTTTCGTCTCGTTCTTCTTCCACATCCACAGTGCGATCCGCCGCATCAGCCTTGCCTCCACGAACGTCAGAGCCGTCTGCATTGGACGACGAGCCGCGGACAGCAGCCGTCGTTCTTCCAGCATGAGTCGAAGGTGCTGATCGTGCCGTGTCACCAGATGAACTATGTGAAGCACGTTTTCTCCGTAGCTTCCCATCGTTTGATTCCCCTTCATGATCTCCGATCCCTGCATTAAGAAGTGCATGTGCAAGTTGCGATGGCTCCACAAGCGTCGGTGGTTTGGGGAGCGAGGCAGAGGCGCTGGCAACAAGATCCTCATTCACAAGCTTAAGATCCTCCGTGAGTCGCTGATGATGCGCATACACCTGGTCGTAAGCCACATGCGCACAGTCATACATACTTTGCGCCAGAGTGCATGTGCTAACTCTCGTTTCTGGGCAGACCACTCTTCAGCGCGAGTATATTCAGCTTTGATGCGTGTAGCGAGCTTCTCCAGCTTATTGTATGTGGCTTCTGCATTGGAGCCTGTTGCATTCATGTAGGCACCGAACATGTCACGCATTTGCGCTTCTTTCGACGCAATCCGCGATAGAACATCTAAAAAAGTTAGAACAAGCCCAAACTAGTGCCATGTCGGAACTGCATACCTTGCACCTTGGTATCCTTAAGCTCGATTTCTCGCAGAATATGATTTACCTCATTAGGCAGGTTGTCAAGCGCTGTGCAGGTTAGACAAACACACACGTTCTGTGTTTCTCATGAATCCTGCATGCACTATACGTACACGATATATATTCTGATGTAAGAACAGCGATCTCAGCAGGATCTTCCATGGCGCCGGCGCGACGTTACCCGCTTGTCACTTGCGGTGCTGCTCTGTTTTCTTTTTTTTCACTCGCTTCTGTATCCAACGTACGCTCCCCCACTCTCCTTATGCCGTCGGCATCCAAGACTTGTGGCGGTTGTATCACGTGACTACCATCGAAGATCGTTCATGCAACCTGATCAGCCGTGCACGACATTCACATCGACGGCACACATCGTGCTCAGCAAGGGCACACCTAAAAGCCTGCGTGCCCCCATGTTACTGGGGTCAGCGAGGCATTTCTTCAGACCATCTGTGAGAGGAATTTCTTATGCTTTCTCACTCAACTCACGCCCATCGGCTGATCGTCAGGTTATCGTCGAGTCACTGTCTTGGACAAGCCGCGCATGGATCACATCCTCCCAAACCGACAGGTCTCAGCCTCATAAACAGTCGCATCCTTTTCCGCATGTTGAATCTTACCCTGTTTCTATGTATAGTGACGAGCTTACAGAAAAAAAGCGTTTGTTGGACCAAATGAGAAAGCTGACGCGTCAACACCCTAGCATGACAGCTGGCGCGCTCTTAGACTGGTACTCGGAGCGAGTCAAAGAAAGTCGCAATCGCATACCTTCGGGAAGTGGTGACAGTCCTGCAGCTGTCGAATGGATTATGCGGTATGCTGCACGTCGGCAAGATATCTATACCCTGCGTCGACTCCGTCCCTTAGCACAATTTTGGTCACATCAAGTTCTAAAGAATGATGCGCTGCGAGCGCATGTGGATGGCTCACACTCTTTAGCCTACGCTTCATTAGCGATTAGGCTTGATAATGCACTATTTGGCATCGCTGCTAAGCAAGACAATTGGCGAGTTATGCATTCTTTGGTCAAAGATAAATTGCCCCGAGACCGCTGGACCCCATATATGTGTCTTGCTCTGTTACGAGCAAAGAGCACTGTTGCTTTAGCACAGGTGCCTAGAATATCCAGCTCTGTATCATACGATCCGGTTGCGGGACATCAGAAAGACGAGCAAGTCAAGCTAGAATTATGGAACATGTTTTTAAGCGAGTTTGGACATTATCTCCGCGCAGCTCAAGTTTCAGAGACAGATCCAAATCAAAAAACTGTTCTTCTTTCTCCTTGGATTATTGCGGCACTTATGGAGCTTTATTCTCGAAGCGGTAAGCCAGAGCAGACTTGGAATTTGCTACACATGTACACAACTATGCTGTTTCGTGATACGTTACCGAATCAATATCGCAAGTCATCTAGGCCTTTCGTGTTGCGGAATTCAGCCTCGCGCTTACTTTCCCATCGACATATCTACATCCCGGGGCCGAAACTATTGAACGCCATCTTGAGAGCTTACTTAGGATGCCAGAAACCTGCGATGGCCCTCGAGGCCTTTTCAGAGTTGAGTTCAACCCCGCTACCAGCAGCTCTTGCCATACCAGGTGCTGCGTCTCCAATTGATACCAGGCTTGTACTGGAGCCGAACAATCAGTCGATCTTACTTGTGATGGATGCAATAAGATATCAAAAAACACTCAATCATGAAGCCATCTGCCTAATGCTGTCTTTTCTAAAGCAAATTGATCGAACTTGGGGCACTTGGCGCGCGCGAGACGAACCATTATACCATCCCATGTTCCTTTCTTTGCGACCAATGCAACGCCTGCTTGATTGGTGTTTGCAGGTTGAGGCGTATAAGCTTGTGCGACCGATCCTTCGCTTCCAACAAGGGCTATTTCGTCGTGAACTAAGATGGAATATCAGTGGAAATCGCTCTCATCTTTGGCTTCAGGTGAGCAATGAGTTTTCGTTGCTACAACAATGGAAAGCTACATTGGACAAATTATGCTCGAGACGTTGGGTCAAACACGACCAAGTCGATGCTCTTTATGCCATGGCTTTGCGGGTGGCACAATACCGCGAAGAAGCCAGAGGAACGAAAGCTATTCGTATCTTACCACGCAGACGAATCATACCCAAAAATGTATTTTAGCACGGAAAACCAGCGAGTAAACATGCATGACAGCCGATTTCATAGGACTGTGTGGTGATCTGTTCTGATACCTCAGCGTTATGTACTCGAACTGTTATATGTTGAATTAGCGTCATTACGACTTTGACTTGAGCAAAATCACATAAGAGCTGTCGCAGATGAATCACTAGCGTTCTGTTGTACTGTAAGTGCTATTACTCATGGCTATATCAGTTCTTCATAGGCCAGATCGATATGCTTGGTAGACGAAGTATAGTTTTAATCGAGGATAAGAACCACTGTGTATAGACGTTATGGGTTTGGTATTTCTGATGCATGTATGTGATATTTTTTCTAGCTTTTGGTCTCCTTCAATAGCTGACGCTCGAAGGAATGCACCAAGATATCCCATCACCTAGCGCTTCCTCATGTGCATCAATTAATTTTATTTTGAAAGTCTTGTTGGGCGACTTGTGCCACTTCGTTAATATAATGTGCGTCTCGTCGACTGGACTGCACATGCAAAGTAACAAACAAATTTTGATTGGCGTGCATGCACACTAATCCAGCGCGAGAAGACGTGATTTTATCATGGGCGATTCATAGACGAAATGGCGCAATTAATCTAAAAAGATTGCTCAAGTACTCCATAATTCTACAGCATTAAGTGCAGCCGTCTACAGGCATGCTTTTACGATAACAATTTACATCCCGAAAGACTCAGAAACCAAATGAATGTCACGCAGGGATCCGAGGCTTCCCCGCGCTACACACCAGTTCATATATGATACAGATCTCGACACGTCAAAATTCATTGACGGTGTGCCACATACAGACACAGATAGGCTCGTCGACTCTTGTCGCATCGCCAAGTCCACGTCATTGTTTAAAATTTGATGTAGATTTGGACGAACTCCAACATGAATATTCAAAACAGCGTTCAAGTCTGCATCGGCAACATTGTTCTGCTCGCGAGTGGCATAAAGTTCGATGCTTACTTTAAAAGGCACATTACTTGCATGAAAAACAAGTTCGAGAAGCTCAGGACGAACCCATTGCACCATATCAAGGGTTCGCACACACCAAACCAGGCGAACGCTCCGCGTGAGATACGACCTAGGGGAATGAGCGGCACGGCGAACTAATTCGGACACTTGTGGAAGGCAAAATGTTATGCCTGACCCAGCAGCAATTAGGACGCTATGCTCATACGTGCCCAAACTAAATGAATAGCCATAAGGTCCATCCAATGCGGCCATAAAAGACATGACATATTCATCAGGTGCCAGAGACTCTTTTTCATGTCCCATATCGTGAGCAAGAGTTTTTCCAGAATCTGCTGAATCCGCATCTAGCGAAAAGTTTCGGAACAGCATGCTGGACTTTGTAGCTCTTTGGCCAAATGTAAGAACATGATCATGGAGTCTCTGTGTGATACCTTTGTGCACGCGGGCTAATAAAACAAGTCGGTTAGGCATATGAGGCGAAACGCTGGGTAGTGATAAGCAAGTAAAAGGATGTGCTTGGGTGACAGCCATGCCCGGAAAACGAACATATACATGTTGCCCAGGGTGCCAGCGCAAAGGCGTGTTAAAACTCATTCGGACAAACTTGGCCGGCTGGTCTTGAACAATACCTGGAGAATGGCCGACCGAGGCTAGCACGCGGACTTGCGAGCGAGCTCCAACGAAAAAATCCGTTGAGAATAGTACGATAAGTGACCGTCCTATGACCGAAAACAGCCAGATGCCAACGGCGGCCCAGAGCCATACATGGCTGGAAAGCAAGTCTTCGACATGGACAAACAGAAAAGCAAGCATCAAAGTAAAAGTGACGATGTGTTGCACGACGAAAAATTCGTAGCTCATGTGTCTAAAGATACCCAAGCTAGATGCGCAGATCCAGAGAAGGAAGAAAATGGCGACAGTGCCGGACCAGTATGTTTTGTAGCTTTCATGCCAAACAAAGTTCAGCCTCTCAAAGCCCTCTTCACGTAAGGGCTGCCAGATAAAGGGGACGGTATGCACAATTGAGAAAAACAGAAACATGATACTCGACACTTGATGATAGTACTGAAGATGTACGTGAGAAACACCGGACAACAAAGATATGGGATTCAATTTTAAGGCCAAAGCAAAAATAAATGGAAGCATGCCCACAGCCATCATGCCAGCACGGATCGCCAAAGGTGGTGAGCCCACTTCGTTGTGGGGCCTATAATGCGGCGTCATAGCAAAGCACCATACAACAGTGCCAAGTATGAAGCAGCCACAAATGACCAAATATCTTCCAGCTGGCAGTCGCCATGGACCGATTTTGATGCGTGCATAGCCGACCATGCGGCAAAGTGCGACACATGAAGGAATCAAAGGAATTTTTGAGGTGTATAAAACGATTCGAGGGTATTGCTCGCGCAGGAGGCGAAAACCATGAAGAATAGCAGCCACTAAGATGCAAGCGCAATAGATATATGACATGTACTTAGCATGTCTGATATTATCAGACCAAGGCTCGATGATTTGAGCTTGGTGCATTTCTTCATCGTTCGGTTTGTACCAGCGCGGATCATCCGAGTGCGAGTGCAGATTACGGAATGATTCCATGCTCATATTTCAACAAGACATGGATAGAATGGTGACATGAGGCTCGCAGTACGCGTATTTAAAGACACTCTCCACTCACGAATATCTCACTTCGGTATGGAGTTCGGAGAGATTTTGAAAAGGTTCCGAGGGAATGTATCTTCGGGGGGTTTTCCGTGCATGGCTTAGCTAAGAATGGCTGGTCGTGAGAGCACAGGAAGGTTATGATGTAGTGACAGAGTGGCCATCATCTTGTAGGATGCCTACATAACTAGGGATATCTGTTCGTCATGATGATTGTGGGCGAAAGTGACTGTGTTCCACATTTGGCGGCACGTATGCATTATTTCAATAAAAGATGCAGAAATTTTGGCGAGAATTCAAATGGATTAGAGGAGGAAAGACCGAGATAACGCCGGATGTTAGACATCCAACTTCTGTCGTCGTTATACATGTGGGTGGACAAATCAGGTGATACATGAACGACAGATTGCTTTTGAGGCACCCAAAAATATTCCGGTGGTTCGAGTGATCGTTTCTTAAGCTGGAGCTCGGGTGATAAGCCGACCCTCTTTTGGAGTTTGGCCAAAGAACGCGCTCGCTCTGTGTCGACTGTGAAATTTCCATACCATAATTGTCTCATAGTTGATAAGCACAGGCTCGCTGTAATTATTGATAGAATGCATGCAAGCAACAAGGCGAGAGGAAGTCGAAATGTCGGGCGTGGATCTGAGGTCGAGAATATGTCACCATTACCATACGGTGACGCCTCGACGTGAAAGGATGCAAGAAAAAGTCCAACGAGTGGGTGGCAAACGGGACCCAAAACCCACGTCCAGCGATTGGTCCAAAACCAGTCGTTTAAAATGGGTACTTCATGTCCGAGATGCCATAGTGTTCGGACATGGATCCAAGTGCAATAGACGAGTTGCCTACAAGCAAGCAATACGAGCACTGGCGTGACACCTGTGAACACAAGAAACGGAAGCAACGTCGTGGGAGCGACGATATCGTTGTTAAACCACGGACAATGGTGATCAAAAAAGAAGCGACACTCACCGCACAACCGACAGTGCCGCATTTTGGGCGGCTTCCAGTGACCGCGGCAACGATCGCGCCAGCAGCGCTCAGGGGTGCCCTGTGGATCACATGCATACACGAGCGAAGAGATCGCATCATCTTCGAAGGGAGTGTAACAAGCGGTCGGCAATTGAAGACGTAGTGCAGGCATCCTGCGCGCGATGGGTGACCATGACTTTACGTATTGATACACAGGAAGGCGCAAGGAGGAAGCCAAACAGAGGCGCAAATGCGTTATCACACAGTAGAGAAAGAGGCAGTGCAGAAAACCGACATGGAAAACTGAATCAGAAGAATTTGATTGTACGTACAAGTACCCCATGTGGCATCATCAGCCAAGAGAACGCGGGATACTGGCATTAGTGTAGACATGGATACAAACTGTAAAACTCATAACCAATGACATAGTACAAAAAACTGGCATTAGCCGAGAGATACATACGCGAACAGAAACAAGATTCCGATCGGCACGCATTTCCGAATGAGACGACTATGCCATCCGCGTGTCATGGGCAGGGGCAGGCAGGGTATGCATTCAGCGCAAAGCAGTAGAAATGGACGTGGCAAGAATGTACAAGACGCGTTGATGCAACAGGACGTGCTCTCCACAATGCGCGACCAGAATGAAAGCACGTGGTCATTATTCACGAATGGCTGCACGGCCTGTCGATGCCCCAAGCGTGACGCAATGAAGCAGTACAGGCCATTTCGAGGAGCACCTCCTCTAGCAGGATGACATTGTCCAAGATATTTACAAGAGGCACATCTTCAACACCATATACTGCGGGGTCGTACCATGGACCTGAAGCTGGCGCACTGCATGGAGACACAGACACGACAATGTGCAGCGCGCCATCAAGAGACGACGTAGAGACTTGTGACTGATCACTGGTTGAAGTGCGTATGGTGAAGGAGGTCGTGTGAGACAAGTCTGGCGGTATCCAGCTCGCCTGACGGAATGACTGTTCCATAGAGTCAATACCACTCTCCGGACACAGGGAATGAAAGAGGGGACACGCACTGTGGTAATCTGGTTGGTACTTTTCAGGAAGTGGAGTACCAAGACACTGGACTTTGCGCTGGCTCAAATAAAACGAAAAGTCGGGCATGTGATGATGAAAATCAAGGCATTGATTGTAGAGCATGTACAGATAGAAAGTAAGGATAGGAGGCGTTGTACTGTCAGCATGGAGCAGCCCGTCAATGTTCAATAAGGGCGAGCGGCACAGCGATGCAAATGCGTCAATGACACGTATATTCTGCTCAAGAGGAGCAGAAAACCAGTGGCGAAGCAGCTTTGTCAGAGGCTGTAGAAAGTACTCCCCGGGTCCAATATGCGGTTGAAATACATCTAGCGGTTTGTATGTGGAGCGACGGTTCGTGCCCGGTACATCGTAATACATGGGATCGTCACGCATCGTTTGCTCCACGGACGTGAGGTGCATGAGAAATCGATGCGAGAATGATGCACGGTTCTTGGGCACCTGTAATTGTTCGGCCATCGCGACAAGAGAAAATGCCATGCACGAATGAGGCTCAGAAAGCGGGCGAGTCCCGGGAGTTGCATCATGCCACGAAGTCCACCGGGACCATGTTTGTGCCGCACGCAATGCATAAGCCAGCGTATGAGACGATGAGTCTTGCAAACCTTTATGGATAATATCGGCGAAACATCGCTCATCATTTTGGACCCACAAGCACCGAGAAAGAGGTGTGCATGGCTCCAGCACGGAGTAAAGGATGTCTGTATAGTAGAGCATGGCACACATCGATTCTGCTGCTGCATAACATTTATCCAATGCGCGCTGTAAGCAGGGTTGCACGAACAAAGTCTTGAACTGCTCAAGAACGGATGTGACAAGAATGTCGAGCTGGTCAGCAAGCGGGTCAGGCTTGATACAGGACGAGCAAATGCACCAAATGCTTTGGATAAGCCAAAGTGAGTCGATGAATGTACCCAACGCAGATGATTCATAACATGTTGAGACTGGCCAACGGACAGTGGATGCAGGGAAGCGTTCATACACCCAAGCTTCGTGATGTGGCGCAGATGGTGAGACTGGAAACATTGGCAAGCGGTCATAAGACGTAGCAATAGCTTCACTCAAGGATCGAGCAATTTCTGTGCAGATATGATGGTCAAGATGCATGGCAGGCGAAGAAACAGGGCCAGCGACCGAAAGAAGCGCATGAATGAGCCATACGAGCGACGTTCGCATGTGACGTCCGTGCTCACCATCGATATGAATGTGACGGAGAATGTACACCAGAAGTGGGAAGCGATCGTTCAGACGGTCTTTCGGCAAGTGAGAGCCAAGACGTACAAATAGTTGTAGCACATCTGGCTGTTGGTGAACACGCAATGCAATAGCATATACGAGCTCGATGATGTCAGAATCAAGATGTGCTTGTTCGCTTCGCAAAGACAAGTGCAAGATTTGTATGAGAGTGCGGATGACGCACTCATTTGCGAGAAAAGGTGAGGGAAGTCTGCGAATCCAATTACAAACGTCCGTATGAGTTCGGCCAGGACGCCGTGCGGCTCATCAGCCATACAGAGACCGAGTAGGTCGTTCGGCACGTTCTGTCTCACGATGTACTCTGTACATGCGCCAAGAGCATCTGGAGGCGCGAGTTCATCATCTTCTACGACGACGGCACACAAACGACGCAAACTTTGTACAACTTCAGGGAGCTCTGGTCGGCAATGTCGACTTGGTGATGAAAGGTGTGCATCGATGGTATGCCATTCTTGCTGGCACCTAGCAAGAAGGAACGCTGCCGCATGTTCTGCGTCCGGAGATGCACGGCTCATGAACAGGACGCACGCTGGCCTGGTGCCAGAGATTTCCGAGTGGAACTACGTGAAATAGGGACGGACAAGCATTACACTTACATGGAAGACAAACTGTGGCGGAACTTCTCCACATGACACTCACCGACACGCCCAAGAGCACATGATCTATGAGAACGATTTGAGAGGATCGTTTTTCTTCTTGCTGCCTGATTTAGAGCGAGACACACTCTTGCTCCCACCAGTCGAACCTTTTCCCTTTTGCTTGGAGATTCTGGGCTTGTTTTTTGGCACATAGCTGGGTGTAGGAGGTTGAGCTGTGCCGGGAATCGCAGCGATGCGCGGGCGCAAGTAGCTGGGCACATGCTTCATGTGGGCCTGGACACGAGCAGGATGCAGCGCCCGATCATGACGAAGGTATTCCAGGTCGCGAGGATTCTGCTCGAAATGCGCCTTGAGTGCCTCGCTGTTCAGGATCTCTTGTTTGATTTCTTGGATTCGAGCTTCTTTGATGGCCACCTTTGTCACACTGCGAAGAGCATCCTCCATGCGGTAGCGAAAAGCATCGACTTGCGTGTGGTCATAATTCCACGGATGGATTTGCAAGCCATGCGCTTTCTGGTCTGCAAGTATGCGGTCCCACACTTGTTCATCGTATTTGCAAGTGGAGCAGCCAATGGCCTTTTTTTGACCAAACTCGCTCCTCGGCACGATAAAGCTGAGGGCTGTGCCAGTGTTGCCAGCACGCGCAGTACGTCCGATGCGGTGGGTATAGGCGCGTGTAGATGTGGGAAGGTCAAAATTGATCACACAAGCGACGGCGACAAAATCGATACCCCGGGAAACACTGAACTCTTTGCTACGCTGGGACTTGCTAGAAGCTGAAGAAGACGATTTAGCTGGTGTAGGATCTAGTTCTGCAGCATTCACATCCGTGGCAATAATGTAATCGTACTTGCCCTTGTTAAACTCCTCGACAATGTGAAAGCGACTGTTCACTGGCAACTCTTCATTCAGCACGCATGTTCGCAGGCCAAATTGCTCGAGAAAGAGCTTGAGTCGATAGCACCGGTCAATGTCATTGACGAACAACAGGCACTTGCCTCGAATCAAGCGCAGCTTCAAAATCACATACACGAGCAGGAACTTGTCTTGTTCCGACGTATATACGTAATACTGCGTTAGGTTGGCAGCTGTGGTTGGATCATGCTCCAGGCGCAACACGACGGGATCCTTGAGCATGAGACCACGTAATGCATTTGTATCGTCATCAAGTGTGGCACTCATCAGAAACGTCTGATGTGTGCGAGATAAAAAGCCTTCGTGCAGTATAGCCTTCACGTCTGCATCGTATCCATACGACAACACCAAGTCAGTCTCGTCAATTACCAAAGACTGCAGTGAATCACGAATAACCAAGTCACCCGACTGCAGACAAGCCAGGGCTCGTGAAGGCGTTGCGACAACAATGTCCGGCTTTTCAGAAAGCAGGAGCTTCTGCACGGATGCCTTGACGGACCGCGCTATATTGGCCACTTGCACAACATCTCGGCAGTACGTTAGTATGGCTGAAAGCTGGCGCGTCGCCTGTTCGGCCAGCTCTCGTGATGGCACCAACACGAGCGCGCGTGTATTTGCATAGGCTGTGCTTGAGCGTGGGATGTCTTGCTTTTCTGCAAGGATCTTTTGGATCACAGGTAGCCCGTACGCGAGTGTTTTTCCACTGCCTGTGCGAGCACGAGCGAGAATGTCTCGTGCTACGCCACCTAAGCTGTGTTCGAGCGACTCGCGCTGCACGGGTGTCGGTGTGCTATACTTGAGATCGGCAAGCGCACGTAACAAGCGTGCATCGAGCAGGCGCGCATATGCCTGGAAGCCCGCTCCTCGCTCCGCCGTCATGGTAAGTGCTAACGATGAGTTTAGTGTTGTTGATGGCCCAAAAAAAAAAATATTCAATGCAGCTATAAAAAAAAAATCAACTTCGTGCCTCCAGTAACACACGTATTGCAATGTGGCCGGCCCCACTGTCATACACACATATAGCTTGAGCCATTCGCAGCCTATTTCTTGAATTAGCTCTGTGCTCAGGAACGACTCACGCGTACCAACCTTCACATACAGTCGCGTGCTATGCAGGTCCTTGAGGAATTTTGGGCATCTCGTCGCGCGACGGATGCTTCAAGTGCGACACATTTTGTTGTGGGGAATGAAGCGGCCGACTTGGATAGCATCGCGTGTGCCATTGCCTTTGCATTCTTTGAGCGTGATCAAACATGGGTCCCAGTCGTCCAAGCACGTCGGGACGATTTGCGGCTGCGCCCAGAGAACTTGGCAGTTCTGGAACGATGTGGGATCGAGGCTTCGTCTTTGTGCTGCTTAGATGAGCTACCAACCATGTCACGGGACAAGCATGTTGTATTGGTAGATCACAACCAGGCGACGAAGTACTTTCAGCAAGCGACCATAGACAGGATCTTTGATCATCACAAGGACGAGCACCAGCACCTGAATGCGCGGCGCGTAATATATTCGCCAGACGACGCTGGATCATGCGCGAGTGTTCTTACCATGCACTGGCGTCCTGACGATGTGCCCACATTTGTGGCTGACCTGTTGTATATGGCTATTCTTCTCGATACAGTGAATTTTAATCGCAGGGCTGGAAAGGCCCAAACTCTTGACTATGATGCACAGCGGTGCCTCGCGCCCCATCTTTCATTTCCTATCGAACACCAAGATGCTCTCTTTCATGACCTGCAGCGCATGAAGAATGACACGTCTCATTTGTCAACGACCGATCACCTTCGTCGTGACTACAAACAAATGACATGCGCTGCGGCTCACGGTGGTTGCTGGACGATCGGAATGGCATCTGTCACACTCCCGTTACGTGCTCTTACCGAAGCAGGCGGGTTCTACGACGATGCACTCGCTTTTGCTGAAGAACATCAAGTCGATGTCCTCATGGTGTTGGCCGGCTACCAAGATGAACAGGCGGCGTGGCGCCGCGAGCTCATGCTATTGGCATCGGAAGCCAATGCGAAGCGTGGCGTGCAGGATCTGGCTGAGCAGCTCAGCTCACTCCAATCGCACATGGTAGATCTGGAGCCACTCGACAGCGTGGCTCATGATGCACGGCCAGATCAAAAGCGTGATGCATACTTTGCTGTCGCGTGGAACCAAAAAGACCTTCGCGCGACTCGCAAGCAATTTGTACCGGCTATCCAGGAGGTGTGCCGACACGTAGCACGGTCTTAAAACTCAAAGCCAGCACGGCGGAACACATGCAAGTCAGACCCGACATGGCACTGATTCGCAAGATCAATGCGATTCATAACAGTCATAATGCTCCGCAGCGTGTTCCACAGGCTTTCGCTCTCTCTGGCATGCGAAAGTGGCGGTGGCATCGTTGTAGAAGCCGGCGTGTCAGGCACGGACTGTGAACGCTGCAACGCGAGAGCAGACAATAGATGTTCGGCAGCCTCGTGATGAGCGCCGAGATTCATACATGAGACACTGAGATTATAGATTGCTCGTGTAAAAGATGGGCGCAGTTCTAAGGCACGGTGATATGCCTCCGTGGCGAGCTCAGAATTGCCACCATTGGCCAGCGTGGCGCCGAGGCGATTCCACAACTGCCAATCATTCGGACGAGACTCGAGTGCGGCCTGGAAACAGTCTTTGGCCTGCTCGTAGCTCGAGGTTGAATAGAACAGCAGGCCCAATCCCACCTGGATTTCGGGATCCATCACACCGTGCGCTGCATCTTCGCGGGCAGCCTTCAAGAACAAATCACGCACATAATTGAGACGTGCCCAAGGATCCGTGCGCTCCGTTTCAAGTGGCGGGAAGTTATTGGACGGAGCGAGATGCGGGCGTGAGCGCGCCATGTACTTGAGTAGTGTCGCATTGGCAGCTTGGTCATACCCTTCGTTGATGTACGAGACCGCCAGAGAGAGATGTGCCCCGAGATTCGACGCATCAATGTTCAGTGCCTGGACCAGGGCCTGAATTGCCTTTTCCTCGTGCTCGTTCATTGCATGTGTTTCGCCAAGTTTTTGCCATGCTCGTGACTTTTCTGCGCGTGTTCGATCAATTTCATCGGTGGAAATGTTGTCTTGATCGCGCTGTGTTGCGACTTCGAAGAGACGCGTGGCATCGGTCAAGTTGCCATTATTTTCCACAAGGCGAATACCCTCGGCGTAGGGTGCGGGATGCGTCGCGAATGGATTGTTTGCCTCAAATTCATACGCACCAAGCGTCGGGAAGCCACTCTCGTCCATCTCGTTGAGCTCGTTTCTCAGTAAGGCTTCTGCTTCACCGAGTCCATCTTCTTCTTCGAGACCCAGGACGCCGGGGCCCAGACCACCTCCGGGATGTGTCGAATTGATCGGGTCTTCCGCAGCGACAGCCTCCATCAGCTGCTCCTCCCATTTGGCCAGGTCATCCGACTTCTCCAGCAGACTTGGATCCTTGAGTGCATTCCACAATTCTTCGAAGCGAGGATTTTCATCCTGCACTTCGTCGCGAAGACGCGCTTCCATTTCACGCAGCTCCTTTAATGCCAATGCCTCGTTGTCATCAGGCTCGCGCATTTGGTCTCTACTTGATGAATCCGTCTGGGACGGCAATTCTGCCTGAGCCTCAGCGTCGGCCTCTTCCAAGCGGCGAAATTGTTCATCCCATTTGGCATGATCGAGTTCCACGACTCTCGGATTGTTGGCGTGCGCCTCTGGGCGGGACATATTGGAAAGCATGCCGTGACCCAAGAACATGCCGCTCTGTCCTACTCCATACATGCCCATACCCATATTCATGCCGACGCCCATGCCCCCACCCACAGGCGCGCGCAAAGACATGGTATCGCCGCGGGTACCTCGCATTTCAGTCATTCTTGACAGGTCAGCATGAAATTCCTTTCCCCACGATGGGCCAGAGTCAATTTGATGCGGTGCTGATAGCTGGTGTGCGATCCTTGGATCTAGAGGAGGCTGGGGCTGTTTTTGTTGCTGTTGCAGTTCATGCGCCCAAGCGTTGGGCGACGATCGAACCTGTGGTGGCATGCGCGCATGAAGTGCCTCCATTTCTGCGTGCATGGCATGCATATCGAAGACTGGTGCTCTCGGAGTTTCTCTCTGCCGGGAGAATTTGTCCACGTCTTGAACACCAGCGGGTGGCGGTGGGCGTGTACGGAACCCGGGTCGTGCCGATATGCCAGTGGGACCGATCATAGCATCTTGCTGAAGTGAGCGATCTGTTTGCGTATGCTTCAAAAATTGCGACAATGTATTGTTAGACGTCGAGCATTCTGCGCCCGAGATCATGGATTGGAACGCCATGATACCGGCAACAGACACCAAAGAGACTGCGTAATAGGTGCCAGTTCAAAAATGTGGGGTGAAAGTGTGTATGTGCGTGTGTGTGAGGGAGTGCGTGGCAAGTGACCATGTGTGCTGACGTAACATATGTTGGGCGTCCTCAACGGGGCTCCAAATCGACGGTGTGGATGTTCACGTGATACACTACCAATCAGACGCCACCTACGTGTGCTACGACATGCTGTGCACATGCTTCTTCGTGTCCATAGCGTGAACCGTATTGGTGTGAACACTACCAGCTAGAAAAGTCGCCAAAACCACCGCGCCTCACAGCCATGCCAGGACTCTGGCGTGGCGGGGGACCTGTCTTGGACGAAGGCTTCAGTCCCGCGAGTGCTGCGAGACCATGTTCATCTTGCGGCTCAACACGCAATGGTGCACTCGGCACGGTAGCAGTTGAGGATGCCGCATCCATGTTCTTTGGTGCCAGTCGTGTGCCGAGCCTGTAGTGCGTGAGTCTGTTTATCCACATGCGTGCGAGAACATACCATGTAGTCCTGTCCTCTTCGCGTTTGCGGCGCTTAGTTTCTCTGCGCAAGCGTTCCTCTTCATCAGGGTTTTGACGCCGCATCTTGGCCTCTTCACGTGCCATGTATTCAGCGAATGGATCTTCAAATACCTGCGCCTCAATGAGCTTGATGGGTCGAATCGGCTTAGTTGAGTCAGGCTCGTTGGGGACTCGTTCTAAAGCATCGAGCACAGGATATTTGGTATCGTTGTCGTCGCTGATGAGGTGCCCAAATACGGTATGTTTGGTATCAAGGTGTGGTGTCGCTCGATACGTGATAAAGAACTGTGATCCATTTGTATTATATCCCTTGTTGGCCATAGATACAATGCCGCGACTGGTATGGCGGTACGCACCTGGATTCACGAGTTCATCAGCAAATGGCTTTCCCCAGATCGATTCGCCACCACGTCCTGTGCCTGTGGGATCGCCACCTTGGATCATGAAGCCTGGGATGTTTCTGTGAAAGATTGTGTTGTTATATTTGCCCTGTCGACAAAGCATTAAAAAATTGTAACAAGTCCGGGGGGCCTTGTTCGCGTAAAGTTCTAACAATAGATCGCCAAAGTTCGTCTGAAGACGCACCAGAGCCTTTTTAGTCTGCTTTGCTTGAGCCTGCGACATGAATTCGAACATGACCTCCTCTTCGTCCACGGCAATTTGCTCTGACGTGGTCTGCGGCGTCAAGCTCGACGATGTAAAGCTCGCACCCGCACGTCCCGTCGACTTGTTCGTAAGGCGCGTGCAGGGCATCATAGCGGGCGAGATAGGATTGGCAGTCCCATTCACATCTGGTCTTCTCGTAGCTTGCGCTAATCCGGGAGCTGGCGCTGCACTTGGCGCCATGTCAGTATTGGGCTTCGTTTGTCGTCGCAACTGCTCGATCAACCCTTTCGTACTGCCCGTGGCAGCTGCATTGACATCGGAATCATCACCACCAGAACCTGATAATCCTGCATTAGTCCACGATCTACATACCGTACTTCGGAGTGAGATGATGTTGTACGTCTGTGTAAGCCCGCAACACATAAATACGTACGATACATGTTTTGCATGGTGCGACGACCTGGGTCATGCGGATCCTGTAACGTCAAGATGTCACTTTTCGTGAAAGGTACATCTGTGACAAGATCGCGCATATTCTTTGTCCTGACATTCAGCTGAAACACGGTGTCATACAAGTACACATGTCCGGACGTCCGGATTGCCACCAAGTGACTGTGGTCCGTGAATTCACGCATCGAGACGGGGTCCTGCGACATTTGCCGCTCATTCTGACTTATATGTAAGATGAGAATATCATCGATGCTAGCTTTTTCGCCAGTTGCAGGACTCTGGTGATGCTGCTCAATGAATGCGACAAGGTGTGCCTTTTCACAAATCAGGCCATCCTGCACAAGGCATGCCGGCGTAGTCCAGGGTTGGTGCGTGATGGCACACATGTGAAACGGTACAACGACGCTCATTTCTCGGCGTGCGCCTGAGGTTGCTCCATGCTGCCCATGCTGTCCGCTGTACTCGGACGGCGTTATGAACAACTTGTCATTCGATCCATGTCCCATTCCTTGAGGATGGTGTGACACAGTAAGTGGAGGTGTGCGTCATCGCCAGGAAAGTGAGATTGTGTCTGGTGAAAGTTGGTCAGGGAGAGAGAGTTGAGTGAAATAGGGGGATGGGTAAAATGCAACAACATTGGTAGCTGCACATGCGGCTCAAAGTTGTGTTTGTCTGGGCATTCTTCATCGCATCTGTATGGGCCAATACAGAAATTCGTAACTTTGGCCCGACACTGTGTTCTCGAACGGCCAATGCAGCCATCCAAAAGCTATCTTTGCAATGGTATGTTGTGATCGCACGCTTTAACATAGGCCGATGATGAATGTGCATTCCGAGCCGCGTCGCTTCCGAGCCAATGCCGGGTCGCAAGGCCTGTGGATAGCACTGCTTCCTGACTACAATGATCTGGAAGTGGGTGTACACGTACACCAACGACGCATCAGCTGGTATGAACGAGCGCTACTTTGGATACCCACGTCGTGGCGCTGGAGTCTCACGCAACGTTATCAATTGAGACTATCTGCGCCTGCAAATGTACGTGATATTTGCCCAAGACCTAACATGTTCCACAGATACCGGCGAATTTTTCCTTGGATGTTTTCACGCCCGATGAGGTCTTGTCATTACCAAGGCATGCACCCGGTACGAGCCCAAAGGTGCCGTGTGAACTATTATTTGCGCGTATATCTGCAAATATGTATGGCGTGTCTTTGTCCGCATCGCCAAGCCAATCGACATCCATCCTGAGTCGGTGGGCTGAAGCAGTCTATGGATGGACTTTGTCTTCCAAGGCAATAAAGTCGACAACAAAAGTGGCACCACCAATCCCAATCGATTTGGTGTTTGAGCGACTTTTCTTAGGTTGCATTCCTGCGACAGCTTTGCGTATGGCACTATTATCAACAGTGGTCTTACCCATCATGCTGCTCGTGATGGCACCGATGCAGCGCGTCATGCTGCGTCATGCAGAAAAGCAAGCATAGTGAGTTGTTGAACGAGCAAAGAAAGGCGAGGGAGAGTGAGAGTCAACATGACCGTAGTTCTATTACATGCTGTTGGATCGATCGTAGTAAGGTTATATGTGTGTGGCAACGCTGCTGAGTCGACGGGCTGACTGGAGGTTCCCAAACAATGTCAAGGTGCATTCGTACATGCATACGTATGAATGTCTAAAATCTCCACCCTTATTTTCTCCACAAGCGAGGGTCAACGTCATTTCCGGCATAGTCGAACGCAACGCCGTATAGTTCTGTGTGAATGTGCACGACCAGCTCCCCATTCTCGATAGAGGAGCTGGTGTCTTTTGTGCTCCTTGAGGATGGTGCAAAAAATAGTCCGGGCGAACTAAGCAGCTCTGTGCGCAGTGTTGCCGCGAGCGAGGGGCACGCATACATTGGAACGAGCGATGGCTCTATGCTTTGGTACAAAGTGACGACATCGGCCTTCCATGCTTCATGGAAGCTAGAGGGTAGCGTACGTGTTTCGAAAGCAAGCAAGCCTGTAGAAAAGGTTCTTGTGCTAAGCGAAGTACGCATATTAGCAGTGCTTTGCGAGAATACCTTGCAGTTTTATTCATACCCAGCAATGGCGCCTGCTCCTTCATTGCAGTATGCACCGATAAAGGGTGTAGTGCAAGTCGCATTGGACGAAGCTTTCATTGATCAACCAGCACGGCTTGGGCTTTTCAGTCTGTGTGTGATAAAACGCCAGAGCTTGTGGCTTATTGTGCTTGATCATACAGGCTGGTCTGTTTACAAGGTACGTCGGTGCTATGATCGCGGGTGTTTTGACACGCATGAACAGGACATCTCTATTCCACGTGATGCATTCATCGCACATCGCTTCAATGATGTCGTGTGCCTGGCGACATTATCGGAATACTATCTTGTGAATCTCGAGACGGAGGAACTGACTCCCATTGCTCTTCCTATATCGCAGACAACTACTGTCGGCTCTGCACGCAATCGGCCATCGATTGTCTCTATGCCTGCATACGACAACGAGCTCCCATGTTTCCTCATTACCTCGCACTCTGACCACAGTACCCTCGGAGCTTTTCTCCGTGTCGATGGTGAACCATCAGCCCGCTTACTTGAATGGCCCTCGCATCCACGGTCCGTTGTTTCGCACTTTCCATATTTATTTGTGCTTCTGCGTGACAATTCTTTGTACATTCACAATCTTTACACGCTTGAAATCGTTGAAAAAGTGCGCATCAATTCGAGCATGGAGCCTCGATTCCTCTTGCATGTACCCCCATTACCGGGTTGGCTACCTCGCCGCCCAGGTGTCCCTAGTGCCCAGGTACTTCCATCCGATGCGTATCCTGAGATCCCATCTTCATCGTGCGTGCGTTGGGCGCCTATATCTGTGTTGTTTGTGTGTAAGCATGCACTGCACTGCATTGCTTCACGCACGCCCGGAAGTCAAGCGCTTCTTGCGCTTGGCTCGCCACGTGAGACTAGCATTTTACGAGCGCCGTGCGATGATGAGGAAGTGCGTGCCGCTCTGCAAATGCTGGGTGTATACCACTTGAAGCACGCTCGCTTCGAACAGGCCCAGGCGTACCTCATCGCTGGCTTGTTTCCACCAGCGATGCTCTTGTGTATGTGGCCAACACTGTTTGGTGGTCAGTACTCATACGTATGTGAAGCGGCAGCTGGTCTATGGGCTTCACTTGCTCCTACGATGGACGAACATATATCCCAACATGTTGCATGGAATTACTGTCCTCCCATGGAAGACTCTGACCCTGTGCTTGACTTGCTGCGTCAGCAGCTCCGTTGCAGAGCACGAGCGATGCTCTTGCATGTCCTGCAAGCACGGAGGAATGACTCTCCGTTGGTGTCAACAGCTGTGGTTCAACTGGCTCTGGAATGCGATCCCAAAACATCGCTAGAGAGCCTGAAGCCATTTTTGTCCGCTAGTAAGCTCGATATTGTAAAGGCATTGGCGATCCAACATGAGCGTTATGTGCTGGCTATGCATGTGTCTGCTGAACATGGAGCATTTTCGGAGGCTTTGCATCTTGCGTGTCAGCTTTGGGAGCACTCGTTCCACGATTCTGTCGATACGTTATCGGAAGACGACATGAGAACGTATGCAAAACACTTGTCCAAATTAGACTTGGCCAAGTTCTGTCTTTGGCTCGCTCGACATGATATGCCGCAACTGCATCGATATATTCATCTTCAGTGGGATGCACTGGCGGATGACGATGCAAATTCCATATGGGAAGAGCTGCTAACGATATCGACACCTCGTGCTCATGCGTACATGGAGTCTATAGTACTCGCTGGTCACCATGTCACAGATGCAATGCGTCGCGTACTTGTCAATCGACTCGTCCGCGCTTCTCAGCGTGATATAACAGCTCGCAAAAAGCTGCACGTATGGCTAGAGTATGGGCCAAGCTTGCAAATTGAACCATCGCTCCACGACTTACCAGTGATGCGCGCGACTGTTCTTGCGCGAAATAGCCAATATGGCGAGGCGCTCGAGCTTCTTATTGATGAGGCGCATGACTATGATGCAGCTGAGCGAGTCTGTGAGTATGGTCATGTCTTGCCGCTATACCTGGCTCGTGCTCTTGTGTGTGAAGAATCGCTCTCCCTTTATACCCGACTCCTGCCCGCCAGAGTGCGGAATCCAAGTAAGGAAAAGCGCGCGCGACTTTATGAGACGCTTCTTCACCTGTACTTGAGCCGCTGTCAACACGGCAGTGAGTTTCATGAACCGACCATGCGTTTGTTAAACACCTGTGCATCGCAGTTTGATCTTCTATATGTGCTGTCGCGCGTGCCTCCAAAATGGTCAGTGCAAAGTTTGTCTCAGTTCTTACAGCGATCTCTTCAAGAGCAGTTGCATGCGCGTCGGTCTATGGAGATGGCCAAGTCGTTAGCGCTGAAGTCGAGCTTGAATGCGCATGACACGTTTTGGCGCATGTCTCGCGCGATGGGCGGCGTCGTCGAAAATGAGCCGAGCACGTATGATAGAGCTGATGTGGAAATGCGTCCGTCTCGACGCTCCTGATGATGCAACTAGCCACACTGCGAATGTGCTGGATCGATGCTCGAGCAACTACCAGATTTTTGGTGATTAGGAATGAGTCATTTACATATTTAGTTGTTTGCTCCATGCCCTTTTTAGTTCCTCCACAGCAAAAAGTTGCTCTCGTTTTGGATCATTTCATTCACACGCCGTAGGCATGTCTGGCTTGGCTCGGCTTTGCGCGAGTCGAGGAATGTGCACAAGACCTGCTATAAGGTGCACCATGTCATCGGTTTCGAACATACAACTTACGCGCGAAGAAGGGTTCATCTGCACGCTACTGGACGACGTGTGTCGTTGGATGCAAGCGTCGAACCCGAGCGTAGAAGTGGACGGCCAGGTACATACATACAAAGATTTGTGCATTGGTAGTGATGCATCGGATCAGCCATCTTCTGCATCGACGATAACATGTGAAGCTCGCATTGCTGGCGGCTGGGTTCGCGACAAACTATTGGGGCTACCATCGCACGATCTAGACGTGTCGTTGTCGTCGTTAACGGGGCATCAGTTTGCGCTGTTTCTCAAAGCATATCTAGAAAGTGATCGATTCTCGCAAACGAAGCTGGCCCATGAAATTGCCATGCACCTGCCTCATCGAGGTCCTATGGGGACTATCGGCAAGATCGCCGCAAACCCCGAGCAAAGCAAGAATCTCGAAACTGCCACAACCAACGTGTTGGGCTTCGACTTGGATTTCGTCAACCTACGCAAAGAAGTCTATGAAGGCACGCACCGCATTCCTGTCATGTCATTCGGCACGCCGCTAGATGATGCAATGCGTCGAGACATAACAGTGAATGCTCTTTTCTACAACGTTCATACCGCGTCCATCGAAGACTGGACCGAACACGGTCTCCATGACTTGCACCATGGCATTGTACGCACACCCATGGATCCAGCATCGACATTCAACGACGATCCACTACGTATTTTGCGATGCGTTCGCTTTAGCAGTCGATTTGGCTACGAGATCCATTCGGATATTCGGTCCTGTCTTTGTGAGACTGCGTCTGATGGAGGTAGCAAGGCCAAGAATCCTAGTACGGCTGAGCTACTGCGCTCCGCACTCTTGAATAAGGTGAGTCGCGAGCGATTCGGCATAGAAGTCGATAAAATGCTCTCTGGACGCGATCCATTCCGTGCGTTGCAACTGCTCTCTGAGCTTGGTCTCTATAAGGTTGTGTTTACACCGCCACCACCTTTGATACAGCGCATGGGCACATCCAGTGGCGGCGCGCAAATTGATGCACCGGCTGACATCCCCGATGAAAACGTTGCGCTATTCCTCGCTGCATGCTTCGACGATCTCCTTCAGGGCACTGGCACATATGCGGATTTGTGGGCGCATATTCCTCACGATTGGCTAGATACACTCCGAACTAGCCCTACAGCAGCGTCAAAGCAGCGACTTATATGGTACGCACTTGCGCTGTTCCCTCTGCGTGATATTTATGTCCAGCCGAAAAAGCAGAAGGAATGGGCAGGTCTTGAAACCATATCAAAGGGGCTGAAACTCGGGAATAGAAATACCAAAGATCCTGTCGCTTGCTTGGACCGTGCCGTCTCAGTGCTGAGTCGGCCTTCGCTTGATCGATTCAAACCTGACTCTTGTCTGACCCAGCGGTCGACGATTGGTCTTCTTCTTCGCCAGTCTTGTATAACTAGTCCGAGTTTAGATGTGGGGCTGGACAACACACTACTATTTGCGCTCTTTTGTGATCTTGCCACAGTGTATGATGCGCAAAATGATACGCTGGACAAGGACTCGGCTATCAACATCATTGATGAGTATGCCCGGTTCTGGGCATTTGTGCGGGACGAACGCTTGCTTGATTATGCGCAAGTGAAACCGATTTTGGACGGACGCCAAGTAGCTGAGGCACTGCCGTGTGAAAAGTTTCTTCTAACTCGTGTGCTGCCATTCGTGGTTGCATGGCAGATTGACCATGCAACTATGGATGCGCCTCTCGCTGAGCGGCAGGCGCAATGTGCGAAGGACTTGCATGATGCGTGGAGTTCTGGACACTTGATCCCTGTGTCGGAGCGTACGCAAGTTGCCAAGTCTAAGAAAACATAGCACTATATCATAGCCATTCAACCAGCTCAACAATGAAGGGGTATGGTGCGTGTAAGAAATAAGTCGATCAGCACCTTGTCGATGAGCACACTCGATTTCTCGCGCGACATGCGATACTACATTGGCACAGTGTACTTTGTCTTTCTATCTCTCTCTCTCTCTCTCCCACTCTTTCTACATACTCTTATAACGACGAGCGTAAAGAATGACGCGCGTAAATTTGGTTATCATCCCAAAGTGCCTGGCGATAGACGTCGGTGTTCAGTGTCGGAGGCACATCATATTCGCATGCATGTTGCTCAAGCGGGGGCGCACCAGGCTCGTCACTTGGGTCATGATAAGGAGCGACAAATGGGTGCGCAAGACATTCGTCCACAGTCATACGAGCATTAGGATCCATGGTCACCGCGCGCGAGAGAAAATCAATTGCATCACTCTGGACGTTGGGAAGTAGAGACGTCCAGGATCGGCCAGAGCACCATGGAAGTGCACGGACATAGTCAAGTGCTCTTGGCGAACACTGTGACGCAATCGAGTCGACCGATGCTGTACCAAGCACATCCAGAATCAGCAGCATTTGATGATGGTAGTCTTTGCCGGGAAAAAGCGGCTCTCCCGTGAGCATTTCAAAGAGCGTACATCCGACAGACCAAATGTCCACGGCCTTTGTGTAAGTTTTGCTCGATAACATAATTTCTGGCGCCCGATACCAACGCGTCGCAACGTATTCAGTCAGTTGCAAGTCGCGCCCATGTGGTGATGCCTGCGTTGTGTTGCGCGCTAAACCAAAATCACATATCTTCAAATCACAGTTTGCATTCACAAGAAGATTGCTTGGTTTTATATCGCGGTGCAATACACCCGCAGCATGGATGGGTTTGAGACCACGCAAGATTTGATATGTGAAGTATTGCGCATGATCGTAGCTCAATGACTGTGTTCGTACGACGCGATAGAGATCCGTATCCATGATTTCCTGCACGAAATAGATATCTTGGAATGAGCATCGGTCCCCGGGAATGACGACGTCCAAAAGCTTGATGATGTTTTCACAGCCACTGTATTCTTGAAAATAGCGCAAGAGACGCAGTTCTCGCAGAGTGCGAATTGCCAGTAAGTGATGTTCAAATGGTGACACACGTTTCACTGCAACGCGCGATCCTGTATGTCGATTTACAGCTGAGAATACAATACCATAGCCACCTTCACCAACGACAGAATAGATACTGTAATGATGCCCGATGTCTTCACGGGCTTTGCGAATCGCAGCTGCACGGCGGTCTTCTTTACGCATCTCGGCGTGATGTGCAAGTTCGCGCACATGTTTTGAGCTAGCTGTAGCTGCCCTGTTTGAGGTGTAAGTCAAAATTGATTTACTTGATTTTCGTCCTGCAGTGCGAAGGACGAAGGAGACATACCGGCGTGATTCCATACGTGTTGGATCCTCTCTTGCTTGAACGGCTGCCATGATGCCTGCGTTCAAGGGAGGGCCGCTAAGCTCGAATGTTTCACGAGTATTTATGTACTAGACAACTTGCCTTCATTTCATCCTTCTGTGTGCCACTCGCACGTCCCGCTCACAAAGGAGTCAAGGTGACAAGAATGCGTTTGTTCCTTGATCCATGCATGACATTTGTCTCCACCAGCTGAAACAATGGAGACAGGTGTTTGTGAATGTGGGTCTGCGCCCGAGAGGGGTCGGCGACGCGTGCATCGGAGTCGAGATCTCTCAGACGTCGTTGGCTGGATTAAAGATTAATAAAGGCGTGTTATTTCATGATTATGTCCGCGCGACGCATCTCTATGCGAAAGGAAAGGCCGAAGTAGGTAGGATGAGAGTACAAATGGGGCGAGATGAAGAGAATATGAAAGCAACCTGCAGATATGCGGCTGAGACATCTCGATGACCCGCTGACAACATCGCAACAAAGCGACAGCTGTGAGCAGACAGCGAGGCATTTTCAAGCCCTTACTGTGCCTTGGCCTTTTGCGGCACTGCAACGTTGGGAGCAGATGCTGACTGTCGCTGCTTGGCACGCATCTCGATAAACAGACCCACAAAGACAATGACAACACCAATCCATTGTAATGAACGGAGTTGATGCTTGTACACCATGATCGAAAGCAGCATGGTGAACAGCTTGCGAGTGACCGTGATCGATACGAGCGTCAGACTGCCGAAGCGTTCAAGCGTCTCGAAAATGGCAATCTGCCCAGCAGCGCCAGCCATGGCGTATGCGAGTACATCTCGGGCTGCATCTGGGTGTCGGAGCAAGAACTGCACACTGGACACAAGTTGCGGGGTGAGCGACAAGGAAGGGACGGTGCTGCTGGCCAGAAGCATGTGCGCCATCCAATGAGGATGAAGCATTGAACCCAGGTGCTGACGGACAAGTGCAATGATATACGCACCAAGGCCATCAGGAACAAGAAGGGCAGTCATCATATAAGAAGCAGAAATGGCATTCATCACCAACATCATTTGCGTGCCAGACACAAAGGGCCCATAAGTCGCGAACACCTCATCCTGCGTACTGTTGGTCGTGCCATCCAAGAGCAAGTGGATCACTAAAAGAGTCATACCCAGGGCGCTGTTTCCGTGCGTTTGCTTACTGGCTTTCTTGTTGCCCAAGGCCATGAACATCCACACGCCCAACGTTACGAGACCTACCACCACGTACTTGTAAGCGGCAAATTGTCGGCGGTACAACAGCACATTCATAATCAGCACAGGCACTAGCTTACTGCTCTTTGCCAATGTGATGGCAGGGAACGACAAGTGCCGCAACGCCACGATACTGAGCCAAGATGCTGTGGACTGCAGCGCAGACACAAGCAAGTACTGTAGCAACAGAGGCGAGATGAAGCGCTTCAATCCCTGCAGCGACTGACCGGGATTCAGCTTGCCGCGTGCGATGAGGGCCTTCTCGCATCCAGAGGGCGTCAATACGTCCAGACCCATCTTGGAAAGAAGACCCTGGCCTGCCACAGATTGGTGACGTCGGCGATACATCAAGTATATAGACGCGAAGAGACACGAGCACAGAGCCTGTACTCCATTGAGCAGAACACCGTACTCGAAGCGTTCACCCACACTAAATGGGTCGAATGCATCACCCGTACGATACACGGTGCTGGTAACTGGGACGCGGTGTTACACATGGAAATGCGCTACAAGCAACGTACTCTTTTCCTGCAGGAGTCCCCATAGCAGGAACATCGTGTAGATGGTTAGCGCACATAGTGCAAGCTGCAGGATGCCGCTGCGTCCCGCCATAAAAACTAGAGGAGGTCGAGGAAAGGACAGGCGTATTTGACGATAGCCGCAGCTACGACCACAGCGAGGGGTAGTGTCTGTGTGGCTCCTTAGCAAGATGGTTACTCCACGTCTGACACACACTTGCATGCACGCATGCGCGCGTGCGTGCATGCCATGTGCCAATGGTGCCTCCAGTCGCTCTCGAGCCCCGATCGGTGTGGCGAGATGCAGATCACGTGTGCAGAACAAGCCACAGCGCGGTCGACGTGCACGCATACACGCACGCTTGAGATGCCGGCTTGGGCCCCACGTGCGTGTTGCTCTGCATGTGGCAGGCGATGGACACAGGGCAGAACGATGCGCGTCACTGAGGCAAGCAGCTGGCACAATGAGCGAGAGCGCACAGAGAAGGAGCAAGCCAAGAGACAGCTATGGAAACGTCAGGCGGGGGGATGGGGGGTTGGTGAACGGTGAGGGCTGAGGGTGAAGGTGAGTGGGCTACGATTTTGTAAGCGACTACATGAGCCGTTGAGCGCCAGCTCTTTTCAAAAGGAAAGCAATATTTCCCATGGCTCTCGACCAGCTTCGGCCAATAAACACCCTCGTCATTGGGCACAGTCCAAATCGCACGTTCGCGGTGTAAGAGATCCAGAAGAGATGCTGCTTCCGTACGATCGAGACGTTGGCCCACATCCACAGGCTGGAAAGCGCTAGCTTGTGCGAAGGCAAGATGGGTATCGTGCACCTTGGAGTACGCATGCGGCTCAGGCACGCGCGTGGCCGAGCCACGACATGACACGGTAGAGAACAGACGCGGCCATGGCACAGGTGCATCTGGTATGGAAGTGGATGCTTGCAAAGCCTTGAGAAGTTCTGTGGAAGGAGGGAACTCGGCGTGGGTTGAGCTCAGAGCGGTAAGAACAGCCCCACGCTGGAGACCAGACTCCTTGTCTTTGGGTGGCGCAAGAACGAGCTCCAACAACGCACGAGGCACAGCCAGCTCATATGCCTCCAAGGGCACGAAATCTGGGTCTCTATACTTGGATGTCATGAAAAAGGCTTGGATATCGTCCAAGGCCACCAGGAATGGCACATCCTTTTGTGCCGCAAGCGTGCGGATCACATGCTCCAATGACAGCTGCCGTAAGTGTGCGTTGTCCTCGGCAAGAGCGCGCTGGACAACCTGCTCTAGCGAGCCTTTGGGCACAGTTGTGCCCTCGACTTGGATACCTTCTGTCTCGATGCGGCGGAGAATCTCGCCATTCACTTTCAAAAGCGCTTGCAACATGTGTGCTGCGATGTCGGGCTGCAAGTACGTAGCGAAGGACGGTGAGTACATGTAGGCCGACGAAGAGTTGATAAGGTCGATGCATCGTGGCACATACAGAACAGCCCATCCGGATTCCAAAGCATGAGCAACCGCTTGCAACAGGTACATGGACTTGCCACACCCTGGCTCGCCAACCAAGAGATGCCGAGAGACATTTTCTTGGGCATCGTTGCACAGGCGCAACACATCATGTGTCGTTGCGCGTACGATGGTTCGTGGACGTGGCTGGAGAGCTTGTTTGCGGATTAGTTCGCGTGGCATGCCGAACGCCTCGAAGGCCGCAAGGGTGCGCTTCGACCATGCGAGAACATCGCCACGTGCACACTCGTCCAGTACACCTGCTTGCAGTGTGTGCAGATCTGACATGTCTGGGCGTGCTTGGTAGTGTTGCGTTGACTTGGAAAGCTGGCTCGAAGTCTGCCGAGACGTTAGCCCTGCACGCAGCGCCATAGCTGGTTCATTCTATACATACATCCACGCCACCTCGGCGAAGACCCCCTGTGCGACGCTCGCCCGACTGACCGCGGCGTATGGCGACTTTTTTCTTCGGAGCTGGGGGATTGGGTTAGTATGTTCATGCAAGAGGACAAAGGTAAGAAGAGGCAACCCCACCACATACCGGCTGATTTTGGCGCTGCGCGTAGCACATTGGTCGTGTTGATGAACCGCACTTGACGCATTTGCATGTCAACTGCACCCGCAGGTGCTTGTAAAGCCGAACGAAGAAGCCCAGTGACTCGCACACCGTGCATTCTCAACACGAACCAAGGACGTATGAGAATCTGACGAGGAAAAACAGAGAGCAGTCTGCAATCCGACTTCCTCTCAACAGCGGCCGATGGTTATGCAATACGATTGGAAGACTGATTATGTAATGCTTCAGCACACACTCACACTCACCCACACACGCACGTCTCCACCCTCGCATGCACACACCCCCATTCACTGACTGAACGCTAGACACTTCGACGTCTAGACCCGCTCACTGACGTACGACCTATCCACCGAAACACACGTCGTCGTTAGACCGCACGTTGCTTCTCTTTCACACTCTAATCACAGATAGGAGCCCCCGCTAGGCATCTTTTGCAAGGCAGTATGAGCTTCTTCAACAATATTGGGTACGTTCCGTTGGCCCTACTGACGCAGACGATCCATGGGAATTCCCTCTCGGTCCAAGATGCGGTATGTGCCACCGCCATCATCCTCATTGGAAAGGCCGTATGGCACGCCACCCCCTTCGATGGTTTCAGGAAGTGTCCCAGGAGGAGCAGTCGTCGCTGGAGGAAGTATGAATCTGGCATCTATGCCGACCAAACCATTGTACTTGTGTCAACCATTTGTGCGCAGCACGTTGATCAAGGGCTCCTTCCGCACCATTGTCGCACTACCGAAGTATGTGCACCCATATGAATGGATCGCCATCAATCGTAAGTAAGCAAAAGAAGCCATGAAATGCATCTTTCGACATGCTGACGTCGTCGATATTTGCACCCTCCTCCCCCGCAATGATCACGGTTCTTCTTCTTCTTCTCTCTCGCTCTCTCTTGACGACATCTAGTCTTTGATTTTTTCCACAATCTGAATCAGTTCTGTGGGATCCTCACCGAATTTTGTACAATTCACACACATCCCACCATGTCGGCCGGTGTTGGCTTGCATTATACTTGGGTCGACATCAACCGCAAGCCTATCCACTTGCCAGCGCCACAATATATTGACTTTGTTATGACCTGGATCTCTCAGTTGCTACAAGATGAAGCTGTCTTCCCTACGAAGCCAGGCCGCGAATTCCCCTCCATGTTCCCAACTACCGCGAAACAGATGTACCGCCAGATGCTGCGTATTTTCGCTCACATATACCATGCACACTTCCCCGAGCTGCTCCATCTCAGTTGCGAGGGACATATAAATTCTCTCTTCGCGCATTTCGTTGTGTTTGGCAAAGAGTTTCACTTGTTCGACTTCCAAGAGTTCAAGGGCGGCCCACCGGCTTGCATGGGCGGTGTGGGTGGCCCGGAGAATCCAGCAGTCGAGTCTCCTGGGCTGCGCGACTTGGCTGCCGCGCATGTGGGCCCACATGGCGAGCCGATGCCGTATCCAGGAGTATGTGATTTGATTGAGCGCTGGGTCGATCGTGAAATCTTACCGCGAGAAGTGCTGCTATAAACATCAGACGGCTAATTACAATGCCTCCTTGGCCACAGAGCGCTTTTTTCTCGGCCGTGAAGAGGTGGACGACCATGGCTGATCACCCAGGCGGTCCCATGTCTTCTCCGGTTCCTCCAATGTTGTATCGATTCGATCGCTCTTGCGGCTCCGTTTGGTCGACTCGCCATCACTGCCGCTGGACCCGCGAGGCGAGTACGGCACCTTGTCGTCGTCCGCGCCAACAGCGCCATTGTGGCTCGTAGCACGACCGTATTCGCTCTTTTTCCAAAAAATGGGCTTCTGGCTGCGCACAGCGTTGCGCATGGGTTTTACAAAGGCACCCAAGTTTTGCGCTCGCTCAATGTCGGGGTCATTGTCCTTGTCATAGTAGTACCAGCACTCGAGTGGGTCACCGCGAGTGTCTTTTCCAGGCCGCTGGATCACGCCAAACATAGGTGCACGCTGCAGCTCTTCATCTAGTCTCTCATACCATGCATGTCGCGTCAGAGACGACCAGCGCGAGTCGGAAGTGGGGAACCATCCCTTAATTTGCTCGCCATACGCTGGGAACGCACTGGATTCATCCTCCGTCCACAGACGGCTCTTGGACGGACTGTAGGCGACAGCACACGCACCCGCTTCCCCACGTAGCATGGAGGGATTCGATGCAAGCACACTCCGGACTGCCTCACTCGCAGATATAGTCGCAGTACGATGAAACACAATCGCTCCAGCCAGCAGACCAGCTAGGTCGTACGTTGGTGCTAAACGTGCCACAAGTGATCGAGCTGTGTCGAGAGACTTGCTGGGCTGGTTGGAACGAGACACACACGTTGCCTTGGCTTGATCCTCCTGCTGCGATTCATCTTCAGACTCACTAGCTTCCTTGAGCAAGACAGCTTTCGCAGTCGAGGATGCAGGTACTGGCCCTTGTTCTTGTGACTTGGGCATGCATTCAGGCATGTGCGCGGACGTGGTTCCAAGCAATGACGTTCCATCCTGATCCACATGGCGCTTCGCCGTTTGCGCTGGCGAGGCCGATGCTGGCGCGTACGCAGGCACCTCCTGACACGATGTCGGCAGGGTGTGCGGATGCGAATGTGAGTGTGATGGGGACATGACAGGTGACGAGGGCAACGGTGATGGCGATGATGACTGCGAGCGCAAAACTGATGGTGAAAATGTGGGCGATGGCAACGATGAACGCTGGTGATGAGTCGCGCCTTCACCATCCGTGTGCCAGTCAGTCCATCGCGATGGACTCGAAGGCACGTCAGCGAGCATGCCCGGACTTGAAGCACGCGCGCGTTTCATTGGAGATACTGACGTCGTCTGCGGCCTCATAGACACGACTCGGCCGGGCATGTGCGGCATTTCAAAACACACTTTCATCCCGAAGAAGTCGAGCCATGTACGCGTCGCGTCGAGACGGACAATGTGACCTGATTGGTATCGACGACCATCGATGATAAGACCATTTTGGCCAATGACGCGCAAAACGAATGCGCCAACAGGTACTTGGCCACCATCACCCACATGTGTGAAAGGCACCCAACGGATCAGAGCGTGCAGACGACTAGCATGAACCGCACTGGGCGGAAGGCTCACCATGGCGAGAGGTCGCGCTCCTACAAAAGTGCGAGAGTCGCGCAGAGCTGCGGGCATGCTTTCGGGACGCTTGCAGCGTCCGATCAAGAATGTATGGTGGTAGTTGAGCATCACAGGCTCATCGGGCTCATGTTCAAGGCGGATCTCGAATGGTGCGTGCATCGGCTCAGCAAAGCGAGGCAGGTCTATGCGGTCGCGATGTTCCCGCTTCGTTGGTGACACACCACTTCTCTTCCATTCAACATTGTCACGCGTACGTACTGCCCGTGACGGTGATGACGTCGGTGGTGGCGTCGCGACAGGAGCCGTACGATTCGTCCATGGCACCGACGACTTGTCGTGTCTTGGTGATCGCAACAACGACGCATCAGCTTCAGATGAAGGTACTGGCGTAGCCAGCACTCCCTCGGGGGAATACATGGATCAAAGGACCACTCGCACAAGTTTACACTTGTGCGGTCACACACTGAGATGTCGAGGCGTAACAGTAGTTGCGCGCAGAAATAGGACGCCGACACAATCTCCAAAACGATCGGCAAGAGTCACGCTCGCGTCGCGTTTCTGTCACGGGCGCGTCGCGCGTCGAGTGCTTACGTCATCTAGTCGGCCTGGTCGAGCTGATGCGGTGTGTTCTTTGTTGGCTCGCAGAAAGGGCAGGGCCGAGGACAGACAACAAGCTCCACACAGGAGAGCCTTGAGCGAGCGCGCCGGCATTCAGCATGACGGCAGCGGAGCTACATGAGGCCGATGACAAACAGGCAAAGACTCTTGATACTAAGCTGGAATGCAGGAATGAAGCTGAGCACGCGGGTGAGGCCAAGCCAAGCGGAGACAAAGTATCAGGCGTGTGGGACGAGGATAATAACGACGAAGAACGTCGACGGAAAGATGCGGCTGCCGCCGCATTAACGCTGGAAATTGTAGGTGACCTGCCGCATGCAGAGATCAAGCCGCCAGAAAACGTGCTGTTTGTGTGTAAACTGAATCCCATTACACGGAGTGAGGATTTGGAACTCATCTTCTCCCGGTTCGGAACCATTTGCAGCTGCGAGGTCATCAAAGATAAAAAGGTAAGACATGGATCTAGACAGCCAGTGTGCTTACGACGATATAAAAGACAGGTGATAGCCTGCAGTACGCATTTATTGAGTTTGAAGAGCGTGCGTCTGCCGAGCAGGTACGTGCCGTGATACGTGTGACTTACCTTCGATAGGCATATGTCAAAATGCAGAATGTGTTGATTGATGATCGAAGAATCTGGGTCGACTTTTCTCAGAGTGTCTCGAAATTGCACGGTGCTTGGAGAAAGCAACGAGCCAAGCGATCTGGCAAGCAGCGGCAAGCAACGAAGAACCCCGATAGCGATTCGTCCAGATACCCATCGCGTCATGAGCGCGAGCGCAAGCCAACATTCAGGGGACATGAACACGACCGTTCTAACTATCGTGAAGGCCGTGACCGCAGGGCTCGTCAAGAGTCGTACTATCGCGACCCGTCCCAGCACAAAGATCGTTTTGATCGAAGCCCCCAACATCACAATCGCGCATATCGATCTTCTCGCGACAGATCACGCTCTCCGCCGGCAGGTCGAGAGAAGAGCTCTAGTGCGAGCTGAGCATGTCACGCGAATTGGATCGGCGCGTCTCGATGGCAGCATGTCCTGTTCATGTCCAGCAAGAACGTGATCGGGAACCCGATCAATACGACACTGGCAATTGCCCAGCTATGGAGGGAAGCGACACTCGTCTTTTCATAGGTGATTCTTAGAATACGCCCGCCGCCACCATCAACCCCTTTCCCCTCCACCTGCACACTCAGCATGCTCGCTGGCGTACGTGCTCGATCATGTGCGTGGCGAGCATTTCGGACGGGGTGCCTTGCGCCAAGCTCATTGAGACATTGGCCAGCCTGCCAAAGGCGAAGTATAGCCACAGAGTGCATCCGCAACATTGGGATCATTGCGCATATTGATGCAGGCAAGACGACGTTGACAGAACGAATCTTGCATTTGACCCGTGCACAGACACTCAGTGGACTTGAGCCACCTAAGCCACAGGCTTCTTACACGGCTCCTGGCGATGTCGATACCGGAAGCACAGTGACGGATTTTCTTGAGGAAGAGCGTGAGCGAGGAATCACAATCCAGAGTGCGGCTGTGGGTCCTGTTTGGTGGACGAATGCTAGACATGATACACAGTTGCCGGTACAACGGCATGGCAATAGCATGGCAACTTCATCTGTCGCTATCACCCTTGTCGACACGCCAGGACACGTGGACTTTGGAATCGAAGTTGAGCGCACAGTTCGAGTAGTGGACGGAGCCGTCGTTGTGCTGGATGGGGTCGAGGGTGTTGAGCCCCAAAGTGAAAATGTATGGCGACAGACAAAGCGTTATGGTGTTCATGCACATCTGTTTTTCGTCAACAAGCTCGATCGAGAGGGCAGCAGCGTTGGACGATCCATTCGCTCCATTATCGACAAAGGACTGCACGCACGGCCAGTGCTCATACAGTTGCCAGCATATGCTTCGGATGTGGGTGACGATCGTGGAGACATATCGCGCGCAAAATCAGAGAACCCACTCGTTGGTGTGATTGACTTGCTTAGCATGGAACTGCTGCGCTTCGAAGGCGTGGCTGGCGAGCAGATTGTACGAATTCCACTCGATGCTGCCAAACATGCGCCTGTTTTTGCCGAAGCAATTAGCGCACGCTCTGCGCTTGTAGAACTCATTTCGTCTCTGGATGTCCAGCTGCTCGATCGCATTCTCGAGCTGGACGACACAGAAACAGCTATTGAGCGGCTCCCCGTCTCAGAAATAATCCATGCCCTGCGTCGTCTAACACTTCAAGGCGAGGTGTGCCCGGTCCTTTGTGGTTCAGCAGCGGCCAACATCGGTGTACAGCCTTTGCTGGATGCGGTACACATGTACCTGCCAAGTCCTTCGGATCGCCCGCCAGTGGATGGGATCATTGCTCCCGGTACACCTCATGCTCAACCTGTACATGTGGATTTGAATGACCGTAGCACCACAGCTTTGGCTTTCAAAGTCGTGTGGGATAAGCGCAAGGGGCCCATTACGTTTGTGCGTGTGTACTCGGGCACACTACAAAGCTCCATGACGCTTCTCAACACGACCGCCCACAGGAAGGAGCGAATCTCGCGCCTGCTTCTTCCGTACGCTGATCAATACGTGGATGTTCCATCGCTACAAGCTGGTATGATTGGTGTTGTACTTGGTCTCAAAGACACTCGCACAGGCGATACGCTCGTGGATGCGCGTCATGGCGCGGGTGCATCTAAAGGCGCTTGGAATACGCTTCGTCTTCGACGTGTGCACGTTCCTCCGCCCGTTTTCAGTGTGAGTGTGGAAGCGCGCACCAAGGCCGAAGAAGGGGTTGTGGCTGATGCGCTGCGCATGCTTGCACGCACGGATCCAAGTCTACACGTTAGTGAGGGCGGCTCAGGTGCATCTTCTGCACAAACAGTGCTCAGTGGGATGGGCGAGCTTCATCTCGATATTGCCAAGCATCGACTTGAGAACGAGTTCAATGTATACCCGCACCTCGGTCATGTTCGTGTTGGCTACCGGGAGACAATCGCGCAAGACTCCCATGCTGAAGCTACACATCTCTTCGACCAAGACATGAATGGACGCCGCGTCTCAGTCGGTCTCCGCATTCGAGTGCGGACCGACGGTTGCTGAGGCTAGTAAAAATGAAGTTGTTGTTGATTTAGGCGAATCGCCGAACTTCACGTACGAATCAGGTCACGCTCTCTCACAGGTGCTGAGACAAGGGGCCCATGCTGCCCTGTTACGTGGTCCCTTGAGCGGCTTTCCCATGCAGGGTGTCCATGTCACGCTCGACCGCATCCAAGCAGAGGGTCCTGACATGTGTCCGCCTGCGGCCGTCCGACTTGCTGTATCGCAGGCACTACGCCATGCGTTGGGCCATGGATCTCGGACAAAGCCAAGTGACATGGTTTATGGACACACCAAACTGATGGAGCCCATGATGCACGTTTCGATTGAAGCTCCCGCAAATTACGCGGGCAAACTAACATCTGACATCAGCGTCGAGCAACACGGCTCCATCTTGGACATGGGCCAAGCAACAGATGACGCGCCGCCACCAGCAGACTTGAATTCTTCCTACGAGGTGTATATCCCATCGGACCACAATTTTGATGGCTTCGTCGATGACAACACGGCCAACATAAGTGCATCGATGCAACAGCGGCCTATGCGTATTGAAGCACACATCCCACTCGCCCGCATGATGCGCTATAGCACACGGCTACGTGCTTTGACAGGCGGTGCAGGAAGCTATCAAATGACACTCAGTGGATTTGCCATAGTAGCGCCAGATCGTGAGCGTGAGCTTCTACGCGAGCTTGGACGCTTGCCGGCACACATCTAAGCACGTTGCCAGCGCAATTCAATATCAGTCATGCTCACTTCTTCACCTGCCTTCTCATCGTAGTCGTGCCATTCGCCATCCTCGAACTGGACGTCTGTAAACGGCGTGCCACTTTCTGTGCCAACACACTTCCAAGAGCTCGAATCTGTCAATAACTCCTGGATTGAAGGATCGATCGGCTGCATGCCGCGGAATTCTACGGTGCACAGTGTGTGCCAGTCAGGGCCTGCGCTCACGTCTATTTCAGACCACGGCGCAACTTCGCCCATCTTCTCCTCATCTTTTGAGCCAGGCTTACGCACGACAAAGGACGCAGAATTTTCCCGCCTGCAGCTAGGACAGTTGACAATGAGGTTGGCCGATCCACGGCTCTTTTGCATCTCAACCACATTCGAAGGTTCTATCGCCACGAGTTTCGGGTGTTTTTCGTGGCACGACGTACACTCGATCTGTAAAAGAATGGCCGCATCTACGCCCTCGGCGGGAACAAGTCGTGTCACGTTCGTAAACTCGCCTTTTAGTTGTAGCGCAAGATTCGGCATGTTGTGCGACTTCGTGTCGTGTGCCCCACCCAACTACGGTAATGTGACTATTTCAGTTTGACAGACATGTCGCTGCCCAACACACGTGCAACGTTCCATGCTGTGGGATCAGTCTCCTCCACTTCCGATAAGAGAGCACAGACTTGGCAAGTAGGATCCTGGGTTAGTACGCGCCGATCCATGACAGGCCCATGATTCTGTCCGCCGCTCTGATCAAAGTGTGATCATTACCTATAGACCGAAAGCACTCGTATCTGATGTCTCTGAAATACATATATATATATATATGTGGATTGATGCATATGTATATGTGGCACGACAAGTCATTCATACCATACCTAGGGCTTCGGCACTCGAAGGGTCTTGCTCACCATGGCCATAGACCAAACGAGCCAAACAAATGAAAATGTATGTATCGAAATTACCCCAAATTCATTCGCCCAGCCAGCGAGTGTAGTAGGCAACACGTATTGAGGCAACACTCCTCCCGTCACAAGAAGCGAATATAGCGCGTGGGAGAAATCAAGTGAACAGGTGCCAAGCGGTAAGCCATTGCCAGGAATCCAACCATGCCATGTTCCTGTGAATGGAAGCGACTCTTTTACCATGCTCGGTGACCAAGCTCCGTCAGCTACATCGAAGCGGCCAAGCAATAGACAGAGAGCCAGCACGCCTACAAGTGCCAAGCTTGAAGGGATGGGTAGCCCTTCAAAATAACGCGTTTTCCCATGTGAATCTTTCGGTATGTTTGCAGCTGAAATATTAAAACGTGCGAGCCGTGCAATGCCCGCGCACACAAATACAGTGAGGATCAAAGTGTCAAGTGGTTCACGTAGACCCATCGCAAAGACAGCCACGGAGGGAGCAACGCCAAAAGACACAAGATCAGCAAGTGAATCAAGTTCCTGTCCGAGCATACTGCTTGACTGGCGCCACCGAGCGATTTTACCGTCTAGGAAATCGAAAATAGCACCGAAAAAGGGGAACCATAGTGCATACCACATATAACGAGGATTAGATGTCGCAAGGAATCGACCTGACATATACAAAGACTGCGCTCCGCAAAATCCATTCATAAGCGTGAATGCATCCGCTAAGTGAAAGTTCCTGTCACATAAGTAAGTCACAAAGCTGAGCATTCCCACAGCAAGTTCACTTACCGAACGAGGCTAAAGTGGCCATTGGTCTCGATAAACCGCTTTAATTGAATCTCCGCATCATCTCTTAGATCTCCGAGAACTTCTTTTCGGTCCGAATGGACGCGCACACGTTGACGCAATCCAGCATCCGTGCCTGCCATAGCTGACACAAAATCGGCTCGATAACCTGGTGAAGCATCCTTGCTGCACGGGTCAAGCGCAGCTCGGCTCGAGTCTTGTGGCAGCGTGCAGCTCCACATGCACGTGGCGAAATTTTATCATCTTTCACCCTTCCCCCCGCGCCCTAGTGGCGCTGACTCAGTGCCAAGCAGACATCGCTTGCCGAAGCCAAGATGTACAGATGCGTCTAGTTACGCTGGCATACAAACCGATGATGAGGGCCGATAGCACAAACACCCAACGGCGAAAGAACACGAGATGCATGACTATACAGAATGGCTCCATTCAGCCCTATGAATTATATGGAGTAAAGCTTAATGCCTGAGATGGATCCCTGCACTTGCTGCGAGTTGCGTTCGACTGCTGACATGTCAATCTCGTTTGGGTCGGCCTGCTCGCTGGGCTCTGCACTAGGACGCGACGGAGCCGCAGAGGTGAAGCCAGAATGCACCATCAGAGAATGATCCACCTCGCGAAGCAATGCATTCGAAGGCGTCGGCATAACATCAGGGACAGATAAGCGACGTGACGCGTTAACAATTAGCTCTTCTTTGGAGGGTGCATTCGTACCCAATGGATGCATAGACACAGGCATACCGGCCGCTACATCCTGGAGCCGCTGCAGTACATCGACGATCTTATCATTGGCCAGCACCAACGCACTTAGATAGAAGCTGTCGCCAACAGTATGAATAAAGTGTACAATTTCTTTCTGCAGCTCGAGCGTTAGGGTGGCATGTGTCTTAACGTCAGGATTTTGCATGATCGGCTCGCTCGATTTGCTGGCAGCAGCCATAGCATTCAGTAGATTTTCGCACTCTTTATCTGAAGCCTCAATTGTACCTTCAACGCTGCTCAAGCCATGGGAATGCAGTAAATCAATCGCACGTCGGTTCTCAGGTGCCGAACTTGGGTTTGTTCGATTTATCGAGGCCAAAGGTTCCCGGTCAACACCACCGCAGAGACCGTACAGACTCGATACATGCGCCATCTCGGGATCGCGCATAAAATGGCGGTGCCATGAAAGCAAGATTAGCATAAGCTTACGTCGAACGCCATTGTCGGTGCCGAAGCTCATAGACGTGCTTTTCAGTGAAGACACAAGACTAGGTGTCGCGAATGACTTTTGAAACTGGGGTGTGCCCATCTCTACAATGCCTTCCAACACGGTCAAAGCTCGCTTTTGGTTATGCACAGAGTCACCCATGAGATGCTGACTGATCGCCTTGGCGACATCATTGGCGGCATTAGGGGATTGTTCAATCAAATCGACTAATTCGCCAATGCTGTAATTCTGTTAGATACATGCCGTGAAAGTCGACCAAGCTGTTGTTACAACATACCCGTCATAAGACGTCTCGGAGTACTGCAACATGTCAGACGTATACCACATGGATGCGGAGACTTACCTTATCAGTACATAGTTCGTGGATGGCCCCTTCCACTCCTTGGGTCTGGTTCTCGTGACCAACATGAAAGTGCGGCAGATGCAGATGGTGGTGATTCTTGCTCTGAGGCGTAAGACTTCCACATTATCTACGTACCTCTGACGCCATCCTCCCACAAGTTTTGTTGTAAGTGCGGGTAGAGGTCCCAGTCGGTAACGTATGCACGTACTCTGCGCATACACATGCAAACATATACGAATAAAAATATCTAAATTAGGAACACCCGGTCCATCTGCTGCAGATGATCCACCTATAGGAAATAATCCGGTGCGGGTCTTTTAGCGGGCAAACCGGGCGTGCTAAAATGAAATAAAAATTATGGTCAGCCTCCATCTAGATTACGTTCATGCACGCACCCTTGTTCAGCCGCATCAAATGTTTTGTACTTTTGGTTCAAGGCATCATCCAATTCCAGTATGCTAGCCACATTACCGCATCGATAGCAATAATTCGGTGCACTCCACACCGTCACAATTGTAGCGTCAAACATCTGCTTATACCCTTCCAATATTAACTGGTGCGCCCGAGCAATGAAGTCAAGGCCATTCGTGTGAACAAAGCCTTTGACAACATCCCCGCCGAAAAGGTACCCAGCCCCGCGTGGCGATACACCCCAACCGCTAATGTCTGATAATGGTACGTTGGATGTGAGAATCAGTGACATGGAATACCGACGTACCGTCTGGATCCGACCACAATAAATCACACATTGCCCCATCTTGCGGTACTTCTTGCTTGCGATCAATTGAGCGAATCTGGTCCAGTTTAAGGATATTTGGACTCAGCCCACCGTGCACGCAAAACACACGCCCATCAACAATAGCCCCAAGTGACAAATAGTCAAACACTTCACAGCAATACCGCCATACATTCACATTTCCATACTTCCGAGAACACTCATCGTAAAACCCATACACTTGCGTAATTTGACGTGATTCGTGATTTCCACGAATCAAGACGATTCTATCAGGATATCGCACTTTTAGTGCCAGCAAAAGCAGAAATGTTTCGACAGAGTAAAGCCCGCGGTCAACAAAATCGCCTGCCAAAGCGTCAGCCTAGCCACAGTGCACAAAAGCTAGTGATACGTACCCATAAAGAGGTATCTGGTATCTGGGCACATGCCACCGACGCTGAAAAGCTCCATTAAATCATAAAACTGCCCATGAATATCACCGCAAATTGTCACGGGTGCATCTACATGCTGGATATTCCCCTCTTCAATCAGCATTTCACGAGCCCTGTCGCACAAGTCTTTGACTTGTGCTTCTGTCAGAGACTCGCACTTCTTTAATTGCGATATTTGTCTTTCAAAAATTAGCCAGCAATTTATACTTACCGATCCAAATCACTACTCATTTCTCATCGCAAAAGCGCAACGCCAAGCAAAGATCAGCCGTACCAGCAACAGGAAGATGACGACGATGAGAACGCTCCACAAAATAAAACTGTCCTTCTGAAAATAGAGCCTATCAACCGGCACTGGCCCTTTCCAAGCTATGAACCCCGACCCGCATACTCACTACAAAAAAAAATTAGATACGCCCTAGTAGGTACCTTGCTGTGGTGACCTGATTAATAATACAGCTAATTAAAGGCCCATGCCTTCAAGAGATAGGGAACGAAGCGAGGCTTAGGCCTATCAAACATCATGATCTCGAGCAGCGTTGCAAGGTTGTCTCAGCTCAGTCTCCGAAGAGCTGTGTCACGTCACCACGTTTATGCAACGCAAATTACTATCCATGGAATCAGATCCTATGCCGTCAAGGTTTCCAGGAATCCTGATTTTGGGACTATTACTTCTCCGATCTTGCAACAATTTGCTTCAGTCTTATCAACCCCTCAAACTTCGCTCATTAGCACGATTCCCTCTGAAAGGAAAGAGTGGAACACAGTGGAAGAGTCAGAATTAGACTCATATAACAAAGACTGGATGGGAAAATACATTGGACGGTCCAAGTGTGTAATTCGACCCAAGACAACAAACGAAGTGGCCCAAATTATGCGGATTTGTTATGAACATCGCCTCGCTGTTGTTCCACAAGGAGGAAATACGGGTCTTGTAGGTGGAAGTGTTCCGGTCTTTGATGAAGTTGTATTGAATCTGAGTAGTTTAAATCAGATTCGCAGCTTTGATGCCACATCAGGAACACTCGTATGTGATGCTGGTTGTATTCTTGAGACTTTGGACGACTTTGTCGCCAAAGAAGGCTACATGATGCCACTTGATCTAGGCGCCAAGGGTAGCTGTCACATCGGTGGTAATGTGGCAAGCAACGCAGGTGGACTCCGTTTCCTTCGATACGGCTCGTTGCATGGCACAGTTCTTGGATTGGAAGTTGTACTTCCCAATGGCGACATATTGCCAGGCCTCCAAACTTTGCGCAAAGACAACACAGGCTTGGATCTCAAACAACTTTTCATCGGTTCTGAGGGCTCCCTCGGCATCATTACAGGTGTAGCAATCGCAACGCCTAAACGCCCAACATCTGTCAATGTGGCCATGTTCGCTGTCGAGTCATTTGAAGCTGTTAAAACGACTTACCAGCGTGTGCGCCAGCACTGCGCTGAGATTCTCTCTGCTTTCGAGTTTATTGATCAGCAATCATTTGATCTAGTTCTGAAAAACACGTCTAGAAAGCCCCGAGATCCATTTGAGGAACGTTACCCCATGTATGTACTCATTGAAACGAGTGGATCAAATCAGGAACACGATGAGTCAAAGCTCCAAGGACTTCTTGAAGACTTGATGGAATCTAGTATCATTTCTAACGGTGTGGTTGCTCAAGACGAAACGCAAATCAAAGCCCTTTGGTCTCTGCGTGAAAGTGTGCCGGAGTCACTAGGCCATTACGGGAAAGTGTATAAGTATGATGTGAGTCTACCAATGGACAAGATGTACGAGCTTGTGCACATCCTACAGGACCGGGTGATTGGCTCAGGAATGATGCCTAGTGCGAACGAGCCAGGACGTGTCAAGGCCGTATGTGGCTACGGGCACTTCGGAGATGGTACGTTATCAGCATGCGCACTAATATCTAGGTAATTTGCATATCAACGTGGTCGCAGAAAACTATGCCGCTGACATTGAAAATGTGATCGAACCCTACATATATGAGAAAGTCCAAGAAATGAGGTATGCATGCATGTGACAAACTTACGGATAGCGGTTCTATTTCTGCGGAGCACGGACTCGGTGTCATGAAACCTGACAAAATTGGATACACGAAAGACCCCCTGTCAGTGCATTACATGAAGCAAATCAAACGATTGTTTGATCCACAGGATATAATGAATCCCTACAAAGTATGTGACTTGCTGAGTAATTGTACACTGACCTCGAAGTACCTTCCAAACGAAAATTACGTCGCTCGCTGAACGGGCGAATTCGGCAAAGGCCGGGTCGTTGGTGTGGCAACAACTGCTGTGTAGCGCGTGTGCTTTTAAATCGTATATTTTCTTGTACCTGAGGATAGTTGCCACAGCTTTTACTTGAGAAATGTCTTACGGAACACATCGTGAAGTTGGTGATGTCAAATATCGCGAGGCGTACGTCTTTTTTTTTGACTTCGCACAGGTTGTGCGGAATGGGTGGACCTAACATGCAGGCAATATAATTATGCGTTGAAGGCAGGTGGACTAGGATTCCTAGGCGGTCTGGCTGCTTCATGGACTGGCTTGAGTCTGCTTCAGAGGCGATATGCTCACATTCGTAACCTGGCCTTGCCGTTCCGGGCTGGGATTGTTTTCCTGAGTAGTATGGGTGTGGGCGTCATTTTTGCCGATAAAGCTGGTATTAAATTTGACCAAATGAACTATACGGATCAAAGTGCTGCTATTGGTCGTCGTGCCATGAGCGAGGCGGACAAGGCGTGGGAGAGTCTTTCTACTGCCGACAAGGCTCTGACTTGGACTAAGGACCATAAGTTTAGTGTGGTCATTGGAAGTTGGTTGGCCTCGATGGGCGGGTCGTGGTTGTACATTCAGTCACAACCATTGACATTCGCTCAGAAGCTCGTACAGGCGCGTGTATGGGCACAAGGCCTTACGGTTGCAAGCCTGATAGGTATGGCGGCGCTTGTCCAGATTCCGTCGGCTGGTGACAAACTTATCTCTGGCAAGGGCACCGATGACCACTCGTGGGAGAAGAGATTGCAAGAGGCCCAACAGAGACAATGAATCCTCTTTAATGACAAATAGCAAGACCCACGTCGCGATAAACTCTGGAATAAAGGATTAGTTTCGGAAAGACTCTATATGACAACCGACAGTGTCAAACAACGGAGATATAGAAATGGCTTAATCGATATGTTTACCGGAAGACTTTTCAAGACACTCTTATTCGTTCAATTCTGTTTCCCGCTTGAGCGTGAATGTAATAGACAGGCAATGGTCCTACTTGGCAAACAGTATCACGTAGGTCATGATTCCATTCCTGTGCCAGGCACATGCCCTCTTGACGCAATACCGCTTGCGACCTCGTCGGGTCGCTTAAATAGGCGAAGCTGGTATGAAATTTTGTATCTTCAAAATATGCTCTAGCACGAAATAAGTTAAACAGAAGTTGATTGAGATGTAGTGAGAGAGCGTGAAGCTACCGTAGGGGTCAATAGCACGACGTACGAACCTCTTGCCAACCGGAGCTAACTTCTAGTGTGAGAAACACACGGTCAGATGTATCGCTTTTCATGCAAGCAAACTGAGAAAATCCAATTTCGAAACTAGAGTAGTGCAAGTAATTAGTATCCATGTTTTAAACGTACGGTTGCAAAGCAGTATCCTGGATTGCTCGAGACACTTGAGCAAAGAAAGTATTTTGTTCATGTTTTCGTAGAACAATGGGTCGACTCAAAGATATATGTAATGACTTTGAATCGCTTCTTGTCAGATCAAATAGAGGAAAAAATGGTACGTTTGACATATTTCTTCCATTAACATGTCGTAATAGACGCACAAGGCCTGGCGTGGATATCGGAACTTCTTGTCAGTCGTGTACAAAAACATACCGTCGATGTAAACGTAGCTGAGCCATTCATTACTCCCACGATCATCGGAAAGTTTCAACAATGGAAGCCGTCTTCGCGGGCCCACCACGGCTTCTTCATCCTCGTCCGAGTCTGAATACACCACTAGCTTCGACGGCATGCACACAACGTTTCATTGATATTTTTTGGACGCGCACGGTCATCAACCAGCCACGTGTGATGGGAACGAAATTTTACATTTTTTGGGCTTCAGCATATGGCGAGGAAAAAAATTATGAATTTCGTTCCACGCAGCTGGGCACACTGGTAGTTAGTGTCTCATTTATTCGTGCGTGCGAATCGCTCTACGCCTAAGACGGAGAAGATGCCGTCTGTAGAGCGCACAGTTTCAGATGCAGCGGGAAGACCTGCTCAATATCAACAGCTTTCTCGTAAAGGCAAAAAAGCTTGGAGGAAAAATATTGATTTACAAAATGTCGAAGCAGCGTTGGAAGATGCAAGAGAACAAGAAAGAGTTACAGGTACACCAGCCCATAAGCGCAGCGATGCGGAACTGTTTGTGGAAGACCGATCTGGACAAGAGACGACATTGGCACGTCAGGCGCGTGAAAAGCGCAAGTTGCGGTCGCAAGAGATCCTTTCACAGCGAAGTGCTGTACCTGCGATGCACCAAAAAGCCCGATCATCATTTCAATTAGATACAAAGAATCCAGGAGGGAAAGCTGTTGCCGCGGGAATACCTGAGAAACTGAAAAAGCGATTGCGAATATTGGCTTCGCGACCGCATGAAGGATTGCAAGGAGAATCTGAGCAAGGCAGTGCGGGCAAGTTTCAAAGTGATGCTGCCCTCGCGAGTAAACACGATTTATGGAGTACGCCGCCATCCAAAGTGGATAACGACTGGGTCATGCCAGCGATAAAGAAGAGTGTGCATCGACCCACATCCATGAATCATGAGCCTCTTGCTCCAGCAAAGATGATGCCTGCTGTATCGGCGCCTCATCCTGGCACGTCTTACAACCCGGATTTCGACAGCCATGAAGAATTAGTACAAGCAGCGTTTGAAAAAGCCAAAGCGGAGGAAGCAAATGACCATGAAAAAGAGACGTTGAATGCGAAGTGGAAAGATGTTGCCCGCGGACCTACAACCTCGTTGCCTATTGATATGCCTATCGATGTAGACGACGAAGTGCTACCAGCCCATAATGGCGAGCTTGAGGAGGGAACTGCAGAGGGCGACGAGAATGCACATACCCTAAAGTTACCAGGACGTAAAACAGCTGCACAACGTCGTCGCGAAGCCCGATCGAAAGAGCAGCACACTCTAGCAGTACAGCGACGCAAGGAGCGCCAGCTACGTGCCATAATGTCAGAAATGCCCGGACACGTTAAGAACTTGAAAAAGCTGGCACAGAAACGAGCGGAGCTGAGCGAGCAACGGCAACAGCACAAAATTGAGAAGCTCAAACAGGCAGGTATGGCTGGGAAACGAATCAGCAAGTATGCGGTGCCTGAACAGCGAATGGATGTGCAAACAGGCGACGAGTTGAGTGAAAGTCTTCGCCAGCTCAAGCCCGAAGGCAATTTATTCTGGGACCGCTTCCAAAATATGCAAGCCCGTGGTCTTGTGGAAGCGCGTAAGCCCGTCAAGCCAAAACGACGTCTCAAGACGAAGACGTATGACCGACATACTTTCAAGCGTGATGACATCTGATACATGATTCTACAGAGCATCTGACGGAGGTGACTAAATGAGAAGTCGGAATGGATATGGTGGACTGGATAGTGTGTGAGCACTGGAGCTGAAGAGAGCGCATAGTGACGTAGTACATACTTTTTAAAGGAGAAAACTTTGGCATACAGGCCATACAATAACACAAAGCAAACAGCACCTGCAATTACAACGACGCGCTGAACGATCGCCGAGTCGATGCTTGGGGCTAGGCGCGTAAGCACCATCACAACAGCCACAAGACCCGCGTACAGTGCGATCATGCACATGCTCTCAACTCCATATTGAGCCTGGAAGCCAGAGGTGAAGTAGATTGGCGAGCCGTTAGGTTCATAGACCATAAATGGAGCTGTATGGATGCGAGTCCACATATACCCCGATGTATACGTCAGCACGAGACCCAAGCAGATGATCAAGCCAGACGTCTTGAGCGCTTGCTGAAGAGAGCCTTGACGGAGCACAAAGAAAACCGAGGCGAGAAACAGGAATATGGGAATAAGATAAGCAGTCACATTCTTGGGGACCAAAGGCTTCTTAGGTTTAAATGGAACGCCGATGCGCTCAGAGAGGAATTGCGCCAAATCATCTGGATCGTATCCGTTTAATGCGACATCGAAATCTTCATGCTTTGAACCAGCAGCAGAAACAGCTGGTGGATGGTAGTTTAATATGGGTACATACGCAATTCCCAGCTCACGGAAAAGCCCCATTGCATCGCCCGCGTCGATCGTCGCAAACACAAGTCGGTCGTGTTCTTTCTTAGATTTCCAACCACGTGCAACCTGTTCAAATGGCTCACGGATCAGACCGCACGCGGCACACCGAAACCTGGGACTAAGAGCCGTCAATTGGACAAAAACAGCATAATCCCGAGGAGCTGCAAGCAGACTTTTGTAAGATTCCTCATTTAATTTAAGGACGCCGTTCGGCGATTGATGTGCTGCCTTGACCAATTTTTCCTGCAAAGGACTCGCAGCTGCAAACACGCCCATACATGAAAGCAAGGTGCCCAACGCACATAACAGCCACCATGCCCCAATTTTCATGGTCGCAGACGCAGACGTGACACGCTATGTGAGATAGTGAGAGAAGCTCGGACCACGTGCACTCATTTCCCCATCCACTGCCGTCGCCGCCCTCGGATACATTCGTCACGTGGTTCAGCATCAACCAACCTCACGTTTCGTCATGTTGAACATAGCTTACAGTTGGGTGTTTGACGTGAATGGTGCATCATCAGGACAATGCACGAAAAACCCGAAACCAACAGGGGAAGGCTTCGTGCACCTGGATAATTGTAGCTCGGAATTAGCGGCGTTAGCCAATGCACTAGATCGAACACGCACACAACTCAATGACGTTGTCACAATCTGGAAAGATGCGGCAGGTCCAGAACAAGATTCAAACATGGGACGAAGTAATTCGGTATCTAACTCAACCACAAATAACAAGACAGAGCGCGGAAATGTTGTTGATCCAAAAGATGACGAGACAGACGATTATGATGACGAAAATGATGATGGCGAAGACGAGAACTAGGTAAACAAACTACATCACTTGAAAGTTTACACTCGGAGCGAGAAGCAAACATATTGACACTACGATCGCATATCTGTAGCCTTTTTTTGGACAAGTTGTGGATCCAATTCATGTGACAATCTCGGCATTCCCGCGGGCTTGACATGGTGCAGCTCATGACTTACTTCGCGACCCAGACGAGGTGGCGTGGAAGAAGTAATAAATTCTGTGCGGATAGGTAATTTTGCAGCAGCAAGGCGAAGTGCTTTCGTCGTTAAACGATTATGAGTCGACGTACCATCTTTTGCTACTTCTGGGCGTATTTCCACATGACCACCGATCTCAAATATGACTCGTCCCACAGGAACGCTAATAGCTTGTAAGTGATCGACAAAGCAGTTTACGTACCGACATGCCCAATATTCGAACGACCCTTTTCCCTTACCCATACGAGTCTCATTTCCCTTGACGCAGAAGGGTATGTCGGGAAACACTCGCATAAAAACCTGCGAACCACGAACTACTTTTAACTTGCGCTTCAAAGCTGTTTCAGCAGCAGTGAGCTGAGTTGCAGTAATGCGAGATGGATCGAGTGCCCGAAGACCATAAACACCCTGTGTCACAGTTGTACCCTTCACAGAGCCACCAGTCGGAAATGGAACGCGTCCTTTTTGAGCTTTGCGGTATTTTGTACGACGAGGCCCTAAATTCGAAGCGCAACGAATTTGTCCTGGTACAGCACTAGGAGGGCTAGGCATGATAGATGAGCGCGCGCCTATCATAGGGGCAGTTAGTGCTGCAAATGATGCGCGTGTCTGAGACAGGAATGCACGAAATGACATGCTCTGGACGTTGGTGAAGTGTAGAAGATATCCCCTCGTCGTTTCACTGATGTGTGTGTGTGTGTGACTGAATTTGCAATAATTTTATTTCGCGAGCGAATTGTGCAATACGCGTGAAGGGGCCTGCTTATTGCAGCATATATCGACGGAGGCCACTTCGTTTGAATTACCCTTAAGCAAATGTCATACTCGAATCCTACTACATATGAACAGCAAAATGACGATTCATTGAATCGTCTATTTAACAAAGTACATTCATTGGTGTGTATTTTGGTATAATTGAGTTAACTTTAGCGCGAAGTGACAATCAATATCCATAATGACTCTGAGCAACAACGCGGACTTCTCCAAGACACTGTACGTGGTGACTACTAATGGATAAGTCTAGCACTTTTGACCAACTACGAGAAAATATAAGCGCATCGTCCAGACGTTTTACAGCAAGCATAACGAAGTACACTGGCTCTCATAGAATGACCGCAGCCATTGTGGGTATATTTATTGGACTCTGGGCTCTTTGGTATTTCTTCTTTTAGATTTATGTACTTTAAAACAAAATAATGATGTGTATCCGAAGCGACAGCTATTCTTTCAGGTCAAACTATGGGAGTAGCAAAAAGTATACACGTACTGACGGCTACCATGGTTTCACATGGAGCACTGCAAAAAACGAGTGGAGAATGTGGGAATTGAACCCACGACCTCATGCATGCTAAGCAAGCGCTCTACCACTGAGCTAATTCCCCGACCTCCGTTAGTCGCACTGACAATGACATATATGATACATTCAATATAGTCATATTTGACCAACAATTTCACAATGGACTTGGCAATCGTCTCTGTTTTCGAGAGCCGCACTTTCTTAAGAACTACGACGAGCCATACTTCTGACGGTATGCCTGCATACTTTCAATATCAGCACGAGCCGAGTCTCCTCGCGTCACTTCCATATGCTTGATTATTTGTGCCAGAGTCACCACACTGTACACCTTGACGCCCAGTCGCTTTTCGACCTGCATGATTGCACTCTCCGTGGTCTCCTCTGACGCACGCTCTTGCCGGTCCAGTGCGATCACAACGCCGACCATAGAAGCATCAGGCTGGGCGCTGATAATGTCGACAGCTTCGTTAATAGCAGTACCTGCGGTAATAACATCATCAACAACAAGGACACGTCCCTGGAGAGGAGCCCCAATGAGATTACCACCCTCGCCGTACGACTTTGTCTGCTTGCGATTGAAGCAGAAAGGAACATCGCGACCATGAATCCTTGCAAGCTCCAAAGCAGTCGCAGCTACTAGAGGAATTCCTTTGTATGCAGGTCCAAACAGAACATCAAATTCAATTCCACTTTCCACAATACGGTTCGCATAGCACTCCGCCATTTTCTGTAGTTTGTGTCCTGTGTTGAATAATCCCGCGTTGAAAAAGTACGGAGACTCACGACCAGATTTGAGTTTGAATGGTCCTCCGAAACGCAGAATATTCCATTTGAGAGCAAGGTCAATGTACTCGGACTGGTAGGGTTGCAGTGTTATATCCGACATGATTATGGTAGCACGCTGGAATGTGTACAATATTGACTTGCAAGTAGAGCAATTCTTACTTTATTTCCTGGTAACTTGACCAGTACTAGAACATCAATTCCAATTTTGCCCTCCACGGGTCAACAGCCCCTCGTCCGTCTACGCTGGTGGTGTGAGCGACTACCCACGTTACCTCCACGCGTGGAGGTTTGACGATCCGTCAAATCCACCAAAGGGCTGCTAGAGGTACGCCGCTGGGACACAAAGCCAAGCTCTTTACAAGATGAGCGAGCAGCCGGACAAGCCGCAAGAGAATTCGATCCTTTCAGAGATTCATTCTCTTGCACCTTACTTCTCATACGATGAATCGAATGGACGCTCAGATGCTTCGACCAGGAAGACAGACGCAGCTCCGCGCCAGCCCCATCAAGGTCTACAAGAGAGCATGATGCTTTGGGAGAACAGACGCAAAGAGTATGTTCATGGAAGCTAACCAAACCAAAAGAATATTAGAGGAAGCAAATGACCAGGTCGTGGTCGATCGTCAACATCGTCGCATGACGCCGCATTTGATGGATACGAATGCACGACTCACAAGTTCCATGACAAATATTGGCTCGAGTGTCTTGGCTGATCCGACAGCATCAGAAAGCCTTACAAATTCTGTCATCATGCCGTGGGCCAGTGCATCTATAAAAAATGATATCGTGCGCATCATAGCCCAGTGGCTGGCTGATGAGGGATTTGGCGCTACACGACAGGCTCTACTAGAAGAGGCAAGTCTAAAAGTGCGAGGACATGATGATGAAGTCAACGAAAGGCATAAACTACGTACTTTCCTTCTCGAAGGCAATTGGACGGAGGTTGAGAAGTTGTCTTCCAAACCGTTTCTCAAAAGTCACAAGCCATTTCTGTATGCGATTTTTCGGCAACAGTTTCTTGAGTTTATCGAAAATCGCGAATTCCAAAAAGCATTCACATTTCTAATGAAACGGCTAAAGCCGCTCGAGCACTACCAGCCACACGCGGCGGAGTTTGGTGATCTTTGCTACTTGCTCTCTGCTAAAAGTGTCACAGACGCACCGTCTTTCCGCATGTGGGAGGGAATCCAGCCTGGTCGAGAAGCACTAGTCGCTGACTTCGCATCGTTCCTTGAGCCGGGTCGCCTTGATCGGGAACAGCTGCTTCCTGAAGAAAGTGATCCTGTTACTACGCCTCCCAACAATGTGTTTGTTCCGCCCCACAGGTTGCTGACGCTCTTGCACCAAGCCATGGCATATCAGGTGGAATTTGCTCGTTACCAAAAGCGCACAGTACCTGTTGTATCGACACTTCTGCACGATTACTCCGGTTTCGTTGTACCGAACCGATGCCGCATGACACTGCGCGGGCATACGCAGAATGTCAAATGCGTAAGATTCGTTGGCGATGACGGCGGAAAGATTGTAAGTGGATCGAGCGATTGTACTGTGCGGCTGTGGGACACGGCAACAGGCATATGTGATGCAGTTCTAGAAGGGCATGGGAGCCGAATTTGGGATGTTGACGCTTCTCGTAACGGAGCATGGGTTAGCAGTGCCAGCAGTGATGCAACGGTGCGTCTCTGGAATGTGGAATCGAAGCTATCGCATCTCACTCTTCGATGTGGCTTTGGAGATGTCTACTGCTGTCGCTTCAGCCCTGATGAGGGGCACATTGTGACAGGAGGCTATGATAAACTCGTTCGCTTGTTTGACTTGGCGAGTGGCTCAGCCATCCGAATGTTTCCAGGTCATGAGCTAGGTGTCTCTTCGGCCGTTTTCAGCCCACAAGGTAGCTTGATTGCGACAGGAGCAAAAGACACGAGCGTGCGCTTCTGGGACACTCTTAGCGGCGTATGTGTCCGTACGCTACCAGGGCATCTCGGTGAGGTCACCTCGGTCGAGATGAGCGACGATGGTCGGCAGCTACTGACGTCGTCAAAAGATAATTCACATCGACTGTGGGATATGCGCATGCTCCGTCCGCTGCAGAGATTCAAAGGACACCAAAATACCTCAAAGAACTTTATTCGGTGTGCCTTTGCGCATCCTAGTCTGATTGTGAGTGGCTCAGAAGACGGGCTAGTATGCATGTGGGGCCAAGAGTCACCTCTAACCTTGCAAACACTCGAAGGCCATGGTATCGAGTCAACAACACGAGCCGATGGCAGTACGACTGTACCCTTTGCCGCGTCAGAATCGGTGTTTGCACAATCCCATCATGGCCGCAAGCAGGTCGTGGTGTACAGTGCAGTTTGGAACAAAGTGCAAGGTCTGCTTGCGAGTTGTGCGGACGACGGCACGGTCCGCTTGTGGGACTGGACCCCGCCACACGAAACACATGCGTAGCGTAAATGCTTCCGATTATCCCGTTTCTTTCTCAATATTTATTTTTCTTCTTCTCGAAAGAGCCCTGCTTCGTTACGGGACTCCATTCGTTTCAGCTTAATTTTTTTGTGCTCGAGTAGGTTACTGTATTTTAACGGGAATGACGCTGATAAAACCGCCTCCAAACTCGTTCGTCAGTCGCTGGTGCTTGGTACTTGAAAGCATGTGGACGATATTGCATTAGTTCCCGTTTGGCTTTCTCCGTTGCTTCGATATTCTGGAGACGTGCGTGCAGACCAAGCTCAACTTCAGGCACACTTGTCAACAATGCCGTGGTTCGTGCACCATCGTTGTCGTGGTGTTGTGCATACTCAGAAGAGCCTGGATTAGCTAGTTTTCGCATCTCTTCATCCGAAGTGAAAAGACCAGAACGATGACGCTCCATTTGGTGCTCCACAAACTCGTTCCTGATACGTAAGAACGATGATATCAAAGAGAATGCATACGTACATCCGGACATCAGTGTTCGCAGAGTATGATTCGCCCTGAAAGTTTGATTGATTTACAAGACGTGCAGCACGCCCTTCAGTCTGGGGTGCAACATAAGAAGATGGCGGTTCGTCCCGATCCTTCAAAGTGCCATGATTTAGGCTATCAACATCTAGACCCCCCGGTTTTTTGTGTGAGTGGCGCAAAGACACGAGCTCGTCAAGAGCGACAGATGAAGCTCCTTCATTATCATGCTCGATTGAATATAAGGACGTGACACGCCCCCCACGTCCAGTGCGTGCACGCTTTTTGAACAAAGGACGCGTCTCATCATAGCTCATGTGTTCAGCTAATGCTCACAATGCCAGGTCGCCAGCAATACCTGCGATGACTCAGCAGCAGCATAGAGCAATCAACAGTGCAGATTTAGAGAATCAGTTTCACGTACTTTCCCTCCACTTCCAGGTGCCGCTTGTTCTAAAGACAAAGGAGTATTGGACCAGCTCTGTGATGCCATACACTTCCATAATTATTGTATGAATTGTTGTACATGCCAAGGACGTTTCTAAGAAGTATAATATACGTGGAGTTGAATGATGGTCGCCGGGCTATTTCTGGCACACTCGCTTGTATGGATAATGAAGGCAACATAATACTTCATGAAGCGACTGAGCACACACTAGGAGAATCGGACCAGTCGGAGCGATTTATCCCACTTGTAATGATTCCTGGAAAACACATTGCTCGTGTGGCGACGCCTATTTCAGATTTGGATCCAAGTCTCTATCTCTAACCAACCTTACTTGGGCATGTTTTGCTGCAGCTTCTCGTAAATCTAGCAAATTCGTTAGTTACGCAGGTTTACTTCGACTGGTTTATACGTACAGCCTGGAGCTCTTCCTTTGGTGGCTGCGTAGATGGCCAGCCAACCACAAGACCCTTCTCAGTCGAAGGCTTCGGGATAACATGGACTATCTGTTAGCATTGGTTTATTTCCCTCTTCGCATACGTACAATGGACGTGATCCACGACTTGATGTGCCATGCGGCCATTGTTCTGTAAAATGTTGTACTCCGCAGCACCCGTCGCGATAGCCAATTTTTTCGCAATAGGAAGAATATCTTGCAAATAGTCGTCGGGAAGCTCGTGCATCTTGGCGGCGTGGTACTTAGGGATCACAAGGCTATGGCCCTGCGAGCAAGGACCGATATCAAGGAAAGCGTACGACTTATCCGTTTCAAAGAGCTTCATGGAGGGAATTTTTCCATCAATGATCTTGCAAAAAATGCAGTTAGCATCGTGCGACATCTTAGATAATTGGCGGAACAAGGATTGAGTTGGCTTAAGTATGTTGGGCAAGCACCTAGAAAAGAGGTCGTGTGCAACAGAGGTGGGGTGGGTGTCGTGCGAGCCCGCCGAATTCCCTCCCAACGTCCGTGCATGAGTCTGTCACGTGGTTCACCAAATGACACGCGCACGTCTGGATGGACAGACAGTCGTGCCCTGGCGCACTTCCAAGTCTCCCCCACTCGTGCGCGATTTGTGACATTAAACAGACCTTCAGCGCTATTGCGGCGTCTTGGTTGTGCCCAGTCAGTCTCTTGTCTAGCATTTTTTTCTTTCTTTATACCTTGAAAAAAAAATCATGGCACCCACAGTATACTGGACGCCGCCGATGCGAACGGTGCCAAGCTCGATGGATGACTTGGAGCATGCCGTGGCGCCTAGCGCAAAGCCTGTACCAACACCGGAATCCGTACCTGATGTAACTCCATCATTATGTCTGTCACTCATCGAGTTCAAAGGTATGTTCTTACATACTGCTAAATACTTACGTGCGTAACCAGATATGCTACGTCAGTTCCGTGCAATAGATGATGGAGTAACGTTGCGTTTGAACCGCGCATTTGCTCAATCTCGTGACTTAGGATCTTCTTCGCCACCATCTCTATTGCAACGACATGACAAGTCCTTCTCCTCTTCTTCAGCTGCTGACTTGGGTCGTTCTACTTATGCCGTTGTCTCCGAAACGATGTGTGAGTCGATTTGGTCAGAACTCGCCCTACTATGGAAACGACGTGAGGATACCATACGATATTGCATTGATATAAATGCTCAGACACAGCAGCAGCGAAATGCGGCACCTTTGTCCCAGGATGACCGTCTCGATTTGGACCGAGCAAAGGCATCTCCTATCGAAACATCTGGGGTGTCTCTGAGTCGTGGGGAATCGACGGCTGATTTCACGACACGCCAACTACGAAATGAACTGAGCATTGAAGCTATTGTGCGAAGAAGATCATTGGATGGTACGTCACAGTGACTAGGGGATAGAATAGCTCATGCACCACTCTAGCATTTAAATCGCGATGCCGATTATTCAAGCCATCATTTAAATCATCATTAACTGACTCGGAGCGCGAGCTTGCGTTTTGGGAAGGACGCTAGGCGTCGCCCTCGGAGGTTGTCCCGATCATTATCCGAACATTGACTCTACAGCTACATCCTTCTCCAATCGTTAAGAAAATACGCACGGTGAAGAGCAGGTCTCGAGAACGAATGGTTATAAATAATTCCAATCCATGGAAGAGTTTACTCTACCAGTAAGAAAAAACCAGCCTATGCAACTTATGCCGCGCACTTTGTTTCCGCGTGATGCGCACGCATTTAAAGGCGCTCGGTCAGTAGCTTGGGATCCAAGCCATTGAATGAAATGTCATAAATCGTCTTGAATAGCGGGTACTCTTCGATCTTGCCACGCGATTGCAGAAACTCGTACACGTCCCTGGTTGTCTCCGTGCCTTGTAGCTTCTGGCCGTTCAAGAGCTCGGCCTCCAGTACATTGAATGGCTTGCCTGTCTTCACAAAAGCTTCAGCACACTTGCGGTTACGACCACCATAGCATGTAGTTATGAGATCGGCAACACCGGCACTTGTTTCGGTGAAAGTTTCAGGCCGCACATCTTTGAAGAACTCGAGCGCAAAACGTCGCATCTCCATTAAACCGATACGCATGATGGCGGCCTTTGCATTACCACCCCAACCAAGACCATCAACGAAGCCGGCACCCACTGCGATGATATTCTTCAATGCACCGCACAGACTCACACCCGCGACATCTTCAATCATGCCCACACGGAACTTTGGCGTGTCAAAGAGCTTGACATAATACTCAGCCAACGCGCGTTGGTGTGGACGATATCCGACAGTTGTCTCCGAAAAGAGACCAGACGCTACTTCATTCGCAATGTTTGCGCCACTTAAGGCTGCACAAGGAATGCCGAGTGCCTTTTCGATCACGTCAGGGAAAATGCTGATGTTCTTGTCAGCAACTTCCACACCCTTAATCATTGAGATAGCATGCGCATCAGGCGCCAAAGCATGCTTGAGTGACTTGCAAACGTTCAGAATAAACTGCAAGACAGGATGTTAGCTATCGTGTCTCTGTCACGTACACATGAAAGTGTGATTAAGCACGTACCTGATGTGGAAGGACAAAGACCAGCAATGTGGCATCACGAGCAGCTTCTTCGGGACTGGGAGTCGCGACAACATTTTCCGGAAGCTTGGCATGAGGTAGATATTTTGTGTTGACGTGATCCTCGTTGATAATGCTGGTCAGTTTGCGACCATCGACCTATTAAGTTTGTTAGGCACCCTGCACTTTTGCAATTATCGAGTTGCGTACGTACAATTTCCTCGTACACATACATGTGTACGATCGGTTCAAAGACATCCGAGTGGCGGGCAGTATTGAACCCTGCCATGTTAGACGGTCTACTACAACAGGCATGTCACGAAACCCATCACGTACCTGCAATTTTTGCAATTGCGCTACCCCTGACTTGTGTCAGTCCAGTTTTCGCACATTTTCAAAAATAAAAAATACATACCAGTTACCAGAGCCGATGATAGCAACCTTTTGCTTGTGTGCGACCATAATGCTACTGAAAGTCCGAGAATTTGGTGTACGACAAGCTAGGAGACGAAGCGGGGTTAATGAGCACCCTCCTTTCATGCTACCAAAGAAAAATTGTTTAGACGCCGGGACTCTGCCGATTGGATATTAATAAACATTAATACGCCTGCAGAGGGTGCTGAATGGATACCGACGTTACGAAGCGCACCAATCAAATGGAAAGGATACATAATACAGCTCCAGTACAATGCACGCACAATTGAATGTGCATGCGAAAGTGTGCTGGGTAGAAGGCGAAATGGATAAATAAATGGCTGCTAAACAGATCGGATCTGGTTTAATTGCGTCTCAAATGGCGCAAAAGACGCTCCTGATCGATTGCAGATTGTCGCCGTGCTGGCAAAGACTGGGACAATTGTCAGGAGCCGACATGTAGAAGGGAAGATTTGAACACTTACTGTTTCAAGGATTTGCAAAGTATTGTACACAGATTGAAGTGTTGCCTCTGCGCGGCTTTTTGCATCCATATCATTCCGCAGGGGCTGTCCACGGGCAATGGCAGGGAAACGTGCATGCTGTTTGGACTTACGCAGTCTCTGTTGACGAAACTCTTCTTTGGCATCCGCTAAAGATTTCAGTGCTTCCGCACGTCTTTTCAAGGCTTGCGCATATGCGATAGGGACGGTTTTTCGACAGTCCACGACACGCTCCGTCTCTTCGTCCACACTATCGGACAAAGACTGAACTCGCTGAGAAAGAGCTTCGTTGAATGGCTCCATAGCTAGTTGAGAATGTCAATTTTTACAGGTTTTTAAAACTCACCTGCTTCTTGTTTTGCATAGTCAGAGAGTGCAAGGCCATTGATGTGCACATTAGGTATGAGACGTGTGCGAGCAGCATAGATCCACTGCGAAACATATAAGCTGGAATATACGTACGCGAGAAAGGGCATGATTCATTGTATCTTGCAATGAAGCAGCATTTCGGCCGCGTGTACGCAATCGTTCGGAGCCAATATCAAGCGCATATGCATGAACCGCGTGCACGATGAAGTCAAGATCACTGGGATGTTCCAAGTCCACAGGCGGAAGTTCCTTGGGCATGATTCTTTTTTTCCGGAGATCTGGTATCAGCCTGAAATCCTCAAAGAACGGTAGGACGGCTAACACTGTGAGCTTGTGTGGACTAGGCCAATACGGCAGCAAGACGATTAGGCACTTGCTGCTCACCCCAATAAATTATACACGACGCGCCCATAGTTTCGGAGTCGATGCTTACGTCAGCTACACGAAAGTACCTCCTCCTTGAGGGCTAGAATGACACCTCGACCCTGGCCTTGTCTGCTTGCTACATACAAGGTGCGTCGGGGCACGGCCCATGTCACGTCGGAACCGAAGCGCTCTTCAGTCTGTGGACTTTGATACAGACGAGAGCGTGTCTGTTCAACTCGATGAAAACTATGATGATGGTCTTGCTTTGACAGGATCTGGTGTATGGAGCTCGAAAGGACCTAGCGAAGCAGGGCCTCGAGTCAGCGTGCAAAAGACCGCCGTATTACACACAAAGTGGGCATGGCGGGGACTCGTTGATGCAAGCAGCATTGGAGGTGCTGTACTATTGATGAAATCGTACGTGAATGCGACAAAGAGGGGACAAACTCACAGCGCAGATCACACGAGCTGCGCGTCGGCATTCTCAAAGGACTGGTTCTGAGCGGGATTATCTGCACGGTCGTATATATATGCAGTTTGTCTCTGATACCCACATGGGAAATGACCTCGAACCGTGACAGTGCATGGCCGGACATGTCTCATGCAACGGATCGGAAGGACGCGTCTGCTTCCACATGGTTCGGCTCTGTGGGGAATGTGTTTTGGCTTTACCCACTAATTACTGGAAGCTATTTGATCGCTTCGACATGGAGTGTTGGCATCGCTGAAGCTGCATTCATGGCGCAAGGTATCAAGCCGCATCCCAAAGGCGGGAGTGAGACTGCATGGATCGAATACGCCGTCCGCACGGTGTTAATTCTTAACTACTCATTGATCTGCTTTGCATTGCAAAACTTGCCCGTCGTGGGTCGCATTTTATCTTTCCTGGTTATGAGCTTTGTTGATGGATTTTTTTGCTTCGAGCAAATTTGGTCCGTTCGCGGTTGGCCACTGGAAAAGCGGCTGCGCTTCGCCGAGTCGCACTGGTCTTTTCTCATGGGATTTGGCATCCCATCGACTATGATCTCTTTCTTCCACCCTAGCGGTCTTCTCAATTTGATGCTTTTCATGCTTGTATTTCCTATTTGTACGCTACTCGCTTACCTAGCCGTGCCACAGCCTCAAAGCACATCATTTGGTGCGCAGACTGCGATGCTTCCCTCTACGATGCACGGTCGAACACACGAGCCGCATCTGTCCCTGTTCTTACCAGCGCGAATTCCTTTGTTCTGGCCAACGGTCCGCGTCCGCCGCTGGCTTTTGTCGCGCATACCACCTGCTGTGCCTCCTAAGCCAATCGGTATAGGCATGCCCCGACGATCCATGTCGACAGTGCCCGCACCTACAACAGCATTACCACGCCGCTCTGCAGCTTCATTCGTCGGCGGTGCATGGTCAAGCACGCCGAAAGGACGGATGGTATCTGCACCTGTGCTTGACAAAGCGTCAATGAGTTATGAGCATAATACGAACAAAGGGAATCCATTGCATGCTTCAGCAGTAAGCATTCCCATGTCTGAGGCATTAGAAGCGCGAAAAATGCAAAAGCGTGCCTAAGAAAGACGACTATGGAAGATCCTTGTGCAAGTGTAGGTTGCGGGATGAGGCGCCAACATGGAGACGAATATTACCGTCTGGACGCAGCCATTGTTGTGTGGACGTGTTCCAAATGGAAAGGTCATAGTGACTCAGATGATGTGATATAGTGCGATTTTGGCCGGCAGGAATCCACACACGATCAAATGCTCGTAGCACACGTGGCGGCTCGCCGCTCTTTTTAGGGAATCCGACGTACAGTTGGGGCACTTCATGTCCGTCGAATTTACCGGTATTCTCAACCTGGAACGTAACGTTGTAGGCGTTCTTGAACAGCCACGACGGCAGTCCAGTGGTGGCATTCTTGTGACCCCAGTGGTCATTCCAGTTCTTTAACTTCGCGTCGCCCACGTAGGCAACATCTAAGTTGTGGTATTTGAACTGCGTGTACGAGAGACCGAAGCCGAACTCGAAGCGAGGCGAGATATTCTTGTGATCGAACCAGCGGTAATCAACCATAAGGCCCTCGGTGAAATTGATCTGAGGTTGGTGTATCTTGCTGTTGTACATTACATCGGCCGGATAGTGCTTGCGCTCCTTGGCTATAGTGTACGGAAGACGACCAGAAGGATTGTAGTCCCCGTACAATACGTCGACGATTGAGCTGCCGCTTTCAGAGCCAGGTAAATTTGCCCAAAGCACCGCAGTGACATTCGGGTGCTCAATCCAGTCTTCCATCAGCACAGGACCGACAGAATGCACGATGACCACCGTGTTGTTGTTCACCGACGCAACACTCTTGATCAGTTGCTCACCACTATTCCACAACGTTAGGTTGTTTCGATCTCCCATGTTGGCCGACTTGTTCTGCGGATGCGACTTCGGGACAGAGCCAAATCCTTCACCAGACAAGGACGTCACAAACACGAGCGCCACATCTGTGTAATTTGCGACCTTCTTTGCATTCTCGTGATTAAAGTCATCGAACGACCAGTTCACACCGGTATTGTTCTTGCGGGCACGCGCTTGAAGTGCCTCGTAGGGCGAAATCAAGTACGAATATTCCACAGAACCAGAGCCCCAGCCTTCGCCCAGGGCACCGTACGGCCATCCAATCCGATCGTCCCAGTAGTTTGGACCAAGTGGGAAAGGACTGGCATCAGAGCCGACGATTGCGATCTTTCTGGGTTTCTTCAGGGGCAGTGTCTCATTCTTGTTCTTAAGCAAAACAGTGCCAGCATTCACCACGTCACGAGCGATGATGCTGTGATTTTTGGTGGCATCGACGTGCGCGTTCGTCATCGGATCATTGATGTCCCAGAAGTTGAAATTCGTCTTAGGGAAATCTTTATCCTGGCCTACCAAGTAGTAGCCTGCAAGAACACGAGTCGCCATGTCACGTACACGCCACTCTGGGACAGAGCCATTGGATACAGCGTGCGTCAAGTTTGGCCCCCAGAAAGAAGAGTTCGTATGAAGTTCCTGACAACAATGTGCATCGCCAGGCATCGACATATCAAGACCAGCAAGAGCTGATGCTACGCCCGAGTGATGCGCACCCCAGTCCGTCATAATATAACCTTGGAAGCCAAGCTCTGTCTTGAGGCGCTGATTGATAAGAAGTGAGCTTTGTGAAGACCACGAGTTGTTCACAAGGTTGTAAGCAGTCATAAATGCCGCAGCGCCTGCAAAGGCTCCCCGCATGAACGGATGCATGTAGATCTCGCGCTCTGTGCGCTCATCTACGTTCGATGAGCCCGTATTTCGAAAGTGCTCTTGTTCATTTGCGGTGTAATGCTTGACGGTTGCCTGCACGCCCTGAGACTGGATACCACGCACATGATGGTGTGCGCCCTCGCCATTCAGATAAGGGTCCGCACCAAACCCTTCCCAATTACGCCCAGCAGAGGGTGCTCTCATGACATTGACCATAGGTCCAAGGTGCACGTGAATGCCCTTCGTGCGGAACTCGTCACCAATCGCCTGGGCCCGCGCATACATCAAGTCTTTGGAGAAGGTTGCTCCCACAGTAATGGCAGGAGGAAACACCGTCACAAGATCTACGCCGCGCGGTCCCGTGGGACTGTCATGCACACACAGCCCAGGAAACCCAATCTTTTTAACGGGGCCAATGTTACCCACACAGAGACCGTTACCAAACCCAGTTCCTGTCACAATTTTAACCATATCATCCATACTCAGCTTCGCTAGCGCGTTGCGCGCGCGCTCCACAGGTTCAGCCCACACCCCACGTCCCGTGGTGTTGGGACTGTGAAGGTAAGGAGGGCTGTGCGGGAAATTATCACTACCAGCAAATGGTACATGATGGATCTTGGGAAGCCCCTTTGCCGTGTCTGGCATTTCATGACCGTCGGAATCGTCACGGCGAACCCATCCTGCTTGGGTACAGCAAACTACGCCTATCACCCACACCAAAAGCTGAAGCCAATGCATGGTGGGAGTGATTCACGTCGTTTGAGTATACATTGGCACTTATTCAAATTAGTCTTGTTCACCAGAGGAAACCCTGCTCGGTAGGTTTATATTAGGAACCATTACCGCTAAATACATGCATGCTGCAGTTGTCTTTGCCTATTAAAATGGACCCTAGCATGCACATACGTGAATTTGGTGACACGTATTCTCACGTGATGCAAACTTCCTGACCCCATCACGCAAGCTTACTGCCGAACGACCGTGCGCCGTCAAACGTTTTACGCACAGCCACTGAACCTGGTTGAGACGAACATGTCAAGCCAGGATACTTCGTTCCATATTCAGTAAGTCTACTAGCACTAACCATAGACCACATCCAGCAAAAGGTATGTGAAATAAAGGATACTTACGGTTGAGACAACAACCCGCGTGCTGATTCACACGAGCATGATGCTGTAAGTGGCGCTATCCATGCGCCACCAGGCATCCAAAAGCTTGACGAGCAAACGGCATCGCAGTTGGAGGCACCGAAATGTAAGTATGCTTGTAGTCGCAGTCTCTAAAATTTCACAATCAGCCGATGAGGAGCTACAGAAACGCTCGGAGGAACTCAACAAATGAAGTAAGCTTTGCAACCTAGATGTATCAAACCCGGGTTGGACGCTGATTAAAATCAGTGTGAATGAACTAAAATGACAACAAAGCTGCAGATGGGTTTCGTATGCGACGCCAACCGGCCCATGCACCAAACGATACAAGGCTTACGATGCCCATAGCCCGTAGAACCAGAGCAACGATCAAGGCACGACGGACACATGAACTATGGTGCGGTTAGTAGCGGCACATGTGTAGCGCAAGCACGTACTAGAATGCGGCGAGAGTGAGACCCGACCAATGAGCCTGGCGTTCTAACTCAGTTCCGATACACTGTGCCCATTTACGCAAAATGGCTCGATAGCGCCAACCAAAAATCCAAATCCAAAAATTGATATCCGGGTAACCGAAACGAGGGAACACCTCCACTATGCTTGGTGCCTTACATGCTACCCCAGACGAGGTTGCAGTTGGTGAGCCAAATAGCCACGACGAAGGAGAGTGCGAAAGGACGGACTTGACCGCATGTACAATCAATGCTTCATGTGCATGTCTTTCCCTCTGGTACGTCGCCATGTGGGCGAGAAAGTCGAGAGACATGCCCAGCGTGAGACCCCAAAGTTGCAATTGGGGGGTCGTTTCTGCGAGGTACGCACGCTGGGATTCATCAAGCAGGTGTGTTTCCTCTGCTTCCTCATTAGCTGGCAAGCCTGGCTTTTCCGGTAGAGAAAAAATGTCCTTGGCTTCCTTGAACGCCATGGCCGTTGGTGCATTAGGCAGCTGGATAGTGCGGAACGTCATTTTGCCGATCAAGAGCCCAAGAAGCAACCGCATGTTGGAGTTTTGTGGCATATGCCGTGCGACTTCAACATGCAGCTTGCCCCAGTTCGGCGTAGGTGTAAAGAGCAGATAAAGCGGGATCCAGTGCAGGGAAGCAACTTCGCTCAGTTGCAAATTCGGCACAGGAGAGAATGGAGAAAAGTGTATAAATACATAGGGACTCAGAATCATAAGCAAACGCTTCCCGAGACTGCTTGTGATTTCTCGGTCCTCTAAATGGCCCACATGAAGAAACTCTTTGTCGGCAAGATCGATGCCCACTTCTTCCCATGTTTCACGCATTGCCGTGTATAAGCCATTCTCATCTTCTTCGTCTCTCCGACCGCCAGGAAATGCAACATGAGAGGACCAATTGTCGTTCGGGCGCACAGCACGTTGAATGAACAAAAGCTCAGGCGTGCCGCGCTGCACCCAGGGTAGCGCAAAGAATTGGCGCAAGCGTGCATCCACGCCCATTTTTCCATTTGCATCCTGTTGCATGGTAGATGGAAACAGGTGAGAGTCCTCTTCCATCACTTGACCATGCCGCCATTTAGCTCGGAGCCACGCCTCATCTTCAGCCGTTGGCCGTACATGAAAAATTAGTGCGACACTCGCACGCCTTGGCTGCGTCGGAGGACTTTCAAGAACACGAGGAGATACTTTTGATATTCTTACGAGGCCATGCTGCAAGTGTGCTAGCAAGTGGGCCGACATGATACGTTGCCTGAGGGCAAGCCAAGCCGAATGCTTCTCACCAGATCCGGTTCCACGCGGTTCGCCAAACTATGACATGTGGAGGCTGGATATATTGGGTAGCTTGCCCCATCGAATCCCCCCACTTGTTTGGACAAGGGTCTGAAGGAACCCAGACTAGTCAAGTGCGTCACTGCAATTATTTTTGATTCATCGCGTTAGACATTCCTCGACGCCGCACGCGAAACTCAACCCTCTTAATCGACGCTTGAAACAGCACTGCAACGCGAGCAAGGGCGATAAGCAGATACGCAATTTGTTTCTTCCCTTCAAAAGATAGGATGGGAAAGCACTATTGTGGTACGTCATCTGTGAACTAACCTCCGAAAGACTACTGCGATGTTTTTTTGACTCACGACTCGACATCAGTTCGAAAAGCTCACAACTGCGGTCGAAATCATTTGCAGAATGTGCGTGACTATTATGCATCTATTTCTCCGTATGAAATGCAAGCCATTGCAGACAGCATTTTAAGGGAGTACCAGAAGCGAGGTCTCCCGCCCCCCATGGAGTTGGTCGCGCCTCAATTGGCATACAGACTGCCTCCTCCCTCGCTCATGCCGAATGGCCGCGCACCTTTCATGGGGGGCGCGGCTATGCGCCCACCGCCTGGGATGCCTGCCCCAGATTTCTCTAAGCCTCCGCCTGGAGTGCCGCTGCCGGACTTCTCCAAGCCCCCTCCTGGCATGCCGCCGCCAGACTTTTCCAAGCCACCACCTGGCTTGATGACACCTGACTTTTCGAGGCCACCTCCTTCTATGACACGACAGACTCAGCCACTACCGCCCCGACCTGCGCCATCGCGATCGTAATCCGAGTAAACATCAGTCTAGTATGATACCCCATTGCCGTGGTCCCTATTCATGGTTCATTGGTTGAGGAAGCGCTTAATTTGTGTTTCGAACGCTTACCTCCCTGTGCAATTTTGGCCTTACGCTTATTTCGCTCGCGCTGTTCGCCAAACTTCTCGTCATGCAGTTCCATCGATGCCACACGCTTAGCAGCTGAAATATGTGAGAGACGATCAAGCACTTGTGCTTCAGGCAATTCGAGTTCATCTAGTCTCTTGTGGATTTTAGCCTCGATGGCTTGGATCAATTCGACATCATGCTCAGTGACGAAACTGACGGCCCAGCCACGTCGACCTTTTCGTGCTGTTCTACCCACACGATGAATATAGTCTTCCCACGCGGCCGGTACATCCCAATTTACGACGAGTTCCACATCAGGTACATCCAATCCACGGCTGCCGACATCGGTCGATATCAAAATCGGAACGCGGCGCGCGCGAAACATTTGTAGATTGTGCAAACGTGTGAACTGAGGAAGCATTGAATGTAAGGAGACATTTGGTATGCCCAACTCTGTAAGCATACGCGATAGTAGCTCAGCATTTTTGCATCGAGATACAAATATGATAGTAAGAGGAAATGAAGGCTCTTCGCCGCCCTTTATTTTCGGTGCCTTATGAGTTCGATACACATCTGACAACTCAGCATGGACTTTGACCTTGTTTTCGCATGGTGGATTGTTCAACAAATACACAAGATACGGCTCGCGCATGTGGGACGGTACAAGTGTGTATTGTTGTATGAGGGAGTCTGGAGTGGACGTGTCCATGTCAATCTTTCGAAGCAGAGGCGGTAGTTTTCCTGGCTCTGGCGTCTTTTCTGTAAGGCGTTCAATTTCTGGCGTTAGCGTGGCAGTGAATAGCAGTGTCTGGCGCATGTGTGCAGGAGGCAGGATCGAAAACAGGTATGCAAGTGCAGGTGCAAACGTAGGTGAAAGGAGCCGATCAGCTTCATCAAGCACGACAAATTTACATCGCTCAAGACCCCACTCCTGAGCCGCTCCTGAAGATAGCAGGTCCACAAGGCGACCAGGCGTTGCCACAATAATATGTGGCCGTTGCTCTCCTAACTCATTCGCTTGTCTAGTCATGTCCATACCACCCAAAACAAGCGCACACTTCAGCCCCATGCGACTCCCTTGACCAACCGCAAGAAATTGCTCGTGTAACTGCACACCCAACTCGCGAGTGGGTGTTAATATTACTGCATATCCACCGACCGTGTCTTTGAATAGATTGTGTAGAATTGGCAAAGCAAATGCAAGCGTCTTACCAGAACCCGTCTCCGCACCTCCGATCACGTCGCGTCCTTCTAAAATCGCCGGAATGCATGCTGATTGAATTGGTGTCGGCACATTTATGGCCACCATCCTCAACGCCCGGACAAGAGGCGTACATATACCCAGCGCCGAAAAGTTTTTTGCATCTGCTTGATCCGACATAGGATCCTTGTTACACGATGTCAGTGCGCGCGCAAAAAAAAAAAATCAAAGTATTCAAAATGAATGTAGCGGCCGCATGCCACACGCACCCTAACAAAAAAAAATCTTGTCTCGCCCGCATGGTCGTCCACGCGCAGATGAGACACGTACTTATCACGTGCATTGGTCGAAGCCTGCACTGGAGCCGCCACTTTTAACTTTATTTCACACAGTATGACGGCACCAGCAACGGAGCTATATGCAGCGGCGTACGTGATCAAGCACTTCTCACCATCAGGGACTTTTGCTGTATGTGACTCCCTCTATATCTCTAACAAGATAGTAATTCCTATTGGTACAGCGACCACATCGGTGGGTGCGTATATCGCCGAATGCCAGCGAGTATTAAGCTCAATGGCCGATGAGGGAATCCATTTTGAGGTGAGTTCGTTCATCAAGATTTTAACGCTTGTGCAGCTTCAGTATGTTTTAATCTCGCTAATATATGCAGTGGCTATGGAACGAACGTAGAGGGGCCAATTTCGGCAGTCTGGCGTGCATTGCAAAGATGCCACGAGGCTGTGCATGCTATGGGCGTTGAGCGGATTGCGACAGACATCCGGCTGGGAACGCGCACAGATAAGCAGAATGATGCTCCAGAATGGTCAAATGGGCTGACAGAGAATCAGCGCAAACGTGAGAGTGTCTTGCGTCGTCTCGGTTAGATTTTAAAAGATTTTTTTTGCCATCTTTGGGCATTAACGTGCATATCGAGTCTTTCCGTAATTGTGTAGCTTAAAAGGGGTGGAGAGGTATGACGAATCTCCTAAGTGTCTTTTGCTCAAATTAGGTCAGAATTTAGCATCGGTGCGTGTACTTCTTCCTCCGTCTCGTGATGTCTTGCATACGCCGAGCTCAACTAGGACGAACGATCTTAGCACGAAACTATGCAACAGGACGAGCACCATGCTCTTTGTACAAAAAGCCAACTCATCCTGACATGCCAAACACTTCGCCCTCTTCTGACTTGGGATGCATGCTACATCGATTCAGTGAAACAACGCTTGGAACGTATGTGCGCCCTCCTGTTGTGTTCTCGCACGGTCGAGGTATGGATCTGTACGCCAAGCTTCCCAAAGAAAATGGAGGCAATCGTCGCTACCTAGACTTTACGGCAGGTATTGCTGTCAATTCACTCGGGCATGCAGATCATCAAATCGCCGAGCTTGCTGCTGAGCAAGCGAAACAGCTGGTTCACTGCAGCAATCTATTCCTTAACGAATGGAGTGGAGAGCTTGGATACCGTTTAGCAGCCATGACGCGTCAACACGGTGGACTGGGTCTTGAAAGGAATGCGCCACCAGCTGCGCAGGGACAAGACTTGCGGACTTTTGTGGCCAACAGCGGAACGGAAGCCAACGAAGCTGCGCTTAAGTTTGCGCGCAAAGTGGCCAAGCCCAGCAGTAAGGTGCTCGTGGCCTTTCAAAACGCATTCCATGGTCGTACCATGGGTGCTCTATCTGTAACACCGAATCCGAAGTACCAAAGTCCGTTCATGCCTTTGATCGGCGAAGTGCGTGTAGGCGCACTCAACAATATGAGTGAAATTGAGTCTCTCGTACGCGATGATGTGGCAGGTGTGATCGTCGAACCTATTCAAGGAGAAGGCGGGATTCTTCCTGCGCAAGTTGATTGGCTTAAGGCTCTTCGCCAACGATGCACGCAAGTCGGCGCCACGCTCATCTATGACGAGATCCAATGTGGTTTGTTCCGTACTGGCACCATGTGGTGCCATTCAACTATGCCAGTCGAGGCACATCCAGACATGGTCACAATGGCTAAACCGCTGGCAAACGGGTTTCCTATTGGAGCCGTGCTGATGCGTCCTCACGTCGCACAGGCGATTGTCGCAGGTGACCATGGAACGACGTTCGGTGGTGGTCCATTTACGTGCAGGATAGCTCATCATGTTCTTGGGCGTCTATCCGAGCCAAGTCTGATCCAAAATGTTCGAGCTATGTCAGAGCACCTTGTATCACGCCTCAGGCTGATTGGCGAAATGTTTGATGATCTCGTGCAACGTGAGACCTGCCCTCGTGGTCGAGGTCTACTGCTAGGCTTCAGCATGCGAAACGCTGCACATGCTGCTCAGGTTGTGAAGCTGGCGCGTGAGCGAGGCGTCCTTTTCCTCACGGCGGGCCATGACTCATTGCGTTTTGTGCCAAGTCTCAACGTACAACAGGAGCAGATCGATGAGGCAATGGATGTTCTTGAAAGTGCGCTGGTAGTACTTCGGGAATCTATCTAGACTGCTGAACATTCTCTTCAATGATGGCATCATTGATCTCTGCAAGTGGTATCATTTCCTTAGGATCAACCAGCTTGTACTCGCTTACGAAGAGAAAGAAGTGGCGGTATGAGGTATTGAGGTGCACCTCCAATCTCAGTGCGCAAACTTGGGCAAAGTGATGATTGTATATGTGTGCATAGATACGAAAAAGACGGCGTAGGATCGCTTTGACGCGATCAACAAAGTTGGGTGGAAAGTCTGTGCTGCTGTTTACTGGGAAAAGTGTCTCGTCATCGATCTGTGCTTGTGTCCAGTTCAGCAGGCACTCAATATAATCAGGCGCAGACAGTCGTGTTGAGCGGCGGTATTTGACTGACGTCGGGTCTTGCCAATGGTATTCAAACCGCGGACCCGCACACATCACAGGACACTCGCGAGATGTACACTGTATAGTCAGGCTCGACTCTGCACGAAAAGGAGAAAAGTTTGTTAACACGTACAAATTCAGTTAGTGTCCCGTACAAAATATTCAGGTGGTTGAAAAAATCGACAGCTGCATGTCAGATTCATGTATATGAACATTTTTTTTTGACAACATACTGTGTAAAGCAAGCCACTCCTCGAAAAGTTCGCCGTCAGGAATCCTCACAGCCACGCGCAAGTTGCCGCTCCCCAACGTCGATTCGGCGAGTCGCCGCAGTTGACTATGTTAATCTCACCACGACCGTGTACGTACTAAGCACGACTTCCTCCATTTGACAAGCTTTTCTTTGAAATATATACACCCGGACGCGAGAGTCTGCGTCAGATAGCTGACTCTGGAACGTACCCAAGCATCGACGCCATGTCAGTAGTTGCTCTGAGCGTGTATGTGTTGGTGTGTATCAATCTCCCAACACAATCGCTCACCGACACACGCGGTGTGAAAGTTCACGTGACTACATCGGCAACTCACTACCCTTGTCTGATGCTCGAACCTTATCTGAGAAGCTGTGAGACAGTTAGCTCGTCGACCCGAAGTCTAGGAGCTCGGTGCGACCATGAGCGGAACACGCCGTAGCCTGGAAAATTACGATCCTGCCGAGCAGGAGACCCTCATGTACGTGCAGATGCATCGACGAGTCACACACTCACACGTCAGATCACATCATGTTGATGCTGATGAATACGGTCGTCCTATTATGCATTCCGAACCAAGTCACCCACCGCAGGACATACAGCCCGCGCGTGATGGGCGTGCCGTCATAAACCATGGGGATTTGGAACAAACAGGACGTCCAGAATGGCTTGTGCGGCTCGAGAGGCTTCCAACGCACAGACGCGTCACACTGAAAATTATATGTTTGATTTTGATCGCACTTCTTCTGGCGGCGCTGTTCTCTTTTGCACTTAGTCCGTCGGAGAATGAGCCATCGTTGTGGCCAAACAAGCCCCACGGTGAGTTGAAGCAGTCAGCACCGAAGACTGAGACAATGAAACCAAATGCATTTCCAACCTATATCGGTTACCCCGGATCGTACTCCTCAGGTGCCCCGGCCGCTTTTGCAAATGACATGAAGCCGGCAGCTTCACCCACGCGCGGTGTAGAGCCGATTCAAACGGCTCTTGCGCATTTTGACAAGTTCAATCCGTTCCGACACATGGGCCCCTTGTCACCATACTATTCCGCTCAACACGGCAATGTGGACAATGCTCGGTTCCTAGCGACGCCTGTATCGGCGAACGGCACGTGTACTCTGTCTCAAGTTCATATATTACACCGACATGGATCGCGTTATCCTACAGGTGGCTCGCAGGCTTCCCTGGTGGCAAACATGCTTGCGTCGAAGCCAAAAGGCGAGAAGGCGCCACTGTCTTTTACAGGGCCCCTGGCCTTTCTTAATACTTATCAATATCAATTGGGCGAAGAGCTTCTCGTCCCCCTAGGTCGTGAACAGCTTCACATGTCTGGTATCAAAGCTGCGATCGACTATGGGCGACTTGCTGAAAAAGATTTGGCCGAAAACAAGCGCTTGTTTGTTCGGACTGGAAGTCAGCAACGAATCGTTGACAGTGCTCTTGCATGGTCCACAGGATTTTGGGGTAACTCATGGGTGAACAAAACAGACTTTGAAGTTCAGATCGAGGAGCCTGGATTCAATACAACATTAGCGCCGAACTTTGCTTGCAGTGCCGCAGCCGACTCGTTCAAAATTCAGGAATGGATCGAGTCGTACTTGGGCAAAGCTACCGCACGGCTTCAACAATATGTACATGGCGCTGAGATCACGCCCATGATAGTGTATGGGATGCAGCAGTTGTGCTCATATGATACTGTTGCCTTTGGACGCAGTGATTTCTGCTCTCTCTTCACGGAAGAGGAATGGCTTGGATTCGAGTTTACATGGGACAAGCGTTTCTTTTTTGATTATGGTCCTGGGAATCAGGTTGGTCCGGCAATGGGTCTCGGCTGGCTGAATGAGTTTGTGAGCCGTCTTACTCGGACTCCGTGGAATTCGACGACTCAGACGTCAGAAAATGCCACATTCAATGCTCACGCAGACCTATTTCCCGTGGACCGCGCAATCTATGCGGACTTCACGCACGACTCAGTCCTAACTAGCGTCCTCGCAGCGCTTCGCCTAGCGGAATTTTCAATTCCGCCTAAGCTTGATGATAAACACCGTGCGTTCCGCACGTCTCAGGTTGTGCCATTCGGTGCAAGGATGGTGTTTGAAGTCTTTGACTGTCCGACACCAGTTCCACCTCCCAGTGCGTTGGAGCATCGTCGGATTCCGCTCAAAGCATATCCACCTGAACAATACCTGCGCATGAAGCTGAATGATGCGATTGTGCCACTCAGCGGCTTGTCGCAGTGCGAAGACAGGAAAGATGGACTATGTACGTTGTCAGGCTTTCTTGATTCCCATGCGGATCGAAACAACCAGGGATGGTGGGATCGCTGTCGTGGCTAGATGACATAGGCTGTGTGTATCTATATGTATACTAGAATGGCACAAAAGTCGTTGATTAACGCGTGCGTCCATTGTGAAGAGCAATGTCCCCAGCACCATTCATGGGTCCACTACAACTTAGGACACTTTCCGATGTGGACTGGCTCGTTGTCATCAGCTGTTGCGCTGCCTTCTTTGCCTGCTCGTGGTCGGCTCGCGCCTTTTCGAGCGTGCTAAGATAGGCTTCGTCGACACCCCCCGTTACATACTCGCCATTGAAAATAGAACAATCAAACTTGGTAATCGCAGGGTTCAATGATCGCACAGCCTCAACCAGTTGCTCCAAAGACTGGTAAATCACAGCATCAGCTTGAATCGTCTTGGCAATTTCCTCGACGGATCGGTCATGTGCAACTAACTCACTGCGACTGGGCATGTCAATGCCATACACATTTGAATGGCGGATTGGAGGCGCACAACTAGCCATAAATACTTTTTTCGCTCCGACATCACGAGCCATTTGAATGATCTCCCGCGATGTTGTGCCTCGAACAATACTGTCATCGACAAGCAAGACGCTCTTCCCAGAGAACTCAAGCGCCATGGCATTCAGCTTGCGACGCACATTTTTACGGCGCGAGCTTTGACCTGGCATTATGAAGGTCCGTCCAATGTAACGATTCTTGACAAATCCTTCGCGGTATGGGATTTGCAGTGTCTGAGCCAGTTGCAGAGCGGCGACACGAGATGTGTCCGGCACGGGGATGACCACATCGATACGCTCACCTTTAGCGAGAAGCTCTGCTTCGACCTGTTTAGCAAGACTGTCACCCATCGCCATGCGACTACGGTACACGCTTACGCCATCAATAACACTGTCCGGGCGTGCAAAGTATACATATTCGAAAATGTCTGGCGTAAATGTATTAGGGGCGGGCATCGTTACAAGCTTGCGACGAGTCACATTCTTAGGGGTCACAATGACAGCCTCTCCCGGGTTTATATCTTCAAAGTCCTCGTACCCAAGCGAATCAGCCACAACGCTTTCGCTAGCAAAGCAATAATCATAGCCGTGACCTTCGCTCTGCGGCGTCTGCGATTTGCGCTTACACATACCCAATGGACGGATTCCATGCGGGTCTCGGAATGCAATGATACCGAAACCAGCTAGTGTTGCAACGCACGTATATGCACCCACAGCTTCCTTCATCATCGCTTGCAGAGCTGTAAATATATCGTCTTCATTAATGCGGAACTTGCCAGTACGCTGCAAGTGATGCGCAAATAAATTGAGCAACAACTCCGAGTCCGAATCTGTGTTGACGTGACGATGGGCTTCAGAATCCAGCATGGTCCGAAGTTGGTCTTGATTCACGGTATTTCCATTGTGTGCAAGTACAATACCGTACGGACTGTTAACATAGAACGGCTGGGCTTCCGCATGTGCAAATGAACCTGCTGTTGGATAACGGACATGTCCCACGCCCATTGTGCCAACCAAATTGGCAATATTACTGGGCTCAAATACATCGCGGACCATACCGTTTGCTTTCACTTGATAGAAACGTCCTTTAGGTCCGCATGTCACGATGCCAGCCGCATCTTGTCCACGATGCTGAAGGACGCCCAAGCCTTCGTGTAGCTCTGTTGCTACGTGCCCCTGCTGCAACAGTATCGCGATAATTCCGCACATGTGGCCAGAGAGGGATGAAAATACTGGGGTGATATGAAAAAGGCGGTGTGTGCTTGGGTCTAAGGTTAATTTTCGTCCACGTGGTTTTTTTTTTTTTTGGTTTGCTAGCGATTCTTACGATGATACATTTTTTTCTGGTTCGAGATGTTTCATTTTTGAATTTCCAAGACCCCAACAACAATTTAGACTTACATGTCAACGACATTCCCTAGCCGATCGGCTAGAGATTATCCAAAGCGTCGGAACGAACGCAGAGTTCCACCATGGCTTCATTTTGCAGCAGGTGGTGCAGGTGGCATGTGTGGAGCCATCATTACATCACCGTTGGATGTTGTCAAGACGAGATTACAGTCTAATTTGTACAGTGGTCGGTTCGCTGTGGAAGAAAGCCATCGTAGTGTTCTAGGTCTCTGTACTCGTGGTGCTCTTCAGTTTGTTGATACGGGGCGACTCATAGTCGAAATTTCTGTGCGTGAAGGTACTCAGGCTTTGTTTAAAGGTCTTGGTCCTACACTCGTGGGTGTAATTCCAGCTCGAGCGATCAACTTTTACACGTACGGCAATGGAAAGCGGATCCTTTCAGACTTTTTCGAATGTGATTCTTCTTTGATTCATTTGACAGCCGCGGCAATAGCAGGGATTATTACAGCCACAGCGACGAATCCAATCTGGGTTGTCAAGACACGCCTTCAACTGGAATCTCAGCAAAGAGAAGCGCAATCCAGACAAATAAGGGCGGCTGCTGTGGGTAAGTTTATGGCTTCAAGCAAAGCACGAATTTCTGAGTCTGCAACGGTACCATCAAACGCGTCCTCCGCTAAAGGCCTCTCACGACGCACGATGTACACAACAACTCCAGTACGAGCACGATTTTTTCAACCAATACCGCCGCCACAACATCCAAGTACTAACGCTTTCAGTATGACGGCACAGATTTTGCGAGTCGAGGGGATTCGTGGTTTGTATAAAGGTCTGAGTGCAAGTTATTTGGGCGTGTCAGAAAGTACGATTCAGTGGGTTCTGTACGAACAGTTCAAACGTACCCAAGATCCTTGTGAGAAACCGTCTTGGTTCCAAACAATCAGCTCTGCAGGATCAGCAAAACTCATTGCCACTATTATTACGTATCCACACGAAGTGATCCGCACCCGCTTGCGCCAGCAGCCTGAGGAAGGTGGGCGCAAGTACCAGAGTCTAATCCAGACCTTCCGCCTTGTTCTGAAGGAGGAAGGTGCATTGGCATTTTATGGTGGTCTCAGTGCCCACTTGATGCGTGTGATCCCCAACGCGATTGTTACGTTTTCAATCTATGAATTTGTATTGATGTTAGGCTCCGGATGGAAATGAAGATCAAGAGCTAGCATGTACGTGTATTTGTAGGGTATATATGAGTCATGAAATCGACCTATTTATGCTTGGTTCTCACCAAAAACGAGTTCTTCATCAAACAATTCAATAAACTTTATGTCGTCAGACGAATGAGTGTGCACGAACCTGTTCATTCATGACGCGCACTTTAGGACCTGCAAAGCGGCGATACTCCTCCAAGATTGCGCTCAAGTTCCAATGTTGCAGTTTGCGCAAACATCCGATGACTGTGCCAGTACGATGTCTACCCAGGTTGCACATGACCAAGCAGGGATACGTTGATGGTTGAACAAGCAAATGCAAAGCCTGCAGCACAATTTCTTCAGTGATTGGGTCCCATGCATTCGTGCTGTATAGAACGCCTAGGTGATGCATCTCAATGTTCTGGTCATGACAGAAATGCTGACTGTCGTGTTAGTTTTCATACACGTACAAGCCCACTTCAGGCTCTTCCGGAGCGAGCCAGATCACACTTTTCAGTCCAAGCTTTTCGAGAAAGGGAAAATTCAATTGGTCAGGCTGTCCCGAGCGATACAAGCTTTCCTCAACCATGCCGAAATTCGGCGGAGGTACTAGCATGATGTAATGATCGGTGAGGCCCAAGAGGATGGGCAATTAGGGACGTCAAGGTCTGTGAACACTCTCCACTCATGCGCACATAATTACTTCCCATTCCCCCCAGTTCCTCGGTTGCAGAAATTATGTCATGGCACACTTATACATAAGCTCGAGTTGTATTCCAAGGCAACGAATTATCTTTACGTTCGAGGTCTAAAAGTAACCATACGGAATCCAATCAAGAACATAAAAACATAGTGTCACAAGACGATCTTATTCGCCATATACTTCGCGTCTTAGAGACGCGAGTTCCTCATCATCCCACGGTTCTAGTTCAACAGATTGAACAGCCTCTTTCATGTGCGCGTAATCTTTCGTTCCACTCAAAACACATGTCGAAAGACCGGGGAGGCCCATACCTTGCGCCACAAATGCATAAACAACTTGTGCGGGCGTAAGTCCTTTTTCAGCGGACAAAACCGCCACTGGTTCAGACTGCAACAAGCGTTGATTCCCCGTCAGTGTCCAAAATGGTTGATATATAACGCCCTTAGGATCAGGAGATTCGAGATCTACAGGCGCAGGAAACGTGTTGGGTGAGAGAATCGGGGATAACTGGCTCAATAGTGACACATCATGGCCGGTTGATGCATGCCATCGGTTCTGCAATACACTTGGCTTGATTCTTGCCTGTTGGAAAAGTACGGAAAATATTTCAGGGTCATATACGTCTGTTGAGTCAGCCCAAACATATACGCACTGCTAAATCCAATGTATCGCACCAAGCCAGCATCGATCAATGCTTCCATCACGGCCCAAGCTTCTAGCGTGGCTTGTAGCGTTGAAAGTGGAGAATGCAATACATAGCTGTCAATATAGACATCTTGGAGAGAAGCTTCTTCGCGCTCAGTATTGCGTTTCACTCTGACGGCATGCTTTGCAATCAAACTCGGGATGTCCGGAATGTCAGAACCCGGATGAAGATTGTGAAGACTGTTTGTAAAACTGGAACAGACTTGGTCTGCCACATTAGCTGCAGGATCATACGGTATGGATCCTTCTGGATCTTGGCCCTTTATCGGAGTGAATCTAAAGTCAGCACATGACGCATACAAAAATATGACGTACTTGGTTTGAATCCATATATCTGAACGTTGCAATCGAAGGTCTTCACATGCTTTCTGTATTCCCAAACCTACAAGATCTTCTCGATAATGCTTACGCTGTGCCGCAGTGTCAACGCCACGAAATCCCTGCTTGAATGCAGTATAGACGAGATCAGTAGTTCTTGCATCTTTCCACGCTGTTCCATACAAGATCTTAGGCATAGATTCCATTGGTACTCTGGTAGATTCTTTCGACATGTTATGGAAAACGAGCTTAACTCAAACCCGAATTACACGCCGACTAACCGAAGCTAGGGGAGCACTCGTATGCTGATGGGATGTGAGTGGGTATTCTTATGTAATATCATACCATCTACCTACGTATGGCGTGACCAACGTGTGCACTGTCGATGCAGCCAAAACACCACGCAACCGCAGAAGCGGAAGAACGCTAAGCCAAATGTTGACCACAAAGTAACTTTAAAATAAAGCTCTTGGTTGTGGCGCCCTTCTTCAACTTCTTGGCCGAGATTTTCTCCTGGCTTGAACAAGTATAAATTCATTATCACAGCCACAAGAATAGCATTTGTGAGCAGCCACAACGCAACGAGACGCGTTCGGAATGTCTTGTTGCTATCGTCCATAGACGGATAGATTCGCTCTCGTTTTGAATGAATTGGGGATATCGCGCGCTCTACAACAGACTTGAAACGCAAATCAAGGTCATCTTGCTGCAAAGCCACTTCTTCCGCCATATCTTCACTCAGTTGAGACTCTTGCGTCGTCGTGACGCTAGGGAGAGCATCGACTTTATCTGAGCCCTTCGTGCCCCAGCTAACATCATGAAGGTTGCAAAATGCAAAAACGTTAATAACATTGACAAATGAGGGTGCCATAAAAAAGTATTGAAAGGAGCTCGTGAACATGTGCCATGGATCTAGGTAAAGTAAGGAAGCAATAAGATAAATGCCGTACATTGCGGCTAAAGAAGCAATCAGCACGGCCGTTGTGTTATTTAGCACAATATCCACTGCAGGTTTATTTTCAGCAGCGAGATGTGAGAGTGAACGAATGGTCATCCAAAGCGAAATGGTAAGTGTGTAGGATCCAAGGACGCCAAATACAGTAAAAGATAACATGTAAGCGAATGTCTCGCTTACGGGTCGGTTACCAAGTGCCAAAATGAACTGGAGCGCTAGAAAGAATCCATACAGCCACATTAGCACCAGATTCACATAATGAAACGCGACGAGCCATCCATCCGAAAAGTCGCGAAGCAAGACGCTTGGTAGATATTGGATAATTATCGCAAATGTGAGCCAAAGATTACCAAGTGCAAACCAAGTCAATACAAGCTGCACGAGATTGTAC